AAATTACGATATATACTATAAAGCTAAATACTTAAGATATAAACTATATAGCTTATTATAATTAGCGGAAAATATAGATAAAGTATAGTTAAGAATAGTAATGGACTTTATAGTTAAGCTACTACTATTAAAGGAACCTATAACGGACACGATATATAATAGTATACTTATAATAAACGATATACTAATAAAGTATATTTACCTACTACTATATAAAGAAGCATCGATAGTAGAGGAACTAGTATACGTAGTTACGAGAATAGTATTCGCATAATATAGAACACTAGAAGTTATTATTATAGATAGAGATAAACTATTTAATTTATAGTTTTAGTAATCGTTAACCGACCTACTAGGAATAAAACATAAGATATCTACATTATACTACCTATAAACGGACGAATAAACGGAAAGAACGAATTAGACGATAGAATAGTATCTACGATACTATATAGACTACTAATAAAAGAACTAGGTCGAGCTATTACTAATAGCTTAGTTCGCTTTTAATAATAATACATCGGTAACCGGAATATCGCCGTTCTTTACGAACTACGGGAGATACCTAAACTTTAAGAAGGAACCGTTAGACGATAGACCTATAGCGGAAAGGGTAAGGATAAAAGTCGAAGACTTATATAAGTTATACTTTCTACTAAAAATAAGGCTAGATAGAATATTAAAAATAACTATAAAAATAGTAAATAAGAAAAGATCTAAGGAACTAGACTTCTGGGAGGGGGAGATAGTTTACGTTAATATAAAAAATATAAAAATATAAAGACTAAGTAAAAAACTAGATTATACGAAAATTAGCCTATACCGAATTAAGAAAATACTAGAATCTATTTCTTATAAGCTATAATTACTAGGAGGACTAAATATATACCTAGTATTCTATAAATTACTACTAGAGAAAGTACTAGATAGAGCTAGACTAGGACTAGTATATATTAATAAGGAAACTTAAGAACCCTATTACGATATAGAAACTATACTCTAGTATAGATAAGGAGATAACTAAATAGAATACCTAATTAAATAGTTAGGATACCTAGAAGAGGAAAACACTTAGGAACTAGAGATAAACCTTAACCCGAAACTAGTTACCCGGTATTATTAGGGAAACCTAGGACCTATTCCTAATCCACCGAGTCGGTTACGAACTAACTATTAAAAATAAACTCGGGCTCGGTAAGGACTAGCTCGTAGTTAATACTAGCGGACGCCTCTATAGACTCGAAAATACCTAATACTTCTATTTCTCGACGGAGTATATAATTAGACTAGTCTTCTAGCTTAGCTAGAAAGTCCTAGATATCGGCGTCGCGCTCTTCTAACTCCGCTAGGACCTTACGGAGCCGAGCGATCTCGCGTCGTTTAGCGCGGAACTTCGAGACTAGCTATTTCTTTTATTCCCTAACTTTTCGGAACTCTTCTACGGAAAAGGTACCATTATAATTTCTTTAGTACCGGAGATATTTAGAGCATTTTATCGACTACTCTCGATTATAAAAATAGATAACGTTATAGTTAACGTATTCGGTATAGGCGACTATAGCGGCGTTTTTAGGATTAGAAGATATAGCGTTCGTAATTTTAAGGCGGCGTACGTTCTAGTTACGGATAGACTTAGAAGATCGACGGTTCTTCTTAATACCTAAGGGCAATATAGTTAGCTATAAGGAAGAGGGAACGGAACCGTAACGGACGGGAAAGGACTACCTTAAGTACGTTGAGGACAACGTAGATAGAAGGAGGAGATAGTGTTACGAACTAGGTTATAGATAAGGTCGCTAGGATAGGCGCCCTACGTTCTAAGGGATAGTTTAAGGAAGGTCAGCCGATAGAGAACGAGGCTGCATTACGTGACTAGGGGGTACATTAATGCATTACCGCATTAGAATAATATACTAATACACTAAAGTAGTACTTTAAGCATTATATATATATACTCCTTCACCTAGATAGAATAGTTCGTAGTTAACTTCGTTAGTAATCCTATACCTACATTTTAGGATATAGTCCGACGAATAAGTATTCCCTTTATTATCCTAGTCAACACTCTAGTACCTATTCTATTAAGGAACCCTACCTTGGTTAGAACTGCTTGCAGCTTGGATCATAATAGATATAAAGAAAAATCGTAGAGCCTACTGTAGATAACTATTCATGACTTCCGATGCTTTTTGGAGGCTAGTTTAGCATCTTTTGCAAAAAGAATCTCGTTAGTAATTAGACTATCAATATATATTTATAGACTTTCAACGTCTTCTTGACTGGTGCGCAGGGCGTCCCTACAGTGAAGCATAGTCTTAGCTATTATTGTTACTGATAAACCCGAACTATGTAGGCCCTTAATTGGGTTTAGCGAAACACGGTAGGAAAGTCGAATGGTCGAGTCCTTAGATACGAAGTTGGGGAATAATGGTGACAAAGAAAAACGTCTACGATATTACGACGTTACGAACTCGGAAATCAAAGCTGTACAACAAACAGCCAGATTGTCTCATCGAGGATGTTTCGAAAGCAAATAGCACAGTTCACGTAGCTGTTTATTGATGATCTGAGAAGTGTTTTTGGACACCAACACATGCTTCATGCGACTGAAGACTGACCGTTTTCAACAATACTAGTACTCACAAATCTTGCTGTGATCAGCTACATGGTTGATTTTGTAATGGAGGCCCCCTCTTTATTTGATGCCGTCTCATTGACACGGTTTTCAGTACCAGGAATGTCCAACCCGGCTCGCTGAGTAAGTAATCATGCAACGAATTTAGATTGGCTTGCCCAGTTGTTCTCCGCTTGTGCTGTTCCTAGATGTAATAATAGGCGCTTTGTCTCAGGCGGCTCATCACCATCAGACGAGTGAGTTACTCGCGCTCCCGCGTGGGCAACGAGGTCTTTCAGTGTTTGGAGAAGGGTTACATGTTTGCACATACCTCAAATCTTCTCAGTGGCTCGAACAACAGCGCAATAATGTACTCCACCACTTTCGCTTTTCTGTCATGTTACATTGATCCGGAGTTCGTGACAACACTTGGCTCAAGTCAAATACTTCAAACATGCACCATAAGGTGGCCACAGTAATGATATCACCGTCGTCCTGGCGAATACTCACTTCATGCGAAAGCCTTGACGGCTTGAACGGGGTCCCGAGAACGGGGTCCCGAGCCTTCTTGGCCCTTCTTGATCAGCGACTCTTTGACCAATTCTTCTTGCTCGAACCCGAGATCATCTGCGATCCGGTTCCTTGGCTTTTTCAGAGCCCAGACCAGTATCGTCAAGCTAAGAACAAGATTCACTCATCTCGTGTTTCATGCAAAAGCTGGAAACCGACGGATTCCCAGTGACTTCTAGAGACCAAGATTCGGCAATTACTTGCCGCCAGGAACACATGGAAGTCACCCGTCTAGTTCCTCGAATGGTCCACTAACCCAGATTGAGCATTGTCGAGTGACAGAAAGCTCAACACCAAGCTACTACTTATTATTAGCTATACCGCGGAATCGGCCTCATTCACGCAATTCACCAGAACCGGTTCAACATGTCGCAGATCAACGGCGTCATAAACGGTCGGCTCAACGGCAACGGACCAAATCATACCAACCTTGCCGCTGATATCGTCGTGGACTGCCTGATAGTCGGAACTGGCCCAGCAGGCAGCTCCCTGGCATGTTTTCTGGCGCAACATGGTCAGACTTCACAACCCCTAAATGTATTGTGGAGAACACGCAGCTAATCCAGGAATCAGGTTTGACGGGTTTGCTTGTGAGCCAGGATTCTACTAATGCAGATACACCCAGGGCGCACATTACCAACATGGCAGCGCTTGGTGAGATCAGGCGAGCAGGCATTGGGGATTTTAACTAACACCAGGGCAGACTGTCTGCGAGACATCGGCATAGATAAAGAGTGCTACAAAGTTGGCACACAGGGAGATTGCATGGTTCATACACGCTGGTGCAATAGCATGGCAGGAGAAGAGTATGCTCGCATTTATTCTTGGGGCAATGATCCGAGACGAAAGGTAAAGTTTCTTCATATCAACATCTCTAAGTTGCTGTGAACCTACGTTTCTAAGCGCGGTGTCCAGGGTGATTACACGCTGGCGAGTCCATCTGAGCCTTTGGATCTTCCTCAAACATTAATGGAACCCTTGCTGGTGAGGTATTCGACACTCAACGGCTTCAAGGTTAAGTGGGATACACGACTTGTTCGATTTATACAAGAACCACAAGGAGGCGTCAAAGCCACACTGAATGACAAAACTACCGGCCAAGACTACCACGTTCGGGCTAAGTATCTATTTGGTGCAGATGGTGCACGAAGTCCTATTGTTGAGCAATTAGGACTTCCCCTGATTAAGCGACCCGCTCAAGGATTCGCAGTCAATATTCTAATGGAAGCCGACTTGTCACATCTAATGGAAAACCGAATGGGTAATCTTCACTGGATCCTTACTCCTGATAAAGAGCATACTGACTATGCCTGGATCGCTTGTATGCGTATGGTAAAACCCTGGCACGAATGGTTGTGCATCATTATACCCGCACCAACGGCAGAGAGGAAGGTACGATCGAACGACGAGTATATAAGCCGCATTCGAGAATTTATAGGAGACGACTCTGTTGAAATTGAAATTAAAGGTGTCTCGACTTGGGTAATCAATGAGACTGTGGCAGAAGTGTATTCTAAAGGAGATGTTTACTGCCTCGGTGACGCTGTGCACCGTCATCCTCCGAACCACGGTTTGGGTTCGAATACCTGTATTCAAGACGCTCATAACTTGGCATGGAAAATTGCCTATACTGAGAAAGGTAAGCTATAGAGGGTTGACTAATCCTAGGGCGAATAGCTGCTAATATATCCTTTAGGTATCGCCGGAAAGGACCTACTGAATAGCTATAGTATCGAACGGCAACCCGTGGGTCTAGATGTGGTTACACAGTAAGTCATGGAAACCCAATAACGAAACCCTCGACTGGGTATCTCGTGTTAACACTATTTAGAGCAAATGCATCTCTTCGTAATCACGGCAAGATATGGGGCATTCTCGGGAATCTAGAGCCAACTGTCGCTGCACGAACGGAAGCCTTTAACGTTTTGAAGGAGGATTCTGACAGAGGAAGGGAACGCCGACAGGCGCTACAGGACGCCTTACAACTTCTCGACAGAGAAGAGCATGGACTCGGCATTGAAATGAACCAACGGTACGACTCGACTGCTGTGTACAAGTCGGACCAAAAAGAAAATCCTCCTTCATTTATAACCGATCCATTAGAGCATTACCACCCCACAACGTACCCTGGTGCAAGACTACCGCATGTCTGGTTGAGTCGCACCGTCCCATCCAAGCCAATCTCGACGATTGATCTCGCTGGAAAAGGACGATTTGCTCTATTCACAGGTATCGGGGGTTCTGCTTGGAGAAGTGCAACAGAAAAGCTATCTTCGGATCTGGGTATACCGATCACCACCTACAGTATTGGATTCAGACAAGAATATGAAGATCGATATATGGACTGGGCCAAGATCAGAGGGGTTGGTGAATCTGGCTGTGTCCTCGTAAGGCCCGATTTCTTTGTGGCATGGAGGAGCCAGCAGTGGGAGCAAGACAGTGCGGAAAAGTTGAATTCTGTCATACGGTCGATCTTGTCCCGCTGCTAATCTTGAAGATGTAACTCAAAATGTTAGTGGATTACACGTAAGGCTCCGAAAATTCCCAGCGTCAACACTACCACGATCGAGTTCACAGACAATCCACTATGCCAGATATATGTAATACTGCTTTCCCTCCGTCCAGCATCCGCGGTTATCTGAGTATGTATTTTTCTCGAGTTGAACGTTATATAAATAGTTCCCTAAACAGGCATTGGAAGATTACCTATACATAGGGTGAAATATCTATCCTTGGACTTGATAAATATCCGGTTAAGCGTCTATTAGGCCGTTGTTCACGTGTCAGTGATTGCTTCAACATTTGCGGCAATCGAGGCCGCCAAAGACGTCCATCCGGGACGTCCTAAGTCCCTTAATAACTTCTCAGCCTTTGGACGAGGTTCGATCTCGTTGGGGTCTGATCCACCAGAGAAATTTTCGGGGAGAGGATTCTTCAAGTTACGATCCAATTTTCGCATTATCTCCAGCACTGAGTCCCAGCTGAAGCGACCTCCGTAGGCGAAGATGCGCTGGCTCTGGATGTGTCGCAGCAAGCCCGCGGCTACGTGCAGAGCAGCAGCGTCTTCGACATCGACAAAGTATTCTATCTCTATATTTAGCGATCTCTACATAGGGTTAGGTCTAGATGACTTACGTCTTGTGATCGCGTAATGGGATGGTGTTAATTCTCCTTTCCATAAATCAGCTATCATTCCACTGCTTGTACGATAGCCCTGATTCCTAGGGCTCACTGGTCGTCCAAAGATGAGGTTGGGCAAAACTGAAGGTAATTAGTACTTGCAAGAAGATTGACCTACGTAGTAACATGACTCACCTGTGTTCACAACTAAGTCGGGTCGGTTGCGGTGATTCTCCTTATGGAATTCCCATACCGCTTGCTCAGCCTGTGTTTTACTGGCTTCGTATACTAGTAAAGGTCGAGCTTCTTCATAGGGTGGATCGGCCCATGCCCGCTGAACAGCCCGCTCATTCCAAGAATCTTCGACCACTGTGATATCGTTGTACAGTATGCCGACGGCAGCAGCGGAAGAAGACGTGAGGACAAATCTATTGACGCTAGGCTCTTTATACGCCGCCTTTATGGCGTTGAGTGCTCCAGCAATTGTGACAGGAATGATCAGGCTTGCTTCGTTGTCAAACAACATCGTGGCAGCAGAGTGCATGAACACGTCGACCCCTATAATGGCGAAATAGTCACCATTAGCCTCTGGTCGTACTAGAAATGGCCCTTGGCCTCTGCTCGTGGGACTTTACCTTTAATGGCTTCGTCGAATGCTCCATCTACCTCCATTTGAGGTACCGCAACGAGCTTGAATTTTCCCTTTCCATACAAGTTGTCGAAATGATCGGACATCCAGGAGTCTTTGTTGGCATCCCGCACTGTAGCTCGGACCTTGTATCCTATTTTCAAGAATTGGTCCACGATATGAGCCCCCAGAAAGCCATTGGATCCAGTAACCAGAACAGTCGAACCTTGGGGCAATGCGAAGTCTTTGTTTGCAGCCATGATGTGGTAGAGCTGACTCCCAGGTTTTTCTTGGTTAGAATCAGCAACTATTGGGAAAGAGATGGCAATAATATAGTTGTTCAGCTAAGTAATAGTCTGCATGGTCCGTGGTGGTAAGTAACTGCCGCCTCGGTCCGATTAGTTGATATCCTGTACCGGATGAAATTATAAATTGATCAACTACCTGATTGCTAAGCTACTCTGTTGAGCTGTTTACTCGGACACGGGTCCATGTCGCGGCGTTCGTCTATCTTAAGACTATGGCAGATGAATTACTGAAGCTGTCCTACCCACATGCCCACCACCATAGCCTCCCAACGCACGAGGTTTTCCGGCTTTTAAGTTCAAATCTCACGTAGGGGGCTGAAAGATGGGTCTAAAGCGACAAACCAGATAGTGAATTTGTAGACCCGACTGGGAGCCGAAAGAAACAGGGTGGCACTCGTCACGGTGACTGTCGGCTCTCGAAGCCTTGCTACTTCACAAATTGACCGGCTTTGTAATTATCCTGCATATCACCTGCGCCATGGGCATCATTATCATTCAAGCATGATTTCCTATGAAACATTGTTCTTCAGTAAGGAGTGGGCAGAATAATAGGCTATGGCTGGTACCCAATAGCCTCGTTGAAAGTCTTAACATCCCAATAAAAAGGGCGGATCTCCATGATCAGTCCCTTCTCAAGGTCCACTGTGATGGCTTGTGTGGTTGGGAAGTCTAATTCCTCACCAGTCTTTCGGATTTTTAGATGTACCATCGAAAGAGACATGATTCGGTTCGAACCCTTGTATTCACTCTCGAAGATCTCAGCGTTGCGCACGTCTACCTCGTTGAGATAATCTGCCATCTGGCGTGCGACGTCCTGAAACCCTTCGATGCCTACATACGTCCCTGCATAAGGGAGTGCAGCGGTCTGATGAAGTCGTACATCTGGTGCTAAAAGTGCGGCCATGGCTGAAAAGTCGCGATCCTCCGGATTTGCTGACATGTAGTCGCGTTCAGCTTGATAAAAGGCATCCAGTATTGAGCGAGGTGTATGAGCTTTGTCAGATGCCATCCTGATATACCTTTCTGCCGGATTGCTCGAAGATCTCGTAAACAGCAGACGAGCGCAGTAGACTTGGATTCAAATTCCTCTGTAGATGAGCGACACAATGCAAACCCGGTCGATGCCAAAGAGCGACCTAGCAACCTTAGCGATGATAGAACAGGGGGACCTTGGTGCCTTAAAACCTTTCTGCTTTCGAGCTCATCAAAGCCCTGCAGCTGATTTCGATCGAGAGTCAAGGATTCAACACGGCATGATTGGAGCTGCATACTCGCCCATCAAAAGAAGATTTCGCTCTTAGCGAAGTCAACCGAAGCGACAGAAAAGGTAAAACTGGGGTCCCGAGCACCTGGGGTAGGCCGCGCCCGGGCCTCAAGCACCTAGGTGGCGATGATTCGGATGCTGACTTAGGTATTCAAGCCGGTCATAATTACTTGATTAGACAATGTCGGTAAATGTAATTAATCGACTTGACCTTACTCGTAGAAGAGGGTTGTAAACCTGGTCTAGCTTGGACAACTACTTCCGTGTGCTTGGAGCATGTCAAACATAACTTGTGTCATTGAAACACGTGACGGACCGTGAGAAGGCCACACCACCTAGATAAACTACCATCTGGTTTGTTTGTACGACATAGACCTTTCCAGTGCCTACATTCGTGATGGAGCACGAGTCTTACTGCCGCAACACTCCGAAAGTTGTGTGTTCAGGGCACGGGCTAGAAAGTGAGCGCCAAGGGCTGCAACAGTGGCTAATCACTTGAAGCTCATTGCAGGTCTTAATTTTCTAAGAGCCCGCTGCAACAACGCAGCAATGCGGACCCTCATACTAGCGAGCAGCAATATTGAAGTGTCAATGTATGCTGTACTGACACCATTCGTAGATTCTGTGCACATTTGATCACCGCACCAAAGCACAATGGTCGCAATATAGACTGCATATGGCAGGTGGGGTGATTCTGGTGGTACAGCTTGCTGAAAGGTATTGGGAATTCCGTCCTGTAGACCGTCGTCCTCGCTGGAGTGGTGAATGGCGGCGCTGGGCGCCAGTACCTCGTTCAGTCGTGACAAAATTGTCTGAGCGTGCCATTTAGCAGCCGGATAGTGTCTGCTGGTTCGCCAGGCATCTAGACTAGACCACAGCTGATTCGTACGACCATCACCACGTAATCCGTCTGAAGCGTGGACGAGACGCTGAATCAAACCGACATTTGCGTGTAGATTGATACAAATCAAATGATATAGAGCCAGCAGTGACCAGTCCGTAGAATGCTGGAGCTGAGCATTGTGCCATCTGCTCAAGGCAAGCTCAAAATACTCAATTCTCCACAGACTTCTGACGATCGGCGATGAATCGCTACTAGTTAATCTGAGTGATGCTGAGATTGCAATTATAAGAAGTGTTGTAGCCTTGTCGTGGTAAGTATGTGCCGTACTGATTGGTGTGTCTGGTGTGAAAAGGCTATGCACAAGTCGGTCTGCGGTGTCGTTCTGAAGGACTGCGTCTCCTCCACTGAAGCAAAAAAGCGATCTGAAGAACGTATCTGGAGGTCGTAAAAGTAGGATAACACGGTAGCATTCAATCATATGAAGACTGAGACTGAGGGCCCTGCACGTTTCCACCAAAGAGGACGGCAGGGAAGCGAATTTCTCCGCAAGGTTGATTTTGAAGTCTTTCAATAAAAAGAGCATTCGTGAATGAAAAACTTCCACAAACTCGAAGCTTCGTTTATCCCCTGAGCAAAGGCCGTATATCTCGAGAATTATAAAAACCCTGATTGCATTTAGCTTATCTCCCAATGGAAGAAACCCTCCCCTTTGTGCTTTGTGGAGAAGAATACGGCGCGAATCGTTATACATAGCATTCACAACTCGAAACCGACCGGGAAGGTCGCAGAACAAGCCTCCTACAGCAGCCATGGATAGGTCGTTGAGATTGTAGAACTTTGTGGTTCGGACGGTTCCCAGTTGGACTGAGAGAATTGGGAATGCTTGAGCCAAGTGATGTATTGCCAAGGTGGCAAGAAGGTCGACAAGCTCAGCATCGTAGATCTGCATTCGTGGTGTCGAGATTGCGAGCTGTTCTCTGACTGGTCTCGTCCCAGCTCCATTCCGCTCGAAATAGCCTCTGATGGAGTTGAGAGCATCTCTAGTGGCTGTCCCTGAGCTGCACTGAGGTGTAGTCACGGAGTGGGATAGATCCTCCAGACCCAGCATGACTGAATCGCCATGAAAGGGATTCAGGAAGGATTCAAAATTAAATCCATAAGACCAAGGGAAGGAGTTCTACAGACCGCACGGTTAGTCCACGACAGAATTTCGTTTTGTGAACGTCAGACACCTACTGTGTCATTCACCATCCAGAGGTCTGCAAGTTCCACCGCACCAGTCAGGGTCGAGGCATTGTCAAACAGAGGAATCTCATCACCGACTACGTTAGGGTTATCAAACCCCACCAAGAAGCGATCATCTGTTTGCAGGTTGGTTGCTCCAGTATCGTAGACCAATGTGTCGAGTGGTGCTGAGTTTTCGGCAAGGTTAAGTGGTCTGGTCACATCGACCGGGGTTGAGAAGGTTTGCGGCCTTTCGAGAGCTGTGTCCGCTGTCGTGGTTGGGTGTGCTCTGAATGACTGCGTGGGCGTGACGTTGATATCGTGGCTGACAAGCAAAGTACGCCCGCCATCTGATGGGGCGGTATCGTGTTCCCTGCCGGAGCTGTACACAGATTCGGCGTCTACTGCCTCTACTGCTGCACCAGGCTGATCGCAATGTGAAGTGCTTGGTGATTCCTCGCCCGAAAATGCACATGTTCGATCAGAGCCAACACATGAGGTGCAAGGAGCGACGCCGGAGCAACGTAACTTGCGTTGTCTACAGGCTTGACATGCCTTACGCACCCGTCTCCGCTGCCCACTCTGTGGGACGTCCTTGTCGACTTGTTTGCCATTGACAAGTTCCTGCTGATGCAAACGCCGTAGATGATTCTGGAAGACATCCGCTCGAGCGAAGCTAGCACTGCATACCAAACATCGATATGGTCTTTCCTTGTTGTCTGCTAATTATTAGTCCGCCAATGCTAATTATGGCTACGTATCAGTTGGACCTACGGGTGCGCTCGTGCCTAACCAAGTGCTCGGTGCGGACAAAAGTTCGATCACAGACTCGACACTGAGCTGCATTAGCATTATGAAAAACTCAGCTTGGTAGGTGACGCACATGCCTTGTGTAACGGTCTTGATTTATTGGAATCCATGGCAAGTCGGCTGTATCAATCGCGAAATCAGATTGGAAACACAGATCGGCTAGCTTCGAGTAAGGTCAGCATTGGTTGGAAACGTCAAGGACTTGTCCGAGGTAATCCGCTCCAGAGACAAAATCTGGGGTACCGACAATTTATTGCCGTATCTTGGTTCTGAGAGGTACCAAGCACGTACCAAGTGCCTACTGGAGGAGAATATTCGTGGGGGGTTACGGTATGTGGACTCGGGCTATAAATATCGGAGTGTGTCATTTGAAAGTGGTGCTTCTGTGCCAATGTGTTCATCATGTTTCTGGGGAAGGTGCTGTGCGGGGTAGTTGAAAAAAGAAAGGCACAACGATCCTCGGTAGGAAAGTGTCGGGCCTTGGCGCCAAGGGTGCTAGTTAGCGACAGGCGAGCTGAGTCTTGCACTCTTTGTCTCCTACACAAGACCATCCCACTACGCGACACCAATCTCTTTACATACGCAAGCTCTCTAATACTCTCGTACGGATTTTACAACGGGGAAAGACCCCAGTACTCAATGAATCCACCGTATCTAAGTTAGGCCCCAAGCTGGTGTCTGACCACTAGCCAAGCGCTTAAAGAAGGTGTTAATGGATCGCGTCCATCGATGACCTTGCTCGACCTGAAAAATGGCAGAAGATACTGTTGACTGGCCTGGCGAAAGGCAACCTACTCAGCTGGAGATTGAAAGAGCGCATGAAATCGCTGAGCCAACCGTCCAACAGGAGTTCAAGCGTGCCTTGCTGGCCTTCAGAATAGCACAAGCCAAACCATCCAGTCCTTCGATCGTGCTCGACGAAACTTTGTTGCCACTTAAAGAATTTGCGCATGATGTCGACGCCGACTTGGTAATGCCGACCATGAACGAATCTCTGACAAGACTCGATCTGACGTCCACTACAGCTTTCTCAATCCGACTACCCTTACCCCCTGACATTTTTGCTGGACCTGCCGCAATCACCGTCACCGGAAGTGATAGATCGCTTCAGAGAGGTCTTCCTTTCGCAATGCTACCAACAAATTTACATCCGAGATATAATAGATCCTGCCGAATTTCGGGTCGCGACAAACCCCTACCTAGGTCCAGCCTTGGCGTGCTTAGGTTTGTGTATGACCGAAGGATCACCACACAGCGAAGGATCTGCCAGCGGTATGAACACTACCGCCGACGATTTGTTTCACACTGCAAGAATCATCTTGAGCGTGATCATAGAATCGGATAACCGAGAAACCCGAAAAAGTGATTGTATTCTCGCTGTAAGGCTCCTGTTTCCTTCCATGTCACAATCATTACTATGAGAGGCTTCCTGCCACCTTGCTAACAACTGTGTAAAGAGCCTCCTGATGATGACATATGGATTCATGAGCACGGACGAATTAGCCTGCATACAGTCAGCTGCTTTCATCGGCTATACTGGAGTCGTAAGTCTGGAGTTACACACTGAATGCAGTATCTACGATTGGTTCGCCTACTAAACCCTGATGTCACCAGATTGTCCGAAGAATGCACATTACAGACCACGGTGCACATCTTCATCATCATAGGAAATGGGCAATCGATTCAAGTTTCCAGAATCTCAATCTGAGGTAAGTTTTGTCTCTTGCAACGAGCTTGGTGGGAACTTACCGACTATATTCAGCGCATTGATGAGTTGGATGCTCCTTCTAGATGTAGTGGGGTCTCTCCACTTGAGCACGAGTACTGAATTTTCAACGAATGAACTCTTCTTCAAGATGCCCGATGCTCAGCAAAACATTGGCGAAATCTACATTCAACTTGTCATTGAGGAGAAACCGCTTCCACTGGATGTAGTTGCGGATGAAGATGCCCTCTTGATCCTTCTGGCTCTATGTTCTGATGCAATGGCAACACAACGGGCATATCAAGAAAGCAACAATCTAAGCTTCGATCTTAAAGATGGTGAAGCTGCAAGAAATTCAAAATGGTCCATTCAGCGTATGCCCAGCCACCTGCTTCCGCTCTCTCCTCTGGGCGAGTACGAGAGAGTCATCTCGAAATTACGGCGGGCCTTGCACCGATGGAGTGAAAGATTTCACGACTCCGTGTCTCGAAGCATCCGAGCATTGTTCCACTTTGTAAGTGCATGCTCTCTTTGGTCACCAACGCTTTCGCTTCCGCATATCTCTGGGTATCCACCCACCACTATTGGGTTTTCACCCATACACAACGCAAAACTGTCAAAAATCGGTGTCCCTCCAGACGAAGCAACCCGACATGCATGGCTGGTTCTGGACAACATCGACACCCGGGACTTAGACAGCAGATATTCATGTCCAATCTGGCTTCCGATAGTCACTCACATGGCCTCACTTGTAGTTTGGAAAAGTCTACAATCCACACTACCACGTGAAGGAAAGATAGTCTCCTTAAGGGTACTGACTATGTTCAAAGTTGAATTGGAGCAGATGTTTTGGCCATGTGCAGGTAAGATGGCTGAACACTTGGACAGCCTAATGCAGCGTCGAGATACGTATTCAAGGCCTGCTGTCTAGCATGGTTTTAGCATTTGACGATGCGATGAAGACCGCCATGTCTTAGATGACACTCGGTTTTGGGCCTAGTCTACCACTCGAAGTATACCATTCAAACCTGAGGTATATTCCCAGGGTCCTCCACAGATGCGCCATCGTCTGTCTTCTCGGTCTTTGCTGAGATGGGCACACAAGAGCATTCGGGCCCATTTGTCGTCTGGTGTAACATTCCTCCAGGCATGCACGGTGGTTCGTTGCGCTGCCAAATTTTCAACTTTCAGCAAGCAGCTTCCACCCTGAGTCAAGGATGAGTTCGATCTCGCTCTCGACCACGATTCCCAGATTAATGGACAGTGTGCGATGCGTCGGCGATTCAAATCCAGGAGGGCAGTCACAACATGACCCACGACTCCCACAGGGATGGTCAGACGGCGGCCATTCGTGATATAATTGATATATTCACTGATGTCCCTTGCTCCAGAGACCGCAGGTGGTAGATTCGAAAGTGTGTGCATCAGTGAAAAATGTAGCGGGATCCCGCACGATTGACTACCGGGGCAACGGAATCAATGGCATCCGAAAAACTAGCTGTGCCATTTGGTTCAGTAGTTGTGATGAATCGGGTAGGTGGTCGTAAGTCTTTTGGGACATCTGTACGTTAATTTGTTCTCGTCATGTCATTTACAGCTCCTCAATGGGTAATCGTCGAGGGCTAGGGGACGTCTGATCCTATCCTAGCACTGCAAAACAGAAAGTTACCCGTCATATATAAGTATATTCGATCTTTACCGTCGTGGCTTCGCCAACTTGGTAGCTCAAATGTTTTGTGCATCTTATGATCGAAGATGCCCCGTGGGTCGCGGTTCTGAAAGCATCACACAGATTTCAACCCCCACTAAAATGGCCTGGGGTACCGGCTCGTGCAATCCTCCATACTCTGGCACAGTGCGGCTTATGCTGTCTGCCTTTGCGCAGTCCGGCCTGCGCACTCTACTATTCTCCATGCGGGGCCGTCGCTTAGTGCAAGACAGTAAAATCAGGCTGCCTAGATGAAAGACTGATTTTGAAGACTTAGCCTTATTTCTGTTCGTGAAGGGAAGTCAACACATTGGTGAGACTAGAATAACAAATTATGGCAAGCTCGGACAACAAAGTCGCCATTGTCACAGGCGGAGTGGTAAGATCTAATCCACCACTTCCCTAACGTGGCCATTTTAGGCTTTTCAACTGATCGCATGTGAATCCAGTCTGGCATTGGGGCACAATTGACACGAACTCTGATAGAGAGTGGCTGGGTTGTGGTAGGCCTGGATATTCCCGCCCAGGAGCCACTTGCCCAGAAGCTCAGTGATGAATTTGAAGACTCTTTTGAGTTCATGTCTTGCGATGTGACAAGTTACGCGGATCTCTCACTATGCTTCTCGAAGACTTTCGCGTCCAGGGGACGGATTGACGCCTTTTGTTCAAATGCTGGACTTGTGGACAAGAGTTCACTTTATGTCTTTGAAAGTCGTGGAAAAACGGAGTAAGCTCAGGCGAGTGTGTTATCAGTTTTAACATATCTAACTTCAAGATGAAGAATCCCTCCTGAGCCAGACACGTCATGCACCGATGTATGCTTCAAGGCACTTCTCTATGGAACGCAACTCTCCATACACTTCATGCGGCAAAATGCCAGACCAGGAGGCTTTATCGTTGGGACTTCTAGTAACTGCGGCCTCTATACGCTTCCTTCATTCCCAGAATACTCTGGTGCAAAAGCAGCGGTAGGTTCGCCGAACACAATGTGCTTCAAAGGCAGTGACTAAGATTCCAGATGATTGCCTTTGCCCGAGCATCTGCGCCTATCCTGAAACTGGTATACCCTCCTTGTCCCCTATCATATCATCAGCTGCATGATTTGACATTGGTTATAGCACGAGAACATAACCATCAACATCGTCTGTCCTGGGACAGTTCCAACACGTCACATATCCCAGGAAATGCGAGGATTTATTGGAGAGAATTAGTAAGTAATCAATGAACGTCTTCCTACTATTATTGATGCATCTTCAGCCTTACCCCTGCAGCAACCATTGTTTCTGCGTATACGAGATATTTAAATGACCCTGCAATAACGGGAGAAGTGGTCGAGGGATCGAGGGATAAGCTACTGTTGGTGGAACCGCTTTCTTGGATCGATGGCGATGCCTCAAAGAGGGTGGCAACAGTCTATGATCCTTCTTTCAAAGCTATCCACGGTCGAAACTCTGGACTTAAAGATATACTCGGACCTCCTTCCTAAAAGCAGTTTGATAACAGCTTCTCGAAGTAGTCAGCAAGCGTTCAATGGCTTGCCCAGTATAATATCCATAGCGAGGTAGACGGCAGGTCGTGCTGTGCAAAAGCTCTTGCACAAGAAAAGGGTAACTGAGTTCAGCCTTAAACATAATGCTATCCGCTCGTTCGATATCGATGCTCGACGCACCCTTCTCAACGATCAAAGTAGACACGAGCTGAGCATTTCCCGGTCAGGGCTTGAGTGGTACGTATTCTTGAGTTTGTCACATATTACGCTAAACAGCTGGTCGAGACTCGGATCGAGTGAAACTGTATTCGCTTTCAGTGTTACGTGAATCATCCAGGCGATGATGTCTCTCCGTGCCCAATGTACTTACTTGGATGTGAAGAATTTAATCCCCACATTTGACTTATGGCCTCGTCTTCGATTTGTCTTAAGTGGTTAGACGGGCAAGCAACGAAGGGTTCTAGGGTAGATTTTAGTCTAGCCCTGTGGACAGACTCGAGTTGCATAGACCAAGCGATGCCACGTTCTTGCCTCGGCCAATGATTCGGTATGGATACTAATTCTCGATTTTATCTGCGAGGGCGATAGATCCAGATGAACTCCAAAGAACCCCAACAGCATCCGAACAAATTGTGCATCAACCAGGTCAATCGCAGTTGGAAAGATTTTCTAACTATCAGCGGCTTGTTCTCTTCAAGACGGTACCAAAGTATAATATGGATGAAAAACAATGCCACAAAATTACCGGTACTGTAACACTCATTACGTTCCGTCCCTACTTTTCTCCATCTCTATGGCATTCCGAATTGGCAGGCAGGGTTAACCATGAGAACGTACTTGGTTTTCTTTCGGCTGCTAGGTTCCTGCATACCTCGTGAGGTTTTTCCAAGGCATGAGTGGAACTGTCGATAACTGTCAGCGAAGCATTGTAAGTGGAAATTTAGACCATCGGTAACCCATTCCCTGTTTTGCAAGCTAAAAATCCGGTACCAAAACTGGGGTTAGCCGTTTGAACTTTGGGGAGCAGTGATTCTATCGCAATTTACAGGGCGAAGATCCAGCGATATATGAACGAATACATTTACAAAGTGCTCCCCTTCAGCTAGACAATCTGTATCCGTTGTGAGATCGAAGGAGATGACCACTTCCAAGATGTCGACGACTCAGGTCGACTCAAGCTCGATGGCTCCTTCTCAACCTTCCGTTGATGTAACCGATACCATCAGGATTCTGGAGGAGCCTGTCCATGAAGAACAGAAACATACCAACACGGCGGACGAAAATCTCGTCTACGATGATGACGAACACGAACCGGACCTTCATGCACGAACTTGGATCGCGTTGGCTGGCTTTTGCCTCTACAGCTTCACTCAACTCTTTGCCCTTTTGGGGCCTCCTACTGTTGTACGTCACCCAGTTGGAGTCCTGCATGAGGACCACAAATTAACATTGTTTCGTAGCTTGGTCTGATCGCTGTTGACCTAGACGGTTTTAATGAAATAGCATGGGTGCCGAATGCCATGGTGCTTGTCCAAGCAGCGCTGGTCAATCTCCTTGCCACTGCCTCCGATTTGTTTCAGGCTCGCAAACGGCTCCTTATCTTCTGCCTGACGCTGGCATTCATCGGCGCGGCTATAGCACCAGGCTCCAAATCAGTTGGAAGACTCATCGCAGCACAAACTCTGATAGGATTTGGAAATGCTATCCAGGTATTGGCCTTTACTGTCCCTAGCGAGATTCTCCCTAAAAGGTGGAGGCCTAGTGAGTATTACAGATGAACCAGTTGAGGTTAAATTCTGACTGTCACGCTCCAGTGGCACAAGCACTCATCCTGTGTGCGGGAGCCTTCGCAATGGTTGCATCACCGGTGATTATAAGCGCATTTGTCAAGAGAAATGTACCGGACTGGCGGAACTTCTATGTCAGACTTGAAAAGTCCCTATTTTGTTGAAATCACATCGCTAACAAAGCACAGTGGATTGAAACGGGCCTCTGGGGATCAACTGTTCTTTTCATTTTGATCGGCTATCGACCACCGAAGAGACACACTCGCCTAGATCATTTATCATTCTGGCAAAAGCTCTTCAAGCTCGACCTGATAGGATCATTCATCCTCGCAGCAGGCTTGGTTCTTCTACTAACAGGGTTGAGCATGGGAGGACCTGCACATCCTTGGCGTTCGGCCGAGACACTATCAACTCTCCTGATCGGATCCGTGGCTCTGATTGTCTTCTTCATCTATGAATGGAAGGGCACAAAGACCGGCATCCTCCATCATGAGCTTTTCAACCACAGTAAAGCCAACGTTCGTACCTTTGTGATCTGTCTGATGTTGGTATTCGTGGAATCACCAATGTTGTATACAATGATACTAGAATATCCTCTCCTGTACTGAAATTCCTTGTCTTTGACATTTGCTGAGACTGACATGTTTCCAGAACTCAAGCCGTTTTCGAGCCAGACCTAGTTCTTGCATCCGCCCGCGTTGTGATCTACTACGCTTTCATCGGTGTTGGCAATGTATTCTGGGGGGCGCTTGTGGTCAAATTAAAGTCAATCCGTGAAGCTCTAATGTCTGGCTTCGTAATCCATCTCATCGGCACCATTGGCTTTTGCTTCATTCAACCAAACCAAAATGCCAATGCGATCGCATTCTCTGCCGTCATGGGTTTTGGTATGGGCGCGATTCTAGGACAAGTTACAGCTGGTGTGCAGCTAGTTTCACCCCATGCGCATTTGGCAAAGGCAACGGCACTAGCACTATCGGTGAGGGCTGCAATGACAACTGCCTGCGTTCCAATCTACACCTCCGTCGTTAATTCGGGACTCTCATCCAGACTTCCTGAATATGTCGCAAGGGCAGCCACATCTGCAGGCCTACCAGAAGGGTCACTCTCGGAATTTGTAGATGCTATTTCGACGGGCCAAGTCGCCTTGCTACCAGACATCCCGGGAGTGACCGAAAATATCATCAGTGCAGGAACGCACGCTGTCAAACAGGCCAACGTTGACAGCATTAGATATACGTACATCATCTCGGTGCCATTTTGCGTTATTGGGGGGGTACTGGCCTGGTGGATAGGTGATCTCAAGAAGGTTATGACTTGGCACGTCGATGCTCCTGTTGAGAAGCTCGCGGCGAAGGTCCATTGCGAGAAGCAGGAGAGTTATTCTGTTTAAGACTGGGGATGGGAGTTTGTGGTTACTGAGCTCAGGAAGTGTATAAGATGGCGGCCCTGGCCAAAATTGTCTTTCAGCACCAGGGGAAGGACGCTATAAGGTTATATAGTTGACGACAGCAAAAAGGAGGTATTGAGGGATGATACCTGATCTTGTCGTAGACAGCTTCCAGTATGGCTCTTTGAGCATGTAACGTGTTTGATGGATTCTACACTCTCGAGTACTGAAGATCAGTTAGGACAAACTAAATGATGGCACACGCCTTTATCCACAAGTCTGAGGCTTGCTGGAACATGCAAGCGGCCTGCTCATCAATATGGATTCTAATACAAGCGATGTCAGAGACACTATTTGCATACTATCTTGTGTCTGTGTGCCAAATGTCTAGAGTCGGGACTGATTGCGGATAGGTTTGCCACAGCTAATCTTCGCAGGTTGTCGTTGCTCATTCTACACTGATATCATTGGATAAGTCTAAATAATGTCTAGAATTACCGGATCAAGCGAAGTGGCATTGCAAGGATTCGACTGACATGGTTCGATTAGCTAGCAAGCCATTATTGAACGTCAATCACTCGTTCTGTCGCTTGCCTTGTCTTCGGAGTTGACGAGGTTGAACTACAGTCGACGGGAGGATTTTGGACAGCGTGGAGAGTGGCACTCGCTGTCATATGGACGAGCCGCAATGGCGGTAGGATGACGTTTCATGTATTTATTGTTTCATGTCTGTGAGAGAAAGAGAGAGTCGAGTGCTATGAAGCCATAGAAATAGTCGTAATAGTCGCTGTCGATGCAGAAGCCATCCACTATGTCATGTGACACTCGCCAGTGATCTTGACTGCTTAACTCATCAGATTGAGTTCTTGCAGGAAAAACCATTAACAATGATGTTGCTCTTGTTTTCCTTGGAAGCTGTATACCTCAGTGGTTTTTCTGATGTTGAATTGATATTATCAGTAGTAACCACCCAATGCTCCTCCATCAGCAGCCCAGGCCTGTCCAGTGACATAACTCGCACCAGTGCCACTGAGGAAGACGCAGAGGTCGGCGATCTCTTCGGGTTGCCCCAGACGTCGCATAGGCACCCGAGATGCCACATTCTTCTCGAACCATTCTCGCTCCTCTGAGTTCGGCATTGTCATGGGAGTATCTATCAACCCAGGCAGCACGGCGTTCACTCTGATCTTATGACTGACACAATCCATTGCATCCGCGCGAGTTACCGCCAAGACGCCTCCCTTAGAACCACTGTATGGTGCACAGAAAGCTTGTGCATAGAGCGCCAGCGTTGATGAGATGTTGACAATGCTTCCACGTTGAGCACGTGTAGCTGGGATGTTGGCTTCTGGGTAGGCTTCTGTATTCAAGGTCTGGCCTTGCATGATCTTGATCACTTCACGAGTGCAAAGCCATAGACCGCGATAGTTGACGGCGGTCTGGCGGTCGAAGATCTCTACCGAGCAGGATATGCTTTCGATGATCGGTGAGCCAATACCTGCACATTGCACACTGTAATCGATGCGGCTGAAATGCGTTCTGATGGATGAATAGGCATGAGTGACCGCCTCAGGAGATGTCACATCAACTTCAATGACAATTAGATCGGGGCTTCGCTGTGAGGATGAAATGATCTGCGAGACTAGAGCTTTGGTGTCTTCAAGGCCTGCTACATTGCAGTCTAGGAGGGCGAGTTTCGAGCAGCCTCCATTTGCAAAAGCAAGGCATGTCGCACGGCCGATTCCAGAAGCTGCGCCGGTAACAGCGGCAACACCAGGGTAACTTCGGCTCATAGTTGAAGCAGTCGATTCCAAGCTGTGAGAGAAAGGCTGCTCTCGATAGTACTCGGAGTTGCTACTACTCCCAATAGTAATACCTGGCTGCTTTATGGGAAGGTGAGTTCCTGTAAGTGGTGCGAATAGGACGGTTGGATAGGCTTCGCCATTGGACAGGGCAAGCTAGAGAGGGCCGCGTGGAGAGCCGAGAGAGCCCACAAGAAACCCCAACTTCTCGGTACTCCATGTGTCCCATCCGGGGAAACCTTGGACTGGCTGCCTTGGGCTCGCCTGGTTCCAAATGGAACTTGGCCCTTATTTGTCACCGCCTGCCCATTCCTCCCGTATCCGACATTGGGGTATTATCCCATTAAAGCTCCAGGGTAGTCATCCTGTTTCTGTGTTAGACGAACGTGAAAAGCGTAGCTCACTCAGTAACAGTCCCATAAGAAACACATACCAGAACATCGACTTGGGACATTCTCAGTCGCAACAAAAGTTCCTCCAGGCGGAACTTCAAACATTGTTAGTGAGAGCCAGACCAAAGGAAACGCCGTCAAGTTTACGCTGATCGTTTTGCTCGACACCAGATGATTGCAGATAAACTCGACGTAACCAACCACCCGCTCAACAAGGGCCAGCAACAACCTTTGATCAAAGTGGTGACCTTCCTCAAACGAAAGAAGGGCATGACTCGTGAAGAATTTCGAGATTTTTACGAGAATAACCACGCCAAACTCTTTGTAAAGTATCTCTCTAATCCCGGCATTGTACGATATGCGCGTCGCTATGTAACGGCCATCCCAGACGCAATCACAGGCGAGACTAAAGACACTGGGTTTGACTCGTTGACAGAGGTCTGGCTCAATGATCCAGATCTCTATAGGGCATGGACTTCCGGCGAGATGATGGGTGATGAGTTTCGAGAATTTGTTGCAGCAGAGGAAGAGCATCTGTTCGATCGCGATCAGATACATGTCTGCGTCGTAGAGGAGGTCGACTCAGTCTTGCCACAACATTCTTCTTCATCTTGAAATAGTTAGAGGTCATTATTATGAATAGGACTGTCTTAGGAGAACGAGATCATTCATGTGCTATATTGATGGAATATCTAGGCTAGGCTACCTTTAGTAGATCAGTTCTGAATGTCTAAGATCTCTGTGCTTTTCTACTCCAGACTCTATTCTAGTCTTTATGAATATTTAATCTCTAGGAGTTCCATCACCAATATAGTAGCGCTTTTCTAGTTCAAGATGGGGGGGTATTCTAGCCAGAGCTATAGAGTCTAGTATCTATCTTTGCTAGCGCAGTACGCATTAGTAGAGCTAGTACGCGCTAGTTGGATCTTGGCGATAATAGCTTGTCACGAGCCACGACTCACATCCAGCCATCGCTTACTGCCTTGTTCGCTTGATCAGTCCATGACCGTTGACACAGTTTCCGTCCTTGCAAGTGGAGGGAGCATGGTGCCTCAGTACGCATTAGATACTATGCAGTATGCCGATCAGCGCCAAGGGAGCGACTTATCGAATCGTTTCCAGATCGAAATTGCTTGCGTCAACTGCGCGGCCACGAAGACCAGGTGCGACCGACGGTATCCTTGCGGACGATGCCGCGTAAAGCACTTGAGCTGTATCACGCGGCAGCCGCGACGGAAGAAAATTTCCACAGCACAAATTTCCCACCCCGCTCAGTCCTCGGTCGATGATTATGCCCAACAGGCTCAAGTCGAGGGAGACTTCACAGATGACGGGTTGGTTAGGGACCAGGACTTTTGCGACTCACATCAGGATCTGAACGCCAATGAGCACGTAAACGTGATATTTACTGACCATCCTGGCCTGAGCCCCTTGGGAGGTCTCCATGGCCGCCAAAGAATATTTACCGTTGATAAGCAACCTGAGCAACCCAGCCATCATGTAACCGATTCTGCACACCGTGCGCTGCGTCAAGGCATCGAGGTTAACCCACTCCAACCTCCGGCGTCTCATTTTGAAGAATCTCACCCGAATATGTCCAATCCTAGGCAGTCATCCAGTTTGCTGGAACCCATTGCAGGAGCCGAGCCTGGCACAGAATCTAGACCTGTTCAGCAATCGCGACAGAAGTGCGATGGTCCTCCACGTACCGAAATCTCCCCCGCATATCCAGGCCGGGGTGATCTTGAGCGCATCTATGAAGAAGACAAGATTGCCTTGGTCCCGGATTGGGATCATTGGGCCATATGCCGATGTCTTCCCCCACCTACAGCAGCCCCTGAGGATAGGAAGAAGTCATCGATCATGACGCTCGAGCAGAACTTCGCACTCCCAGGGCCTTGGACCAGCCTTGCGGGTAACCGGAGAGGCGAGCAGTTTGCACCTGCTGAACGGTTTGTGAATGTAGAGTTGTCCGAAGCTACTCGAGAATGGCTCTTGATGATTGCACAAGGCTTCATGCGTGTTGCCATGGATGTCCATGGCTTGACCATCGCTCCTCCATCCCCAGCGCCGCCTGAGATGGATGAGTTCAATGCTCTTGGAGGTTTCATGCGACTACCACCGTCCGAAGCTCTTCATAGATACCTCGAGACTGTGTTGACGATTTACGAACCGTTCTATCCCCTCGTTCCAGCACGAATCCTGGAACCCAATCAATTGGCTGGGTCTCAAAATGGCCGGGGGTCCAATCTCTTACTCTTCCTTATGTTCGCCTTGGGATCGATGCTGGATCCTGCTATTAAAGCGCGACGATTTTCTACGGCTCTGACTGAAATATGCAGGCATTCAATCCACGATGTGCTCGAAAAGGATTCCGGTGCACCTGGAAGCGGTCTTCTATTCTATTGCTCATTGATTTTCATCATCAAAAGCTCTTTCAGTGGTGACAAAGCGCACATGAATATTGCTGTTGCTCATAGGCATATGTACTTGACGCTAATGAGGTCGGCCGGGCATTTCAAGAAACCTTATCGTCAATTACAGGCACTCGTTCTTGAGAACGAAGGCCTCCAAAAGTTTTGGCAGTCTTGGCTTGAGAAAGAGAGCGCTTCGAGACTTGCATATGGTTGGGTTATGCTAGAAACGGAGATTAGTCTGTTCTACGATGGTCGACCGATTTTAAATACCTCGGAACTCGAAGTCCCGCTACCATCTAGCGAGAGCTTATGGCTCGCATCGAATCCCGAGGAATGGCGTCAAAACTTGTGCAGAGAAAGCTCATTCGATGACTGGCAAGTCTGTTTGGATGCACTGCCCGATCACTCGCTCCGTAGCCTATTCCAGATTTTGATGGATAATGAGCTAGACCAGTTGGGCTTCCAGCCGACAATCTTACACATGAGGCTGTTGCTATATCCACTTCACGTTCTGGTGGCGGAACTCGGCCAGCTTTTGGACAGTGGCCTAGTGTCCATGCAGTCTCGATGGTTCTCCAGTCCCACCATGCAAAGTTCATCGGTCCTCCGCTACGATGAGATCCGCCTTCTCTTGCAAGCATGGCGTGATTTATTGGATCGATCGAGTGGACAGGGCGCTCGATATCGTGCGATGAGAAGTGCCGCATTGACACTTTTTCATCTTATAAGCCTCAACCTGTTCACCGCGTTCAGCAAATTGGAACGTGTCGCTCGGGAGGGCTATCATGTCTTCGAGTCTCAATCAAGCGCAGACTTGGCTTCGAACTGCATTCGCGCACCCGAGCACGCCATCGTGCATTGCGGTCAAATCTTTCGGTTATCCAGAGAGATGGATCAGGGAATATGCCCCATCTGGACTGCCGCAGCCATATATCGCGCTACTCTGATACTATGGTCGATAAGCATTCTCAATGCAAATTCCGCATTCGGACACAAGATGAGCGGACTCCAACCAAACCCCGGAAGAGAACTTGTGATTGATGAGGTGACCCTTCAAGACGATGAGGTTCAACGATATCTTCGACGGGGCGATGCGGCGCCCATGCTCACAACTGAAAACGGACTTCGGGTTTCGCTAGAAAATCCTGTGGAACTGTTGCATTTGGGTATCAATACAGTGACTCGACATTGCTTGGCAACATCATTCTCCGCTGGAGTTAGGTACAAGCTAGAAGAGATGGCTAAGCTCTGGGAACGGAAACACCAGTCTCTTCTCAGTCAGGGATCATCTATAGGGGCACGATTGACAACGGTTGGAGACATTCGCTAAAGGATATTATTACTAGACTTTCTTTGAGCTATCAGGTACGAATTTTCCTGTCCAGGTCCTCCTGTGCCCCGAATCTCCTTATCGTTGCGAATGCCATTGGACTGGGCGATTGAACCAATGGAAGGAACGCTGACTGCACCTGCAATCTCCTCGACCTATTCCATACCTGATTTACCTGATGTCCCCGGATTTAATCCGCAATCGATGTCCGAATTTGTGGACAGCAGCAACAGCAAGTACACTTACGCCAACCAAAGCCGCCTGGATGCCGAAGCTTTTGTCATATCCGATCGCGGTGCCCCATGGTTGTTGATAATAGCCGACGCTGAAGCCTCCAGCAACACGAATGAACGAGATCCATCCAGCAATTTCGGCGGATGCTGTGGGATAGGAGTCCACGGCGTATGCGAATGTGGTTACCGAAAGAATGACAAGGCCACATGTGTGCATCCCCCAACTCGCGATAAGTACTCCCACGTTGAGGTGGTGTTGCAATCCTTGACCGAGAAGGACCAGCCCCACGATCATAAGGGTGGCGGCAATATATGCCATCCACAAGCGGACTTCCGGCTCAAAAATACCCTTGTGACGGCGGATGTATCTTTTGGCCAAAGAATCGTTGGCGAAGTGGCCGAATAACTCCCCGATTAGAATGCCGACAACGGGTGTGAAGTACAGAAATCCGAGTTGTTTGAAATCATAGCCGTATCCTCCAAACTGGATCGGCGTGGCAAAGAGGATGGCAGTGCTCACGTTGATGCCAATTGCCCAACCAAAACAGATAAAACTTCGCCAGTCAGCAAACAATTCGTAAACTGCGATATCAAGGGTCAGGTACGTACTAATTAAAGAAGATGATCAACAAGACGGGCTTCAAGATTGTTCGTGCAAAGGTGACGATGGAATGACGCAAAGTGTAAAAGTACTGGTGGTGTCGGATCTGCCATATGCCCACAACTCGGGACAGACGATCAAAGACGCCGGCTCCACGTGGTGGCTGCAGCTCATCTGCAATTTCTCGATTATACCAACTCTCATCCAAAAACAAGACGCAGCATACGAGGAACGCAGCCTGCATGGCGAGACCAAGCCACAAAACAGGCCGCCATTCACCAAGGCCTGCAAGCATGAAGTTACCGAACAGAGGACCCAAGTATGGTGAAGCTATAAAGAGAGCTGTCCATATGCCGATCTTTCGAGCCCGCTCGTGGAAGAAGAAAATATCACGAATGAATCCGATGGCAATGCTGGGCGGTGCATTGGAGAACAGGCCCTGGACAACACGAGTGGGATAGTACTCGCTCCAACCGGGGCACAGAGCAACACCAAGGTTGAGGAAGACGGAAATGAAAGCCGTCCAAAAGATAGTTGGTGCGCGTCCCCACCAAGTTGAGAGAGGCACATAGAACAAAGCCCCGACACCCCTAAAATGCCATTAGCCGTCTGATATGCACATGTTGGGGCGGGCGTCGCTCACAAGAGCAGGATATTAAGCGTGTTTGCATGATTGACTGTGTTTGGATTCATTTGCCAATCGATGCCTTGGGCAACAATCAAGGATGTGCAGCTTCCAGACACAGCGTCGGCGACAAAGGCGCCGTAGGCGAGTGTGAAGAGGATGGCATGCTTCTTGAGAGACGACCAACGCAATGGATCTTCAGGATTTCCTGATGGCTGAGGTAGCAGCACGGTCTGAGGACCACTAGTTAGCCCAGCGTCATCAAAGACGACAACAGCATGAAGAAGAAGGAGAGGTCTCATACATGACCGTCTTTCGCCAAAATGAGCTGATGCTCATTCTTGAGCCCAGCGTCGAGTAGAATTCCGCCATCTACCTTCACACTCCGTGGCAACGCGGAGGATACATGCAAACCCTCCTCCACGTGCAGGGCTTCTAAGCCTGGTTTCGGTGCGTGTGCCATATTGGAGAGGAAGATAAGATGGAGGGGGTCCCCGGCAGTTGATCTAACGCGCCAGTATTTATCCTCAGGCAGAGCCGCAGAGGACACCGGGTCATCCACCTACCCCGTGGGTACCCCAGGCAGAGCTGAGACTTAGATAATGTCCCACCGAATTGCACCATGCATGGGAAAGCTCATGTGCACTCAGTGGAACAATAGTTCTATCTAGATCGATTCCGCTGGCAGGAGTCCGGTCGGACGAGCAGGAGTGGGGATGGGTTCGAAATCGGCCTTCGGACATGGTCTCGGACACCCCCATTCCATGCCCGGAAATTCCAGAGCTAGCTCGATGCGTCAAACCTAATACGGCCAATATCGTGTCTTCAACAGATTTAGGAAGATCGCGTTAGTAGTTCCGGTCTTGGGACCTAGATATCGTCGGGGGATGAACCGCGGTCGAAATATCGCATGACCTCCAAAGCATGCTGGGCCGCCTGGGTATCCATGGCGAGTGCGACAGAATGAACGTGGCACTGTAGCATCTTGCCACTCTTTAGCCCTTCGCAGACAGTGTCCGAATGCTCCATATTGAACTGGATGTGGGCCAAATTGTTACCACTGTTCTGAAGAGGTCCAATCTGATTTCTGCGACCTGTTGTCATCCCAAACGGCCATCCTCTAATACTACCGCCTCTCAAGCTCGCACCAAATTAGTATTCACAACCAGAACGTTGCCAGATTTCCATCAACTAGAGCTACACCTCGGTTGAAGGTGCTGTCACATAGCGAACACGATGTCTATCGACAAAGAAGACCACTCTACGCATCAGTCTCATGCCATGTGAGTGCCCTCGTCTCAGTCGTGAAATTCGATGCTGATCTGTATTCTAGCGACCAAGCCAGCCAGGGCGAGACTCGCAACGGACATACATCACCTTTGCCAGACATCGAGACAGATGTCTTCATCGTTGGGGCTGGCGTGACTGGTTTGACCCTCGCGGCGCTGCTAGCTGCCGCTGGCGTACGAGCTTACACCATTGCGAAGCACAGTGGAACGGCGCCTTCGCCACGCGCTCACGTAACCAACCAGCGAACCATGGAAGTCTTCCGTGACATGGGCATTGAAGAAGCTGTGCGTCAAGTCTCAACACCATTGCCACTTCTCGGAAATGGAGTCATCTGTACCAGTCTTACAGGGCTGGAGCTAGGCCGGTATAGTTGTTACGGTGCTGGCTCCCATCAGCTTTCCGACTTTGCACAGGCTAGCCCCTCGGAGATGGTGAACTCTCCGCAACACGTTCTTGAGCAGGTTCTCCTAGCGCACGCTCGGGAAAAAGGCGCTGTAATTCATTTCTCCCATGAACTCATTGATATTGAGCAAAGCGATTCAGGCGTGGTGGGTACGGTTCGGGAACGGCACACCAGAACTCAGTACACTGTTCGCTCAAAGTATACGGTAGGGGCCGATGGTGGGAGGTCGCTCGTTGCCGAGAAATTTGGGTTCGGTTTCGAAGGGCAGCCTGGCTTGATGAACATGCTGACATCGTGGCTCGAGGCCGATGTCACGGAATATACTGCGTACCGACCGTCGTGTATTTACATGATGGCTCAGCCAGGCAACGCATTCTGGGTTGGATCAGGAACTCTAGTCGCGGTCAAGCCATATACCGAGTGGCTTCTGAATCGGCAGTACAACTCTGAAACGGAGCCAGATACCTCAGACGATGCCGTCATTGCGTACGCGCGTAAAACCCTGGGGATTCCCAACCTGAAGGTCAAGGTCAAGGACACTAGTCGATGGCAAGTCAACAATGTGTACGCAACTGAGAATTGCCGCGGACCTATCTTTTTGGCCGGCGATGCTGCCCATCGCCATCCTCCCGCGAGTGGACTTGGAAGCAACACATGTGTCCAGGATGCATACAACTTAGCATGGAAGTTAGCCCTTGTTGTGTCAAGCAAGGCTGGAAACAGTCTGCTGGAGAGCTATAACCAAGAACGGCAACCGATCGCTAAGCAGATCGTGGGCCATGCGATCCAGACACTGTACAATTTCGCGCGAGTGCCTGAAGCCCTAGGGTTCCAGCAAGGCCAGTCGATAGAAGAAGGCTACAAGTCGCTTGACGATTTATTCTCCGATGTCCCCGGCGCGGAGCAACGACGCGTTTTATTGAGGGAGGCGATCGATTTGCAGAATCGACGATCTAATGCTTTGGGCCTACACCTAGGTCAACGATACACCGACTCCAACGCCGTGGTCGATGCCGGAACTCCGTTTCCGGCATACCGACGTGACCCCGTGCTGCATTATGAGCCCACCACACATCCTGGAGCGTATCTGCCCCATGCCTGGATCGAGGTTAAGACGTGCCGCATGTCGACGATAGACATCTTGGATCAGGGACATTTTGGCCTTATCGTTGGTATCGGTGGCGACCCGTTCATCGCCGCGGCAGAAGCTGTCAGCAAAGAGCTAAATGTCAAGCTCCCTGTATACAAGATTGGGTATCGCTGCCCTTATGACGACGTACTCGGCGAGTGGCACGCTGCTCGCGGCGAGCTAGGCGATCAAGGTGCGCTACTGGTTCGACCGGACCGTCACATTGCGTGGCGCACGGTCAATCGTCCGGACGATCCGCGTGAAGCCTTGCGTGGGGCACTTCGTTATGTTCTTGGATTGGACTCGTGATGGCAACAGCAGCGTGAGTAAGAATGCAATCGATGTCAGGTCTACGGCAAGGATGGTGGCTTTTTGGCATATAAACAGGCAATCTCTATGGAATGACAAATACATATCTGGACATCTGCCCATATGTCCTCATCAATGCCCAATAAACTGATAGGCTTCGCCATTCTACATCACGGTGGTCTCGTATTCATTTCTCTGGGTCTCTACGTGTATGGCAAACCACTCCAGCGATGGCCGAAATGCAGCCGGTCTCCACATCTCCAGCTTCTTCTCCTTCCATCACGAGCTAGTCTATCAACGAGAGGAGGAGGACTAGCTACTAGCTAGTTATCTGGCTATGACTGATTTTGCCGATATTGTGACAGTAAAGCCTTTCCGTAATCGTTCCCCTGGGGTGTGCGCACCAAGGTATGGATATGAAACGGCAGGGGTAGGGCGTTGTTCAGGAAGACGCCAGAATGGTGATCGAACTCGACCATGACCACAGGCGAGTGTATCTTGTAATAGAAGCCATCATCGCGAGTAAGAGCCCCAATCCAGCAAAAATAGGTTTCGGCCCAGTAGGCCTCAATCTCTTTCATCCTAGCTGCGTGGGCTCTATCAGGCAGGTAGTTAACGCTAAGTGAAATCAGGTGGCGAACTAGATGCTGCAGCGATACCGATAGGGCATTGACCTTAACGCCTTCGTAAGGGATGATTCGATTGTCATGAAAAGCGCCGCCCAGGTGGCGCTGGTCGGCCGGATGATAACGCCATTCCGGATATTCCGGCCCTTGGAGCTCACTGTATACTCGGACTTGATCAATCGTGACCTCATGGCTGTTCTCTTGCGCGATCGAATTGATCAGAGCAAGTGCCGTTTGTTCCTGATCGGTGAAGAGCTCGGTCCCAGCATATGGTCCGTCATCAATGACGTTAGGCTCGGCACCCATAAAGACGGGCGTCACTACCATTTGGCTCTTGAGGACGAAACAATTCATGTCGAAATGATGGCCGAAAAGCTGCCATCCCCAAGGCTCAGTCTCGGACGGCGTTCCAAAGATGGTGATGTTGTACGAACGCTCGTTGAGGACCTTTTCGCCGTTGACGACTTGGCCGAGGTAGTGGTTGACTTTCATGCAGCCGTACGCCTTTTGGTAGCCGGCTTCCGACAAGCTGGCGTGCATCAAGTTGTGTACCGCCTCGACGAATGCGTCTGACGACTCTTCTAAGCGGACGCCGTGACGCGAGATGTAGATCTCCGGATTCATCCACGCGCGCCATTCAGGAGCATCAACGTCCAGAATTTGTAGATTCCGTCGCTGCTCCGGATTCGCCACTGAGATCAGTTTCAACGCTGCCTGTACCATTTGCGTGGTAGGCGCGCCATGGTCATCGCTGGTCCTTGCCAGGTGGTGTACATTGGGCATCAAATGTCCATCGTTCGTGATCCCCTTGTATGGCTCTTGGTGTAAACGTTGCCACGTCTTTCGCCAGTTGGCCACGAATGGCTCGGCGCACCGATGTTCTGCCCATTGATACGTATCCGATTGTGCAAGCTCAAGTCTCCGTGCACAGTCCGCAGGAGGGATGAAGTCGCGCCAGTTGGTTGATTTCAGTTTGATCTTCTCCATCACTTTTCTCGCCGTGCGTCGTCAAGCTTATCCGACTGATAGAGATGCAAGATACTGGCTTCCGAGATTGAAGCGGTATGCTCCTGGCCCTGCACGTAGACTGTGTGGACTCAATTGGTCCTGCCAAGTGATCCTCCAGATTGGCTTGAGGTCAACTCAGAACTGTGGCCTTCTGGCTCACCATGGGACGCAGCGTAAGATAACTAATAAGGGGGTATGACGAGACAAATGACCATACATTCCGTTGTATGCACAGATCCAGAATAAGACACTGGGAAATAATCGGCCAGTCTCTCGTTGAGCTAGAGATTGACCCACACCGGCTGGCCTTCAGAGTGCGATAAACTGGGTAGCGTGGGGCAAGCTGAGGATGTCGTGCTTCGGAACCCGTCGCAATGCCCCATGCCTGTGAATCCGACAAGGCCGTTTCGGACTCAGTCTGGTGAAGACTGTGGAGTGTACTTGAATGAATTTGCACCCAATGCTCTGCCAGACTCCCGCACGGGCTCGGACTTACAGACGCAACTAAAAGAGCTCAAGCTAAAGTTGCCTACCAACATTAGGTGTTATCAATGTATTCTGGTTCACCGCAAAAGTATTAGTGGACCTTTCGAGGACGACGGAATTAGAAAACTGTCCGACAACTGCAGCCTAATGGGAAGATGAGGGTCATGTAGGAGGACTAGCAGCAAAAATGCATGCATTCACGGACATTCCTCACATTTCTACATCTAAAACAGTGAAGCCTCGTCTCATTCCGATTAAGGCGACCACAGCAGGCGATATCCCCGGTTAGTTTCTCAGATCATAGGCTGGTTCAATGCCTCGGCTGCCTTCCGGGCTTCGTCTTCCAGGACCTTCCACCGTTCAGGCGAGCGACATTTGAGCTCAAATGGGAACTCATGAGGCTCTGTGTTCATGCCTCGAACATCTGCACACACATGATTAGCAAGGGTCCATATCCTGGACGTAATGCTATGCTCACAGTCGTATTCCGGGGGAGTGATTTCCTTGCCTGTGGCCTTGTCTACGCTCTTGCTGATGGTACATGCCCAGCCAACTCGTGCAACAATGATATTCAGGCTCCTTTCGGCAATGTGCGCTCCTGGGCAGAGCCGACGTCCGAACCCAAATACAGAGTAGTTGTTCATGTTGGGGTACTGGGTGAGCGGCTCTCGATATGTCGGGAATTTTGGGTCGAGCCATCTGTTGGGGTTGAACTTGTACGGCTCAGGGTATAGTTCTGGATCGTGATGTATTGCCCTGCATAGGTGTCAGAATGCACGTCACAGAAGCCCACACAGAGGATTGGTTTTTACCAGAGATTTGGGTGAATCATGCTCCCTTTTGGAATAAAGCAGCCGCCGTAGACGTCGTCAGCCGTAGTTTTGTGGGGAATACCTGAGCTTGGTCAGCGGTGAACAACTTCGCCACCAATAACGATGGCACACGCCCAGGGCCATATCATATCACCTACCTCCAGCGGTGACAGGTCTCATTCTGGCCACTTCCTTGACTACAGCTCTGACGGTTGGCAGCTGCGGTAGATCATCGAAGACTGGAAGTCGGTTCGGACCAACGACTCGGTCAAGCTCCTCTTGCATGAGACCAAGCCATTCTGGGTTGCGCACCATCAGTAAGACCCAGCTCATGGCTAGAGACGCTGTGGTCGAAGCAGCCGCCGAATATAAGCCTCCAAGAACGTATGTGCCCTGAAGGTCCGAGAGGCCGAACTTCTGCTTGTTCTCCAGCCACATGCGGGTGAAGCTTGGTCCAGCCTTGCCGTTTTCAACCTCTCTCTCTACGTCCTTGACCAAGCCACTAAAAAGAGATACTTCGCGTTTCCGATGCGCCGCAGCTTCCTGTTTGAATGGAGCCAGGCACGTAGGCAGCCAGAGCAAGATTGGCAGGAGGTCAACCAGATACTGACCAGGGGCGGACACTCGTTCGACATTGAGTTGATTTTCGTACACCAATCGGACAATATCTTCTTCTCCCGTGTCGATCCTTGCGCCGTAAGTGAGACGTAGGATCAAAGCTGAAGCATACCGCTGGAAAAGAGTCCGGTATCTCTTCGGCTCTTGCACAAGGTCACGGACGAGACGTGCCGACTCATGCATCTGCAGAGGCTGGTAGGATGTAGCTGCTTTGACCTGGGTTACGTGGTGTTGAAGCTTACGAACACGACGCCACTCATCTGGAATATTTCATTGGCCAAAGGATCAAGGACGCAATGGAACGAGTCCAAGGTGGATTGGAAGACATACCGCCATAAGGCAAGAACAGGGCCTTCTTATTGTCGCTTAACAATTGTGAGCCCATAGGCAGCTGTTCGCGAGAACTATACACATCGCCCCTCTCTCGGAGAAGGTCATTGGCAATCTTTTCTGTTCCAACCACCACGTTCACCTTGCCGAAGGCTCTGTACTGGTATATGGGTCCGAATTCTCGACCCCATTCGGTGAATTTGAACCAGAAGTACCCTCTTTCGCCTTTCTTCAATTCATTGGCACTGCCGACGATCGGTCTCCCTTGATATATGTTGTCAGGGCAAAAGAGTACAATGTATTGGTAGACCACTTTTGAGGCAAACTCACCTTTAGGGCCAGGCAGCGGCTTTGCACCTCTGGGGATTGAATGAGTCGACAGCCGATAGATCTGTACTGCGATGAAGAGAAGGACGACGGCTGCAAGGGGCAAAATAGAAAACATCTTTGATCGAAGTATCAAATTGAAGTCGAGTGAAGATCAATCTAACCGTATAGGAAAGGAGTCTTGCGATGGGTAGGGCGCAGACTACCCAGTGCCTTAAATCATGGGTCGCCCTAACATGTCTGTTGTCGGCTGATGCGATCCATTGAGCCCAACACAAAAGTTGTATCGTAAGACCCCAGATTGGGAATTGCATCGGGGGGCGACTCCGGACGAAGTCCGAAAGTACCTCGGTGGTCCTACGTTATTTTACACCAGAGCCTCCAAAACTTAGTCAGAACAATGTCCGATATTCGAGTTCCGAAAAGCGGCACGACAACTCCATGAAGTTCACTAAGGCCAGGACAGGGGTGAGCTACGGATCTATGTGGTCCAAGTGACCACGGCAACGTATCAGAATGGATCCCCATGTCGTCTGATATGGCTAGGCCTGCACCGAGATGCAAGGGAGGGAGGGGCCCACAGTCCAGGCCCAAGAAAGCATAGCCAGAGCGTGAGATATTTCCTATCGATCTGCACCAAATGTAAACACTGTCTGTGCTTATCCATACGAACAACCGCCTTCCACGATGTGTGAGTGTGAGTGTGAGTGTGCGTGTGCGTGTGCGTGTGAAGTGTGATATTGAACTCGTGTCAAAATCGGTAAGATCTTTTGACATGTCTCTCAAAGCCTTCCGAGTTCTGTGTCTATGCATCTAGTCACAGGTGGCCCAAAGTATCTAGAGAGAACTACAAGCCCAAGCATATAAAAGACATAAGTGTTGGCTGATATTCACTACTCCCTCCACAATTGCACACTATCATAAACAAATAGAGCCCCTTCTCATCTGTGCCCTGTCGGATCTCGCGAGCGTGTGATGATTCTGAGCAACCTCTGTCTCCGGACGCAAAGAACCTGGTGAGGCAATCCGGCTCTTCTTGATCCCCCACAACACTGTGAACTGACACTCAGTCATATCGTTTCTCGCATCAATGTAGAAGTATAAGAGTAATAGCACCCCTCCTTAGACACCGTACCACATAGCTTCGGTGTATATAGACAGGCTCTCGGCCCAAAAGGATAGAGCCCCTCAGCCAGTTCATTCAACCTACCAACAATCAAGCCACAACGACTTGAGGAGGCTCACCCTCAACCCGAGGGCTTAATGCCGTGGCTGCGCTGGCTATTCGTGGTGGTGAGGGATTGCGCCTCGTGCAGGCGGTGGTTGCGCGGCAAGATCCCGGCGTTTTCGAATGCTCTCAGAGTTTCGATCCAGCATTCGTACGAGTCCCAGTATCCAGTATAGCCAAACTTGCGTGCCTTGGACATGGACGACAAAGTCGGCCAGGCCTTGCCGACCGACCAGTCGAAGAAGAACCAGGTTCCCCAGTCGAACGCCTCCTTATTGCCACCGTACTTGTCGCACACTCTGTTCCATATTTCCTTCTTGTCAGCGGCCCAGTCCTCCATGCGGAACGAGTGTGCCATCGTCTCCTTGTCGCCCATCTCTTCCCATTCAGTCTGGTCCGGGATCTAGATGTTTGCGGTCTCCTCAGTTTCTGCCAACATTTGCGTTTTCGGGGCTCAGGTGGTGGAAAGAAACGTACCTCCATGCCTAAGTATTTACCAATACGTCTGAACAGATATCTCCAGATGTAGGTGTCGCCATTTACAGAGTTGAAGGCCTCGTTCTTAGTGTGCTCTTGGGTGGTGGCCCATACCGACAAATCGGCGATGGCGGGCGCATAAGAGCAATCGTCCACAGCGTTGTAAAAGTACCTATTGCCGGGGAACTTGGGGGTTTGACCCATTTCTCGAGAAATGAGCAGATAAAGTGCGAGAGTGATGGCCTCGGACATGCCATTCTCTGTTTCGGGGTAGCTTAGGGTCAGCCTTCAGGATAAGAGACGCTCAGCGCAAGGGATGCGCTACATACTGCCAGGAGTGAAACCGATGATGCCGTTAGGTCGAATAATACTGTACGACCATTTTCGCTGCTTCTGCATGTCAAACATGAAATCCTCCTGCGCGTAGTAGAAGTTCAGCCCATGGTCTTCGTAGCGGGGCAGATCCTCGGTCATTGGACAGAACACAGGACCTAGGTGAGGACCGTAATGCTGCGCATCAAGATCAGCAAGACTTTTCGCGGGCGTCAAGAGCGGGAACGTTGGGGCACCTTTCCTCCGGTCTGGAGACATATCCGCTCGAGATTTTGCCCCGCTATCGTGTCGATAGCGACGAGAAACGTCTCGAAGAGGGGCACGTTATAGTCGCGAAGCTTTGTAAAGTCGTCCGTATGGACATAGGAGGTGTAATACGCATGCGTGACTTTCTCACAACTTCGGGAGAGCGTGGAGATGACGGTCTGGACGGGTTCGAGAAAGTCGACCGCCACAAATTCGACGCGGGGATCTTGCCAGTAGTTCTTGAGCGGGCTTCGCGAAGTCACCACAATCTTGGACCACTCTTCCCTTGGCTGACGGATAAGATGCTCGACGATTGCATTGCCGCTGATACCGTTGCAACCAGTCACAAGGGCGACCTTGGGGGTCCGGGGAGGCATGATGAGAAGCTGAAAAGAATAATGAGATCAGGGAGGAATATTACGATCGATTCAAGGCAGAACGAGGTCAGGGTTTAATTTTATCTGTGCTCTTTTGTCTTCGAGGCTTTAAGAAGGTCAAGTCCTCCCGGAGTTGGGCCAATTGCAATCAGAGGGTACATGAATACAGCACTTACCAGTCAGTCCTCCGACATGGGGCCCTGGGATCGCATGTTGGGGTACCTCCGAAGCGGCGGCAAAGTCTAGGCATCGTCGACAAACCTACAAACCCACAATCCGGATTGAGTTGCGGGGATCGGTTGCATATGCGAAGTCAATTTCACATCGCCCTCTTCTCCCCACAACGTGTTGCTGTTCGGTGACCTGGTCAAAGTGGATGTGAGAATTGACTGCATTCACATGTAAACGAGGCCAGGAAGACATAGGGAAGAGCGAGGAGCGGAGGAGATAAGGATAGAAGTGCTTGTGGCTTGACAGATAGTAAATAGATTCTTAAATATATTCCACACAAGGCTATGAAACCAGGTTTACTAAGCGGTATCCGCTATGTATCTGACCTATCTACGGGTCGACATAGTCAGGTCTGAGGTATGTGTCGCGCACCAGAACGATCCTCTGTCCAAAGCAGATTGCAAAGTCGTGATTAGAGGTGACGATGCAATACATTTTCCAGGCAAAGAGCTCCCTGCATGCAGTGTTCGTATCATCCTTTCAAGGCCGCCTTGATTTCTTCTCCGAGCTGGTCCACGTCGAAGGACCCAATCCTAGGGCGATCAGCCCATTCAGCCAACTGGGTTACCATGTCTATAACAGCCTTGACGCCGTTGACTGAGTTTCCAATGCCTAAAGTGGCCTTAATATGACTTTTTGTCTGACGAGAAGCACCCAAGGCCATGATAGCTGTGGCCACGATCAAGTGCGACTCCTGGGGCTGGAAGACCTCCTCGTTTGCTTTCGCGATGAGATATCCCCATGTGACCACGGTCGAAGTCGTGACTATTTGGGGCTATAGATTAGTTTCCCTAAGGCCTTCTATATACTCGATTCCTTTGGCGAAGAGGGAAGGCGGTGGCTCACTTAGATCCGTGAAATAGCTGTCCATCAAGGAGAAGATCTCCGAATTGCCTACACCACGATAGACCCTGGCACGAAGTTCGGTCCCCTTCTGGACGTCGTCCTTAGTGATGGTCTTTTTCCGAAGACTCTTGGTCGAGGCGTATCCAGCGCCCTTGCGCTGAATGACTCCGATCATGCCATAACATGCTGGCATACATGTCGGGAGACCCAGGTAAGGAAAGATGATTGTAATGGCCTCTCGAAACCGCAGAAACATATACTCGGACTGCTCTGGCGTAGCAGTCGCCGTCAGATCGTCGAAAAGCCGACCAACGACGTCTGCACGGCCGACGGCACAACAGGCTGCGACCTTTCGCGGTCAGTAGAGCATCTAAGCGACAGAGGAAGTAAGGGACTTCTCTCAGACAATCAGAGTGTTGGCGATGTTTTTCAGTTCGGGTTGCGACGAAGCCAAGCGGGATTCAAGGCCGAGGAGGAATCTTCCGTCATATGCCTTTGAGCCAGGTCTCACGTTGGTTGAGACATATTTCTTGTCCCATTGAGACATGAACTCCTCTGTATCCCAGCTCGCCATGATTGTAGGATCAAAGCGAGTTGGAAAACCCCAGAATGTGAAAGGGTATGGGATTACTGATGCCGACGTCTTGCGATGAGGGAAAATCGGGCGGTACACGAATCGAATGAATTACAACGTGGTCGCTTGGATCAGCAATAGTACCTGGAGCGCCAGGAGGCGAAGTGAGAGGATCGGTCCTTGGCCCAATCTGGTCTCGGACCAGCTAGAGGCCAGAAACACTATCTCTTTCGGACGTCGGACTTGCCACCAGCGGGCTTCTGGGGGCCCCCGTACCGGCTGTCCGAATTTTCGGCGCTTGCTGTGGTATCAAGAATTAGCTCCGGCTGCAGGAAAGTGGGCAACCTTGGAACCCCGAAACGTATGGGCTCCCATCATAATTGGCATCGTCAGCCATACTGGCTCTGGTCGTGTATATCGCAAACGTAATCCAGGCCATTAGTAGTAGGATAGCGAGTGTCTCAGACATAAGCAGCCACGACAAAGTACCATCAATATGTTGACAACAGGCATCTCAGGCAGCATCCTACTCGTTCTCTCCATTGTGGGACTGGTCGGACATTGCCTATATAACAAATATGCTTACGGCATCGCCAGCATCCCAGGGCCATTCTTCGCGGCCTACACGGATATCTGGAGATTCGTCATCGTATGGCGACGTCGTCCCGAACGCACACACGTGAAGCTCCACGAGAAGTTGGGCCCGTTGGTGAGGTTGGGCCCCAATTCGGTCTCGGTGTCAGACCCAGCAGCTATTAAAACCATATACGGGCTGGCATCGGGATATGTCAAGGTAAACAGAGAAACAGCCAGTCACACATTTCGAAAATAGTCAAGAGCATGTTGCTAATTGAGTCGGCGAAGCAAATAGTCCTCCTTCTACACTGTCCAGCAGCAGGCCGTATCACGAGATGGCCACCTGTTGCAGGGCATGTTCAACACCACCGACGAACAGTACCACGCCAAGCTCCGGCGAGCCGTGAACAACGCCTACGCAATGAGTACCTTAGTACAGTTCGAGCCCATGGTGGACTCGACCAGCACCGAGTTCCTCAAACAACTCGCTCGGCGCTATGCCGACAAGCCCGACCACATCTGTGATCTAGGCGAGTGGCTGCAGCTTTACGCCTTTGATGTAATCGGAGAGCTCACTTTCTCCAAAAGGTTGGGATTTGTCGAGCGTGGCGCAGATGTAGACCACATCATCAGCGACTTAGAGAAAGCTTTGGGATATTTTGCAGTGGTAAGATTTCCTTAACCTGGGTCCTGCGGTGCCACGTGCTTAGGGCCCACTGCCTCGCTCACTCGTCACAGATCGGTCAAATACCATTTCTCGATAAGCTCCTGATGAAGAACCCGCTTCGAATGTGCCTTAGCCGCTGGGGAGTCATCAATGCGACTTCTCCGGTGGCTGTTTTCGCCAAGAGTCGCATGGCCAGTCGTCTCGGAGGGTTGGGTGAGGAAAAGAATTCGGACGAATCTTCCGCGAAATCCAGCACCAGAAGACGGGACTTCTTATCTCGCTTCCTGGAAGCCGGTGAGAAAGACCCAGCCTTCATGACACCCGAACGGGTTCTGTCCTTGACTTCGGCCAACGTTTTCGCGGGTTCTGACACCACAGCAATTACTCTCCGTGCCATCTTCTATTATCTGCTCAAGAATCCGAAGAAACTCGAAACCCTCCAGATGGGCATAGCCCAGGCGGAAACAAACGGGCTGTTCACTCGCGAGGACAAGCTCGTCCGTTGGACAGAGGCTAATGCAATCCCGTACCTGGGTGCCGTCATCAAAGAATCCCTTCGCATCCACCCTGCCGCCGGGCTTCCGCTTGAGCGTGTAGTTCCCGAGGGTGGGGCGACCATCAGCGGTCACTATATACCAGCGGGCACGATTGTGGGTTGCAGTGCGTGGACGATCCATCGAGACCGTAAAATCTTTGGTGACGACGTCGATGCCTTCAGGCCGGAGCGTTGGCTTGAACATCCCGTCAAGGCCGCAGAGATGAACCAAGTCCTGTTCTCTTTTGGTGCAGGAGCACGAACTTGTGCTGGGAAAAACATCAGTTACCTGGAAATGTACAAATTGGTGCCTGCAATGCTCAGAACCTTCGATGTAAGTGACATCTCTTTGCGACCTCGCCTTGCGAGAGGGTGTTCAAACTCTGACCGACTATCGCAGCTCCAACTAGCCTATCCCGAACGCGAGTGGCATTTGGACAACAGATGGTTCGTGAAACAGAGCGAATTTTACGTCCGACTGACCACGAAAGGTATCATAAGATGAAAGGATGCTTGGGAGGCTCTTAAGGCAGGGCCAAATAGCGTTCCATTGGTCAACTGTAGCTTTACCAGCTCGGAGGTCCGCCTCCGAATGGTCATTCGAGAACACAACTAGCCTCCAGATCCAAACAATGCAGAGAGATCCTCTGATAGCTCCTTCCCCTCCGTGACTGGCGCCTTTGCCGGTAGCATAATGGCGATCAACCGTGCCCACTCATCGCTGTCATTGTCCCAGCCATGCATGGTGGCCTGCTGTATGACAAAATCGCCTTCTCGTATCTTCGTTCTGGTACCATTGTCCAGGGATAGGGTGATCGATCCTTTTGTCATTATTACGTAGTCCAGCGACAGGGAGCGGTGCAGAGCCCCAACGCTTCGTGGTGGGATATCGACGATACGGAAAATTGAACCCTTATTCACAAATCCGGTGTCGGTGAGAGCTGCATCATCCCCTGAGTTAATGTTGGCCGGGCTCGAATCGCTCGACCAGATCAGGGCAGAGCCAGCACCGTGTGGCAACATGTCCACCGAGATTTCACTGTCGCGCGCCACAATAGCCTGCCCCTGTGCATTGTGCGAGGTCACGACGCGGCGCATAGGAGATAGTGGTGATGACATCGTGGCAGCCTGTTCGCGAATCGTGGATCGATCAAACAAGATTTCGAGGATGCTGCCAGGAAACTTGAACACAGCGAGCTGAGCTCTTGTAACTAGGAGAGGGAGCCAGAGTATAAGCTCGTGGCGGTGCGAAGAACAGGAAGGAGCATCCGGGGACCGGACGGGGGGGAATGCGGCCTAGTTGGGGTTGCCGCAGTGCGGAGTGATGCGTGTCACCGCGCCCAGTCGGGAGTGGGGTCGCAAATCACCTAAGCGCGGTGTTGCAGGAGGATATGGACCTGTATCTCCTGATTCGAAAGTCTTGAGACGCTGCGAGTACCGCCAGGGTATAATGTAACGCCTTATCCCGATATGTGCCTGTGGCGCAAGCTAAATACTGGCTGGAACCATTGTCAGTCTGGTAGGCGGCAAGGCGATTGTCGCCATTCCAGACGTCCCAGCACAGTACAATATGGAGGATGGTTCTGGCAAGGCTTTTAGTTGCGAAGTCATAGGTTGGCCAGACCGTCAAGCTCGCCGAGTAGGGATTCTGCAAGATAGGACACGTTCTTATGCCGTCTCAGAGAGTCTGAACAGACCTGCAAAACCGTACTTGCGTCGTCTATAGGCTGTAGACTGCCATCCTCAGCAGTAAGACATGGTCCGCCCATGTCACGTCTTAGAAATGGTTGCCATATCGGATCGTCCGGTGGAAGTCTGTCGATCGCAATGTTGGGCGTCATGGCGGAATCGGAGCGCTCAGGTCGCTCGGTACTATCTATCATACTTAGAGTCCAGAGAATGATAGCCACTCGATGGAGAGCGGATGGCCACCATAACGGGCGAATCTCGGTGTCCATGTTGTGCAAGATGCGCAGTATCTGGCCGCAATGAAACACGGCTTCTCGCGGTCGGCGTACGGCGGTTACAGACAACTGCGGAAAGGCTTGGGGCTGCTTTGAAAATGCTCGCGAGAATTGCTCTACGTGCGACCAAGACACAGCCAGCTTCAGGTTGAGAAGATGGTAAAGGATTTCTGTCACCTGTTGCAGAGCGAAATGCCTCGTACTTTCCACGTCCAAACCACGAAAAACACTCCACCATGTCTGCAGGAGAGACTTGATCTCGTCGAAGCGCAGTGCTGAAGAGGTATGGAATGCGGTTGGCGAGAATCGCGACCGTTCCTTGTCGGAAACACAGAGCATGAGTTCACACAACTGAGCGGTCAAGATGTAAATCGGATATAGAAGGAGACGCAAGTGGAGAATCTGGAGTCTCGGTTTCCAATGATCGAGCTTGTTGTCCAGAAGAGATTGAAAGAGCTCTGGCAGTGAGGTTTGAGCGGGGACGAAGGCGGTCGGCACGTCAGCCTCTGGTCCATTAGTGCTTTTCCAGCGCTGAAACCAAGTCGGGGCGTCAGGTGCCAGCCAGAGATCGTCGCTGTCCGGCAGAGCCTTCTCCAAGTCCGGTATCGTCAGTGTTGGACTTTTGTCGTACAAAATGCTGATCTCTGCGTCAACCATAACCAAGCTGTAAACAAGTCTACAAATGTCAAACGACCGTGAACCAAGATCTAGAGGTTTGGAGAGCTACATACCTAGAAGTGTATTCTCTTTCTAGCCAGGAATGCCAGAGCAGCTCGAAGTCTGCCCCGTCGGACGAGACATACGGCGCGGGTGGATCTCTCTCAAAGAAGCGCGAGTGCTTCGACAGCTATTGTATATAAACAGGGCTTGTCAGAAATTCCCTCTCCAGGTCCAGGATGTTGTGATATCAGTGCTTACCATAAGATATTGATGCATTTGGCCGAAACTTGATTCCATGAGCCACTTGTCGCCACTGAAAGCTGCTTGATACGTGCTCAGCAAAGCACACTCGGCGAGAATCATACTCCGCGGGTTGGAGTTATCTTTGTCTAAAAGATGCAGCGTTGTCAAACGACATATCTCGAGAAGACCCATGGAGAGTCGGCGAGCTTTGATGGCAGGGTCCCTCATCGCGCCATAAGCTATCATTAGCAATAGCATGACGATGGCAAGTTGCTCGTGCCTGCCGGAAGCGATTGCATTCGGATCGAAGGATCGTTTGTCGACCAGGGGAAAGTATGGCTCAAAGCTCGTCAAAAATGTATCAAGATAGATTTGCAAGATGGGCGTAGGGGGGAGCATCAAGATGCTCGAGGAACTATACCGTTTCAAATCTGCCATCAAAAAACGAGTTCCAGGATTGGAGTTGACATTGAGCGAGTCTAGAGTGAGCCGAAAAAAGTTCTGCGCCGTAGCCAAGATCCTCTCCCTGGTCGTTTCAGCAAGTCTGACATTCTCGAAATACTCGTGTTCCTTAAAGTGCTGGGCTCTCCAGGTGATAGAGATGTGTGACCACGGCGCAGCATCTGCGTAGTTATCTCCTAGGCGAGCGACGTTTTCAGTCGAGCGTGTTGGGGTTACCGCGCTCTGGGTTTCAAGGGATGGAGCCGAAGAGAGAGCATCCACTGGAAGAAACAAACTGTGAAAATTTGGAGTGGCTGCCTGAGAGGCGAACAACCCCTCCCATCCCCAATCGAATTGTGAGAATACGTGGCTAGCATTCTCGAGGATGTTAGGTATACCTGCATCTGGCTGGGACTGAGAGAACGTTTGACCATTTGCTTCCTCGTGAAGAGCGGCATTTATGTCGTCATTGGTATGTTGGGGGTCGGTTACGACAGCAGTTTGTTCGGGAAATAATGGGTCAACGTCGAAGCCTTCTAAGACCGGAGTGAAAGCTTGTATCGTCGCAAACTGGCCGCTGGTTTGTCTTGACTCGAGCAAAACGGAGGGGTTTCGGCGATTTGGAGGACTTCTGAGGGAATTGCCGCTACGCGGTTGTCCCTGATTTTCGGAAGGGTCTGAGGCTGAAAAGTTCTGTTGCGATTGGGGAAGCAGCTGTTGATCAATGACAGACAAGAACGGAGCTTGGGTCGTCGTTATGGGCGAGATCTCCAGAGAGTCTGCTGCCTCGTGCCTGGCAAGTCTGTGCTGGTCGTTCGATGACCTCTCCGGCACATTGAACCCTGGATCGGTAGAACTGGGCCGTCGACGTGAGGTCCGCGGGAGACAAGATAGGTTCTTCAAGCGACAACGACCACAAGGGATTTGGCGATCACATTTGGTCTTGTTTTTGGCGCAGCGTAGGCATGCAGCTTGCAGGCCTTTTTCAGAGGCATGAGAGGAGCCACGGTCCGAAGTCCCGGTGATTTGCGCCGACGTTATTGATGCTGTTTTGGAATGTGTGGTTGCGTGTTTTTGAGCAGCATCTCTTCGGCGCGGGTCAGAAGCGCGAAAAGACGAGCAATAGAAGTCCTTAGTAGGAGGGAGCAGCAACGGCACAGACTTACTTGCGACTGAAGGTCAACTGACACACATCGCATGTGAAAGGACGGACTTTTGTATCTAGAAGCGGTAGTAGAATGGTGAGCAGCTGAACTAGACTCGAAGGCAGTCAACAACAAAAAATGACCTTACGGGTGAGGACATGACGCTGCAAATGCTCCGTCCGGGTGAATTCTCGGCCACAATATGTGCAGAAAACCATTTGACACGGACGTGTAGGGGTGATTCATCTGAACAAGGGATTTAGGGCGTGGTTACTCGGTACTCCGTACCTTAAGTTAACGACAGCCGTGGTGATGGGAGGCGACGGATGGTATTGAGTGAGGGATACCGAGTCCAAGAAGTGTAGAGACGACTCTGAGCCGAGGCGGGCCCCGCCGCTGCATATGGCTACTGTTAGCCGGTAGCCTGTAGCCTGTAGCCTGTAGCCTGTAGCCTGTAGTTAGGCGGTGTGTAGGAAGTTATAAGTCTTAACTGGGGGGTGCTGGGCAGTGGCAGGCTGGGGGTCGAATGGGGACTCTCCGGTCATTACTCCGTGTACTCCTTCGTACTTAAATACTGGTTATACCTATCCTAAGTATTTTCGTCTGACGTGCACTTCCCCGCATATACCACGTGTTGCGAGCGTTAGACCATCACATTGATGGCTAATATTTAAAATAATTGTAAGCGTCAGACATCGACATGTACACTTGACTCGGATCCAATGCGACAAAAAGTGGAAATACAACGAACGGGCAGTGCCTATGGATGGTTTTGAGATATTCTTCTGAATTCTAGCTGAGCACTTTGGGAACTGCCCACGCCGGATGCCAACGATCTCGATCTCCCACTTGTGGAATGCTTATTCTCATACCGCGAATCCCTTTTGATACATCCTCGCCTTGGAGGCCTTTGATCAAAGCACTGATTGCGATGCTGGTTCCAATACAGGCCTTGATAGAGTTGCGCACTTCCTTAGTCCATTCTCTCGCAACAACCGGGGCCATGCCCTGGTCTTCTGCACCACTACTCGTGTTGGTTGCAGATATATTGCCGGCAGAAACAGCTTGCGAGTTCCAATTTTCTTTTAGAACTTCCTCCCACGCCTTCTTGGCTGTCTGATTGAGCAGTAGAGCTTGCTCGAGAACCGTACTATCCGACAATTCCTGCAGAGAACATGCCTGCTGTGCGACATCTGGTGGTAACGGCTCGGGTATTGACAGGTGTTGGAAAGGGCGCATTCTCAATTCATATCTCAAATGGTCTGAGGAGTAGCTCGGTCTTGGCTGCACCAAATGGCCATGGCGCTGGACTACAACGAGAACCCTGTGCAATGCTTTTGCCAGAGCCTCGGTAGCCTTCAACCAAGTGAAATGCCTGTAGAGCTGATGCAAGGTTTTTTGCATCTTCTCGTGCTGACCCTTGCTTTTCTGTTGATCAACCGAAACGAAAAAGCTGATACGTTCCAAATGTGACAAATGGGTGCTTGATAAGTACGATAAATACCAGTACATGCTAGAGTATTCATGCGGAGCATAAACCGAAAGTTGAAACCCCATCTGCACAATTCCTCGAAGCTGCATCAACTTGTAATGGTAAACCCAACTGCTGAGGGAATAGGAAAATGTAGGTTCATCTGCGTCTGAATACATCTGAGGTTGTTCTCCAAACGAAGACTGCACAACACTATCAAGCTCTTCAGCTTCAGCTTGGATTCGATCCCATTCAAGTGCTGCATGACACAAGTTGCGACGGACTCGACTTCGATTCAGGCAAAATGTTCGGAAGAGGTTGAGATAGGACGGGCCAAGTCGGTTGATGAAGTAGTCAAACTGAGCAAGGGCTTGGATTTGTTCGCCGTTCAGTGCTGGACTGGTGCCCGTGGCTTCGGTGAGGAGCATGCTATTCGGTAAGACCATCAATTGTAGGTCCTGGGTGATGAACTGCCTCAGCGTAAAACGACCTAGTATGTTGTCCTGCAGAGTTAAAAATGATTGGAGTAGGGCTCGGACATAGACCGAGGGCTGTGGATCTTGAGCCATAAAGCTTTGATATGCTACGAGTAGGTCCACACTACACGTAATTTTGAGCACCTCGAACGCGCGGGTAGCATCCGTGACAAGCTGTTTGAAGAAAACGAAAGCTGCCTCTTTTTGAGTCACAATCATCGGTCGCGGCGGCACACTGCTGGCGAGTCGACGTTGCATTTTGAGGGTAAACGCATCTGCAGAGATTGATCGCCCAAGGCCGCTGGTCTTTTCAACAAAATTGATCAGAGATGTGATCTCTTCAATTGATATTGTATCTGTTGATGCCCCGGTGGAGCAATTTTGGAGAATGTTCAGAAGGAAATATCGCACGTCCAAGCGAGCTTTCAAGGCGTCATGAAGAGGCAGCTTCAGCCCAAGTTTTGGAAGACGAGAACGCGCACTGTCAAGGTTGGATAGTATTTCTTGTGGCGGAATTCTCGATAGCAATGGACGATTAAAGATCTGAGTTGCAAAATCTTCTTCCTAAGTTTGACAGTCAATTGCTGATGCTTGATATTGGAATCTAACCGCACCTCGTAATAGTGTTGTTCCGAGATCATTGCGAGCACAAGGTCACAGCATTTGATCAATGCTAGGCAAAAAGGTTCTAGAATGACTGTAAGGATGGAGGCATCGGCTTGAGTCCCCGAGACGTCTCGATGGAACTTGGCATCTGAAAGGGTTTTGGGTTCCGGCCAGAGAAGTCGCTCCACGTAAACTGAAGTAAATAGGGTCTGGGAAAGCGGATATCCCTGGTGCCAGGCGACCTAGACATGGTCAGATGCGCACCTCTCACCAGTTTCGAGTACTGTACTTCACGGTACATCAACTCATCCATGAGCCATATCGCTTCCTCGAGGGAAAGAGGAGTAGTGAAGTCGAATTCTTCAAGATCCGAATCTGGATCAGTGCAGCCACTGTCCATCTTTGGATCACCAATCTGGAATCTTCATCAGCACAAGGATCCCTAGCTCTGGCATCTTCAGTACCGACTTCTAAGGCACCAACGGCCTCAAATAACGTAAAGGCTTCATCCTTGACAAGCCTACCCGCAGACAATTCTGTGGCCAATCAATGGGGGAATGTCAATATGTGTGAGAAACTCACTCGATGCCGCATCTTGGAAATAACTTGTTATCTCATTGACTTGAATGTTTGGATGGAGTATACGGGGTTGAACCATGTCCTCGCCTCACGACTGATTGGAAATGCCAACCGTGTGACTACGACACTACGGTGTACCCGCCGAATGAAAATTACCGGGCTTCAATGAGGTACGATTATATGATGGAGGTGACGAAGTGAAAAGACCCAGGGCACGTGGTGGTCATCGACAGGCGTTGTCAATGGTGGAACTACGGGAAATTTATGAAGATATCGAACGTTGGGACGATGGAGGTGGGCCAGAACTCGGAGTTGTCAGGTGCGCCTACTTGGTACCTAGGTTACTCAGGTCGCCTTCCCGACCACGCAGCCAGCCTTTTGCAAAAGAGCTCTGTGGGGATATTTTATTTACAATGCATGAATACAATCAACGGCCCATCTACAACTCACTCGTCGGATGCTCAGTGCGAGTCACCCTCATTTAGCTTCTTGTGATGCCAGCTCCTGTGCAGCCGCTGCGTTGGCCTCGCCCAAGTTTTTATTTTCTCCTTGTTTGCCGTTCTGGCCTCCGTGTCAGTCAAGCCCAGCACGCGTTGCAAGAACCACTCTGCTCACCGTCCATTTTGCGAATCTCAATTCCATCTCTCCTCGTCTCTCAGCTTGTAACCGGGGGCCCTCCTTGAGTGAGCGTCGGACCACTCGTGCTGCAATTGAAAGATATCGGTTGTAGCTGTCAAAGTCAGCACCGTGAATGAATCGGAGCAAAAGGCGAAAACGTACGTGATTCCGGCAGCTTTCCAAGCGAAAGCCATCTTTGCGGTGAGAAGGACACGGGAATGGGAAGTGGAGGAGTGGTTATTGTAGTCGTCGTGAAGCTCTTCTAAACTCCAAGCTTGGGATGAGTTGCAGCTCCAAAAACTGCGCCGAGCGCCCCTAGCGCCAAGCCGCGAGTGCGGACGGAACAACCTTCTTGCGAAAGTGACAAAACCCTTCCGATCTTTGGTCACGTGCGAACTTAGATTTCCTTTGTGCAGGGCTTTCGTTCCGAATGTTCTTCCGTCATTCAATTTCCTCAGCCGAGTTACCAGAGATGATGAACTCTAGAAGTAGCGGCAGAACATGTCGGCTAACCTGTCTTTCGGCTCAGTGTTTACGTAGGTTCAGCTGATGGAATCCTTTCCTTGCGCAAGAGCATTGCGAACAAAAAAGGCTTGCGATTTCTATGAAGACATACTGGAGCTATCTCTCCACCACTCCATCTCGTAAGTGGGCACAACTTGCTTGTACACGTACAAGACCACTCGCCACAGCTTGGGCCATCTTTCACCTGCAATTAAACGCATTGTCCTTGGCGTTCTGAGCCTGCTACCAGATCCTTCCCTTTAGGTCGCAGTGGTTGGCATCAGCTCCCAGCTTGGAGCATTCACGATAATCGCCATGGGAGAATACGACACAAGTCCAGCAATTGGCAAAGTCCTGATCCAGTCGAAGTATATCCAGGCAAGCATGCGCCAATTGATTGCCCTGAGAGTACCACTCCAACCGCCTGTCAAGCTGTTAGCCATTCAATCCAGAAGGGATCGGTTGAGGGAGACTAACCAACACCAACGGTTGCGCCGGTGATACATTGTGTGGTGGGGATGGGGAGCGCTAAACGTGTCGCGGTGACAATGGTCAATGCAGCGCCGAGTTCGATAGAGAAACCGGGGGACGGTGAGTGGACTGTGAGTCTGTTTTCAAGGTGTCGCATCATGTTGTACCCATATGTCCAGAGACCAGTCGGGATCGCGGCACCTAGGAAAACGGTAAGCCCTTGCTTAATGGAGATCGGCAAAATCCATCTGTCGTTGGCCTACCTCCATATGCCAAAACCCACATTGGCCGCTCGCTCTTTGAGCTGGCCTCATTTGACTGCCAGATGCCATAGATGGCGGAGAGAGGACCGATGGCGCCGTACCCGAAAGATACGACCGCTGCCTTCATGCTGGGGTGCAAGAGGTCACTTTCGATACGCCCTGGGGTTTCACGCCGTTAAATGGATTGAACTCAAACCTGAAGGAAGGAATACAAATGCTCAGTCTTGTTGTCATAATGGGGAACGTGAACATGAATCTTCGACTGGTCCTTTGCAAGGAAGCTCGCGGCGAATCCTTTCGGCTTGACGGTAGCGGATTGTTCCTCGACAATATCACGTTTCACTCGTCGGAAGAAGTAATACTTAGCGCGTGCGGTGAAGCCCCCGGTGGCCTTCCATGGGTGCTCAAAGGCCTTGCGGCTGGCCTTGTCTTCCATCGTCAAAGGGACGCCACGAGGCTCGCTCCTCACCTCTCCTCGAACGAGATAGATGAAACACCGGAACCCGTCGAGGTTAGCACATTCTTCTGTCCTGTATTCCCTACACTATCCGGAGCAATCTTTCCCAAGAACTCGTGCCTGATGTTATATACCACCTTCCTCCACCCCCCCTCCCCCTCCCCCTCCACCTCAGGCGCTGAAAGCATCATCAAATTTTCTCAAGTCACATCGTGGCAAGAAATTAAACCGAGCAGTGTCTACAAGCCAAAAATTCAAGAGATCCAAGCAATGCTAACTTGGACCCTCAGCCTTGGGTTGTCGTAGTTTGATAGATTTAGGAATTTCAGACTCCTGAGGGCAGAAGCCGAGATAACGTACCCAGAAGACCTAAAGAGCCAAGGTGTTATCGAGCAGCATGTGGGCGACTGAAAGTTCCTTCATAGCTGGGGATACCGATGCGGACCCTGTTCGACCATCACCTTGGCCGTGACTCGGCACAGTATGTGATTTCTGCTTAGGCAATCAAGACATTTGGGAGGCAGCGCGCGAGGAATGGTTATATCGATTGTGCGTGCGTGGAACAATGGTCGCGATCGATTGGATAGATCGGGTGTCCGGACTCTCAGTTGTTCTAAACCAATTGCCACAGAGAAACGGACCCGCTTGTACAGGAGCGAAATAGTGAGACTCTATGACTTATCGGGTGTTGGACTCATATAAGCTCGAGAAAGAAAAGGCACGAGAAGGAAGCAGAGGTGCAAGAAGGTCTTTGGACATGCATCTGTTCGATCCCTAAGATCGCATTTTCGTATTGAACAGATCGTCGTCCGACCTTGACGGGTTATTGTTATCACATTCATATTGGGCAAAACGGGATCAGATGCGATTGGATTACCGCATTCGTTCATCGATTAACCAGGGAGGCAATGAACAGTGAACGATCGAAAGCTGGCCTAGATCTCACAGATGCTCGGTTCACCAGTCAAGATCGTTCGATCACCCCGCCACGCTCTTGATATGCCGAGACAGTAAACTCCGAGTCCTCAGCGGTCCAGCCAATATTTCAGCGAAGCACTGTATGGCTATCACATGGGATGCACCTTCGATAACCGTGTACCATACGAGTAATTTTAAATGTCCCGCACCGAATTCTGCCACCTAGGAGTACAGGACTAGAGGACTTGCAAGTCTCGACAGCTGGACATGCCGCATTCTCGAATGAAGCCGTGTGAGAAGTGATTGGATCGGAGTTGAACCCCAGTCGAGTCGACTAGGGACGTCCACATCTCTACGCACCCCCAAGTCTTGTGCCTGACGCTGAACTGACCAATACGAACTCTTGTATAAGGGCAAGCTCCGTGAAGTGCTTTTGAGAGCCCGAGTAGTTACCAGAGTCGAAGGTGCAGCTGCAGAACTTGCATAAGGCCCAGATGCTCTTTGGCACCTCGAACAATTCTCTGGAAACATCCTTAGATGTGACATTTGACTTCCGCTTATGTTAGCAAAGATCTGATTTCACTTCAAAACCAAGGACGATGAAAATTAGAGATCACGCAGGATCGAGACGGCGTCATCAATACGGCTGACCTCTGCCATGAACCAAGCCTCTCTCTGTCGCCACTGACTCAAGACTTTTAGTTCTGCTACAGAGAGGATATCCTCTTCGAGGCCTTGGACATCCGTGCGTTCAATCTTGGTAAGGGTAGTGGCAATGCGATCTCGTTCGACCTCCAACCGCTGAAATAGTCTCGACATAGATTTGTAGAGCTTGTTTAGGTACATTTTCTGTACCCTTTCGGCATCGTAGAACCAAAGGAATATTGTTCGATTCGGTTGTCTTTGCGGTTCTCTTGGGACCTCCTGCAATTCTAGAAGCCCTGCTGACTGCAAGGATGCTAGACTCTGTCGAAGTTCCTTGGCATTGAGCAGCCCAATCTCTTGCAGGTTCTTCTCGTCCAATTTACCCTTGTCACTCAGCATCCGGACAATTCTCAATTTCGGATCGTCCACGCGTAAGCCCTCCGCTACAAGCCGCATAAGCTCTTGGTCGCGGAGAAAGAGGCTCAACTTTTTTTTGTGCACAAACCATTCATCCAAGACGGAGTTGTATTCAAAGAAAGAGAATGCCCCTTCTGCCAAGATTTCTAGATGACGAATAACGTCTGTCCGGTGGTGCACGCCATTGCTATTCGAGGAATGGAAACCATTGACATGTCGATCAGAGGACCATCCGTTTGTGCTTGGCCTGGTATTGCGAAGAGGTTCGTCGTCGAAATGCACGTCGTCCAATATTTGGTCGATGTCCAACTTCTGTGGAGTCTCGGGGAGATCGGTTGGCGAAGGAGGCCCGAGTGGGTGGAGGTGCAAATCGATTTGCTTTGCCGCGGCTTTTGCAACTTGTGCAGTTGGCTGTCCAAACATTCGTCCAGCTGCCCTGGCTAGTAATTGATTACGCAAGACAAACGTCAAGTTGGAATAATTAACACTGAGGAGAGTCTAGGAAGGAATAGTCAGGGCAACCTGGTGATACAATCGTGACGAAGAACATACTTGTTTCCCAAAGGCTGGCCCATCGTTCACATCGACTGAAAGCTCATGCAAGACCACATCCGCCGACGTAGTGTCGTCCAGATGTTGTTTAAGTTGTTGGAGAGCCTTCGCATCTTGATCCGACTGTGCCTTCTTACTCTTTGCTGTAGGGCCACTACCATCGAAAGAGTTCAAATGACGTTCGATCTCTTGCCGAGCATCAAATATCGACTGAAAATGTGCATCTCTGAGCTTGGTGATATACCTGTTGTCAATGAGATGTACTAAGGCGGCTCGAAAGGCCGAAGAATCGATAGTTTCTGGGTCCGAGATTCCCGCAGTATTTCTAAAACCATTCACTTGTCCTGAGTGATTGTGAGTATGTCCGACGTCGCCATTCCTACACACTCGGACCTCTAGTTCCTGTACTGTTGCATAACCCAAAAGAGTCAGCTCTCTCAAGGTCTCCGCAGCTGTAGGCCCTCCCGATTCCCGCGCGAGTTGAATCAGGCGACCTGCCCTCAACAGCGGATAAGCATTCTGCTGGTTTGCTTGATATGTTGATAGACCATCAGCGTTAGTATGGTGATAAATCAGCCGAAGCTGGATCAGAGCAGCCAGTGCAGATTTGACTTGGCGTAGAGGCAGTCGACATTTTTGGGCGATCTGGGGAGCAGAAAGGCGGCCTTTTTGACATAGGATTTCAAAGAATCGCTGTTTTGACGTTAGAGCCAAGCCCGGAGCTAGATATCAATAACACTGACAGCAAGTAATGAGCCATAAACATCCTGCACGATATGACAGCATAGCTGGGAGTAGTCCTGCGGTTATCGTCAGGGTTGAGTTCAAGAGAAGTTATGTGAGTCAATACCTCCATGACCGTCAAGCTCACGTGATCGTTTGATCACCAGCAAGGATCATCAGTAACTCTGAAAGAAGATGAGGGGGTAGAGCAAGTTCAATTAAATGCTATAAAAGAGACATCCGGTTCTAAAATCTCCGAAACCAGAAGATTCGCGACAGAGCATATTCAAGTCTGCTGGGAGAAGTCGAGGCCTTGAAATCGCTTGGTGGTTGTAGCCTTTGCGGAGATGCAAAGACGTGCAGGTGCAAAAAAGTCACAAGTTTCACGACGGCAGGAGCAGGCCGGGGCTTGGCGCGCTAGTGGATTCGTCCAATGCCAGACTTCCCAAAGCTCATCAATAGCATCAATAGCTCCTGCCAGTGGCCTTGAAAGTACGTCGACCATCTTGCCCACCACATTCACTACTTCGCCATGGCATCACCAGCTTCGCTCGGCTCAAGAGCCTTACGGGCTAGCCACCGAATCCCTCGAGCCGCTTTCCAGACCAGAGGTCTTGCCGCAGCCGCCTCGGGCAGCTTTCAGTACGAGACTGGAGATGCTTCTGGCCTCAAATATGCCAGCAGAGACCTACCCGGAGCCACAACCACCTTGACCGTCGTTGCCAAAGCTGGAACAAGATATCAGCCATTGCCCGGCTATTCCGATGCTCTAGAGAAATTTGCATTCAAGGTGGGTGTTTGTGGAAGGCCGAATTCATCAGATTCAAGCTGACCCTTTGGCAGTCAACCACCAAACGATCCGCCCTGCGGATTACCAGAGAAGCCGAACTCCTCGGTGGGGACCTTTCAGCATATCATTCCCGTGAGAATCTGGTCCTGAGGGCCAAGTTCCTGCGCGAAGATCTACCATATTTCACTGAGCTTCTGGGAGAGGTTATCACAAAATCTAGATTTGCGAGTGCGTGCCCGAAAACAGAGAGAAAATTGTACAACGGCTGCTGACAGATAATAGCACATGAACTGAATGAAGAGGTTATCCACGTCATAAAACTGGCCCGGAAGGACCTTCTCGCCAAACCACTCTCCTTAGCCTTGAACTCTGCTCACGCACTCGCCTTCCATCGCGGCCTTGGAGAGCCCTTGACTGCCACATCCTCGACGCCTCTGAAATACCTTGATGCCGAGGGAATTGCTGCATTCAGCACAGCTGCCTATTCGAAGTCTAACATTGCCGTTGTCGCGAACGGAGCAACTCCGTCCGAATTCTCTAAATGGGTGGGAGAATTCTTCGGTGACGTTCAGGAGTCCCAGCGGAAGCTCTCCAGCCCTGCCTCAAAATACTACGGTGGTGAGGAGAGAATCGCGCATGACTCTGGGAATGTGATGATCTTGGCCTTCCCTGGTTCTAGCTCCTTCACTTCTGGTTCCATCTACAAGCCCGAGATATCGGTCCTCGCCACACTTCTGGGAGGTCAGTCCAGCATCAAATGGTCACCTGGATTCTCCTTGCTGGGCAAGGCAGCTTCAGCCTACCAGCACTCCCGCGTCGCCACCCAGCATGCTGCCTACTCGGACGCCGGACTCTTGTACGTGACGATCACCGGAAACGCTTCCCATGTGACCAATGCCAGCAAGAGTGTGGTAGACGCCATCAAGAAAGTTGCAGCTGGTGAAGTTGCAGAAGAAGATATTAAGAAAGCGATAGCCCTGGCGAAATTCCAGGCTCTCGAGGCTGGACAGCAGATCGATACCGGGCTTGAGGCGACAGGCTCCGGCTTGATCGCTGGCGGAAAAGCATTCCAGGTCGAGGAAATCGCTACCGCGATTCAAAAGGTGTCATCGGAAAAGGTCAAAGCTGTAAGTTTTATCCGCTTTTTTCCCTACTGAAATTCGCGTTGCTCGTGAGCTGACCATTTTCACCTCAACTAGGCAGCCAAATCACTGCTGGAGTCCAAGGCTTCGGTGTCGACGGTTGGTGACCTCTTTGCACTACCCTGGGCGGAAGAAATTGGACTGAAGGTATAAGCGTGAATTTTGAGGGGGTCGCGGTCGATGCTGCCGGGGCTAGTGGTCCGTCCGAGGTGTAAAACTTGAAACTTGTACATAAAGCAGGGGACAATAAAGTTCAGAAAATGCCAATACCGATACCAATACCAATACCATACCATCCAGAATTCATAACTGTTACGACTCATCTCCGCCTCTATCCACGTTGCAGATAGAGAGGGAGTGGGAGGCAGAATGTGAGAGTTTGCACGCTTATGCAAGTACGTACATATATACACACGATTTGGATTGCTATTACAATGTACTACTCCTAGGGAGTAGTATGTCTGTAGAGCCATGTAATCCAACAGAGACACAAGTTCTCATTTATTGCGTGGGTATGTGGACGGGGAGCTCCGTTCGACTAGCTAACCAAAACACTTTTCATACTGTCATCCATCATCTGGGGATCTGGAACATCGTTCACTTACGGGCGCTGCGGTGCGTTAATGTCGTGGTAGTGAAGGGAGAGGCGAGGGTGAGGTCCGGCACCGGGTGGGGTATTGTGGGCAGCTGGATGGTCGGATCTAGTCGTGAACAAGCAATGGCGTTGCTCAAGGATCTACCAAGCATAGGCGGTAGAGAGGTGAATGTCGTCGCGAGCGTCACCGTTCCACTCGTCATCGTCGGTGGGTTCGTCGTCCAGGAAGTCTTCTTCGTGGAATTGGTCTTGCGTGGGTCGCTGGTCTGAAATGACTAGGTTGACAATGCTGCATCTTGCGTGTCGCACGGACGAAGTGGCAGAGTCGCTGTCGTCTGTCGTATCTCTTGATGAGGACTTCTCGGAGTGGACACGCGCAATACGTGTACTCTGTCGCTGTGCAGGCTTTGCAAGGATTGCAGATTTCGCAGGCCTCTTCTCAGATTTGGCAGCCCAATTGATGGGCGCAGATGTGTCGAGGAAAACGTTTTCAAGTGTGGAAAGCCATTTCTTTCGCAGTGTGGCGCGGTCTCTCCAGCTTGATCGCTTCAATATCGCCCTGATACTGAGTTTCTTAAGTCGTGGGAGGTTTTCTGAGGAGTCCACAAGTGAAGAGAGGAATTTTTCGGCGTCGTCAATGTCAAGTTGGCGCACGTTATCCATGGAGATGGTGACCAGGCTTCCTGGCCAGGTTGGGGGACCTTTGGGGAATAGAGAATCCCAGAGTGGGTCCCGGTCGGAGTAGGAGGTTTCGTCTGCGTAGAGAAGGTCAACGTCAAGAACCTGCAGACGAGGGCAGATATCTTTTAACTCAGTCATGAACTCAAGTGACATGGATTGGCTTCCGAACAATTTTAATGTGGTCAAGTTATGTCCCCGCGAGGTGAGAAATTGTCCCAAAGCGGAAGAGGTCAGCTGTGTGCAATTCTGGAACTCAAGATATTCGAGCCGGTTGGGAATGCACGAGATGCCAGCGACGTCGATGAGCGAACAAGATCTGAAAGAAAGACGTCGTAGGTCGCTCGACGTCTGTAATGCTGCCGTAAGCAAGCTTTGCGCTTTTGCAATTTCGACGTCGCTAGACTTCTTGGGAAGGCTAAAATTGACCACTGTTACTTCTCGCAATCGGCTAAAGCATGTTCGTGACTGGGCATGCACGGCAGCTTCCAAAGCATCTATGGGGTTGGGAAATCGGCCATTCCATTCGAAGCTTTGGAGAAGAATGTTTTGTTGATCGAGCTTGTCGAATAGTTGCTGGGGGTATGCCCAATTTGATCTTGAAGGTGCATTTCGAGACCAAGGGTGATTGGGCAGGTCATCGTCATTATGATACAAGCGTAGGCTCCGCAGAAGTGGTGTATTCGCTATGAGTAACTCCAAGTCGATACCACTCTTTCTCATAAGCAGGTGTTGGACCTCAACGTCCAAGGCTTTGATCTTAGTACGATGATCGGTGAATGGCTTGTTCCGCCCTTGTCGAAGGAGGGCAATCAAGCCGTGAGCGCGATGGGCCGGGTACACAGGAGGACTGTACAGAAGAGCAGCCATACATGCTTCGTGGAATGATTTACACAGGGTTGAAGTAGCGCATAACCAGTTGATTGAGGGAGTGGTGGCCGAACGTGCTCCGTAGAGCGGGGTTGAGGCGAAAACCATGATATTCTGGAGGACTGCGTATGGAAGTTCTTGCCAGGGAGGTATGCAACGATCCGTGACTGGTGACGTAGAGAGTTTCGCATGTTGAAGGTTGGAGACGATCTTGGAGGATTCAAGCTTTTGTCGTTTGTATGTAGTGAAGGCGTTCGCAGGCCTTGGTCGACGGTGTGAGCTTTTCTGTGTCTGGACTCCGTCAGACCGTAATCGTGTCCCGATATGTTCTCGAGAGGCTTGAGTAGCAGACGCATGACTTGAAGGGACGGAGGGAGTGGCAGAAAAATCGGCAGGTTCATCAGAGTCATCGTCGGACAACTCTCGATAATTTCGGCGAGTGCCGCGCGCCGGCCTTGAGGATTGGGCTCTCACATCGAAGAAGCTATCAGAATCACTATCGTCGTTTGTGTACCGGATCCTGGGCTTTCGTTTCGGCCGGGATCGAGTTGAGGCATCGGGCTGCATGATGAAGTGGGAGAGATGAAAGAAGGAGGAGCGCACTGTTGGGGTGAGACAGTGGGAGGCGTAATCGTAGTGAGGTGGAGTGTGTGAAGGCGAGATACCAGCCTCGAAGAATGATGAGTGCGCCGCTGATGTTGGACTTGAAAAGAAATGAGCGTAGGATGATACGATGACAGAATTGGAGAGATGATGGCGTGCATGAAACTCGCAGTCGAGCTCGGATCTACCCGCGGCTAGCGCCACCCTGCAGCACTTCCTAGAAAGGCATCTTTGCCGAGAAACATGTGATCAGAACATCAGGGTCAGCGCTCAGCACCTATTGTCGTCCAATTCAACACCATAACTACTATATTCCCTAGCAGTTCTTAACATCAAGGATTATTTGATCTAGACGCCTGAAGTTCTCAAGATGTTGACTTTGTTCTGTAATGGCTTACTAGTAAGGTTAATGAAGATCAATAGGCTCGCGTCCAGGTGCTTCGAGTGCACACCTGTACACAGAATTCCTCGCACGAGTTTACGGATTAGTGTTAGGTGTACTGCAGGTACCAGTTCGTGGTCCGCGAAATGCAAACCGTTCAGGATGAGTATTATTGGCTGGAATGACAAAGTGGTAGTAATGGTACCTGACAGGGTGGGACTCGACCAAAAGGCCCTTAGAAGATCAGGCACACATGGATTCCAAAGGCAGCCCAGGCCTTATAGCCATTTTTAGAACCCGGTTGAATATTAGGATCTGGAATCCTTAGATGGGCCGCACAAGGGCTCTTATGTATGGGAGGGCCTCTAGCTAATGATAGGCGGTCCAAGGACGGAGTACGATAGAGGTTATTGCAGGATGTACCTGTGTCGGCAGCTCATTTGAAGTTGATGTGCGAGACCAGGTGACGTCAATACTACATAGCATCTCATTCGAAATGAGACAACATTATGTTGGAAGTGGCGGTAGCTTTCGAGTAATAGGAGCAGGCATCCGTGCCAGCGCTGGGTGGTGTCTGTCAAATGCCGATTTCTTGTGCCAACAGGGGGATTACGCCAGAGTGGCCGGGGATATGAGGAAGCGGAGATGGGGTTGGACGGCGATGATGGAAATGACTTACGAGTATGATGGTTATGCTGAGTATCTCATCATGATTCCAAGTGCACCAGCTCGTCCCTCAGAGGGTGGACACAATATCCGTCCTCCGTATCAACAACTTGGACTGGATAATGTCCTTGCCAGGCCGTTGATGATCCTAAAACAAATGGAACTCTGAGGGAAGCCATGGCAGATGTAGCGGTGTCCATGGTGGCTGGCAGTGCGCCGGGGGCCCTGGGCCGTGGTCTCTTGGCTGAGTGTGGCTGTCAGGTTTCTACTCCGGGCCCCTACCAGGGTTCAGGGACGACCTTCCAAGCTGGAAGAGCCATAAGGAAGCCCAATTTCCGCTTAACCAAGAGCCCCCCGTCGCAATCACCCCATCAATCTCAATCTCATTCTGGAGTCTGACTCGCGTGCTTGCCCGTCACCAGCTGCACTATTGTTCTCTCAACTACGGGGTACTGAATCCCCTACCGTCGACCAACAATCACCGGCGTCCTATTGCATTATACTTTGGACTTAAGAGCAGTCCAATAGTCAGTACCGACCTGTGGAAGAAGATCTGCATTGGCGAAACGGATAACTCAACGGATGTCCTACTGTAATTCGCAAGCTGCACCTGCGACTCCGCCCGCCACCAGCCCTTGCTTCCCACCTTCCAGGCTAGCAAAGTCACCCTGCCAACTTTTTGGTTTCCCTTGACAGCCTAAGAGTCTACGCGTACTAGTGGTCGTCGACTCGTAGTTAAGCCAATCCTGCATTACCACCTGCGATTCCCTCTACCACTCTTCTTGCGCAACGAAAGACACGCTCCTCCAAAAATACCACCCATCTCACCACTCACCACTGACCTTCGACTATCCGTATGCACTTGCACCAGAGGCCAACTGACGCCCTGTTCTTGCCCTGACTTACTTGTTGTTCGTCCTTCTTCGATCGCATTAATCCCCAAACGCACATCCCACATCACACCAAAGCTCCCCATTCCCTCCTCCGTTGCATGGTGTTTCACAACCGTTATCGCGCCCTCTCGCTCGGTCACATCCACATCACTTTTGCCCTCGACCTCGTCCTTGCCCTCGCCGCTCACGGCACGGTCCTCTAAACGCTCCTCATCATGGGTTCTACGCAGTTTGGCAACTTTCAAGTGAGTCTTACCAAGCTCGAGCCTGCACTACTCGTGCAACCCGAAGCTAACTTCAACTCAAGGACTTCTGTCGAGATTCGACCCTACCCATCTGCAATGTACGTTCGCTCCTTGCCCTTTGTTTCGGCTTTGGCCACTCTCCTAATATGCTTTAGATTCTCACCGACAATAATCAACCGCCCGGGATCGGGTATGTCACAGGCGATGCTGGTTGCGTCCTGCGCGGCATATCGCTCAGTAACAACAGGAACCTCGCGAACCTTGGTTCAATATTACTTTGCGCCATCGCAATCCTCGTCAGCCTCTTCCTCTTATGGCGAGCGGACCGTAAAGCGGCTGCCGTAGGCCGGAGGGAAATGCAACTTTTCCTCATTGGCTTCATCATCATCGAAATATGCGAAATCTTCACAGTTGGAGGCTTCCCTCTGGACAACAACGTCAGGAAAGGCTTTACGGCTGTCCACCTAGCAACAATCACAGCGACATCGTGGATTCTCTTGATGAATGCCTTTGTGGGATATCAATTACTCGATGATGGTACTCCCCTGTCTATAGCTTTGGTCGGAGGAACCGCTGCAGCTCTGTTTATCGGCACAGGCTATATCTCGCTCGACACTGCATTCGACTGGACTGGCTATTGGCAAGATGATTCCTATGGCCCTCTGCATCGCAACGTCGCGCTATACGTACTGTACCAGCTGGCACCCCTGGTCTTCCTCTTCCTATTCTTCATCCTCGAATCCGTCCTCGTCCTTAGGGTCCTTGGCGAAAGGAAACCCATGCTCTATCTCGCCACTGCGGCCCTTTTATTTGCCATAGGGCAGATCTTCCAATATGTCATATCGGTGCATATCTGTAATGCAGCCGATGGCAAAATAAATGGTGCGCTTTTTGAGACATTATTCACTCTCTTAAGTGTCGTTGCAATCTTCGTCTTCTGGTCATCTATTACGGAAGATGACTGGCCTATACAATGATAGTCAAGAATATCCACAAATGGGGTACTTTGGTCAGAGCTCGTTGGGTCATATTCCCATCAACAGCCCACCTGTCTCTTGACATGTACACCAATTCACTGCGCTCTTGGCCACATGCAGGATTACATAATGTTTCGGGAAGGCGATACATGCAGAGATGATTGGCGAAGTGAGGAACTTTTTGCTGTCGGAACATGTGTGGTACTTGAACCCGGGAAAAAGTGCACTGGGCGCACACTTGACGACTTGACGCAGCGTTTGGCGTTTTGAGATATGTATTCCATGTCCAAATTATCGACGAGGTTTGCCACTGTATGAGCCCACTTCATCCATGATAAGGCGATACGGACGATGCCGGCCGGCTTCATTTGGGTCTGCCGTTGATGTAATCTGGCATCACATAACACGGCAGTCCCAACCTAGTAGATTACAAGATATTAAATAGTACAAATTTGACCGCCTTTTGTGAAATAAAATCCCAAGTATTGTTCTCCACGATGACCATGTTGATATGGCATGTTTATGTGGCATGGGATGCCCCCTGCAATATCACGGAAAGGCAAACAAGTCTGAAAAGTAGAATCATAAATATTGACATTCTAGTCTATCGTTCAAATGACTACCTTGACCCCAACGCAAGGTAGAGTCCACTCAGACCGACCAAACAACTGCCGTAGCCATTGTGCCCCGATTCCGGGGTCGACTGGAGACGAAATATCTGAGGTCGCAGTGATAGTCAGCCTTCTTCGGGCCTCGTCAATCACCTCAGATGCAGAATCCTTCATTGCGCCAACCAGTCCCGAGACCGTGGTGGAAGTGAGGTTGAGTAAAAAGTCCCCCATATCAGACGAGCTTCCGTTCAGCGGCTGTGACCCGGTATCATTTGCCAATCCAGAGTTCATTGTATACAGCCGTGGGACGAACCACGACGCTTTCGAACCCGTTTCATTCCCATATGAATTCAGGTCAATGAAGCATCGATCTGACCAGCGGCAGGAACTGGCGAAGAGGATGACCAGGAGGAAGGAGCAGTAGGGGCAAGGTCGGTTGACGACGGTAGTGAGCGCGAGCAGGATGATCAAATGGACCGGAGAGAGCGAGAGCGGGAGTGGGAGGAGAAGTAGCGGTAGATAACTATCGTGAAGGGTCTTATTAGTGAATTGAACAGTACGACCTAGGTATGGAAATGAGCCAGGATGGGACCTACTGCCGCAAGCAATACATCATTGCTTGAGAGAAAAGTCCGCGAGATTGATGTGAAGGGCAAGAGGGAGGAGCATTCAAGGGCGCCTATACAGGTGCAGGCGGCACAAGGTGGGAGGCTATTTCTAGAGTCGCGATGATTCAATAGACAAGAAAGCCGATATGTGGTGGAGGGTGAGACGAGGCTTTGGAACGACAATGACATTATGCGCCGATTCGGGAGACCTTCTATCATCGATGCAGGCAGCCTAGCTTGACACCAGAACCCTTTTAGAGTGCCTACTACTCACGCTCACTAGCTCTAAGAGGTTAATGCCGCTGCTAGTGCGTGCTACGGATAAATGATAGTGGCAGGCGCAAGTTGGAGAGAAAGTGCAGCCATCATAAATTCATCATCCTCTCTACTTTCTGCCTTGCGAGACACACATCATCAACCCCGTCTGACTTCAATACTCCTCAACCACCTTTGACTCTTGACGGGGCAGATCACCTGCGCAGTTAACTGTGCTGCCATTCATTCATCACCATTCACTCAGACCTTTTCTTTCCAGGTGTAACATCCTGGAGTGACTAGGCTTGCGCCTTTTACCTTGGACTTAGGCTCTGCACTTTTGCCGTCAGCAAGCTCCTTCAACTTGTCTTCCACGGTCCTGGCTGAAAATGTCGACCAACGATCTACAAGCTCTTTTTGCAAACCTGAAGCCAAAACCTAGGGACCCTCCTTCAACCATTCAGCGCTCCATCTCCGGGAATCAAGCTCAGCATCCGGGTGCTGCTGCTCAATCTTCAACTTCACCTCCTCCTTTCTCATCACTTGCCAACGATCCCATGTTCAATTCCTTGCCACCAGGGCCTGCTGCAAGCTCGGGCTCGGGCTCGGCCTCTGGCGCCACCGCCCAATCACTCCTCAGTCTTCTCAATTTTGGCCCTTCCACATCCTCCGCAGTTCACTCGGTGCCACCATCCGCACCCAACAATTCTCTACGCAACGGTGAAGAGATGAGAGCAGATTCAGGAAGACCCGCAACCGCTAGCAATACCCCTCAGGTTTCCGCTTCTGATCTTCTCGCAAAATTCATCAGCCCTGTATCTCCTGCCGCTCGTCCAGCTAGCCACTCTCCTGCAAATCTTGAGGATCAAGGTGGAGGTGGCGCACAGCCGACTTTCGAGCCTGGAAGGGATGCTTCCCAAGATGCCCTCTTGAAGCTTCTCAACCGCGCCCAATCGACCTCGGCGACACTGCCGGGCCAGGGGTCGGGCGAGCGCCCACGTCCAACCGCCACTGAGGTCAAAAATGAGGAGAAACTTGGAGGCGCTGTGGCAGGCAACTCAGACCTTCCATTTAGGGTGTCCTCCCAGCATAGTGGTATTTCCACGCCCTCGGAGGACCCAAGAAATGACCCAAAAACTTCAAGTCAGCCTCGGCCGATCTTTACATACACGAATCCATTTCAAGCATTGCAGGCTTCTCGTTCTCAGACCCCCCAAAAAAATTCTCGGGCTTCCCATTCCTCCCAACCCGATGTTCCTCATCCCAGCGTTGAGGCTGCCACTGAAGATACTGTGGATGAAGAACCTGCACGCATGGCAAACCTCGAACAATTCGCAAAGAGAAAGATCTTGACCCCTCGACTTGCTTCTACAGCTCGAGCTGGAGCTGTTTCACCAGGAGCTTCGAATTCATCCTCTGCACAAGCACAAGATTTGAGCCACCCCACTACTGACGAATCTGCTGCAAATCCTGCCATACCACTTCCAGAGATTCTGTCTGGGCAAAACACTCAGGGCGAACAATCGGAGGCCAATGCTTCGTCCCAAAGTGCAGTGGGAATTTCCAAAATCCCCATCGAACCTCAAGTCGAAGGTGGAGATGAATGGGAAGATGCCGAGGAAACAGAAGAAACTCCTGGACAAGAGCCTGCCCCACGAACCGTCCCTGTCTATAATTTCCCGATCAAGCCCTTTGTCTCAATCACACTACAGCTTGATAACAAGTCAGATGTTAATATCCGGGACGACGGGGTGATGGAGATCTCGCGTCTAAAAAAGGACTTCGACCAGTTAGACCGTTCACTTGCCTCCGCCACATCCAAGTATATCACCTACGCGCTGCTCAAGAGCGGTATGCGTATAATCAGACAGGATGATGGCAGTGATCGACAAGTTTTCAAGCACTCTCATGATCGCATTTTTAATGTGACGTTCTGCTCTGCTCTTGACTCAGATGACCAAGCTGTCCTAGGCACCGGTGTCAGTGGCTCTGTGTATTATGCTACCCTTGCAAAAGATAGCAACGACTTGTTTGAGAAGAACGAACTTGAGTCGGAGAGCCTGATCTTTCCCCCTTATCCACCCGCAGACGAGAACACTGCGGGGGGGGTCCTAAAGACTCGCGCAAAGCGCAGCTCTCGACACCCTGAGTTCTTCGCGATTGGAAGAGGCAAGGCTATTCACCTCATCTGGCCAGCTGCCGCACTCTCCTCACGTTTTGGTATCTCACAGGACAACCGACGCGTCGACATCGCAGCCTTTTTCCAGGAGCGATCATTGCAGATATCAACCGGAAAGGCTGGAAAGGACTTCACTTTCAGTGAGGATGATAGTTTGATCGTCTCTCTTGACAAAACTGGAAGGCTCCGGTTCTGGGACATACGGAAGTTGATTGACGAGTCCAATGCCACGGGTATTCGCGCCAATATGACGGTGGACATGCCACTGTTGTCGCTGTCAACTGCATCGCCTGCTGAGAAATCATGGCCTACTTCGGTGCTATTCGTTGACAAGGCTCGACCGTATGTTCGGGGTGGCCCACTGCGATATGTTCTAGTTGGCTTGAGACAAAACCATACTCTACAACTATGGGATATTGCTCTCGGCAAAGCAGTTCAAGAGCTCAATTTTCCTCATGAGAATGAAACAGACGGCATTTGCAGTGTCAGCTACCATCCCAACAGTAGTATCATTGTCATTGGCCATCCCACGAGAAATTCGATCTTCTTTGTGCATCTCTCAGCTCCCCGATACTCTCTTAGCGCATCATTGTCGCAAGCAGCATTCATCAACCGCATTGCCATGAAAGATCCAGAACTCCCAAAGCCAGAATCAACTGCGTGCATGAGTGGAATCCGGGAGATTTCCTTCGCTTCAAAGGGACAACTACGCAGTGTTGAGCTTCTGCCCATCAACCGTCCTCTAGATGTGCAGAAGAACCTCGATGAGAAGACACCACTCTTTGAGCTTTATGCTGTCCATTCTAAGGGTGTCACATGTCTGAGCATCACCAAAGAAGATTTGGGCTGGGACTCGGACAGTAAGGTTGTCCATAGTATCGATGCAAGCAAGAATGGTTATGTCAATCTGAAGGAATTGAGATTGGGTAGCGTGATCGAGGAAGCACCACGCAGCAAGAGTCCTACTGAAGAGGTCCAGCCAACTGCCAAAGCGCCTTCGAAGAAGAAATCAGCTAAAAAGGGAGTCAATAGTACCGACCGAGACGTCACAATGAATGAGCCTTCTGAGTCTAGCAAAATTACCCCAGCTCAACCACTAACCAATGGCACTGCGGCTGTGGAGGGGCCGAACGGCGACACCTCGTCCGCACCCAAGGAGAGCAAGAAGAGTAAGAAGAAGACTTCTACTGCTGTTGATCAAAACGTACCTGGCAAGAGTACACCTCGCACGGCATCCCCAACGAAGAATACCCAGGTTCCTGCGGATGCTCCTGCAAGCAAGGATCTAAGCTTGGACGAAAAGCCAAGTCTCAATCCGCAAAGTGCAGCGACCACATCAGCTGATCTAGGCTCTTCTAGCAAAGCCGAGCCTGTTACCGTCGGCATTTCCGGTGACTGGTTGGACAAGGAATTGAAGAAAGTCGAGCGCGGAGTTTCGAATGAATTCCGCAAGGAGCTGAACACACTTTATCAAGGCATCCAGAACGACCGACTTGTGCAAGATGCTGCGGCCTCGACTCGTCAAGAAGCCCTTCTCCGACTAGTCTCAACGACCTTGACAACCAATGTCGAAAAGAGTCTCTCTCGTATCTTGGCCACTCAAATGCAGCAAGTTGTGGTTCCTTCGATTACCGGTATCACGGTTCAAGCCGTGAGCAATCAAGTGGGAGATGCACTAGCGAAAGCATTGCACTCTCTTATTCCACATGAGCTCAATGTTCAATTGCCTGTGGCAATCAATAACGCAGTGCAAAGCCCTCAGGTCACTCGCTTGATCGCTGACACAATCTCTCAAAAGATCGTGAAGCACACGGAGACTCAGCTCTCGGACATATTACAAAAAGAAATTGTGCCTACCTTCACAAGCCTTGCACTTTCAGCAGCAGAAAAAGCAGCAGCCGAAGTGGAAGTTAGGATGCAAGGTGAAATTCGCCAATATGAGGCACAGCGTCGACATGATACCGCACGTTTGGAAAAGTTGAGCCAAGCATTGCAAAGCATGGCACAGACCCTGCAGCAAATGTCTGATACTCAGGTTGCTTTTCAAAGTCAAATTCTCAAAGACCGCCGTCAGCTTGCGGTGCTCGGAGAAGGCAGTGCAACTCCAGGATCGAGGCAAGTATCAACAGCCAAGTTGACGCCAACGCAATCGCATGCTACGGTTCCAACCCCACAAACACCCAAGTCACGGGAGGAATTGGAGCTGGAAGACATCGCACGACTGATGGATGGAGGCCGCTATGAGGAAGGCTCAATCAAGTGGCTGCAATCCACTCAGCAAATCGAATTGTTCGACAACCTTTTCATTCATTATACTCCAGAGTACCTTGCGACCGATGTTTCGCCACTCATTGCCTTCTCCATTGCTGTGACCATTGGAAGCTCACTCAACACCAACACTGCGCGACGTCTTGAATGGATTGCTGCGGCCTTTGATGCCGTTGATCTTCAGGTAAGTTTGTCCTTGCAAATTATGTGAGCATTGTTTCTAACTAACCTTCCTCTTCAGGATCCCGAGATAACGGACCTCGCCGAGCATGCTCCCGCACTCCTCAGCTCTCTCATTCAAAAAATAGAAGGGTTGTACATGACCATTGCCGAACGTGATCCCAGAGACCCAGCACTGCAAATAATGCCCGTTGTCTCAAGAAGAGCGAAAGAGATGAGAGTGTCGATGATAGGCCCTCCTTCATCTTATGGGCGACCAATCATGCCTCAGGTGTATTAAAAACAGGGTTGAGCTGGAGGACGAGGAACACTGTTGAAACAGGTCAAGAGTTCCACGCATCAGATCTTGGCTATGCTGGTTGAAGGATTCTCTCTTTGTTAAGGTTATTGCAGAGCTGGAAGGGACACATGACTGATCCCGTCGTGGACATTTGAGTGTTGATGCGCTTTGCTTGATGCCTCTTCAGGCTGGCTCACTATCGTTGTACAAAACCGGATGCTTAAGGCGGTCAAGGGATGCCGTGGAGATAGGTTTGGGAAAAGGCGCTTGATGGAGTACTTACTGGAACCAGATGCCCAAAAAAAAGCTTGTTCTTCTAATCTTTCGTTATCGGTGTCATCCATGGATCATTTGTACACGCCGACATCCTCCTAGCTCGATCAGGCGGTCTGATGCTAACAGCGGATGCATCCCATATCAGGCAACGCAGGTACATGGCTGGCATGATTTCTGTGGCAAGATATCACTCACATGATTCACTCCTAGCTCGAAAGCTGAGACTTCACGAATATGGGAGTTAAGAAAAGCACCGTGACATCCATCAACAACTCTGCTGAACCCTGTCCTTAACCACGCTTTTATCAGAGCTCAGTCAGTTGCCTGTCTATCCTCATTTCGATATCGTTTCTGTTTTTCTGTATGTAAACTACCTTGTCACTCGTTTCCAATTCGACCTTTGACAACGTTCATGAGCTCTCACTCACTGCGGTTCTTCACGAATCGTCCATCCACGTCCCACCGCGAACACATGCCTCCGGTGTCAATGAACGAGGCGTCCACCGCGAACGAAACGCAGTCTTCATTTCTACAAGTACTCAGTGCCACCCCCGAAAACGAACCTCAAGACAAGGGCTTCAAAATCATGAAGAAGCTCTCGACACCTGAGAATTTTCGGTACGCTAGCGGGACCCGGCGCGGCGAAGTGGTCATCCCTCAGTCCGGTAGATGTGTTTATGTTCGCCGTCGGTCAGCCAAGACGCTGAAAACCTATTTGACAAAACAAGATCCAGAACCCGACGATGAAGTAGAATACGACTACACATTCTAGCTAGCTCAGTACGTTCATTACGGCCTGACGTTCCCTACCATCGTTTGAAGAAGGAGCCTTATCACCTCCGGAAGCTAGCCGAAGAGTTAATAAGGCAGCATGTCGAGGTGTCTGAGGGACAGGTTGAGCACGATGAAGGGAGTTCAATGCTGGCCCTTGTGCCTAGAGAGGAAGAAATGCTCCAGATGGTCGATCATGGTGAAGGGGTTTCCGTTCTGCGCGTGGGTACTGAGACGCCAGATCGTCACCAGGAGTGTTCTCAACCTCAGCAATCCGGCAACGTGGGTGTTGTGACTCCTCGGAGCTCATCCTATGGCATACCTTAGACCTGGAGATTGTGCAAGAGCCAGCAAAATCCATCTGGGTCGCGCCGTCTGACGACGAGAATGGCTACAGCTCGTAGCATTTACGACCGAGAGGCGAGAGGTGAAACAAATTTCGATGCAGCCCTGGCCAAACATGTCAACTATTTGTACAACGAGGCAGATTTTGATAGGTTCAGTGGGTTTGAAAACGGATCCACAACATCTGAGACCGGTCACATTGAGCGATCATCCAGCCGAGTCACCAGGTGATCCACTCCGAGGGGCAATAGCGATGGTACGACCAGGAAAGCTCAGCTCACCTCCACACCGAGCCCAAGAACCCTAAGTGATGTGGGCAGAGTACCGGGAGCTAGTGCAGTTCGGAAGAAGAGGAAGGTTAAAAGAAAGAAGCACAAAAAGAAAAAAGCAGCCCGGGGTAGCTCTTTCAGACGTTTCCATAATGAGCAAGACGTCCTCTCTCCTACAATTCCAGCAGCGAAAACGACGAGGCTAAAAGGAAAAGCAAAATCAACACGCGCAAAGACGCACATACGCCTGAATCAGTCCAACTCGGGGTTAACCATCACTGGACCGCAGAGAGCCATGGCCCAACCCCAGGACAATCAGAGTCGCTCAAAGTCTCCGACTCCGGCTCCATCGGAGCTCCATGTTATCTCTTCAGATCCTGAGTCTGAATCTGGTCATGCGTCAAATCATACTTTTGCTTTAACCCTGAGGAAGGGAAGTGCTTCCAGTATCTGTACGCCAAATGCAACGGCAACTCCAAAGCAACGAGCAGGATTTGAAGTCTCGAGCTCATCGAACGCTCCGACCACTGAATATCATTCTAGCGCGGCAGCCCAGAGCCCCAGTGTATCTGCAGATCAACAAGAAACTCACTCTGTCTCTCAAGCATTCGTAGCAGAATCGAGATCTATTACGGAACAACCCAGAGATGATGAGAATGCTGCATATAATCAAGATAGTGGTAGCCGAGTGCGAGACCTTCAGAGGAGGCAGAACCTTTGGAAACTAGAAGAGGAAATAGAGGCTCGGAGGATAGATCTAGAGGAGAAGGAAAGGTGGGGAGCAAAAACAAGAGCCTGGCCAAAAGCTGCCGAAGAGAGAATCCTAGTGGAAAAGGGCAGCGATGCAGGAACATTCTGCAATGACACATACTTCACCGGACCAGAGACAAGGTGTATCTCACAAGCAGAAGACGCCGAGAAAACGAACTTGTGCAGAAAACCGGAAGCGGGCGAGAAGCGATAGCCTACCACAGGAAAATGACCACCCTGACAAGGTCGCCATGTCTACTATCAACCATCCTCCACGCAATAGAAGCGGTAGCTCCCGCGCTCGAAAGAAGGCTCGATCGGTCCATCCTGTCGAAAGGGAGAAAACAAGAACAAGGCACTAGCCAATCTCACATCGAGACAGCGAAACCCTCAAAAGACAGGAAGGAGAATGCTAGGAAGGCAGAGCGATCAAGCAATGAATTGAGCCAAAAGCTTACCCCAGCTGTATGCCTGGCTGTATGCCTGGCTGATGATGACAAGACAAGGGTCCAGGCGCCGATAATCTCTTCTCTCCCCAGAGCAAACCATCAGAGAAGTCATCTCAATCTACCTCGCAAGACAAGTCAGCCATCGTGAAGCGTGCTTCAAACCAGACCGGCTCCCAGCGCCCCAGCTTACGTGATATTGTTCTCAAAGGCAGACCAGCATCCCCAGGCCAGCTAGGGGCACTCCGACCCAACAAAGTAGCCTCCGCAAAGCAGGAATGGCGCCGAATAACATACACCATGAACCCGACGGCCGGGCGCCGGCCCGGAAGCTACCGGCTCGACAGCGTCGCACCGCAACACTTCCGCGACCTGATGACAATGGAGGTCCCGATCCTGGGTCCCGGGCAGAAGACCTGAGGATCTGCCCGCTCCGCGCATGGTGCCGAATCCGGAGTACGGTGATGATCTGCCGCTGGAGCTGCAATGGTTGGAATGGCACTAGGCGTTCAAGAAGAAGGTCCTCGATGATTTCATGGCGAAGATCCCGGAGGATTCATCCTCTGAGGGCCTGCAGCCCAGGCTTGTTGGTGATGCTAGGGGTGTGAGGGTGGAATGGTAGGTGCGTGCGTGCGTGCGTGCGTGCGTGAAAGGTCTAGGGGCTTGATGGGAGGGTGCTGGAGAGGACCGAGACCATGGATTCCAACTTTTAGTGTTTGAGCATTGCACCTTGATGCAATCACTGGACCGTGCAACTTCTGAGGATCCGCCATGGCTGAGATGGAGATAGGCATTGGCGCCATCCACGAGGAGGCGCATCTATGCACGGTTAAGTTCAAGGAGTCGACGGGCAAAGTTCATTGTTGAAAACCCTAGTACTTGTATTCGCAACAGCACAAACCAGGGTTCAAACACTGTGCAATCAGATAACCGGCTCATACACTTATCACATTTCATCTCCATCTTTGGACCGGGACAGGAACGTGAGTATCGCTCCTTCAACCTGAGTTAGTTCGGCCCCCGACTGATCAATATGTACATAATCATGCTCTCAAGTTGGCCAGAGCCACGACCAAGGAGCGCCCCACCTCTGGGTTGTAGATACCAAGTGTGACGTTTACACGCGGTACGGAGGCCTCGATATTATGGTAGGGAAAGCATCAGAGTCTTTACTCGGTCCTAGAAGGTGCTCCTCTTAATGGCACCTGGCGGAATAGGCCGCGGCTTGCAATCGGCCACTCTGCGGCGACTTCTACTATCTTTACAGCGTACTGATCAGAGACTCTTCTGTATTTTGATATCAAGAGCGAGGTTGAACATTAGGGGGTCGATTCGTCAAGTCTGTCATCACAGATGCTATGTAGCCTAATACTATACATATATATGTAAATATCTTCTGAGCTTATCCTCCCTTACAGTGTACCCTAGTTAGACTGTCGCCTGGTACGATTTTCTAAAGAAAGTATATGACGGACGACACGGCTATCGGCACGGTCAAAGTATCCGACCAGGCCCCAAGACCTCTTTTCCAAAGACGTCAAGGCGCAGGAAGCCTAAGCCAGATGGACACACATGTTCTTTGCTTGTTCTGGATCTTTAAATATGGTCTTCAGCTCATGGTTTGACCAGGATACGCATTTTGCTGACGCGGACTCACTGCATCAATCAAGCAATGCCTTGGCAGGGTGCAGGCAGGGTTCAGTCAGAGTTCGCAGCCCTTCGACTTGAACCTCGGAATGCTGTCCGAGTTCTTGATGTCGATTTTAGCACGATTGTTAGATAGGACACATCTAGCCAGAGGCGGTGGTACCTAAGACTACATCTACGAGCATGGAAGAACACCACAGCCAATCCAACTTCTCCCATTCCCCTCAGCCCCCTCTGGAGTCCCTGGACCATCGTTCCGATCAATCAAAGAACAACGGTCTCAGCGTCGTTAACGCCAAAGAACAAGCTCATCGGATCCTTGTAGTTGACAAAGCCACAGAATGGTGGGCTGATGCCGTAGCCTAGCAGGCGCTGCGCTTGTGGACTCAGTCGCTTGGCTTTCTCCGGTGGGACCTGTGGATTTGATTTTATGGATGTGAGACAGGGCCGAGAACGGAGGAGAGAACAAAGAACAAAGAGTTGAGCTGCGCAGCTACGGAACGGGGAAGATGGACGAGGGAGGAGTGTTCTTACCATGAAATATTGGTTCTCGACTTGTCGGTACATGCCCTTGCAGAGGAAAATGCCGACAGTTTCGCGGGATTGGTCTCTATGTCGGAGGAAGTTGATTCCCCAAGTCAGTGAGCGGGTGGATCAGACAAGGGGCAGGAGGGAAGAGGGAGAGGCGGCATCTGAAAGGTTCCGTAGGTGGCTTGACTGGTTCGATGAAACTTACACGGTGGTATTCCCCCCACCCGCATGGTAAGTGCTCCCGAGGAAGATCGTCGCATCGCCGGGCTCCAGCTCCGCGGGGACAGCCTCATGGTCATACGGACAGCGATCATCCTTCCACTTATGCGAGCCAGGGATCACAATCGTCGCACCGTTCGCCTTGGTCGTCTTGGTCACCGCGGTGACACAGCCTATCAACATGGGCCGGTCCGAGTCTCGCATGTGGTAGTCGATCTCGTCGCGGTGCAGGCCCTGCTGCTTGCCGCCGGGGTTCACCTGGAAGCCGACCGTGCTGGAGATCTGTGGCTTGGAGGTGGAGGTGTGTTTCTCCTGGCCCAGGTAGTACGTGAACTCGTCGGTGAGGAGCTGGTTGGCGACGGCGTTGAACACGGGGTTCAGCGCCAGCTCGACGCAGTGGTCTGAGATCGCGAGGAGGCCTGTCGCGCGTCGGGTTGTGCTTGGGAAGAAGCCGCTCGCGTCGCCTGTGTCGGCTTCGAAGTGTGGTTTCAGGTCTTGCCGGATTGCCTCGGCGAGGTCGCGGGAGATCAGGTTTTGGACGACCACGGCCCCGTCGCGCTCGAGGATCGAAATCAGCCTCTCGGTTGTTGTTTCGGGGTCCAGTGCTGAGATCCGTTCGAGGCCGCGTGGTGGCGAGCCGGGAGTTTCGTTTGTCGTCGACATGATGGTGGTGGTTGTTCAATATTGACGATACAGGGGGGGTGAAGAATAGCAACCGCGGATGAGAAGCAAGCTTGTGAAGAAAGATATACACAAACCTCGAGTGAGTGTGGGGAAGGGTGTTTAAAACCCACATGTATGCCCTTCGCTTAACCTTTTTGTTCCCCAGAGGCCAGAGGGTGTATCAACGCGTTGGATGGTCACGGAGATCGAGCGTTGCGGACTGCTTTACCTAAAACGAGGTCAAACCTTGATGATAATACGAGCCTGCTTACGCTTTCCTTGGAGGGACGGAGAACACCACCAGCGGCTGTTGACATCCCACCAAATCAAACGCTTGACCTGTGCATAGTTGCCGGGTGGCCATCGTTGTTGAATTCTGCGAGTGCTTCATCGTAGACTGGGTATGTAGAAAGGAAACCCTGGGTGAATGGAGACGACTTGTGTGGAAACTCATTCATATCAAGAGGAGAGAGCGCCGACAAGATCAGGCGCACTCATCAGAACTTATCAGGGGAACCTCCCGCTCTAGGCCGCAAGTCATGGCTTCTCCTACCGTGAGGTCGTGCCATGGCTCGGGTCCAGAATGCCATCTGCAGAGCCATCGAATTTCTCGCATGGGATCCAGCGAAGCGAGGCTGAATATTTATATATGTGGAGAAGTGAAGAACACATTCATTTATCGCGCAAGGCCGATGGCGAAAACGGTCAACTAGCAGGAATCATTGCGTAGTCCCAACGGTTCCAACTACTTACCTACTTACCTTGGTGGTGGGGAGGTGTTCGCCGCTCCCGGACCAAACATCCAGTCCAAGGGGCCTTTAGCCACCAGCCACAGCTCGGTTCATCAAAGTCCAAAACCCCCCAGGACTCGTACCAAGCAGCCACAGCGTCATCTCCCAGAGACTCAGACACAAACCTCCATGTGGCCATTGGGATTGGTGGGATAAGCCAGGCGAATTATGCGCCATGGCGGAGCAGCAATGATCTCATCGCAAGTCGGTACATACCCATCTTGGTTTTTCCTCGGTTCTGGACCATAAACTTCAGTCTGCTCAGACAATGTCAGAGAAGAAAGTTGGAATTGTGGACGACGACAACAACCATGACATGTGGGATGATGGGGCGGTGGTAGACGTGGCATGCAGCTCAGTCCTGGATGTCTGACATGTGCATGTGGCATCCTTGGGAGATCTTGGGAGGTGATTCTTGATTTGGTATTAAAGGGGTGTTGGACGTGTCTTCCTGCGCATAGACGTTTTCGGTTCTTGGGGCTACTGTCTTTCTTTCTTCCCGTGCAGTCGGTATCTTACTTGGATCGTTAGATTGCTTCCCACCCCTTGATCTTCACCTCTTGACGTTATTACCTTGAATTCCACCGCAGACCATGGGCGACCCAACACCCGAAAACTACTGCATGCTCCAGGGCTTCGAGTGGAACGTGCCCGCCGACCAAAAGCAATGGGCCCGGCTGCAGAACGCGCTCGAGGGCCTGAAGAAGACCGGCGTCGACAATGTCTGGCTGCCACCCGCGTGCAAGGGCGCAGGCGGCGGCAAGGCCAACGGATACGACGTCTATGACCTCTACGACATCGGGGAGTTCGAGCAGAAGGGCTCCCGGGCCACGAAATGGGGTACCAGGGAAGAGCTGGATCAGCTGGCCCAGAAAGCCGAGGAGCTGGGCGTCGGCCTGTACTTCGACGCCGTGCTGAACCACAAGGCCGGTGCGGACAACAAAGAGAAGTGCAGGGTCATCGAGGTCGATCAGAACAGTAAGTGCCAGCCGGAAAAGAAAGCTCGGTTTCGACGAGACCACGAACCCGCCCTGCATTGAGTGCAGCGAGCTAACCTGGGCCACTCTTCTCAGATCGAACGGAGGAAATCGGCGAACCCAAAGAAATCGAGGCATGGCTGGGCTTCGACTTCCCGGGACGGGGGGACAAATACTCGTCACAGAAATACCACTGGGAGCACTTCTCGGGCACCGACTACGACGCGGGGAACGACAAGACAGGAATCTACCGCATCCTGGGCGACAACAAGCACTGGTCGAACAGCGTGGGCGACGAGAGTGGCAACGCCGACTTCCTGATGTTCGCAGACGTCGACTACAGCCACCCGGAGGTGATCGGCGACGTGATCCACTGGGGCGAGTGGGTGGTGCGCGAGTTCAAGCTGCGCGGATTCCGGTTCGACGCGTGCCAGCACTTCTCGGAGCGCTTCACCAACGAGTTCGTGGCGAACCTCGAGAAGCACTTCGGCGAGGGCAAGCTGTTCCTCGTCGGCGAGTTCTGGGTCGGCGACGTCGACCAGCTGCTCGCGTACCTCGACGAGATGCACCACAAGTTCAGCCTGTACGACACCCCGCTGCTGAACAATTTCAGCCAGATCTCCACAACCGAGAAGGGCGACCTGCGCAAGGTGTTCGACAAGTCGCTCGTCCAGGCCAAGCCGGATTCCGCCGTCACGGTCGTCATGAACCACGACACGCAGCCGGGCCAGACGGTCGCGACGCCGATCGAGGGCTTCTTCAAGCCGCTGGCCTACGCGCTGATCCTGCTGCGCAACCAGGGCTACCCCTGTGTCTTCTACGGCGACCTGTACGGCATCAAGGGCGAGCACGAGGAGCCGCCGAGCTGCGGCGGCAAGCTGCCGCACCTGATCCTGGCGCGCAAGCTGTTCGCGTACGGCGACCAGGACGACTACTTCGACGACGAGCCCACCTGTCTCGGCTTCGTGCGCCGAGGCACCCATGACAGACCCGATGGCCTGGCTGTCGTGCTGAGCAACGCCGGACCCGGCCAGAAGCGGATGTTCGTCGGAGACGCGCACAAGGGCGAGGTCTGGTCGGACATCCTGGGCTGGCAGACCGATGAGGTTACGATCGAGGACGACGGGTTTGGGGACTTCATGTGCTCTGGCACCAGCGTCAGTGTGTGGGTTAAGAAGGACGCGGAGCTGCGGAAGCAGGTCGACGAGTTGGATTTCGACGATGATATTTACAAGAGTTCTTGAGACGGCATCTGAGGTTCACTTTTACTGATTGAATAGGATGGGATAGGACGGGATAGGACGGGACAGGGATTGTAATGCTTGGGAATCCTTCGATGGATGTTAGACAGAGGCAGCGAACTGTTAGACACAGACGGAGTCCCGCCCTAGGCCTGATGAATCTTGACGGCTGTAAAGATGGGTTTGGACAAGACGAAAGAATATAACAGTCTAGATGCCATGGTGTCATCCCGAGGAAGGACAGTCTGGACAGTGAACAAATCTATCATGCCATTGTAGAGCCCGAGCATATCTTGACGCGCTGTATATGTCTCACTCACTGTTTATCGTACGTCTGGCTTCTTTCTTTAAGAGGATGGATGATCCCACGCCTCGCTTTACCTCACCAAATGAGAACGCTCTCCCGTATCTTGAATCAATAAGGCACAGGGCCCAGCCCGCCATAAGTCGTATATCTACCAGGGTGTATCCGCTATAAATGCCTCTATTTTTAATATCCCGCCCCAACAGCCCACTGGCCGCCGGGCGAGAATGATCAAAAAGTTCCGCTATCCGTATCCCCGCCATAGAGGACCTCGCATACACCGCCAATGGGGATGTCCATGACAGCGTCGGTGCCCTCGTTCCACACGAGCCTCCAGTTCGGGTACTCGGCGTCGCTCGGCTGATAGTGGTTTGGTCCGTTGTCGTAGCCTCCCCTTTGGTACGAATAGCCTGAATCGGGCTGGCCGGAGTAGAGGTACTGTGGGACCGCTGGTCTCGGTCCGGCTGAAGCCGAAGCTGGAGACGAGTACCGGGCAGGGATTTCTGGTGGCGCGTCATGCCGCGGGTGACTTTGGGACTGATGCTGGCTAGCGCTGGCAGCCATATTGTTCGAACGGCGACGGTTACGATTCGCCTGTTTGGAATTGGCGTTGGCGTTGGACGATTTCCGTCCCTTGCCCTTGCCTTTCCCCTTGCCTTTGGATTCCATCTCCTTCTGCAACTTTGCGCGTTCTTCGAGTTCCTTGACGAATCGCTTGCTCCCGCCTTTTCTCACCCGGCCGTATTCATCCACAACAGCCACGTTCCCGGCCTCGTCGACCATGCATTCCAAACTCGCGAGTGGGAGGGTTAAATACTCGACGTTGTAGCTCAGTAGGGCGACGTAGATGAAGACCAGGAGCATGACGATCCAGGCGGGGATAGCTAGGCTCCACCATCGGTTGGGGTAGTAGGTGACGCCAAGCGCGTGGAGGAATGGTGACGGTAAGTATGACCAGAGGATGTAGATTAGAAAGGCGAGGGAGGATGCTAGGTACAGCACGAAGCCGTAGTATTCGTAGGTGGGAACTTTCGGGGATGTGGGTGGTAGGGGGTGGGCGCGACGTGCGGAATGTGCAACGGCTGCCTCGGTGTCGTTGGGAGTCTCGACGTCTGAGGAGTCTGGGGTGGTCGGGCGTGTGGAGGTGGTAGAGCGGTTGAGTAGGGATGGTGGGCGGAGCAGAGAGGTCAGGCTGGGCGATGGTGGGAGAGGGGTTGGTGGACGGTTGTAGAAGGGTGGATAGAGAGGCGGTGGGACTGGAGGGAGTGATATCGTTGACTGGGATGTGTGGAGGCCATTGCTCTGCAGGTGAGACGGGGAGTAGCCATGAGACTGGTGTGGTAGTGGGCGAGCCGGTAGAGATCGAACCCTCGAGAGGAAATCAGGGCGATCTGAAGATGATGGAACGACACCACCGGGCCTGGCGGCGCCGTTTTGCGATATGTCATGGCCATCTTGGGGTTGTTTGTCTTGACTGTCTTCGTCCTCGTCCTCCTCAGAGCCATCCTCTGATTCTGACGCCGACGTGTCTTGCCGGGAGTAGTGTGACTCGAAGTCGTCGTCGGTCAGGGTCACTCCTGAGACGTCATCCTCATTCTCTACCAGCTCGCCCTCAGAATGTTGGTCCATCTGGTGCTCATTGTCCTCCCGCTCATCAGAGCCGAGCTGGAAAGCAGTAGTAGAGCGGGGCCTCTTTTGAGGAGTGGGAGTGGGAGTCGGCGTGGGAGTGGCACCATCACGATCAGGAACGTTCATGCGTGGACCGGTAGGCGTCCTTTGGTCTCCTGGAATCAAAGCAGTTGGTGAAGGGAGGTTCTCGAGGTATGGTCTCAACGTCGGGGGAAGGGAGTTTGATTTGGCAAAGGTTCGCTTAGGCGGCTCAGGTGACGGACCTCTACTTTGAGGAGGCATGTTGGAGGCCAGGACCATGACCAGGGAAGGGGGGGGGGGAGGGAGCGGAAGATTAATTTGTGCAGGAATTGGAGAGTGGAAAAGCAATGCGGGGATTGAGTCAAGAGCAGCTTAAATTCTCCGATATATGACTCGTACTTCATCCCACCCCGTATGAGTAACTTCTCACCCACACATCTTCTAATGACATGTTCCTGGCGGGTACGGATGACGGTACTTTCCGCCCGACTATCAAGTACCGAGTATGAAGTACAACGTCTGCAGCTATCGCACATCTACACGGATACACGATGGACCAATGCCTCCGTTGACAGCGCCCAAGCTTCGACAGGGCGGACTTTATATTTAGCGTTTCTGCCCATCGTCCAAAGTAGTAATAGTAATTTCTGGGCCAGCGAACAGACGGAACGCCGACATAACCCCCTGTCAGAAGTTCAGCCTCCGAAAGCTTTGCCTCCTTGCCAACGGCGGCATCGCGGCAGTCAAATCTTATGGGAAAGACAAGCAATAATGGAGCTCCGTCTCCGTGCATACACAGATGGCCATGGCGAACCTCCTGGTGCGTGACGTGCATGACAGCAGTTGTCCGTCAGTTTTCTCATGCTTCACCATCGCGTAACTCACCTCAGCAATTACCGGTAAAGTGGTCACGGTCGGATGAACAAGACAGGAAAGATAAGTGTGTGCCAGACAGCCATAGCACAAAAATATTATCATTTGAGACCTTTCATTAGAAGTTCCTTCGCCAGAAGTTCCTATGCTCTCTTCGGGATATCTGTCAAAACACCATTTACCATGGTTCGCTCGATATAGCTCCAAGCCCACGGTTTGATTTTATACAATAGTTTCGCTAAAGGGTACTCAAAAATTCGTAAAAGTCGTGAACGGGCACACCTCTCGGAGGGCGCTCTCGTAAATCTGGGAATATGTGACAAGTGATTGTGGTCTTCCTCCTCCCGTTCCGCGGTTGGTCTGTCCTCCTTATTTCTGCCAGAAGCCTTCAATGCTTCTCAAACCTAGTCCGATGGGCCCACTGCTATTTCTGTCCATGGGTGAGATATATGAATTTGTATTGCTCTTGCCAGTCCTAGGCGAAGGTAGTGGTGGTGTGGGAAAACTGGATAAATCGATTCGACTTTTGTTGGGCATCTTCGGTGTCATCATTGCTGGAGTGGGCATCGGCACATCGTGTTTTGTCGTGATTTTCCCTAGTCCCTTGATTGCTTGTCCTATGCTCTCGCTCCTTCTGCGGAGGGCGGAGAAGGACTTCTTCCTCGACATGGACTTGGCTACAGGATCACTCACAACATCATCCGCTGGAGGAGTGGGGAGGGAGGGCAAAGCCGTCATAGGGTGGTGGCTAGAATTGGAACCAACGGATCTCATGCTCATCGAGGTAGGAGGTCGTTGCATCTGTGATAAGTTTGTGATACTGCTGCTGGAGGCGGTATTCTTCAAGGCATATCCATCGAATCCGGATATACTGGCTGTGGAAGGTCGGCTTGCATGACCCGAGTTGCGCGAAAAGGATCTGGCATGGGTTGCAGATGTAGGTGTCTTGACCAAGCTTTTGATACTGCTGACCCGCGCGTGACTGATTGCCGTCGAAAGCCGAGGAACACTTGATTTCCGCTCAGCCCGGGTTTTGGGTTGACTCAAGGACAGAGGTAGTGATTCCTGGCTCGCATTGGCAATCAATTGAAAAGCATTTGCAGGTAAGTCGGGAACGTCAAACAATGTCGCTTCGGCTGCAGGGAATCCGCCGTGAGAGCTGGTTGTAGATAGTCGTTTGGAAGGTCGTTCAAGGTTGTGTGACATGGTCTGCGAGAGAGGACTCTGGGTTGATGGCGTTCTCCGCTTACTTCGTGTTGAATCGCTCGTTGAGATAGAGATCAAAGATGGCCGTCCTTTGGGTAATTGGTATGCGATGGGTGTGGCAGTCTCGATGGGTGAAAAGGTTTCGTCAGTGTCAAGATCTGGACTCATGAGATCTGATATAGGAGACTCTAATAAGATGGAAAATCGATCATATCGAAAGTCTGAGAGGGTTGCAAGTGAGGCTTGTAGACGAACAGGGCTTGGTGACGGAGGCACCTTGACGCCGTTGTCGTCCAAGTCCATTTCAAGGCCTTCCACCTCTTCGGGGATGTGGAGTTTGAGAGGTGTGATGGAAGAGGTATCGACCTGATGTTGTTTGCCAAAGATAGCTCTGCTGGAGAGTGACTCGTCGGGAGTTAGAACGCTTCGTTCTGACGGAGTGTCGACAGACGACTCTCGATCGTAATGTTCGTCGTTTTCGTCGTTAGAGCCACTATCCTGCTCGTGGACATGTTCGGCCATATGATCATACATCATGACCCTCCTCTTGTGTTGTTGCCGTCTTTCGACTTCCATGGCTTGCAGTTGTTGGCGTTCTTGAAACTTCCGTCTCCGGGCGGAAGCAGAACTCATCTTGCGGGATTTGAGAACTTCGTCCATGTTGGCTGAAGAATGGAGGTCCAAGCGATGTATTTGGAGGTCTGGGAATGGCACGGAAGAACGATTGCCGGAAGACATTGGAATATGTGCAGAAAGACGTTCCAGAGATCTTTTTTTCCGGGGCGGGAGTCTGAGAATCTAACCGTCACCTGGAACTCTGAAGGTAGCAGAATGCCGTTTCATGGAACAGAGGCTGCAACAGAGTTCAAGAGTGACGGGGCCAACCTGGACAATTACATCGGCCCATCGGCCATGCCTTGACAACAGAATGCTTGTTGGCAATCGGCTAGTAGCTGAGGTGTGGGAGGAGGATGGGCCCGGGCAAGCCACCAAAATGCACCGGTTGGGAACTTGGGATGGTGTTGAGTCTTTGACTGGGGGTTTAACGAGCCAACCACACGCCCAACCCAAAAGCAGAATACGATTCTTGCCGGATTCAGGATAGAGGCAAAGTCAATCTTGCTGATTGACAAAGGCGGAGAAAAGATGGGAGAGGCGAGGGCCAGAACTCCAGGGTCTTGCATAGTAAGCGTGGTTTAGGGTAGCACCTCGGACATAGTTTAATGAGATTGCAGGAAGCCAGTGCCAGACAGGATAAGGGCAAGCGAGCTTCCGAAGAGTGGAAGGCCGTCTGGGTCCTTGACGCGGGGACCTTCTGATGTTCAACTCGTTGCTAGCAGTGTTAGAGAATAGCTGCTGCAGGTTCGAGGAGGTGATGAAGTGGATCACGCGGGAGGGTAGTCCAAACACCACCGTTTCATCTAGGGCCAAACCGAGAAACAGGCGTTGGTACCTGGTCCTGTCCCGGCCTCCAGAAGCAAGAGATGATGAAGATCCGTCTGAGAGTGAACGAGAAGTCTGACTTTGAGATGTTCGGTGATGACGGGGCGTTTGGATAGAGACACCTTGTACGGGTGTTGGAGGGAACATCAACATGAATTGGGGAGATATGGGCTTGACACCAACGCCCATACGGGGCATTCTCAATCACTAGCCGACTTGAGGAGAATTTTTAGCTGAGCATGACCATCCTCGCCTCGGCAGTGCCTGGCAATGCTATGACGCCTTTTCGGCGGAAAGATCCAGGTACCAAGGACATCACAGTTGGCACGTGGGTGGTGGACGGAGAGGCCAGTTCTGATCAGCCAGGCACCAGGTCAATCCCATTGGGGCTTCAGATTTCGGGGCACAAAATAAGTGTGACGGGCGTGGATGGGCATGAGCTGCACCAACCAGATGGCCTCCGAGGGCGGGAGCTACCATCGCCTAAGCGAAGGGCCCATGATCGAGTTCGGGGCATGGAAAAGCGGGTTTCTCGCGGATTTGGGGCAGAGACAGATTCACAAGTCAGGGTCAGGGCACTGAACGTACGAGTACGGAGCGTACGGAGTACTCGTAAAGCCTAAGCCAGAAACGAAGGGCCCGTCGGGCCCTGGAAAGTGGCCGAACTCTGCCAGTTGGGGCCTTGGGGGGGGGGGGAGAAAGAGGGCGCGTTGGAGACACTGTACCCCAGGGCCAGGGCTAAACACGTGTGTTCAAGTGCTTGTGGTTGGGTTTCTTCGGCACCACGTCTACATACAAGTACTGTATGTACTCCATACTCGGTACAGTCAGTACGGATGTCTACTCTGGACTCTGGACTCGCTCACCCATTTATTCTCCGAGCCCCTTTACTCGGCGTCATCATCTCAGTCGGCCCTCCGTTTCGTGGGCGCCACTCCCAACATGGCGAACGCTCTTGAACATCGAATCAAACATTCGGGCGAACCAGAGCAACTCTGCTGATCCGCTCTGACCGCTTCACGTCAATTCACACCCTCTCAAGCCCTCCAAGGCCGTATTTTGTGATTGCACGTGCACATCATTGACCCCATCGCAAATTGTGGTCCGACCCGCCAGTTTGACATTTGGCATGCACGGTACCTAGCTATCCGGAACTCCGTACGAGATACCCATTACGAGGGACAGATACTTGGTACTCTGTGCGTTTCTATCTGTATACGGACCATTGCTGTCTTTACCTGGCAACTCATTCTTGCTGATCGGCTGCTCGCTTGAACAACCCCCCAGGCAGGCTGGTTTGACATGCATTCGGCACATCCTTCGTATCCCAAGTCACCACACCCAGCAAGCGAGCCTTAGGACTCCGTACTATGAGCCGACGACAACAGGTCCATGCTCTGACTGACTCAATGTTACACAAGCCAAGGCCTCCGCAGAAGGGATACAGACGATGTTTGCTCGAAATCCTTTAGGGTCTTGCTAACACATCGGATCTTCTAGGATAGCCCGTGCTGGGTCACCAGGGCAGCCCGCTTTTACGCGATTTTGATCCGTGCTCATCATTGTCTAATTATAGTGTAGTGCTGTAGTTATTTATTAGTCGACATCAAAATCTGCTGGGATCTGTGGACATTGAACCATGCATCTGTTGCCACTCTGCCAACCAAAGCTGCACTACTTGAACGAGTTCTCTCTGTGCGTCGACCACGGCTGGCGGAGGTAGCTCTGCCGTCGTTTCATTGGCGAACAATCCATTCTCTTCCCAGTGGTGCACTGCTCCTGGGATCAGGATGATCGGCTCACTCCCAGTACTCGTATCATTGAGCCGATCAGGGACATCCAGAGTTGCCAGGGGCGTTGCCGGCCGCCATACGTCGGCTTCTCCACCAACGATCGCCATACGCGGGTACGAGATGTTGAACCCTCCGTACTTGTTCACTGCTTCAAGGTTGGGCTTTGATGTAATGTTGAATGCATATCGACAACCAAGCGTGAGATACTCCACGGTCAAGAGTCGAGAGATCAATGGGAGCTGATCCTTTGGCACTCCTGATCCCGTCTGCCAATATGCCCACTCGGTGCAAGTCTGATATGACCAGGAGAGCGCATCGAAATTGGAGACGTCCTTGTCCGTATACATGGCGGCCGAGCTGTTGTGATAACCATAGCACTCATCCAGACTGTCTTCACAGCTAGGAACATAGTCATTGTTTATCCATGCAAACCAGTTCAACGCCCGATTCGTCAAACTGTCGCTCTCGTTCCCCCAGCCACCTGCCTCAATCAAAGCTGCTGCTGCTGATGACCGATTCTCATAGTCGGGCCAAAGAATTTCGTCAGATGTAATGTTGCCACAGTAGTCTCCAAAATTGGGGCTGCCAACAGCCGGATCCCAGTTGTTTGACTGCCAATTGCCAATGCCACCCGAAGCCACCTGCGCGAAATCGTCGCTATACGTCATCTCTTCCATCCCAAAGGCACTCTTGAGCCGTTTCACCTCGTTGCTGTCATTCTTTTGCAGGATATTGTCCATGACATTGATCAGCTTCACCTGGGTGGCAACACATTCGGCGGGAGCGTACTGTCGCACGGGCTCGTAGTATTGCCAAAAATCATAGATGGCCTCGGTCACCCCAGACGAGGAGATTGCTCCCCAAGTCAACTCGGGATAGAGCTTCCGCAGAAATGCAACCATACCGCCAGCATAAGATCCACCATACGCGATATGGGCGGTTCCTGGAGCAGTCAGGTTCAAGTGCTCGAGACCAGGGAAGACAACGTGGGATGAAAAGTATGCCTGATCGGCCACCGCTTGATCAGTGCTCAAGAAGCGCAAGTTTTCCGTCGAGAGGTTTGCCGTTGGGAAACTGGTTCCATAGTATCTGTGTTCCAGCACAACTCCGATGCCGTTGGTTGCTTGAGCCAGTATGGCAACAATCCCCTTTTGTAGGAAGGGGAGACGCCCAGCGGCATCGGTTTCGCCACTTTGCAGCACAATCACAGGCCCGCCAGGTTGGTAGTACCGTGCATCAAAAAAGTAGCGCAAGTTGAACGACTCATTCGAGTGCGGCTCATATCTCGAATCGTTGTGAAAATGATCAACTGGTACGGAGATGTTGTATCCAGGATAGAGATCTTCCGGGTCAATATCGCGCACATGGAGTCCGTGAGGAGCTGGTCGTAGGTTTCTAAGCAATCAGCACTCGAAAGGGAATGAAGGCACTGGAGAGTGAGCATACTTTGAAACTACGAGGCCGCACAATGCACTGGCCAACAGTAACACCACGGCCCTCATGTTGAACCACTTGCGCAGATGTAGCAGAAGGATCGAGAAACAAACCAGGGAGATACAGAGTGCATAGAGTGCGAGGACCATCGCCTCTATTCCATGATCTGTATCACCATCTTGCGTCAGCAAACCCATCCCTCCGTCCAGGCCCTCTCACAACCCCGCATGAGCGATGGAACGCTGTTGCTGGATGTCGCTGCACAGAGCTCTCCGGCTATCCGTGGCCCTTACAGCGATAATGACGCAGAACCGTCAAAAATGCAACGTTGAGGGTGCAGGTGTTGAAAGCTTTTGCCTGCAACGGGAAGGTGAAGGAAGATCGACAGAAGGCTGCAAAGAACCAGCAGAAGTTTCGGCTCTGCCCGATTCGATGAAGAAACTGGTAGATTAAGCACGATCGAGGGTTGTGTAAGCCACCCAAACCGACGCGAGGGCTTATCACTCTTACAGCAGAAACCCGCCTTAGGGCCGCCCGTGAGCCAGTCAACCGCCTGCACCGTTCCAGGAAATAGTGAGTAGCGCCCCTTCAAGCACCGACTACGGGAAGATTCAAAGGATGGGATGATGCTAAGTAAACACAAGCAAAACCAGAGCGGTCGACACTAAGAAGCACTTCTCCGCTGTCCTCATTGTCCATTTGCCACCAAGACGCGTCCACCGTCCACGCACAAACACCTGCCATCGACGTATGCCTGTGTTCCCTACATCAGTTCCGACTTGGTTACCGGGTCGCGATCGTCGAACTTACCCCTGCCTGGCTGCTCAAATAGATCACTGCTCCCACAATATCTTCCGATTGGCCTATTCGTTGGGCTGGCATTGCTTTAAAGAGCTCCGCGAATTGATTGTTGCCCTCCTCGACGGGATTCATTCTGCTCGGCACGACTGTTCCGCTCTCAGCAACTCAAACCAATCTCTTGGGACATCGTGACTTACAGCCAGGGTTAATTGCGTTCACTCTCACATACCCTAGGTTGCGCGTGTTGTTAGTACCCGTTCTACCACACCGGGCTGGAGGATATCAGGGCGAGATCCGGGTCTCCGCTCACACTTTGCAAACTTTGTTGCCAGTAATGGCACCAAGTGATCAATCGCCGCTTTGCTGCTGGCATAGCTGGTCAAATCGACGTTGGTGCAATTGTGCATACTAGCACAGCTGCTGGTGATGATCATGACTCCTCGGCCCACATCCCTGCCCCGGAGTCCACCCTCCAGCTCAAGCTTGCTTGCAGCCACAAGCAGCTTCAGGAGTGCAACGGACAAGAAATAATGCGCTGTAACGTTGGTCTGGAAGGTGTCGTTCCAATCCGAATGACTGGATGACCACAAAGATGCTTGAAGTTCGTCCAGGGATGCTGTTTTGACATTGCACATCTGTGGAGGGTCTCGTCGAATCCCTGCGTTCGAGCAGAGAATATCCAAATGGTTCTCATATTTTTCAATCTCTTGGGCAATCGCCGAGATGCCCTCCTTGGTTGACAAGTCGCTTGGAAATCTGGGAAAGCCGTCTTAGCATACTGCGGGAACAACTGGTAGGTTGGTGATCACCCTCTGGCTTGTCCACCAGCAGCCTTGCCAAGCTCCTGCAGCTCAGCGACAGCGCCATCAATATCATCGGTGGGTAACGCAGTCACATATACTTTGGCACCATTTGCGACCAGCCCCTACACGATTATGAGCAGGCTATGCTTGACAGCCTCTGCTTGACTGACCTTCGCGATCATCAACCCGATTCCACTGCATCCTCCTGTCACCAGCGCGACTCGCCCCCGAACTCCAAACAAATCGGCCACAGATAGTGAAGACATAGTCTATGTCCGATGAAAACCACCATTGAGAGGCTTCTCACCAGTACATGTGCTTTGGATATGCGAAGGGTGGCGCCGCGGTCCACCCAAGGCAGAGTGGACTTTTGGCCGTCCTTCTCCGCGCATGGTTCTGGCCACGCGCAGATCCCCGCCTTCTCGCGTCGTCATACTGCATCGATACTTGCCATGACCTGTCGCTCGCGCGGAGAAGACAGCAGTATATATGTTCGCTTCGGATCCCAAATGATCGGATTTGAGGATCAGTAAATGGTATCTTAGATCAAGCCTACTTGTTTCTAGAGGACACTGTCGTTATGGCACCGAGTGTTGCTGGCCTTGCGCAGGCTTTCAACCAGGACTATGTACGGTGGATTGTCGTATCTGGCCTGGTTGTTCTCGGGATCTACTGGGTATGACCATTGGAGGACCCAAGGGTCAATGCTGACCGCAAACAGTGGTCGACCTCGACGGATATTCCCAAGATCAAAGGGATTCCTGAGATTCCCGGTGCAATCCCCATATTCGGTCACCTCCTCCAGCTGGGCGAGGATCATGCGACAGTTTGTGAAAGTTGGTGGCGGAAATATCGTCAATCCGTTTTCCAGATAAGGCTAGGAAATACGAGAGCGGTTGTGGTCAGTTCGTTTGACGATGTCAAGCAAATGCTTGTCGGACACCAGACGGGCGTCATCGATCGACCCACACTGTACACCTTCCATGGAGTTATCTCATCCACACAAGGCTTCACAATCGGCTCCAGTCCTTGGGATACCTCTTGTAAGAACAAGAGGAAGGCTGCTGGCCAAGCACTGGGTCGCCCTGCAATGAGAGGCTATTTTGACATGTTCGATTTGGAATCATACTGTATCGTACGAGACCTCTTCAGGGATAGCAAAAATGGTGCTCTCGAAATTGGCGTGCGTCCTTATATCCAGCGTTTTGCGCTCAACACCACTTTGACGCTTTGCTATGGGATTCGCATGGACAATGTGTACGATGACATGCTTCGGGAGATTCTGCATGTCGGATCCGCCATCTCTCTTCTTCGGTCCGCCTCCGAGAACTATCAGGATTATGTTCCAATCCTAAGGTATCTTCCCAACAACGAGAAGAATCAGCGCTCCAAAGAACTTCGTGATCGACGAGATCGATATCTGAATTTCCTTCTCAACAAAGTCCGGGATAAGATCCAGAAAGGAACCGACAAGCCATGCATCAGTGCAGCAATCCTTAAAGATCAAGAGACCAAGCTCACAGGTGTTGAAGTTTCCTCGATTTGTCTGTCTCTTGTCTCTGGTGGGTTTGAAACGATTCCCGGGACACTGACTTCGTGCATCGGATCACTTGCCACCAAGGAAGGTCAAATGTTCCAGGAGCGTGCTTACGAGGATATCAAGCGATATTATCCAGATCTCGAGTCAGTGTGGTCCAATAGCTTCCAAGAAGAGAAGGTCCCATATGTGAATGCCATCATCAAGGAAGCTGCTAGATACTATACTGTCAGCGCAATGTCCCTCCCTCGGAAGACTGTGACAGAGATTGACTGGAACGGCGCCAAAATCCCGCCAAAGACCATGATACTCATCAATGCACAAGCAGCCAATCACGACGTTGACCATTTCGGCCCGTCCGGAGCAATCTTCAATCCGGAAAGATGGCTAAACGATGATTTTGTTTCAAGTCCAACGACTGGCGTTCCCGAGGAGAAGCCAGGGCAGGGCATTCAGCACTTCTCCTTTGGCGCTGGTTCACGAGCGTGCTCAGGGCAATTCATCGCCAGTAGACTCCTGTACACGGCACTGATCAGACTGTTGGCGTGTTACAAGATTGTGGCAAGCGAGACGGAGCCTCCCAATACGGACTATGTTGATTACAACCAATTCAAGTCTGCCCTTGTGGCCATCCCCAGAGACTTCAAAGTCAAGCTGGTTCCGCGGCACGACGAGAGCACCATCGAGGAAGTCATGGCCGCAGCGGCAGATAGAACTAAAGACTACTATGCAGAGGACGACTAAAGGGATTTGAACATTGGCATGTCTGCGGGATCTAGGGAAACCCGAGTCCAGGAGCATGTCGGCCTCCGGTTCAGGGTGTCGGGGTATTGCACCCAGAATACGTTTATCGAGTCCATATTACTATTGGCAATAGTGCCCAAATCCACATCCTATTTCTCGAATGGATGAATTGGAGTTGTGACCACTGCGAGTTACGAGTAGTATCGTTCCAGTGCCGAGATCGATCTTTGCTGGATTGCGGCACCACTCAGGATCCGTGCTGAAGCATTCCTAGTTGCCCAGTCAGACCCTATCTTTGCTATCGTCAGGGATATTCCATTTGCCGATCCAGCTCGAAAAGTAGGGGGTGACCGCATATGCTGGTGACTGAGTAGCTTTCTACTGACTCGGAACTTCGCCTGGCTGGACATAGAGGCAATTCTGTCTGCACGTGCGGGTTGATGTCGCAGATCCCCCGCAGACGAGGGCCTTGGCATCCGTGCCACTCAAATTCCACATGCATGCCCCCTCGACCTCATCATATCTTTGCACCGAGCTCAAATCAATATCAGGTGTCCATATCATCTGTGCCAGCCTCCACAAGACAAGAGTTTGCTCAAGAAACGACTAGAACAAGCAAGACAGTTGCTTCATGACGTTTGGCATTGTCTTGGGTATTCGGCCAGGCCGCCATCAGGGCGCAGTATTTGCTCGCTGATTGGAACGCATCTCTGTGGTCCCATGGTTAGCGCATTGGCCAAGGATCCTATACATCATTTGCAGAGGAAGCCAAGACTGGGCCTGGTGTTGGACAAGACTCTCCCCTTGATGTTGGGGTATTCCATGCTCCATTCACCATGCAGGTCCTTCCATTGACCTCGGAATGTCCTTTGCCCTGGGGTTCTGACCTCGGGGTATGGCTACCAAGGTAAGTTTGAATGAGGCTGTATGACTCGGCACTATGCTATGGGGAGGACTCCGCCAGTCCTACATATGCTCGCGATATTGACGTCTCATCTGGAGAAGTACCCTTTCCCCCCACCTTTCTATCTTCTGCTTAATATCTCCTTTTGACCAAACTTTCGTGCCTTGGTAAACACCTCTTCCACCAAGCACCTCTCACGATGGCAGATAAGGCTGAGAGACCTGTCGATGAGATCGAGAGGACGTCAAGTCCCGAGGATGTCCCTGTGGACAGTAAGCTCCATGGCGAGGAGGACTGGACAGCTGAAGAGGAGCGAAAACTAGTGTACGAGAAGTCTTCTCCATCCCCTCTCCTCCCCCCCCCAGGCGGGTTGTTTGACAGTCGAACAGCCGCAAGATTGACTGGCGAATCTTGCCCTATCTGTCGCTCGTTTTTGGGCTGTCTCTGCTAGATCGCTCCAACATCTCTGCCGCTTATATTGCTGGCATGGGAACGGATCTGGATCTCGCTGTGGGTAAGTCAACAGTCCCAGTGTCCATCTTCGATGGAGAGCCCGAGCTCAATAAAATCCAATCCAGGAAGCCGATATTCCATTGCGCTTTTGCTATTCTTCATCACTTACGCTCTCTGCGAAATCCCAAGCAATCTGGTGAGTGATGATGCAGTGGTGGAACTGGGAGCCCCCAAGACTGACTCTGTCGCAAGATCATTCGACGTATTGGCGCGAGATGGTGGTTGAGTTTCCTCATAACTTTGTGGGGTGTGTCTGTCCTGTGCATGGGGTTTGTGAAATCCTGGATTCCCTTGACGATTCTCCGTTTACTTCTTGGTATCTTTGAAGCAGGGTGTAAGTGGGACCATGATACTGCGTGTTATCGCTGCTAACACCTCGCATAGTGTTTCCTGGTAGCATCTTCATCATCTCGTCATGGTATAAGACCTACGAGACGGCGAGGCGAGTATCGACATTCTACATGGCTTCTTTGCTCGCGTCTGGCTTCAATGGCATCGTACGTCCGGGACTAACTCATTTGAAGCGTGGACTGTCTGACGTGTAATAGCTGGCCTACCTGCTGTCCTTGATCCGTGCTGGCGACGGCATGTTCAGAGAAGGTTCGGTTTCCAGATCAAAACTGGCCACCCCTATATGAGCCATAACTCACATCCCGTTTAGGCTGGAGATGGATCTTCATCATCGAGGGTGCAATCACCGTTGCATGTGGACTACTGGCTCCCATCTTCTTGGGCGAATGTGAGCACTGGGAGGCCCCATAGCAAATCTGAATCCTTCCTTGGCTAACACTTTTTGCCCCCCTCCCCCCCAGTCCCCGAGAAGACCCGCTGGCTCACCGAGCGACAAAGACACATTGCGACACTCCGAATCGCCAATGAACGATCAGGCCGCGAATACGAGCACCCAAGCCTTTGGCAAGGTCTCAGAATGCTCATGGATTGGAAGGTCGGCGTATAGTGAGTCACGAAAGCCACTCACAACAGCAGCAGGCGCGCTACCCCAGGGTCGGAATGCTAACTGGAAATCTTTCTTTCACAGTGCTCTGCAATATTACGTCGCCGCATCCTCAGTATACTCCCTCGCATACTTCATCCCGATCATCCTACGACAAGGTCTCGGCTACAGCTATGCATTGTCTCAGATCTTGACTAGCCCTCCCTATGTACGTCGGACCCCTCTGGGACGCCCTTGTGCCGGTCTGAGAATCCACTAATGCTTGGCTTCTATGATAGCTTTTCACCGTCGTCATGTCGATCCTCACCGCGTGGCTTTCGGACAAGATGAAGTTGAGATGGCCGTGAGTTCACGCGGTACCAACCCCAGGAAGGCTTTCATCATTACTGACACATGTTTCTATAGCTTCTTGTGTGGCCATGCTGCAGTCGGGTAAGCCTGCCTGGTTTTACTGTAGTCCCTAGGTCCCTATAAATACAATAACCCCAACGAGACCGTTTGCGAGGCACTCTCCTTACCTCTTCAAGAAGCACGAGGACACTAACCAGGGCTTTCCGCAGCGTCGTCGGCCTTCTAATCGTCCTGTACGCCAAACCCCCGGGTGTTCGGCTCTTCGGGACGTTTCTCGCCGTGTTCGGCACACAAGCCAACGTGCCAGGCTCGCTCGCCTACGGCCAGAACCAGACAGCGCTGCCCCAGAAAAAGGGGCTCGTGGCAGCCGCGATGATCACGGCCGGCGCTGCGGGCGGGATCACGGGGTCGACGATCTTCCGCGCCCAGGACGCACCCCTGTATCTGCCTGGCATGTGGGTCACGATTGTGTTTCAGATTTTGTACTTCTTTGGCACGATGGCGATGAGTCTCTGGTTTAAGAAACGGAATCGGGAGGCCGACGAGAAGGGCGTGGTGCTGGAGGGCGTGGTGGGCTTTCGGTATGCGCCTTGAGCGAGAGTGGTGCGCGTGATGGGTGGATCAGAATATTGGAGGGAGTTTCGACTTGGTCGAATGGCGTATGACTCTGGCCGAGCCTGGATGTTGTGAAGTGAGTACGGTATAGAAACAATACTCTTCTAGAGAAGAACACGCATTGGACTGGATTTCCTTGATTTGAATTTGCATCTCTTGAATCTATGAGATCCCGACGAACGGCTACAGGGCCACGTCAACACCACTGCAAGAATCCGATTATTTAGCCCTCGGAAGATCTTGCTTAGTCCAAGGAACACTGGTATGAGGAAACGGTCAGCCAGACCTCCAGGTCCATAACATGACATTGCGAACCCGTGTCTTCTCTATAGTACCGTTGTATAGCTTCATATCAAAGTGACATAGTAAGTAGCTTCCGCTGGTTATAGCCGAACCGGCATGGGCAGTAGTCAAGACACAGAAGCTTTACTAAGACTCGTTTTGCTAAGTCAGGTGGCTGCTACGAACAGGCGGGTGGACGCTGATTATTTCCGATCCTGGCTGGGACGGACATATGCGTGGTGGCAGCGAGGTGTAGCTTTGCCAACGCCGTACAATCTAACTATCGGAGATGATCGATGCCAACTGCCGATTGGCTCACCGCGCCTGCCACACCGGGTCAGCCTTGCCGAGCCGTGATAAGCATATGTGAGGCGGTAGGGGGTGGTAGGGGCACCCACCGGGCCTGCTATTGACCATATATGTAGATCGATATCCTCGTTTTGCACTTGGTATTTGCTTGCATTCGTTTACATCCTCTTTAACGCGATTTGTTCGTGAGAGGAGAGTGTGGATCAGCTTATCGGCTACCGAGTAGAGGCCGTATCAACGCATTAATTGACTCAGCAAGGTGAAGGGCACATCGAACCGCCGAAAGCACGGACAAGTCAGCCATCCCAGTACAAGACAGCAAAGCCCACGCAAGCTTGCGGGTGGATGAGCAAGCCACAATGTCTGAGCCAGGAATTCAGACTCCTGAGATTTCAACTGATGTGCTCATCGTCGGTGCTGGCCCCGTGGGGCTAAATCTGGCTTATCAACTGCAACGCTTCTCCTCGCCACCGGTCAGCAACAATGGACGACCAATATGCGTGCATGTTATTGAGAAATACCCCAAGCCCGTACAAGAGACCTTCGGCAGAGCTGTGACCTTCTGGCCACGATCGATGGAGATGCTCTCACAGCTTGACCTTTCAGAACAGATCACCCAACAGTGTGTCGCAGTGAGGTCAAGCGCCGCTTATGACTCGCAGGGAGTTGAGGTTTTCGGTAGAGGTTGGAGCTTTCTTGAAGGCATTGAAGATACGAGATTTAAATTCGCAAGTGTTTTGAGGCAACGGTTCGTTGAGGATATTTTCCGACAGGAGCTCAGGCAGTTCGGGGTCGAAGTCAGTGAGAACAATGCATTTGTCGGCCTGGAAGTAGACGAGGCTATCCCGGTTGGTGAAATCGGGAGAGTCAAAGCAAGAATCCTCGACTCAAGTGCCGGAGAAGGTAAGGAGAGAGAATACATTGTAAAATGTGCCTACCTCATTGGATGTGATGGTTCAAGAACACTGGTGCGTGGAGCTGCTGGAATCGATTCAGATGGGGATAGAACGGAGGACAAGTGGGTACGAATTGATGGAGTGCTGAAATCGACCACAATGCCGAAACCAAGATCATACGGGGCAATTGAAAGTCCAATATACGGAAATATCCTTTGGATACCACTGGATCATGGAGCGACGAGAATAGGCTACGCTCTGAACGAGGAAAGGAGAAGGATGTACCGAGATCTCAACCAGGAGGCGTTTATTGAAGAGGCTAAAGTGGCCGTCAAGCCATTCGACATCGAATATGAACGAGTTGATTGGGCGAGTGTATACTCTGTCGGACAGAGGGTTGCACGGAACTTTTGGGCCAAGGAATCTGTATTCCTTGCAGGTGACTCGGCACACAGCCATTCCAGTGGAGCAGGACAGGGCATGAATGCTGGAATGCACGACGCTGTCAACCTTGGCTGGAAGCTAGCCTTGGCCTTGAGAGGAGTACTGAAGCGAGAAGTACTGAGGACCTACGAGGACGAAAGGAGACCGAATGCGAGAAAGCTGATCAAATACGACGAAGATATCAGCGTCCTGGTGACAGGTCGTTTGCCCAAAGGTTATCAAGGCGACCAAAGCGAAGACCCGAACATTGTCCTCGGGCGGATACTGCAAGAAGCAAAAGGATTCAATACTGGCTTGACCATTGGCTTCGATCCCAACGTGGCAGTATGGCGAGAGGACACTTCGGCAGAGAAGGATGCGATCGACAAAGGATCAATCATACCTGCACCAGCTATGGCCGGATACCGAGCACCAGACGTTCAGGTTCTCACACCTGCTCTGTGGGAGCCTGTCTGGCTTCAGAGTCTTATGAGAAATCTTGCCCGGTTCCATATTCTCATTTTTGCCGGCAAGGGTCAACAAGCCAAAACAGCATTCCTGAACTTCAAGGCCGATATCGAGAAGAACAAGAACTTGACCAAGCCAGGCTTTAGCCCTGTGAATGGGACGATGAGCCCAACAGATGGTGTAGTTCTCAATGGGTCATCGAGTCAACCACGCCTCTGGCCGGTGGACCATCTGACAATACTCCCTGAGAAGGTTGGCAATGCCTGGTTCGAATTAGGCACAGACCCACTGGGTAAGGTGTTCTTTGACGCGGACGGAAGCGCGAACGCCAGATACAACGTGGATGTTGAGTCTGGAGCAGTTTTCTTAATCAGACCTGATGGCTGGATAGGGGCTCGATTTGATCTCTTGTCAGCCAGCCTGGCCACCGACGTAGACGCCTATTTGGGTGGCATTCTTCATCGATAGTACGAGTTACCATAGCCTTTCGGTCGAAAGCAGTCTAGGTTGCAATTCCAGACGAGCTCTTTTACCGGCCGTCGCCAGAAGCAAGCGTTGACATGCTCCATGACGAAAAGATTCGCAGATCCGCGGCACTCGGTTCAGCTCGCCTAGAGAAGCACGGCGTTCGAAATCCGAAACTGTGGAGATAACCGGCAGTCTTATCTGCGAGAATGGCGGGATTGTCCGTCGCCCAAGGAAGCTGAGAATCCGCCGCTCACATCTCGGTTATCAATAAACCACTGCTATCACTGACTAGTGATGTTCTTTGCGGGGTCGAAAAATCATGCATTGCGTTATGGAGTGCAGTTTGAGTTCTTCCTTGCTATTTGGCCCGTTGTTACTGAGCTAACATGGACGGCTTTGATCTTCTGATCATCAACGGCTTGGTGGTAACGGCCTCAGATACCGCGAATTACGATATCGCCGTCAAAGATGGGAAGATCGCCCTGCTCGCTCCTCCAGGCTTGCTCGGAGAAGCGAATGCGAAGCGGGTGATTGATGCTGAAGGTGGATATGTGATGGTATAGTCAAATACACACATATCAACGATGCCACATAGCAGCTAACAAACCGACGATTTAGCCTGGTGGTATCGATTGCCATGTCCATCTTGAAGAACCAGCTTTGTTCGGAGGCAAGGGAAGGAGCTCAGACAATTTCGAGACCGGTCAGCAATGTACATCCTCAGCCGCGAACCAGTCACAATGCTAAAGGCAACGCAGGAACAAGGAGTAGTATCTGTGGAGGAACGACCACCATTGTGTCAGTTGTCCGTTAGCACGTACATGAAGATATGCTTACGAAGCGCAAAGGGCCTTCGCACCGCAGCCGAAAACGAGCCCTTCTCTCCTCCAAGTCCTCGAAGACACTCATGCCCGTGCAGAAGGACAGTGCTATACCGACTATTCCTTCCATATGCTCGTCGGGCATCCTGGCGAGCAGGCGCTGTCAGAGTTCCCTCGGCTCCGCGAGCTCGGTATCTCCTCCTTGAAGATCTACATGACATATGCAGCGCTGCAGTTGCGTGACGACGAGATCCTGGACGTCTTGCTTGCTTCGAGGAAAGAAGGCATCACCACCATGATACACGCTGAGAATGGCGATGTCCTTAACTGGATGACGAAGAAGCTAGAGGAAAGGAAACTCTATGCGCCAAAGTATCATGCCACTTCACGGCCCCAGATTGTCGAGACTGAAGCTACCAATCGTGCGATTGCTTTGGCGGAGTTGATGGATGCACCGATGTGGGAGTTTCATTCCTTCAGTTCCAAAAACACCATTGCTAACCATGTTCTTTTCCACAGCCTCGTCGTCCATGTCTCCTCACCCAGCGCAGCAGCTCACCTCCGCAACGCTCAAACTCGCGGTCTCCCAGTCTACGCCGAGACCTGCCCACAGTATCTGTTCCTAACCCGCGAAGACCTTGACAAACCTGACTTCCAAGGCGCCAAATGCGTCTGTTCGCCGCCGCCACGCGAATCATCCAACGACCACGACGCGATCTGGCTCGGCCTCGCAAACGGCACCTTCACTGTGCTCTCCTCCGACCACTGCCCCTTTATGTACGAGGACTTCGAAAAGGGCAAGAAAAGCATCATCAGCCAGGAATACCCCGAGGGTCGCTTCAGTGGGATCCCCAACGGGATACCGGGCATCGAGACCCGATTGGCCCTGGCGCTGAGCGCGAATAAACTGCCGGTGCAGAAGTTCGTGGAGGTCACGAGCACGAATGCCGCGCGCTTGTATGGGCTGTATCCCCAGAAGGGCACGATTCTCCCGGGCGTCAGTGACGCTGATCTCAACATCTGGTACCCTCCTGGGAAACTCGAGCCGTTTAAATTGACTAACGACATGTTACACCATAATGTGGATTATACGCCGTTCGAGGGTATAGAGCTGAACCAGTGGCCGAGGTATACTATTCTGCGAGGTGAAGTGGTTTGGGATAGGGACGGAGGAGGCTTGCTAGGTAGGAAGGGATACGGGAAATTTGTGGCGCGGGGGAAGAGTACATTACCAGGACCAAGGCAAGAGGGCGATTGGGATGTTAGTGCTTTCTGAAGAAGCAGAGAAGCAGCCATATGCTATATGTTAGATTGATTGATAGATATTTGTGTACCTCTTTTAGTCTCCAGGTATCTAGTGTGGACATTGAACCCAAGCAACAGCTGAGCGATATGAGGTATTCATCAGCGGTTTAGCCTTCTTTCCTCTGACAGGCTCAGGGTAAGCCATATCTCTTGCGTGTCTGCAGATTATGTTTGCAGAACCAAGGATTCATCAATCAACACCGTCCCGAACTCCCTTATTTCAACTAGTCATTTCTTTGCCTGTCACATAGCAACACCGATCATGGGACTCATGATTTCACGACATCCTCAGTCTGCGAGACCGACAATCTCTTCTCTCCAAACTGCTTGAATCGCTGCTCCTCATCAGCAGCAGTGTAGCGTAACACACGTGTATGGTTGGGGTTCAGGCCCATCAGGATACGTGGTTCGTCGAAGAACTAGCAAGAAAGTGCATGTCAGCAAAGACGAACGAGAGGATGTCTTTTTGAGAAGAGGGGGAAAAACACCACAGAAATAGTGGATCAATTGACAACTCACCATCTGGTCGACTTGCTCGAGCGTGCGGCCTGAGGTCTCGACGCCGAAGAAATACGTGAGTGGGATGAATGAGGCGCACACGATGGCCCAGATCCAGAAGTAGTTTCCTCCGATGTTGTCGAGACCAATCTGTAATTTGAAGCGTTGTCAGTGTTGTGGTTCATGGAAAAGGTGACGAGATGGGGGCGGGGAGTGAGCAAAAGTGAGAGGAGGGTGCGAAGCTTACCGGAGTGACCATGACGACGACGAAGTTCGACAGCCAGTGACTGAACACGCCCACGGCAGTCGACTTGTTCCGGACGCGGAGAGGCTGGATCTCCGCCGAATACGACCATGAGACGGGCAGGATACCAAGCGTGAAGCAGTCGAGGTACAGGAACATAAAGGCGACTGCCGCAGCGGCCATGGAGAATTTTTGCTGCAGGAGACAGCCCGCGATGATGGCCATGCAGATCGCGCATCCTGCGGAGGAGAGCATCACCGTCCAGCGGCGGCCGATGCGATCGATGTAGAAATACGGTGGCCAGGAGAAAATCGCGTACTGCGTGAACGCCACAGAGGCCAGGATGAGTGCCATGCTCTGCGAGTAGCCTAGATATTCTTGCAGGATGTAGGCCAGGTAGTAGCACAATGCGTTGATGCCGCTCCATTGATTCATCATGTATGGACCCATGCCGAGAACAACGCGCTGGAGGTTCCTGGCCTTGGTGGCATTGCTGAAAACTTCGCTCCAAGTGGGTTCTTCCTCGGTGTTTTCGGCAGCGATGTTATCCAAGATCTCGGACAGTTGGCCTTCCACCTCGTGGTCGTCGTCCGGTTTATTCAGTAAACAGGCGATGACGTGACGTGCCTTTTCCTTCTGTCCGTGTTGGGCGAGCCACCTGGGTGTCTCAGGGATCCAGAGGCACAGAACCAGAACGATGAGTGAGAACAGCACCTGGCAAGCAACCGGAAAGCGCCATTGCATGGAGTTGTTTGCATAGAGTGTTGCAAAGCAAAGCCACGATGCAATAGCAACACCGATGATGATGAGCGCAGACTGCACAACGAGAAGAGCGCCGCGGTTGTGAGCCGGAAGGGTTTCCGACTGGAGAATTGGGACGGCGACTGTACTTAGACCGACTCCAACACCGGCGACGATGCGAGCAACGAACATTTGCCAGTAGCTATAGGAGGCAGTCTGGATAGTAGCGCCAACAATGACGATCACGTTCGCCCAGATGATGGATCTCTTGCGGCCAATCTTCTCGCCATAGACAAAGGCCCCGACTGCTCCCAACGCACACCCGATATCATAGATCGCTGTAACAAGGCCGCTCATGGTAGGATCGGGCTGTCCAAGCATATCCTGGAATCGTTCGCCGGCAAGGATGCCACCAAACAGACCTTGGTCATAGCCGAAGAGGAGGAAATCGACACCAGATGTAATGAGAATGACGAAGAGAAGGGGACGTCCCCGGAGCTCAATGAAGGGCATGATGGCTGTGGTTGGAAATACCTGCGTTTGAGAACTGGCAATTGAGAGTTGACTGTCGATGGCAAAGATCCTTTTCCCAGAGGGTATGTGGGGAGTTAAATAATCTGCAGATCAACTCCATATCCTGCTGGCGGAATTAGTCCTTCTGCTCAGGTATTGTAGTGATGTGGAGAGACGGCGTCGGAGTGGTAGGCCCACAATTCTGGTATGTGCTGAGTGGCTCACATGGCCATTGCACCCGTTATACCGACTCGGTGGCTAATTAACTGACGAATTGGAGCGAATACCGGGGTGAGCATCAATTCTTAGCCACCGCATTGCCTGATGGGGAAACCCGTACCTAGCTGGAGAGTTGCATCGGGCCCCATAAGACCAGCCTGCAGTTTTGTTTGTGGATCTGAATCCACTTCTCATTACTGTTCAAGAGTCGGAAAAACGACGAGGTATGGGGTTACGTTAGTCGGCTACTGGAAATAGGATGGATTCTTTGTCTGAGCCTTTGAAAATGGTGTTGGAGAATCGAGATAGGTAGCTCGAGTAACTGCTGTTCCGTTTTTCGCGACCTAGTACACGGAAATAACTCTCTAGGAAATAGCATTTGCGCACCATCTTGAAAGTAACCAAGACTTTCTTTGGGGTGCGCTTCATACCCATTGAAGTGGACGTTCGGTACGCCCGCAAAGGCAATTGGGCAAACGTCGAAGACGACAAGATTCCAGAAAGGAAGGCTAAAGTGTGGAGGACGCTGCGGAGAACGGCATGACGACGATCTGGGGTCACAGTATCGGCTGTGGCGCGCAATGATGGCAACCCTAGCATCGAACAGAGCACGGTAGTCCGAAAATGGTCATCCGGGCCTTGGAGGCTGTCTCGGCGCCAGCAGAGGCCGACGTCATGGGTACGCCTGGTAGTTGGGGCTGGTTGTGGTACTGGTTGGTGACAACCTGCCTAACATTCCGCTGATGGTCTTGGAATTCAACTTGCCATGACCCTCAAGCACCTGCTTCGATTAAGAGGAGGAGATATGGCAATCCCTTTTGTACGAAATAGCTGGTGGTGTTTGCCATCGAGGCGAGAATATCTATGCTGTTGATTAATCGAGGCTCAAGGACGAGTCGAGCGAGGAGAAGAAAGAGGCCCATCATAAGAACCATAGCCCTGTCGAAATTGCGACCATTGGCAGATCTGACCACTTCACCATCCTTCCTTGTCCTTCAGAGTACTTGCAAAGCCAGTGCCAGGAGGGCTATTCTACTTATCTGTCGACGCCGTTTGCGAACGCAAAAGAGGATGAATGTGACCCTACAAAGGCGCGTAGTGACGCTAGGATTAATATGAGACGTTCGTGGAGAGTCCAGAATCCAGAACTATGTTAATCGACAGTCCCACGGCGGTGATGGTCTGGGTGGGTTGTCAGACGCGTACGAGGGCCAGGCTCAGGTGCCGTTCATTCATTTTGAACAGGACTTGTGCAAGAGGGTCCTTTCAGGAGGACACGCCACAATGCGCTACTGTCAGATTGGATCTTCCGAGCAAAGTGATCATGCGTTTCTAAGGCTTGTTTTGGTGCACACACGATCTCTCCTACCACGATAGCCCTGTTCGGGTGTTCCGGTATGTATTTGAGCTGGATGGATCGGAAATATGAATGGGATGCCATTATGTTAGGGGGAAACTTACCAACAAGGGACCGTTCCAGCCCATAGATTTAATTGATATCTGTAAATTAGCACATTATCGATGATTTGTGGTCTGGGAATCAGCCCTCACACAGCAGAAAGCTTATGGATCATCACCTGGATCATCACCGAGCTTTCCCGCTCTAAGCTGAGGAGGATGAGGATTTTTCAACGCGGCTCTCCCAAGAGAAGGGGGGATCCCAAATGTGTCATAAGCTCTCTTCCTGGGAATCGATCATGTCGGCGCAAGACGTGCAACACAGCATGTCACTGACCCTGACCTCCAAGTTGCCGGTGCCTATCTTCAGGGCAGAGGTCAGACACTAGCGTCAGTGCTAGGAAACATGACATTATGCGACTCTGCTGTTGCGGATACTTCCCCTTAGAACACAGCTTCGAACTCTGTACACTCTTCTGGCGACAAAATGACCGATTGATCGATCGTGGTCAACGAGGCACAGGACGACCCTAAGCATGGGCATCGCTTGTAGCACTCGGTCTAGGAACTCAGAATTGCAGGACGAGGAAATGACTTCTTGAAGGGCGAGTTTGAGACAGACGGTTCATATGAGTACTATACCACGCTTGATCTGCCTTACCTTAAGCACTCGTGAGTCGTGACACTGCCATTCGCTCAAGATCACGTGTGGCAAGCTTGATTGCGGGGTGAAGTCAACGCGTGCCTTCCTTGATGGGCGTGCGTTGTCCGCAAGGAAGGTGCTACTGCCACTAGGAGCCTGAAGCAGTTAATGGTCCTTCTCTGCTTCGTCCCCCTGGATACGAGAGCTGCCCGCCGTGGGCGCCCTCCTGACGAAGTATCAAGGCAACGACGCGACGCGTGCCACCTAGGGTACAAGGTATTGCAAAATCGAAGGAGTGATGCAGGCATATGTTCAATCAGGAGGTTCCACCCTTGATGGATGTCGGGTGAAATGCATGGACTTCCTTGCCTTGCATGGCCAGAGATGAAGCACTGCCATACACCCTCCTACCCTGGAGCTCATTGGCCTTTCCTAAGGCACCCAGGTAGCTAGCGTCAAAACCCCGCAAAACGCAAGACGCCACTTTTGGAAAACCTGCAGGATGGACCGAGGCACATACGATGTAGGCTGACTACTCCGTATCCGTGTCTTGCTTTACTTCTAAAAGTTGGGCCTGCCTTCTCAGTTCAAGATTCAAGACAGAGTGTGCTTATTCTTGTGCAGTGCACGAGGTATTTGATTTGTGTCAGGGTGAAAACCGATACTCACAACGCCGAAATGGGTGACGCCAGTGCGTCCTTCAAAATATATTCCCGGGCGGTGGAAAGAAAACCATTGCCAGAAGATCCAAAACTGCGTGCTGACATCGAGCACGTGCTGGAACATGGCTATGTGATAATTCCCGACTGCTTCACAAAAGCTGAGGCGAAGGAGGCTAGAGATGAGATCGTTCGGCTTTTGGGTCACCAACCGCTAGGTGGAAGAAACAACTTTGAGGGGATCAATACAAACAGGATATACTCACTGCTCAACAAGAGTCGAGTGTTTGACAAGTTCACCATCTTGCCACGAGTGTTGGCCCTCAATGATTACTTTCTTGATCCTGGATATCTTCTCTCGGCACTCCACACCATCTCCATCAATCCAGGCGAGAAGGCACAAGCTCTGCACCACGACGATGGATATATCCAATTTCCGAGACCTAGATTACCATTTGGGTCGGCCATCATGGTGGCATTTGACGAATACACATTGCAAAACGGTGAGACCAGGCTGGACGGACGGACGCAAGAGATGCATTGCTGACCATGAATGATAGGTGCCACGCGGATCATTCCAGGTTCACACAACTGGGGTAGTGATCGACGAGGCACGCCAGAAGAGACAATACCAGCGCTATGCCCGGAAGGCGGAGTGGTATATTTTATTAGTACTTTGTGGCACGGTGGTGGTGCAAATACATCAGATCGTCCACGACAGAGCGCAACAGTTCAATATTGCAATCCTTATATCCGACCGATCGAGAGTCAGATCTTGGCTGTCGACCCACGGAAACTGGACCAGATCGATCCAAGAATCGTGGAGATGATGGGATATAAGCACATGGAGCCATTTATGGGGTATGCCGATGGGTTGGCGCCTCGACGGGCTGCAAGAAGGATGGTGCGATGGCTGCAGCACGAGGTGGACGAGAACCCTCCAACATTCGCCCATGAGGCACGAGAGGCTAAAATGTAAGGTTGGAAAGTTGAAGCCACAGGTGCAGGAATGTTGTCGCAGTGAGAGTTGGCAGAATGTATTGTAACACGTGATGAGGACTGAGATGGCGAGATTTGTACTACTGGAGGGAGTCGTGTACAGTACTTTGCCCTGCAGCGAGCGCGAGCGTCTCAGTCTCGCGTCTCGCACGAAGGGCTCGGTGCCTCGTACTCGGATTGTATCTGCATCCGACTTGCCACAGCAACTCTGGTGACTAAGGACTAAAGCTGACATTGCTTATGGAGTTCCCGACAATCACAGCTAAAAGGCTCATATGTACAACTATGAGCAATTAGTCGCCATCATCACGTCCTGACTTAGCAGTAAGATGTCTCTAGACGCCTGGCCCTGATCACGTTTGAAGCTGTCACTTGGTGCAGAGAAGACAATCAAAGGGAGTTGACAAAGGATGCGTACCTGTTAATTTGATTGATTAACGGCCTCCTTTTCGCTGGGACATGGACGCAGCTTGGTAAGGGTTGTGGGGGGGCACCCAGGTAAGATTGGCTCTGGGTCTGGCTGGCTGGGCACCCACTGGGTGGCCACTGGGTCACTACTGGCTCGCTACTCCTCCGGGTGCTCCTGCTAGACGCAATTTGTCATCGGCTGGGCGTGACTCAGCAGCCCGCCAGCCTCAGCACTGGGTGAGCAGTGAGCAGTGAGCACAGATCCTCCAAAACACGACGTAATGGCGCATCCACTTCCCAAGTTCCCAGCTTCGGCTCCCGCAGATTCGGCGTCTTCTTGCATGAATGAATTGGCATAATCCTGGGCTACTTGCGGAATACACCTACCACTCCTGGCCCGCGGGACGGCTAGCCACCACCAACTATTCCTGCTTTATTCGATTACTACCACTATAGTAGACAAAACTCAAACCTCCCTTACCCCGTCCACCTGCGCCTGTGTCCACCTCCAACGTCCTCGCACAGTTCTCGCATCCATTTTATCACTGCGCGTCGTGTAAAACTTCAGTGGCAGTAAGGTGATCAATATCACGCTTGAACCACGACCCAACGACCCAACGACCCAACGACCCAACAACCGGCAGCGCGGCAACCCTAGAGCCACCACCCCCCAGCTCTTTGTCCTCTATGCCTCCATCCTAGCACAACACCACTCACTGCATCTGCGGCCATCATGGCTTCATCAAATCGCAACTCGCGCCTCGGGACTCCTGACAATGGAGGGGACATGGAGCCGTTCCCCTCTATGCCCACCTCTACTACGGCTGCTGGCCCAAGTTCAAGCGGTCCTACAACTACCACCACCACTACAACAGGCCCGACTATCACCACCACTACAACCTACTCTCGCGGCAGACCCTACACAATAACCTCCTCGCAACCTTCGATTAATGCCTCAACACCGTCCATTACCACCACCACACCCACCACTGTTGTCTCGACCGCCAATCCTGCGGCAGGTTCTTCTACACCGCGAACCACCAACCTCCCTCCTGCTCAGATCAACCGTATAAGGCCAATCGGGATAAGGAGACTCCCATCGTCCAACCTACGAGCAGGATATGAAGCAGGATCATCAGCCACCGATGTTAGCAGCGGCGCTAATCGCTCACCCTCCCGTCGGGGAAGAAGCACATCCGCCCCTCAACATGCCAGCAGCTTGACCGTGCCTGGTCAGGGTGACAATCTGTCCCGACAAAATACGAGACAATCACAGCTGGCTTCGGTCGCTGAGCATCCTGGGGCGGCAGCTCCGGCGGATTCCACGGTCGATCGGCAAGCTATGAACGAGACTGGAACCGGTGGTGTCAGTCGCAGACGCAGTGTTAGCAATGCCGCGCGATCAGTTCTCAGCAAGTTCAGTGATCACTCTCGCGAGCGCCAAGAGCCAGAGTATGAATCAGAAGTCGTCGATCTATTGGATGTACTCGGTACGATACGAGGTCAAAATTATCTGTCACCTGTGCTAACTCAACCCAGACCCCGAAGTCCAGACACTGACCACTCTTACCAATGTGCAAAACTCCCTTTTCGTTCCGGACCTTGGTCGGTGGTTGAACAGAAGGCCCACCTATGAGCTGAGTCGTCGATCCACGATGAGCCGCCGTCCCGACAGACCGGAGACTATAGAGGAGAAAGAAACACCAGGAATGACCCCAATCCCAAGCGAACCGACCCCAGCAGAATCACAAGGTCAAGACCAGATTGGAACTACTCCGACGATCCAACGAACTTGGTCGTGGCAGCGGCGACCCCAGATAGAACGAACCCACAGTATATCATCAGTGGTTACGGACTCTCACTACGCTGTCTTGCCCCATGGTTTCTCTTTGGACGGGTGGAGCGAGGAAGACAAGGAAGCCTTGGATGACCATGTCCGGCACATGCTGCATTCCAAGCGCTCAAAATTCAAGCAAAGGATGGTTGCTTTTGGCAAGTATATTCGTAAACGTAAGCGCCATCCAGACATGTTCTCGCTGTCAGTGCGCATGCTAACCATTTGCAGCTTTGGGCTTTTTCGTTACTTTGTATGCGGTCCTGATCACCCTCTTCGGTTTGGCTTGGGTGCTCTTCTTGATCGGTATGTATTGTTTCTCAAACGCTGTACTTGCTGTAGCTAACGTCGTACAGGTTGGATTTATGTTGGTGATCAACAGCTTTATATTATCAATATCATCGACAATGTGTTGGTGGCTCTTTTCGCCATCGTTGGTGATGGTTTGGCCCCTTTTCGTGCTGTCGACACATATCACATGATCTACATCGCACACTATCACCATTTGACGTGGAGATTGAGGCGTGAGCAGGCACTGCCCAAGCTTCATGATCACAATGATCTTCCAGCAGTTCCAAAGGAAGCGGTAGACCCAGAAGCCCAGAAGCCTGACGAGTTCGAGTTTTCGGTTTTGAGTGCGAAACAGCAGCAGAAGCTGATCCATCATCAAGCCAAGTTCTCGAAATCTCATTCTTTCTACAAGCCACATGAAACATCAACACATTATGCATTCCCACTGCGGCTTCTTGTAGCTATTGTGGTCCTCCTTGATTGTCACTCACTCTTTCAAATTGCCCTTGGCGCCTGTACCTGGGGTATCAGCTACCACTATCGCCCGGAAGCTTTGACGGCCACAATTCTGTCATGCTCTATCACGGTCAACATCACGGCAGGCATTCTCATCAGCGTGGGCGATCGAAAGACTCGAAAGAAGGACGTGGCTCTTAGAATGACAAGACAGGACTTGACTACAACTGCAATCAAGAAGGTTGAGAAGCACAAACAAGAGAGAGCAGAGCATCTGAGAGATGTCTCTCAGAGAGAGAACTTCGAGGTGATTGACGAGGAGACGGCAGACCAAGTCAGATCCTCACGCTCTCCTTGAAGGAATCATAGGATGTCAGTCCTGGGGAAATTGGTGGATGGCCGGGATACTTTCTCACACGTCGGCTGTTGGAGCCATACTTTCCCTTGATCCTGTAGTTCCGACTGTTTTCGACCAAGCGTTGGCATTGATGTTATTTTTCTGGGCGATAATCTCGTTATCTTCACATGGCAGACCTGTTGGATATACTGTGGACACATCAGTGGACTGACATATGGTGTAATTTGGAAATGGGTCTAATCCAGGCTAGCTGCGAGATCCACGGCGGTGTTGATAGTGATACCCAGGTCTGATATTGGTCCCCTGCATATAGTTTCTGACGGGGGTCCTTCCAGAAGCAGTGAGACCAAAGAACTTTGTTGAGGTTACAGTTATTATGAATGGGTTAGCTCGAGTCGAGGGAGTGATCGTACACGACCACCCATTACCGCCGTGGAGTCTGTTCACCTGTCTACTGACCGTGAGGCGAAGTAAAGAGCCAATAGGATCCAGTTCCTGCTCTGGGGAATGTCCGCCCCAAATGTAGTAAGCTTCGAGAAGACCTGAAGAAGCTGAGAAGAAGGCAGATAGAATCTTCTATTTGCTCCAGCGAAGTTAAAATTGGAGCCTGCTCGTATAGTCTGGCGGCCTTAAGAGATTCTCAAGGTCCAAGTTTGGGAGAGAAGCGAGTTCACCCGTAACAGAGTTCTATGCGGACAAAGCTAAGACCGGTGGCTTGGCCAGCGGCAGGTCGCTTATCGACCGCGTTGCCGTATAGAAAGCCTGGACTGGGATATGGCAGGCTGCTTGGGCCTGAGGGAGAAGCCGGAAGATTCCCACGGGAGGAGTAGGAGACAATGGGCGACCCTCGACTGTGTGTGATAGGATCTGGCAGCTGGCAGATGGCTCCTCAACTCCAGCCTCAAGTATGTCGTGACCTGCCAAGACTACAAAGAGGGCATAGCGCCTGAATCACTCCGCTCTGCCAAGCGGGAGGCCAAGTCTTTCAAGCTCCTCTCCCCCATGGGATCCTCCACCTGGTGGCTGTGCCCCAAGAACGGGACAAGATCCCACGATGGGGCTTAGGATCCCTCGCCGGCCACTCACGATGGACGAACAAAGCGTACAGCTCGTCTTTGTTCATGCACCATCACAGAATGTCCTCCTTGCCATGGCCTTGGCCAGGCCTTTTCTAGAAGAGTTTTGGAAAGATCTCTGCGTGCTCCCATGCACGCCGAGTCTCCTTAGGTTTCAATCTGAGTTCAAGGTCGATGTTGTCCAAGCCTCCCCTGCGACCATTCCAATGCGACTTGTTGTCAATAAGCCTGCTTGATGACAACTAGCGAGGGACTCTTTTGGCTGCTACACGGCCTTGGAAGCGTCTTGGTTACGGGCAATGGCGTTCCGATGCCTGCAAGCCTGGTCTGCTGCCATACATCATTCCAGCATTCCATCACGACCTAACATGTGAGTGTAACCTCCCACGAGAATTGATGTTGGGAACTACCAAGACCGATCGGCTTACGGGGTTTCTGGAGTACGGATCCTGATGCGGGAGGTGTAATTCTGATATGACCCACGGGGTCGACAGACAATTCCCCAGTGTACAGTAAGTTGTATAAGAAGACCAGCAGGTCCCATCGTTCCGGCCTTGTTGATCTGCCAGAGCCTTCGACTTGTTTAGAGTCAAATACTTCCCTCACCACCCTGAGTATTTCCAAGCTCGCTACTACTCAAGCTTATTATCATTCTCCCCATCGCCTTCCTTCATCAGAGGATTGAGAAGCTCATCAATTTCCTTCCCTGCCAAAGTCTCTACTCCATCATGGCTGCACACTACGAAGACAACAAAGTGGCCAACAACCATGTCAATTCCAATGGTGTCGAGGTTGAGAAACCTCTCGACAGCCAAAAGGAGTATGTGGTTGACGAGGAAGGCAGAGCCATCCCCATTGATTACTCCGGCGCTCATGAGAAGTCTGATCCTGCTGAGATCGCTTTGGTGAAGAAGCTCGATCGGTGGATCATGCCCACTCTCTGGATCATGTACTGGTTGAACTATTTGGATCGCAATGCCATCGCCCTGGCTCGTCTCAATGACCTCGAGGATGATCTCGGCTTGAGCTCAACACAGTACCAGACCTGCGTGTCCATCCTGTTCGTCGGTTACCTTCTCGGCCAGATCCCGTCCAACATGCTCTTGACCCGCGTGCGGCCCTCATACTACATGTCTGGCTTCATGGCTCTCTGGGCCGTCGTCTCTACCCTGACAGCTGTCTCGAAGAACTTCACCGGTCTCTTGCTCACCAGGTTCTTCCTGGGAGTGACAGAAGCCCCGTACTACCCTGGCGCGCTGTTCATGCTCTCGATCTTCTACACCCGCAAAGAAATCGCCACCCGAATCTCCATCCTCTACACGGGAAACATCCTCGCCACTGCCTTCGCCGGTCTGATCGCTCTCGGCATTTTCGAGATGGACGGCATGGCCGGCCTTGCAGGCTGGAGATGGCTCTTCATCATCCAGGGTGTGGCCACATTCGTTGTCGCCCTAGGCGCCGTCTTCACACTCCCCGACCACCCCCTTAACACCAAATGGCTTACTCCCGAAGAGCGCCAGCTCGCTCACGACCGCATCGAGCGCGACACCGTGGGCAACAAGGCCGCGACTTCCAGCGTCAAGGGTCTCCTAGAGGCTGCCCGCGACCCCAAGCTCTGGTTGTTCGCATTCATGCAACACATGCATTTGGCCGCCAACGGATTCAAAAACTTTTTCCCCACCGCCGTCGAAACCTTGGGCTTCAACCGCACCATCACCCTCGTCCTCACCTGCCCACCTTACCTCATCGCTGGAATAATTTCCGTCTTCTGGTCCGCGTCCTCTGGCAAATTCAACGAGCGCACCTGGCATATCACCTCCGCCAAGGCCGTCGCCATCTTCGGCTTCGTCCTAGGCTGCGCGACCCTCAACACCGGCGCAAGATACTTCGCCATGGTCGTCTTCTCCATCGGAACCTACGCAGTCAACTCGATCATCCTCGGCTGGGTCGGCTCCACCTGCGGACAGACCAAGGAGAAGAAAGCGTGTTCGCTCGCCATCGTCAACACCATCGCCAATGCGTCGTTTATTTGGACTCCTGTAAGTTTCTTCACACATTTTGAAACCCTCCCCCTCCCCCTCCCCAAAAAGCCCCCGCATCGTCACAAAAATTGGACTAACATTTGTTTCCCAAACAGTACCTCTGGCCAACGACCGATGCCCCGCGCTACACCATTGCCATGTCGAGCTCTGCCGCCTTTTCCGTGGCTACCGCTGCGGGCGCCTGGGCCATGAAAGTCTGGCTCATCCGCACAAACAAGAAGATCCGCCAGAGCTCCGATGAGACGACGCTCTTCTACGCTTACTAGGTATCCCAACAACGCCTTAATTGTGATCTCGGAGGGTCAGACCTACTATGCTACCAACTGGCTGCGACGCTTTTTAAGATGCCTCTCGCAAGGCATCAAGCAGCCTTGGGACGCTGCGGTGAAATGAGTGACAACGACTATGACGAGGGGGTTGATGCTGAAGAGCGAGTGTGCCTGACACAGACTTGAAGTCCCTATGGATAGGTCCAGCGGTCTCTCTAAAAAGAGATATATGTATGTCACAGATCAACAAAATGGTGATCTATGGGAGCTTAGAACTGCAACATCCTTTTGGTGATGCCTAGAAGGCTATTTCCATAGCCATTCCAAACCAGTCAAACTGTGCCTGTCCATCCTGATAATTCTCAATTAAAGTAATCGTAGGGAGCACATTTAGTTCCCCGCGTAACCGTTGTAACGGGCAACTTGCAACCTAGACTTACACTCAGACCAGTAAGTGGGCGGTCCTCATGCTCTCCATGTAGCAGCCATAGCAATCTTCCACTTCCACAAGGCCGAGGGGGCAGGGCGGGCCGGAAAAGAACTATTTATTGTCCACATCTGTTGATGGTTCGTGATGGTTTATAGCAGCCCACACCTTCTGCCATGTCTCACATAGCCTAGCGAGATGAACTTGGTGGTCCAAACCCTTTGGGATCGTGTAGCGTACCTTGATCTGGGCGTACCAATTGCTGGAAACTTGCATACTTACGTAGATATCTCGTTGCATTCGGTAGTCTAATTGCGCATGCTTTGGCCTGTCAAGACAAGAGCCTAGGAATAGGGGATCTGAGCTGGTCTCGTTCGGGAGAACACGGCATCGCGTCCCTCCCTGCCTTGATGTCATATTAGTGTTGCTACCGCTCTTTGTGCAATCGTGCCTTGCACTATCGATCTCTTGCTGTCCGCCAATTGACATGCAAGCAGCCGCGACAGAAATCACCATTGTGTTGGTGGGCCCATCCAAGCGGCTTTCTGCACGCTAGGGGCCGTAGAGAGGGCATCGGCAAGCGACGATGCCTTAGTGGTACCCGGAGAAAGTCTACACTGGGGTCCTCACTCTGACTTCCCTGGGATGCATATGGCTGGCACGAAATCAGGTGGGGGCGTAAGCCGTCACTGGCGCCTGCAGCTTGGGTGTAGCGGCCAGACTGCCCTCAAGAGAGGTGAACGAGCCTTGGAGCTGCGGAATCTCCGGGTAGCTTGTGAATGTTCAGCTTCTTGACGCCCGTCAAGGGGGTCGCGAAACTCAATGTTGCTTGGCTCGCTGAAGCAGAGCGTCCCCTGACGTCCAATGTTGCGGTAGTGGAGTTTCCTCAAAGCTGCTGGTCAAATGATCCAGGCTTCGTTTAACTTCGCAAGAATCTGCATATCTCTGTAAATGGGGAGATGTGCCTCATGTCTTGGGACGTAACATCGTGCCCTCTGCAATCATTATCTTCCGAAGTCAATGTTTGCCGAGATGGCCTGGCCAGCGGTCTAAAAGGTGCTTTCTGTCGCAACTGCGCGATCGTACAGCCCTAGAGATTCTTATGTCGTTGAATCAGGCGCCCTTCCGGATCTCCTTAAGCCCTGAGTGGGAACAGGCGGACTGGGGGACGACTGGAACGGTGGGTTACGGGGAGCGCTATGCCGGCAACCTCAACACGCTAGTTGCGAGGTTAGCTGGCTGTAGTTGTAAAACCCCGAGGAGAAGATCGAGGCTGGTATAAAACGGTGGCGTATGAGTCGAGGGAATGCATTCTAGCATGTGTGTGATGGACAAGGCAAATACCTCCTGCTGGGCCGCGGGAAAGGTCGCGAGACTTCGAGAATATCACTTTTAGCATTCACCGCACAGTAATTTCTACCTATTACCTGGGTTTTCGTCTGGGCTAGAGCCTCCTTCTCCATTATGACTAGGGGCGCCGGTGCCCATAGCTCCGCCGAGGACTCGAAGGTGCCACTTACCGTGTGACTATGATTCAACCTATGATAGTCAAAGAGTTCTTATTATTGCAGCAACCAAAATACCTTCCGCTCGGGGGGCGGGGGGGGGCAAAACATTGGTTGAATTCGCGTCATTGAACTTCGAGTGGTTTTGCATCGCATGATTACCAGGATCTCCTCTGATGAATAGGCATATGTGACGCGAGCTGTATTTTGGTAAACACAGCCAATTCTCGCGGTGAGCAAACTTCGCCATCGAGGGCGACAGACAGGCGAGTCGGTCAACAGGTCGACGTCCGTAGGCGCACAATGCCAAGGCGTGAAGTTGGGAACAACTTGCGCCTTGAACCTAGCCACATTTGGAAGCCCTTGCATCCCGCCGATTCTCCTTCACTTTCTGGCATATGGCCGCCGCGTCTCCTGCTCCCCTAACATCAGATTCCGATTTCCAGCAACACATGCGGTTTCTTGGTCGCCGGCAATCTTAGGTGTCGCTTGAAACTTATTGAGGTGCTCGAGATTCTGATCATGGCCGAGGAATGTGTCAAGCATTGGTGGTGGCTCAGGAGTCACACCGACATCGAGATCATTCCCACATGGAGCAAAACCCTCCCCGCGACTGACAAAGACCACCTGGAGTGCTGACATAACAATCATGGATGATAATAGATTTTAATCTGTTCCCAAGGACCCACAGCTGCGAGACTCGCATCCCATGCATATGCGGATCTCTAAAATTACCAGTCGGATTGCCACTACCACAGAGATCAAGACTAGCCCTAGAATGGCTTACCTTGGGCTTGCTCTTTGGGAAGTGAAGTTATAAAACACTGGAATTTGAGAGCAGGGCATGGCTCAATGAACTCTGCGCCCCGAAACGATATCTAGGGACCGACCTGCTGTGGTTCATCGATTTGGCCCGGACGCCCAAGCTGACATTACTCTGCTAATTCATAGGTGCGGCATGGAGTCTCCCAAACGTGCAACACAAAACCGAGGATCGCTAGCCAAGACGGGGCTGATTCCGGTGTCGACTCCACCTCTATATTGCGTTACGACAACTTAGTGTTTGGTTCAATACAAAACGAAAGTGAAAACCGTCATTGGAAACAAGAGCAAGGAATCAAATGCTGGTGAAATGGTTCACTCGCTTTGGCACCACGCTTGGCCCTGGATGGGGGACAATGGGATTCGCGAATTACCAACTAAGAAGCTGTGGCGCCGCCTGACAACTAATTACGACTTTTCCAGAAGAAAGGGCAGATTGCAGTAACCACATGTAGACATACTTCCAAGGATTACTCAGATTCTTGGTTGGGCGTACTCAGGTTCGTTCCACTCTTTGGTTCGGCGCAGGCTTAGCCGGCGGCATTCCGGCAGAGATACCTTTGTTACTCATCAGGGATAACAGTAATTTATCTGACACCAAGGGTAACGGAAATCGGAACCCGAATGGCTTGTACGTGGGTCAAGTCATTCCAAGGTACGACTGCATGTCCTTGGCCACTTTTGGCTCCTTTGCAGCCAATCAAGCACTTTTCGTTCTTAAGTCGATTTTGTGTCCTAACTCGTGAGCCAACAAAGCTGCTCCTGACTCCCTAACAAGCACCTCATTGTTCAAGCTGGATTCACCTTTTAAACAAGGCTCTGACGTACTCATTTACCTCTGACTAACAACAGCTCATGCAGAGAAATGCTTCAGCTCCGTTTGAAAGCCAAACCTCAAGACGAACCCCAACAAGATGACCACCCTTTGAGATCTTCCAGCAAATTCGAGTTCGTTTTGATGGGCCCCAAGGGAGGGTTGAGCGGTTCTGGCATAAGTCAAATCAGAGCTCATACAACGAGAGAGTTGCATAAAACACGACGCCAAAGGAGCCAAGTAAGTGCTATGTCGGCACCGGTTGTTCGTCTTTAATCCCTCTCTTAATTACACTCTGTGCCTCTCTGTCTAGCCTCACCTGAGCTCATGCTCTGAAATCTTACATTTTCGCAGCAGTTACTTTATACGGACACACGCCTGCGTTGCTCAGGCCACTAAAGAATCTGTTTGTAGAATTGGACTGCTGCTGACCTTCTCAAACTACAAGGCGCTTCCACGCAGGCGTAATACAACGGGCAATATCTATTTTGGATCCTCTTTTGATCCTCTACATGCCTTACCTCAGCTAAGAATCGAGGCTGGCAAGCCGGGTTCGTTGGATGAACTCAAGCGTGAGGGTAAGTCCATAATCATGACATCTTTCCATCGCTGATCACTTGTCCACTGCGAAAGTTTTCTTGATATACTCCCAGGATGGCTGGAAAGAAGTAATATGGCCAGCCTTGTCGAAAGATACCACGTTTCTATCTGGCATGCTTTTCATGGGCTCAGTCCATGTTGATAGCATGAGATCAGGCGCACTTACAAGGACTTCTACCGCCTTGAAACTTCAAACTATTGCGTTGGTCCGGCAGAGAATCAGAGAGAAAACTCCAAGCTCCATCATTAGCGCTGTTTGTGCAATTGCTTGTCTGGCATCTTGTGCATTGGTATGTGTGGCCAGTCTCTCTGTATTCACCAGCTCTCCTCCTCAATCCTTTACAACAATTCTGCACAATTACAGCTGCCTAACTTCACAAGACTCGAGGAGAAGTCGATGGAAAGGCGGAGTATATCATGCATCGCAACGCCTACAGTAAGTAGTCCGGGTCTATAGTTCGTGCTTTGAGGCATTAGAATTTCGCACTTCCTGACTGCAGCGTGCAGCGTGTCTCAATCTTTGGATAAACAGTAGCTGACTTTTATCTCATGGTGTCTAGTGATGTTGATAAAGGAAGCGATGAAGTTTGATATCTTCCTCACATCAAGACACTGCAAAGAAACATTGAGAATCATCACGATGATCGCGTATGTCGCTATCCTGATCTGGAATTTTTAAGCTCACCTTTGCAGAATTTCTCGGAGATGTGGATTGCCCACCTCGGGACTTGCCGCCCCTGTGAATTCGAGCACTGTGTTACAGGATTATGAATTTGTATTCGAAGATCAGTGGAGAACACGTACCGAGCCTGACCCGACACTGTTTTCTCCGGTTTACGGTGGCAGCGCCGAGTCCACTGAAGATCGCTTTCCATGCGTCGAAACCCAACACCTGTATAGATTGGTAGAAATGATGCAAGATGCCATCAACCTTTGGCTTCAGCGTGACGTTTCCCTGAGGCCGCCATATACAGATGTCACGCTGGGTCTTGAATCCTTGGAGGCTAGGATATTATGCCTGCCATCAGCACACGATCAGTCTTTCCCATACAGCAATGATTTCATCTACGAGTCTTGCCGACTAACGTCAGTTCTTATGGTTCGCTCAGTGCAGACGATCAGCAATTGGAAAATCACAGCCGAAAGAGAGTCCTTACTCCGCCCACTTCGAGAAGCTCTCAAGAGAACGGATCTGGCAGGCCTCTGGGGAAATAAACTCGGACTTCTGTATTGGGTCGTTCTCGTCTTTTCCTGTGCGGCTTTTGGAACTCCCGACTATCTTCTGGGCCACTCCATCTTGCTTATGATCCACTTTGAGCTGACGTACACGAAAACCGACTGGCATGGAGCGTTGATGCCCATGATTGCTCTCAAGGACATCATATCCTTTTGCGACATGCGAAGATGTTGATCGATGCAAAAAGCACAATCGTCACTAGGGTTTGACTAGACCCTGGAAGGGCTTGCTACGAGCCTTGCATTCGACTTAGCGAACGACATGTAAGGAATATTCATCAGGTGTCTCGTTTTCCATGGGTGGGTTGAGATTGCCATCCGAGCGACTACCACCAGTAATCCTTGAAGCTCGACTTATCGTGATCTACTTGGGGTGGGGTGAATTCACGCATCCTGTTCCCAAACAAGGTTATGAAGCCATCTCACGATATTTGGGCCGCATGGACTCCTCCAAGATGCATAGAGCTGTCAATCCGTCGGTACTTTATGCCGCACAAATTCTCTCCAATCCAGACGGATCGCTGCTGCATAGCCTTCGTGTTTCCCACGATGACAAAGCTCCCGTCACTGCAGACTTGATGCTGACATTGGCATGAGAAGCATGTTCTCAATAAGTTAATGATGCGGCATGACCATCCGAAGAGGGAATGGGCATCGCCCGCTTGCGTGTAGAAGCGTGCATCAGAAACCCTTGAGAGGTGAGCACTGGCATTGCCTATTGATTGAGGCTTGTACCACCTAGTATTGGCATGTGGATTCATTTGTCAGACTCAGGATCGTTGAGATGGTTCCCTGGGTCGAGTAGCCCATGGTCAATCAACCTTGGCAACTGCTATTATAGGTAAATTTGTTTCAGCATGACGGTAATTCCTAGCTACGTACCCAGCAGTGGAGATGACGAACGGCTGTGACAAGGCCGGATCCAACTTCAAGTGACGCTGTCATGCCCAGCTGACCCAAGAATGAAGTCAATCTTCGAAGGATTTGAAAGGAACATGGAGTATCAAATGGTCAACGAATCGGATGCATCTCTCCAATGATGACATGAGTCCCAACTAGGAAAGAGTGCTATTACCAAAATCATCTGATCGTCTGAGGCTTGGCTAGATTTGGCTACTCGTATCCTTCGCAGAATGTGAACTGTTACGGAAGAAATAGAAGTCGACTCGCACATTGTCCCAATGTGCGACGTACATATAAGGGGCTTCACCAATGGTCAAGCGACAAGGTGTTTCACAATGAGCAATATTATGTTTGCAATTAACGGAAGTGCACCACGATCGAAACCTCACATGAACAACTGGTACCGATGAATTTCAGAATGACACTATGTTCGGGTTGGTAATGCCAGGTCGCAGGTGCCCACATCATCCGCCAGACATGATTCCGTCCCCTGAGCGGACGGGGTGCACTTCAGGCCGCGGATGGCTCTCAAGGTTAATGGCAGGCTGTTACGTTGCGACTTCGATATGTTCGTGCCACAGGTGAATCGCTCCCAGAGCAGCAATCAAAGCCGCTCCGAGGTTAACAGCACCTTTTGCTGTTAAATCAACTAAAGCAGGTACAATAGCGCAGCAATGCCATGGACGTTGCTTGTCCCCCACTCCAGATCCACGCTGCTTGGTTTGGTGAGACTTGATCCAGGATAAGTCTTCGGTGTGAGAGCTTCTGCATTTCAACCAGACCCACAGCAGATGTTTGATCTCAGCAGACTTTTATACTTGAGGGAAGTGCGCGGGCCTGCAAAGGGATCAGCTCTCGTGCAAAAAAAAGGGATCTTGTCTGGGTCTGGACAGTGGCCGGACACCAGACGGAGATAGCTGATAGGTAGAACGTGCCTGAAAAGGAGCGATCGATATCGATACCATTCAGCAAGTCTGCATTCATGGGACGTCGATTGAGCTCCATCGGAGCAGCCAAACCAACAGAAGACTGAGACAGCCAGCTATCAGGGATTACTCATCTCTGACTGGTCAGCCTCGCCACCTCGGGACTTCGGCTCCCCCGAGTCCAATTTGGGCTAGATTGCGTCATCGGACCTCAGCCATGGGACCCTCGAAGGCCGGCAGTTGCAAAACACACCCAAGGGTTGGAAAATTCTGGTATCCATGGCTACGTGCGCTGCTGCAAATTGTCCACCGGCGGGTCGCCCTGTCCGAATTGATTCGATAACTCGTTCAGTTCATTCCGTTGTTCATGCGGCCTTCTTGGCAAAGGGTTTCCATGGTCACTTGACGGTTTCTCGAAATTCGAAGATCGACTCCTCATCCTCCCCAAGTGCTGCGAGATAAAGAAAGCAGCTAGACAAAGCATCGTAATTCCTCGTATTGATTTGAGATCTTCTTCAGACCTGGCATTTTCTATATACTCTATCATACACATTCCCTCCTATTTAGTCGCAATTCACTCGTCGTTTTTGGAGACTAAAGGTTGCACATAGGCCGAAGACCTGGAGCGGATTTTGTTAAACTCCCATTGCCCGCAACATGCCGCTTCCAACAGGCGTCTATCGTGCTGACCAAGTCGGTTCACTTCTCCGACCCAAAGAGATCCTTGCAACTCGAGAAAAGTTGGCGGCTGGGGAAGCCTCGGCATCAGATCTGCAAAGACTTGAGGATAAGTATATTGCAGATGTGGTACGCAAGCAGCTCCAAGCTGGACTGCGGTCCATCACCGATGGCGAGTTCAGAAGAGCTTTCTTCCACCTCGACTTCTTGCAGCATTTCGATGGGGTCGAGGTGGAGGGCAGCATGACCTCGACAAACAAATCGAAGGGTGGGTGGATGCCACCTCGATTAGTCGTGACCGGCAAGTTGGGTCACAGCAAGCCGATCCAGGTTGGTGACTTTAAGTTTCTCGAGGGTCAGATCGCCAATGCTGGTGGCGAGGGCAAGTACGGCAAAGTCAGCAGCAAAGTTGCGATCCCTAGTCCAACGATGGTGCATTTCCGCGGCGGGCGTGAGAGCATTGATGTCGAGTCGTACCCATCTTTAGACGCGTTCTTTGACGATCTGGCCAGGGCTTACCAAGAGGAACTACAAGACTTGTACGACGCCGGCTGCCGTTTCGTGCAACTGGACGACACGAACCTGGCATACCTCTGTGATCCTAAAATGAGTTCCGCCGCCGAAGAACGACATGGCAGCGACGCGAAGAAGCTTGCGAGCCAATACGTAGACCTGATCAACCGCGCTATTGAAAAGCGGCCCAAGGATATGACAGTTGGGATTCATCTGTGCAGAGGAAACCACCGCAGCCAATGGTTCGCGCAAGGCGGGTATGAGCCCGTGGCGGAGGTTCTTTTCAAGGATCTCAACGTTGACGTCTACTTTCTCGAATATGACGATGCGCGGTCAGGAGATTTCAGTCCTTTGCGCCACCTACCGGAGAACAAGGTAGTAGTTCTGGGCGTGATGACCAGCAAGAAAGGCGAGCTGGATGACAAGGAGACTATGGTTCAGAGACTGAAGGAGGCCAGCAAGTATTGCAAGCAAGGCTTGGACCAGCTTTGCATCAGCCACCAGTGTGGATTTAGCTCAACGATGGAAGGCAACGAACTCAGCGAGGACGAACAATGGGCGAAGATTCGGTTGGAGGTACAGATAGCAAAAGAGCTTTGGGGTGATGACTTGTCCAAATGAGCTCGAGCTCAGGCTCAGGCTGCTCAACAGCTGTGCGACTAGCCCTCTACAAGAGATTTGTTGTCGGTCCACGGGACGAAACTAGTAGAAATTCGACCAAAGCTTGAAAATTAAAACACTCCCTGGGCCATTATATCGATCATCAAGTGCTTTATTGGGCACCTTCATTTATACTATAAAATCATCATCCGGTCCGTTCCGGGAAACATTATTGCCATTTTCGAAAAGTCTTCGTCTGCAGCCATCTGCCAGCATTCACGACCATACGATCCGCCCGCCGAAAGTAGTCGGCAGACCACAATATACAAATGGTGACAATCAAGATTCCCGGAATGAACGCGGGGTACGAATCTCCAAGGTACAATGCCTGCCAGTAAAGCAAGTGTTTCTTGTAGAGAGCATCGATCCAAATCGTATGCATGGCGTAGATTCCGAAGGACAGATCTCCGATGTACTGCGAGAAACTCCAGGTGAATGGCTTCTGCAGGGTAGGGGAGGAATCGAGAGCGATGACCACCAGGAAGGCGCCGATACTCAGCCAGAATGTGTATGCTGCGTCTCCATACCAAGGTGGGATGAAGTGGACGAGATACGGGAAGGGGAACGGCCCGTTCATGCCCAAGTCTGGGGGGTCGGGCTGTCCGAGGAGCAAGAGACCGATGACCAGAGCGACGGAAGAGCCAATCGGAGACGCAATTGTTCGTGAGAGTCGCCACAGTTTCAGTTGTCTTGACAGGGGCTTCTCATTCTCTCCTGTTGGGAGTACGGGCCGACCTAATCGTTCAGGATGCCGACTGAAAGACAGCTCTGCAATGAACATGCCGTAGAGAAACTCTGCAACGTAAACGGATCTCCAGTAGTAGCTAAGCGCCACAACAAGCCAGAGGTAGATCATGCGAGCGCGAAGTGACAGCTTAGCAGCTGATATGCAGAAGCAGAAGAGGACGATACTGCCTCGAAATTCGACCGGGATCGTCCACATCTGACCCAGGTACGGCGTATAGAGCACGCCCTCATGAATCCACCCCTCCACGTTCGCAAACGGATTACTGAAGATGATGGTAGACAGGAACCAATTCCACATCTGGCCCAGGAATGTCGGTTGCACGAGCTCCGGGAGCGGCACGCGCCAGCCCGGCGACACGAGGAGGGCGGCGACAAAGGTGGCGATGGCTGTCGAGCCGTAAAGCCGCAGCCAGCGGCGAAACACTGACGATGAGAGGGCGTCGAGAAGCAGTGCGCTTTCCTTGTTGCGTATCAGCTTCAGAACTCGGTAGCTGAGGACGTAGCCGGAGATGATGAAGAATATCGCCACCATGCCGGGACCGCCCGAGACGAATGTGCGGATGAGAGGGAGCTTCAGGAACCAAAGTGTTGTACTGCCCCAGCCGTGGTAGTAGAAGACGATGACTGCCGCGTAGCCTCGCACGGCGTCGAGGTATGCCGTCGGATGCGGCTTGTCTTTGCGATACTCAGCTCGTCCTCCCGGTTGGATATACCGAGGTAGTATGTGGTAAAGCCAGGTCAAATTGAGCAACCTCTGTGTGAGGCTCCGCCATCTGGACTCGCTTCGCCAGGAAAACTCCAAGCCGTTCGCTTGGTGATTAAAATCACTCGGCGTGTTCAGCAGGGGCGTCGCCTGCTCCATGGATCACCCGGGGGCCACTCCGGCGACTGCCACCACGTTGCGTTCTTGACAATGGACTGGTCTTGACGATCGTCCGCAGAAAGTGGCGCGTCAATCGCGGCATGGTTGGGCTCATCCTAAGATATATAAGGAAAATATGAGGTGAGCCCCCGAACACAGAGTGTTGTCCAATCTCTGTGACTGACTGTTGCAAAGGGGGCCAGCAGGGGTTGAGCCAAGCTCATCTTTGCGGAGGCCAAGGCTGATAGTTCTACGCCCCAAGCGATCTCAATGGCCAGATCCTTGGACCGTCCAACGGCATCAATCACAAGTCCTGAAGCCATTGGACGATCTCAAGACAAGGGGGTTCATTTTACCGAAGCATGTAGTGCAGACGCGCTAGACCTAATCGAGCGTTGGCGGGAATGCCAAAATCACATCTTGGCATCCACCACCACCACCACCACCACCACCACCATCATCCCTTCATTGGGTTTCAACGGCTGATTCCCAGGCACGGGCATGAAGTCGTTGATGACAGCCGTGAAGCCCCCTTAAGTGAAGCGGATGGGATCATCCTTGTGATTTGATCGTCAAGCAACAAATCTCGTGCTCTGGAAGCCTCTACCGAAAGCCGTTGACCTTTACCCCTGAAACGTGTCCAAATTCGGGCGTAGGATTCATCGCTTCAAAGTTTTCGCTTGGCATATAGTAAGCACAACGGTCAGGAATAGACCTTTGGATCTACATCCTACAGATGTGCTCGGCATCCGTGGCCAAAACATCTTGCTAGCTTCTTTTGTGACGATTTTAATTGACAGGGCCTTAGATCTCTGATGACTTCATCAGCAGCCCGTTGAAGCCTTGTGTCCTGTCAACATCCCGCTAGCCAGACGGTGGCGTCAGACTGCTATTCAGTACCGGGCTGTCAAAGGTAAATCACCTGCGTGCACCGACCGCATGGCACCACATTCTCCGGATTCAGGAGCCACAGAAGCCAGTTAGCACGACCACGGTGACAGGGGTCAAATCTTCTTCGGGAAACCGATAGCATTCTCCTCATTTATCGACTTCTGCCCATTATGATGATAGCACTCAGGTCACTATATGGACATATCTGACAAGATGGACGGGGCGTGGCAGAGCCCCATCCTCCAACATTTGTTCCTCGCATAATAGATCGACAAAGGATTATGGTAATCATTCGACTTGCTATGGTGAGCCTTCTAAATGGCACAGGTCATCCTACCAGCGCCAATCTTTCTGATGCCTGACAGGAGGTCGGGACCTTAACGATTCCGACAATCGGAAGCTCTGCTCGATGTTGACAGTGGCGATGCTCTGTGATCAGTGCTCCCTTCGCCACGCCCTCGAGCCGCACGCGTGCAATCTCGCTTCCAGTATCAATGACTAGCATTCAGCCGTGTCAATACCCGGTGTGATGTACTCAGCTGACGCAATTGCATGCTAAGCACCTGATGTCGATTATCCACGGTCAACGCACCCACTTTCCCATGCCCTCTCGAGCATCAATCCACCCTCTCACCTATATTTGAACTTAAGCTGGCCTTCCCTCGAATCCTAACAACAACGAGCGTCAGAAAGCTGAGTACAGTAGTATCACCATTTTTCGCTTCTTCCACGCGACTGTGTGATGTTCTTCATTTTGAATGTCGATCTGAGTGCATTGGAGGTGTCATTTGGCATCATGCCTGATCGACTTCAATATGCAGTACGGTGTCGAGCTCCGACGATGTCAAATATCGAGCAAAGGGGCCAGCAATCATCACCTACCGCCTAATGCGACCTCAAAAGGCCACAGCGTCCTAAATGTCATATATCATGCAGAGAATATTCCTACAATGGGGATTGGATTGCTGGATGCAAAGTATGTGAGTAAGTACTCCAATTGCAGCAAATAATAACGGACGGAATGGGTCATTGAATTTGGTGGCATGATCAATCGTCGAACAGTTCCCGACTGATTGGGCGATAAGGTGCCACTGTTGATTGAACGCCTTAGAACAGGATCACTGCGGGTTTGTCCGCTATCAGAGCCCACACAGTGGGAACAAGGTGAGAATCACGTGCCTACCGGTCTCTTCTGGAAGGGTTTTCTGTAAATGGGAATAATGACCTCCCCTCTCCCCCGCATGGTGGCCCTCGGCGCCGTATCGATGGCCCACACCGCCACCACCTGGCAAAAGCCTAGAGCCTCGAGATCTTGACTATATTTTTGGACAGCGCGTCGAGTCTGTTGATGTGCACAAGCCAGATAAACTCTTTTCTCAGCAATTTACTACAATTCACAATGAGCTCCAACCCAAAATCCTACTTGATCGTTGGCGCTGGTGTCTTTGGAATTTCAACAGCTTATCATCTTATTAAGAAGTACCCCAATGCGTCGGTGACGGTGGTTGATCGGGACGCCTATGATGCAGATAGTCGTGTAGCCGCCTCTTGGGATTGGAATAAGGTCATTCGCGCAGACTACGACGACATCGTTTACTGTCAGTTGGCTCTGGAGGCACAAGACATTTTCCGCACTGATCCGCTATGGCAACCTTATTTTCACCAAACCGGAATATACTGGATGTGTCGAAGCGATTATGCACAAGATGTTATTGACAACTACAAGAAACTCGGGCGCAAGGCTGACCTCTCTGCCGTACCGATCGACGAGGCCCGTAAACTCTACGGCGGAGTTTTCGACAACGCAGATTTTACTGATGTCAAAGAGGTGTTGGTCAATAAAACAAGCGGCTGGGCAGCTGCTGGAGATGCCCTGCGAGCAGTGACTAAAAGATCATTGGAACTTGGTGTCAAGTACGTCGTTGCTGAGGCTTCAACTTTACTGTTTGATGGCCGAGGAAACTGCACCGGTCTTAAAACGACATCAGGACAGGTTTTAGAGGCGTCGCACACTATCCTCTGCACCGGCGCTTACACTTCAAAGCTACTGGAGCTGAGTGCATATAAAAGTGGTAACAATAATCTTCGAGCTGGCGAGAGAATCTTGGCCGGCGGAATCACCACAGGCATGACGACACTGGATGATGCCTCATATGGGCAGTATGCTAAGATGCCTGTCGGTATGCAAGGCTACACGGCAGCGCAAGGTAGTAAGTGAACTCAACCACCTCACTGCCAGGGACCTTACTAATTCACGCCATAGGCCCCTTCATGGGCAGCCTTCCACCTACTAAGGATAAGGAGCTGAAGTGGTGGGGACGGACAATCTTCAGTAACTGGAGAGAAGTTGTTCCCGGTCGTCTAATCTCAATGCCACCTGCCGAATCTGATTATTCACAATGGAATGTCTCCAGAAAACTAAAGGAGGACATCGACTATGCGAATCGTTTGTTCTATGGCAAAAAGGGTGCAAACTGGAAGATGGAGAAATTTCGCATCTGCTGGTATGTAGTTACACATTCAACTTGTTGTATTATCCAACTAATCTTCTAAAGGGACGCCTTCACATCCAGCTCGGACTTCATCATCTCCCCTCATACTGCCTCAAAAGGCCTCTATATCGCAACTTGTGGCTCGTTCCACGGCTACAAATTCTTCCCAGTGTTGGGCAAGTATATCGTGCAGATGTTGGAGGGCACACTACCCCCAAACCTAAGCGATAAATGGGCCTGGGACAGAGAGCGCCCGGATCCGGCGTTGAACCCAGAGTATCCCAGAGCAGAGATGAAAGACATGCTCGATCCAGTCAGGACTGCCAAGTTATGAAGTACCCTGCCTTGTCTGGCTTGTTCTGTGCATATCATCTCGTTGTCTGATAGAGAATCGAGCTCGGCGCAAGGAAGGCTCAACAACTAGCGAGCCAGGTGGAGTGTGAAGTTAGTAAAGGGGACGGGGCCAACTTCGTCATCTGGAAAAATAGAGCACGCAAGCATGGAACAGCGCTTTTACACCCAACACTGCATATCGCGTGGAGTGCTGGAATAATCTCAAAAGTTGATTGCCTACATTACATGCATTTGAAGGCGCAATACAATCTTTGCTGCTATCTTCCCTCTATTCCGCATTGAACTTTCGCCACGTCGGAGAAGTATCTATCTGATCATGCCCCCCAGTCGTCTTGGAGATTTGATTAAGACGCTGTTGAATCGAGGAAGAAGCGACAGCAGGCCTAGACAGTCTAGCATGCCATACACAACATCTGGGGCGCTTCAAGTCTAAAGCGGAGCACCAACTCCCTTGGGCGCCGAGTGCGAATGTCCAAGACGTTTGAGGATGCTATGCCACACCGGACGGGCTATCTCTTCAGCCACCATTTCAGGTATTCCATTGGGGGATTCTGCTCTCCGATCCCGGGGCGGTGTTTGCTCCAGTGCTACGCTGATCCCGCCTCCCAAAAACTATCATTCGGTATGTGAACTGTGATAGGCTTACCATCGACCCCAACGGGTCTTATCGATAGGGTATTACATATTGTAGGTAGTTCTTATCTTCCAACACCCAGATGATTCAATCTTGGCAGAGCACAACTTGAACTCGCCTACCAGTCCTACCACTATGTGAACTGGAGGGGAATCACTCCGTGCTTGTTGTAGTAACTTGGCTGGCGGCCCGAAATCCGGATAAAGAGCCTGGCCAGATGAGAGGGATCTGCGTGGGTTGATGTAGGACAGTGTGACCTAGTTGGGCCTAGATCGGAGGCAAGCCACGCACTAAATTGGAAGTTAGGAACAAGGTTTTGATTAGTTCATGCAGCCAGGATCAGGGGTCGATGGTGTGGAGAATATCTGAACATCTGAACATCGTGTACAGCATTCGCTCATATGCATGTGAAGGGGGCATGGAGGGCATCACTGATCGTAGCTAGTGAGGCAGCGACAAGAGGAAGGTCTGATGACTACGAGGGCCACACTACTGAGGCAGCACAGCGATTATCCTGTTTCAGCTCGTGCTCATGGGATTTCTGTAGGGTAACGAGAATGTCACCACCCATCTACCCGTCATCATCCGAGACACAGGAACAGATACTTCGTGTCGCTTACCAGTCATTGGATCTCCCACCCTGGTTTCAAAAGCCTTGCTGGTACAGGATGATTTTGAGCGGCGGGCGCTGGAGCAATGGAGCATTGATCCTGAACGAACTCAGGGGCGCTGGCACTGTACTTGTATCAGGGACCATGTGTTAATATTACATTTCCCAGAAGAGCTATCTGTTCTAGCTGTCATTTTCACGCCACCAGGCTGGAAAGGAAGAATCTACACCATGGATATTGAGTCTGCGACAACGGGCTGCGCATGCCGTAACTGAGAGGAGAGCTCTTTCAGAGGCTGCCAAATGTTATGTCTTCCAGGAATCTTCCTTCTGATCATCTATCTTGATTACATGACATTGGTTCCAACACTGCTTCCCTGTGGATGATGAGGAAGTGCTGGCCATGGAGGCAGATGGGACTAGTCATGAAATCAATCCTTTCAGGCTGGAGGGCACATCACGCTTCGAAGTACAAGCCCCGGTGTCGTTGGAAGTTCTGAGAAGCACTCTTGACATCTCCCGCCCTTCCGATATCACCAGCATTGTCTGGGGTGGAAATGACATCTTAACAGAGATGCTGATGGTCTAGCGAAGCCTTGTGTTGGCGGACGAGAAGAGTCAGGTAGTAGATTCGATTACAGAAATCCCACCATCATGATGCACTGAGATAGAAGCAAATTTGAATTGTCTGCACGAGCGGATTCCGTTCGTACACAATGAATGGGGGCTCATTCCGGTGATTCTAGTTCAAACGTTCGGCGAATTTAAGAACTATAGAAATACTCAACTGGTCTGGATCTATACTTTCACGCAATCATGCCACAAATCTGCAAAGTATACACATATCCGCTTCGAGAAATAAACCTGGGTACTCCCTCGCGCCCGGCATCTATATGCTACAGCTGGCCCACACCTATAGACCAGAGCGAAAACAAACTTAGCGGCGTTCATTGGTTCCTAGGTATTGGATTTAGGCATGCCCCGAAGATGTGCACGGGCATAGCTAGAGCTTAGGGTGGAGGATCTCTCCCACTGTCATAAAAGGAGAGGTAGCGGAACCATTGAATCTGGTTAACAGTCCACTTAAAAATTACACTTCGGGATTTTGAAGTTGGGAGAAAAGATAAAATCCTTATATTGTGGAAGACGTCTAATGACCCCCAATTCAAAACAGGCCGTGTCTCATGAAATGGTATTAAGTCTAAAAGCTCCCTGCTGCTTAGTATACACCTCTCTCTTCTATCACCAAACGATTTCTTCCTGCTTGGTCCCGCAAGCTAGACCAGAGCACAATTCCAAATCTTTCTGGGTCACTGCCGCCGTGCCAGGCAGTATCTGTCTCGCAGGCCAAATTTCCTGCTTTGATGACTGTTCTTTCTTGAAATGATCCGTCACGTTTTCACGGACGAGTTTCTGGAAGAAGAGTGGACCTCTCTCCATGACCGGGTGCATCTCGCCGTTGACGAAGACACCGGTGTCGATGTTCTTCTGGGCAAGATCGCAGAGAAACTTGTCCTCAGTCATGATTCGTTTATAAATATCATTGATCAAAGTGAAGTCCTCGTCGGAAGAATTCTTGTTACGGAAAACTTCATAGCGAATTAGAGAGTTTCGAGGTCCACGCGGGACGAATCTCTGTGTGAAAAAGAAATGCGGGCTGTTTCATAACAGTTAGAGTGTGTGTTCTAGACATTTTTCCGGTTGGAGATTACTCACGAAACGTTCAAAGAAGCATTTGGCCAGTAGTAAGTTGCGCACACTGTCAAGCCTTTTGCTTTCTGTTCTTCCGTCGTATTTCCGTTATGTTGAATCCATCCTCTCTGGCAGGTCACACTGTACGAACTGAGATCTGCAACCTTTGGGATATCGGGATGTGTTGTTTTGCAATGATAGCATTCGTTATAATTGTCCGCCGCAAGCTTCCAGTTGTAGTTTGTGGCGATCTCCCAGTGATGGTCAAATTCATAATCATCAAAATGGAATTGTTTAAGTCTCTCCTGCGTGTCCGCCCCTTCTAAATCCTCTTCCCACGAGACTTCTGGTTTGGCTTTTGCATCCATGTTGACCCAGATAAATCCATTCACGTCGATATGGACATGGATGGGGAACAGGCTATTTTGAGTCTTGTCAAATCCGGGGAGGTCTTGATAACCGGGGGCTTTGGCCATTTTGCCGTCAAGCCCATAAGACCAGCCATGATAACGGCACGCCAAAATCTTCGAGTTGCCCTTCTCTGTCTCTACGACTGGATATGCTCGATGTCTGCAAACGTTGTGGAATGCGCTGATCTTGCCAGTGCGATCGCGGGAAACCACGATGTCAAACCCAGCTATTTCATAGCGGAGCCAGTCTCCATTTTCTCTGAGACGGTTTCTGTGTGTGGTCAGGAGCCATTTTCTCGAGAAAATCGATCTTCTCTCGAGCTGGTAAACCTCTTCTGAGGTGTACCATGGTGCTGGCAGAGCTCGCACGGAGGTCTTTTCTTCTTTCACCGGGACTTGCGGGCCACCAAGGCCGAAATAGTTCAAAAGGGCGGGTGCCATGACTTCCTAATAATAAAAGGAGAGGTGGGGTGCTTCTTTGAGGATGTGAGTTAATGATGGAACGCTATGACACACTGTTCTGGTCACTTGAGCCGGGAGATATACGATACATATATCGACTCGATTGCCTCCTCCTTTGATAACGGTCTTGCAACTCCATGGGGTATGAACTTCCATACACTCCGCTGAGGGTGCACATGGCTAACTTGGGCCTCAGAGCCAACAGAGATAAGAAGAGATAACGTAATAGTAGTCGAGCGGAGCCATCAGCCGACCCATGTTGACAGTGTAGAGTCAGGCCCGATATGGCCAACTCTTACATAGAGTTTTGCGCGTCAGCAACTTTTTACCTGGGATGGGATCGCATCCCTGTCACAAGGACTACACTTACACCAATAGAATCCCTTATCTGAAAGTGTGAGGCGGGCGCTATTTTGAATTCTAGAAGGGCTAGTCAAATCTGAGTCGAAATTAGATCAGCCCCTTTATTCTATTCACCGGTCCTCATGATCTTTTTTTATGTTTCAACTAAGATTACATGTGTCATATATTCTACCTGAACAGGACATCTAACCGTTCCGAGTGCTTGGTGTATATAGATCAACCTGTTTTCTCAGATCCGAGCCCTTAGAATTCAGCAGAAGGAACTTCTGGAAGGAATTTCCGAGGATGTCATACAAAAGAGCTAGCCATTATCATCGAAGAGGAAACCCGGACCGGTTTCCAAAGCTTTCTTCGCTCATGACGTATCTGTCGTTGATGCAAATGACGAGATTCCAGGCAAGCTTGCAAGGATGGCTTCACCCGATCCTCGCATGATGAATCGAGATGTTCTTTGAGGAGTTGTGGGGAATTAATGGACGGGATTTTGAGCGGCTCTGGGTTCGGGAGTTGCTGTTTCTTCATTTCTAGCGACCGATTATGAAGCAATGAGCATTCATTCGTGTTGCAACAAAGGATGTGTTCGGTAATTCCCATGACGCAAGGTTTAAAGCCTAGGTGTAGGAAAGGTTGTCATCTTCCTCCCAGCTCCCGTACAGCGACGCGATAGCCATTGTAGTCCAACCGCATTGAAACAGGTGACTGTAAGAAACTGTGCGTTGGTACTGCAATAGGTTCGACGGAAGCCACTGGGCTCACTTGGCTCAATTACCGACTGCGTCTCGATGTTCTAGACCTGGTGCTCGTTTAGCTTAACGGTAATTCGAAGTTCATGGGACACCTGCAACTTGATGATGATCCCTATGGTGGCCAACAGTCGAGCATCACGCCACGGATGCCCTACAAGGGTTGTAAGTTACTAGAAGGCCCAGAGCCCCTGCTACTTTCGGGTCTTCGCACAATGTTGACCTATCATAGCATAGCACATGTTGTCGCAGTACCAGCCACGAACTGTTGCAAGTCGTTCCGACTCTGACATATTGGATGGTGGGAGGAAGCGGCGCCTCACCAGAATTTGCTCGCTCACTGCAAGTGTAGCTAAACTTTTTCCAGGAAAACTTGGCGAGAAGTTTATAGCCCAAAGAGGAATGGAAGTCCATTCTGGAGACGCTAACCAAGCCACATCCTTATCACCAAGATAAGTACGACCATGCGGGGGTTCAGTCGCCACTACCGGGGAGCTAAGGTGGAGATGTTAGAATATTCGTTACTATGAACAGGAACGGGTTGTGTATCCTTTGAGCGGCATCACAGAGTTGGAGGGTTCCTAGAAATTAGATATGATTAACACCTTTTAAGAGTGAATACCTCGATCTTGGTACCAACAACAAAACATCTGGGAATCAAGAATCGACCTCAAAAAATGATTGCCAAAGTCCAACGTGTGGTCATCATCGGAGCCGGCATCGTCGGCACCAATGTCGCCGATGAGCTCGTCTCACGAGGATGGACCGATATCACCGTCGTCGAACAAGGGCCATTGGACATGCCCGGTGGCTCAACGTCGCACGCTCCAGGGCTCGTTTTCCAGACGAACCCTTCAAAAATGATGACTCTCTTCGCACGTTACACCGTGGAAAAGTTCCTATCACTGGAGAAGGATGGCGAGAGCTGCTTTAATCAGGTTGGAGGCCTTGAGCTTGCAACTACTCCTGAACGGCTTCAAGAATTAAAACGAAAACACGGCTACGGCTCTTGCTGGGGTGTTGAGTCACGTCTTCTCAATCCTGAAGAATGTATGGAGAAATATCCCTCAGTTAACAAAGACCTCATCCTTGGTGGCCTTTATATCCCCAGCGATGGCTTAGCAAAGGCAGCTCGAGCTGTTCAGCTTCTCATCGAGCGAACCAAGAAAGCAGGTGTTCGCTACGTCGACTTGACACCAGTCACTGGCATCGAGAAGGCTGATGGTCACGTGACAGGGGTTACAACACCCACTGGGATCATACCTGCAGACTATGTTATCTCCTGTGGTGGATTCTGGGGTGTGGAGCTAGGAGCTCAAGTTGGACTGTCGATACCACTGCTCCCGCTTGCACATCAATACGTTAAAACAACTGCAGTTGAATCTTTGACTAAGAATAATCCTGCGCCCAACTCAGCAGTCTTACCCATTCTACGCTACCAGGATCAAGACCTTTATTACCGCGAGCACGGAGACCAGTACGGAATCGGCTACTATGGACACCGTCCATTGCCAGTCGTTGCCGCTACTCTTGGCAATACTCCCAAAAATGTGGACGAGCAAAACATGCCTTCGCGACTCCAGTTCACCCCTGAAGATTTTGCTCCAGCGTGGGAGTTAACTAGAGAGCTTCTCCCTGCTCTAAAGCAAACTGAGATTGCTGATGGGTTTAATGGAATTTTCTCATTCACGCCCGATGGGGGACCCATCATTGGAGAACATCCTACACTTGACGGTTATTTCGTCGCGGAGGCTGTCTGGGTCACGCACTCTGCTGGTGTCGCACGAGCCGTTGCAGAGGTCTTGACGGAAGGCAGATCTAAGATCGATCTGGGTGAAGCCGAGTTGACTCGATTTGAAGAGGTCCAACTTTCTCGGTCCTATATCAATGAGACCTCAGCACAAAATTTCGTGGAGGTCTACGACATCATGCATCCACTACAACCAAAAGACTCCCCCCGCAACCTCCGGGTTAGTCCGTTCCACGCAAGACAAAAAGAACTCGGAGCTTACTTCCTGGAAGGCGGTGCGTGGGAACGGCCATATTGGTATGAAGCAAATAGCGACCTAGTCAAAGAGCTCCCCGCAGAGTGGCAGCCATTGGAACGTGACACTTGGTCGTCCCGATATTACTCGCCAATTGCAGCAGCAGAAGCTTGGAAGACACGAACCTCAGTGGCGGTCTATGATATGACTCCACTTCGTCGCCTTGAAGTGTCTGGTCCTGGAGCCGTTTTTCTGCTACAGCGCCTGAGCACAGGCGACGTTGGCAAGAAGCCAGGTGCAGTTACTTACACCTTGTGGCTAGACGAAAATGGGGGCGTTAAGAGCGACGTCACAGTGGCCAGACTTGAGGACGATGTGTTCCAAGTGGGCTGCAATGGCCCTGTGGACCTGGCATATGTCAATCGCGAAGCTCGCCGACAAATGCAGCAGGATCCTCTCAAGTGGGTACATGTACGTGATATCACCAGTGGCACCTGCTGTATAGGACTGTGGGGACCTCGTGCGAGAGACCTCATCAGTACCATCACTCCTGATGATTTCTCTAACAAAGCTTTGCGGTATTTCCGCTGCAAGAAGGCAAGCATCGCTGGCATCCCGGTGACTGCAATGAGATTGTCCTATGTCGGAGAGCTTGGCTGGGAAATTTACACCACCGCTGATCGAGGCCAAGCACTGTGGGATGCAATCTGGAAGGCCGGCAAACCTTATGGAATCATCGCCGGCGGGCGCCATGCATTCAACTCATTGCGACTAGAGAAAGGGTATCGATCTTGGGGCACAGATATGACTACAGAACACAATCCCACACAGGCAGGCGTCGGGTTTGCCGTCAAGGCCGGCAAAGAAGGCTTTATCGGCCAAGCGGCTCTATCAGCTCGCAGTACGGAACCACTTGAACAACGACTCGCCTGCATCACAGTTGATAACAGCAGCTCAGTGGTCCTTGGGAAAGAGCCAGTGTTCCACAACGGAAAGCCAGCTGGCTACGTTACCAGCGCCGCATTTGGTCACACTATCGGCAAGCCCATTGCTTACGCCTGGCTGCCTGCATCAATTGAGGTGGGTGAAGCTGTCGAGATCGAATATTTTGGCACACGGTACTGTGCTACCGTAAGGGCCGAGCCTGTGTACGATCCCAAGATGACCCGCCTGAGAGATGTTCCATCGGATGTTGATGTCGTTGCTTCTGCCAGGCTCAACTAGATACTTCTTTCCTGGCTATGGGGTGCCCATGCAGGGACAAACCAGCGTGATCCACAATCAGCGGATCTGTCAATTTAGAGTGGATACGCGGAGTACAGGTAGTTCAAACCGTTTAGTAGAGTTAAGCCTAGCTAGCCCAGAGGAAAGCCAAGGGAAGGGGCATCGGCGATTGTTGAGTTGCTGGCCAACGCATGAAGAGGGTCAAGGGCGGGTCTTCTGCCGCATTGACCTGCCACCTACTGCGACAAGTATATCGGAATTGGGCGTTCTGGCCAACAGGGAATGAATTCACTGGTTTATATTCTATTGACATATCAAAGGGATTCAGTGGGTAAGAAAACAGCTGCATTTACAGAAGAAAGCTGGCATTAGTTGAGGAAGGCTATGATGATTCTTTATGAATTTGTTTTTACGGTTTCAAAGCACTTAGACGATTGATATGGCTTCCGAATCGTCACCAACGCACCTATCATGCCATTGCGACCACTGCGATTGCGACTATTACAGCACTTCCACTGCAACCATTCCAGTGCATTGACGTCGACGGCGACGGCGACAGCGACCATCAAAGAGTAAGCGCAATTGTACATCAGCTCGCATCCCCGAGAATTCCGATCGATGAATCGAGCAAGCCACGTGCGCTCTACAGAATCTAAGGAAATGAATTTCGCACGCGATGGCGATGGCGAAGGCGAAGGCGAAGGCGAAGGCGAAGGCGAAGGCGAAGGCGAAGGCCACTGAATGAACATGACGATGATAAAGGCGGGCACGACTGACAGAAGCAACCCGCTCGGTAGGTACCAGGGCCATAGCTTAAGGTAAGCGCTATTGCCAGTCTTCTTATTAGTTGAAACCTTGGCCACTTTGAGGTGGGTTCCCACTATCTGACCATGACGGTCTTTTTGTCCCCATGAGGTTTCCAGGTCCGTAAGCAGTTTCTTTTGCCGTCTGAGTGAACTTCATTAACGGAGGAAATGGCAAATGCAACCCGAGCATTCACTAATCGTCCCACTACTTTTTACCCTCCCGTTCCGGCTCCTCGCTTGTGGGGTCTGAGGGCAGGCCATCCGCTGGAGGTACAAAGGGCGCCTACCTGGGGCCAAAGAACGGAGTTCAGCTATGGGTGGCCTGGACTGGAATACAAGACCTGCGGGGATTGCCTTGTCCAACTTTGCACAGACTCGTCTTCGGGGGGGGGGGGATCGTGAGTTGAAAGCTAACATACACAAACTAACCTGCTTCGGTAATGCTTTAGAAACTTCCTAAAACTTCCTTCTGCGGCCGGCTCCCAGTCCACTCCGCCCCCGGCACCGGCTCATGCTCAGGAACCCTATAAGAAGGCTCTCATGTCACACAGCTAGCCACCGATACCCAGAAGTTACTGTCAGTGATCTCCTTTAGTAAAGCCTAGCAAAGATGTCGAAAGAAGAAGAGAAAAACATTGCCATCAATGGCGGAGACAGCGACGAACAGCCCGCCTCGGCTAATTCAGAAGAGATCCAGTCAGGTGACTTCACTGACAACGCCGATGGCCTACAGCGTCGACTGGGAAATCGTCAGATCCAGCTCATCGCCATCGGCGGATCTATCGGGACGGCTTTGTTTGTGAGGTAAGACAGAATCTTTAATGCTCCTATTCGAGAAGCTCAGAATGAGATTCTCCTGGGTATCATTTCTATCAGCAAGTCAAACAAAGCTGACTCTTGTACAGTATTGGTGGCGCTCTCAACAAAGGTGGCCCCGGTGGGATGCTTCTCGCATATACACTGTACTCGCTCCTCCTGGCTCTCGTCTCCAATGGCGTTGCAGAAATGAGTGTCTTCATGCCCGTCAGCGGTGGATTCATCCGTTTGGCAGGGAAATGGGTGGATGAAGCCTTTGGTAAGCCACCACTGCGACACAAGCCGCTGCTCCTTTAGCTAACGATTCATCTATAGGATTCATGGCTGGCTGGAATTTCTACTTCTACGAAGCTTTGCTCATCCCATTTGAAATCACGGCTCTCAACCTGGTTCTGTCGTTTTGGCGAGATGACATTCCGGTCGCAGCCGTCTGCGCAGCATGTGTAGTCCTCTACGGGTTCGTTCTTCCTTCATAGCACCCCCAGAACGCTTTCTCCTCCCGCCCCTTCCTGTCTCCATAAGCCTCCGGTCTTCGAAAATTCAAATCACTAATCCCACTTCTAGGCTTCTGAACTTATTGGCTGTGAAAGCTTACGGAGAGGCGGAATTTTGGCTGTCCGGAGGGAAGGTCTTGCTCATCTTCATGCTGTAAGTTACTCGGACCCCAAATCCCTGAACGGAACAAATCACTCCCAATTAAGTACATGAACTCCACCCCAAGAGTCCATGATGAACTCTCTTGTGAGGCAATTGTTTCAAACACTCTACAGCCCTGCAGATACCGATGCTTCCACATGAGTGCCAAGACACTGATGGCCTCCATACAGATTCGCTTTTACCTTCATTACGATGGTGGGAGGTAATCCCCAACATGATGCCTACGGATTCAGGTACTGGAGAGACCCCGGTGGTTTCGCCGAATACATCACAACGGGATCCCTTGGCCGCTTTGAGGGTTTCCTCGGCTCCCTTTGGGCAGCATCCTTCTGTATTGTTGGACCTGAATACATTTCGATGGTGGCAGCAGAGGCAAAACGCCCAAGGATCTACATTAAACAAGCCTTCAAGACCATCTACTGGCGTTTCGGTATCTTCTTCATTTGTGGTGCCCTCTGTGCAGGTATTGTGGTAAGTCCCTATCTGTATTCTCACTTGATTGTCACATGTCGCGCGTCCTCTACCCAGGACAACCTCTCAGCATGGTTGTATTCATTTATAGGACTCAGGGGTCAATTCCCTTGGCTAACCTTTTACTAATGGCCTGTTACAGATACCTTATAATGACAAAACTTTGGTCGCCATTCTCGGCGGAGATTCCACGGGAGGTGGTACAGCTGCAGCCTCACCTTACGTTATTGCTATGCAAAACATGGGCATTGAAGGATTCCCACATCTAGTCAACGCTCTTTTAGTCACCAGCATCTTCTCTGCTGGTAATACATATACCTACTGCGCGACACGGTAACCCGGACACATGAAGCACGTCATTGGTACGCTGGCTAATCTATTTCTAAAGTACTTTATACGGCCTGGCCCTCGAAGGTCGCGCGCCAGCCATCCTCAAGAAATGCACCAAGCAGGGTGTACCGATCTGGTGCTTCGCTGTCACGATGCTCTTCCCATTCCTCAGCTTCCTCCAAGTCTCAAGCAATTCATCCCAGGTCCTAACATGGCTCGTCAATCTCATTACTGCTGGTGGCGTTATTGACTATATTGTCATGAGTATAACCTATCTATGCTTCTTCTACGCATGTAAGAGGCAAGGTGTTGATCGCAAGACATTACCTTACTGGTACGTTGACACCTGGGAGAAACTGCGATAGACTCAATTCTAAGCATGTACTAACTTGAGATATTCTAGTGGTTGGTTCCAACCATACTGTGCCTGGATTGGCCTTGTGGGCATGACGGTAATTGTCTTTGTCTACGGATACTCAACTTTCCTACCTGACTCGTTCACTCTCAGCGGCTTTTTCTCCTATTACAGTAAGTTACCAGTAACTCTTCCTCCGCTTTGATGCCCTTGAAAATATTTGTATTCTCCAAAAGCCCTAAGACGTATTTCATGCTAACATGGTCCTCTCAATAGCGATGGTTGGAGTTGCTCCCATCCTGTACGTCTTCTGGAAAGTCCTGAAGCGTAGTCCATTTGTGCGCAGCGAAGATGCAGATCTTCTCTGGGAACGACCCATCATCGACGCATACGAGGCCACATTCGTCTCTCCACCAATTGGATTCTGGACTGAGATGGTTCAGCTTGTTGGCCTCAAGCGAGGAGCCAAGGATGAGCGCATCGTCGGCAGAAGAGGTTCTGTACAAGTTTACTAATGCGAAATAGGCTTTGCCTAAGCTTGGTACAGTACATATCCATACAAGAACCTAAACACTAGTAGACAAGACCAGTCAGGTAACAATAGTGCCGAGCTGGAAAAGGGACAGAGCATCTATCGAGCTCTGAAAAAACAGTAATGGCGTTTATTCCTTCCACTGTATTCCTGGGAAGGCTGGATAGACAATGAATACGAAGCCTGAGCATGCAGACAGATAAATACAACTGAACACGTTAAGAGATCTTGAATCAACGCATGTATACTTGACTATTAAAGACTCATACATGGCCATATAAATCTTACAAGCTTAGCCAATAAGCCATACTACTGGTAAGTAGTCAAGCGAGTGATGAATATAGAACTATCGTACACGAAAGGCACAGCATTTCCTTAGGCAGATAGGTCTGAGTGAATTGGTTGTCCACATTTCTTTAGGGAAGATGGTGATAGTGTCTATACGGCCAAATTAGTGATGCTGGGAATGCCCAAGGCTTAGTACAAGCATCTGACACTTGGGGTCCAGCCATTGTAGCTACTTAGACATGCTCGCAGGGTCGAGGGGGAACGAGGAAAGCACATGGAGCTTCCCTAACCTAGTTTTCTCGAACTCTCCAGAATAGGAAGCACCTCCCAGTGATTAGCGAGAAGGAAAGCCCTCTCTAAGCCGAGACTGAGGAGTTTGGATCTTCTACCCGAACGGTATTCAACTGCTCGATGGATACTGTACTAACGCATATACTCCTTCCCGCGATAGAGAAGATCAGTGAGAAGATTCTACGTCTCTTTGCTATCGATCTTGGTGCTGAACCTGCTTTCCAACGGCAGTGAGATGGGCAGTTCACTACATACGTTACAGCACACTTGCTAGGAAGACAGAAGCCTCCTTTCGATTGTTCGTGTCCTAATGGCCCTTTTTCGAAACTCTTCAAGTACAATGAAGTACTATGATCCACCTTGGGGTTCAAGTCCGATATGTCCACCGTCCTGAAGAAAGTGACTCTACTGTACACACCACAATCTGTGATATGATGTCCATGGCCATGTCAGGTAGGATTTATATGTGGTTAGTAAAAGATCTCAGACAGCGTAGGTACCGCAACTGCAACAGAAAACGACACGCCCCAGGGAAGAAAAAATGATGGAGGATTTGGACTGTACAACTGTACGGGCCAATCGATACAGGCAAGTCAGCGTAGTTGAGATTTCTGTCTTCTTCTACTCTATTGTCACCGTTCTGGTTTATATAGAAAATTACTAGGTCAATGACCTCCTGGAGCCTATTTTCCATGATTCCAAAGCATTCCAGAGGCTGTGGCACTGACTCATTGCTCGTCGTCATGAGGTTGCCTGCGCTAGTCACTTTGGCGCCAACAAAAAATAGTAGGTGATTTGCAAGGCTGTACTCGACTTTGCCCAGTGAATGCACTGCCAGAGAAGAAGAGATAACAGGAAGATGGAGAAACACAATAGTGGGCCAGCAAAATGAAGTCTTCTCTTACCTTTCTTAGTTGAAATCAGATCCAACATCAGGGAGAATTACATACCTTTTTTGGCGCCCAACACATTAGGGGCTCACTTACCTTGAAGAGATAATGATAGGAACTTACCTTTTGAGGCGAAGTCACGAATCATGGGGGTACTTACCTTGGATAAAGAAGAAAAGAAACGAAAGGCTTACCTTGGAGAGGGAAAGGGGAAGGAGAGAAAGGAAATGAGTGACTTACCTTGGAAAAGGGGAAGGGAGGAGAGAAAGGGAAGAAGTAACTTACCTAGTGAAGGAGGAAGGGGGGAAGAGAAATGAAATGAGTAACTTACCTTCAAGGGTGGTAAGGGGAAAAAAAGGAAACGAAGACTTAGCCTGATAAGAAAGAGAAACAGGACAAGAAGCAGAGAACGGAGCAGGATGGAAAGGGGAAGGGGAGGTAAGTATGATCGGAAACAATAGGACAACAGCAACGAAGGGGAGACAGCAATAGGTGATGGACAGGAATGAAAATGGGCAAGAGGGAGTGAACGAGGAGAAGAGAAAGGGAGGGAGATATTTGTGCAAAAGTTGCGAGGGAAGAAGTGTATTTATCTATATCGTGGACTCGATAGGCTGATCTCTGATCTCTGACTTCTGATTTCTGATCTCTGATCTCTGGTCTCTGGTCTCTGGTCTCTGGTCTCTGGTCTCTGGTCTCTGGTCTCAACCCAGATCACGCTAGGTAGCAGCGATATCATTCAGATCAGACGTGTGGCTAAGTGGTATAGTGGGTCTATACGCGGCCGATCCTTGTCAATCATAAACCGATGTAGGGATGGTTTCATGATACAATCACAAATCGTACACGTTGCATGGCCACTGAAAACGTGAGCCCGCGTTGGAACTCTGCCTGTTATTAGTGGATCCCCAACAAATCTAAACTTGAGCTCTCGAACAGGTCGCCCACCATCGAATTGAATTAGAGGACGAACCACCCATCTTGCTTGACTGTGTGCATACCACAAGCACTCATGCTGGCAACAAACGGGACCACTTCCTTGCCGGGTTTGAGCCTCATTGCTCAGAGTAGCAGGGAGTCTACAGGACACAGTGGACAGCATTGCCCTCGCCGTTGGAGGGGGGATCTGAGAATGTCGTCCATGTCACCATCTGTATCGGATCAGATCCACACGGTGGGGCATCGTCGTCAACGAGTTGGAATCAGGCTTTTCAAGTCAAGCTTTTCAAGATGGAGCATGCGGTCGCCCCACCCGACAAAGTTAATTCGCTACCATCCAAAGTCCACCATCCACCACTCGCGTATCCATACCAAGGACAAGTAACGCAACGATGAAGACCATCGCATCTTTCCCCCTGAGAACGAGCAGATCGCAAGAGAATTATTTGAGGTGAATCGCGTTGAGATAACACCGGCAAAAGGCGGCCATTTATCCACCCCCAGGCAAAGCCAAGTGATCTACGTGCTGGGGTATCTGAATAACTCCCTAGGCGGTAGCTACCCCTCGCTGTGTTGACGTACCATTAGTTCCATTCTCAATCGTCCAGGTTCCTCGCCTTTCTCAACCTTAGCTTCAGTCCATTTCTGGGTTTGGTTGTAATGATACCCGCGGGCACCACTTCCTCCGTCTTGTCTGCCATTTCAAATTCGAACGCCCCAACAAACGCTGCCACCAAACACCTCAACTCGGCCTTCGCAAAACCCTGCCCAATGCAACTTCGCGGCCCGTGCAAGAACGTCAAGACAGCATAGTTCGTGTCTGCGCCGCCGTGCTGATTAGGGCTCCCAGTCTTCCTGTCGATCCAGCGCTCCGGTTTAAATTCCGCTACGTCAGCACCCCAGATCGCAGGGTCATTGTTCACCGCCCACGGCACTATGAAGAGCCTTGTGCCTGCTCTGATATGCTGACCAAGTACAGTATTGTCTACTTTACTGACGCGTGATGTGAGGGGCACAGTAGGGTACACGCGAAGTGCCTCATTGCACACTCCGTTAAGGAGCGGGAGGCACTCGAGTCTTGCGGCGAGGTCGGCGGTGGGGTTTTCAGACCAGTCCAGAGGCAGTGCTTCGTGGATCTCGGCGCGCAGGCGAGCTTGGATGTCTGGATGGAGTGTGAGGAGGTAGGTCAACCAAGTGAAAGCTGATGACGTCGTTTCGTGGCTGTCGACATTGTTAACACTCCTGGCAGGGTTCCTAACGGAGTGAGGACAAAGTAGAAGAGTAAAACTAACCCAGCCGCAATTATGGTCAAAAGCTGGTCCACCAGCTCTTGATCAGAAAAGACATCTCCCTTCATCAACAAAGCAAGAGTATCCACAGACTTGCTGTCGGGATTCTTGATTTGGTCGCGCTTCCGTCGAACAAATTCCTCGGAGAGGCATCGCAGCTCTCTCGTGGTATCCCTAAGGCGCTTCGATGTATAGGGCATGAGCAAACTCGCCGCAGTCTCGCCCAAAATAATGAACAGCATTGCATGACGCGTCGATTCTGGGCTGATCCTTGTCAGTTCCTCGTAGAGATGGACAATTCTGTCGCCGGAGTTCTCCAGCGTGTTGAAATCCCTTCCTAGACCTGCGACCCCTATGATATCTAATGCGGCTTTTGGCGCCCAGTAATCGAGATCCGCGATTCCCGTGGCTTGCGACTGATCAAAACTGTACTCCTCAATTTTTCTCGTCATTTTAACAGCCTTCTCCCAAAACAGAGGATAGAGTCCTTTGATCTGCCTAAATCCAAAACTCGGAAGGCTATGCTTCCGCTGCCTCTTATGAGGATCGCCCTCAGCAACAACCAGCCCATCACCTATATTCTGTCTTAGATAGTTCCGGCTTCTTTCTGGTTTTGTAAACTCGTAAGACTTAGAGACAAGGACCTCGGCCAGCGCCTTGGTGCTGGTTAACAGAACCTGGTCAGCGTTTAGGAAGCCCTTAAGGCGTATAAGCCCGTCGTTGTGGATTTCCTTCGTGAACCTAAGGTAGTCACCGCCCCGAGGTATGCTAAATTGAGAAGCAACATGGCCGAAGATTGGGTGAGCGCCCTATCGCAAACGCCAGTTCAGTACCAACTCCTCTGTACCGGGATATTGTATTGTGATTTACCTTTGGTGTCGGGAGGTGTCGTAATGGGCTGGTGAAGTTCGGATATATAAATACTCTGTAGAGTGCAAAGAGCAGGAAGTTGAGCAATGCGAAGCCAGCAAAGGACCCTCTAGAACGGAGGAGAGGCTGTTCAGGAGCGATATTGGCTATCGCAATATTTTGTAGGGCTGCGGAAAGTAGGAGGAGAAAAGGAGTGGGAATTTGGAAAGCCATCATAATAGTTATCAAGTTGCTGAGAGGTTGTGAATGCTTCACTAAGTTGATGGCCACCACGGCTTACCTTGAATTGTACCAGCCTTCAAGAAAGTAGCAAGTTTTTGTTGGCGTCCGGTCTGAGATACCCTGGTGAGGGGTCAACCGACTCAGGACCCCCAGAATGTGAAAATTATCAAGGAGCGTTGATAAGGATGCGTTTTCCGTAGCCTGTATTCTGCAGGATCACGATGACTCTGGCGTTATACCCACAGTCTGCTGTCTGCTCTCTTTAGCTATGTGCCAATGAAAGCAACGATGCCAGGCAACCAACCGAGGCTCCCAAATACGGGGGCGTCTTTGCGCCGCCTCCAGCCCGCGTGTGAGATTACACCCCATGTTAACCAGTAAGCCGGGGGTATGCGACCAGAAATCCAAGCGAAGCTCTTCGGCTGCCCGTCAGCATCTTTCAGCGGCTTCAGAGAGCACCTGAAATCATCGTATTTCGTATCCCAATATGGTATTTCGTATCCCAATGGAGATCACGCGACCAAGAATTGGCTCGCTTGAACGACTCAAAGTCTTCCTGTCCAGCCATTCAAGAGAGGAGGGTTTGTCCACTTATGTCTGCAGAATCCATGTTGCACAAGGCCTATCACCGTTCATGTACGATATCTACACCAACCGTGCCGAGGTGCTTCGCTGCCGCTCGGTATATGGCCCGACTGAAGGCCCCAGGTCATGGTAAAGGCTAACCTTGAAGCGTCTTAAGACCGATGCGGGGCGCTCCATCATAGCAAAACCGCCTGCAGCAATCGTCAAGCACTAATAATTTCAACATCGCAACAAAGCTGTCCGATTCTTTGGCGGGAAAGCAACCTATTGACGCCGAGCTTAAGAAACTAGAATATTGATATCAAGTCTCTGTAAAATCCAGTTGATCATGGTTACTCTCGACGCAGGAGGATTACATTCAATCTCCGCAAAACAGCTGAACCTTCAATTATTCCCATTGGTCGTCGAACAAGGAGAGCAGGACTCGAGACCGTCGACATTTTACAACACTGCACCAAAGTACACTTGTATCCCTCACGCGAATTCACCACGTGTCCTCCCTCTGCTGTAGGCATGCTTCTCCGCCATGAATCCGAGCGTCACGTACAGTATGACAATACCACTTTCTTCGATGATTGCCATGTTGATTTGCGCCCCGATGCTGCCTCCGCGAGGGTGAAAAGCAAGAGGCGTTCGTGAAATCTTAGAGGAATCTCCATAGAAGCCTCGCAGCCAGCAAAGGAAGCGCAAGAACGATGACGTGCAGAATCTCCACTACTGGAGTTTGCTCCATCTCTGAAATGCCTACGAGGTTAGTATGACGAGGATGGCGTAGATGGCTGTGAATATGACAATTCCAACTTTGAAGAGAGTTAGGAGGCTTGATCGGTCCGATTTATCACTCGATGCCTCATTGATACAGCCGGCGATGCAGAGAATCAGAGTCGCCATGCATGGAATTTGAAGCACTTGTATGACCTGACTGCAGCGGGCTACTGCTGTTGCTTTTTCGGCGCTTCAAAGTTTTCCTTAGTTTCTTATCATCATACTAGGAGCAAGATAATGTGCTCAAACTCGCTTGACGATCCTGAATCTTACTGAAGCCATCTCGATTATCACATTTCCTCTGCTTGACACGCTAGAAGGCACTTGACTGGACGTTTCGTCGATTCTGTACATTTTCAGTCTGGCGGACTCCTAACTCGCGCATTGTGCTATGACACGAAGATACACCTCACTTACACTCTTTTCAACAGTCTTAGACTTGTTAGGATCAGCGGACTCAGACCGACAGATTGAAGAATTCCAGCCCATTCCGCGTCTGTTGACCTTCCAGGGTTCTTCTCGGGAAGAATTTAGAACACAGAGCCTGCAATCCGTACCACGCAGAAGACATTAAGATAGATCCATCCTCATTTTCAGTCAAAGCCTTGTCGATGCTATATCAGGGATTGGAGGGTTGCAGCGCCTGGAGGACTCTCCCGGACTCCACCAGCCGCGTCACAAGTACCTCCGCCGAGATAGAATGGAACAGCGGCACAGATATCAGAGACCGCATCGTGCATAGCTTCTTCTGCGAGATACTTCTCAGTCATTCGCGGCTGCTGAACATCAGCTGCAATTGGTGTATCCATTAATTTATACTGGTCAACTATGACCCCGTTGACTAAAATACAAGCATAGCGATACGTGTTCCAGATGTCCCCAGTGGTTATAAGTGAGATAGTAACCTAGTAAAGGATCGACATAGCTCTCGGTAGTTATCTTGCTGCAAATGTATGTGGAAGGAAGGGATTCGACCCAGTCTGAAAGGCTGTCTTTGATGGCAAGTAGACGGGATGCTGAAGCAGGATGGTGCTTATGACTGGGGTCTTTAAAACTGCAAAGACGAGCGAGTATTCCAACGAGGTGAGCGTGGGGACCGTGGGGACCGCCATCCTCTGTCTGATATCGTGTTGCTTTTGCCGACCACTCGATGATGAAGTCTGGTAGAGCTGTCTCATGGAAGAGACAACTGATTACCTTTTTGGAAGGAGGCTGGTCAGCGCTTTCCGTTCTGGCAAACCAGGATTTGAGAATAACATAGAATCAGGACGCGAAGCCGGAAGAGTAGTCCTCGATCAACAGGGTAGGTCAACTGAATTTCTCCACGGAGTTGTACCAAGTTCATGGCATCCCCAGACATGCTGCTCCTGGGGCCTAAAGGCCTCAGGAGCACCGCATGTGATTGTCTGTTCGATCGGTTGGCATATGGCATGAGGGAGGGCGGAAGTGTACAGCCCCTTAGCGACCGTCATTAGTTCAGAGGCCTTTCGTACCTGCGACACTCCAGCCATGCACCATGCCAACGGTAGTAATGACTAGGATAACCATGATCGCACACTTTGCTGTACATGGATGGTAAAAATCCAAGCTGACTTTTCCACCGGCAAGAGGGGTCGGCAACGATATAGTTCATGGAGAAGCAACATATAGCCTGGTCTTCGGAGATGGAAGGCATGTTTGCCAGACAAACAATTCCTTCTGGGACATCCCACTCGGACTGAGCTCTTGGGTGACTTCCGTCAAGAGACTGACATTATCGGAAAGACTGGTCGCTTTCCTTTTTCCGAGAGGAGAGAGCTGTGTTCATTTGGGGTCGTTTTGCAGCTTGCAGACGGTTTCTTCACTTTCGTCTCGAAAATAGAGGCTCAATTCGTCACGATACTCAGGGCAACCAACACCTGCCCTGAGACACTGCGCGCATGCCTGGCCTTGCTTATTCGCACTGACGTGAGTGTAAGCAATGCTTGCCAATCGAGATAGAGAAAAGGAACGCCTGCTGCCTGCAAAACATAGAGGCGAATGCAAGTCCAGGCATACATTTTTCTTTTTGCGCCGACTGTTTAAGCATCCCTTGCTGTGCTTACCACAGAACACCATCACGAAATCTTTCGTACAACACTCGGAAATAAGAATCAGACCAGCCAACTTACCAAAAGCATCAAAAGGTGTGCAGTCCGCAGAGGGCCGCCCGTCCAACAGGGAAAAATGGCCCATTGGAAAGTCCTTCCCCGGCTCGCCGGTTGATGAGTGTTCAGTTTCACGAAGTGCGTGATACGAAGGATCTCGCGTCGAGCCGTCGAGGCTTAGGTGCGAATCGCCCTTCGAGCGGTTACTCTTCAATCCTGTCGACTCTGGAGTCTGAATAGCTAGATAGATGCAATTTCTAGCCCGGCTTCACTATATAAGGAGCGCTAAAACCATACCATCGCGGAAACTTGTGTAAACTTTCTATATTATCAAAGAGGGGCACCTATGGAGTATAGCACGAGCATCCAACAACCACAGTGGCCACAACGGGGATTAAGCACGGCTGATGAGGAGGATGAGGAGGGTAAGCGACAGCCTGAACGAGGTCACATGATCTCTAAGTAAAGCGGCAGTCCACAGTCCAGAAGAGCATTCAATCCATGGCAGATATTCCCTGCTTGTTTGAAAGAAACGGTAGGAATGTTCCAAGTCCCAAAGTTGCATGATCTATGGGAGCCCGATGAGCTATTTGGCTTATGTATTGTACTTGTCTATCCTCGAAGGGAAAGGGGGCGTACCCATGCTACCGTAGATGATACCTTAAGTCTCTGCATTGCCAATTGTGCTAATGATCAATTGCTACATACATATACGGCACAGGCATACAGCTTATCGCTCATGTCTCAGCAAGCTCCCACGGTTTGTAGCCGTATTTCCATGATGTGGGAACAAACCAGGTGCCGGGCTATTCTGACGGCTCCGTGGACCTCGGCTTCCACTCGGTGCATCCAGCCCAGGACTTCCAGGTGGCTGAGCACTACTTCCACGAGTTTGCACGCCGCGATTGCGCTTCAGTTGGCGATTTTCCTCCTCAATCTTCTTCAAGAGCACATCTCTGGTTCTCTTCTCTTGCTCTAGCTCGGCGATCTTCGACAGGTGGTGGTTGAGGCTCTCTTGGTAATTCATCTCCCGCAAGCGACGCTTCTCGTCACCTGCCTGTTTCGACAAATCTGATACTTTCTCCTCAAGATCCCTAGCTTGGTTGGCAAACTCAGCCGCTTTGTTGGAGGCTTCTTGGTACTGTGCTCTGGTGAATTCAAAATCCTTGCGAGTGTTCTCAAGGGACTTTTCCAAATGCATGTTCTTTGCCAAAAGAGATCGAGCTTCTTCTCTAGCCACCTCCACGGTAGCGGCATCCCCACCGCCGTATTTAATCGCCTCGCGTGTTGCGTTCAGCTCCTGTTGTAGGCCCTTGACTTTCTCCTTGAGCGTGGTGTTGTCTTCGATAGTCCTCTCTTGTCTTGATTTATTATTTTCGATGGTCCGAACCAGTTTGGTATTAGTCTTTTCTTGCTCGTGACATTTCTTCATTCGTTTCTCATAACGTCGTAAGAGCGCCGCATGATCTGATTTCCATTGGTCCAATTGCAACTGAACCTTCTCTTTCTCTTCCTCGGCCTTTAGCCTGGCTTCTCTTTCTTTGGTAAGCTCGGCTTGGAGCTTGTTGATGAGGTCTTGAGCTTGAACAGGCTGAGCAACCTGTACATTGCTCTTGCCATTTTCTGTTTCACGCAAAGGTGTAGGCGTGAGACGTTGACGCTTGTTCAGAGCAACCACGGCGTTTTCGACTTCTAGCAGTCGCTTCTTCCCAGACGGTGTATCTGCACGAGAGACAGGAGTACGTGATCGTGGAAAAGCGTCCTTGGGAGTTTCAGCTACAGTACTGGTACCACTGACCTTAGGCGGGCTGTCAGTGACTTCAGTCAACTGCAATTCCGACACCGAACCCAGGCCCCATTTGGAGTCAAAGTCGGATGACATGGCAGCTTGTGTAATGATCGAAGCCAACATGTAAAGTTTCCGTTCAGGGCTCTTTCTCAGAGCGCGTTGTAGATCCGAGAAGTCCATTGCTCTTCCTTGAGGTTCATCCGAAGGATTGGGGACGTATGTCGGCTTTCCGCCCAGGTTCGGGCGGGCTTGGTACGTTGCACGAACAAGTAGTTTCAATCGTATAGGCGATGGCAGACTCTTCGGAATACATAGATCAACATGTTCCGAGGAATTCGTCACCAAGAGATGAACAACCGGAACAAGTGTTCGCGATCTAGCCAACCCTAACGTGCGCACACGCTTGATTTGAGGGTCTTGCGCGTCAAACGAAGCATCAAAAGCAATCATCAAAATGGGTGTTCGAGTCAAGTTAACCGTGTAGTCCGACATCGTGCTCATGAGCTCAACTTGAAACTCGTGTGGTCGTTCCACATCCGGCGATTGAGAAGTACTCCTTCGATCATGTCGCTTGACATTGATCTCTTTGGTTTCCAAATACTGCTCGAGCAGATCTTGAATGACACCTGACCGTGCCGCGATGACGATGGAACAGCTGACTCTTTTCAGTGTATCGACTAAATGTCCTAGGAGTGAAAATTTTGAACCAGCGTAGTTAGCGTAAGCGGCATGTTGCTCTGGGTTGATCGAATACTGCGTAGAGATTCCAGGTAGACCAAGGTCGAGATGTGTGGTTGTGTTATGCAGTAGTTGGATCAGCTCATTCATCTCGTTCCGCTCATGTGTCCTATTAGGAGATGTATTGCCTGAGCCAATGGCTTCATGCCGATTAATGAACTTGAGGATGGCTTTCTTCTTGGTTTTGATGATGTCGGCATAGACTGACTGAATCTTGCCCTCTGCTGGAAGACCAAGAGCATATTCACTTGGGCCAAGTAATGGCAGGCTGGGCAATACCAACCCGTCAACTTGAGCAATATCACGTTCATTTTCGACCGATTGTTGACTAGAACTTCCCTTTGAGCCTTCAGAGTCTTGCTCATCATTAAGCAATTGCTCCTGTTCGATGGACTTTTGGATTGGAAGCGCACTACCACCTATAGCGTTATCGTACATGACACCTTGAGCTCCACTACTGGATTCGAGAGGAGACTCCCTCGAGCGATCATGGCGACCGCCAGCAGCCGGAGACGTGTCGCTTGAAGCCGGAGACATGTCCATGTCGTTCGTGTGTGTCTCTATGTCCGTATTGGACAGCAAGTCTGCGAATGTAGTGGAAGCTCGGGCCTGACGAAGTCTTTCTCGGAGTGTCAAAGGCGAAGTCGTAGAGCCAGGAGGAGATGCTTGGGCTTGCCTTAACTGTGTCGAGTCTTTGCCGCCCGAACGAATAGGCGAGTTAAAAGGCTGGAGTAGTCGTTTGCCCAAAGTGGTTGGCAGATTATGATCTTGATATGAGAGGTTGCGAGCCGCAGAAGTCTCTTTCACCGGATGTTGTGTGCGAAATTCCCAAGGCGAGGAAACACTGTTGCCTTGCGAATGGGGGTTTGAATTTGCCTGATTAGATAGCTGTAACAGCGACTTGGAGCAATTATTCGAAGTCTGCAAACCCTGTGGCAAAGGCGATGGAAAGGAATTGCGGGGAATCGAGGCTTGCGATGCCGGTTGAGCGGCCTGATTTTGAGATACCAGAATCTGTGAGTCTGATTCAGGAATAATCAGGTCAGATATTTTCAAAGCCTGGCCGTTTCGACGAGATCCTAGTTGTGACCCAAGTTCGATACTAACGGCCCTGCCTCGTGGTGAGTCTTGGTTCGTACTTGGGACGTATTCCGGTGTACCGAATTTGCTTGATGTGGGTGATGATTCGGGATGACTGACGCTTGCGCGAGGCCCACCTGATGAGATGACAGGATCAGGGGAAGATTTCAATGGCTGTTGACCATTTGCTGAAACTGAGGATGAGGGATTGAGTTTAGAAGGCGGATTCTTGTTAGCAGTCTTAAGGCCGTTCTTTTGTCTGTTGGTCAGCAGAGTAGAGACCGGGATGGGCCCAGATTTTGCCGAGGACTGAGTGCGTTCAGGTTGTGAGAATATCAGTTGAGATTTCAGAGGAGATGAGAAATCTATGCCGCCGGCAGAGTTGATCTGGCTACTTCGCAACGATTCGTAATCTGCTGTATTGATGTCGGGGGGAGAAATGTCCACAGAGACAAGTTGACGTTGCCACTGCTGAGAAGTCTCTTGTTGTGTTTCGGCGATTTCTAACGGCGATGATACAGAGTGACTCTTCTCAAGAAATGATAAAGGGATGCCGCGGCGTGGATTTGAAGAGTCTGGAGTTTTGGATGTTTTGGCTGGCGGAGCTGCCGTGGTTGGGAGCGTGATGTTCTGCGATCCTGGCTCACTGGAAGAATCTTGAATAGTGTGTGTGACCCTTTTTCTGCGTTCCTCGAGATTCGCGAGTCGGTCGCTGGCATTCGATGATCCGGAAACTTGATTGAGAGGGTTCTTCTGGTTCTTCCAGGCTTCCACGAGCGCGACGCCAACGCTTGTGGCGGCAGTCTGAGGTTTGGGTCAGCTGGAGACTTGTGTATAGATGCACAGTATTCTTACCCAGTCAGGGCGAAAGACCTCTTTGGTGTACGGGTGTGGCTCCCACTCTAACAGGTACTCTCTCTTCTTGCCCGAACCACGTTCGTTGATGATTCTCAAGGCCGGCCAGGTGCCAATGCCTGATTCATGAAACCGCTTGGGGAGAGTCCTCTGTTCTTCCCAAGGGACCTCTTTTCGCTCTGAGTAGGATATGGCAGCGGCGGTGTTGAGTTCTGTGATGGGGGTAGGGGTATCGGAAGGTTTCTTGCGCTTGGTCGACGACTTGCTGTATTCCACGAGATTTGGCTTGTAGGGCTTCTTCATTGTTCACTCAGTGAACCGGTGGCAATGCTAGGGATCCTCATGGTCAGCTTGAAATTGGGTTGCGCGTGAGTGGGTTGAAAAGGATAAGTGTATGGGTTGGAGTGCATGTACCACGGACCACGAGTCAAGTCAAGTAATCGGTGGTATGTACAGAGTACAGGCAGTTGGAGTAGCCAGAGAAAGCGGGCGGCCGTGGTTTCTGGGCGATTCGCTGGCTAGCCGCTTTAACTGTATGACAGCCAGGACTGGACGGGCCGGGGCTTAGAGTGGCCGCCGGAGGCGAGGAGCGGGGGGAAGGGGCCCAAGGACTCAAGGACTCAAGGAGGCACCTTCAACGGAGTACACGTAATTAGGCTATGGCGGTTAGTTCCTCCTACTTCCCTGCAGCCAAGGCCAGAAGAGACTTGGTGGAGGACAACAAAGGGCAAGTTAGCCGAGGGCAGGATTTACCACGAGTACCAGTGCTTGGCACCTTCCCACAGGAACAGCTGTCGTGTCGGAGGGAAGGAGCTTTCAAGACGTGAGAGGATGAAGTAGAAAGAACGATGATAGAACAGCAAAGGTGATCGGAAGAAAAATTATCCGGGGAAGAATGGGAGGTCGGAAGGAAAGTAGTGCGTGAGTTGTTCTCTCCCAACACAATGAATAAAAATACAAATGGGCCTAATCAAGTGTGTCACTCTCGGCTCATCTGCTTCACGCAAAGTCACACTTGGTGGTCACTGGTCAATGTCCACTACTCAGTTATTCTACTCGCATAGGTTCATACCTGTTCACTCCTTGCTGGACACTTTGCTTCTCTAAACATCTTCAGTTCCTCCCTTCTGCCCTCCCGATTTACTTCTCCCCACCACGCGTCGAAATCAAACCCCAGTTCCTCCATGTGAGTAACATTGGCTCTATCCTTACCTCGTCTTGTGAAAGCACCCCTGATCTCTGGAAACCGACTTCTCATCCAAGTCAACCGTTCGTCCCAAGGCATACCTAGCTTTCCCATTCCATCACCTTCTAAGCCGTTCCTCCTCCTCGCTTCCTTTGCCCACAGATACAGCTCGTTGATCTGTGCCGCATCCTCTGGGAACTTCTTCAGGTGAAAGCACTTTCCGTCGCCTTTCTGCTGCATTGTCTCCCGCTCCCAATTCCTCATTTCTTCTTTTCGGGGTAAGGCCAACCTCCCAGACCAGACCCTGCTCGTAACGGCAGCTTGGTTCTGCCCCAGCGGGAACGGGATGACTTTGAGATTGATGACGGGAAATACCAGGCTGGGGTGTTCAATGTGGAAAAGATGCTGGTAGAGACCTCTTGTCCTTGATCCATCCGTGATCAGCGTCTCACCCAATTCCAGATCGATGCCTCTCAAGAATGGAAAATTGTAGAAGTACCCTGTCGCGAACACCACAGAATCAAACCCTGTCTCGATGCGACCACTTCTCAACCTGATTCCACGAGGACTATCGTCAGAACTGAGAAACTCCACCACCTCATCGACATCCTCCCTCCAGTCAGCAGGCGGCAATGATCCAAACGCACTGACGCTTCTCGCGGACAGATACACTGGTTTCTGTGCATACTTGCCAATCTGCGTGGCGATATCCAGTCCACTCGCAGAGTTCCCGACGACAAGAACCTTCTTGCCCATGAAGTCCTCAGGTCTTCGATAGGCTTTGGAATGCAGCACAACACCAGGATACCGTTGATTGAACTCCTGCAGCCCGGCGATCGAAGGTACATAAGGCACAGTATAATGTCCATTCGCGACAACAAGTGCATCATATCTCTTTGGAGCCTCGACAACGCCCGTTCTCAAATCGGTGGAGATAACGGACCAGACATCCCTCTTCCTCCCCTCCCACTCCTCAACCCCTAGCTCAACGTGACGCACCTTCGTAGAGAACCGAATTAAACTCTTCACGTCCTCCGCATAACGCTCCAAATACTCCAAGACAGCCTCATGCCGCGGAAACAGCGGAGCCGACCTCGGAAACGGCGCGTCGCAGTACGCCATGAGCTGCTTGGGGATATTGGTCTCCAGGTAATCATAGAGCGGCGACTCGAACTCGAGAGCGTCGCCATCCCCGCCTCCATCCTCGCGGCGGCTGCCGCTGCTTCTCGTGCCATACCACGGATCAAGCTGTGGCACGCTTACACTTCTCGAAACGGCATTATCGCTGAGATTCCAGATACCCCCGACGGTATCGCGCTGCTCGTAGACGACGATCTCGGAGAAGTGCTTCTCAGCAAGCAGATATTTCGCGAACGCGAGACCGACGGGCCCGGCGCCGATGATGGCCACACGAGAGATTTGGTTGGGTAGGAATGTTGATGTGATTGTGGTGTTCTGTGATGTGGACGAGCGAGGCTCTGAAGCATCACCCATCATGAGAAGGACAAAAAGGCCACGTATCTACACTTAGTGCTCGGTCCAGAGGTACCAGGTCTCGTAGCTCGGTCACCCTCTTTTCGCCCGCTGGCTGGTGGCAAGAGTCAGGCGCCCGCAATCTCCTACCATCTAGGACACATATACAGTTGCGATTCAAATATAAAGAAGGTTACACTGGGAAGTGAATGCGCGGGGAGCTGTTGCGTGATATTCGCGGATCGAGTGAGTTCGCCACTAAGCCTTCTGAGGCGAGCTTCGCGCGGACCCAATACGTACGTGTATACGAGAAAGGCTCTTACTGAGGCCGATTTCTGGGGAAAGGACCAGTACAGCAGACAATAAATACGTACTTTGCCCTAGATTGCCCTAACTTAATTTCCTCATTCATTAGTCTTATACTCGTAATTACATATAGTGTTCTATATATCTCGCTCGCTAAGGTAGCTAGCTCATTACATTTCCACGATTTACGACTTCCCCCACCCCCACCCATTCGCGTCCCTCGCTTCACACACACACAGACCAAGGACCAAGGCTCCCTACGAGAGCGCACTGGAGCTCAGTCCTGCCTTCTTCTACCAAATCCTCGATCTCTTGGTAAGTAAGCTCCCGTCTCGCGTCGTCACGCTTCCATACGACGGACTACGGATGCCATAATAAGTATAATACCTAGGTGTCTATTGATATCTAGGTGGGTGGGTAGTTGACGGTGATATTCTAGACAGTTGGATTTGCTTTGCTGCCTCTCGAGAAGATACTTCGGGCCGCGATCTGATTTGCTGTTCCTGCTCGAGAAATGCTGATGCATGAATATATATATCGGAATAGATACTTAGTATATGGCAGGACCGCAACATTGGCCAAGTCGGGGTTGGTCTTCCCCCCAACATTGATTATATCGAAGAGCGGAACCCTCATCAACGTCAACCGTCAGATCTGAGAACACAATTTATATTGAATCATACACCATCTGCAGTCTACCCACGATTGAGGAAACCCCCTGTGCTCGCTAGCTAATAACTAAGAACCATGTCCATTCCTCATTGCCCACACCACCCGCTACATTAAGGATCATGACCAAGACAACCATGCCGAGTTCATATCCACTCCCAATCCGAGAAGAGCTCGCTGTGGTATCCCAAGGAAATCAAATCAGTTGAAAGACTCGCTCTGCCGATGTTCTGCTCAGCTCTATCATGATGTTTGCACACCTACTGTACCACCCACCTGACTCCCACCACTTGCAAGCGAAACGCATCAATCAACGCCTTGCGGTGTCACAAGCATTGCCAAGAGGTGTGCATTCCAGAGTGGGCCAAGAACAGCCGCGCAAAAGGAGATAATAGGGTTGCATTCTTCCCTCCACTGCGTCTCGGTTGCTTGTATTCGTTGTCGCCTTGGGGGTTGGCCAAGATGGCTACCTCGTCTATCGGTCTTCACACCAATGTGTGACCGCATCGCATCCGACTTGGCCACAAGTACTCATTCTGATTGATGATGTTGAGCCGCAATGTCCGTCTACTGCACTTGACTGACGATCTCACTGGCCTTACCCAGGCTCTCAACCATCTGTTGACATTCCTTGCGTCTTCTGACAGTGTAGTCACTCTCTTTGAGGAGTTCGTCGAGTTCTGTTGTTTTGTACATGTGTTCCAGAAGCTCTCGTTGCATCTCATCTTTGGTATACCTGTGGTCGTCAGTAAAGCTCTGTTGCATCAATGTGGACTTGACTTACTGTACCAGGCTCAACATGATGGCTTTAGGCACCATATCAATCATGGTCCTCCGTGTAATGTTGAAATAGCTGTTGATCAAAAGCTTGATGACCTCCACTTCTTGATTCTCACGTTCGGACAACGTGCCACTGGCTTTCAGAGTGGCTGGAGGCGGTTCCATGGCGGCCATCTTTTTCTTATTCTTACTGGCGAAGAAGGAGCCGAAGAAGCCCGAGTTTTGGTCAGAACCATCGGTGGGTAGACTGGGGGAGCCTGCCCTGGGTGGCACCGATGGAGGAAGGGGTTTCCCTGTCTTTGGATCTACCTGGGTCGGTTTGGCGGAGTTATGCCTGTCATTCACAATCGCCATTGCACGATGGCCATTCAGGAAATCTGGGTGCCCTGTGTTGATATAACATGCCTCCATTGCCACGAGATCTCTGACCAGCTTGTTCGTAGGATCCATAGCTTTTCGGAAGAAGCCAATGACCACACCATGGAATCGTTCTTTGAGCCCCGGGTATCTCCTGAAAAGTTGTTTTTGTAGCAGTTGACCAAGGATGCGGACAAGTTCATCATAGACAAGCGAGACACACTTGAGAGAGGGCTCTTCTAATCGCCGAATCTGCTGTTTCACAATCAATTCGAAAGCTGTGGTTCCAACGAAGAGTGCTGGTGATGAGCCCGACGAGTTATAAAGAATCGTCCGAATATCGATATCTTTGACTTGCTCGAAAGGGTCGATTGCCTTGATACCATTGGAATAGAGCTCATGGTAGACAAATGAAATTCTAGCGCCGCCAGAGAGCTCATTGCTGGATAACTCGGAGCTATTTCCATCCAGGACAGTTCTATATTCGTTCGCGAATTCGGTAATGATGTTGAGAATGATGTTGGAACTGTTGTTTCCCAGTAGATCTCCAGCCCCTAGCTGTTCCAATTCCTGGCTGTATTTCTGTAGAGAAGTGGCGATACGAGTTTTGATATCGGGAAGTGTCTGCTTGATGTGCATCATGAGAATGAGGTTGAGCTTTCGCGCTAGATAAGGGGTACCACAGTAGGATGCCTTGTTTCTGTATGAAGGATGGTTCTCAAAGAACTCTTTCTCCGCCTTCAGCGCTAGGCCGATTTGCTTCTTGTTTTCGATGTCACGCTGACCTCGATTGACAACCGGGACATAGCCCAGTCGAAGTGGGATGATTCTTCCAGCAAGGATATCGACTACATCGGTGCCGGTATCCATCAAATCGATCTTCGTAAGCACACCAATTGTTCTCTGACCTTCCGGATCCACTTCTCGTGCAAGCTTCAAACCATCAGAGTTGGCCAAATCAACATTGGCGGCAGTGACTGCAAGAATGATGGCATTGGGTTTTGAGATTTGTTTAAGAACCATGTCTTTGATTTGTCGCTCAATATCTCTTGGCTGATCACCCACAGGCACCTTGGTCAAACCAGGCAAATCGACCAGAGTCAGTGTGAGGACATTAGGAGAGTATATCCGCAGATTGATGGGCGCCGGGGAGATTCCAACGTTGCGACCTGCTTTAGCCTCGGTCTCTTTGACGATTTCATCTCGAATCTTGTTGAAGTCATAGAACTTCTGTCCTGGAAGATGGAGAAACTCTCCCCACTCGTCAACATTGGCCTGTGAGTCGGTGCTGTTTTGTAGGTCTTTATCTGAGACTCCATTTGTCTGGAGTTTAGCGGGGATAGGCCTATGGATGAGCTGAAGGACAAGCGGCCGACGTGTGACGATGCCAGCACCACGAGGGAGGCTTCAATCCAAGTCAGTAATGATTGGTTCAGGAGAGGGTCCAAGGGATGCCTCTAGCAACTCACAAATCTCTGCCAACGATATTTTCCAATACTGAGGACTTTCCGCTGGACTGAGAGCCCACAACAACAATTTGAGGAAGATCTATAGGGTTCGCGACCTGGTAAGATGAAATGTCAGGCTTGTGCTGGAATCAATGGTGCCTGGGAGACGTACGCCAACAGTGGTGAAAACATCTTGCAACTTGTTGACAAGAGCGATCAAGGTAGGGTCATTGACGTTGATGCTGTATGTCTAGTCAGGGGAACACTCTGAATGAGACAGAACGGGCGCAGGCACTCACGAATGACCACCACCGGCCGGTGCAGCCGCCATGGTTGGGGCGAAGGTCAATGGAATAAAGTCGTGGAGGAGGTCCGGGCAGTTGGAATCAACACTACTTCTTGCAGAGATTTGAAGGGCGAGGTCAAGAGATTGGCGGTGAAGAGGAGGACCGTTGGTATGGTGGTGTTGAGGGCTGTTGATATCAAGAGCAGCAGGAGGGTGCGGGTGTGAATGCGCAATGCTGGCCAAATCTTGGGATGATGCAGTTGCACTTGAGACTCGCTTGGTCCGCGGTGTTGTTGCTGCCGCTCCTGGTGGCTGATCTTGGCGGCCAAAGAGAAAGGTCAGGTGTGGCTTAGGCTTGGGTTTAGGCGTGGGCTTCGTCGACATCGGCTTGGAAGTCTTAACTGAGCGCGAAGAAGAGGAGACTTTCAGGCTGCAGTTTGGGGAGGCTTCTCCACTCCAGGTGCAGTTAATCCACGAAGAAAGGCACCCAGAAGGTAGGGACTCAGTACTCCATAGTCTGACAGGCCCCCTTCATTCCGTCCAGTTGTTTGGGAGGCGAAACACTATCCACGTAGGTCTCGATGGTGGTAGTGGTCAGTAGTCAGTAGTAGTGTACTCGGTAATCCCTCTCGACACACGGACAATGACAAAATCCAACGTCAGGTCTCATCCTTTGTCCTCGCCTTCAACCAGGCAGCCTTCAATAACACTGAAATGTCTGGGGCGTCAAACCAGTGGCTGTGAGAACTTTGGCAGATGACTGACTACTGTGTCACGAGATTACCTGAAACAAAACACCCTATGGTCGACGGACACGCACAAATACGAATGGATATTCCGTGGATGATATTTTGATTTCTTCAACATTCACCAACTACCTGACTTTGATCTCGGGGGTATTTCTGTCGACATTGAGTGGTTGAAATTCTATATGTAGTAGTTGCTAGACCTCCTCTCGCTAGCAGTTGCGCCCCTGCCTAGTTAGCACCTACCTGTTGTCAAGGCTAGATCCATGCTTCCCATCACATATTTGATTATGGTGTAGTAGGTGCCTGGGTCGGCTGTTGACTCCTGGCCACCACATATTCCCGTCATCCAGGCAACAATGCTCCGTAATCAATCAAAAAACCAAAATCACAAAAGCAACACCATCAATGTTATGCGCTACCCAACCCTCTATTGTGTGCAGATTGTCCCATTCGTGGTTCTGATAGTAATCCTCGAAACTCCTGGAATCCCTTCAGCCCAATCATGATTATGATGCGGTTCATTTCAAAGCGTTGATCTCATAGCGCTGGTGCGGCCTGATTCATGCCGTACCACTGATCTCGTTAACGATGGTGCGAGGCCTTCGATCGGAGACAGCGCGTTCGTCCATCTAGATGTTGTCAGCGATGGACACAAGGGAAATGAAATATTGTCCTTACATTCGAACTTTGCGATCGTCTCCACCAGATGCAAACATGCCAGCATCCCTGGGATTCCAGTCCACAGTGGTGACGCACTGCTTACCACTCTGACCTCGGCCATGACCTGACAACTTCTCGATCAATGCTTCGTTCTCCTTGTGCCAAACATATATATCTCCATCTAGATTTATGTCAGTAATCACGTACACACTCGTAGAAGCTGCCGTACCTTCAGAGCCGCTAACTACGAAGTTCTCGGCCGCCCCACCAAAACAGCTTCGAATCACAAATTCGCCTTGCTTTTGTCCCCTGAATTTCCTGATGATGTCCCGCGTAACCAGGTCAATGATGTGTACTTCACCGATAGCTAAATTGACCAAGACGGAGTTCCCGTCCTGGCTGAGTGTGATCCCTGTCATCTTGCCGGTAGACCTAATTGGAGGCTCCTCACGGTAGGTGTGCAGGTCGAAAACCCGGATGATGTTTTGAGAGTCCAGTGCAACAAGCCAGTGACCATCATCAGTTATCGCGACGTCCTGTACACGGAATCCAGGCGGCCAGGTATGGGTAGGCCGATCCATTTCAGAGGACCGCAAGTTCCAATGACAGAGTTGCGAGTTCCTGTCATGGCTGGCAGTCACAAAAGTCATCGAGTCAGGACCCCAGGCAGCGGCGGTAATGGCATAGTTTTGGTCTACTGTTTGATGTTCCAAGGTCGCTCTCAAACGCCCAGATTCAACATCAAACACGCGGGCTTTGCAGTCTTGAGAACACGTGATGATCTTGCTGTCGTCAGGGCTCCATGCCACATAGGTCACCTCCCCAGAATGCTGAGTCAAAGTATGTAGGCGTTTAAATGTGACAGTCTCATAAATGTTGACGGACCTATCTTGACTGGCTGTAGCCAGCTTGGTACCATCGTGAGAAAACTGGACATGCCAGACTTCTCCAGTATGGTCCTCTAGTTGCAGAAATGTACGTGAAGGAAAATCGTCACGATCGCAGTGATGATCCGCGTAGAGCGAGGGTGGTAGTGAGGTGTTGTGATATAGGCATTGATTGATTTGGTTTTGCTTGACTTGATCAAATAGCTCGGCCAACCGGTGATCCCGAATCATGACAGATGGTGCAATAGAACGAGAGAGATCTTGTAACAGCATCTTCCTAGATTCCTCCACCGTTCCTGGCCAGTGGGCTTTACTTCGCAGGTCCTCCGGAGGGCACATGAGTAAGGTAGATAGAGCATGAAGCTGATGGATATCATGTCCCAGTGGGGTGAGTTCTTGTCGAAGCACCATCAGAGCAACGCCGAGATCTCTGCGATCCAGTAGTTCCAGAAACTTCTGCTGTCGAATCCAGAAAAGCATTTGGCCTCTGTCAGCACCCTCTGCAAGAACTAGACCCTCGCTAAATTGGTCGTCGTCGAGATGGGAACCGTTTGGAGTCGAGCCCAGCAATATTGCTTCTGCTTCAGCCCAGATACCTTCCAGAATAGCACTTCGAAACGCAGCTACAGCAGCACTCTCCAACTCAAAATGACTCTCACTGCTCAAAACATTGGCTGCATCTGGATATCCCATATCCAACAGGCTTTGAATCATAATACGCACCACTTCCTCTCTGTTGTGCCCACGATATGTGGGCGGGCGGACAGGGGAGAGCTTTTTGCCAGTACCATTGGTGAACGATGAGCTAGAGCCATTCAAGGCACTCGAAGTGTGTCCATTCATCTGGAGAGGCTTCCTTGGAGTCGAGCCATTGGAGCTGGCAGCATGACCATTGGCATATACTTGTCCAGCGTCCTCATTTACTCTCATGGTGGGTTTCTCAATTCGTCTGCGCTTTGGTCTCGGTGTTCGTCCGCCAGAGCGGGTTTCAGTACTTGGACCTGCTTCTTCCAAGACAGTCGTGGCAGAGGCTGATGATTGAATTTCTGTTCCGAGCTCTTCTGAGGAGGATCTTCTCCTTCTGCGTCTCCCCCTTGGCTCTGACAACTGTGCCTGCTCTATAGGCGCCTGAGTCGAATTTGGGGCTTGTGTGGTGCTCGGGATCTGTTCCGTGGTTGATGGGACTGTGGCCTGGGCAGTGGGATGGTTAGGAGGTTGGGAAGTAGAAACTGTGTTGAAGGATGGATCAGGGGAGGTGGAAATGGATGGGCCGTCGGAAATGATTAGGTTGTTGTTCGAGTCTGGGTGGTTTGCCAGCTCGTGGTGGCGGCAGAGCCGCCAGTATCGATGTCAAGTCTGCTCGGTTGGAGGACGAGCGATACAGGATCTCTGCAAGGTAGGAAAGATAGTTGATTGAGCAAGCACCGAGGACGGAGAAATGGACTAGTCGAGGGGCGGATGGACCATTCGATTATGAAGTGGTTGGCAATGTCTAGATTACCTGAGAGGGGGAGATAACCGTAGTGGAAGTGAGGACGTCGTCTGTACCGGCTGCAGGGTTCTAGGATGGATAGTGCGATATCAATGACCACTTTTACGGATATATTGGTCCTGAGGACGAATCTAGTGGGAGAACAAGGTATCGGTATAGGAACACAGCGTAGTCCGTCGCAATGCAGAGTGAAATGGGGATTCGATGGTGGTGATGAAGGGAGCAGATGACCAGAGGGTAAGTGAAGTAAGTACCTCAGTGCAGTTAGTTGGCCATGGATTCGGAGAGAGGATGATGTCGGAGGAGCACAGGCGCTGGTGGTGCTGTCACTGTCGGTCCCCTCCTGACTTTAGGCTCTAACTCAGCTAGGCTTTAGGCTCTATGGGACCCAAGGGACCTACGAGAGAGGCCTAAAGGGTTGCTTAGCTGCAAAGCTAAATTTTGCTGGTTATCCGCCCGGGCCAGTGCTCCGTAGTGGAAGAGGGGCAATCACCCCAGCCTAGGAAGCTCAACGAACAATTATGGCCCTTTCAAGCATAGAAGCACCACCTGATCTGTTACGGCCCACGAGCCAGCGAACTCACCCACTCACCGCCCGCAGGGTCCGGATCGTGGTCACGGCTGACCTGTTTCAAAACCCCTTCTCGTTGGGTGCGGGAACATTGGAGCCTGATGTTAACCAAGTTTGTTTGGATAAGCACACTTCACAACCTCGGACCGTCCTGGCATCCTCCATACATAATCCGGGCCTTGGATCGGAAATTCAGCCTCATCCAGTTTCAACACAAGATATCGCTGCTTGTAGTGGTTTGTATATACCGGTACTTCGATATCTGCATCGTAACCATGAAGAAACATGGTGTATACATGGTCACAGGAAGCTGAGTGACTAAACTGGTGGAGGCTTCCCTTGTCCAAGGTCGGCTCCAGCGGAAGGGGTGCTGCCTCAGGCTCAAAGCACTTTGTTGGATCATGGAATTGTTTGCCCGAAAGAGACCAGATACAGGCCGACTCGTAAAGCACCCTTATAGATACCGCCATGTGAAGCATGATTTAGATTACCCAGGACTTGCGTAACGCTGAACCTCGGCTGGTTTCAGAGAGTGTTGCTGAGATAAGGGCCTCCAGCGTAACATCACGATGTTGGTGCTTCGCGGAGGGTCGTGGCCGAGAGACATGACAGCTGGGCCACACCATTGCACTTTCACTTGCTTTATTCGTCCCTTGACAAGCTATTGAGACCGTCAAGAACGAGATATATATCCAAATCCTCTGAGGTTTACCGGTGTTTGAAGATCAGGGCATGCTTGGGAAGCGCCTGGAGGTGTCCTCCCCTCTAAGAAGGACAATCTCCCGGCTCCCGACCGTTCATGTCCTCTCTCAAACACAATATGACTACCAAATAGTAACTGCGTACCTGTTTACTACACGTTGCCTTCCTCTCTGATGGCTACCTAATCTCTGGCAGGAATGATTGGTTAAGGTGCAGTCAAGCACTTGGCCAAAGGAGTGTCCCCTGCGAACAATTTGCAGGTGAGGAATGCTGCACTTCTGGGCGAAATAGGCGGCCGGCAAAACTCTTAAGCAGCGCCCATCCCTCCCCAAACGTGCAAGACGGAGGTACCATCCACCACCTAAGTCCCGCTAAGAATGACCCGTCCAAGTCCCAATACCGAGCACGAGCACCACCAGCAGCTGCCAAAGCCAAAGTCAAAGCTTCCTTCCCGTGCCTGCGTCTGCACCTGCCACCAGAATATGATTTCATATGCTTGGATTTGGTCGCCCTCGCCTCAAACACAACAAGTCTATCGTTGAGTTTATCACTGGCAAAACCATTGAGGAGCTCTCCGACCTCAACTACGTTCAACTACAGCTAGCTCTCCCCGACCTACTTGAAGACGAGCTTGACGGCGATCTTCCAGGTCCTAGTACCTTCAACGCATCCTCTATCTTTGCCTTTCCGCAACCACTCCATAACCTCCACTCAACTACCCGAACGTACCGAAAGATGCCTGCTGCAAAGAATTCCAAAAATGTCAGCGACGATGACAAGCAGGCCGGCTCTATCTTCTCCGTCTCTGGACCCGTCATTATCGCCGAACACATGACTGGTGTTGCTATGTACGAGCTCTGCAAAGTTGGCTATGATGAGCTCTCTGGTGAAGTCATCCGAATTGAGGCTGATAAGGCTACCATTCAGGTCTATGAGGAGACGGGTGAGTAGCCATTCCCTTCCTTTTGAGCTTCCATTGACTCCGTCTAGCCGGTGTGACTGTTGGTGATCCCGTCTTTCGAACCGGCAAGCCCCTGTCGGTCGAACTGGGCCCTGGCTTGATGGAGACAATCTATGACGGAATTCAGCGACCTCTGAAGACCATTGCCGGCACCACCAACAGTATTTATATCCCCCGTGGTATTGCGGTCCCCGCTCTCGACCGAACGAAGAAGTGGCCTTTCACTCCAACTGCAAAAGAAGGTGACAACATCAGTGGCGGCGATGTCTGGGGAACTGTCGTTGAAAACACTCTCCTCAACGAGCATCGGATTTTGCTACCGCCCAGAGCGAAGGGAACGATCAAGAAGATTGCCCAAAAGGGCGACTACACAGTTGACCAGCCCTTGCTTACCCTGGAATTCGATGGGGAGACAAAGGAATACCCGATGATGCACACATGGCCAGTTCGTGTGCCTCGACCTGTCAGTGAGCGCCTCGAAGCAAACTCACCTTTCATTGTCGGTCAGCGCGTGCTCGATGCCCTGTTCCCTTCCGTTCAAGGCGGCACTGTCTGTATTCCTGGAGCTTTCGGTTGTGGTAAGACCGTTATCTCACAATCAGTTTCCAAATTCTCAAACAGTGACATCATCGTCTACGTCGGATGTGAGTGACCTGCCAACCATTAAAGGAGCTATTACTGACAGACTCTAGGCGGTGAACGAGGCAACGAAATGGCCGAGGTGCTAATGGACTTCCCAGAGCTTTCCATTACTATTGACGGTCGAAAAGAGGCTATCATGAAGCGTACCTGCTTGATTGCCAATACCTCCAACATGCCTGTGGCGGCTCGTGAAGCTTCCATCTATACTGGCATCACTGTAGCTGAATATTTCCGAGATCAAGGCAAAGCAGTTGCAATGATGGCTGATTCCTCTTCTCGATGGGCTGAAGCTTTACGAGAACTTTCTGGTCGTCTCGGAGAAATGCCTGCTGATCAAGGTTTCCCTGCCTATCTTTCGGCCAAACTTGCCTCCTTCTACGAGCGTGCAGGTGCATCCGTTGCTCTTGGTTCACCCGAACGAAAGGGCAGCATCTCGATTGTGGGCGCTGTCTCCCCCCCTGGTGGTGATTTCTCCGACCCTGTTACTTCTGCAACCCTTGGTATTGTCCAAGTCTTCTGGGGGCTAGACAAGAAGTTGGCTCAACGAAAACATTTCCCTAGCATCAACACTTCTTTGTCATACAGCAAGTACACCAATATTCTCGATAAGTTCTACGAGAAAGATCATCCGGAATTCCCCAAACTACGGACGCGCATCAAGGAATTGCTGACCAATTCTGAAGATCTTGATCAAGTGGTGCAACTGGTTGGCAAATCCGCGCTCGGTGACTCAGACAAAATTATTCTTGACGTTGCTGCCATGTTGAAGGACGACTTCTTGCAACAAAACGGATACAGCGATTACGACCAATTTTGCCCGCTATGGAAGACAGAGTACATGATGAAGGGCTTCATGCAATTCCATGACGAGGCTCAAAAGGCCGTGTCAAGTGGTCTCTCCTGGGCGAAGATTAGAGAGGCGACTTCCGAGATCCAACACGGACTGAGAAGCATGAAGTTCGAGCTGCCAGACAACCAGGAAGAGGTCAGCGGTAAATACGACAAGCTTTTGCAGAACATCTCTGAGAAGTTTGCAAGTGTTTCGGACGAATAAATCAGGGCACGTAGCCTACCTCGGCCCCACTGGAGGAGCCCGTTTTCTGTTTTTCATACAGAAATACTATCGTTCTTAGTATAGGTTAGATTTGCAGGCGCAATTGATATTGAAATTGCAAGATATTGTCTATAAATCGCTGAGCTCGAACTCGTTCATGCAAAGGACCTCGCAAACTCCTTATAAACCGCCAAATTATATCGTAGCTTGAGGGTTAGAAGGAGCAGAAATCCATACATGGAGGATTTCACGTTTACTGTAGAGTAGCCATCCTTAAAAATTCACGTGATCGGCAAGTGCCAGCCCTGGAGAATTGCTCCAGTCCGAATGCGATCACAAGGCTGCGCTTAGCCTGATTTGCGCTAGCTCAGAAGATGTGGTGAGCTTTAGTGGACTACATACATATGTACGAGTAAATTTGCGTTGCACCTTTGTTCCACGATCCACGGAGCACCATTTTCTTTTGCGCTACTGATCTGGAAAAGACCGAGTTCTGCGCTGAATTAGAACACTAGTACACGCTAGTCTATCCTCAATATTCTATTCTACCCCTCGTTATTATAGCGCCGGCTACTTCCATAGCAGTTCCTAACCTAGTCCTCTCGACGATTGGTTTTCTAGCATCCAGCAACTATGCGGCCTTATCTGAATGACATTAATGACGCTGAAATGATTAGAGCTCCATAACGCGAGACTAGAAGCTATTTTTCTTCTGTTGCTTACGATATACTGAATTCTAGAGTGGTGGGAACCTGTTTTCAACTACTTACACCTACCTCATTCTGCCTTCTCCATTATAGGGAGGGCCCCTTCTACCTTGGACAGGTTGGATATGATGGCCTCGAATATTGTGTAGTCGGATGGTCTCTCCAAGAGCAAGTCATATTCACAATCCCGCTGCCACGTCCATTGCATAGTAAAGCTTGTAGGTGATACTGAGATGGAGCATCCGATTGACGTGTATATGTGATTGTCTGAGCTAAAAGTCTTTTACGAGTCTAGTAAGTTTATCTGAGAGGCAGCCATAGTGGTCCCCGGAAAGACGAATGCTTGGTTTGGCATTAAAACACACATATTGCCCAAGATTTTGGGTATCAGTTCGTAAGCCACTTACACTATTTTGGTTAGTAGCAACCGGGTTCGCAGAGCGGCGCCAAATTATCTCAAACAAGATCAATCTAGCCATGAATTCCTGCGGACTCGGCGGTCGTGGTTGCTACTTCTGGTAGATTTTATCCTCGCTCGCTCTTTCCGCCTAGCATGGTTATTTTGAGGACTGATATCAATGGCGCAGTGCCAGACAGACTTCTCACCGTTGAAAATCCTCTCTGCAAGAGTTCACCACAGCGCATATCAATTCAATTCACTCTCTAATCAGATGTCTTGAAACCCAACCAAGTGTGACATATGGCTGGAATTGCTCTTCACTACTGCAGTATTCTCAACGGACCTTCCGAAGTGGGAGAAATATGGCAGCCGATCTGCCGGGCTACTACTTCGATGCCTCCAAAAACCGCTACTACAAGATTACAGCCAATCATGTTGCTCAAGGTTCATCTACTACCAGGACATCGAAGTATTCCCGTCAAGCAGTGCGAGCGGAGAAGGCGCTAAAGCAATCCGCGCAGCGTGAGGAGTCGCTCAAGGCATCCAGAGATGCCGTTACAGTGAAAAGGTCAAAGCTTCTGCAGCATCCTCTTCTGGACTTTGAAGCACGACTGGGAAATCGGAAGAAATGCCCAGCTGGCGTTGCGAAAGAGTTCTATGGAGCTAGCCTCAGCAACAGACCGGCTATTCATCCCAACCCGTTCACAAATCAAGTTGGACTAGCACCATTCTGTGATAAGTTTTCGGTGGACGAGGAAACTGGTCTTCTCTCCACCCTACTCAAGACTCGAGGAGCCCATGAGACAGGTTCGGTTGGACTGTTCCAAGCAGCGTCTGAAGAGTCCGAGTTTCTCTATCCGCAAGGACAGGCTGTAGCGAATCTCTTTGATACTACCCATGTCGACCATATCCTATCACTTGGGCGGGCGTCGCACGGGCTGAATGTGTGGGCCTATCGATCTTTTTCTTCAAACATCCGCGGCCAAATCCAGAGCCGATGCTCGACTACTGTAATTCGTCTTAACATCCTCGAGAATGGGGATTTGGATATTGAAGGGGTAGCGACAACTTATTCACCCCCGGCGGAAGCTCTTGGCCTGGCTGCTACACCCAGCCACACTGGATTTGCCGTGGCGGATGAAGACGGTGTAACAATCCGGTCACTGACAGGAGGAGGCATTACTCAGTCGTTACGGCGGAACCCAGAAGACAGCAAGCCTACATCAGTCTGGTTCAAAGACGACAATGTCCTCCTTTTTGGCGCACGGAATGGATCGCTGAGGTTCGCCGATGTGCGTTCCACGACGAAATTCGAGGAGTCAGTTCTGCGAATGGAACACGACTCAGCCATCAGCCATATTCGAACAATCGGACCGCACCAAGTCCTCGCGCACGGCCTGATATCGACATCTCTTTACGATCTACGCTGGTGTGCAGCGCCGAAAACTGGCAAAAACCCCAACACCAGCTCCACGCAAGCGTATCTCACATTTAACGTTCCCGAAACACGACGACAGAACAGATACGGCCTAGGATTCGCATACGATCCCGAGCTCAATATCGTCGTCGGTGCGAGCACCGACTTCCACAAAGGCCACCGCGTGAATCTGTGGGACGCGAGTACGGGACAGTTCCTGCAGAGCCCGCTGTTCGACCATACTTTTGAGCAGCCCGTCACATGTGCGCAGGTCGTTGACCTGAGGCCCCAGGCGAAGAGTATCCTGCTGGCGTCTAACGGGGCCGTACAGGAGTGGTCTCCTTTATGATAGGCCATGGATGAAAAGTGGGGGAGTTGGCGTTTTGAGCATAAGGGTTTGCGAAGGTTGGCATTGCAGCCAGGGAGAGGCTTAGGGCAGTGACGGCAAGGCTTACAAGGGAGTTAATAGCATACATGGAATGATACAGACGCTAGCGATGTCATGATCCGAGACCACATCAGATGTTTGTATACTCGCAATTGCGTAGGAGTAAGATTGGTAACTGCTCACTGGAACGAGCCCCTGAACAACCTCAGCTAGCAAGGTAGTTGTATAATGTCTGACGATGCATGAAGTAAAGACACGACATGACGATAGTGTCCAAACCTCTACTCAAACCAACTAGATTCCAATATTGACTCTCAGGTCCTCCTCACAGCCATATGTCGACATTACAGATCCCCCTCAATCTCGTAGTCACTGACTGTCAAGCCCCAAAGGTGACCCATAGCGACAACCCAATCCCTGCCAACATTGACGCGCCATTTCTCCTCGGTCGCGTCGTCCAGCGCTGCCGAGGCCGAGGCGCCAGCCGTAGAAGAACCAGCCGCGCCGCCGCCGGAGCCCGATGAGGAGCGCACCACGAGTCGCAGCCTCTCCAGCTCGCCGAGTTCACGGTAGACCCTGTCGCTGACGCCCTTGCCGACCTGGTTGGGGATGCCGCTCGGATGGATGGCGCGGAGGATCGCGAGCAGGCGCTCGAGGCTGAAGGGCTTCACGATGCGGGTGCCTGCTCCGGAGCCGGAGGCACTAAGGATCTGTTTCGTAATGCGCGACTTGCTCGGGGTGGAGGTGCCGGGATTGTTGGTGACGGAAGTCGTGCCCGTCGGCTTGGCTTTTCTTCGCGTCGGGGTGCTCTTCAGCCGTCGGATTTTCTTGCTGATGTGGCTGGAGTTGGACGATAGGCGGGAAAAGAGGAGGATGTCGTGCTTCGAGGGTGTGGTGGATGCGAGATATGAGGATAGTAGGAGGAGCGTGGGGAATTGTTTGAGCAATGGCGGTAGTCTGTTGGTGGATCTGGGCGTGGGTGCCAGAGACTTGTGTCCCTTCGATGACTTTTCCAGTGCTGAGGACGCTGTAGACGCTCGCTTTGAGGATGTGCTGGGAACACTAGATGATTCTGTTTCTGTAGAAAGTTGTGGGTGATCCTTATCAGTCGAAATGGCGGCGAGTTCCGCAAATGACCAAGCCTCGTCCCGCGGCCTGAGCTGTTCGTGCAACGCATTCTCGCCTTGCGCTTGGAACAGTCCACGATTCCGCACCAGCAATCTTGCAAAGTCCCAAGAGGCCGCTTTCCCCGGTGGAGATTCTCCTGATACCATGGGCCATATGAATCTGGGCCAGAGCTTTTCACAAGTGGAGCGGAACTTTTGGACTGATGTGGACGAGGTCGAGGATATTAGAGAATCATAAACGGTTGCACAGAACTGTGGGTATATTTTTCGGAGAGATGCCTCGTCAGTCTGGGGTGTGTACCCTCCATTGCTCAGCAATGATTCGGGATGGAGCTTCGGTGGAGACGTTGCCACAATATATATCGCTTCTGCACGATTGTAGGGAGGAAAATGGATGTATGGGACGCCGGATTTGAGTAGAGCAAGCGGCTGTGGACTACTCGATGTCAAAATGAGGCAAAGCCCAGGTATCTAGAAGAGTCTCAGTTCCACAGCCCGCGATCCATTTCGCCTGGAGTCCAAAGTCATACCTGATCACCGAGCCTCGCGAGCGCAGGCAGCAGAGTCGGACCTGCTTGCTTCTGCTTGTTAATGTCTTCAAGGATGAGGACGAGCCGCTGGTCGTGACCTGCCCGCTCAAAAAGTTTGCGCAGATTGCCCAGTAGCGCATTGAGGCTGTCTACCTTGTCATAGTGCTCGATTTGGGATTGCTGGCCCAGGCCATGGACACAAGTCGCAAAGATCTTGGAAAGGAGATGTCGCTGGGAGAGACAGTCTTTGCTTCTCACCACCACAGATTTGAGTTTTCGTGCCTCGAGAACACTGGTGACGACCGCTAATTCGCTTGCTTGCTCAAGGCCACATACGACAAGTGTAGAAGGGCTAGGGAAAAGAACCTAGAAGCCAGAGGGTTTGTCAATAGGCTGGACGGGGATTGGCCTTGGATGAATGGGGAACGTACATTGTAGTAGGTTGCTAATTGGCGAATTTGAGAGTCACGGCACGGATGCTGGTGTGAAATTGCCTGTAGTAGCTCCAGGGGCAAGAGAGCCACCATTTTGATCGAGTTGTCCTGCCTGGGGAGGTCGGTGAGGGTTGAAAAGAGCGCGCGATATAACGAACGCGCTTAGCGAAGCGCAGACGCGTTGAGTGCACGAATTTCAGCTCAAGTTGCTCCGTCCCTCCCCGCACTGGCAACTTTTCTCCTCACAGCCTCGTCATTCGAAATGTACTGGAAGCCCATACATAGGACTCCGTATGGTGTACTAGTTATCGTAGTTAGTAGTGTGCCGAGCAGCCTTGTGTCACATTCAGCTCGATGCCTTAAGCCACTCTCAGTGACAAACAGTCGAGGATGTGTAGCGGGTCTTAAGAAGTCGGTGGCATGGCAAAAACAACCACTAACGTAATTCACGAGCTAGTGGTTCGCACGGGCTAGTGGTTCGTAGATCCATCATCGCCCATCGACTCATCTTTACCATCAATTATCTCCACCAGTATGAGTGCTATTCAATTACAACAAGAAGGTAGGCTTCAATTAGCCATCAAGGCCCTACAAGATGGCAAATTTGGACGCGTTAAACACGCGGCGCGCGCGTATGATGTGCCACACACGACTTTAACGCGACGACTTAAAGGAGTCGCTCCCCAGCGTGGTACACCTGCAGCGACGCGTAAACTCACTCAACAAGAAGAAGATGTCTTAGTACAATGGATACTGGACATGGACTCGCGTGGATATGCGCCTAGAGTTGGCGATGTCCGCAGGAAAGCAAATATACTCCTCACCGAGCGCGTACGTGGCACCTCGATAACAGCGCCTACTGTGGGTGTTAATTGGGCTACACAACTCGTCCAGCGACGCGCAGATCTACGCTCTGACTACTTTAGGAAGAAGGACTATCAGAGAGCTCTATGTGAAGATCCGGAAATCATGCAGAAGTGGTTTAATTTAGTGCGAAACGTCGTCGCTAAATACGGAGTGGTCGATGACGACGTATGGAACTTTAACGAGACAGGATTCTAAATGGGAGTCATCTCTACAGCGCGGGTGGTGACTAGAACCGAGAGACGAGGCAAGCCTATTGTCAATCAGCCTGGAAATCGCACCTGGACAATAATTATTGAGACAATCGCGGCCGACGGAAGGGCATTGAATCCGCTGATTATCTTCTCTGGCAAGGTCCACTAGGAACAGTGGTTCCACGAGCTTCAGGGCGACATACATTCCAACTGGAAGATCGCCGTCAGCGAGACTGGATGGACGAACGACGAGATAGGGCTCTAGTGGCTCCAAGAGATATTTGAGCCGGCGACCAGACTCTCGAGGCGAGGGAGATATCGACTACTCATTCTCGACGGCCACCATAGCCATAATACACCTAAATTCGACGAATACTGTATAAAGTACGATATTGTTACACTATTCATGCCTCCGCACGCTTCCCACTTACTTCAGCCACTTAATGTGACGTGCTTCTCGCCGCTTAAGCGAGCCTACGGACGACGAGTTGAAGAGCTTATGCGACTGAATCAATATCATATAGATAAGAGCGACTTTCTTCGCCTATATATCGCCGCTCGTTCAGAGGCGATTACCGCCCAAAACGCGAGAGCAGGCTTTCGAGCTGCAGGCTTAGTCCCCTTTAACCTAAGCGTCGTTCTCGATCAACTAACGCCAGTGTTACGGACTCCGACGCCTCCTCCTCTCCTTCCATCGAGCCAGGAGCTACAACAGGGTTGGAATCTAGAGACACCGCGGACAGTCACACAGGTTCAAAAGCATGTCCGTACGCTGAGAAAATTACTCAAGAGGAAAACTATTTCGACCCCTAGTCCAACACATGTAGCCGCTGTACAAATGGCTAAGGCAGCTGAGCACGCTATTTACGCTTATCAGCTCGCGCAGGAGCGTATAGCTGAGCTAGAAGCGCTCGTCCAAATCAAGAAGAGAAAGAAGACTACTGGTCGGAAGTATGTCAAGAATGGCAAGCTGCTCAGCGCAAACGACGTCCATCTAGAGCAGGTGGACGACACTGATGAGGAGGATGAGGATACCGTTGTTATTCACGTTGCAGGCGCTCAGCGGCATTGTAGGCGTTGTGGTTTAGCAGGACACAACTCCAGGACGTGTCAAGCGCCGAATAAAACCACTTAAAATCTATCTAATAGGTAAAATTGCATTGTAATAGGGAGTTTTGTGAGCAGTAAGAGCGATGGTGGTGGATTTACGAACCACTAGCCCGTGCGAACCACTAGCTCGTGAATTACGTTACAAAGAATCTCTAGATTGGTGTTTTCTTCAGACACATGTCTTCTAGCTATGGAATCTAATTCTGGACTTGATGGTACAGGCCTCGGTCATTTACCCGACTCCGTATTGGTAGTGAGCTCATCGTGGCTGAATGCAACCATTTGGACTAAGTACACGACCGATCCCTCAATGGCAAAACGGAATTTTGTTCGTTTCGTGTCGAGGAGCCTCATTTGGAGATCCAGCCGATCGCCTATCAATTCCCCGTCAATGCTCGTTGAAATACAGGCGACTTTGTGCCATCTCCAAGAATGGGTCGTGACGTATCTGGTTGGTTTGATTTCCAAATTCATGGATTTCTTGAGCCCGGCGAAAGATAAAAAGGAAAACAAAATCAAAGCCCTATATCCAATTGAACCCTATTGTTAACCTGGAAAACGTGATAAAAGGAGCAAGGTCACCATCATGCAAGAGCTCTCGGATTCTCTCATCGAACCACTATTGAACTCGGGAATGATACCACTGATCTCCTGCCAGACTGATGCTGGACCAATACCTAAGCTGTTGGAGGGCATAATACAAAGATGTGGGCCGTAGACGTGTCGTGAAACAGTTTTTGGATGCTTTTTGGTGCAAGTTGGTACACAGTCGTAAAGTTAAATCAGAAAGAGTGCGAGTTGATGCTACTCCCTTTGATTAATTTGTGTGAACTGAACAAAGAAAGAATGAAAGCTGTGAATTCATGAATTTCGTGACTCGTAAGTGCTTCGGAAATACATGCAAAGCCGTGCAAGGATCATCAGAATGCGTTGTTGCCGCCAACTGCTCCATTTGGGTAGCCATTGAAGCCATTCTGGTTCAGATCGGTTGCGTAGGCTTGATGGTTGTACATGTTAAGAGCATTCTCAGTGGGTCCCATCATGCCAAAACCATTGCCGTTAGTTGGGGGGTTTTCGGTGCTCTCACCGCCGTAGGCATTTGTCGTAGTTCTAATACCGTTGAACCCTCCACCGACAATCTGAATATTTCGACGACTGTTGGCTCGACCTCCAGAGAAACTGGCGAGGTATGTGTCATTTGGAGTCATCTGGCCGCTTGATGTACCGCTGGTGCGTCCCTGAGCATCGTTGCCGAGGATCTTACTGGCGATACGACGACCGTGAGGAGTTTGCTTGATGAGAGGGAGGATAGGGCGGATAGCTTCGACCAGACGAAGTTTGGTCGCAGGGTCTGCGAAATCCATAGCAGTTTGAACGACATAGTTGGCAAAGGAGTCGCGCAACATCTTGTCAAGCTCCGCACCATTAAGCATCTCTTCGATCATCAGTCGCTTGGTATCGAGGTCTGCTGTACGGAGGCATTTCTCGATGACATTGGAACTGAACTTTTGCTTCGACAATGCGGGGACGCGACCTCCGAAGCTCTGGCAAAGCGGTTTGGTGAATGCCGCTTCATCGAGATCGAGGATATACTGAACGACGTAGTTGCCGAACGGATCTTGAACAAGATCAAAAGCGCAGTTGGTGATGCGAGCAATAAGTTGAGCACGCTGAAAACCTTGAGCATGATCAATGCAACGCTGAAGAACACAGCAACCATGACGATGAGTACCCACTACCACGCAGTACTTGCCAACAGCATCATAGATGAACTGAGATCGCTCAGCTCCAAGTCGGGTGAGGCACTTCTGGATCACGTGGTTGCCATTGAGATCCTGGACAAGTTCGACAACTCGGTTCGACAACGCTTGGATGATGGTATCGATTTGCTCTGGTGTATGGACAAACTCGATCATCTTCTGCAAAGCACGAGTGCCGTGTTGATTGAGAGCAATGGTGGTCAGAGCAGGAGCAGCGGTATTGATCAAAGTAGTGCGCTGCTCATCATTACAGTGCTCGAAGAGTTTCTGACAAAGATAATTGCCGAAGGGATCAGTCATCAATTCAATGATATGTGGGCAAGTCTCGACAAATATGGCTTGAGTATGCTCGGGATCGCCTTCTTCAAGCTTGCGTTGTAAATAACGGCAGCCATGTTGATCCTTGCAAAGTTCATAGAGACTTCCGCGGTAAGACTCAAGGGGGACGTTGTTGAATCGAGCTTCATCATTGTGGTTGCGACGGTTTCCACGCTGGCCTTGGTTGGCGTAATTATTGCTGACGCCGAACATACCTGGGGCTTGACCATAAGGTTGGACCGCTCCATTGGAGCCTGGAGCATTCATTTGGTTGACATTGAAGTTCTGCATGTTGTACTGATAAGGAGGAGCAGTAGAATAGGCAGCAGTCGGGCTGGTGAGGCCAGCCAAATCGCCTGAAGCAGTGAAATTGGTATTAAAGGGAGCAGCGCTGGCATGGAGGCTTGACATGGTTGCAGCTGAGGTGATGGCCTGTTCATCGATCTTAGCCCCGCCGTTGACAACTTCACGGCTCTGACGATTGTTGACAGCGTTGACTGGAATGCGACCTAAGCTGACGTTGTGGTTATGAAACTGCTGCTCAGCTTGGGACTTGGGTGGGGTGGAGACCGAGTCAAGAGTCAAAGATTTCTTGACCGTTGGAACGTCATTTGTAGAATACGATGTCTGGAGTGATGCGGGCCGTGTAACGGATAGATTGCCAGGGAGAGGCGAATTGTCTTCGAAAGTAACTCCGAGAGAATGACGCTGTGACTTTCGACGAACAAGATCGGTTGGCCGATCTGCTGGTGGACTGTGGAGGTTGCTGAGAACAGGTCTATACATGGAGGAATCTGTATGAGGCATGCTCTGGTGAGATGGACGATAGCGAGATCCGAGGGCCCAGTCCAGATCTGGAGTTCTTGAGTTTGCAAGATCCAGAGCAGCAGAATTGGCCGAGAGCTACAGACAGAAAGCAATGAGAAAATAGCCAGAATAATTGAAGTGAAGAAGTGTTGGCTCATACCTTGAGACCGTCTGAGGTCAAAGTGGGAAACGTATCGTCGCCTTCAAGCTGTGCGAAAGCTTTGGCAACAGGGGACTTCAAGTCAATGGCATTCAGTGACAAATGTCTGTCATCGTCCTCATCGAAGAGAAAGCTGGTAGTATTTGCGAGGCCGTAGGCAGACTGAGTTGCACCACTGAGACTGAGACGTTGAGGGTGACGATTGCTATTGACTGGCATGGAGAATCGGTTGAGACTAGAAGGTGACGGTCAGAGAGAGAATGTGAACAAAGGTTGGATTGATATTTGATAAAGGCTGTACGGCAGAATAAAAGTCACGTGCATAGAGTCTGAAGACGGTATCACGGGGAAGGGGAAACCCTGAGATGAAGATGACGCAGAACTTACGTCGCAGCTGCTCGAGTTGTAGGGAGATCCTCAGGATAGTACTCGTCCTCGTCAGATCCACGACGAGAACCAGGAACAGACTTGGCCGATGGCTTTTGAGATTGGTTAAACATCCCGCTGCCTGACAGACGGTTGCCTGGGGGGGAAGTGATTTGAGAGCTTGACTGAGATATACGCTTGCCGAGGCCAGGAGGAGATATTACACTGTTAACAGAAAGTCGGCTGGATCGAGAGAATCGATTACTGAAGCCACTTTCGGCATACTCTGGAGGCGTGGTGGGTTCACTAACAGGCCCATTCAGACTGATGCGGTTCAACCTAGTTGAGATGCGTTCGAGATCGTGGGTGTTGGCACCCATTTGCAGACTTCGCTCTTGTAGCTCCAGAAGTCGAAGTTGCTCCTCTGCTTTGCGCTTTGCATTTTGAATGTCGTCGTACATCTGTTTGTTCATGACCTGTAGAGACCCACTGTCAGCGTCTGTAATTGTGAAGACCTCTGTATAATGCGAGCCGAGAAGGACACGGCCATGGAGAAGAATGGATCTCAGAAGTAGGGACTGCCTAGACAATGCCAGATCCGCCCATGCAGTCTCAAAGCCTTGTTGTCACGGAGCGTGACATTGAGACCCCACAATACCTATTGTCTTCCCAGGACCAAGCATTTACCCAATCTCATGAAGTTACACAAAGATGCAACGTACCGCAGTTGAGTTCATAGAACTGTACTGTTGGCCGAATGGTCGGGAAGCCGACATTTTACTCGAGTCAGTGGTGAAGCGACGCTGTAAACTTGCCCGAGCGTCATTGGACGAGTTTTGTAGGTTTGAGAAGTAGGAATTCTGATCTCGCACAGCTGTTGAGTTCGGAGCGAAGACTTCAGTGTCGGGGGATCGCAGGTTTGGAAACCGTAGTTCTTCCATGCGCCCACTGAGTGGATTGGAGAACGCCATAATGCCAGTCTACATGCAATTCTTAGATGTCAGCAAAGCGGTATGCCTAGAAAGAAAACTCGCCAGTTCAAAATTAGGGGGACGGCCTATTGTGGGCAGTGGTTACGAGGGTTGAGACTCGACGCTGAGCAAGTGACCCAGGCAGCCGTTTCCTCGACAGTATTTGGAAGGTACACACCTAGTAAGCACAATATATCCAGAGTAATGGTATATGCAAGCACCACAATGGAGATGTAGAGTAGTGGCTTTGGAAACTTAGTGGTGGTTCTGGCGCGCAGTCGGGGGGTTAACACTGCAGGGTTGACCTGGCCGAACAGAGCGATGCTATTGCTATTGCCGCTGCGTGCGCCCGTGGCAGCACAGCGGTGTAGATATGCTATAATGACAGTGGTTGAACAAAGAACAGGCAGGAAAGATATAGAAAGAAAAGATTAATAGTACAGAACCAGAACAGCAGGTGGTGGTGAGGTGCATGTAGGAGGAGACACCTCAAACGAAGGAAATGGGAATGTCTGCAGCAGCAGGAACAGCGACAGTTGTAACTTGTAAGGACTAGGATGGAGGTTGGCCTCTTGGAAGCGGTGCTCGCTATTGGCAAGCGCCAGTCCACCCAGGTCCCGTCCCTCTTGAGTCTTGGTGAGTGCTAGGGCAGGTGAGGGCCGGCGTGGGCGTGGGTACGGGTACGAGGGAGGAAAAGAGGGCCACCACAGGACCAGATCCAGGACCACCACACGCCAAAGGGTTGTGAAGGGTATCGCTAGACGAGGTTGTGAGGTTGAGCTGCAGCAGCGTGGGCTTTTTTGGCTGGGGGGAGAAATGGGCTTGTTCCCAATTTTCCACCCATTCGCAGTCAAGGTCAAAGACTCACGACTGACTGGGGTTAGGAGCTTTAGTTAGGTTAGCCCACGGCTATGATCCAAATGGCATGGCATGGGATGGACTGGGCCAGGGTGGAGGGGCACACACAGAGGACGGGGGTACCGAGTACCACTGGCAGTATTCCGTGCGCCGTACACAGCCAGGGTCGAGGCCGAGATCGAGGGACTTCAACCAGACAAGATTCTGGATGTGCCGGTCCTCCACAGCAGGATGAAGTGAACAGGAGCCTCCTGCCACTCTAGATGCAGGCTATTGATCCCATTCTTTCGCCTTTTGCCTGAAAATCTGAATCATGGTTACAGACAATGGTATGTAACTCCAAAAGCAACCTTGGCATGTAATTCTTCTTTGGGCTGGGCTTTGCTGATCTGGATGTCAACCCCTGGCGCCCTGGAGCATCACGAAATCGCCAGCGGGTGGGCGGTGGGCAGTAGTGGACACTAAGCTTGTCAGTTCTTTGGGTGGCATCCCTTGGGCTTTGGTGGGCTGACCCGCCCTTCCCTAATTCTGCCAGCACCCGTGCCACCCATCAACCATGCCTTTCCCATTAAGGTTCCCTGGTATTCGCCCCTCGGCTATACGCTTATGGGTGCACCTAGAGACCTCGAGGGGGGCAGCAAGATCTGACCACGAATTGCAAACAGTTTTCGCCAGGGAGGCGCCTCGTCAATTCTCATGGATCAAAAGGGCAGCCACAGCGGAGTGCTGACTCGTCATCTGCTGCACCGGGTAGCCGGTCATCATCGAGGCCATGGTCATGCCCATGGCCACGGCTCCCAAATGTGCCAGACCAGAGACGAGGGCACTTATCCAAGCCTGTGAATGGCCCAGATGAACCTGGTGGCGCCAGTAGTAGGACACACTCCGAGTCGTTAGAACCCGTCACAAGTGCATGGCTCACCTGGTGGGAAATCGAGTTGCTTGCACGGAGTAGTTCGTTCGCCCGATACTGGACTCCTGGCTTCCAGCCTTCTCATTGCTCACCTCTTGCTTGTCCAACTGTGAGAAGTGTGGGGAAGCCGCCCGACCAGAAAAGACCTGGGGCTTTGAAATACGCCAATTCACACGGCTCCTCCCAATAGTGATGTGCCAGAAAATCTCCAACCAAAAGGCGGTCAACGGACCAAAGAATGAAAAGGGGTCCCGCTCTGCAAGTCTAAAGGGTAATCCCGGAGATCGAGATCACGAGCCAACTGTACCTGCTCCGTGCTCGTATTTGAATTTGATAAATGCTTCTAGCTTCCTCTATCATCAGCAGAACAGAGACTTGGGAATCGAGACGGAGGACAGACTCGCAATGCCGTGTCTTAATTCGTCCAGATTTGCATGGCGCAATCAACAGTTGTCTAAAGCCATAACCCCACGAGGGGCTCGAGGATAGCGTAGCAGCGATTGTGAACGACCAAGGCAAGTCGGAGTCAGTACCCACTTTCCATAATCCTTCCTACCCGAAACAGCAGGCACATGGGAAGAGAGATACAAACACTCGTGAACAAGAGCCACGACAGTTACACTTCCAAGATGCTCCATCGCACCCAAAGACGCCTGATCCCACGGGCCATAGAAACTTTGTGCTGCGCAGTGACCGACATCCTTTAGCCACAGTGACCGGGGATGCCTGACCAGGAAGAAATGCCAGATCAGCCAGGGTCAGTCAGTATTTTAAGAGATGGGCTCCAGGTGACTGCCGAATTTCTGTCGACTACAGGCGTCTTGGACGAGGACTCTCGTACCTGCAAGCACACTGCTGCGCGATGATGTAGCCAGCTTCGTCCCTGCATTTGATGCGCATCCCTCTGGGTCTGTTCTTCTCTCTGCCTAATCATGGAAGCAGATTCCATTCATGAGCAGCCGTATGAACTCACCAGTCTAGGTGGTGTCTCGTAGGCAGCTGAAGCTCCGAGTCCTCTGTACTCCTTGCCGTACCCGAACCAGGACGCATCCATACCAAACGGTGTCCAGGTGATAGGACACTGCCGGCGTCCTCAATGATGAGTGGTGGAACCATTCGAAGGTGACTTGGCCACTACAGGAGCGGTTAGAAGAACTCGGTATGGCGCAAGCGCTGGTTGGTGGTTCTGGAGAAAGCCTTAGTTAGACTTTCAAGGCGGGCGGGCCCCTTGCTGATTAAGGATTAGAGTGAGATAGAGAGTCCAGCGGCGAGTTGATCCCCTGCATGAGAGAAAGTCTTTCACCAACGATGATCCACCAAGCCGGGCTTTGGGTTGTTGCGAAGAAACTCCAGAAGGTTACAAGCGGGCTGCCTGCTCCCGGGCCTCGTTGGTACCAATTGTGCGTCTCTTGAACTAATTTATGCTTTGTGCAACTGGGGGATGGCCTTGGGCACCTGTGTTTCAGAATTGCAAGGCCCCAGTGGACTTACCTGGATCTTGCTTGTGAACTGACCTACGGAGTACAACGAACGAGTCCGTACAAAGGCCCACTAGATATTGGCAGCCTAGGTCACTCCAGATTGCCTGGGAAGAAAGCAAGAAAACATTTGGTACTCCGTACTCCGTACTATGTGCTTTCTCATTCGGAGGACAGAGTACTATTATGTATCCCTTACCTACCTATGGATGTACTTTGTACTAATCATGGAGAGGGCCCAAGGTGTTCAGGCACACAGAATTCAACCCCACGCTGGGCTTGGCATGTCCCTCAGGGTGCCCTCCTTTCACCGCCTTGCTGAGTCATTCATGGCAGAATATTTTCGCTGTTGCCCACCAGGTATGTTTGCAGGCCAGAGGAGATTGAGCGCTCCTAGGTTTTGATATTTCACTTTGCCAATCTGTGACCGCTCAATATGCGGCAGCAAGGGCTTGCCTGAGAGCCATAATTCTTATCTAAGACGCAAGGGCTCCCGATGCCTCCCAAAAGAAGGACAGATGGGCCTGTGGCCGCAAGTTCGGCGTCAAAACCCCTCCCCAAGGTTGGTTCGGGCCCAATTGAAGCTCTGCGCCACAAAGCATTCATCTGACTTGAGACAGAAGCAAGTTCCTCGAAACGTCACCATAAAAGAGCCAGTTGCCCACAAGCAAGCTGAGGCAGAGGCACCGTCCAAACGAGTCGAGACCACCAAGAACGAGAAACCCTCCCGCAAGCCTCATCATCATGCAGATGGCTTCGATGCTGCATTGGAGCCGTTCTACTATGACAAGTCCCTCACCGACCCTATTGATACCGCTCGGGACAAGTGGAACCTCCTGCCTGCTTTTCTCAAGGTCAAAGGTCTAGTCAAGCAACACATTGAGTCATTTAACCACTTCGTCGAGGTCGAGTTGAAGAAGATCATTGATGCTGAACCAGTCATTACGAGCGATATTGACCCAGATTTCTACATAAAGTATGAGAACATCTACATTGGTAAGCCCTGCCGCTCAGAGGAGAGCCTCGACTCCTTTAGCCGGGGCGAAGAGTCTACTGTCACTCCGAACGAATGTCGATTACGGGATATGACATACGCCGCTCCAATCTTGGTGGATGTCCGCTATACCAAGTCGAAGATGGCATATCGTAGGAAGGGAATGCTTATTGGACGGTTACCTATCATGCTACGGAGTTCAAGGTGTTTCTTGGCCAACAAGTCAGAAGCCGAAATGTGTGCTATGGACGAATGCCCCTTGGATCCGGGAGGCTATTTTATCGTAAATGGAACAGAAAAGGTCATCCTGGTCCAGGAACAACTAAGCAAAAACCGCATTATTGTTGAGGCAGACCACAAAAAGGAATTGATCACAGCCTCCGTCACCAGCTCTACACATGCAAGAAAGTCAAAAAGCTATATTGTGCTCAAGAAAGATTTGCTATACATGCGGCACAACATCCTGAACGAGGATGTCCCAATATGTATCCTATTGAAAGCTATGGGTGTGTCCTCTGATATGGATATGATGGCCATTGTTGCCGGAACAGATAGTACGCTGCAAGAAGATTTTGCCATCAATTTCGAGGAGACCATCAAACATCAAATTCATACCCAGCAGCAAGCTCTTGATTATCTAGGTGCGCGAATCAAGATTACGCGAAAACCCACACCGTTCGGCCAGTCACGCAGAAACTACGTTCAAGAAGCTTTAGAGGCTGTTAGCAGCGTCTTTATCGCACACGTCCCTATCGAAAACTTGAATTTCAGGCCCAAGGCTATCTATGTTGCCCATATGGCACGACGTGTGTTAATGGCTAAGCAGAATCCCGCCTTGGTGGACGACAGAGATTACGTTGGCAACAAACGTCTCGAATTGGCTGGTCAACTTCTATCTCTACTCTTCGAAGATCTTTTCAAAAAGTTCAATTATGATGTCAAGATGAAGATTGACAAACAACTCCGAAAACCCAATAAGACCGAAGTCGTTGATCCTTGTCAGACCATGATGGGTGCGGCCGTGTCAATTACTCAAGGCATGAACAGAGCAATCGCCACGGGCAACTGGAATTTGAAACGATTTCGAATGGATCGTGCCGGTGTAACCCACTTGTTGAGTCGCCTGAGCTTCATCGCCTCGCTGGGGATGATGACCAGGATTTCAAGTCAGTTTGAAAAGACTCGAAAAGTCAGCGGTCCCAGGGCCTTGCAACCGTCCTCATTCGGCATGCTGTGTCCAGCTGATACTCCAGAAGGTGAAGCCTGTGGGTTAGTCAAAAATCTCGCCCTCATGACACATATCACTACAGATGACGAAGAAGCACCCATCAAACGTCTAATTTTCATGCTTGGTGCTGAAGATATTGTTAGCATTGGAGGATCCGAGTTATATGGCCACGGTGCATATTTGGTCCTTCTCAATGGTACCCCGGTCGCTAGTACGCGACAACCATCTTTGTTTTTGTCCTCCTTTCGACGCTTGCGCCGCTCAGGCCGCATTTCCGAGTTTGTTTCTATCTTCATTAATCATCATCACAACACAATTCAAATTGCAACCGACGAAGGCCGAATTTGTCGACCTCTCATAATTGTCGAGGATAAGAAGTCTAAGGTCACAAAGCGATATTTGAAGTCTTTGCGGCAGGGCTCTATGGACTTTGATGACTTCTTGGCCAGAGGCCTTGTGGAGTACTTGGATGTCAATGAGGAAAATGACAGCAACATTGCAATGTATGAATCGAATATCAATGCAACTACTACCCACCTCGAAATCGAGCCGTTCACAATTCTAGGCGCTGTGGCTGGCCTGATCCCTTATCCCCATCACAACCAATCTCCAAGAAATACCTATCAATGTGCTATGGGTAAGCAAGCCATTGGTTTCATTGCCAACAACCAATTTTTGCGGATTGATACATTGCTCTATCTTATGGTCTACCCACAAAAGCCACTTGTGAAGACAAGGACGATCGAGCTAGTCAAATATGACAAGCTACCTGCTGGCCAGAATGCAACCGTCGCTGTCATGTCCTATAGCGGATATGATATTGAAGACGCTTTGGTGCTGAACAAAGCCTCTGTCGATCGTGGTTTTGGTCGATGCCAAGTTCTCCGAAAATACCCCGTCACCATCAAGCTGTATCCTGGTGGTAATCTCAAAGATATCGTCGAGCCACCGACCATAGATAATGGAGTGCCAATAAAAGCACATGCATTGCTCGACGTGGATGGCATTGCGTCTGTGGGTGCAAAGGTCAGCCAAGGAGAGGTTTATGTCAATAAATATGTGCCAGAGAACGCGTCTGCTTCCACTTTGTCCGACAGTGGTAGAAACGGTCCCGCCATACCTCAGCCTCAAAAATATCGACTACCGGACCCAAGCTATATCGATAAGGTTATGGTGTCTGAACAGGAATCTGGAAACCAATTGATCAAAGTTCAGACCCGACAGACTCGAGTTCCAGAAGTGGGTGACAAGTTCTCTTCCCGTCATGGGCAGAAAGGTGTCGTGGGTATTATTGCCGAGCAAGTCGACATGCCTTTCTCGGATTTGGGCATTACTCCCGATATCATCATGAATCCTCATGGTTTCCCATCCCGAATGACGGTCGGAAAGATGCTAGAACTTGTCTCTGGCAAAGCTGGAATCCTGAAGGGTCAATTTGAGTATGGCACCGCCTTTGGAGGCAGCAAGTTAGAAGACATGTCTCGAGCCTTGATCGAAGCAGGGTATAGCTACGACGGCAAAGATTACCTGACCTCGGGGATTACGGGAGAACCACTCCCAGCATATGTCTTCACTGGCCCCATCTACTACCAGAAACTCAAACACATGGTGCAGGACAAGATGCACAGCCGATCCCGCGGTCCGCGAGCAATCCTCACGCGGCAGCCTACCGAAGGCCGTTCGAGGGATGGTGGTCTTCGGCTGGGAGAGATGGAGCGTGACTGTCTCATCGCATACGGCGCGTCACAACTACTGAGGGAAAGATTGATGCTGTCGAGTGACAAGCACGAAGTCGACGTCTGTGAGTCCTGTGGCTTCATGGCCTTCGGGCGTTGGTGCCAGCGATGCAGCAGTGCAGGTCAGACAGGCTCGAATGTCGTGCGCATGACCCTTCCCTACGCCTTCAAGCTCTTACTCAACGAGCTGGGGAGCATGAATGTCAACACCAGGCTCGTGGTAACCGACGAGTTCCCACCCGACGGCTCACGAAGAGCTTAACAAGTCAATGAGTCGTTCAGTCGGTGGATCTGTGAAGCATCAGAAAGAGTTGCATTGCGTGGTGGTGTAATTGTGAAAATAATGCATAGCGAGGATAGAATGGGAGTGTTTTTCCCTAGCTCAGAATGATGGACACGATGACGATAAAACGATACTTATTGCTATGCATCAGTGAAGCGGAAATCCTCATCAATCAAAGTATTATTTCCGCAGATTTGCCATGTACATTGACGCTACTTTCTTTGCTCTACCAGGACGCCATAAAAGACAGAGAGTTTTAGATTCGGTTTGCAGGGAGGTTCCGTGACTGCCCAGAGCTCGCGGGTGGGAATACTCGTGGAAAAGGGGCATGGAGGAGTAGATGCCTGATGAAACTCTATGATGATTGAACAAAGATAAGCAGTAACCTACTATTCTAGAACTGACTCCCTTCACCACCTTGAAATCCTGGGTGACCAAACTGGAGGAGAAAACCCTGCAGTATCAGATTCATTGCCACTTGTGATTTATTTCCGAGCAGGGTCGTGTCATGAGCCCCTTTCGTCTCTTTTCTTTTCTTCCTTAGTCTATGCAACGTAAGAGCCGGAGGGTGCGAAGGAATATTGCAACTCAATACTATGAGGCAAGTTGCTCATTACGGAGGCCATAAAAAAGCCAAAGGAAGACCACAACGCTCGCCAGCCTACCTTTGGGAGGCTTTAGACCGGATTCGTAGCACACGCACCGGCTTGTTTGTCTGAGATATAGCCCTAGACTCAATGAACCCCCACCGGTCGCTCAACCTGTTGTGATATCCGAGGAAACGCGCTGGTGTGATGTCTATGCTTTTGTTTCTGATAGCGTTTTTGGGGCTTGTCTTAGCTACTACCTCCGATCTGACTCTTGATCTGCGTCCGTGCAAGACTGATGAATGGTACTCGTAAATATGCCGAATGGAGAGCCTATCGAGGAGGGGAAGTGTGTTTGTTCACTGTCGCTGCATCAGAGAGTCGTGCTGTAGAGTGTACCAAGTATGGAGTACCTACTACCTATCAACGCAACAATGGAAGAATGTTCATTCCCATGGACAGGATACGAAACCGCTGAAAAGCCGCCTGACTTCGTATGATATTTTCAAGAACCCGGCGCAATTTTCAAAATTTGACCCAATCAAGAAATAGTTTGGAATAGTGCAATCGGCGAACACCTAATGGACAACTGCCTAAGCAGGTCCCCAGAGTACATATGTTCATTGAAGAGACTACCGGGTCTTCTTCTGAAAACGCTCTTCGTGGGTATCTGCCTACCCAGGTATGCGTAGACGCTCAAGGTGACAAACTGAAAATGTAAAGTCGTTGCAGGGAAATCGACCTTCATCAATCGTAATCTATGAATACAATTTTGGGTCATGCTCTTCGCGCATTTTCTCTCGACGACTTATGATCTCAAGCGTCTCCTCTTCTTTCCTAGACTTGTACTCCTCACGTCACGCAGGTACCTCCTTTAAGCCGATGTGAGCTCTCAACATTCTCTTCTTCGCCGCTAAACTTGTACTATTACTAGGTTGGAGATCCCGCTGTTGTAAGATAGAATCCACTTGCTGTCCGTTCATTTGCCCAATTTCTGCAGACGTAGTAGGGGAATTCGGGAATGGCGGCACCGTTTGAGGGGTTGAGGACTAGCGAAAGATGGTCCGATCGGCTGGCAACGTGTGTATTCTGAACGCGAGCTGCATTATTGTGATTGCTATAGAATTAGTAGAGTAATATTAAAATAATCAAGGGTAGTACGTACGATGTGGTAATGAGTCGAGTAAACTTCTGATCAAGATGAGTGATGTCTTGACGAACAGCTATAATATCCCGAGTCATTTGCTCTCTCATTAGCCGGAGCTCAGCTAGAATGAGTTGACCGTTGGCGATTGCAGGTAGATTTTGTGCTTTCCGAATTTCATTGGCCGCAGAAGAAAGATTTTCAGCAAGGGAATTGAAATCTGGCTGCTGACCGAGAGGGTTTCCACTAGCCATCGTCGCTGTGGTGGTGATGGTGGTGACGACTGTTTGTTTTTGTTCACGAAATGGTGAGGGGAAGAAAACCGAAACCGCGTTGTCGAGGGAAGAGCACCTCCAAAAGCGGCGGCACTGACCGCCAAATTTGGCGGGAGATTTCCCTTCAACTTGCGTTGAACTGTATGATTCGCCCCGACGAAATCTTATGCAGATCTCGCCTGTCAGGTTACAAGAATGCACGGAATCATGGTCCAAGCGGCCCAGCCTGATAGAGTGAGCATAGCCTTCCAACAACTGATATTTCGCGACATTCAAGTGAAAGGAACCCTTGATCGCTGGGCAGGATTACAGCCAGCAGATGTTGTATGATGTTAGCAAGCATAACATCCAAGTGGAGACGAATTTGTTCTATGGCTTGGAGGAGGTACCGAAGATGGTGGAGCTCGCGCACTCTGGCAAGCTGAAAGGGAAAGCCGTATGTGTGGTAGATAGCGATGAATTGGAAAAGGACAACAAGAGCTGAGGCATGGCCCTGAGAGTTACCAGGAACGCCTTGAGTTTTGATATGCCCTCGTGGGTCATGACGGGCGATCTTCTTGCACAGAGACGGACTCTGAGGCACAACTAGGCAAATTCAGTATAAATAGGTCTTTGTTGATATTCGGGGCCCTTTAGTTCCTGGAATTGCCCTCTAATACAGAATCTCAAATCCAGCAGCGGCAAAGGAGGACCCTGTCTAGACAGTTAGACACAGAACGGGCTCTGGGGGGCGGGCGGGGGGGCTCGGGCACTAACTTGGGCTTGCTTATGTAGTTCGGGTGTCCAGGTGGGTGCTTACCTAACTATTGCTTACCATAAGATTCTGGGTGGTTCTCACCCAGATCTTAGGTACTCCGTACTGTACCTAGTTAAGATGCTTAACGGCAGGTCGAGCGAACTGCGGGGAATGCAGGACATGAACCTCAAGCGGGACAAAATAAATGTAAAGGAAGCTTCCCAAGCATACACCATCACCCTCAAGGATCTCAGGATCGCGGACAGAACCGTTCAAGAAGCCCTCTGACTTCGATTCGCGTGGGAAAACTTGACACCACCCAAGCAGAGATGGGTTCCACTGCACACGGAGTGCCTCCTGCCGCCGATTTACCCCTCCCCACGCAGGCCAGCAATGCCCATGGCTCACTCGCAGATCTATTACCCAGCCACTTCACCACCGAGATCACGAGATGGCTTACCGAAGACACACCCTCCTTCGACTATGGCGGTTTCGTCGTTGGTTCCGAACCTCGCACGGCACAACTTCTCTGCAAATCTGATGGAGTCCTCGCCGGTATCCCCTTCTTCAACGAAGTGTTTAAGCAGCTTGAGTGCACTGTGGGCTGGCACTACGATGAGGGCTCATATCTCGACCCCAGTAAGAGCGGAGGCAAGATCAAGGTAGCCACAGTGGAGGGCCCGACACGGAAACTGTTACTCGGAGAACGTGTAGCGTTAAACACCTTGGCCAGGTGCAGTGGTGTTGCCACACGAAGTAAGAAAATGCTCGAACTTGTTCGTGGCGCAGGTTACCTGGGTATCCTGGCCGGCACTAGAAAGACCACCCCTGGCTTCAGGCTTGTCGAGAAGTATGGTATGTTGGTAGGTGGCATTGATGGACACAGACATGACCTGAGCAGTATGATTATGCTTAAGGACAACCATATATGGGCCAAAGGAAGTATCACCAATGCCGTCCAAGCTGCGCGAGCAGTAGGCGGGTTTGCGCTTAAGATCGAGGTTGAGGTTCAAAGCGAGGCAGAGGCAGATGAAGCCATCGAGGCGGGTGCGGATATTGTGATGCTGGATAACTTCGATGGCGAGGGGTTGAAAGTTGCAGCTAAGAGCCTGAAAGACCGCTGGACAGGGAAAAGGAATGTGCTGCTGGAGAGTAGCGGCGGTCTTACCGAAGCAAATGTGAAGGAATATATTAATAACGGTATGGACAAGCCTTCATTGCCCTTGTGGCTCTGCTAACCTTTCTAGATATCGATATTATATCCACCAGCGCGGTGCATCAAGGCGTCGCCCATGTGGATTTCTCTCTCAAGATCGAACACTAGAGTGAATGTTGACTACTTCGCCATCAACCACCCACAACCCTAGCGATACGCTGTCATGGCCAGACCTACAGCCACCTCATCCTGATGGCATTTTACTACTATACTAATTCGGACATAGGTATAGTACGGCCGTTTTCAAACCAGGCATAAAGCCGTTAGGGTCTCTAGTATATAAGGTTCTGGCTACAAGGTGAAATTAATGTATGTGTAATTAGAAGCTTATATGCTACTCCGCCTCCTTGAGGGGGATAGCAACGGCTACTCAGCGAAACTTCTAATACGAGCTCAACTTCATCAAGGCCAACCATGGCCTGCTGAGAACTCAGCCTCGAATGAGCTCACGATAGAAGGCGAGGATGAAATCATCATGTCTGACTCAGATGCATGACGTTGAACCAACAAGGCCGCCGCACTATTCGCCACGTCTCACCTGCTAAAATGTGGCCTCAGAAGGCCAGTGCTATTTTCTTTCCAGCCCGGCTCGTGTTGAGTGTACAAGAATAAATACCTGCGAACAAAGGCACCAAGCTACGATGAGCATAAGGGGCTTTGTGTGGTCCTAAACAGTGTATGTTAGACTAAGACAGGGCCGTAGACTACGACCAGAATTGCTCTGCCCATTGTCGTGGCTGGAGTGGCAAAGATCAGGCTTTGCATCAGGACAAGGCTCGGCCCCTGAAAGGGAACAACAGAAGAGCCTCAAAATGGAAAAGGTGCCAGCGGGGTTCGACGACAATGGTCGACTTGATCGTGGCCCTAAATATGACACAGGTGCTTTCTCTAAGTTCATCTTGTATCTCTGTCAAATATAACAGCTCATACGATAAGATATGTTTTCCTAAATATCAACATGTCGCCGGCAGACAGACCAGGCTGTGAGGCTCCTTGATGCGGGGTTGAAATTTGTAGTAGCCGAGATTCAGCCGACGCTGCCCACACGCAGCCTTGCCGGTGCCCACTGCGCAGTTCCTGTCTAAACATTTCCCCGTGAGAGCAACACCCTCGACAGTGTTCAAGCTTGTTGATTGAAGAGCCCCGTCCGCTCTACATACATGGCAGGAATGGTGTGTCCCTCTGCATGAGCACACCCACTCTCTTTGACACCCCTCTCGACCAGACACCGAAACCAAAGCCGGAAGTCATGTCCAACGCAGAAACCCCGCACATGTCTTCTCACCCAGCAGCTCAGGATGAGCAACCACAACCACAGCCGAGCCAAACACAAATCTACCACGGGCTCTCAACCTACCCATTCGCACAAGACCCAGAGTATCAGAGCGGACTCGCGACGATCCTGGGCCATCCCGAGCGGGCAGCAAGCCCCCAAGAAATCGAGCAGGAGGTGGAACTAGTGCTGCAGGTGCAGTGCTTCTACTTCGCAAGGAAATACAATCTGCAGCAGCCCGTAGATCCGGTCGCGTATCGGGCTTGGTTGAGGGAGAGAAATGCAGCACTAGAGCAAGACCCGCAACCGCGGCGGCCGGTAGCGGCGGAAGGACAAGGACACGGAGACGGGATTGCGACTGAAGATGCAGGACAGCCCATTCCGCAGGGACAGAGCCAGATGGGCAGCGGTGGTGAAAGTGGAAGCGGAAGTAGAAGTGCAGTTTCGTCTGGAGTATCAACACAACCACAGCCACAATCACAACCAGCAGTAGCGGTAGCCACCGCCCCGCCAACCCAAGCAGCACCGCCCGCAGATGACCAACAGCCACCTTACCCGACCTCCTTCGCCGCGATCGTGGACCTGATCACGCGAAACATCCCCGTGCCAGGGATCGAGGAGATCCCCACGACGGTGCTGGAGCCCGGCTCGAGCAAAATCGACAAGACGCCGCGGCGGAGGAAGCCGTGGGAGAAAGACGCAGAGACAGATCCAGATCAGGATGAGATTGAAGTATCGAAGACGGGAGTGGACAAGTTGGAGGAGAATGCTGCTGAAAATGGTGCCGCCGCAGCAGGCGGTGCGGAGTCCTCTGCTGCTGCTGACATGGTGGCGGGAGCCGTCGACGTCAACGGGCACCGCGAGACGGGCACCGGCGTCGTCAATATCTTGAAACCAAATGCTGTGCCGGATAGCGGGTTGCTGTCCAAGGACTGAATTCTGGGTGGCATATCTTGTTTGCCAGCTCGTTTCGGAAACTCAGCCAACTTCATTTTTAGAGGGATCTTGGATTGACTAGTTGGGAAGGAACGGCCCTTGAATACATCCAGGGTCTTTGAAGTGGTGCGAACTCTTGCTTTCTTGGTGGTGCTCAAAGACCGCACCTCGCCAAGTGAACTGGTGCTGCTGCAAGTCGGCAGCGGGGCTTCGAAATCGGAAACGAGCCTTCAGCCGTGCTGGAAAGAACCTCGACCGTATCCACTGGTGTAGATCAGGCTTCAGAGAACATCCGGGGGAAGATCTACTCTTCCACACACAGGCCACAGACGAGATTGGCATAGCTAGTGTTCTTGTAAATTCCTCGACCCGCCCGCCTACGGCTATGCAAAGACTCAAATCACGAATTACTGATATCATGCATTATGAGGGATTCAATCCTATTGTTTAGCTATCATAAGCACTATCTGGTACATTGTCCTGACCATCTTCGTTCATGCCACTGGTAAATACAAGCTTCAAGTGTCTGCTCACTCGAGCAGGACAAGAAGGCCTGATATGATACACGATTTCTGGGGTATTGAACACTGTTATGTGAACTCTGAAGCCATGCAATATCTCCTGCCTTCGTTGATACCTTCAATGTTTCTCTGTAATTGACTGGGTGTGCGAACGGAGAAATTTGTCTGGTTGATAAATGTGAAATGCCATACTCATGGTGAATAACCCGGTAAACGTTCTCCATAAAACATACATGCAAGCATATGTCGAGCCAAGAAAGCCGAGCCAAAACATTGCTGACTTGAGAGCGTTGACTCATTGGCTTCGTACTCCGGTGTCGAGCAAGTATTCCAAGCCATAGAGGGCTATCCCCATGCTATTGACAATGCGTAGAATACCTTTCATCTACAAAGATGACGAACAAGTAGATGAATTAATTGATTTTGTGCAATCCAAGTCCTGAACGGGTAAGATGGCCATGATGGACCTAGCGGAAGCGAGCCCATTGACTGCGTGGTTGACCAGGGGCGCCAAATGGATTGACAACAGCACCAGCTCCCGGACGTGTGGCCGAGTTTGGATTGCAGCAGAGCATAGCAACACGAGACCCAAACTTGGAACCACGAAGAGAGACCATGTGCTTTCGAATGTGGATGGCAACCTGTTCACGCTGATGGTGATGAGTGTTCATCAAGATCCATTGGATAAGATAATTGCCGTATTGGTCACCAGCAATGTCGATGAGCGGAATGCGTGGGCGGTCTGGATGAGCAGTTGTGATAACTCCGAGGTATCGATCCAGAAACTCTGGTCCACCAATCTTGAGGCACTTCTCAACCACCTTGGAAGCGAACTGATCAACACTGTAGTTGTACGAGTTGGTGAGAATATGATCAACAACTCGACGCTTGTCGGGTGGAGAGCCGTGTTCGCACAAATGCTGAATGCACCAATTGCCAAACTGACCATGAGCAATCAAGTCGATGTTGGAAATGACCTCTTCAATGGCGGGGCGCTTCTCGTCTTCGACACAATTCTCGAAGATGTTCTGAACGACAAGACTGCCAGTTTCACCTAAAGCAACCTCATGCCACATGCCACGAAGAGCCTCATTGACCTTCAACATGATTTGCGGGGGTTCTCCACTCCAGCGGAGTTCGAACAGCTTCTGCCAAACATGACAAGCATAGCGGTGAATAACAGTATCTGGGATACGTCGAAGTAATTCATGGACCATGTCAGCTTTGTGTTCCTCTGGAACAGAATCAAAGGCTTTCTGGATGACATGGCAGCCAAATGGGTCCATGCTGAGCGACAAGACATTGCCTCGGATGGCTTCAGCAATTGCTACAACTTGTTCTGGAGTGCCGTGCTCGAAGCAACGTTGGACAAGAAAGTTACCGAAGCGGTTGATCATCAATGGGTAAGCCTGGTTGACAATGGATTCAACAATTTCGAACTTCTGCTCTGCCGTGCCGACCTTGAGTTTCTGCTGCAAGAAGATGCTGGCTTGTTGATCATTGTTGCAGACGATCTTGTCGACAATGTACTTCCAGTCACAAGAGACTGACTTGTCAAGGAGGCGGCGATAATTCATAGGTTCAAGAGGGGTTACATATGTCTGTCCACCTGTAATATTGGCCTATTCCAAGAGTCAGTACTGAACAAAGCAATGGCCAGGTTGCACTTACTGAAAGGGGCCATGGATTAGTGACACCTTGACCACTTGAGGCATTGAAGTCGGTTCCTGTAGGCGATAGTGGAGCAGTAATACCCCGTTGTTGGTAATTGTATTGACCTGGAATACCCATTGAGCTGATTGCCGGTGGAGTCAGAGCGGTGGCACCCGGTGGGTAGCTCTGATAGGCTGAGAGAGGATCAATGGCGGTGGTGTTGATTCGAAGCGGAGCTCCATTCCGTCTCATGTTGAGCTGTTGAGGGTTGAAGGCCATGGCCTCAGCATGAGTTCTCATGTCGTACCCGGCACCTGGGGCATTGCCCGAGAAGTTACCGGTCTGAAAGGCCGAATCACCACCAGAAAGGGCAGCAGTACCATAGAGGTTATCATAACCATGATTGGGAAGACGAAGGTCGCGAGCGCTGGTGTATCCAGCACCAGGAGGATTGGTACCTGGGTTATCAGCCATGGACGCAGCAGTGTTCTGCCAAACGCCACGGGATCGTCCAAAGTTTCCGCCAATGAGGTCAACTGGGTCAACTTGGAGGTGGTCTTGGGCAACCCAGGCGTCATTACGCGAAGTGAATGGACGAGCTGATGCATTGAACGCACTCTGAAGATGGCCAATGGTGTTCTCGGTAAGGTCATTTGATGGAACAAAATCTCCAATCTCAGAGGGGGGCCCCATGGCTTGATCCATAGTGTGCTTCAGGGTACGAGTTTCCGCAAGCTCTTGTTCCTGACGTGAGATGAGAGACTTGGCGGCTTCAAGCTCCCGCTTGACACGCAAGATTTCAGCATTGTCTGTCTTGGCTATGGTTGCAGCTGGACGATTGCTAGTGGGAGCGATGTCGACAGGAATTGTAGTAGAAACGCCAGCATCCGAATTAGAGGAGCTATCTCCAGACACGGACGTGGAAAGGTGGCGATGAGAATCGGTTCCATTCTTGATTTCATCTTCCTGTCTCTTCAATGCTTTGTTCTGGTCCTGCAAGTTGTGCAGGAGTTTGTCAAGAGAGCGAACATCACTGCTAGGCTTCCGGGAGTCATTCAACTTCAGACGAGCAAGGATTTCGTCCATGTTGGTGGTGGGCTTGGGGTCTGACAGACCTGAAGAAGGCTATGAAGGGTGAGAAAGCTAAGATGGGAGACAAGGAGTTGACACTACCTTTTCTTTGTGCTGTATAAAGAATTGATCAGTTTGATGGGTCAAACTCCGGGAGAGAATGGTAGGAGAGATGACAAAGGAGCGGCTTGTTGTAGCTTGGCAGAGGCAGAGGCAGTAGGAGTGGAACTCAGATGGGCAGAGGGCAGTTGAAGTGACTTGAAGGGTTCAAGTGAATTAACATACCTTGGGGTGTTTGGTCGCGGGCAGGCCGTCGTCGTCCATGTCAAGCCGCAACTTGACACTCGAGGTGGTTTTCCGATTGAGTCTTGGTGAGCCAGTCGAGACGATTGTCGCCATGGATAGCTTCAATGTGACAATGGATAAACCGGGTGGTAAGATGCAAGATAAACTGAGGAATGGACACCAAATTGGTCCAAGGACGCTCCGATGGTTAGAGGCTTGAACAACAGGCAGAACAAATGGAGCCACCTGATGCGTGAACTTTGACAGGATGTTTGTGAGGGTGAAAAGAGAACGAGGATAGAAGATTGGAGGAGGAAGAAGTGGGAGAGGCAGTAGGTGTGGGAGGCAGACGAGGGGCAAAGATAGAGAGGAAAGACACGTCAAGGTCAGCATCGACATCAACGAGGGAATGACAGGCGCGATGGAGACAACGTGATCGTGATCATGATCATGATCGTACCTTCCCTCTTCACGAAAGGGCCCTCTGCCCGTGAGCGCCTTCCTCGATAACCACTCTCTGCCTTCAGTACTTCAAACCCATTGCTTTCATACTGCTATTGACGAGGTGGACGCGGGCTCCTTCGTCGACCGATGTAGCATTATCCGCTTCATGGAAGGTAAGATCCTGCAGATATCCTCCATCTATAGTCGAAAAAGCCCATCGCCACTGCTCCACCATGTCCTTTCCATCTTGCTGATGCATCAAAAATTACAAAGTCAGGCTGGCCAGCACCGGTGAGGGTGGGAACAAGCCTGGCGGCCTGCTTCAATCCATTACTATCAAACCCCCAAACCACTAATTCCAGTCTTTCGTTCGGAAGAGGACGTAGCCAAACACCGCCCAGTCCTGGAGCAAATGGAATCGAGGCTATCCTACCGTTGCATGCCGTTAGTAGCAATCTATCATCTTCAATGACAATGGGAAAGCGTGGGATTCGCTTCGGCAGAGTCGTCTTTCCCAGCGCAAAGATGATTATGTTGCAATCTTCTTCAGCCGCGTTTGGGTACTCTAGCCATGGCAGAATGCTTGAATCTGCGCCGTAATATTGATAAAGATTACGGCTGGCCTGAGTGGCGCTTGCAAGAGCTACCTCCGAGCTATACACCAGCTGAAATGGACCAGCACTGCGGAGTATCGATTCCAGAACGCCCCTTTGACGACCAGAACGTTGCTCCAGATTCTTCCACTTCAGTAACACTTCCTTGGCCCAGATATTCGTGTCTCGTTTCACAAACGATGACGGTCTGGCTTGGCCTTCAATGTCAAACGGGAGCAGCATGTCGTCAAACCGGACCTCGTCGGCGGTATTGGTCAGGTCATGTGTCCACTCGAATCGCAAACGCCGGATGTTTGTGGTCTTCAATTGCCATTGCACACCCCTTTCCGTCTCGGTGATGACCACGTCAATCTTGCCCATTCGGTCAGGTGACAAGAGCTGATCGACGAAAACGCCATGTCGGGAACCCATGTCATGCGAGTTTGGCACAACAAAGGAAAATCGACTTGGTACTTGTTTCCGTGCGGTCTTACATGTCAAGTGGTTGAAGTAGAGGTCCTTCATGGATCGTGTCGTCATGGAACCATCAACCCAGTGGCCCCAGCCTGGTATTTCTGAATAGTTGGCTTGGTGGCCAACCTGGGCGAGAAGGGCATTCATCAGACGAGAATGATAAACAGGCACGTTGTCATCTGCTGACCCATGTTGTTGCAAGATGGGCAGTCCCACGAGATTGTCCACCAACAATTCGTGTCGGTAATTGCCTCGGGCAGTCTGAAGAATAGCACTCTGCAAAGGATCTGCCTCTTGCCACAGGTGAAACGGGACATAGTTCTCGATGGAAGAGTATCCTGAAGCGGCAGCTGCAGCAAGAGTACGCTCGGGTTGATGAGTGCTGAAATACCAGGTCCCCTGGCCACCATTTGAATGACCTGCCACCAGAACTTTGTCCAAACATACGCCTGGACCTCTCCACTCATTATTCTCGGTCCACTGAGCTATCATGTTGATTGCAGCTTCAGTATCAGCAAATCCCCAAGTGTGCCAGTCATCACCGCTCCATTCACTCATTCCTGCGGGAGACAGAACCCAGGCGGGCAGTTCAGGAATCTCTTCAAACATGTCTCTAACGAAGACGCTGTCTGCTTCCACCCCTGCGCCATGGAGATTCACAAGGACAGGGACATCTTCTGATGCTTGAAAAGATTGATTGACGCTTGGAGGACGCAGGATTGCATACGAGACCGCACCACTGGGATGAAGAAAAGTTACTTTATGTGGTGCACTTACATCTGCATGGCTTGTCCTGCCAGCGAAGGTTAGGTGCGATGGTGTAGAGTCCTTCGGCGTATATTCCAGCCTAAAGTTAATAGACTCTCTTGACCCAGCCTTGAAATCGAGGTGGATCTTCACCGGCCGGGACTGGCCAGGAGCCAACCAGATTGCTCCGCCAGACATGACAGACTTGTCGAAGTCATGAGAGGTTGCAATGCGGTCGATCTTGACCCATTTACCTCCCTGGTTTCGGACCGTAACACTTCCAAACGGGGCGCAGAAATGGCCTCTTACGACATCTGGAAGCAGTACACCATGTTTGTCGACTGCAAGGAGGTCCTGCACGATTTTTACCTCCAACCTGGCCTGCAGATTAGGAGGCAATCTCCCACCCATGGACCGTATATCACCAAGCAGGCGCACTCTGACAACATTGATACCTGGATGCAAGTGGATGACAACTGGCGCTCGTCGGAAACTGTAAAAGTCACCCCCAAAGATATGATCATCGCCAACCCAGAGCTCCAAAATGTTGTCCGTGTATAAAAGCGCTGGTTGAGAAGCACTTCCCAACCAGAGCAATTCACCTATCACCCAAGCTTGAAACTGAATAGCAGACCAACCATAAATCTGTTGTGCAAAATGCCAATCTATGTCTGCATACTGCAACTTTAGACCAACAATTGCACCCTCCTGGGATGTATCGGTGCGATAGGTGCGGTTTTCCCACTGCACGGTTGCGTTTGCTGCGAGAGGGCTGTGGTAGTGGATGTCCTCGTTGGAGGTGGTATTCCTGATACCGCCATAATACTCAATTGGATCAGCTCCCCATACAGATTCTGTTCGGCAAGTCAGTTATTCAAGAAATTAATCAATTCAACTGAATAGGGTACCGCGAGTTCCCAGTCTAAAAGGGCCCAATGCCTTCCAGCATGTCGAAAAGGTCAAAGGCGAATCACCAACGACTACACCCTTTTGCGTGGACGCATCAGACCACCATGTTGATGCTCGAACGAGTTGAATAAGGACGACTAGAATGGACACCTCTGCCCAGACCCATGACCCCATTGTCTTGGGTCATTATCTCGTGGATCAACTCATGCTTGGGAAGGTGGTGTTGTTTAGTCTCGGATAACCGCCAAGGCCATAGATATATACGGAATATCATTGCCCCGAAGGTGAAGGTTGGACCTGGTCACACCGTCTTCCATTATCGGTATAGCGTCCAAATGAACACGCAATTCATGCAAGGACTGTGACTGGGCCGTGGCATGAACCTGCGGCTGAACACATCCCTACTATCGATCTAGGGTTGCACTGATTCAAAGAGAAAGCCCTGTGCATGAACTTTACAAGTCTTCAGTCCTGAGTGGGAGACCTGTTCGATCTTTGACGACAAGCTAGTCATGGCCACCGATCTTTGTACACCTTGAAGCTACACCCTCGACTCATGATCACCGGCGCGTCTTCTCCTCCCTTCTATCCTCATGAACATGACCACCACGATGACTCAAACTCCCGAACCTCGGATAATCACCCATCGAGCTCTTTCACCAAATCCGAACAGCAATGACCCCATCGGGAACGAGAAATTCCCTTCGTTCGACGACCACCGCAGTAGTGTTCAGCATAATGCCCCAGCAGTCAGCGAAAGCCCCTCGGACATCAGTCCCGGTGCAGGGCCGTTCACGAATCAAGATTTCAAATGGCCAGCAAGGAAAATGAGCCAAAGACTACGGGAAGCACGTCCTCCAGGCGTCTATGGACATCGCTCAAGGAGGAGTGTTAGCGACGCTATCAACAAGTTCCGCACACGCCAGGGAAGTGTCAGCGAGAATGCCCATGAGCTCGCAGAAGCATTGAAAGCACCAATCTCTTACAAATTGATTGTGAGTACATTTGTTCCTCTCTCTGCACCTGCAACTATTGACAGTAAATACAGGCTCTCTGTATCGCTTGGTACATGACTTCCGCCCTCACCAACACATCTTCCAAGTCGATCTTGAATGCCTACCCCAAACCTGCTACACTGACCATATTACAATTCCTTTCCGTCTTCTCGTGGTGCTTCATCCTGACAGGCTTGTCGTCAGTATTTCCCTCGCTAAAACGAGCAATTCCGGCATTGAAAAATGGATTGAGACGACCGTCTTGGGATGTCATTTATACGGCGCTTCCACTGTCAATCTTCCAGTTATTAGGCCATCTGCTAAGCTCATACGCTACATCGAAAATTCCAGTCTCATTGGTACATACTATCAAAGGACTATCACCTCTGTTCACAGTCCTCGCATACCGGATAGTGTTCCGCATTCGATACAAGAGGGCCACGTATTTGTCACTTGTACCACTGACGGTGGGAGTGATGTTGGCTTGCTCGACCGACTTTTCCACCAACTTTTGGGGAATCAGTGCCTCTCTGGTAGCGGCACTGGTTTTTGTGACACAAAACATATTCTCAAAGAAATTGTTCAATGAATCGTCACGGGCGGAAGCAGATGGACAAACACAGCTGTCTCGAAAACTCGACAAACTCAATCTATTATGCTATTGCTCGGTGGGGGCGTTCATGTTTTCGGCACCAGTTTGGATATACACCGAGGGTTGGGAGATTGTTCAAGACCTTTGGAAAGATGGATCATTGTCCCTTTCGAAGAAGGGCAAACTGGACCATGGAGAGCTCATGTTGGAATATGTGTTCAATGGGGTCTTCCACTTTTTCCAAAACATTCTGGCCTTTGTCCTGCTCTCGATGTTGTCACCAGTATCATATTCGGTGGCATCGTTGATCAAGAGAGTATGGGTAATAGTGGTGGCAGTGATTTGGTTCCGAAGTTCCACCACTTCCATACAAGGGGTGGGTATTGTGCTCACGTGTTTCGGGCTCTATCTGTACGACCGAACTAGTATGGAGGACGCGGCAGAGAGAAGGACCAAAGCAGACCATTTCCGTCACAAAGCAGCATTGCTACCAGTTACTGAAGTTCAAACACCGGGACTGGAGATCAATTATCCCGGATTTGAGGAGAAGATGGACTCGCAATGGAAACGAGATGACGAGAAGGATCGCAGTCACGAACCGAACTTCTCATCCGGTTGGTTAGCTCCCGGAACCAAACAAGAGACGACGTGGGATGTTGCAGGGAGGGGAGAAAGAGCAGAGAAAGTAGAAAATTAAGGGAATTGTACTACTACCCCCACCTGAAAACGTAGCGATGGCGTTGGGATTTGGACGAGGGCACACTCTTGAAATCATGAATAGAGATCATGCTAGAATAGTATTCAAACCGTCGACAACGATGGAACTCCTGATAAAGAGGAACCAACAATTAAGATGGCCCTCGCTGTTGAGAAGACATTCGACGACGAATAGAGTATTTTTCCTGGTTCGGGCGATGTAGCGACCGTCGGTAAGGGAACAGAAGCATCATGGGAACGAATCCTAGCAAGCTCCAGCTACGGCGCAGGAGAGCTGATCTTGGACATGAAGCAGAGGAGAAAGATATGGAGGATAATTTTTGGGTCTCTTTCTCCTACAATAAGTCAGGTCCGTGAATGAGTTTATATATATGGAAAAGGAGAAAAGAAGGGAAGAAAACTGATTGAAGAATTCGATAAGAAAAGGTGAGCCGTGGTGGGGGTGCTTGTCCAGAAAGGGAATAGTCTTCGGAGGCGGGTGTCCATTGGAAAGTGTAATTGTGGCTGGTGACGCCTCACGGGAACGCGTTTAGGGCACCAAGGGGGAAGGGATCCCAGCTTACATCAGACGTTAGGCATAAGGCGTTAGGCGTTAGGACCACCACCAGCCACTTACTCGTAGGAGTACCCGGCAGCCTGTGGGTGCCTGCAACAAACCACGGTCACAGACTATCCTATCCCATCCCATCCCATGCCGCCGCAGTCCGAATTGCTGATTCACGTCCGCCCAAGACCATCATCCAGCACAGCACGCCGTTTCTAGATGACCTAACCTACCACCACTATTTCCTCGTTGCTTCTTTCTATCCCTGTGCCATCACTTCCTCCGCCATAAACCACCATGTCTCGAACAGAGGTTGAGCGGCCAGACTCCATCCAGGAGGAGGATCCTCACAATGAAGAGCCCAAAAAGAAACAGAAGAACAGGAGACCTGCCAGTACGCTTCAGATACCCTCCATACTCAGAGACTGATATCCAGCTGACCGCCCCTTTCAATCCCTCAGACACTGCTTTCCGCCAGCAACGTTTAAAAGCATGGCAGTATGTCTCCTTGCCCTCTTCAAAAGAACAGAACCTACGAGCTGACATCCAAGCGCAGGCCTATCCTCACACCTAAAACCGTGCTTCCCATTCTCTTCGCAATTGGGATCATTTTCGCTCCCATCGGCGGTCTGCTGCTATGGGCCAGCGCAAGTGTTAGTACAGTAGCTGTGGGATACTGCGACCCCTCTGCTGACAGCCCGTCCAGGTTCAAGAATTGGTGATAGATTATACTGATTGCAATTCCACCGCAACCGACGAGTTCCAACCTATCCCTGACAGCAAGGTCTCCTCGTCCTTCAAATCCTCCAACAAAACAACTCGACCCTTGTGGAGGGTGACTCGAAACACAACAACCCCTCCCTACAGCGTCGCCATCGATGATACTCCTGTCTGCACCCTCCAGTTCTCCATCCCCAATGACATCGGTCCTCCCGTCTATCTTTATTACCGCCTCACCAATTTCTATCAAAACCACCGGAGATACGTCAAGTCTCTAGACACCGACCAGTTGAAGGGAAATGCTTTGAGTAATTCCAGCATAGGAGGTAGCTCGTGCGACCCTATTCGACGCGACGCCCAGGGAAAGGCGTATTATCCGTGCGGGCTGATCGCAAACTCGCTATTCAATGACACCCTCAACAGTCCTATCGCCGTCAATTTGGCCGGTGGTCAGCCGGGGGAAACTTATCGGATGTCCAACAGAAGTATCGCGTGGAGCAGCGATGCGAGCCTTTACAAGAAGACAGAGTACACCAATGATCAAGTCTCACCACCTCCCAACTGGCATGACCGCTACCCAAACGGCTACACCGACGAGAACCCTATTCCGGATCTGTCAACCTATGAAGAATTCCAGGTCTGGATGAGAACCGCGGGTCTCCCCACTTTTAGCAAGCTTGCTCTCCGTAACGATGATGATGCCATGACTGCTGGTACCTATCAGATGGACATATATGACTGTAGGTCGAACAATTCCATTCATATCAAGCAACGTTTCTAACAAGCATAGTCTTTCCTGTCAAGGTCTATGATGGCACCAAAAGTGTTTTGATCTCGACCCGTACCGTGGTTGGAGGCAAGAACTCTTTCTTGGGCATTGCCTATGTTGTAGTAGGAGGTCTCTGCGTGGTCCTTGGTGTCATTTTCACCGTTGCACACCTGATCAAGCCGAGGTTCGTACCTTTACCTCCCATGATTCATGCCTATGCCCTTGCTGATCAAGACAGAAAACTTGGCGATCACACCTATCTCTCTTGGAACAACGACACTCCTTCGACTGCTACCACTACTGGCCGTGAAGCTCGACCTGGAACTGCTTGAAATGATCAGGCTGCAGGAACCCTTATATAACGTTGATGATGCAGGGCAGGGTTTTGGCACCGGCGTTTCAGGAAGATTGGAAGAAAACCGAGGCAAAATACTCACTGGTTCCCCTGGGCCCGATGTCACGGAGAGGTGTTGTTCCTTCAATTTTTCGCCAGTTTGAATGCAGCAACCAACCCATTTTGGCTTTTAAGATGAATTCTTGTTTCCTTTGAGGGTCACGTGGTATGGAATGTTTGTTGAATCCCTACATTCCTAGGTTGCCTTCCATTTCCCATTGTGATGACCAGTCTGTGCTTATTGTGTGTGTGAGCTATTTCGAGTTCTTCTAGATCCTGTCCGCAACATATATTCATCATGGCTATTTGCTCCTGTTGCAGTCCGCTTCCCGCCTGCCAGCTTTGAACATGTATCCCTCTTGCATTTCCTTATGTCTGGTACAATTTTTCCTCATGACGAGCTGCTTCATTAACACAACCCTCGCCGCTATCCCCCGTTATTTACCCATTCGCCGATCATGCAACGTTGACGATCCATCTGAAGCCCTGCGTCTCTCACACCGCTACCTCCAGAAAAACGAACCTCTGAAGAACGAACTCTGGGACGCAAACACATTACGGCAACGATACGACCGCTATGTCGTGGACCACACCAGACACAGCCACGGCCGGCGGCAAGCCCCAACCATCCCCTCGATATACACGATCGACACATACATCCACGTCGTCGCCGACTCATCGACCGCAAACCCCCTTTCAGCAGACTACGTGACCGACACGATGATCCAGAACCAATTCCGCTTCCTTAGCGCGGCGTACCGCAACTCCAGCATCGGCTACCGACTGGCAGGCGTCGACCGCACCGTCAACGACACCTGGGCCGCCAACGGCGACGACCTGGCCATGAAAAGCGCCCTGCGCCGCGGCACCTACTCCGCCCTCAACATCTACTACCAGTCGCAGCTGCGCACCACGTCCGAGACCCCCGGCGTGCCTGCGGGCGCCCTGCTACTGGGGTTCTGCTCGCTCCCAGCTGCAGGCGTCACACGCTCCACCCCACCAGATGCCTATGTCGTCGACGGATGTAATATCCTCAGCGGCACGATGCCCGGTGGCAAGGTCGGCGGGTATAATCTCGGTGGCACGACGGCGCATGAGGTCGGCCACTGGAATGGGCTCTTGCATACCTTCAGCGGGCACAGTTGTCGGCTCGACGACTTGGGAGACTATGTGGCCGACACGCCGCAGCAGGCGACCAGTACAAGTAAGTTTCGTCGTTGTCGTTGTTGTCGGCGGCGGCGGCGGCTTCCTCTTCGCACTAGAATTCAATCACTAACACAAACCCCCCTTTACCAACCAAACAGGTGGCTGCCCAGCCTCGAAAGACACCTGCTCGGACAGCGGCGTGCCCGCCGGGGCCTACAACGGCGAAGCCTCCACCCCGAACCCCTACGGGCCTCAGGGCTACAGCGGCCCAGACGCCATCCACAATTTCATGGACTACAGCATGGATGCGTGCTATACAGGCTTCACGCCCGGCCAGGGGGCTAGGATGCTCAATATTTGGCAGATCTATCGGGCGGGTCTTTGAAGACGATGGAGCGAGAGGCAGAGGGAGAAATCGAATGGACGCTTCGAATTCGAAATGGGGATTTTCATAAATGAAGGACGACGTCCCTTTTTTGCGTTTTGACCTCTGTTTTGGGTATGGAGATATAGTGCATGGAATTTTTTCATCTTTTTAGGGCCATTTGGCCTAGAATGATCGGATATGATCCAAGCATTACCCAGGAACTCACCGTCGAACTTTTTGCTTCATTAGAGCCTATGCAACGGAAAAATCATGTTGAAAACACGCCGTCAGCCGAAGATATTACAATGTGTCTGGTCTCGTTTCCGCTCCGATGATTCCATCACCCATGAAGGAATCTCCACCCATCCTATGTACCAGCCAAATTCAAGACTTCCTAACGAGCAAAATCCCAAAGTGCGTCCTCTGCTTATACTCGTCCCACCAAGCCCGCTCAACACCATACACCTCGCGGCTCTCCTCCTCCGTCCGCGGCGGGACCTCAGGCTCGATCCACTTCAACTCTCCCAGCATCCCGGCCTCCCTCGCGCACGCCTCATACACATCTCTCCCGAGATGGAAATTCTCAAACGAAATCTCCGCTGGGCTGGTGTACGCCGTGACTTTGGTGGCATACCCGTCTCCAGAGGCCAGTTTCGCCGTGTATTCGACGCCGACGCCGTATTTCTCGCGGTCGAGCGCGGCGGCCGGGTTCGCAGCGGGCGAGAAGGAGGCGGCAAAGGCGTCAAGATCGCGCGCTGGGTACGGCGTGATGCCGACGAAGACGCCGGTCTCGTCGCGCAGGCTGCAGGAGATGTTGCGCCACATCGCTGTCATTTCGGCACGGGAGGAGGCGTAGTTGAGTAGCCAGGCGCCTGTTACCACATCGAATGGCGTGCTTGGTAGATGAAGTGGTTGGGTGCAATCTCCGACCTGGAAGCTGATGTGTGCCAGTATCCCTGCCGGAGACGATGACGGCGATGGTAATGGCGATTCGGCGCCCTCTCGCGCGGCCTCGATCATCACCGCGGAGATGTCGATCCCCAGGATCGAGGAGACGCTGGCGCTGCCCCATTCTCGCAACAGCCGCGTGTAGTAGCCTGTGCCGCACGCCAGATCGAGGACCTTGACGTCCTTGTGTGTGGACAGCAGTGGAGTAATCACTGACTGGAAGGTAATCCGCTCCAGGACCGCTGCTGGGAAGCGCTTCATGGACTCGTAGGCGAGCCCGATCTCGTCGTACTGGCTTGCCATGTTTGGAGCGGCAGCGTGGACCTCTTGTGTTTAAAAAGGCCAACGGGTTTGGTGGAAGGTCTTGTCAGTATTGACATATGTCCATCAGTCCTTGAGTACCGCTGCTAAGCTACTCGAGACGTTAAGGTGATTTCCCAGGTCACTTTAACTGTTCTATACTGTTAGGATAACTGTGAGATCAGTAACTTTCAAATCCAAGCGGTGACGTGGCACTGCTGGTAGTCAGTCAGCTAGTCATTTAAAACCTCAGTGTATGTCGGGTTTGGGCCCTGGCACGGACATCGCATGCCGGAAGTGTGATGTGGGTTCGCAAAGTGGATAATGGATGGCATGACAAGAGTCTAGCGAAACTCATAGGTGCGGAGATACATGAGGTCTTTTGTAGCATGAACTAAGCGAACAGCGCTTTCCGCTCATTGGTGCACATACCTAAAGAACCGTAATTATGCAGGTATGGTGAAGAATGATCAGGATGAGAAAGCATTGAGAAGACAGAGTACTGGCGCTCGCAATTAGTGCGCAGTCGAACTTGGTTGCATGATATTATAGCCAAATCTGATGTTGAACGACAGTCATACACTGGCCCTCATCCGCAAGGACACAAGCCACTGGGGGAAGACATCTAGTCGTCCTCATCCACTCTGGCCCTTTTCTTTTCTCTCTCGCTCGGGCCAGCTTCTTCCAGGCCATATCTTTTCTTGCTCTCTGCGGTTTGTCTTCCTGAAGCTTCACCAATCAAACTATCAATACCAAATGGGTCATCTTTGTCCTTCTCGAATTGTACAGGTCCTTCATTCCGCTCCGACAACTCTGTTCCTTTGAAGTTTTTGGATGTTCCCAACGTGTCGAAGCGATTCGATTTCTGAATCCTGCTCATGGTCGAATCCGCAGCATCCTCCCCATCGTCATCATCCTGGTTGGTCGATGGTCGATAAATGCTGTTAATGGCATCTTGAGCAGCGAACAAAGGCTTATCGTAATGTTGATCCTCGTTGAAACCTGTATCAAACCCGGATGATTGATTAAATAATCTCGAATCATACATGGTCTCTTTATTCTGAGTTGGTTTCGCGAGGCCAAGAGCCACCTTCTCAGAAATATCGCGGTTCTGCTCTCGTGCCATCATCTGGATCTTCTTTTCTGTTCCCATTCTACTTTGTCGCATCTGTCGCTCATTCTCCTGCTTTCGTTCCCGCCTGGCACGTTCTCGTTCTCGCTCAGCCTCATCCTGACTGTCATCCTGTGACCTTGAGTCATAGGATGAACCTGAATAAGATCGTGAGCGCCGCCTTGATTCTGAACCTCTCCGGCCAGAACCAGATGCATTCTGCCGTTCTTCTCGTGCTTTTCTTGCCATCTCTCGGAGATGATCCTCCTTGGCAAGTTTTTCCTTCTCGGCTAGTTTCTGTTGCATCTGGGTTCGCAATTTCACTTCCTCTCGTGCATGGCGATCCGCGGTGAAAAGTGCTTCTGCAAACTGCGCAAATTTGTCGTTGATAGTCACATCTTGCAACCCTCGACCGTCAGCAGCCAAGCGCTTGTCCAGTGGGACAGTGTATCCCTTTGGATTTTTCCAGTTGGATACTGGTGGAGGGATCTTCCAGGCTTCTTGATCTTCGGCCGTCAATTTCCTGGGTGGTGAATGCATGACTGGAGGCGGAGGGCTGGGTGGTCCTCGAGGGATTTTCTTATGCTTAAACTTTGGTGGTTCCATGGGGTCCTCTTGTCGTTTTACGATTTTGAAAATGCGGTCGTTCTTGATCGAATTGTCGCCCATTTGATTTGCGGGCGTATAACGGACATATGTTGGCTCCTCCCGATTCACACCTTTGACATTCTTGGGCTTCTGGGCAGCAACCGCCCCAGACACCAATTTCTCTAATGCTAACCTTGTCTTCTCGGCACTCGCAGCCACCTCTTCTTGGCTAGGTCTGTCCAGGTTCAAATCTCCAGCGTTTGCCTGTTGTCGTAAGGGTATGAGGTCTTTGAAACTGGAATGGATGACTCTGTTTTCGCTGTGTCCTTGTCTAGCGATAGCATCGTACTTGACTTTGCCTTCGGCGTCAACTTGTAGGGCCAGGGCATTTGAAGTGGAGGAAGTGCCTTTCCGGCCCATGTCCAACGGGTACTGTGCGACCGGAATCTCTGGAAAGGCGCCACCGTCGCCAAAATCTTCTGCGGATCGAGGTCTCCATCCTGAGCGTTGTCCATATGAAGGAGGGCCCGAGCGCTGATTCCCATGAGCATTAGCAGAGCGAAACGTGCCTATCAGACTACCACTGACCTTGAGAACAATCTGCGACTCGTCAATCACTCCAGGTCCAACGATTCGAGGACCTTTAGGTTGAGCATGAACAGGTACAGACTCGTGTTCGCCTGTATATTTTGGTTTCGGAAGCGACGCAAAGAGGCCTGTCGCCATGGCTGGCAGAGTGAGAAATGAATGTTGGGGAAAGATACAACAGGCAAGTAGATGCGCGGGCTTGCATTAAACTGGAAGAAATCATGCAAGAAGTCACCACGACGCATAGGGCTGTAAACTTCACCGTAGATAGTACGGTCATGCGCAAGGCTTATGAAGTGCAGCACCAACGGGGACTTCGAGTCGGCGAGTGCTCTTCCGAAACCCCAACTTGGGGTCGGGGGACCAGTTGGGGGCAAACATCGTCCAACGATTTCGGAAGAAATAACAGTATTAAAAAGAGGACCCGCCTCAACTCTGTCAGACTATGCATATTTCTCCTGTTGACCGAGATATTTACTTAAGACAAAAGCCAGCAACGCGAACATGCGAACAAGCCTGACCTCTAAAATCCTACAAGGCATCGCCGTGGGCACAGCGAGCAGCATCGGCGCATTTTTCGTGTGGACAAAACACTGCAAGATCGCCCAGCTCGAGCCCAACAGTGACCCCTTATTTGCCAATCAATGGTACAAGAAACTCAACGCCAACGCCAACCCGACACTGCACGATGAGTGTGTGAGGAGACTGCCCCTGTTTAAGCTCAGGCCTGAGCTGGTCGAAGATGCCAATAAGGGCGGGAGCAAGCTCGTTGAAGCGCTGAGCCAGGGGGTTTGGGGTGGTCATGGTATGCCTTTCGCGCCTTTTCTCCTCCTGTCCTATGCTTTCTGATTTCTTTGTGCGACGCTGCTGCGTGTTGGGCAGCTATGAGCATGAAGCTTCGACATCAAGCAGCTCACTGCAAACAAATGAGCTACCTCACGTGACTGTCACACGAGGACTTCTTCCCATCCATCCCGACTCCCAAAAGCTATCGATACTCCCGTTCAGTCATCTAACTCGCAGCAAACAGGATACACCATCCAACGACTATATCTACAAAACAAATACCGCAACGACACAACGACAGCACACCAACTATGGGACCGACCGGCCCTTCTCAACTCGTCATACGACAGCGGTACCGAGATCACGGACCACTTCGTAGTGGTCGACAAGACACCGACGTCGATACTGATCCGGTGCGGCGATTCACCGCTCAACTCACCGGACGGGCAACGGCTGTCGGACGGATTGTTTGAGATCACGGCCACGACCGACTTCGATCGCGGCTTCGCTGAGTTTCGCCTCAAGAGCATCTTCTTCCAGGGCGAGGGCACCGTCGAGGATAAGTCGAAGCCTGTGATGCCCGCGCATATGGTGTGGGCGCATCAGCAGTATGCAAAACTATGGATGGAGAGTGCTATGAGTCAGATCAAACGATAGCCGTTGGAATCCGATCTTGGAAGGTAGATGCGGTCACAATAGCACTTTTGTGTGAAACGGCCGGTTCGAGAGGGCTCCCGTGTATATAAACCTAGGATCCTCGAAGCTGCAAGCAATGCTTGCGTCGAAACCTAGCCATTTTCGACGGTGCTAACTGTCCACGACAATCACAGAAATTGCCCACACCGGCAGATCGGATATTAGGCAAGGAATCCGTCCAGAAGGGGTACGTCTTGGTGGAGAGAGAAAAGAGGAGCTACCCAGGAGGTTAATATCAAGTACTTCTCTTGAGAATCTTGACATCATTTGAAGAATTGCAAAATCAAGCCATTGGCTGCTGAAGCAAGCTTTCGTGACTGGCATATTCTGTGGAAGCACTATCTATTGTGTTGAGGGTGTGGATTCAAGGGTGTCACTAGTGTTCAAATCAACCAAGACTCTTTCTCAGCTCAATACCCGTACAAAGCTCCTCCCTCGTATGCACAAGAAGATTTTCCCTCCCCTCGAATCGGATGGGATTCCGTCTCTAATCTGCTTCTCCGGCGAGACTTGCGTAACCATGAGTCGTGTTATGAAGTAGCAACATGCTTCGACGTTCTCTGCGGTTTCCCTGCCTCTGCTTTCCTCGTGGGGGGAATGAATTTGCGATGAGCGAGGCTTGGTTCCTCTTACGCGAATTCAAGCAGCATGCTTAACAAAATAATGGTAACCGCTGGTTGGATGAGTTTCCCAATGGCCAGCACCCAAAGTCGCTGCATCAGCTTGGTCTCGTAAAGTCCAACTGCCATCAGTTTCTTTGCACCAAAACTGAGGACCTGTACCTGGCTTATAAGGTGCAACCTGAGTTGCCTGTTGTTGAGCTTGACCTGCGGCTAGGTTGTAGAGATGGGCCTGTAGTATGGCGTTCTGAGCTTGGATCTCCGCAGCACTGGTGCCAACGAAGTAAGACGGTGCATTTGGTTGCTGAGCAAGGGCTGTGTTGGCTGCTATGACTGCGGCAACCTGAGCTGCGGCGGCAGAAGCGTTCCACGGAGTACCCGGTGAGACTTGAAACGGTGGCGATGCTGTGCAACAAGGTGAGTAACCATACGCCCAGTTACAGGTCGGAGGAGAGGTCGACGCAGGGGCAGTTGGAAGGGGATAACAGGTGAAGGGCCAACCAGTTCCAGCAGCTGCAGGTGCAGCAGGTTGAGTAGGGTGCCAAACTCCATTCATGACATAGCCTCCTGGGGTGCTTGGACTTCCCTGGAAGTAAAGTGTTAGGACGGAGCCAAACAGCCACGTCTGGGTGTAGATGTGTTCTTACTTACTGGATAGTAGTACATGTTTTGTTGGCCTGGAATGGTCTGCAAGACAGGCGCAGGCGGATGGAGGCCCTGATTCCCGGCTTGGTTAGTTACGTAGATGAAGGTGCGTGGCCAGTCCGCCGGATCTTCCCAATGGCCTTGACCTGTAGTAGCCAGTTGAGAAGGGTATGGATTCTGGTAGGTGTAGAAATTGGGCATGGTGCCTGTATGCGGAGTGAAAGAAAGAAGGCGGACGATTGGTGGTGGCAATGTGGTGAGGTTGTGTGCTGTGGCGGCGAAGTTGATGAAGTTGGATCGATATTGATATGAATCAAAAAGGAGACGAGAGACGAGACCCAAAATGCAAAACTGAGCAATTCAAGCAGGAGGAAGACGGGCAGGAGGTAGTGCTCGTGTTGGAAATTCACTGAGATACTTCACTTACGGTTCTTGTGTCCTGATACCATTCAACGTTGTCGTCGAGGTAGATGAATCGCTTGTCAATAGGATCGGCGGCGAGCTGGACATCTGGCTGAGTCCATGGCCAGCGCCCACAACTGAAACACATGGTGATGGGCAATAATTAAAGGACTGAAATGGGATACTCGGGATGGAATAAAAGAGGCAAGTTAGGTGTCGATTCTGAGAAAGCAGGAGGGAAGGGGGAATGATGGAAATACAAGCAAGCACGATGCCAGGCAAGCGTGAACGTGTCTGCTGGGACGATGTCGTGAAGGTCGAGAGAAGAGCAGACATCGCTAGACCGTCACTATTCACTCACTCAGTTGCTCCACTAGAAGTGAAGATACGACAACCTAAATACAGATGCTATTCACAGACAACACGGTTCAGTCCTCGCTGGCCAGAATTGGTCGAGGATTCCTATTATCATCGAGGGGTCAGTGCCTGTGTGTCAATATCTGTATCGTTTCCACATGGCGTTCCATTTGAAGTCGAGGCATAATGGCTTCATATGTCGAGACAAGGTCAAGGGCAACAACAGGAACCGAAGTTGAAGCTGTGATGTTCATGGCAACCAATATTAAATACTAATAAATCACGTGGAGGGATCTTCTCGACAGGGCAGGTTACCCGTGTCAGCCTTGCCCAGCCTTGCCGAGCCTTGCCGGGAACTTTCTTGTCCTTGTCCCACCTCAGGATTTTCACGCTCTCATAGTTGTTCGAACACCGGCTGCCTTTTTGTGGCATTGCTAGCAGCTGGAGCTTAGATTATATCGTGTCATCAGCAACCTTGACATCGACAGCTTCCAACCATTTTCGAGGTGCTCTTAGTGCCATGGCTGCCTGTCTGCCCTTAGCATGTCAAGGCGCACCACCAATTTCTCAGCCGGATTGAGATCGAATTTAAAGCTTTTCTCACTTCTCAGATCTAGCACACTCATCATACTATCATATATTCCACATATAGCCGGAATCTTTGACGGGAAGACATCCACTCCAGATACTCACAATGGACCCTGACGATCAGGACGAGCTTGGATTCAAAGCTCCCATCTTCAAAATCGATCTGTCCAGAAGACCAGAACAACGTTATACCGAGCTTGCCATAGCATACAGAGACAAAGTCCAGGGCTTGATCGCCTTGTTCAATGATCTGCTCGCAACAATCGGCCTCCCAACGAAATATCATAGTCCGATTAACATGGTTGCCAGATTACTACTTCGACGTCTACACTCTTCCGTCGAAACTGCAGAACTCCAAGGCATATCCAGAGTGACCCATGTGCCTATCTACCTCCTTGTTGCTTTCAATGTCGTCTTGGATTTGTTGATGGGTTGCACTTCGGGGGCCGTCAAATCGCTCGAGCCTGGACAACCGATGAGTCAAGCCAGAATGCTTCATTTCCGTACTTTGGACTGGACTATGGATCCTCTGCGATCGGTCATTGTCCAGCTCGATTTTGTTCGAAGCAAATCAAACACTCCAGATGAAGTGATCGCTCGCAGTGTAACCTACTGTGGCTATGTTGGGGTGCTCACAGGCGTCCGCCAACAGCTCAGTTTGTCCCTTAACTTTCGCGCCGTCCACAATGCCAACACCAAGACTGAGCATTTCAGATTTTATTTCCATCATGTACTTGTTCTACTGGGCTGGCGCCAATCGATCTCCAGTATATTGAGGAGCTATCTAATTAGTGAGAACTCAGACCACACCAGACCAAAAAGCCTGGCGGTTATCGCTGAAGAAATGACGCCAAGACACACGACAGCGGCATATTTGACCTTTTGCGACAGCACTTCGACGATAATATTGGAAAAGGATTTCAGCAGTGCTCAAATTCGATCAAGCAGGACCTTCATTGCTGCGACGAATCACGACGAAGAAACACACCAAGGGCAATTCAGTGGGGCCACTCCAGCCACAGAAGAAAAAGCCACGGGACGATCTAGGATAGCGGAAGGTTTGGAAGAACTCCTTGAGGAGAGTAGAGACAGGCTCGACTGTATTTCGTCCAAATGGAACGGTCGAGTCCGTAGGACAAACCGACGGTCTCAGCGAGGGACGCGGAGCCAATCGATTCACACCGAGGCAAATACAACAATCACGGAGAGCGAAGTGATAGAATGGGTTTCCGCATACCCTACCACAAATGAACAGACTCACTTTGCAGCTATCATGGATGCAAAAAGTGGCGATGTGGTCTGGAACCGTGCATATCGGGATCCACTGGACCCCGATGACTTCGAAGATTGAGAAACGCGAATGAGCATGCGGACACTGAGAAAAGTATGTGTAAGCGTTGAAATGGTATTCTATGCGATTGACTTTCGACTAAATCGGGCGGGAGGAGCTTGAGATGGGTCATGAATGCTGGAGTCCTGCATAACGAACTTTGGTCTAGCCACACTTCTGAGTGATCCACACCATAAAATGTCCAGCTGCAGTTTGTGCGCGCAAGGGCATTCCAATCATCCATCTCTTTACACGCTCCTTTAAATGGCAGTCTGTTGGTAGTGCTAGGGAATCGTGCATCCAGCACGAAAAAAATGAAAGCTGTAAGATTGGGATCACCAGTCTGTCATGAGGTCATACATCCATCTTTCTGCTGACGGGATAGTCAATACTCCTCACCTTGCAGGGGTGTCTCTACAAAATTCCCGTTATAGCTTATGTATCAGCCTTGTTCATTGTATTTGCCGGTGGCTATTTGTCCAAGGTTGTGCCAAATTGTCCTAGTAATACGAGTAGCCTCATGCATGTCTCTGCACGGTCCATATTGATAAGCTTGTCGGTCTAACATCCGCATGCAGCAGCTGGATTGAACGGATCATCTTGATGATGCATCTTTCCCCATGTTGAGGATCTGACCGCCAAGAAAGCCAATTGCATGAGATCCCGTCTATTGTCTCACTGGCAGTCAGCGGAGGATTTCCATGCGCGCAGCTGAAAGTCCATATCCAAATGGGCAAATGTAGGGAGGTGACATGATAGTGATCCACAACACTCCGGGGCGTACATAATCGATGACTGTCCAGGCATTTTCTCATCAAGCGAAGCTTCAGGACGCCCAGTCATCCCAACCTATCATTTCACAGAGTTTTTGGATTTGGTGGAGGTGGAGGTGCAGTGAAGTAGTGCCGGCAAGGTGGCCGGTGAAGTTGATCAATTTCAACCAACCATTAGGGAAAATTGTCCTCGTAGACGGAAGTACCATTGCAACCAATGTAAAGTGAATCATGCTGTCACTATTATTGAACTCAGTTCGCAGCTGACTTCGGTGCTATTAGCATCGTTGGTCTGCGCCCGTTGCAGCTGTCTATTGCCGATCTACCAGGTATTGAAGCCGACCCCAGCCTTCTCCGGGCGCGTACGTATTCTGGTAATAGTCAGCATCAGGCCCTCAGTGGTAGAAGGACAAGGTACGGAGTACTCGGTACATGCGGATCCTTAGGATGTGGAATTAAGTGAGGGCTGAGAACGCGCCCACGGAAGAAACCTCAAGGTACGATCGACCCTCGGCCATAATGAACTATTATGAATTATAATGAATTATCGCCCCTAGCAAGAGATCCATGCTTGGTACGGAGTATGGAGCCTACAAGCGAAATGCCGGCATTGCGGGCGTCGCCACCCGCAAGCCACGTCACGCCTTAAATTGACCCCTGTTCTCAATGCTTGATCTTTGATGAGGACCTCACCACTTGAAGGGACAACTGTTTTTCTATCATCGAGACGTGTTAAAGTCTCAATGAATGATCTAAGCAGGAGATTGTGTGCCACACTCCAAAATTCACGCTGTTACAACATTGCAGGTACCCAGTCGATCCTCTGATTAAACCACGGAGGAGTGTGCGTCGTCATCTGTGGAAATGTATCTGAACGACGAGAGTCTGCCTGACTCTAACCAGAAACAACATGCGACTGCGGATATGTGGACCGTGATGCAAATCAATACCCTCTGTGTCTGTATCAAAGTTGATCACTGTACTACCAAAATAGAAACCCTGAAGATCTCGAAAAGGCTGTCCGGTCGACTTGTAGAGGTCTCCACCGCTACAGATGACCTTTGAACCTCTGCGGTCATGATTATTCGTCACCACATTTTTTGCTTCTCGCTGGCGACAAGGATCTTGTCACTGTGCCGATGCCCACACGAAGTTTCTGATACGGCCTCCCACACTTTTTATCTTGAGCACCGAGCCTTGCAGTGTTGGACCTGGTAGTCACTACCTCTCTCTGAGCCTGGCTGCCACTCCAAACCCTGTTAAAGCCTCTCGACAGTTTCTGACATTGCACCCAGAACAGGCTCTGGATTCGCAGATAAGATGGTGGGTATCAGGCCGCGAGCTGTTGTTTGTAAATAGAGCCTTTCGCTCTCCTCCCCACCGAGCCAACCATACTCCGAACGCATACATTTTGTCCCTTGCACCTTCCTTGTGCTACCATATAAAGTCCCCCGGGTTGGAACGTGGCTTCCTTTCACACTCTCGCCTCAGAACTGCAACTCCGTAATTAATCTTTCCTTTCTCCTTCAACACCAGTAGCATCCCTGCTAGCCTTTCGTTCATCTCGTTTGCTTGTTGGTTCATCCTTGGTTCAATCATCGCAGCCCGCATACATATTGCAAGCATACCATACAGACTACGATATCACTCACAATCAACCATGGTGAACGCCGTCACCTCGTTTGCCACCATGGCTCTGGCTCTCCTACCTTCGCTGATTGAAGCTGTCCCGACTCCTAACCCGTGGGGCCAGACCACATACTTCCCTGTCGTCGATCAATGGCTTCAAGACCATCATGCAGGCAAATACCCCAAGTGTACCGAAGACAAGATCAAGATACGCAAGGACTTCGGCTCTATGCAGCAAGATGAGAGGAAGGCATATACCGACGCCATCAATTGTATAGCCTCAAAGCCCTCACAGCTCGACCAGACATTATATCCTGCTGCTATTAACCGTTATTTTGATTACGCTGTCACCCACGTCAACCTGACTCGTGTTGTCCACCTCGACGGTTTCTTCTTGACATGGCACCGTTACTATCTCCATCTCTTCGAAAAGGACTTGGAGGAGACCTGTGGCTACAAGGGCGCATTCCCCTACTGGAACTGGCCTGCCACCGCCGATAATCTCCATGGCAGCGCTGTCTTCGACGGGTCAGAGTACTCCATGTCTGGTGATGGTGTCTATGTCGATTCTGGTCCGGTTGTGCTTTCGCCTACTCTGTCACTTCCTCACGGATCTGGCGGGGGTTGTGTCACCAATGGTCCCTTTGCTGGATGGGAGAGAACAATGGCTGATATTCCTACTACCAACATCGTTCAAGGCCTGCCGTTGCCTGAGACTGCTTTCAATCTCAACAGATCATGCTTGACTCGGGATCTCAATACCTTCGCCGCTCAGACATGGACAAATTATACTGCTCTTTATCAAGCATTAGACGCAGAAAACCTACATGAGTTCGATGATTTGATCAACGGAGTTGTTGGAGGAGGCTCCCTGGGTTTACACTCTGGAGCTCACTTTATTGTCGGATCTCCTGGTTCATCCATCTTTGTCTCCGTCATGGATCCTATCTGGTGGCCACTGCACGCAATGCTCGACAACCTCTATACCTCATGGCAGATTCGTCATCCTGAACTTGCCAATGACGTCTTCGGTACCGAAACTGCTCAGAACCTTCCGCCTAGCAATAATGTGACTTTGGATTCGGTTCTACCCAATTGGGGATATTTCGAAAAGCAGTCTTTCAGTGTTGGGGAGCTTATCAGCACAACTGCAGGCCCCTTCTGTTACAAGTACGACGTTGCATTGTAAAGTCGTCGGCATGACTCGGTATGCATTATCATGAATGAGTGGCGTGTACGGATTTTCTTGATTTTTGATCGGTAGCAGCAACACGGTACAAAACAGTGTAACCAGGATTCCTTAGGTATTAATATGAAGTCCCAGCGAGTAAGGCGGTTATGGGTTAGCTGGTAGCCGGGCAACTACCATACAAACTTGCCACAGTACATGATAGCGATAGGCAATGATATCTCAATTTCTGATCATATTTGTCCTACACGTCTGCCCCTTACCTGGTCGATACGTGTGTACGTATCCTTGATATCTTACCCCTAGAACGATATCTGCAATAGTAATAGCCAATGTACGAGGTCATTCCGGTACATGTCCTGGTTATTTCGAGTTTCTAAAGATGTCGGCGAGTTGGAAAGAATATGGCGGACTGAAATCATACTCAGAGATCTCAGAAGCAACATATCTATTTGAGAAATGCAGATTGTAATTAGTTGCCCCGAGCATCCTACACTATCAAGGCGCAAGTCCAGCTCGCTCACCCCCGGGGCGCTCGGAATTCAACAAGCTGTAAAGAGGTGGTCCCAACTCCCATCACACTTAGCATCGTCCAAGGCCATCATCAACTTTGCCCGGCTCTTGGTTTGAGATGTCATGGCCAGGCACTACCTCGTGCTCGGTACACGCTCCAGAGGAAGGAGAACCTTGCCTAGCTTTGAGTTATGGAGAGCTCAGACAATTGAACCAGGTCCAACGCGCCATGAGCAATATTGCGTTTCTGGACTGGCCAGAGCCGGAAAGAACATCTAAGGAGGTTTGATTTCTAGCTGATCGGACTCGATCGGTCGTGACGAGCAAGTTTAGCGATCCCATTGACGCGAGGCTGACGCGTGTTTTTTTCGAGATTCGCACTATGCTCCACCGTAGCTAATTTCATCGGTTAGATCAAGACGGCCACGTGGACAGCTTAGCAATTCCAAGGCTGTGCATTCCTGGTCTATGTATCACGTTGCTGAACACCGTGAGTAACTTGACTGTGGATTCTGACCATTTTCAAGTTGGTACAAGATTGAATATGTTCATGCTGTGCATGGCAAGCCACGCTTCGCCTGTGAAACACTGGTAAGTCGAGACCAGCTGCGTCCTACACACCTTCACCGAGTTTCCCTGCACACATTGTACCATGCTATCACAAGGTGGTGATCAAGTCTACCAATGAACGAAATCATTGCAATACTAATCGACGGCTTGACTACAATGTTATTCAGCCCTTTGGCAAGCCATTGATCGCCAGAGAGATCACACAACATGTTCCTCGAAGTCGAACGGAAGTTCAGCCCGTCAGCTGTGGCGCTCATTGCGAGAAATGCCGGATGTCCTCCCTTCAAAAACTTCACAACTCTACCCACAACTGCCTTTAGAGACACATATTTCGACCTGGAAACCACACTGCGTGATCAAGGCATGTGGTTGCGTCGCCGAGGCAATGATTGGGAACTGAAGGTCAAAACCGGCGGGGATTTCATCAACTCGTCGTTCCAGGAGATCTCGGGTACAGAGGAAATTGAACAGACGCTCACAAAGCACTTCCCTCGCGCATCCTTGAGTACCCCGAAAACCCCATGCTCCTCTAACGACGGCCGGAACACCTTAGGAACGTTGAGTCTGGCTCCGTTCGCAGAGATCACCACGACCAGGCAGGCTTGGATCGCCCAGACTCCCTCGAAAGATATTTTACAAATCGTTGTCGACACCACAGATTTTGGCCACCGAGTTGGTGAAGTTGAACTGGCATGGGATGGAGTAGATACTGCGGCTCAAGACAGCTCCAGGCTCAAGATGGACCAGATCGTTTCAGAGTTCATGAATCACCACAAATGGGCTTTTCCTGACGGCAAATGCAAGGGTAAGCTCTCCGCCTATTTTGAATGGCGGGAGACGCTCGCCATGGACGGAGCTCCGCTCAAAACGACAGAACAGCAAAGGGGACAAGAATAACAGAACATAGGTAAACTTCTACCTGGGATGTCTCGCTTCGAACCGGAAGGCTGAAGATGCCAACGTGCACCAGCTTGAATTCACTCAAACTTCCCATCCCATGGGCATCGGGGACCTCTCAAGGCGGCATCACTCTATCCTAGGATCGCGTCTCCTTCCGGCCTTTCAGAATTTTCCTTGCCTCTCAAGGCTACTTCCCCACGATCCACATGACCCAGTGCAGCAGCGGCTCATTCAATTCATTCAGTTTTGTAGGCTTCCTCCCGCGTAGCAACATCATCATCCTTTTCACTTTTTTCATCACCTTCGCCCTCGCCCTCTTCATTTGGATCACTTTCACACTCCTCTTCTACATCTCCAACGCCTTTATACTTGTACTCGTCGTCTTCATCAGTTTCATAATTAGCCTCTTCATCTTCACCTGAACTTTTATAATCATCCTCGTCATCGCCATCATAACCTCCAGCATCAGCATCCTTTGTTTTCTCGTGCAAATGAATGTCTCCAATCAGATTGTTCCAGGGAAGAGACAAGTTGAGCGTCCGTTTGAGTTCCTCCCATGACTCCTCGGTCGTCTTGCTCGTGTCGATTTTGACCAGTATGGACTTATCCATGCAAGCCAGGGAGGCTTCCGGAAAACAAAGGCTCTCGTCACTGACTGGGAGAGACCATTGCATCATTGCGTAATGATCAATAATTTTGTGGTTCTCAGCCTCATGTTGAGCATATCTGCGTTCAAAAATAGCCGCGAGGGTTTCAGGTGAGGCATCACTTCGACGGCGTTCAATGACTCTTTTGGCAGCAATCTCCTTGAGACAGTCAAAGAACAAGACCAAGGCTGGCACTCCTACTCCCCAATCTGGAATCTGAGAGGCACTGCGTGGAAAGCCATCGACGATGATGCAGGGATGCTTCCTGGCGCGCACCATTGGCAGGATGTCGTCGTCGAAGATTGCTTTGATCAGGTCGTTTGGAAGCATAGTTTCAGAGGCCAGGTATCGTCGGACCTTCTCCGATAGGGCTGAGTTCTTGGAGCAGATCTCTCTCAAATAGTCGCCAACTGAGAAGTGGTAGAATCCCTGTTCCTTCGCAAGAGCGGAACAGAGCGTCCCTTTGCCCGCGCCTGGGGGGCCCAGAACGAAGATGAAGTAGGGTTGCTGGTCTGAAGCTGCCATTGTTGTGGTCTTTTTGATGATGAGGCTGCTTCTTGCTGTGCTGTTGGTGTGCATATGCTTTTCGGTGGGAAAAGGTGAACGAAGCTGAGATTGCAGAAGTGTGCTTGCAAAGATATACTGATTCTGTGCTCTTGCCTCAGATCGATTCCTTGATGGGTATTCAACTGCTAAGGATCAAAGGCATAACCACTACAAAGAACGAGTGGATTATGCCCCCATCCCTTACAATGTCGATTGCTTTGTGGTGAGAGTGGAAATCAACTTGATTGATGAAAAGCGTGGGCGCAAACAATTGACACCTGGCAGGATGGCGACCAGGACATTGTCCACGCGAGACAAATAACACCTGCATTGTCCTCAAGGATCAGGAAAATGTACTGGCAATGCCACATTTCGGTCTCAGAGGAACAAATCAAACCATACAATGAAGTCGATGGTTCCATTCCCACGCTCAATCCCGGCACCACAGGCAAGGCCACAAACGTGTTCCTCGTATTTTGTTTTCAGTCCATCACTCAGCCTTATCAAACTGCCCTCTGAGCGTCCTAGTGCTCTATCTTGGAGGGAAACTGTGAAAGGTAGGGGCTTGCTCTGTCCTTTGAGACGCAAACACCAGATAATCACGTACCATACTGATACTCAAGCTGTTTGTATCCGCGACGATGATTGTTCCTTTCTTCTTGTACTAGGGACCTGTTGGCATATTATCAGCGATCCAACTCCCGCTGTGGTTCTGTCTCTCCATCTTTTTCATCACATTCAATTTCTCTCTCGAAAAAGATCGAGATCGAACAGAAATCCAGGCTCAAAGCCATCATGGTCTTGCCATTGCTCTTCGAGCACCCTTGGGTTGCCGTCGCTTTGGGTTACCTCATCCTTTGCCTTATCATGCACCTTACTTTGCACACTGCTCAAGTTGACACGCCACCAGCAAGTCCGATTCGGCTACCCAACGACTCAAACGAACTCACTCTCAACAACCGAACCATTCCTCTCAGTGTCAATTACCACTTTACGCGCAAATGCAACTACGCCTGCGGGTTTTGTTTCCATACCGACACTAACAGCTACATTGCCTCCTTTCCAGATGCCAAGGAAGCGCTGCTTCGACTCTCTCAAGCCGGGATGAAGAAGGTCAACTTTGCAGGTGGCGAGCCATTTCTCTATCCATCGATGCTCGGCAAGATGGTCGACTACTGCAAGCAAGAGCTCCGGCTCGAGTCGGTTAGCATTGTCTCCAACGGATCGAAGATCACTGAAAGCTGGATCCGAGCACACGCCGCAAATCTCGACATCCTCGCCATCTCATGCGACAGTTTCGACGAACGCACCAACGTCATTATCGGACGCGGCGAGGGCACGCACATCACGCAACTATACCGGGTCACCGAATGGTGTCGGGAGTACGGCGTCATGTTCAAACTCAACAGCGTCATCTGCAAGTACAACTTCGACGAAGACATGAATGAGCACATCGCCCGTCTACAGCCCTACCGCTGGAAGTGCTTCCAGGTACTCGTTGTCCCGGGCGAGAACGATTCATGTGTGACCAAACGCGACGCCCGTGGCTTCCAGATCAGCGACGACGAGTTTCAACTCTTCTGCAAGAACCACGCTGCTCAGACATGCATAGTCCCGGAGAGCAACCAGGTCATGGCCAGCAGCTATCTCATTCTTGACGAACACCTTCGCTTCCTCGATAAGTCTTGCAAGAAACCAAGCGCAAGTATTCTCGAAGTCGGTGTTCAGCAAGCTTTGGACAGTGTGTTCTGGGACATGGATGGATTCAAGGAGAGAGGCGGAGTCTACGCTTGGAATGAGAGTCTCGTGCAGGAACAGATGCAGAATGAGATGGACGATAATGTATTGGTGGATAGAGCTTTGGCGAACAAGGATGATACGGCCGAGGAGTTGGACAGGGAGATGAGGAAACTTATGCAAATCCAAGGTGCTTTCGATATGCGGAGCCAGATCATGGGTGGTGCTGCTTGTGGTGCTGGTGCTGGTGCTGGAGAAGCCAGTGAAAGCTCTGCCGATATGGAAGATATTGGAAAGAAGGCGAAGAAGGACTGAATTCGCACCATTGGGGACAATTTTCCAAGGAAGAGGTATATGTATTGTCGCATTCGATCGTTCGAAGACGGTCGGAACATGGGAAGACATCGCTATTGTTGCCCTGGGGTGGGGGTGAGAAAGTGTATTACATTATGTGGCTTTCATCTATGCTGGGTGTGTGTGCTCCCTTGCTTGAAGGAACGAAGGGATTGATTATTGGACTGGTTCAAAGGGACCTAACCATTATGACCTAGGGTTGGCAAGGTGGAATCACATTATCTGGTATTCGTTCATTTACGTTGATGTCGATGTGCTGGCAGACACACAGGCAGGTGGAAAGACTCCAGGATCAGTGATGGGCAAGGGGGAGAGAGGTAGGTAACGAATTGTTTTCGTTAGATGATAGAATAGCTAGAAATGCCTCATAGCAGAACCCAATGCGTTTGCTCATTGCTATTGCATAGCCAGCAAGGCTTTCATCGTGGTGGCATACATATGCAAAGACAGATGGTGTCATCGATTGATATGGCTGCCCGAACAACATTTACCTTCGACATCCTCATCGTCGTATGACAAACCAGAGTAAGAATGAGTGAGGGTTCGTCAGCGAGACTGTCCGTAAGACCGTTCCTGCTGACAACATCATTGCCCTTTCTCTGTCGACGTCCATTCTCCACCAAGCCGACAACAATATGCCACAGCGTAGGACTTACCCAGTAATATACGTAGATATATCACCCTCGGCAGGATATTCACCCGGAATAGGGCACCATTAGAAGGCGAATTCCCGATGCCATTCGAGCAAGCGTATGCTGACAGGCTGTACATGGGGAGGTCTTGTACCTTCCACTGCCCTGAAGTCTCTGTCACAACCTCGCTATAGACGGGTGGGGATAACTCAGGTATTCATTGGAGCTCAAACAGGGAAACACGCCTGAAAGAGTAAGAATACGCTTTCAAGTAACGGATCCGACCGACGGTTGACATGCCGTCCGGTCTAGGCTTCGAATTCAAACTTTTCTATCGGCAGATTCTGGGGTTTTAGTCAGCCCCCAGCTGCCCGCAAGCCTTCCATTCGTTTCTGTTCGCTCTCGTCTCTTGTCTCTGGGCATGGTGGGCGTAATCTTCAAAGTCTGTATCTCAGTTAGGTGTTCAAATCCAAGGGCCTCGGATGACAAATAGTTCGAGCACGACGCGTGTGGAGTGGAGTGGTGGAGCGGGGGAGGGTCTCAGCGCATGAAGTTTATCTGAGGTGTCTTTCTGTCGGCAGTGTTTAGATCAGTATAAATGTGGTATGATCGCACCAGATCGGAAAATATCAATCACCACAGGCACCCGGGACTGGCTAACGACATAACGCAGAGTTGAAGTGGGCAAGGACTACGACCGACGAAAAGAACATCAAAGCAACAGCCTCCCCCGCTTTGACCACGCCATCGAAAAGACTCAGGTCAAATCAACTCTAATCGTCGATATCATCGCCTAGTCGGCCTGTCTGTGTTATTGTTGGTCAATTGATATTGATTGATCCTCTTGCTGCGCTCGCCATGTCTCATCTTCGCTACTACAACTACGCCGGGGTCGGAGAGCAGAATAAGGCAACCTTCGGATATAGTCAAGCCGTGCGCGTGGGAGATAGGATCGAGATTGCCGGCCAGGGTGAGTGTCCTCCACGCGATGAGTACGTAGAGGCACAGCGGGCCTTTGGAATCCATCGCTCGCTCCACGGACTGGTTTCTCATCCAAGATTCCATGAGCCGAGCCGAGCCGAGCCCTGGAAGCGCAGCACTAACAAACACTCCTTTCTCTCCAGGTGGCTGGAGGCCCGAAGGCCCCTTGGGCGACATGTCGAGCGACATCAACGAGCAGATCGACCAGGCATTCGCGAACGTGGACCTGACGCTGCGGACGGCGGGCGGGCAGGGCTGGTCACAGGTCTTCCGCATCAACTCGTACCACCTGCCGCTGACCGACGAGGCTATGGGCGCCATGGTCCGCAACTTCCGCAAGTGGATGCCCGACCATCAGCCACTCTGGACGACTATCGGGGTTAGTAGGCTGGGTCATGATAGCATGCGTGTTGAGATTGAGGTTGTCGCGCATGATCCTGAGGGTGCGAAGAAGGCTGAGGGGGGGAAGTAGAAGGCGTGGGACTAGGAAGAAAAGGAGAGATGTGAGTAGGGCAGAGTGCAAGGTAAAAAGAGTGTATTTGTGAATTCCACTATCCTACGTAGTAGAAGACCTGGTGAATCCACTCCCTCCTCGTTATCCACCTTGCATTGCAAGCCAAGAACTCAATAGGAAGTACATACTAACCCCCCAGCAAATCAAAATGGTATCATATAACGAATAAGAAACGAAAGGACCAAACTAAGTCTTTGATAAATCATCACTCAATGCCAATGCCAATTGCGCCAAAATTCCTGGGCGTCTCATCATCCATCAGCTTCCAAGTCCGTCTCCGTATCTCCGATTATAGTGTTAGATGGCGTTGCCCAGACTTGTTCTTTTTAGAAGACAGGCACAGAGTTCTCATCTGAACCGTCGACATACCAAGCATGATGAGCTTGCTTGACGCTTCCGATTCTCTTCAAGCTCTGGCTTCGACTGATACTTTGGTTGACCCTGTTGACGCCAACCCTCAAACTCTTGAATCTGGTGATTTGGGGTCTCTCGGCATCCTCGGGGGCAAGGTGTCGGCCATGGTGTGGGTCGGCGGACTTTGGTCGAGGAATGACATCCAACCTGTCCTCTTGGTTGGGGAAGTATTCTCCATTGCCTCCTTTGTCACGGTCGTCTTTCTTGTCGAACGTGTCGCTTTCGTCTCTCTCGCCGACAAATGAGAACGGAGTTCCAGGACGGTCTGGCTCCTCTACAGCAACCTTGGCATATTGCTGATCACGGCCAGCGGAGGGGTCTTGCATTGCGCTGCTGATCATGTTGATGAGTCTTCCTGCGCTTTGCTCACTAGTCTGGTTTTGAGACGTGGCCAGTTGTTGACTAGGAAGTGGTGCTGATGACTTGTCCTTTTCCTTTTCCTTCCTGCTCAAGCGGCGAGAAAGTGAGCGGACGATGGAGTTATTGCGGAAACCCCTTGATTCGGTCTTCCTCGGCGGAGACTGAGCTTCGGAGGGGGGCTGGGAGACCACAACGAGAGGTGATTCCTCGCCGTATGGAGTGAAAGGAGAGGGGACCGTATTGGTTCGGCGATAAGTGGTGGCCGAGGGTGGGATTATATCAATCTGAGGGTAAACCGGGTTGTGATGGCCAGCGGAGTTGGGTTGAATAGACAAGCCAGCTTGTTGGAATCTGACGCCAGGCTGGGCCGGGTTGGTCGCCGGCACATTGGGAGCGTCCAGCGAGCCTGGCCGTCGGTGTCTGCCACATTTCGTGCAGGAGGGCTGAGTGCCTGCGGCCGATGATGATGATTGTACGGCAGTGCTCGAGGATGCAATAGATCTCTCCGAGTTGACTCCTGTAGAGACTGTGCGACTGTGACCAGAACCATTTGCGTCCCTGTCACCTGGTTCACTGGACTTGCGCTTTCCACAATGGGTGCAGCTGCCGCCCTCAGCGCATTTCTTGCCACATGAGAGACATTCACGAGCGTTCGACATGGCCAGTGCAACATCACCAGGTCTGGTCGGATCGGAAGCCTGTCGTTTGTAAACTGGTGGAAGGGCACCGTCAAACATATCCTTTGCAACTTTCACGTGTTTTGGGCCTTTGTCTGCATGGTCGGCGCTAGGATAGGGCTTCCCGTTCAGTCGTTGCAGGTTGACATTTTTCTTGTTGCCGTTTGGGCGCTGAGGCTCTGTGGAATGCAGATGCGGTTGCGACACGCGCCCGATCAGGCGAGGGTCATTGATAGGCGACACAGGTGAGAAGAGCTGGGCAGCAGAAGCATGTTGCCCGGCAGGAGATGGTGCTGGACGAGGGCTGAAATTTGGAGAGAAGGGGTTTGTCGATGGAAGCTCATTGAATGAACTGCCAACCACGGCAGAGGTTACTGGCACGGGCTGCTGCGTGGACTGTGGCAGGTGTTCGTAAGGCACCGCAGTCTGAAGAGACGCTGAGCCATTGGGATGGCCTGCAGGTGGGCTCTTCTGTAGCAGTGTCATTTCGAAAAATGTAAAATCAAATGGCTCGGCTCAGCTCTACAAGTCGGCCGTATTGGGTCGCGCGTCGCCGAGTGAAAAGTCTGAAAGATAGGAAGTTGGTAAAAGAGAGGGTCGTGGGATCGGCGTCGATGCAGTGCTATGTCCGTAAATTGTGGTAGAAGGACTAGCAGTCCAGTTTAGGGACGGATTTTCAAATGCTGAGGTGTAGGTGAAGGCGAATGTAAATGGTGGGTGTGAAAGAGTGGCTCCCCGGTCAAGTGTCAACACGTCAACGCGGGATATTCAGTTGGATGGTAAAGTGGAGAGAAAAAGAGAGACAGATAGGGAGAAGAGGTAAAAGAGGGATAGGAGGGACAGGAGGGACAGGAGGGACGGGGCCAGGTAAATCAGGAAAGTCGTGGTTACTAGTCGGATCAGTGTGGTTGGAACAAACAGGCTTTGGGGTCTTCTAGATACTAGACACCGGGACGAATAATTAATGGGACGCTGAGGGTGGTAGCCTGGTAGACTGGCAGCCGAGTAAGCTGAATTGCTAAAAACGGTGGGCTTGAAACGTGGCGGAATAAACCAAAGCCACGGCCACCTTGAAATGGAAGAAGGGATTGCGAAAGGAAAAGGCGGATGGAGCCCGAAAGACACACCAGGCCAAGACCAAGACGTAAAACGGGAGAGTGACGAGGAGAGTGACTACTGACTACTCGAGCTAGGCTCCGGGTGGTGTAGAACGAGAGCATACGGGTACTCGTCGTCGGCAAAAGGCAAAAGATGGAGTGAGGAGCACGGGAGAGCAGAGGGCGAGATTTGGACAGGAGGAGAGGAGCGGGAATCTGCCTGTCCTGTCGTGTGTCAGAAACCCTGGCCAGCGTGAACTGAACCAGAAACTCGTAAAAGAAAAATGAGACTCTCTTTCAGCCTTCAGAGGCGAAGCTGCCAACAAGCTCGTAAATTAACCACAGCCAAACAGTCCAAAAAAAGAGACCACAGCCTGACTCTGACTGCCAAGGCTGACCCTCCGAGGCGGGGCGTGGCTGAATAATTGCTTCTATCTTGGGCGCGCTTCGGGGGACTGGGGGGCAAGGGTAAAAGGGGGGGTTTGCAGTCAGGGGGTGCAGACACGCGTGGGCGCGCGTGAGCACTCTAACTGCCACCTAACGCGAAGCCAGTTCAGTTCACGTGAGAACGCCGTATGAATCAGCACCTTTCACGTGCTTGCCAGGAACCGAGTCAGGCTCGAGACCTTGCATTACCACTCGAGACATCTCGAACGAGTGATAAATGGCAAAACACCATACACACACTGTTTGCCCTCTGTTTTGGAGCTTCATGACCAACTACCAGAAAGCAGTCATATCTATTCCAGGAACAAAGCCCCACAAACATGATGCACAAGTCACGACGCACATATGACGGACCAATCCTGGATGAGATCGCCGATGAAATCTTGATTTCAGCCTAGGTATTATGGGGTCAACCTAGCTATCATGGTGCTTGTACGAGTTTACATCAAGTATTGTCCAAGGAGTTCTTGCCTTCACCCATGGATACATATTCATTTGCGACGGCCTATTCCCATTCATGTCCAGGTCTGGGAGGACAAGGTTCCACTGCAGATGTACAACATTGGATTGTCCGACCGTAACATTTGTATGTTTGTACTGGAAGCACAGCCAGTAGCGGATGCATCACGCTTTGGCCCTGGATCGCGGAGTTACCTCTTGATTCCAGTACAACAGGCCCCGAAGTTTCCAACCCAGGTCGGTTCCTGCCTTTTGGAACCCTAGCTAAGCGTCTTGAGGGAACGAGTCCTGCAGTTGATATCCTGATACTTGCTGAGGAGCTTGCCCATTGGTGATCGGTAGGCCCCCACTCTTTTGATCTTGCCTCTGTGAGAGCATCTTGACCTCGTCTAGTATATCGTTATTGATGTGGTGATGGACTCTTGCGGCGTGCAGTGCCGACTCAAGCTCATCTGTTGCTGCTCCAGCGTCCGGGCTCTGGACCGATTCTCTGGGAATATCCAGGCAGGACAGGTCCCACATCTATCTGCAAAATTCAATGGGTCGCCTCCTAAGCAAAGTAAGCTATACTTAGCAAAGCAGGATTGTCCATTTGCATCATTCGATTCGGGCTGTGGTATTGTATGTGTCGTTCTCGGTTCACCGCTAGCTTCAGGGCCACAAATCGACCAAGCATGGCCGGCCGCGACATGGAAGCATCTCTTCCATGACAACAGCTTCTGCTTGATGTGAAACCAATTGAAGCGGTAAGTTCGAATCCTGACAATGGCTATACTTACTTTGGAACAGACACTCTTGTCGGAGCAGCAATATCCTCAAGGAAATCTACTCCGTACTGTTACTCAGTTCCTGAACCTGGCCCTGGATATATAAAGCAGTTTCTTGTAAGCCCTAGTGTATCAGCAAGAGATCATCTCCAATCATCAAGAACTCGATCATGTTATCGAAGCAGCCAGCGCACATGGCTGGCTATTTCGCTTCGATGGTCGACATCACGGGACTTCAAAACATTTATCCCAGAAGTGCCTCGTCTACAAAGTGGTCAGTAGAAGTCCCATGATGTTGAATATCAAGCGACATGTCTTAACCCTGTTTAACATGCAGTGGGATAGAACTCCGTACGTGCTCAGGATTCATGAGGCTTCCTATGGGACTGCGTTGATCTGCGTTGTAGCTGACAATAGTAGTAGAGGAGGGTTGTGTTCTTAACGCGGCCGCCTTGCGGACGTATCCCAGCTGTCGCCGCATTCTTGGGTTGTAAGCCGCAGCCTCGTGAGAGTTAGGGCCGGGGCTAGGTAGATCACCACGGAAAGGCAAGGAATGAGTCGTCGGTGGCACCCCGTATTACTGAAGGAAACCAGGCGCGGCCACAGTCACTTCACGCTGCTTGAAGAGTTTTTGATGGCTGCGGTAAGCTGATAGTGTCTTTTTTGGAATGCCGCACGAAGCGCGGACTTTTGCCAGGATAGGAAGTCTGATTACTAGTTCGGATATCAATTTTATTGAACCAAGAACGCTTCAAGAACGACCATCCTGCCACTGCCGTTAAACCCGCGTTAAGCGAGGAGATATAGGGATATCACCCTATTGTCCCAAACCACATTAGTACTTGTAATGTCTGAACCTTCACAAGATCTCCACTCAAAAGTCTCACCAAAGGAGACTACAGGATATGCTCGGCGATTTAGCAAGGCCCGAGCAGGGGGCATTCGCACTGAATGCTCCATTCAGCCCTAAACATGACTCCATGCGGGTACTCCGTAGCTTGGTTCAGATTCAAGATGTTGATAATGTCACCCTTGCATCATCTCGGTTGGAGGGAGCTTTCATGTCCCCAGAAAAGGAGAAAGCCAATACCAACTGCGCATCCTATCATGCAAGGCGGACGCCACCTAATCTGGTGAACATGAAAGGTCTTATCGATTAGATGGTTGGTAAAATGTCTGCAGTCTTGCTCTGGTTATGAATCAAACCCACGACTTATCGTCGTTTCCGCACTTAAAAGCGCCTTAGCCGACAATAGTCTGAGCCACTCGAGTCTTTTTGACAGGTCTCTTCAAGGCTGAGGGTGACTAACCGCTTTGCTCGGTGGGTGGATATCTGGGAGGCTCTTTAGCCTTCTTCTAGGTCATCCTTCTGAGGGGGACTAGGACTACAGGTAGGCTATCATGGGTTCTCCCCTGCAAGTATGGCGCCAAACACCCTGTCGACCTTGTTCCGGCAATGACCAGGCGACGCAACTTGCCGATGTCGATAACTCTGAAATGCGAAAGAGCTTGGATAGACCCACCCCTGAATCTCTTGTCGAAAATGCTCCGTGGGCAAAATTGTAGAGGACATTGCAAACTATCTAGAGCTTGAAGCAGTGGAACATACAATTTCAGGCTACGCCCCCGTCCTGGGTTGTCTAAGGAGCCAGTGGCCAAAATGAAACCCCTATTCAACACCGCAAGAGGGGCATATCGTACATGGGAGATACAGATCGTTATCTTGGATCATGAAATTAGACTAATGGCTCGACAAATCCCAAAATTTTCCGCATGGGGGCTGGATGTGTAAAGTCGCGGGATTTTTGTTCCACCATGTGCTGTAGCCTCTGACTTCAATTACCGCTGGAGACCCCGAGTCCATTGATTGTAATCTATGGCCCACCATGATCTGTATGACTCGGACAAGTACTCCGTAGTATGTGCATGCCTGAGCCACAGCACTGGGCGGACCAGCGGTGCGATTCTGATGGAATGGAAGACAGTGTGGAATCTTTCTCACACTCCTACTCGTGCTTCGTCGTCCTGTTGGTGTCATTTCGGTTGCGGGTGTACCTAGTAGCACGAGTGGAGATATCGACCTTGCGGCGGACGAAAGGGTTGGACTTTATGCTAAGCTCAAGGAGGAAAGGTCGCACAGTTTTGCACCCAAATTTAGTGACAGAACCACGGATGACTAGACCGTTACTGGAGTAGCGAGCACGCTAGGCGGAAGTCAAGCCTGGGTCAACATGAAGCATGTTTGACCCATCCCTGCGGCGTTGGCACAAACTTCAAACCCATGCGACCCTGCCCCCTTTCCAGCACCATTCAAGGGGACATTGATGACCTTTCATTTGTCGTAAACTCCGCCTACCACCACGCTGCTGGTGAAATTGCATCAGAAATGGGTGCCCGGGTCGTATCAAGTCCTCAACTCCCGGAGACCCAAAATGATCACGACCAATCCACTTGAAGCGCATCCGCCTCCTTGATGATGCGGGACTGGCACATGTTGCTCGAGGGCAAAAAGTCCACTATGAGTGACGAAGTATCCATCGGCTGATACAGTGATACGTGGTCCCCTTGAGCTGGACGGCCTGGATATCTCAATGCTCGGGAATTCCAGGCAGCGGACGTGCTGAGGGGCGCTGATTATGGCCCTTGCCCGCTTGGAATCTCCGAACATTATTATCTCGGTGGCAGCAAAAACGAAACAGTACAAAGCAGGTGAAGACCGAACACAAGCCTCAAGTTGCGGTGCGAGATGCAGTCATCTTTGGGGGAGACAACGGACCCCAGGTTTGTTTGTCAGAGGTCTCCTCCAATCTCCTTGCCGCCACTGAAGGAGCTTTTCAGCCTCAGCCGAGCCGACAGGGGCACCAGGGCAACAGCTTGGACCCCTGTTTGTATTGTCACACCGTGACGGGCTTGTCATTACATGCGGTAAGATAGTGTACAGGTCGCAGAAATAGAGCGACATCCAAGTACAGAGTACTTCTCCGTACAAGATTACCAGCACAGTCACTTCGTGAGACTGGATGGATTAGTAGGATGGATATTTCATCATCATCATCATCATCCTCATCGTTGCACAGCAGACTGGCACAGGCCTAATACCCTCCGTGCTGTTGAGATGTCCTTTGGAAGTTCAAGTGATCCAGACAAGGGTTTAATGACGAAGGAAATCATCGCATCGGTTGGACCACAACTCTGACCTTGGACGCACAGACTCAAGAGAAACGAGACTCGCGTTGACAGAGCATGGTGCGTGGTCGCTGCTGTGGTGATGGATGTTGCGTCAATATGTTGATGTTTGATAATTCAACTGGCTGAGGGTGCATGGTGTTAGGACTAGAAGCCACAGGGACCTAGAGAAATCCTGTAGGCGAGGTTCTACGCCTATACGAACAAGATAACAAGGCACCCAGTACTCCGTAGTCACGCCTCTACTCGTACACCTCGTACTCGGTAGCTACCACTGATAAAGTAAAATGTGATGTGGCTGTTGACATCCGCATTCGGGCTGGCGGCAAAAATGTACGCGTTGGAGGGTGCCAGCCTGCCAGGTGCACTGGCTACGAACTTCCGGCAGGTACATCCCAGCTTCACACGCAAAACCCAAACTCGGGCTCAATCTCTGTGGCCTGCACAACCCATTGCTTCACGGATCGCCCGTAACCTGCGTGGCCTGCAACTACTATTGTATGCTGTGCTCAACTCGTATCTCTTTGTCTGGACCAGAGAGAAACTCATGGGCTCCCCGGCATTACCATCCTTAGTCGTCCCCTAATCGTACTACAACTATTTGCCCTGCCCATGTGCGGCTGAGCGTGCGGCAACTCAAGCCCTCCTTCAAGTCTCCAAGCCCCTGCCTCATCGGGATCCAGTAAGAGCTCAGATCAGCCAATCCGCCCGTGGACGGCGTGACACCTACCAGCAGAGGCTGTTTAGGGCTGGCATAAGCGAGGCACTCATACGGAGTACAGCAGCAAGAAACAAGACGAGACACATCTTGGGTACTGCGTATGGCGGTGTAAGATTACCACTAACCTGACGAGTTGGCCATGTCTCATCTGGATCACCCATCCCCACTTGCTGCTTCGGGCGCCGAACAAGTGCTGACTAGGACTAGGGAGCCCATCAATGCCCTGGTGGAGCCCTTTCATGACCGCAAGACTCGAGGTCCACGGGCACGAACAGAACAGCCTCTCCAGTTTTGGCCGCTGGCACCTCTGGCCATGCTCTTGATTTCCAACGCAGATCTCGTGCATGCCCACCCGACCCACCAGGGGGCGCGGCCTTTGCTACTGGTCACCAATCTATTTTGAACTGGCCTTGGTCGAGGTTCCCGTTCTCCTATATGATAGCTGACCACCCCGTTTTTCCCGTGTTTTTTTCTCGTTAAGCAACGCTCGTTGAAGCTCGTCGACATTTCACCGGCATCATGGAGGAGGTCTACGTCTTCGGCGACCAAACCGCTGACCTGCGGTCGTTCTTCACCAAAGTCTTCTCCCGGAAGGACGATGTATTACTACAAAGCTTCCTCGAGAGAACTGGTGAAGCCGTCAGATCAGAAAACAAATACCGTACACATCCTTCGAAGGCAGTTCCTAATTTCAACACAATTCAAGAATTAGTCGATCGTTATTTTAGAGGCGAGGGCAAAGACCCCGCAATCGAGAGTGCTCTGGTTTCCATTGCACAATTCACTCATTTCATCGGGTATGTTCAGGAGGGCAGCCCCTGAATTCGGAGCTTAGAAAACTGACCAAAATAACAGTGCTTTCGAAGAGAGAACACCCGCATACATTCAACCTAATACAGATGCACGACTCGTCGGTCTATGCACCGGTCTGATTGCTGCTACCGCTGTTGCCTCGGCTGATTCGCTGACTGCCCTTATTCCCTTGGCCGTCGAAGGTGTCCGGATTGCGTTCAGGGCGGGTGCACACGTGGGAAGAGTAGCACAACAAATTGAGGGCGAACAGAAGGCACAGTCGTGGTCAACCATTGTTGCTTCAGATGAGAAGTCAGCGCAAGCTGCACTCGATGCGTTCCACAAACAAAAGGTAACCTCGCCGACCAACAAGCTATGGATCAGTGCCTCTTCAGCCACCTCGGTCACCATCAGTGGTCCGCCTTCCACCAAAGCGAGTGCGTTCGAAGAGTCTGAATTCTTCCGCACCGCGAAGAACGTTCCAGTCCAAATCTTCGCTCCTTACCATGCGTCTCATCTCCACTCACAATCGGATTTGGACAAGATTCTGCGGCCACAAACAAAAGTCATCTTCGAAAATTCTCCAGCAAGATTTCCCGTCTGCTCCAGCGTGACTGGCAAACCCTTCACTGGCAAGAACGGATATGAGCTTTTGCAAGAAGCTCTCCGGGAGATCGTCATTGAACCCTTCCGATGGGATAAGGTTCTCAAGTACACAGCCTCTGGTAAGGCCGAGGAGGCCAAAGTCTTTGCTGTTGGCCCGACCAATTTGGCGAGCAGTGTCGTGTCTGCGTTGAAAGCTTCAACCCCCAAAGTTACACTCGAGGATCAGTCACACTGGACCACCATCGCACCAGCTGGAACCCAACATTCTAAACGAGAGGCTGATATTGCCATTGTTGGTTACTCCGGCCGATTCCCTGATGCTGCCGATAACGAGCTTTTCTGGCAGCTGATGGAGAAGGGCTTGGACGTCCACAGACCCGTTCCTCCGGACAGGTTCCCGGTGGATTCACACACAGATCCTACATCGAAGAAGAAGAACACTTCCCACACGCCATTTGGCAACTTCATTGAGAACCCCGGCCTCTTCGATGCCAGGTTCTTCAACATGTCCCCTCGAGAGGCTGCGCAGACAGATCCTATGCAGCGTCTCATGTTGACCACGGGCTATGAAGCCATGGAAATGGCGGGTATCGTCCCTGGTCGAACACCTTCCACCAAACACGACAGGATTGGAACATTTTATGGTCAGACCTCCGATGATTGGCGTGAGGTCAACGCCGCGCAGGATATTGATACATATTTCATTTCCGGTGGCGTGCGAGCCTTTGGACCTGGTCGGATCAACTATTTCTTCAAGTTCAGCGGCCCCAGTTTCTCAGTGGATACTGCTTGTTCTTCAAGTTTTGCCGCAATCAACGTAGCTATCACTTCTCTGCGTGCAGGAGAATGTGACACTGCCTTCACTGGCGGTGCAAACGTCCTGACCAACTCCGACATTTTCTCCGGTCTTAGCAGAGGCCATTTCCTCTCCCGAACAGGATCTTGCAAGACTTGGGACAACGATGCAGATGGCTACTGCCGTGGTGATGGTGTTTGCTCTGTCATCATGAAGCGTATGGAAGATGCTGTCGCCGACCGTGACCCAATTTTGGGAGTTATCCGTGGTATTGGGACCAACCACTCCGCTGAGGCTGTCTCAATCACTCATCCCTGCGCGGAGAACCAATCATTCTTGTTCGACAAGGTATTGAAGGAGTGCAACGTTCATTGCAACGATGTAAACTATGTTGAAATGCACGGCACTGGCACCCAGGCTGGTGATGGCATTGAAATGGAGTCGGTGTCATCAGTCTTCGCTCCACGCAACCCTCGCAGACGTCCTGACCAACCACTATATGTAGGCGCTGTGAAGTCTAACATTGGTCACGGTGAGGCTGTGTCGGGTGTGTGTGCTCTGATCAAGATCATCCTCATGCTTCAGAAGAGCAAGATCCCGCCGCACACTGGTATCAAGAAGCAGATCAACAAGAACTTCGCTCCTGATCTGAAAGAGCGCAATGTCAACATTGCATTCCAAACAACGCCATTTCCCCGACCAGCAGGTGGCAAGCGTGTTGTGTTCATCAACAACTTTAGTGCTGCTGGTGGTAACACAGCTATGCTGTTGCAGGACGGACCCGAGGTTCCCAAGGAGCCTTCCACCGATCCTCGATCCACCCAAGTGGTGACTGTCTCTGCCAAATCTCTCGGAGCGTTCAAGAAGACGATCCAGAAATACCAGGACTACCTGAATAACAACCCGAACGTAGGCCTCACTGATTTGGCCTACACTCTCACTGCTCGTCGTGCGCATTACAACTACAGAGCCGCCTTCCCGGTTCAATCCATTGCTCAGGTGCAGGCCTCATTGAAGGCACTCGAGGACCAGACTCACAACCCCATTCCTCTTGCCACTGCTCAAATTGCCATGGCATTCACCGGCCAGGGCTCGCAGTATACTGCCATGGGCAAGAAGCTGTTCGAGACTTCCAAGCAATTCCGTGGCGATATCGAGGAGTTCAATGAGATCGCACTTCGCCAGGGACTTCCTTCCATCTTGCCCTTGATTGATGGCTCAGTTGAAGTGCAGCACCTTCCTCCCACCGTTGTTCAGCTCGGTATGTGCTGTATCCAAATTGCTCTCACACGTCTATGGGCTACCTGGGGTATCGCTCCCAGTGTGGTCATTGGTCACTCTTTGGGTGAATACGCCGCTCTTCAGGCCGCGGGTGTCTTGTCAGTTGCTGACACCATCTACTTGGTTGGCAAGCGGGCACAACTCCTGGAGCAAAAGTGCACCGCCGGCACCCATGCTATGTTGGCCGTTCGCTCTCCAGTCGCTGGATTGCAGGACGTCATTGCCAACAGCCATGGGAAGATCGAGATCGCATGCATCAATGGGGTTTCCGATACTGTTCTTTCTGGAACGATGGGCGACATTGATGTTGTCGCACAGAAGCTGGCCGATGCTGGTCAGAAGTGCACCAAGCTCAAGTTGCCATTCGCCTTCCACTCTTCTCAGGTTGATCCAATCCTTTCTGAATTTGAGAAGCTTGCATCGTCTGTCAAATTCCACGCACCTAGAGTGCCAGTCATTTCTCCATTGTTGAGTGATGTTGTCAGTGTTGGTGGAGTCTTTGATGCTTTCTACCTCAGCCGACATTGCCGCAAGACTGTTGACTTCGTAGGTGGTCTTTCCGCCGGTATGTCTACCGCCACAATTAGCGACACTTCGCTGTGGCTTGAAGTAGGTGGCCATCCTCTCTGCGCAAGCATGATCAAGTCTTGCTTGTCAGCACCAACTCTTCCCACCATGCGCCGTGATGAAGATCCATGGAAGATCATTTCCACCTCAATGGCTGGCCTCTACACCGCTGGAAAGGCATTGAACTGGGATGCATTCCACAAGGAGAACGAGGACATGCGAGTTTTGAACGATCTTCCATTCTATGCCTACGATGCCAAGAATTACTGGCTTCAATACACCGGAGACTGGCTTTTGTACAAAGGGGACTACCCCAAGGCCATCGCACCTACTGCCGTCGCTGCCGCTCCATCCGGTCCGGCTAAGACAAGGAAGTATCTGTCTACTGCTGTCCAGGGCATCGTCTCTGAGCAGGTCAAGGGTAACACGATCTCAATTGTTGCAGAGTCTGACTTTGCGCACCCTAAGCTCTTCCCGGTCATTGCTGGCCATTTAGTTAACGGTAGTGGTCTTTGCCCCTCTACCCTGTACGCTGACATTGCGTACACGCTGATCAATTATGGTGTGGAAACATTGAGACCCGGTCAGAAGGTTGCCATCAACATCGGCACTATGGATAACCCCGCCCCTCTTCTCCTGAAGAATATCAATCAGCCCGAGAGCCAAACGTTCTCCTCCTCCATCAAGATTGATCTTGACGCTGGCAAGGCTGATTTCCAGGTTACCTCATTCAATGGCAAGAAGGACGTCGTCCATGCCAAGTGTATCATCAGATTCGAAGATCCTGCCGTCTGGAAGGAGGAGTGGGCCAAGACGGCTTACCTTGTCCAATCTCGCATCGATCTACTTAAGCACAAAGTTGAGAATGGCGAAGCTGACAAGGTTAGCAACAAGATGGCATACAAACTGTTCGGCGCTCTCGTTGACTACTCTGAGATCTACCGCGGAATGCAGAGCGTGGTGTTTGATGGTTCTGAGTTCGAAGCCGCAAGCAGTATCAAATTCAAGGCTACTGCCAACGACGGCGATTTCTACTTCAGCCCCTACCTGATCGATAGTGCATGCCATCTTTCTGGCTTCACAGTCAATGCAACCGTCAACCCTCGGGATGAGTGCTACATCTCTCATGGCTGGTCCAGCTTGCGCTTCTTGGAGCCCCTCAAATACGACAAGCAATACTACGCCTACGTGAAGATGCAACCAGTTGCTGGCAGTAAGATGAGGTCCGGTGACGTGTACGTCTTCGACAACGAAACAAAGGAAGTGGTTGGCGTTGGCGGCGCCATTCGTTTCCAATGTATCCCTCGCAAGTTGATGGATGTCATGATGCCCAAGCCCAAGGATGGAGCCGCTCCCGCGAAGGCTCCCGCTGCCTCGGCAGTCGCCGCACCGAGCCCTGTTTCGCGCGCTCCAGTTCAGGTCTCTATCCCGGTTGCTGCACCTGCTCCCAAAGTGAAGGCGAAGAAGGCCCCTAAAGCCCCCAAGGTCAAGGCTCCTGCAGCCCCTAAACCGGCTTCAGGAGGTATTGCCGTACGTGCCTTCGATATAATCGCTAAGGAGATTGATGTCGAGCAAGCTGAATTGAACGACGACATCCAATGGGCCGATATGGGTGTTGACAGTTTGATGTCTTTGACAATATCTGGCAAGTTCCGTGAGGATCTAGACTTGGAGGTTGAGAGCACACTCTTCACCGATTACTCCTCAGTCGGTGCTCTTCGCAAGTATCTCAGTGGTATCTCAGCACCAGATGGCGCAGGTGCCGGCGATGCTAGCTCAGTCGAGTCCACCGATTCGGGCTCTGAGAGTGACGAAGACACCGCCGAATCTGGTATAACCACCCCTGAGGCTGAAGATTTCCCCGCGAAGCAATTCGAAGGTAGATCTGTTGCGGTGGAAGCTGTCGCCCAGGCACCAGGTGGTGATATGATCGAGACCATCCGCGTCGTCATTGCTCAGGAAATGGAAATGGAGCTCGAGGAGATCACCGAAACCACTGATCTCAGCAATCTGGGCATGGATTCGTTGATGGCACTGACTGTCTTGGGCAAACTTCGTGAGGAGCATGAGATCGATCTTGACCCTACTATTCTGGCAGATAACCCATCGCTTGGTCATCTCCGCAAGGCTTTGGGTTTGGACAAACCTGCAGCTGCCGCACCTCCCCCAGCAGCACCAAAAGTTTCTGCCAACGCACCAGCTCCGGCACCTCCAGCAGGCAGCCATACATTCCAAGTGAACACCCAGATCACTCCTGCGGCTCCGGTCGTTGAAGTGGTTGTTCAGATGCCCCCTGCGACTTCAGTCCTGCTTCAGGGAAACCCAAAGACGGCCACAAAGAACTTGTTCCTCTTCCCAGACGGCTCAGGGTCCGCAACATCATATGTTTCCATCCCAGCAATTGACAGCAAGAACCTTGCAGTCTATGGCCTCAACTGTCCTTTCATGAAGGACCCAACAAGCTACACTTGTGGCATTGAAGGTGTCTCCAAGTTGTATATGGAAGAAGTGATGCGACGTCAACCTGTGGGACCATATATTCTCGGTGGTTGGTCGGCAGGTGGTGTTGTTGCCTACGAAGTCACCCGACAATTAAGTGATCTTGCTAAGCTACATCCCGACAAGAACTTCACGGTCGAGAAGTTGGTGTTGATTGACTCGCCTTGCCCTATCAGACTCGAGCCTCTACCAGCACGTCTACATCACTTCTTCGACGAGATCGGCTTGCTGGGAACCGGTACCGGCAAGACGCCCAACTGGCTACTCCCTCATTTCGAGTACAGCATCAAAGCCTTGACTGCTTATAAGCCAGAACAAAAGACCATGCACGACTTCAAGCCGCCACCAACTCTGCTCATTTGGGCCACGGACGGTGTTTGCGGCAAGCCAGGTGACCCAAGACCACCACCACAGGCTGATGATCCCAAGAGCATGAAGTGGCTCTTGGAGAACCGAACCGACTTCGGTCCAAACGGATGGGACAGGCTTTTGAGCCCGGAAGTGTGCAAGATGGTCACTGTCATCGGCAACCACTTCACAATGATGAAGCCTCCAGTGGTAAGTTTTATATCTTTATGAAAAGTTTTAACATGACACGGACTAACATCTATTTCCAGGCTAAGGGTGTGGGAGCATATATTCGTGAGGCTCTGTTGTAGACAAGACCTTGGGACTTGAACAGCAAGTCACAAGCTTTTCACGCACAGATACCTGATAGAGTATATGGGAACCGCCAGATGGATATAGATTTTGTTTCTGGTTAACGATCGAGTTACAACCCCCCTGTGATAAAATGGTACATATTGGGACTTCGGTAGCGTTTTGGCCGGGCATTTCCAGAAGCGTTTGGAATTTATGGGTTCGTCTGGATGCTTACTTTGAAGAGCTCCTTATCAAGATTGCCTTTTTGGGCTTGTTTTTACCAGGCGTTGGACACATGTGGAAGTCAGGATGGGGCTGCTGAAGGCCAGCAGGGTCCCGCCATCTTTTGGGCCCTTTCGATCGAAAACCCTATCAGTGTTATTGATAGCTTCATTTACCTACGCTGTATCCTGAATCATTAATTTTACTGAAACCAATTCTCACGAACACCCACTGACTTGACGTCTATGAAACCTCTGATCTGTGACATCAGGTATCAACAGACAAGGTCCTTTTTGTGAGTAACCTGGACTTCCATTAACACGTGCTAGTCTTGGAGTCCGTAGTACGGAGGATGATCAACGACGGCTTACAAAGTAACAGGCAAAAATAGCACGCTGAGTGGTACTCGTAGTACTGGGAACATGGTCATTCATGCATGTCTCAGTCTGGATTCTAGGGCGAAGTCAATTCACGGCCTTAGTTCCGGGGTTCACATAAGATACGATCGATCCTATGGGTGAGCCGAGCAGCTTAACCTGCAGCTGAAGGGAAACTTGGCTTTGGGATGCCGACTCAGTAATCCGTAACAATCTCCAACCAGGTATCAGCTTTGGTCTTACGTCTGATAAACTTGTTCGTCAGACCCGCGAGGAGTGAGTCCTGTGTTTTTGACAGGTGCCTCCCCGACTCTTAAGTAAGTACTTAGGATGTTCAGACTTGATCCCCAGTGACAAACATGCTTCCTCCATCCGGAACGTCATGGTACATACATAAGATGTAAACCGCTCATCAGTACAAATTTGATCTTCCACGCTCTGTCTACTCTTATCAAGAATAGCGAGGTATGTTTACGTTGCGTACTCATCAGTCAAAATTTAACCTCGAGGGATTTGACTACCTCCCGTCACAGCTTCCTTCTTACACCAGCCTTAAGAACGTCCAGGAACTATTGGAATTTAACTTATATGTTGACGCGCACAGGTTTTACAAAAGGGCCAGGTCTGGAACAATCGAAGCAGTGCCAAATACTTCTTATCGGTTTCGCCTCGTCACTCCTGTTTCAGCACTGCGCCGGAGGTTGGATGTTCCCGAGTCCGCGTCGTTGAGCGACGAGCTCAGTATGTGATGCCTTTACGTCGTAGCTCCAGGACCTAGCGACTTTATGTCCCAGATCTAGGCTGTCGGTGGTCTAGTTCTAAAATTACAGGTATACCTCTTACTACGTGATAACAATCTAAATGCACAGCCTGACCAACCGCCAGCCTCGTGCTGTTCCACGTGACACCGGGTCAAGCCAATCGGGGACCACCTGCTCTCCGCCGCAAAATCCCGGGTTCCGTTTCCCCAATCCTTTCGAGGCCATCGTAACTTTTTTTCCCCTTGTCGCGCAGTCGCCTTCTGCTGCTAATACATCCAATTTTTGGTTTCCACCTTCTCTTTGACACTCTCCCAGCGCAGGCATGTCGTTTTCCGGAGTCTACGGTCCGCCAGGTGGCGGAGGAAATGCGGGCTTGAGTGAACAGGAACAGCAATATGTGAAGATTGTATGACCGACCCTACGCTCTAGTCTTTTTGTTGCGCTTGTGGTCGCATTCGACGAGACTGACATGAAGACTTATGACAGATGCAAAAAGGAATGGAATCCTGCGTTGTCAAATCTATAATGGCTGGAGGTGTGTTTTGAGTCCCTTGTCGTCTCCTGTCTCGAATTTGCGTCTGCTGGCAAGTCGTGGCTAACATTGTTCTCGTGCCCCACAGGCATGGGCTTTGCTCTAGGGGGGGCATTTGGCCTTTTTATGTCCAGTATGGCATATGACACTCCTCTCTCCCCACAAGGACAACAGATCACCTCCCTCCCCGTACGGCAGCAGCTGCGACAAGGTCTAAAAGACATGGGATCCAAGTCCTTCTCCTCGGCTAAGAACTTCGGCAAGATCGGGCTGCTGTATAGCGGCGTGGAGTGCGCAATAGAAGGATTCAGGGCCAAGTCGGACCTGACCAACTCAGTCGCAGCAGGTTGCATAACGGGTGGCATTCTAGGCTATCCCGCTGGGCCGCAGGCGGCGGCATTCGGCTGTGCTGGCTTTGCGGCTTTTTCGGCGGCCATTGATGCGTACATGAACATGCCGGAGAGCGACTGAGTTCAGGTGCATAAACCTTGTGTTCGATCACAAGACGATGGGCATGGCGTTTGGGAGGGTCACGGCGTTTGGGACAAGAGGACATATTAGCGAGCATTGCAGGCGTAAGGTACATTTGCATAGTGAAGGAAAGGATATTGTACAAAATGGCGGCTATACGACACTCTACTTCATGGCTTCAGGTGGGCATGAGAAGGGCGAGCCGAGTCGAACAATCTACCTAGTTCGCGGCTCGACAGATTTTCATGCGCCTCGACCGAGCCACACGATTCTGTCTGATCATCTAGAGCAGAAAATTCGCAGAAGTGCAACCCGATATGTTCACTTCTCTTCGCTATGGACCATTGTTTAATCTACTCATTATTATCGCTGTCGGGGCCAGAACCTGGAACTGAGTTTGAGATTTATAGATGCTTTTCTTTCTGGGCTGATTATCAGACTTCGGAGGTATCGGGTGGTCAACAGACTACTATATGGCCTTGTTGTATCCACACAAAGAACTATATCGAAGGACACCGCAGAGGAGACAGCACTTCGCACCGGATTGCCCTGAGCAGCGCGGTTCGGTACAGATAGGGACTAGGGATTCGCCCATCCTTGTCGAATTGCTAGCTTCTTGACGATCGTCGCAATATCGCACCCTCGGTACGATCCCGTTGTTCTCGAGGATTCGGTACAGGTGCGCCAGGCACTCGTCGAATCTACCATTCAGCCAACAGAAACGTCTGCCGGTCTGAGCATTGCAAGTCTACGACGGCTGGATGCCGTACAGATCTCCCCGGCAAAAGCGCTGAAGAGACAAGCACATATGGACCGGGATGTGGACGGAGACGGCGTCTAACGTTTCAAGAAGTGGCCATCCAACTCCGCTGCTTTGTTGGCCTTGGTCGTATCGATGGCACCAGTGGGCGTCTCAGATACATACCTCGAGCCAGCAGTGACTACTACCTGGTGTTGACACGTGGTTATATTAAATAAAGTCCCGCAAATTGTTCACATCAATTCAGGACAAACCCAGCCGGTGGGAAGGCGTGTTGATACGACGACCTCCTCGAAAAAGTTCACCAGTTCGATCGTCTCTCTCTCTCTCTCTCTCTCCGACAAACAACTCCCTCCTCGACTGGGTTCGCCAAAAAACCCCTCTGCCAGGGTTTTCCATCCCTAGGACCGCCTGTGACGCAGGGGCTCCTGGGATTAGGTTTTTGCCATTTTTGAAGGGGAAAAAATCAAAAATCCATTGGCATTCTGTGTGGGCGTGTGTCTGCGAGCGTTAATCTATCTTTTGTAATGTGAAGTACAATGCCACTGGCATGAACTGTCGATTGTAGTCAGATACATCTCCGCAGAAAATACGTGCAGCCTGGTATTATACAGCCTAATGTACACAGAATCCAGCATTCTTTGAAGACTCCTCCTCGCCTTGCACATCGTCTCTGATACGTAAGAGATAGTGAGTGACAGACGGCGAATGCTTCGATGCTTGCTCTTGGAATGAAAGGGCCGTGTTGCCGTGAGAGTTGAGGTGCAATCGAGGTTTAACACGCTCAGCCCATCTCCTGTTATGCTACGTCTTCGTCTTCCTGTTCTTCGTGCTTCGACTTCCCGCCGACTTTGCCTTGAGGTCCTTTGGATCTGGGTCAACTTTCGAGAAAAACCTCTTGATCCCTGCGCTCTGCCCCTTTTCACGTCCAGCTTCGTCCTTGTCGTTACCCCAGGACCCCAAGACCTTTCCTCGCTCACCATCCCAGCGGACTCGCATCTCACGGACACCGTCATCTCTCTGTCGCAGCCATCGCGCAGCAATCCGCCCGCACTCCCTGCCCACCTCCTCGGTGCCTTTCTTCAAAGCTGAGCCTCCACGCACGTCCATCCCGTGATCCGCCCCGACGACCGTCACCAGCCATGTTTTGGCTGTCATCTTCGCTCTCACTTTCGCCAGCTCCGCGACCGGACACATGTTGTCGCGGTCACCGGAAATGAACAGCACGCAGGTCCCTGCCGGCAGCGAGAGGAGGATTGCATCTCGCAGGTCCCCTTTCGGGCTGACGAGCGGGTACGAAGCAAGGATGAGCAGCTTCCCATGCGGGCTTCCCGCCGCGGGCGCTGCCTGTGACGCGACCACCGCTGCTCGAGCACCCATGCTCCGGCCTCCGAACGCTACCGCCTGCGCCTGCTCACCATGGTAACCGGGCTCGCCCTCCTCCGACCAGCCCCTCTTGTCAAAGTCAAGCACTTCTGCGAAGCCCGCGGCGCGCCTCTCCAAGTTCATGGGCCCCTGGAACATGATGATGGACGCCATCGCCGACGCAAAACCGTACGAAAAGTTCACCATCGCCGTCGCGTTCAAATCGCCACCCGCGCCGTGCGTGAAGATCAGATCCGGTGGTGAGCGGGGTGAAAACACCACTGTTGAGCCATCGCTTGCCATCCTGGGGTGCAGGCTTTTCCGGCATGGAATGAGCCTGGGCTTCGCCGAGACATTGTATGATGTAAATTCTGGAGCGGAAGCTGCGTCTTGGAGCAAAGCGAGTGGTGAGGCGTTTGGTTTAGCAGGTTGAGCGTCGTCTTTCTCATTCAATGCCACGGTGTCGCCTTGTTCAGGCAGTCTGTCGTCAACTGTACTTGTAGCATCATCCGCGTCCGCTCCTGCTCTCGCTTGCTTCCTCGCTCTCTTGACGCAGGAGCTCGGGGAGACGCCGCCGCCGCCGCTGCGGGTGCCGCGTGTCTTGGGCGCCATAGCGTGTTACTTCTTTCGCTCAATTGCAGTATGTGGGCTTGAATCAAGAAGGGAGAGAGACTGATAAAGGTATTGATAACACGAATGCCTTTTCCTCGTGACTCGAGCTTCTGGGGCTCGACGAGCCGTTGGACCTCAGGCCGTGTAGTTAACGTTACTGCCGCGAGGGAGTAGAGGCATCCAATGTTAAATGCCGACACGACGCAACTTGACTAAAAGCTCACTCCATCTCCCCATGTTATGCCGCGTTTCTGTTGTTTGTGTAGTATGAGTAGGTAGGTGTGCACTGTCAGCAACAAAAGGGAACGCAATGTCCAGGGGTTCGGGTACATATACGTAATTTAGAGATGATGTTAATCGTATTCGTATTGGGGCTTCCCAGACCTACAAACCACCACGGTGATCTCACGGCCATGATCTTCGGGCAGCTGAAGCCGTTCATGTCGCTATGTCTGCTCCTGAACAACCTTCTCGTCTTTCAACTGATTCCTCCTCTTATCTGAGCAACGGCACACTTCAAAATACGATCTATCTGCCACTCGACCTGGACGTCCTTGAGCACCTACGTAGCTTCAAAGTTGGCTCGACGAGCATGCACACCTCTCGTGAAAGCTAGAATATGCAGGTTGTAATGTAATAGGCTACATAATTAGAACACCTGACCACCAACTAGTTTCATTTCTTATCCCAGGGTGAAATCTCGCGGACACATTCTTGGAGGCCTCTCATCGCCTGAGGCTTTGGAACAGTTGGTGCTGCTCACATGCTATAGGGACTTGTAGCTTCGTCAAATATAATTCAAGTCGTCATGGTAGGTGTAACGGAAAAGAAAGTATACGAGTATTTGCTTGTGATCAATGTATGAGCTTTTCGTGGCTTGCTGAAAACTAAGGTTCAAGCCTCGCCGGGGCGAGCACCAAGTGCTTGTCGAAGAAGAGTCTCACACACATCCTCCTCGACAACGGCACCAAACCTGCAGACAAGTAGTCAGTGGACAGTCACCAGTTGCGCCAGATTGCTGAGTCCACCTACCCGTAGCACTTCACCTCCGGAACCAAGGTTAGCTTGAGGATTTCCAACGTATCTCTTGTGAGGAGGCTGAAATTTGGGTGCTGTCGTACTCGCTGCCAGATCTCGACGGGGGTGAGCTCGCCACTGAGGTTGAGCCGATCGGAAAACTCCAACAATTTCTCCAGCTCGACAGCTGGCACCGTCCACTTGGCGCCGCTGGCAAGGCCTGAACCCGGCTGCAAGGACACATCCAGAGGAGGCGACCGACACATGATGGGGCTCAACAGCATCATCTCGTGCCCACTGCCGTCGGCGTCATCGAAATGTGACGCGTGATGCTTGAGGCAGACGTATTCCAGGGCCAGCACAAAGTCGATTCCGACTTGAGTGGCTCCGAGGCCTTGAGGGTGGAAAACAGGCATGGTGACACTCACTCCAGACTGTGAACTGTGGTCCTGGCTGAGGCTGGGTGCATCTGATATAGTCAGGCCGGTGAGTAGGAAATCGCTAGAAGAGGTTGATCCCGCAGGAAATGGCATCGAGGCGGTTGTGATGGCGGCGCCGGCGCTGGTGGGTGATATAAAGGGAGGGGCGGTGGCGGTGGCGGTGGGATTCGAAGATGAAAGATAACCATCGGGGAAATAGGCACGAATGCTTTGCGATCGGTCCGCCAGATCGAAAATCTCTACAGTGGCCTCTGGACTGGAGATGAGAGGATCCGATGCCAAATCATGCGGCAATGTGATGTTGTATTGCTTGATCAGATCCTTCAGTCCGCGAATCAGTGCGCGATACGCTAGAAGGTGCGCTTCATGCGCCGAGTCTTTCGCGCGTAACTTGGCTACTTCAGATTCGAGTGTCTTCACATAGGTAGCCTTACGATCTCGATGTGTTCTGAAAGAAAAAGAAGGAGAAGAGACAATGCTCGTTAGCTATTATTGTCTGTAGGATCCGGGGGTTGCACGACTGAGAAGCCCACCGGCGTGCACGGAAATAGCATTTACCTTTGAGCGCGCCTGACTTGCTCACGACGTCGAGCATTTTTGGCGCCGCCCTCGTCCAAGGGAGCCTCTGCTTCTTGGTCTGAAACCATTTAGTCACAATTTGCTACCGTGTGTGAGGAGAAGTGAAAGGAATGGGGCATTGGATTAGCCATCCTGCTCCTCCTCTCCACCTAGTGGCAACACTGTGCACGAGATGCCACAGCAAGTTTTCATACCGTACTCATAAGCAGAGAGAAGGAAACGTGCGTATCGAGCGTTCGGACATACAAGGTTTCTTGACCTCGGGCGGCGGCAAGGTCTGTGATCCGTCCGACATAATGACACGACCAGCTGACTGTCTGACAGAGGATGGTCCGTTGTACGTTCCACTGCTGGTATCGACCAAGAAATCAAGGTACCCCTTGAGTGGAGAGATGGTCACGATTCAACGTGTCGGATGCTGAACTAGTCGTTCGCCCAGGCAATCGATTATTCGATCACTGAAGGAATCAAGGCGCGCTTGCGGGATTGATTATGGAATCAATAGAAGGCTCGGAACGTGGCGCGGAATGGCGATGTTTGATGCCGAAAAGGGAGTTTCACAACAACAGAGTCTTTTCTCTATATGTATTGAAGGCAGAAATCGGTTGATTGTGCTCGTACGTTTTCCGTCCCGAATGAGAACTCTGCACAGGCGTTATTTATGTATTATGGTACAGTGGAGATGTGCAAGCGCCCATGGGTGGAGCGAGTAATAGTATTCTCGCATGATTGAGCGGCAGAGACTGGCCGAGAGAGAGAGCTTGAGCCTTGATAGCCACCCATAGGGCTGTTTGAGTGGGTGCTTCCACACAAATATTCTTAGGCGAATGCCATCGTCGATCACTCGTAAGGCCCCTGCTGGTCAGCCCTAAGCGCTGACTAAGTCCGGACGGAACAGGCAAACAAGACTCTTGTTGGGCTGTTTACGAAGTATTCGAGTAACGATACGAGCCGAGTGGTCAGATGTCTTTATCATAGAGATTAGGAACAAATGAGTTTCGCCAATAGAAGAGATCCTATCGGTAGGACCACCAGTTCGGGCTCGATTGACGTTGCATTTTCAATTCAATAACGGCATGAGTCGATTGTAAAACGAGTTCCAGCACTAAGTCTTTCTAGCTAGATGATAGGACATCTGACTCGTGCCTGGCCAGTGAGATAGCAAATTCCTACGATCACAACCAAGAACACGAGCACGCGCCATTGCCAATTAGGACGCATTGATCTGTTCAGCTCAGATAGCGCGATTGGGATACGGAGACCGGTGAAGGTCTGCTTGTCAATCTTGAACGAGAACACCTGTTGTCTGACTTCGGCCTCAGGTGGATTCCTCGCACGCGTGTCTAGGCGAGCCAGAAAAGAGCGACGCTTGTCAGTGGAAGAGCCTCAATAGTGGAGACAAAGTTGGTTAGGAGAAGAGACTCAACAACTACATAATATTGAGTCTTTGAATCCTCCTGGGTCCTCACTTCTATGCTCATCATGCCATATTCTTGCCACCATCGCCCAGACCAGAAGAAACCTCTGATGTCTGTGTTGAGCGATCTTGGGTATTGGGAGCAACCTTTCTAAAATATAAAAGCTCAGGACGTTAATTCAGGGCCAGATATAATTCGGTGCAGCGAGGGCAGAGTAGCACAGCACCCAACTAGGGCAGTACAAATGAAATGACCTCCTTAGAATGCGTTGGTCCCATCGTGTTCAATGGAGAGGCTTTCGAATTATCTTCACTAGAGGAATTCCGGACTTCTCTTGCTGTCCTGATATGTTGCAAGTTTCGCCTGAAGACAAAGGGATGGTTTGGGAGTTGGCGAGCTCAAGGCATAGTAGCTGGTATGTCATTTTATGTTCAAATACCATCGAGTTAGGGGGACAGGTACGCTGAGCCGCCTGTCTTGAGTTGGGCTACCACAAGCTCCGTTGGACATTGTCTTCAAGTGTGACAGTGGGTAGGAGGGTCTGTTCTGTAGACATTTGAGCCAGCTTTGTTCCAAGATCATTGTGTGGAATAAATGCTCCGTTATTGCTGGGACAGGTTTCACTGTTGAGGAGGTCCTGGCAGATAATGAAACGACGTATCGCCGAGCATCTCCCAGATATCCTCTGCTCGATTGGTCGCCGTCCAAGCAGGTAAGGGACATTCGCCCCCGGAGTGCATGTAACACTCAAGTCTTGACCTCATACCTGTCTGGGTGTAAGGCCCTTCATACGAGGTCGCGGCTTTACAGGCAGTGAAATCGTCTTCCGTATGCCAATGCCACTCCCCCTCGTCGTGGTCGACATACCATGTTCCAAGTATCGAAACACTGTGAAAATGCCGCTTTGCAAGATAATCGAGCACGTCAACCATTGAATAGGTTTCCATCCGACAATCTCTCAGTGCCAGTGCATGGATGTCTACGCCCTCATGAAGGAGGGCCTTTAGGTCTCCCCATCGACAGCTAAATCGAGACAATGACAGAGATTTCAGGCGAGAGACCCAGAGGCGTGGGAATTGATCGATGTTCGTCCTGTCGAACAGGTCAAACGAGTATTCTGCCTCCTTGCCAATAGGAAGGTCGATATGGAGGTCCCTAAGCTCTGGGGAATTGTTCAGCAGCCTCGTCAGCTTGCACGGCCAAAGATGCCTAACGTTATTGGTGATCTGATCTCCGGTGTCACTTCGCGAGAGCCAGTCACTGTGTGGGAGGCTGCTGATCCTAAGGCTGAGATTGCTCAAATGTCGAAAAATGTCTTCTAAGACCTGTTGCCCGTTGGCATGAAGTCTAGTCAATAGTTCGTGTGGCATGTCCACGGCCTCGAGGACGGTCAAAGGACATCGAGATAGTCGCGCAGCTTCAAGGAAATTGATAAAGTGAGTCATGCAATGTTGCCTCCTGTTGGAAATTCTTCGGCGATAATCCAAATCGTAGGGGCGGTCGGTCTGATACTCTTCGTGATTAAATGCTTCAAGCTCTTCCAGTCGAATTTGAGGTTCTGCCATAATCACTTTGAAACAAATGTTAGAATTTGAGTTGCTGAGAGAATTGAACGTCCGGATTAAGCTCTCTTGAACCCGTGGATCAGCCATAGCAGCAGCTTGCTGGTCAAGATGCCACCGATATAAATCATAGCGAACAGGAAAATCTGGAGCGAACCTTGCCTGAAGATTCTCGTGGAATTTGGTGTAGTCTAACTTTGATGGCTCCTCAGAGGCAAGGCTCCTAGACCATGCACTATTGAGCTCGTGATATATCTGCGCCTGCCAGTATCGGTAATCTGCATATTCTAGTTGAACGCCAGACTGGAAAGAGATACATTTCAGATATGGCGCAATAGATTTGTTTGAAGCAAGTTTCTCAAGCTGATACAATCGATGGTGGCTTGGATATAGCCGGAACTCGAAGTTGTGAAAGAGGTGCTTCTCGGCGACATGAGCATATGCCTTGCAAAGAAGACGGAAATGCTTCAGAGAGGATCGATCAATGAAGTAACAAAGATGATCTACGAGCTCTGTTGGTAGGTCTTCCATTTCAAAGGTTGAGAAAGACGAGCCCTTGACTCATACATGCAATGGCACATATGGGGACATGACAGCAATATATACCTGCTTATCTAGGGAGCCTGTGGACGGCTTGCGTGTCCTAGAACAAAAAGGGTGGTAGCCTGCTACATGAAGACCTATTTGGCGGCAGCTTCAAATTTTGCATAATCGGAGCAGGCAGCCCGACTTCAGAGTAGAACACCCACCAACTAGTGGTAGTAGCAGAGAAAATGAGCATGAATCCCTAATGTTGGAAGCTGATAAGGGCGAGTGGTGGTCTCCAGTAATGGCTGGCCGTAGTCGTAGCCTCAGCACGTGTGTTTTACGGTGGAGCATACCAACAAAGAGACCTGAAGTTCTGAACGAAGCAACTCTGCTGGGTCGCAAAATAATAAACAGCACCAGAGCGGTTCGTTGTGGTTGTCCATGGTCAGCGGCTTTGTGGTGGTCAAGAAGAGGTACCTCATCCTGGCATGGTGTGAAACCAAGCTTGACCATGCGTCGCTTGATCCCCAGGGCGGCACACGTGCCCAAGTTTCCGCGTCCCGGCCGATGCTGGCTCTCGACAGGCAGACCTGGTCTCCCACAGCAGGCGCCTAAGCTCGATGGACAGGCGGCCACCAGAAGTCGCTTTGATCGATTGATCCATCGCACCCCACGGTTTTTGAAACCAACGCTGACCGGGCTGAGAGATGCGCCAGTGTCTCACATCAGCGCGTTCTTTATTCTCCACGAGGTCACCGCAGTCGTCCCATTGTTCGGACTCGCTGGAGCCTTCCATTATTGGAATTGGCTACCGCCCTACTTCGCTGAAGGAGCATGGGTTTCAGCCGGCGTGGAGAAGTTTGGCAGATACGCTCGCAAGAAAGGATGGATCAGCGAAAAAGGGGAAGCACAGGTTGAGGAACAAACAAAGCATGGAAATGCAGAGGCCGTTGAGACGCGAAAGATGTCCAATGCGTTCAAGAGAGGGGAAGAGACTACAAGATGGATAGTGGAATTTGCAACTGCGTATGCCGTTGTCAAAGCGTTCATTCCACTTCGCATTGTTGTGAGCGTTTGGGCATCCCCATGGTTTGCACGGTGGACCATCATCCCAATAGGCAAGGCTGCACGGAATTGGCTCACCCGCAAGCCTTGAGAATGTCGACTGAGGCAGGTCAATGCTGTTTCGTTCTGAACCCATGGTCTGTAACTTGTTGTCATTCTTCCAGACTAGGTAGGTCTATCTTTTGCTGTTCCGCTCTCCGAGGCCTCAAGGTTAACGGGAAGTGTGTGCACCCTAGATTCTGAACCATAGTCTGTCAGGTGGTAGGTGCTTGCACCTCGGCTTTGCTCATTGCTGTCTATGCCTTCTCATAAATCCAGTCGAACTGGGCAGCCTTGTAGCTGTGGACCTCGTCGGGCTTGAACCACAAAGCGATCTCTTTCTTCGCGTTCTCAACGCTGTCTGAACCGTGGCAGACATTGCGACCAACATCAATGGCGTAGTCACCTCGGATAGTGCCGGGGGCTGAAGCGAGAGGGTTGGTGGCACCAAGGATGGCTGTTCTCTGGTTAGCCGACGGTGTGCAATGATAAACGGACGGAGGATAGCTTACTTCGGCCGGTCTTGACAGCATCACGTCCCTCCCAAACCATGGCGGTGATGGGACCGCTCAACATGTCTAGATTAGGATGTCAGTGGATGTATGAGGTCTAGAAGGTGTGGTGTGGGAAATTGCATACAGGTTACAAGACCCTTGAAGAAAGGCTTGTCGGAGAGATCTGCATAGTGCTTCTCGAGATGTTCCTTGGATGGGGAGACGAGCTTCAAGGCAACTAGCTTGTACCTGGAAGGAGTTAGCAAGTTTATGGCCTTGTCTTGGGGATTGATGCTCACCCTCGCTTCTCGAATCGTGAGATGATATCACCAACTAGGCCACGCTAGTGGGAGAAGTTAGGGACTGAGAAGAGATTCTTTAAGGGTTTATGGAAATGGTACCTGGACGCCATCGGGCTTGACAGCAATGAAACTGGGAAATCTGTCAGCGAGGAACCCGGTATTGAATGGCGAAAGGACTCACGTTTGCTCCGTCGACATGTTGAAAGTTGAGTAGAGTAACGCGTGAGGCTAGATAGAGCAGAGGAATCGAGGACTTGGTTCTTTGAGGGAGTGGGAGTGGCAGGCTAGTTGCGGTCAAGGTGCGTTTTAATATTTTGCAGCAGTTGTTGCTCTCCGCGCAAATCAGTGGGGGTTTATTTTCCCACTGGCGCTGGAAGGCCATGGAGGGGCAAATGGCAGTCACGACTCACAACTCAATCCAGGTGCACCTGCCCACCAACTACCGCCAAGCCCATTACATGCAGGGTCCCCTCTTCCCTCCAGCTTCGTAGCACCTCATTGGCTTTCGTGGCTCCCTTCAGGCACGGGCGCGCAGGCGCGGGCACGCTCCCCCGTACTTTATTGACAGGGCAAAGCAGATAAGTACAGGACAGATCAGACTTCCATCCTCCAGCACAACTACAATGGCGAGATCCTCGAGAGAACTGAATTGCTGGACAATCTTTAGCCTCTTGTGCTTGTTGTTGCTGGCTCTGGCCTCACCATCAGGTATGCCCACTCACATTTCTTTTCCTTTCCATTATATCCCCAATGCTGACCGCTGATTTGCACAGTTGCGGTCAAACACCATGACTTCAAACGATGCGACCAGTCCGGCTTTTGCAAGAGGAATAGGGCTCTTGCAGATTCCATGATTCAGAATGGTGGCTCTAATTCTTCCCCCTACCAACTAGTGGCTGCCTCCATCAAGTTCAAGAACGGCGTCTTAGAGGGCGCCATCATCAAGAACATTCCACGTGCTACCCCGGTCAAGCTACCTGTCACCATCACTTTCCTTGATCGTGGTAATGCTCGAGTTACCATCGACGAAGAGAGGCGTCAGAAGAGAGACATCGAGCTACGCCATGGCAGCGTTGCCAGGAAAGAGAGATATAATGAGGCCGGCGCCTGGGCTTTGACTGGAGCGGGTCTCCAACCCCAGAAATCTGCTACCTTGACCAAGACCTCCAAAGATGTCACAGAGGTATCCTGGGGCCCAGATGGCCACTTCAAAGCTATCATCCGCCATGCTCCTTTTGGTATTGAATTCTTCACGGGTGAAGAGCAACAGGTGGTTTTCAATGGTCGCGGTTTCCTGAATGTTGAGCATTGGAGGCCCAAAATTGAGAAACCCACCGTCGATGAGAACTCGACCGAGCATGACCAGGCTGTCGAGTCTGCTGAGGATGAAAGCACCTGGTGGGAAGAGAGTTTTGGTGGAAATACTGATTCTAAACCCAAAGGACCCGAAAGTGTGGCTTTGGATATCACCTTTCCAGGCTATGGAAATGTCTATGGCCTCGCTGAGCACGCAGGCCCGTTGTCATTGAAGCAGACTCGCGGCGGAGAAGGCAATTACGACCAGCCATACCGCATGTACAACAGCGATATCTTCGAGTATGAGCTCGATAGCCCAATGACACTATACGGCTCCATTCCTTTTCTTCAAGCTCACAAGAGAGATTCCTCTGTCGGTGTCTTTTGGTTGAACGCTGCCGAGACATGGGTTGATATCACTAAGGCAAAACGTGACACCAATCCTCTGACTCTAGGATTGAGCGGTGGCGTTGTAGACACCCAGACCCACTGGATCTCTGAGAGTGGCCTGTTAGACGTCTTTGTCATGCTAGGACCAACTCCTCAAGATCTCGCCAAGTCATACGGCGAGTTGACTGGCTACACGCAGCTGCCGGCCACATTCGCCATTGCCTATCATCAATGTCGGTGGAACTATGTCAGTGATGAAGACGTCAAGGATGTCGACCGCAAGTTTGACAAACACAATATCCCTTACGACGTAATCTGGCTCGATATCGAGTACACTGATGACAAGCAATACTTCACCTGGGATCCATTGAATTTCCCAGATCCTATCTCTATGGAGAAACAGCTAGACGAGAGCGAACGCAAATTGGTGGTCATCATTGATCCGCATATCAAGAACAAAGCTGGCTACAGTGTTGGAGAAGAGCTGAAAAATAAAGGATTTGCTGTCAAGAACAAAGACAACAATATCTTTGAGGGTTGGTGTTGGCCCGGAAGTTCCAACTGGATTGACGCCTTCAACCCTGCAGCTAGGGCTTGGTGGAAATCACTCTTCTCCTTCGACAAATTTAAAGGAACCATGCAGAATGTGTGGTTGTGGAACGATATGAATGAGCCATCGGTGTTCAACGGGCCAGAAATCACTATGCCTCGTGATAACATTCATCATGACAATTGGGAACATCGAGACTTGCATAATATCAACGGCATGACTTTCCATAATGCCACCTACCACGCTCTGGTAGAACGCAAAAGAGGGGTCGTTCGACGACCATTTGTCCTGACTAGAGCGTTCTACGCTGGCTCTCAGCGGTCAGCCGCAATGTGGACCGGCGATAACCAGGCGAACTGGGAGCACCTGGCTGTGTCTATCCCCATGATTCTCAATCAAGGCGTAAGTGGATTCCCTTTTGCTGGGGCTGATGTTGGGGGCTTCTTTGGAAACCCAAGCAAAGAGTTACAGACTCGATGGTATCAAGCCGGTGCGTTCTATCCTTTTTTCCGAGGTCATGCACACATCGATACTCGAAGACGAGAGCCTTACATGCTTGGAGAGCCTTACACCAGCATCATGACCAAGGCATTAAGACTACGCTATGCTCTCCTTCCAGCCTGGTACACTGCATTCCACGAAGCCTCTACCGATGGATATCCCATTGTGCGCTCGCAGTACTATGTTCACCCCGGAGATGAGAAGGGCTATGAGATGGACGATCAATTCTACCTAGGCTCCACAGGTCTTTTAGTAAAGCCGGTCACTCGCGAAGGGGAGGAAAGTGTAGATATCTACCTTTCAGATGAGGAGAATTACTTTGATTACTTCGACTATACGGTTTACAGTGGTGGATCGAAAACGCACAAGATTGCGGCGCCGCTGGAAAAGCTACCGATCTTGATGCAAGGTGGCCATATAATTCCACGGAAAGATCGTCCTCGAAAGAGCTCTGGATTGATGAAATGGGATCCTTACACACTTGTTGTGGTATTAAGCAAGACAGGAGAAGCGGATGGCACCATTTATGTTGATGATGGTGAGACGTTCGATTATCAACAAGGTGCCTATGTGCACAGGCAATTAGCCTTCTCGAACAATCAGTTGACAAGCAGCAACATTGGCACCAAAGGCAGCAAGACTGCGTCGTATCTCAAAACGATCCAGGAGGTGAAAGTGGAGAAGATCATCATCGTCAATGCTCCAGCGACTTGGGCAGCATCCACTGACGTTGCCGTGTCTCAAGACCAATCTCAGGACGCAAAGGTTGACTTGAATTACCATGCAGCGGTTGGAGGCAAGGCAGCTTGGGCAGTGGTTCGAAGGCCAGATGTCAAGATTGGAGCGGACTGGAGCATCAATTTTAGGGGCATCTCAAGCGAAAAGACAGAACTATAGAAAAGACAATGTAAACTAGGACCCAGACAGGATCACGAAGCGATATGCTACTATCAAGTGACCAGACTTGCCACACTAGGTACTCTAGAGCATGACTTATTTTTGAATGCTAGTGCTCAGTCCTCCGTACTGTCGGTCTGGGGCCAATTAGCAGATGGATGCATTGTCGACAGGATTGGGTGGAGGTTCCGGGAAAGAGACCCGATGCCAAGGCTCTAAGCGGTCCGTGAGATGAGGATCGCTCGGATGTGAAAGCTTGCACCAAATGAAATCACCCGCCTGTCGTCCGAGATACTGGCATGACTCTCCTTGCAACGCCGTTCCCAACGTGCTGGAATTGCACGAGTCTCCGTATCTGAATCCTTCAAAGAAGACAGCATGCTCTCCCACAATATTAAGCTTTGTTAACTTTCTCCTCTTGGCCTGGTTTTGGCCTACGCAACAGGCGTTGGTGGTCATTTTTCAATTCAATTGATGCTTGTTGCAGACGTCTCCCAGATTGACCATGTTTCAGTTTCTCTCCGTGATCATTGACTACTTTGCGCCTCTCTTGTAAGTGCCAAAGCACTGACCGCCATGGAAAACACTCCAACGGACGCTAATACTCGATTGCAGCCTTGTCGTTTCTCCTATCACCTCCTATGCCGATCAGATCGCTTCGATACACCGTCGTAAAACGAGCGATGGCTTCTCCCTCGATATTCCCCTGATCATGCTCCTTGCCTCCATCCTGAAGTCCGACGCCTCACCTCACATTCATTGTTCGCACAACTAACGTCGACGTAGAGTGTTCTATTGGTTCGGTGCCTACTATGATAAAGCCTTGCTCCTCCAAGCATCTTTGATGATAATCGTCCAAATCGTGCTGCTGAAAGTCGCCCTCGACAATAAAGCACCGACAGGGGTAAGAGATGGGATCGAGCACAGTCCTTTCCAAGGGTACACTGCTTCGAGCGGCATACAAGATCTGTTAGAGGGGCGCAGGCCGTATGACTTCTGGCGCTGGGGCAGTTCCAAACCGTATGTTGAGGAACTCCTCATCGTTGCGGTAGAACGTAGGCAGTAGTGCTGACTGTGTTGTTGCAGGTATTTCCAGTTTCTGGCCTATTTTGCCTTCGGGCTTCTTGCGATCCATGTCCTCCTCCCCTTCGTGTCAGGTTCGCCTGCCTACATCTCATTCCTCGGATATCTGGGTTTAGCCATCGAGGCAATATTGCCGCTGCCACAGATTTACAAGAATCACAACGCGCGGTCCTGCAAGGGTTTCCGCCTTTCCGTCATTGTGAATTGGCTGGCAGGCGACGCGATGAAGATGAGCTATTTCTTTCTCAGCAGCCAACTCGTGCCCTGGCCGTTTCGCTTGTGTGGGATGTTCCAGGCTTGTTGTGACACCTACCTTGGGCTACAATTTTACATGTACGGGGAGCGGCGCACTATTGGGAACCCTGACATTCAGATGAGTATGACGGGCAAGCCCGGACTCTCGGGTTGAGAGTCGTCATTTCTGCATCCGAATTGAGCAAGTCCAAGCAGTCGAATAATTCAAGACTTGACGGGGGGAAGTTCATCTGAACACACGGCCCGCTTGTTTGCTAAGGTGGGCGGAAATCATGGCGTCAAGTGCGTAGGGCTGTAGGTTGTCAGGCCTTGAGTGACGTCTTGTTGGACTTTTGACAAGTCAGACCACGAGGCTGTTGAGTTACAATCCAATCAGGTTAGCCGGTTCGACGGCACACCGCGCAACGGACAGCAACGTCATGAGGCTCAAAGTTCAACCCTCAGCCTTATCCCAAATCACCAGCGGCTTGCGGCGATCAAGCTACGAGTACGATTAAGATTGCACACCCCGGCTCATCATTTAGTACAAAACTTCGATCGGGGCTCGCAAATTCGGCTGTGGCGCACAAGGGACCCTCGGCCACCGCCAGAGCGGCCGGTCCACGTGGCTTGCCAAGACCTCCAGCTTGATGGTTCAGCCGGCCAATCGCTGTCATTACCGCACAGGGACATACGCGTTCCCGAGAGGCTTCTGGAGTAATTTACGGTTTGGCGACGTCTGCAAGCCACGCAATAGAGGGACTTGCGTGGATCTGGTTCCCGAATGACTGGATGGGCGGCCTAAAAAAAGATCGTGCCAATGTACGAGTATGTAGGGGCTCGTCAATTGCCTGACCACGATGACGTTCAAATGCTGCGATAGATGCCACGACTCCCTCCTCATGGCAGCGGCGGCCTCTCAACCCCGACGGCGACAGCTTTCAACACATTCAAGCATCTATTACAACAGAACTTGGTTATCAACGACCTTCCCTCTCATCGATAATGACCATGGGATTCCGTGGTATCCGCTTCCGTCGACGGACCCATAATCGACATGTCCGGATGTTCTTCTGGTCTTTTTACAACCTCATCATTCCTCCGCACGCCCCAAGAGTGTGATTGAAACCACGTGCATTATGAATTTGTCAAAACAATGTACACACCTACACACCCACAGTTCTCCCTGCAGTGACACGAATAGCGAGGAAGGATGGCCGTCCCCGGAGGCCCGGAGGGGCTATTCACAACCCAGTCCCGCATTACTCATCAAGCAATCACTACGCACCATAGCTGTAGGGAGGAAACGCCTCTTGAGGATCGGCGCATTGAGGATTTCGGTGTCTTGTCAAAGGCTAGTGCCAGCGACTCGAGCAGGACTTATTGAAGGCTGCGCAGATGGCACGAATAATTTAGCATGGAGGCTTACTCCCGCCGGGTGCCATTATCACTTATAGATAGCACAAATGTGCTTTGGGAGATTCCGAACTTGGAATGGGTCGGTTCCACAGCCGTTAGAATTGATGTAGTCGACCTAGATGCAAGACTTGTTGAATGGTGTCAGCCAGTCAGGAATACCGAAATTGACATAATTGGATCGACCACTTCCTCCAAGTAACATGAGAGATATAGTGGTAGTTCGCATTCCGCCCTAGAACGCAGACCGAGTAATTGAGTCGGAAGCTCTTACTCCACTTGGAGGAATTTCCGCTCCTTCTTCGGTCTTGGGGGTGGAGGTGGAGCAGGAGTCGATGGTTCGAGCGACGTTATGAGGCTGTTATAACCGTTGGATATTATTGTTCATATCCACCCGGGGATAACAAGGACTTAGCAGCCTCGTACCTCACACCTCGTAAGTCAGAAGTAGTGCTGTAGCAAGTAGATCTACTGTGTACCCGGGCATCTGCTGCGTATCTGTCACATATCTGGAGCATGGTCTGAGAAGGAGTACGAAAATCGAGCGGAGCGAAGGCCGCGGCATTAGCTGATTATGATGACTCTAAGCGACGAATTGGAGGAAGCGAGTGATTCTGTCTCTTTGGTTTCGAATTATTCTCTCCGGTAAGACTCCGGGACATATCCATAGTGGGTCCATCTTGCGAGGCACATGGTCCTCGCCGTTGGACGCGACCATAGGCGTTTCATGGCCGACAAGGATGACAGTGTTGCTCCTCGGTCCTCGCAAGCAAGGGCGTACCCCAGTGTTCGGGTGAAGTGATGGCAGGCTAAACATTCACCCGGGCATCAACCACTGTGAACCGTAAGTAGTAAGTTGTAACTTTGCGGTGCCTGAACCAGTTGGGTGCCAGTCGTTCTCTTGAGTGTCTTTGGCGAAGGGGCGAACGACTTGTGCAATATCGCTAACCACGTCGCTCACCGCAACCGTACATACGCGTTCCTTCTCCTTGGTCCATATCTCTTCTTACTCGCAGACTGCGAATGTTAGTCACCAACTACTCTTCGTAGTAAACCGCTAATTAACTCAATCGGTTACTCTCTAGATAGCCACGGAACTTTCCTAGCCCCTCAGTGGCAGGCAGCAATTACTGGATTAGTACATGGCGCGCGCCCCTCCCTTTTCTTTCTCTCTGTCTCCCCTCCGCAGGTCCTTCATCCAACCTCACGACTCGCGAGTCACATCCCGTGTCCAAACTGGACCTCCTTGGACCTCCCTCTGACCTCCTCTGACCAGACCTCCATCTTGGTTCTGGTGCTTTTCTCCCGCCTGAGTCAGCGATGGTCGCATGTCTTTTCTCGCCTCTCACTGGCTTCGACTCGCACTTCTTTCGGCTAGGTATTCTTCCCTCCTGCACGGTGCCGTTGATAGCGCCTCGGCTGATGCTGATCCAAATCTTTGCAAGTCTCTTTTCGATCTTCCGCACGCACCCTGCAGCCCCTTGAGCCCTTGAACCTTGCCTGTTTTCCGATCTTACCAACACCACCCCAAATATCTCCGAGAGTTGCGTACCCGCCAGTATCCTCGCACGAGTACTCCGTACTGTATGTACTACGGACGAGCTCTCTTGTCCGGCTTCCGCTCCTCCCATCTCCTCCTATCACTTGTTTCATCCACCCTCAAACTCGCAATGGCTACAAACGCCTCATGACGCAATAGGCCCTCGCCCATCCTTCTGTTCATACACCCGGGATATTGTTGTTCATGAGTTGTCTGACGTTCCATGAATCCTAACGATTGCCCGCAAACCCTAGACCACAACCGTCTAAATTAATTACTGCTCATCCACTCACACCAGATACTTCAAAGGTATATACAAGCCCATCATCCATCAACAGCTTCCAACGTCCCTTGCACGGAATAACATCCCACGCCCCTGCGGAATTCTGTACTCAGACCTCTTGCATCAAGCATCCCACCATCATTGGCGATTCTGATCATTCTGCTATATCGACCCTTGAGAGTCCAATCCACTCGCTTGGCTCTTCTGCTCCCGACCAGCGAATCATTTACATACCCACTGCTATCTGCGGTCTGCTCACTCTTACACACTTGTCCGTGGATAGATAATTGTCTAAATACTATCAATCCCAACAACTACTCGCACAATTGGCCCAGCCACTCCAGAATCCGGGCATCACCTCACTGTCAGCCTATTCGTACCAGCAGACCGCTTACAAAAATATCCACTCCAGCCTCGGCAAGGCCTTCACCAAACGCATTCTTAGTCATAGAGTGAAATTTCCCAAAGAAGCCCTAAAGTCTCAGTCTACGATTCGCTCTGGCTTTGGCATCTTTCGCTCAAAACGCCAATCGAGCTCTCGTCCGCTTCCCTCCAAATGAGATAACCCATTGTCAGGTGGAAGTACAATCTCAATAATCCAGCGTTTTCAACCCTCTCCATAATTGGACTTTCGACTTCATTTGGTCTCTTTTAACTCGATATATCCCACATTCGAAGCCAGCTTTCACAGTGCTTCAAATATCAATTCGGCAAGACTTCATATCAAGATCCAAAATGCCCTCTCGAATAAGTGGCGCGTGCAATGGGTGTAGAACTAAAAAACAAAAGGTATGCAACGCCTGTTCACTTGAACCTATTTAGGTTCATTGCCTCGTTCATCACTTGTCTCTTTGCACATTGAAAACGAAGACTCATGTCATTGGTCCTCGATATCATTGCCTACCGTTTGCACGCCCGAAGCTAACAGTACTTCTGAACAGTGCAGTGGTGATAGGTACGTTTTCCTTGTTTCATCAAATTCTTCCTCGCAAGAAATAGTCATCAAATTAGGAAGGGAGTAGCACGATCTTTATATACCTTGCCCCAGAGTTCAACTCCAGAAAGATCCCCAGATAATGGCCGTCTCAATGATGACTTGGGAGATCGTTTTGGCACAATGATTCAAAACTCCCCCCACTGTGGTTGGACCGCCCCAACCGCCGGCCAATCAACCCTCAGTGGTCTGTTGTGAAATTTGTATATCTCATCAGCGGCTTGTGCCTTCCTGACATGAATACTACACATATCCTATAAGCGACCTAATACTCTTGTTCTGATTGAAGCTTTCAACGGGCCCTGAGGCTGACTTTGTGTGCACAGAAATGGATGCACCCAGTGCCATGCAGGCGGTATACAATGCACGTGGCCTGAGCAGAGGAAGAGGTACGTTTTGCCCCCAACGCTCATTTACACTCCCACTCCAGCCCACTGTCTTAGCAGCATTATCCGTATGCTTACTTTGTTCCTATAGAGGTCCAGCCAAAGGTTATATCGAGGGTCTCGAGCACAGATTGCATGAGGCCGAGTCTCTCCTCCTTGCTCTCTTACCTCTTATTGCCCCAGACCAATTGCAAATTGCGACAGATTGCCTCAACGCCAACTCGATCTCGAACACCATGGGCGGAAAGTCTCGAGAGTCAGCCTCACCCTCGCCACGGAATATGCGCTCATCACCCCCTGTCCTCAATAAGAAGACAGGTATCGATTATTGGGAATCATTCCCCTTGGACAGCGTGGAGAACATTAGAAAGTGGCAGGATGATTGTGCCATCCACAGCTCCGTACAACCTCAACGAGATTGCCAGGGATCTTTCCGGAATTCAATGGACGACATGCACTCACATGTTCGCTACAACCACCAAAGTTCTCGGCCCGGTTCGGTTGATCTAAAGCGAGAGTCCGCCAATGTATTTGCATCGCGCCAAGGTCAAGGTCAAGGTCAAAGTCAAGGTCAAAGTGCCCCCTTCAGAGCCATGTCCTCTGATCCCTACCGCAGCGGTACCAGCACCCCAGTCCACATGTCATCTGGAGTGCAAGAGCAATCCCAGACACAATCACATCATGTGCCTACAAGTCAGCAACAAACCTGGCAGAACCTAGCTCTTTTCTCACCTCTGCCGACGCCTTCCAATGCACAGTCGAGTCCCGGCACAACCGCCACCTCTAGCAACCATAACAATGCCGGAATGGGGGCTGAAGCCCTGTTACTTCAATCCTTCGCCGATTCCAACTGGGCACAACAAACCTCTTTGAACAGCCCCTTGAGCGCTATGGGGATGGGACTGGGGGGTGGCATGAATAACGGCATCGAGAGTGGCCCTATGGAGATTGATACCGGCTTCTTCTCTAGTGATATGCAGAGGAGACTGTTTTGGTAGAGGGCAGAGGATCAATATTTTGCATTGCTGTGTTACGACACGACTTGATACGACTACTCTGGTGGAAATCGTCGGCGTGGTTCATTCGCCATGTACTGGCAGTGTTAGGCGTTTTGGTTGTTATGTGGGAGGCCGGCATGTCGCTCTCCCGTGACACTCCGATTAGGCCTCCATAGGGCTTCCTTGCTGTTCAGCAGAAACTAGACGGCTTTGGCGGTAGCCTTATGGATCAGGTCAAGCATAAATTGACCTACCCTTTCTAATTCTACATGGACTGGCCGTGTGGCTGTGGTGGTTTCTTGCAGGTTTTGAGCATCTTCCTCGTTCGTTCGAAACGGATACCCAAAGTACATAATAAGCAAAACGAGTTCGCAGGAGCCTTGGCCCTTGATTAGGGTTAAACTTTCTTTGGTAAAGGTAACCCAACATGACTGTCCAATATGCCGCAGAACCTAGAAGGAAGATAAGAGCGGTTTCACCTTCCGGCACATGCTCCGGGTCGCATTCAGGCTCCTCAACAGATTTCTAACTAGGACACAAGGGATGATACTCACCGTATCTACCCCTCCACCAGATCTCCAGAAATGTACATAGTATCCCAGTCCACCCAACTGGTACACTTAACGGAGACACTTCTGGGTAACAACCGCTTGGGAATAACCCAACTAGCATTAGTAAGTAGCGTTGGGCGGCTAGTACACTATAGATAGATATATATATGCATATATGTTTCAGGGGACATGTATCTACATGGATATATACACGCATACATTAAGGTGTTCACCTCCTCCCTACAAGAGAACAGGTTGCTTGGTCAAGCGAATAGGCAAGTGAAGTGAAAAGCAAGCCAATCGGGGAGTACATGTATGAACAGTGCGGGCCTCAGGCGTACATGGCTGGAAAAGAATAAGTACACGGAGAATGTCTTCCCCCCACACGTTGTGGCCTTCACCCCAACGCCTCTTGCCGCAAATACTCCGAGAGAGAGAAAAAGAGTGAGGTCGGGATCATGGCTAGCGTAATGCCGCGATGCTGTGACGCTCAGAACGCGGCTGCTGATGGTAGTAGCTTGTGATTCGCTGATTCGCGAATCGTCGCTATATGCTATGCTATTCCAGACATCATGGATGATCGGTGATGGGTCGGTCCGTTCACCTGTGTGGTACATCCATCCAGTCTATAATCTAGATGGAAGGCACTCCGTCGGATGTCTGTCCTGTGAAAACCCCAGGTGGAGGGAGGAAAATGCTGGGTCCGGCTTGACTTGCATTTACGGCACGCATGCTCTCCGGACAATAGCTCAGAAACACTTCGAGGCTATGAGTGGATACCGGGGAACTTTTGGCCGGCATACGATTTTTCTGCCAGGCCTGGCCGATTTCTGGGAAAGGTCGCACGAAGAGATTCGTGTTATCTTACTATTCCGTACGGAGTGTCTTGGAAGTGGTAGAGAACACCGGTGACTGCAATTGGGAAACGGTCATCCTCTTGGCAAAGGTTGGGACCTCAAATGTCCAGACCCCGCTTTGTATGCATGGCTAGAAAGTCAACCATAAATATCGCTTGATTCCAGGCTCGGGTTGTGGGCTGCGTGACTGCATCTCGTCTTTTGGGGCTGTGCTGATGCTAGCTTTCAAGTCGTACTCGCAGAAGCAAATTGACTTCACCAAGCGAGCCAAGGTTTGGTAGTCCGACCGCCCAGCGCCCGAAACGCATCCCAGCCTTGTCAGGTTAAACGTTTATCCCACGTCTTTGCATCTGTCGCGTGTACCAAGAAGAGTCCCTACATCTCCCAACCGGAGTTGACACCACCTCCAGGTGCAAACGGACCAGTCATGTTTTCCCAAGTCGCCGATCCAAAGATGTCGGCCACATTGTAATCCATGTTACCCCAGAACATGGGATCTGAATAGTCGTTTAGCGTACCGTCTGGCCCACTTTGACCCCCATCTCCACCATTTAGGCCCGGCCCAGCGGCGATGTTCATGTTACTTTGCGCGAATGCAAGATCCTGGGGTGTTGCATAGACGGCGCTGCCAATTCCCGGAGCAAACTGTGGTTGAGTGGTGGGTTGGCCGCGATCCCAGTTCGAAAAATCAAAGGCGGAGGGGTGGCCACTTCTCGGGTTCGTCAACGCGGAAGGGTTGTTAGGATCAAAGACTGTCGAGGGGGTCCAAGTCGGAGTGGAATTGGCTGTGGAGGATTGTTGTCTCAACCGTGGAGGATTGGAAGTGGAATGGTTTTGCACCGGACTGCTCGTAGCAGAATCGGTGAACGATGACTTCCGTGGTGACTGAATATTCTCTTCGCCGGTACGCTGACGTTTGCGGCTGGGGGCATTGGACTCATACTCAGTGGTCGCCTGTGGGCTCTCGACGGCCTTGATGGTTTGTAAGAATCCGTTAACTGATGCTTTGCGACTCTGGACATTGACAAGCAAGAGGCTCAACACTTTGTGGCAATTTGCTACCGTGTACCACCTGATGTTCATGCTCTCAAGTAGTGTCAAACATGCTTGCATGTCACTTAGAGCGCGAGCCTTGGCATATTTCCCGAGTTGACATGCGAAAGCGATGATTAGACCAGACATCCACGCCGCGGACAAAAGTCCGGGGAGAAACATAGACTGGCCATGTTGCTTGTGTGCTTTGAGGCCTGCAACGATCCCCCGTGACGCTCGGATGCATACTTGAAGACCATGCTGGAATTCAGGTGTACTTTGATCCAGAGAGAGTCGCGGGCGATTGACCAGAAGTAGCAGTCTGTGGTACAGAATCTTGAAAAAGGGTGCCAAATGTTGCTGAGATGATGGAATGGCAGCATTTTCTCCGGATGTCGATGCTCCACTCGTAGATGGGGGTCCTTGCTTATTGGATGGCTGTTGTGTTGAGACACTGCTTTTCTCGGGGGGCCCATGACTGTGATGATGGCTGGATACTTCACTCTCGCCGCTTAGAAAGCCAGGAAGGTCATTCCACCAAGTCTCGATGTCGCTGGTCAATCGAAGAATTTGTTCATGCTTGGGAAATCGATGATTAATACTTTTGTGAAAGACTTCGATGATTTGCCCCGTCAGTTTTCCCCATTGTACATAGGCAGTCAAGGCGGCCTCTCGCAAACGCTTCTCACGCGCTTCTGGTGCATCATCATTTACAAGTCTTGGATCATCACCCACCAATGGAGGTGGCGGCATATGGACCCCCATATCCATGTCAGGTTTGGGGATGATATCTCTGGCCAGTGCTTTGTGCAACTCTGGGCCTGAGAGGCACACGTCAATATCATCGTCTTGAATGGTATTTGGATCGCCAAGGCTAAGGCTGCAATGCCTGTCTAGCGCATATGCAGACCAGAAGATGCGTTTCCTTATTTCACAATCCTCCAAGGACAGCTGGGCGTAGCGTAGCGGGCAGCGATGGAGCCCCGCATGGTAGATCAATTTCACGATGATTCCCGCTACGGTGCTGGCTTGGCGAATGGCCAAGGTAGCGACCAGGTAGAGCTCCGCGGCCAGGATGGCTTGGATTGTTGCTAAGTCATGGGACAGTGCGAGGCAGCCAGCCATGCGGCTAACATCGGCAGTTGATTTAATGCGGGATTCGATGGGCAGATGGATGTCAGTCCTGTCCAAAGAAGCAATGTTGATGATGATTTGGAAGGTGAGGAGCTTTCGCAGATCTTGGGGAGAGGGAACATCTTTGGTTGGTTTCGATGGACGACGCTGGCGTTTATAGATGGACTCCATATCTTTGAGGAAGCTAGGCCCGTGCAAGAAGGGAAATAGAGGATGCCATGTAGTGAAGAAAGAAGTCACCAATTCGATGGCGACTCTTTGCTCGGGAGGTTTCCCGAGACCCGCGGCCAAAAGCTGGGGGAATGGATCAGTAGTGGAGGGGCCATCGTGCAGGGGACCATTGTACGAGCGGCCTTCTGCATCCTCTCCGGTGAGAATGTCCTCGCTTGCCGGAACAGCATTGGGGCCGGCAAGATTGGAAGAGCCGAATGCGGCCGAGAAAGCTCGACGAACCGTGTTAACAAAGTAGACTCCAGATGAGCTCCCCAGCCACGCAGTCTGGTGGTTCGGGAGCTTTTTGAGGGTTCCGATTTCAGACGTATGGGTTGGGCGTTCCTCGGGCTGGTCGCTGTCAGAGTCATTGGTATTGGCAGCAGTAGTTCCAGTCGTTACAGAGGGAACGGCTGGAGGCGTAGGCTGGCTAACGCTGGGTGATGGATTGTTGGATCTCGGAGTCATTTTGTGAGAGTTGAGCTGAAACGGCGGGTTTTGGCGGTACTGATTCCAAATTTTGGGCTTATTCTTGGGGATTTCTAAAGCCCATCATGGCAAACTTGAAGGTATGATCGGGGATGATAATATGAATGGATGGATCAAGCTGATGCCCGGCGAAGAGACTTGACGTTGTTCGTGATAGGCGCTGGTTATAAACTGACTGACTGGAGGAGAGGGCGCGAGTTGAGAAAAGCCCTTACGGGGATGATGTGGCTTTCGCGTAAGATCGGAGTTGGATCTTGCAACTCCGCTTCTAGAATTGAATCCGGAACCTTGAAGATGGTGTTGTTGGAGGATGGTAAGTTGAGCAGAACAGATAGACTGGAAGAGGATGGTTAAAGACGGCTCGAGCTTTTGCACAAGCATTGGCAACTCGGGGAGGTTCTGAAGCCCGTAATGCTGAGATATACTGGCTGGCCAGTAGGAAATGAAGATAGAACTGGACGCCAACTTTTGCTGGGCATGCAGGAAAATGGATAGAGGATGGTTGGATGGATGGGAGACGATGGGATGCGATGGGATGCGATGGAATGAGGCGGGACTCGGGAGCGAGAGAGAAGGGCGGATCTGATTAAGCATGGATGACTGGAACTGGACAGTCGAAGTTCAAAGTACACTTGAAGTACCCGGCAGCTCAGGGTCTTTGTCAGAACCGGGTTTCATGTTTGAAGACGTCAATATCAATAATGAGAGGTCCTATCCAGTATCGGCATCAGTCTTCATATCCACAGTTCTCGCCACTCCTCCGTGTCACCTCGATGGAATCAACTCACCGATCTTCCTGTCTACCTGGCCGTTGCTACTAATCCAGTGAGTCCTTCCGAGGTCTGTGAAGCTGTGGCCCAAAGCCTTAGGTACGTGCGGAGCTCCTTCTAGGCTAAAGATGGGGCTGGTCTAGGGGCTTGGGCTTGACGAGTTCGTTAAAGCTAGGGCAGTTACAAGGAGGAGCCTGCGTACCTCGGGTGCCTCGTAAGTGCCACCCCGTCCATGCCCTTGGATCTGGCAGGTCTCGGGGCCTCCTCGGGCCCTGGGGTGCCTAAAACCCGCTACAAGTAAACCCACCTAGACTCGGGTCCTCGACCCAAGGCCAAGGAAGGTTCCAGCGTATCTGGAGCTAGCGATGCACGCTTATTCATCATTGCCCTTTTCACCGTCAATGTTTAGCCTTCTCCGATTTCTCTGGTCGAAAAACCCTCTCGATGCTGTCATAGTCAACAATTCAACAATCCATCAGATTCGAGAGATCCATACTACATCTCTCCTGATCCTCCACGACCCCTGACAATCAATCGGTGGCTAAAAAGCAGAGTTGCACTTGAGACATCTGCACCTCGTACTCGCTACCGCGAATATGCTGATAGACTTTTCACGCACAAGGCTGATATCGAATCTACATCAACTTGACTGCTTTAGGTACCCAATTGAATCTGACTCCCGACATATCCTCACTGGCAAAGTTTTCCAGACCGATGCTGCTACCTTGAAATCCCCACCACTCCGTCACCGTCGACCAGCGTAACTGCCTGGCCAATGACGTTGGCACCTTTCAGCACATCCACCACTGAACTCGCAACCTTTTTGTCCACTCCTTTGGTACCATCTACAAACTTGACGTCCTTGAGCCATTCCCGCGCATCATCTTCCGAGTAATGACATCCAGCCTCTCCCGTGCCTAGCATTCGTACGGCCTGGTCGGGCGACCCATTGAACATTGCGATACCCTTGTCCAATGCCTCGAATATTTGGCCCAGCGTCTCATTGGATGAGTGGCCAGACGGAGGAAATGTCGAGCTTGATGCTGCAATATGCCACGACGGCCAAGGCGTATATATCTCTCCAATCTTCTTAAGTGGACTGTCTGCTCCGTGAAAATACGGTTTTGTGGTGAAGTGCTCCCACATGAAGAAATCTGCCGTTGAGCTGGTCATCCCATCGCGAAGATCCTTGAAAGGACCAAGAGGCACGATGGCCAAGTCCTCCGACTTGGTGTCGGAGCTCTGTTTTAACCAACCTTCCTGTTGAGCGAGCACAAATGCCATGACATGGCTGCCACTGCCTAGTCGACTCACACCGACCTTTCGATGTTGTTTTAGATCTGCAACAGAGCGAATATCATCACGGTTCCGTCCTGTCACAATGGCCCACCGAAGCGGAGTAGACACCCACGATCCCACTATTGAGTATCCTTTGTCTTCCACGGATTGAGTTTTAACGCTGTCATTAAGGAGCCCTGCGATCCATCCTTCGGTGAGGCCAATGGCAAGGTCAATCTCTTTGGCTCGTAGCGAGAGGATCATGTGTCCTGTGCCCGCAGGAAACGGGACAAGGGTGACTTCTAAGGACGGAGGGAACAACGCGTTCTGAGCTGCTAGGTGGAGTGGGAGAAGGTAGTGCTCTGGCACATATCCAATGCGGACCTGAGTGACCATGGTGATGACACCCTGACAAAGGAAGTCAAGTATGACGACAGGAGAGACAAGAGATGGATGAGAACGGTTTGTGAGAGGCTTGTGTGCGAGGTCAATTGAGGCCAACTCGGACTGAATTACATTGTCACAATAGGACCCGGCGAATTCACGTCCTTCAGCTTCACATGCAGATGCTTCTGCTTCTCCAAAAAAAGGAACATCCACCCCGCTTCCGGTGATTCGGAAAATCCCTCAATGAGGTTATCCCGGTTGGCACGTGACAGAGCAGTAGGTTATTTCCCTCGAACAGCAACGTGCATGTTGGGACATCTGTTGGTATTGAGGATGATCCATAGGAATGGAAAGCGAGTATCGGGAGCCCATCAAACAACTCTTGTTCAGTCGCAGACCTCCCTCGGTTATAGCTGGCAACCAACATAAAATCCCTGGAGGAAATCCGGAAAAGATCCGCTCCCAAGCCGAAGGGGAATCCACCTTCGCTCTCTGTTCCGCCTTGCCAGGGAGTAGTGGATAGGACTAGGTATATGACTATCGAGAAAGCAGGCTTCCTGTCATATTCCTCGATCCTCACTCACATACTACTCTTGAAGCATATCAGTACTGCTAATATCCAGAACCATGTCATCGGAAGCCAGCCCTTATAAATATAAGCTGTACAGCTATTTCCGCTCCTCTTGCTCGGCTCGTGTTCGTATTGCTGCCCACCTCAAAGGTATTACTCTTGAATACGCTTTCATCCATTTGGTCAAGGCAGAGCAGAATGCAAGTGACTACCACGCCTTGAACCCATCAGAATCTGTACCGACCCTGATCGTCACAAATGGTCAAACCGGCGAAGAAATCACCAAAATCAGGCAGAGCGTGGCAATCTTAGAGTATTTTGAGGAGGCCAGGCCAGAGCTCCCTCGATTGTTGCCTCCTCTGGAGGATCCAGTTGCTAGGGCACGAGTAAGAGATTTGGTGAACATCATCTCCAATGACGTTCAGCCTGTTACCAACCTCCGCGTGCTCAATTTTGCTAAGCCTCGAGGAATTGAAGCAAGCGAATGGCAGCAGCACTTCATGAACCTTGGCTTTAGGGCTTTTGATGATCTGCTCAAACTTTATGCCGGAAAATATAGCGTTGGTGATCAAGTCAGCCTTGCAGATTGTGTACTTGCGCCAGCGGTGGATGGAGCATTGAGATTTGGGGTCCGTGTGGAGCAGGATTTCCCCAATGTGTGGAAGGTATGGAAGAATATCAGCGAGGTTGAGGCATTTCGGCAGGGAAGATGGAATGTTCAGGATGATACTCCAGATGATCTGCGCTTGAAATGAAAAAGCGCGGCTACTGGAACTTGTGGCACTCGAGCAGAAACAGTGTGATAAACGTGGAGACCTGGTAGCATTGGGCTGGACGAATCTCTCTTGGCTGAGGCTGTCACTTCGCGTCCTCAGCCTTGATCAACCCCCAAAAAAGCAACATCAATTTATACTCAAATTATGCCCCTCAGAGTCTTATGGGACAAGTATCTTTCATACTGGTACGTAACCCAAGGGGGTAGGTATACTCTAGTATACTCCGTATCTCCATGCTTAAATTGGAGATATGATGGTCTTTCCTCAACGTTGAGAATGACGTGTGCCAAACTCCACCCCACCAACCGCCAACCTCCCTTTTGAGAAGCATAATGTTGTCGATATGCAGCTGTGATAAGCATCCCATCGGCTTTTGGCTAACTCCCAGAGCCCGACACCGATACACAGGTCGACACCATCTCCCAGGGTGAATAATCGCAGAACGCAGAAACGGAAACATGGCCGCTGATCTGGGCCTCAACGTCTTCCAGGTCATCCAGAATGAGCTCCTCTCTCGTGAAGGAGCACGTTCAACTCTGGGAATCGGCTTTCGTCTCTCAATCATAGAAGAACGTCTCAAGAACAATGAGGCTAAGACGAAAAATGGCTTGGTGTGGAAACCACTTCATGCACTAATACCGGTTTCTGCTCTCACACCTGAAGCAAGGGAAGCCTCTGAGAAGCAGAGAAAGCGGCTGCTGGAGAGGAAGGGTGCCCGGCCATCGAAGGATGACAAGGACCCAACGATGCTGATCCGAGATGATGAACTCTGGTTGGTTCATTGCGACTTCCCTAGGACTGTCCTCGAATTCAAGGAGCTGCAGTTCCACCCTGACTGGGTTCGAAGTCTACTCAATTTCTATGATGTCGAAGTATATCGGCCCGACAGGAAACTAGTCATTCTGGATCGCGCAGATAACCTCGTGGACGTGCAGCTGAACATGGAATCTTGTCTTGAAGAGCTGGCTACTACGTGGGGCATCGACTGGTTTAGAATAGGGGGTCTAGCCTTACCTGGTCAATCTCTTCCGCATCCTCAGCCATATCAGGTTTGATGTTTTCCTTTCCGAGCTACGATCCACGATCCACGATTCTGGATTTAGATTCACGACAAGCGAGCTGCCTGGTATTCGTTAGTGAAGAAAACTTGATGAAGGCTTTGGGCAAAGAAAGCTGACTGCTCCATGGCTTTGTCAAAGTCTTCAAGGTTGCCGAGAACACGGTTGATTGCCATTTGCCTCCTGGAATTCTGCACCAGCTTAACAGCATCGACTTACAAAACACGCTCTCCTTATCACTCCTCGGCCTCTTTCACCAAAGTTATACATAATCCGTTCAAATCACACTACAGTCCAAGGCTTGGCTCACTCAAAGACAACTTCTCCCAGATCGACTGAGTCCCATCCAGCCGGATTGTTCTTCCCCAGTCACCGAGATGGCTGCCAACGTTGACAGCAATAATTTGATGGGGACTTGGACCTTACCCTCTTCATCTGGAAGATCCATACCGTTGTGGCTCTATCGCCGCCTTCTCTACACGTTTCACATGTTCTCAACGGCCAGTCCAAATGGCGTTCGAGAAATTGTGCAGCTACAATTCATTGTCACAATAGATGATGACATGCTCGATGCTGTTTACCGTGCTTTCATCACCCTACCTACCCATCAGCTTCGACGACTGAGGCACATACCAGAGAGAGACATGGCCCCTCGCTCTGGGCTCACTGGCCCAGACGTCCAGAGCACACGACCTGTGACAGTTATCCCATTTAATACCAGGCAACGGCCGCCAAGGATTCATGTCGATGCATGTACTGGTCAGAGACCGGCAGCACCATTTAACTTGGTGATCAATCTAACACAAGACGAGTCCTCTGCAGACGAAGCTCAAATCCCCGAGTCACACTGGCGAGATATACCACGTTATCCAAGTGCTGCTGTGGATGTTTGGAGACAAGCAGCACTCCCTGAAACTGAGACTCCCCAGACACAGACAGATGAGACCGAGAAGATCATTGGCTTGCATGACATATCTGACTCACCACCTCTCTCTCCTCAGCAAGCGCTGCCCAGCCATCTTCTTCCAGCCCAGGCGCACGACAATTCGGAATCTCTCTTCATTCCAGAGGATGAACTACCAGATGACCAATTCGAATCCCTTTTTGTCTCTGAAGAACCTGTCCAGGCAGCGAGGCATGTCCACAACCATCATGGCGGCATACGTGCCCCAGATTGTGGCAATAATGATGGTGAGAGGCACACTCATCTGACTGCTATAGAAGATGATGACCTTCAAGAAGCAAGTGACGAGGAGTTTCGACCACTTGCAAGATGTGAGGTAGACGGACATCGATCACCTAGCTGTCAAGATCAATCAAGTCAGCCTCGGGAATGCACGGCCAGGCCTACTCCGTCTCCTGCCCCAGCAGATACACGAATGGGCAAAGGCTGTACAAAACAGCCCTTTCCGGAGCTGGAGGGCGCTGGATCTGATGATTTTGAAGACTATGGTCACCCGACACTCCAACTTGTCCCGCGCAGGGCCAACAAAGATCAGGATTCACGCACGTCAAACATTAACATGAGCGACAAAATCACAGCTGTCTGCATCAACGAGTCAGATAATCCTCATCAGTCCAGTGACCAGCTGGTAGGCAGCGCATCTCAATCTTTATCTCACCAGGACGGAGCTAAAAGTGAATATGTTGGAGGTTCATGGCCTGCAAACATATTAAGCCCCCAACGTTATCTTGATCCATCTTTACCTAGATCCCCGTCAGCGATGGACAATTCTATAAGGAATCCTGACAACATGATCCTAATGACACAGGATGACCCCTCTGCTGAAGCGAGCGACGCGAGCACATCCTCAAGCCTGTCAAGTCTGCGCACACCATCTGATCCAGGCATCCAAATGTCAGATACCGAAGGCATTCCTAGCCGCAACAATACCAATTCAGAACCTAGCCCTGATTCCGTCGCATCGAATACGGATGATGGAATAGCAAAGCTAACATCGCCTCTGCAACCTGGCGCTAGGCGTCGAGACAGATTCGGTATGATGATGGTCCTCATTCGCCTACCGTACAGCTGGCAGTTGCGATGGGTGCCAGCACCCAGGGAAGAGTCATTCAGCCCACCGCGACAGCCTCCACCAAGACGATGGGAGGACAGCGAATGGAGGCACTACCCCCGCGTAATGGAGGCTTTGCAGCGGCACGATGCCATGCTTGCAGCCCGGCGTGCGCGGGAGGAAGGCCATGCTGCTACTACTGCCAGAGATGAAAACAGTGACAGTGTAGGCGAGGGTGACCGTGGCGATAGCAGTGCACACAGCGGCGATGATATCAATACCAGCGATGACGTGCTGCCGTCCATCGAAGAACCCGATGCTGATCAAGAGACTGCAACAACATCACCCCGACGCCCAAGAAGGCGGGTAGGAGGACTCAGCCCAGCAGTGGGTCGTTCGCAGGGACGAGTAAGAGGACGACCACAAGACCGGCTCAGAGCCTCCTTTTCTCCACGACCACAAAGTTCTCCCGCGCGACGCAGCACAGCTCTACGAGTTCAAGCCAGGATCGATCCTGGCGGAGCATACGCACAGCAGCGGACTCAACAGACAAATCGGCATTGGCTCAGGCGTTTGGAGAGGAGGCGTCTTCGTCAGCGTCGTCGAGAGCAGAGAAGTAGCAGCAGCAGGAGATTGTGAGTGAGGGAGGCGAACAAAGTGCAGTTGAAAATTGGGGTGTAGATGGAGATGTGATTGCGAATAGGGATTGAGGAACGACCACTTCAAGTCAATGCCGAGGCCTGATTAGTCGGCACGGAGAATGAATTGGGGATCAGATTCTCGCAGTAAGGAATGACGATGATGGCGGTGTTGGCTACTGAGGGAGAGGAAGAACGTGGGAAACACGAGCACCAAGCCGGCCAGCCATGCCGGCCATGCCATAGCATCTCTCAAAGCAAGAGACAGATGCATCATTGCTTTCAAAAGTCAAGGGGAAAGAAGGAGAGCCTGCGCATGACGATGGATGACAAACTCTATCGCAGGAAGAAATGTAATATTACCGCATCCCTCCACTAGGTAGTAGAACTCATCAGGATATCCACAGCAAAAGACCCAGTATCAGAGCATGAGTTGATCCAGTGTTCAACTCCGACGCCGAAGTGCCGTCCATCCGGTCCCAACACCCCCTTTCCCAAGCAGTACCGCCTCGATCTCAGCCATCATGTAGCAAAGAAGGAGATCAAACGAAGGACAGTCGGCATCTTGGCCAGATTCGTGCTTTTAAGAGCTACTTCGAAACCGGCAGATCTAGTTAGTCCACAACAAACCCCCATCCATATTCAGTCAAGCAGATGCAGCGGCAGGGGCTGGGCCGGATGCAGCGGCAGACACAGCAGAAGTGGTAGTGACCAAGCCAGGAAATTCATCATCCCCATTATCATCATCGTCGACATCATTCAAATCACTATCCTTCAACTCACGGCAATGCCCTTCCTTGGTGCAGATCATGACGGTGGGTACGTTGCCTCGGATGACTGTACGGCCGAAGCCTTTGAGTTTCCTGACCTCTCGTTCCCTCATGCTATCCGGCGCGACCAAATGTTTGACACCGACTTGTTCCATGACCAGGCCAGCCAGAAGGCTGACGTAGAAGAATGGATGCTGAATGATCTCAACCGCAAAGGCGTTAAGGACCTTGCGCGCTTTGGTGATGTATTCATCTTGTTGGTCGAGTCGATAGGATGACAGATAAAGGAGATTTTGACATATGATACCGTTTGGGGAGGGGAGCGCATTGTCAGTGCCGGGTTTCAAGCGCATAATTTGCTCCATTGACCTCGCCGCTTGAAAGTAGCCACCGCTTGTATCGGCAATGAACCTGGCATCGAGCGTGGCTTGTAACTTGACAGCCCACGCCAGGTACTCGGGCTTCTGATTCAAATCATATAAAGCCAATGCGCCAAGTGCGAGGTAGGCGTAGTCATCGACAAACGCAGAACCAGCCTCACGACCTTGTACGGCACCTGACCAATTGTAGATGCGAGTGACCTCACCGGTCGCCTCGTCGAACATTTCCCGTCGGATGAATCGTGCAGCGTTCTCCGCGGCGAGCTGGCACCGTTGTGCTCGATTTTTGTCGATCGTAGCGAGGGTATTAGCCGCGCGAGCAAGAGCTGATATCGCAAGGCCATTCCAGCTTGCGATGACCTTTGTATCGACTTCAGGTTTGGAGCGCTGCGTTTTCCGATATTCTAAAAGCTGTGAGCGACCTGTCTTGATGATGCGTACGATCTCTTCTTCGGACAATCCGAACTCCTTGGCGAGCACAGATGGTGTTGCCTGGATACTTAGCACATTTTGGTTCAAGAATTCGTCGTTGACATCGTGCTGAGTGGGAACATTCCCGTCTGATTTCACGCCGAAATGTCTGGCTACAACGGCCGCAGACTGGTCGCCCAGGATGGACTGAAGTTCCTTCAGCGTCCATACATAAAAAGCACCTTCTTTGCTATCATCCCCCATCACACCATTGCTAGTGCCGGGTATTGTGGTTCGTGAATCAGCGCTTTCACTAGCATACCAGCCTCCCTCAGGCCGAACGATGGGAGAGTCAGGGTTTGTCAGGTACTCAACGAGATTGTAGATGACACCCAAAATCTCAGGGTTGCGGCCGAGTGCCCAAGCATCACAATAGCAACCAAGAAGCTGTGCATTATCGCACATCATCTTCTCGAAATGAGGAAGATTCCAGTCCGGTATCACGCTGTAACGATGGAATCCATATCCGAGTTGGTCACGGAGTCCAGATCGAGACATCGCAAACAATGTATGAAGAGACATTGAGGCAGCTTTCATGCACGATTCTTGGCCCAATATACCCGGAACAGGGCCGAAGAACCCGAAGCGCGTATGAGTTGATGGAGTGGCAATTGCAGCCCCAACTCTCAGCAGGAAAGTGAGATTGGCTGGGGTAGGAAATTTGGGGGCGGTCGGATTAGAGCTAAACCCCCCGTAAGTTGCATCATAGCGGGAAATAAAATGTTCCAATGCGTCGTCAAAGAGATCAAGCTCAAGAGGTTCCGGTGGATCAGACGATGCCGGCGAATTGCCCTCGACCTGAACGGAGGATTGAGAATGGGTACCTTCCGCAGCAAACTCTCGCAACTGATTCGTTATATCAGATGATGATTGGAGACATCTTTCCCGTTGAGTGGTCCAAAGTTCTTGGATCTTACCCAAGATGTCGGTGAAGGTAACTGGCGCTTGAGGTGTCGGCTGAGCGACGTCTTTGAGAGCAGGACCAGGCCAATAGGTTCCTCCAAAGATCGGTTTGAGATCAGGAGTGAGAAAAACATTGAGAGGCCAGCCGCCTGCTCCCGTAGTCGCAGTGACAAAGCTCATATAAATGTCATCGAGATCAGGACGAGACTCTCTGTCAAGCATGATAGGGATGAAGTGCTGGTTGAGAATATTGGCAACCTCGGCTGAAGTGAAGGACTCCTTTGTCATAACATGACACCCTGTAATGATGAATTACTGTTCATCGCAGCACTGGGAAAGGGGAAGTATGCTCACAGTGGCATGAATTGTACCCGATGCTCAGGAATATGAGGCGATCGTGTTGCTTAGCCAAGGCAATGGTTCTTTCGGACCAATCTTGCCATGCCACAGGATTGTCCTCATGTGTTCGTACCTTGTTGAACTTAGACCTCTACATCCCAAAACTGTATGTTTATTCTGGATACTTACATAAGGTGACGAACTATGCGCTAGCACATTTTGTAGAGTGGGTGCCGGTACGTTGTTGACCATCGAGGCTAGCTGAAGGAGGTCTCCAGAACCCCCGGTAAGCACAGATGAAAACGGGTGAATAGAGTTGTGTCGAGTAGAAAATGAGAATAGCCTGGTCAAGATGTAGTGCTGGGCACAGTGTATAGCGAGAGCAGTGATGAAAACGTGGTTGGCGGCTGAGATGGTTGGGCCGACAGGCGAAGAGGCAAGGCTTTGAAAGTTTTGCGCTTGCAGGCGGAAATGGCCGGTTGAATGTAAGAGGCGGAAGCCGCAATCAAAGACCCGCGCTACAACGTCAACGTCACACAGAAGATGAAAATTTCTTGACTGAGGAGAAAAGATGATACGCTGGATGAAAATTGGGTTGTGCTCAGCAGACCGGACGGATACCGCAAAGTTTTTCACCTTCAAAAGGTTTTGTTCGAAGAGGCACCAGAGAAAGGAAAAAAGCGGGAGGCTGCAGGGATGTGAATCAACCACACCATTTGGAAACTGGGCCCGTGGCGCTTTACAAGATTTGCTAGTGTTTAGATAATGGATATGTGGAAATAGACTGTCCCTGATAAGCCCGAAGTTGCTCCACTGAAAAATCTGGGGGAGTGAATCACGTGCAGATAATGATCAGCACCCTAGCCAGACGCCAAGATAGAGTGCATATCACGTGAGAAACGGCTGACTCAGCCTGCCAGCCAACACTTAGCCGAGTGCGGAGGCTCTACTGTTCGTCCCTTGCCATCTTCTCTAATATCTCGCTTTCCTCAGACTCCATCAACGCCTGCAATTCGGCCTCTTCCTCCTCTGTCAGCATCGGTAGGTCAGATTTGGGCCCACGCTCTTGTTCAAGCAAGCTGGGGTTTTGGGCTGCATGGACTGCTTTCTGAAGCTCAGCTGGTGCAAGGCTCCATCGTCGTAGGGTGGCATCGATGCTAACACTGATTACGAGATCATTCGTCAAGGCTAAGCCAGTAACTTCCTCGTAATGCCCTGAAAATACATGGTGAAGGTCCCCGGTGGCTTTGTACCATACTCGGATCTCTTCATCCCGACATGCTGTCACAACCCACCCGTATTGATCATGGGTAACGACATCTCGTACATAGTCTGGGTGCTGCAACGTTGTATCTGATACCCAGTTGTGGTTTCGGGACAGGTGTTTTGCCGTTTTATCAGCTGAAGCCGTCCAAAGGTCTCCGTCGTCGTCGAAGTGGAGTTTGTATACGCTTGTTTCGTGAGCCAGGATGGGTGCTGACATTTGAATCCGGTTCGTTGGAAGCTTTGATGAGTCTGGCAGGGCAAAGTAAAATATCTCTCTCTGCGAAGTCGAGAAGAAAACTAGCGGATTGTCAGGGGACGACAGTGGATCGAGGGCCAAATCCTCAATGCCTCGGGAATCAGGCTTCAGGACACCACATGCTTGACCGTCAAGTGTCCAAAATCGTATTTCACCTTCAGCTCCTCCTGTTATCAATATCTCCTGATTGTCAGGAGTTCGAGCAACAATGAGACATTTGACAAAGTCTCGGTGAGCCGGGAAGGACCTATGTTCAGTGACAGTGCGCCCTTTGTTAACTGCTTCGGCGAAGCGGAAGGTGTAACGCCAGACTGACTTATCCCAACAACCTGCAAAGATCTGCATGGTAGTGAAAGGATCAGATGGAGACTTGGTAGCCTGTGTTGCAAGGCAGGTCAGAGGAGCCTGAGGCCCTCGAGGAGTAGAAGACAACTTGTTGGTAGATAATTGTAGCCTCGTGACCGACCCGCCGGCCTCTGCGACGAAGACCACATCCCCAGTAGGGTCGAAGAAATGATTGACTTGAACAGCCAAAATTTTAGTAGGGAACTTGATCGGATCACCCTTATTGTTCGCTGCTTTGCGAGATTTTCTATCGGTTTCCGCTATCGAAGTACTGATAGAGCAGATCAATATTCAATATCGATGATTTCGGTGTCGGGAAGACTCACTCTGTCTGGAAGTAGCTCCCCGGCTGGCCCGAGGTATTGAAAGAGGCCATTCCTCACACAAACTCTGCATCACAACGAAAGACTGGTAGTGTCATGCTCTTGGGTCATCAATGTACAGAATTGCCTTGGTAGCATGTGGCCGAACGCGCCACCGTACCAGGCTGCCTTGGGATACGGTCGACTGTAGGCCATATCTTGCTGCAGTCACGTGCTATCTTTTTGCTAGCGTGTGACTTTCGAGTCTGAGGTTCGACCTCAAGTTTCCACATTCTGCGGCCACGAATTCTTTCTTCTCTCTGTCCACCACCAACTACTCTTCCTTCTCCCGCTCCTCTCTCGACTTCAATCGTACACCTCATATCTCTCTCATTCTCTAACTTCCTCATGTAACGCCAGTCGTCATCTTTCCCTTATAGCTTTCCAGTCATTTTGGCCATGGATCACCTCATCGGCCAGAGATTCAATCTCATCTCCAAATCCGAAATTCGGTAACGCGTGCCTGGCCGTTTGTCGTCTTCAGTTTCGTTCACTAACAACATTTTCTTGTGCAGCTACGTCGGAACTCTCCATGAGATAAACGCCGAGCAGTCGACCATCGCGTTGGAAAATGTCTATTCCTTCGGCACTGAAGACCGATCAGTGGCAAAATTCATCCCTCCTTCCCAGGACAAATATGGATTTATTGTTTTTCGCGGAGGCGATGTCAAAGACATCAAGATTGCAGAAGATGAACCATCTCAGCCTTCTCCTCCAAGCATGCCTAACGATCCCGCCATCCTGGTATGTCCCTATCCTCACCTGACTCCTGTCCTTGAAATGATGAAATATTTCGGATGTAAATTCACAGACCTGTTCTTAATGCGCAAAACCATGTGGAGATTTCCGTTGCCTTCCTTCTGATTCAAATCTTTGTCCATGTTTGAATTCTCTGAAAAGCCTAGCTGAGCTCAGCTGACCATTTCCCGAACTGTTAGAATGCCTCCCGGCCAGGCCCACCTCCACAAGGACCACCGCATGATGGCCCATTCTCTCCTCCAGGCTTTCCTCCACCGCCACACTTCGGTGGTTACTACCCTCCCGGCCAGTTCGGCAGAGGCTATGGACCACCACCTGCTGGTTTCGGTCCCAGTCCCGGCTTCCCACCCTACGGTCCACCTCCACCTGGATATTTTGGTGGTCCACCAGGTCAAGGCTTCCAACAAGGCCCGCCTGGTTTCCACCCTCAACCACCGATCGGTCCTCCGGGACATCGTCTTAACCAATCAGGTCCTCCGCCACCATCCCAACAACATCCTGAATCAAGCGCTCCTGGCCCTGGCCTATCTCCCGCTTCCGCACAAACATCCGAATTACCAGTTGACAACAAAGCTCCGGATACGACGAATACATCAGCTTCAGTTAGGGAAGCACCATTAGATGCGTCTACTCAAATAAAACCTGCACAGCAAGAGAAGGCCGTGAAAGCAGGAATTACTTCTGCAGTATCGGCGACAGCCCACAAAACTGCACCGAACGGACCCAAGACTACTCGTGTCGCACCTGCAGTTCCATTCACAGTGAATCAGAAATCATTTACGCCACCTGTTCCTTCAGCTGGAGATGCTCCATCCTCGTCGAATGGCGCCGCAGCCAGCAAACCTACCAAACCTGCAGCTTCTCAAGCCTCCATGGATGAGGCAGCACGGCAAGCAAAAGAAGCTGTTGCAGCAGCTATGGCAAAACTGAATCCTCAAGCACCCACGGCGCAAGCCAAATCAACACCCTCCGCTGCCCCAATTGATGCTTTGACACAGAGAGTGAATGCGATGTCCACCGCTCCCAGTGCCACAAATGGTACACATCGTGGAGGGCGGGGTACAAGCAGAGCAAGTCGCGCTGGCGGTGGTAGCTACGGCCGGGGAGGACAAAAGAGAATGGAGATTCCAAAGTCCGACTTTGACTTTGAATCTTCTAATGCCAAGTTCAACAAGGAAGACTTGATCAAGGAAGCAATTGCGTCAGGATCCCCACCAGTCGCAGGGTCCGATGAGCTCCCTGTAGAAGGCGTCGCCGGCAAGGAAGCATCAAATTCGGCACCGAAGAGAAAAGATAGTCTCCCTCTCACCACGGGCAGCGGGTACAACAAATCTTCGTCCTTCTTCGACAACATTTCGTCCGAGGCAAAAGACCGAGAAGTTGCAGTCGATGCACGAGCTCAAGGAAGACAGTTACGAGGCGAAGAGTTCAAAAAGAATATTGAAACATTCGGCCAAGGCAATGTCGATGGTGGATATCGTGGGGGACGTGGGCGCGGTAGCGGTTATGGTAGAGGACGAAACTACAGCGGCGGAGGGTACCGTGGTGGATACAACAACCGCGGAGCGAGCGCTAACAATAGCCATCGAGGAAATCGAGGACGTGCTGGTCAAGGCCAAGGGGATGCTGCCCAGCCAAGTCAGACTGTTGGCCAGTCCTAGCCCTGAAAGGTGCGGGGGCTTACGGAGGGATTGCTTCTAGCATCTTTCGGGTAAGATGATTTCAGTCCCCGATGACGGGGGGCTGAATATTTGCGTGTAACAAAATATCGACTACTTTTACTTGTGCCGAAGCGGGGATGAAATTGAGCTCAAGGAAGCACGGATCTTCTCCAAGTTCTTCAGGGTGCCTACGTGGTCATCTTTCACAAGAGGCACAAGGTCTACTAAATGGGTCGGCGTACCTGGCCACATGGGCATGCTTGTTACATTGTGTACTGCATACAGGAAAGGAAGTATGGCGGACACCACGAGGAAATGAGCAGTTCATACTAGATGAGACGACGAACGAACGAAGTGATTCTTGTTGTCCCATCACTTTGTTGGTCGCAGATTTATAGCCCTATCAAGCAGACAATAATCGTTAAATATGGAGGGGGACCTGGGGCAGTATTTGTGCTGTTGTAAGTGGCATGTCACGTGCCATGCTATTTTGCAAGGGCAGGGGTCATCCGAAAGCGCAGTGTCTCTGAAACGATTTACAATGCTTTTTCGGTATGAACTGAACTTAGGGTGTGCAAGGCGACTAATGCCTTCTGAGAAAGCCCTTGTTCCTTCGAACGCCTCGGTCGCCGATGAGCTAGAGGCTTTGAACGCGATCTATGAACCGCACACTTTGGATTTCCAAGGTGAAACATCGACAGAGGCAACTGTGGTTCTGCGACTCCCCGACCTGCCATTTTCGTTTTCGCTCAGCTTCCCACCAGAATATCCCGATGTACCACCGGTCGTTACGGGAACTCAGTCCACGGGAATCAGCGGCAAAGGAGAGGGAGAGGCGGCCGTGAGCATTTTACGCGATCTGCTTGGAACGCTGTGGACTCCTGGACAGGTGTGCCTGTTCGACTTGGTAGAGGAAGCCACACCGATCCTCCAACAGCATCGCGCTCAAAATCGCCATGGCGCGGCTGAAGCTCACACCTCAGATGCTGCGCGCAGGTCGGCGACTTCCACACATGATGAGCCGGAAACCTTTGACCTGACGATGGCTGCAGCATCCACAATGCCCCCTCCGACTTGGATATTATCCGAACCTATGACCGTGAGCAAGTCCACGTTCATCGCCCGTGCCTGCCAGGTATCGTCGCTAGATGAAGCGCAGGAGTCTATTTCACATCTTTTCTCGACCAACAAGAAGGTTGCAACGGCAACGCATAACATTCAAGCATGGAGGATACAATCAACAAATAGTCAGACGGGTAATGTCACAACAATCCAAGATAGCGACGACGACGGAGAGACAGCCGCCGGTGGAAGACTCCTACACCTGATGCAGCTGATGGATGTATGGAACGTGGTGGTCGTTGTTACAAGGTGGTACGGGGGTGTGAAATTGGGGCCTGATCGATTCCGACTGATCAATATGGCCGCAAGAGAAGCCCTGAGCAAAGGTGGATTTGTTAAAGAGGAGTCTGAGAGGGCAAAGGGCAAGGGTAAAGGTAAGAAGTGAGTGATGGGTACATCCGTCACCCGAGCTCGATAGTACGTATCTCGTCTCTCACACTCCGTCCTGGCCACGAGAACCTCAACGAGAAGAGTTCGTCAGTCCTATAACGGCTAGCGTGCCACGACACGTGCCGACCATGTGACGATATGTCATGTCCATGGATTCTCCACCGCCACAAACCGGTTTTCCTCGCATCTGCCACCACGAACCTCGATCAGTTATCCCTGTCGCATCCTAGTCGTTTCTCCACGATCGCGAATTCTGTCCACTCGCTCTTCGTCTCTTACTCGGCAGACCAGCCGACCATTGATGATGTGTGGCTTGACTCTGACGTCGTCCGTCCGTGCTTCTCGAGGCATCCGGCAAGGTACATGGGTACACACCAATGTCCACCTCACCAGCCCTCCTACCACGCATGTAGCTTTGCGCTCTCTCGCCATCTCTTTTCTTTTTTATGAGCGTTATCATTTCTCTCTTCTTCCTCTTGTCTCCGAGTCTCTTCCCTCTAGTTCCGCTTTGCATCCATTTCCCCATTCCGTTGTTATATCGGACTTTTTGCGAGCACAATTCATCCACTCGTGGCATTGCTATTGCGGAGAACCGCTCATCCCGCATCATCATCATCGAAGACGATAGCCGTAGCCATGGATAAGGTCAGTAACGAGCAGCAGATGGAGCAGAAGGAGAAACCACTTCATGAGTAAGTTTGACCCACGGCAGAACACCGGCTACAGCGGTTCTGATCCACCTCTAGGCTCCTGACATCTTCGCTCGTGGATATCTACGTCGGCCCAGATTCCACCCACTGGACGGTCCATGAGAGACTGCTCACGTACCATTCGCCATTCTTCTCTTCCATTTTCTACGGCGATGACAAACAAGAAGAGAAGAAGAAGCGGGGTAACAAATCCTATGGCCTCCCCGACGAGGAAGACTACCCTTTCGAGCTCCTCGTAGGGTGGCTGTATTCGCGATCGCTCCGCCAACCGAAGGATGAAAAAGACATCGGCCCACTCCTCGACCTCTACCTTCTCTCCGAGAAGTTCGAGATGAAGCAACTTGGACTCGATATTGTCGAGCTTGCCAGGGACTTTTACTACAGCACCTCCACATATCCCGGTCTCCGCCGCGTGCAATACGTCTACAACGAAACAGAAGAAGACAACGAAATGCGCGAGATGATGGTCTCCTCGATCGCACGGCAATTGACTACGAGCGAAAAGATTCCCGTGCATTGGGCTAGCGCACTCCAGCGCAACGGCCAGCTAGCGGTAGACATTATCCGAGCCATCCAACAATGGCACATCGAAGAGCGCAGCATTCCCGATGCCCGCGATGGCAGCCGAGTCAGAGGCCGACAAGCCAACGGACTTGGGACCTTCAGCTCCATCGAGCGAGAGGGCGAGTCTGTCGAGACGCTTGGGACCGAAGACACCAACCTGGGGGTCGAGAGCCTAAACAGTGGCACAAGCGATGGTCAACTCGTCAAGAGCGATGCAGAAGAGTAAGTTGTCTACATATTTTGCATGTATATCCGACCCAGCTACAGTTGCAGAACCTACGTGAAACGCGTTTGCTTCTTCTGCTGTCATTCCAAACTGGAAGACTCCAGACAGACACGTCGTCTCGCTTGGCTTTGCACCGTGGAGCACTTGTGTCGAAAACGCAAAAAGAAGAGAGCTCAAGCTGAAGTGACCAACCTTGTGTGAATTTTAAAGGCGATTGTCCCCATGTCGGACACCTCGACCACTTGACCCGCGGAGTGAACCACCGGATAAGGAGGAAACACAACACAAGTTCTTGGATCATCCACAGGAACAGGAAGGGGAATCAAGCCCACGGGCAGGCGGCGGCACTGCTGCCACAACAATAAGGCGGCGAGGCGGCTTCACGGCGATATCGGATGGATTGAGGTTATCTTCTGCAAGCCGGGCGGAGAGTATCTTCCTGCTCTCCGCGTGGCTTCTGTATTTTGTGTATAATGTCTCTACCTACGGCAAGGGGGCGACTTGGAGCTGACAGTACAAGTTCCAATCCTAATATTCAGGACGGAGTCTTGGATCCATGAAGTGAGCCAGCCAGCCTGATCCAGCCTGACAGTTCCCCTGCCTTCCCACTCTCTTATGTAGTCTCGTATTTTAGCACGATGTAATCAGCATTGAGCCGGAGTCTGATGGCCCAGGCATTGAACTACTCGTTAATTATGTAAAGTCGTCGATTAGTCTATACCAAGACTTGCGAAAGCGGTTCCCTACCAATCAAGATGCCTTGTATGCACCTCGTTCTGTCCAGCTAGCACCTCTAGTTTATTCCTGCTCGGGATTTACGTCTCGACAGGCTTCAATAAGTTCGCGTTTGTTGCATACCAAGGTACCTTCGTTCTCAAGCATTCTCGTGACCGCGATAAGTCAATCTTTCAAAAAAGTTACCTCTTTTCTTTCAGCCTGAATCCCGCCGGCCTTGGTCGTTCATGCAGAGCCCCTGGTGTCATTGACCTTTGTCTGGCAGCCTGAAGACATTACATTGAAAAAGTCCTCTCAGGAGACCAAGCCTTGCCTTGCCGACCTTCAACAAAAATCGTAGCTTCCAATACCCAACTAAGGCCCACTCAGCCTCTAATCTGCTCGCTGAACACATCATGTCGCCGCCAGACGATGTCGATCGCAGAGCAGTTGCCAGAGCGAAGGTGCTGGAAGTATTGGATATGTATGTTCCCTTCACTACAGTATTCCACAGAATACGATTCCCCGTGTGGCCCAACCATCTCACCATTCCATTCCACACCGAACATCTGGACCAGATGGCAACAAAGACTAACCTCTGCCACGCCATGGCGCGCTACACGTAGGTGGAAATTCTACATGTTGAAGACAGGCTACAAGGTAAGTCCCGACACTCCCTACACAGGTTCACGTTGCCCTTGATCCGTCCGCCGTGCTATTCGAAAGCACACCAAGCAAGCCGACGGAGGCCACTTCCAAGAAGCCAACCAACTTACTAACCTGGCACCAGGGCTACGACGTCGAGCTCATGACCAAACTGGTCCTGTTAGACGCCGAGCCCGAGGGGCGGGTTGTCTGGGAGCTGGAAATCACCGAGTTTTACGCCAACCAGAATGGTTCGTAGTGGTCATCTGCCTACATCTAGAAATCTATTAATTCTCGCCCGATACTGATGATAACGGGAGCCTAGGGGTGATGCACGGTGGAGCAGCTGGTGTCATCTTTGGTATGTTGCTTGAGTTTCTGGGGACCATTTCGGTTTCAAGAACACCAATATCAGATCGAACGTCCGAATCTAATAGACATGTGCACAACCACAGCATTGTGCCCGATCTCGAGACCGGGATACTGGGAGTAAGTGCCTTTCGCCTTCCCTGCGAGTGGTCAATGGCAGGGGACGGTTCGCTCCTCTTTGCTTTCTATGGAATCCGTCAACATATGTACCTTACATGCAGACCGCGCAACGAGGCTAATCACGCCCAATCTCCTGCCCAGATTCCAAGCCGGCGTCTCACGCTCGATAAACATCTCCTACCTTCGCGCCGTCCCACTGAGTGTGTATTACTCTCATCTTCCTCTCCCCAGCCTCACCTACTCACCTAGACTTCTCTCTCCCAGACACGAAAGTGCACATAACTGGGCGCGTGGCCCAGCACGGTCGGACGATGGCGCTGATCCGCGGCGACATGACAAGCCCGGACGGCAAGACGATCTACGCGACGTGCGAGCACCACAAGGTGAACGTCCCGCCGACGAACAGTATCGACGAGTTGAGGCAGCTCTTTCAGGATGAGATCAAGCGGCGCGGCGGCGATCGCTCGTGGCTTGATAACGCTGCGCGTGCAATGACGGTTGAGTCGAAGCTATGAGCGTGCGGTGAGATTGGCCTTCCTGATGGCAAAGTGGACGTGGCTACTGAAGGATGTAGAAGGCAATCCATCGGCACGTACATCGAAGGCAATGGGGGCCCACACGTGGTTGGGAATAGCGGCCAAGACTCACTCCACGTTGCGAATAGAGGAACAAGAAAGGCGAAGGGTAACTAGATTATGCTCCAAACGGTATACAACTCTATGTCGACCGCCGTGAGAACAATGATCAGGAGAAGCTTGAGGCGCCTGCGTTTTGATGATACCATTGTTCCCGAGGGCCACGTTCTTGGGTTGATACACTGTCACATCTCATCCGTACAGGGCAATATAATATGTGGGCTCAAGCCTACATACACGCACTCGGCTTCACACCAAGTTAAGTCAAATCCTTCCCCACCCTCTCTCAAGCTCTCTTGGTACACGCAGGTACCACCGCGTGCGATTGTATTGGGTAAGTCTGTGTCGTGTTGGACTTTGTTCCAAATGGCTGGTACACGTCTGATCTTAGTTCCGGATTAGTCAAGTGAAAAGCCAGATAAGGCAGATCATAGAAAGTGCGGTTGAATTAATGTTGGTGTTGTTTCTCTTCTTTCATTCCTTGCTATGCATTCAGGGTTGATGATTGTGACGCTGGCTCAACTTTTGAAACTCATCAAGGCTTTTTATCTACACTGAAGCTGTGCCGCTCCAAGAATGGTCGCAAATAGAAAGGTAGGTAGGCATTGCTGTAGGGGGATATGTCCGATGAGCTTCGAGAATAAATTCTAAAAGCTCGATGAATCGGTGGTCAGCCTAGCACCGGGGCTAGCTGCCGACCACTCAAAAAGTTTGGCTCGTAGGAGTGAGCCAATTTAATTAGAGATCTTCTGGTAGAACAACAAATAGGCGACTTTATTGTCCTTGATGGAATATTTCGGGTTGGGCGTTTGCTTTCCAGAGGAATCCTTTGCTGGGGTGGCCGTGCCGTTGACAATGGCGCTCATGGTCGATTTAGACCTGGAATGACCGTTGACCTGATTCCATGCCTTATCAGGTGTGTCTCCCTCTTCGTCGTTCTGGTCAATTTGCTCAAATCTACTACCGGTCTCCTTGTGTCGCTCCAAGGCTGCAGCGAGAACCTTGGGGTCTTCCTCGCTACCTCCTTCGGCAACATCTTCACTTCGAACACGTCGAATCAAGGTGTCATCGATCCGGATCCATTCACGATCATCCTGTCGGCGGATATCAGCAGTATAATGGCCACCATTGGCATTCTTTCCATGATGATAAATCACTCCAGTCAATCGATATTTCGGAAGTCCACCATGTGCGACGAACTTGTTCCGAGTTTGAAGAGGGAACACCTCTTTGGGAAGTTCAAGCTCAAGTGGATACCCAACTTTCTTCCATATCTTCTCAGCTCGCTTTGTAGTGCTATCGTAGTGGAAGCGTTTGAGATGCAAAATCAGTACTGGGGGCAAGGTCTCAATGAAGACTTGTTTCGTAGCCGTGGTTTTCTGGCCCCGAGAGCTATAAAATTCGCCCTGCATGCTTTCTGGTCGAGTGAGTCCTTTCAAGGCGTCAATGATGTTGTGGACCTGAGGAGACCCGATGTCAAGTTGGAGGGGAGAATATGGTTCCAAAGTGACGGAAAGTTTGTTCCCAGACACCTTGAATTCGGATCGGAGTTTTCCACCGAAGATGTTGGTAACAGGAGACTCGGTCGAAATGGTACCCGATGAGCGTGTAACGGCTGTTTTTTGTTTGTGTCCAACTTCCATCCAGCCCCCTTCGCCATCAACATGTTCCGAAAAGTTCGAGACACTTCCAGCAGGAGTAGTTCTGCCGGAGCTCGACGTGGTGGTTGATCTCATCACACGAGCACATTCTTCATGTAATTCTTCGAGCAGAAAGCCGAGAAACTCTTGAGCATCTTGTTGATGGCCTCTTCTCATCTCTCGGAACCGGGGTAAATCTTTAATGGCAGCATAGACGTATTCTGGGATAAATGGTTCACCATAGCTTTCGAAGTCATCTGCTTTCAACCGGAGACGCAGCTGGTCGACGGAGTTGGCTGAGCAGATGACGGAGTATTCTTGAGCAAAAAGGATAATTGCATCAATCAGGGGCGTGTCGCTCTTAAAGGTATGTGGAGCGCGCTGAGCCACTTTGAACAAGAAGTCATAAAAAGGCAATGAGAAGACAAGGACTTGCAGCACCTAGATTATTTAGTCCAGCTTGAGTAACTTAAAGACAAAGTATCCTTACCGAATTCATATAACACATGTTACCAGTGTTGACTAGACCACGGGGCTTCAAGAACGAGACCCGAGTCGGGGATGCAGTAGTGGCAGAGTTTATATCATTGAGCACATCAGAAAGCGTCTCATTTCTTGCACCCTTGGAAGATTCTGCAATGCTGGAGGTAGAGGCAGGGACTGATGCGGATGGAGATTCATTAGAGCGAAACAGGTTCGCCCAAGATTTTGGAGCGGCTGGTATTGGAGCGAGCTTGATGGATTCTTCAGAAACGACTGGAGACTCTCCCAGATTGACAGATGTGGCAGGTCTTTCGTGCTCTTCCTCGGTACCAGATTTCCCAGACTCTGACAGCTTGGAGGTGTGAGAAGCCAATGAATCTCGATGGGCTTTTCGACCAGCCGTCGGGCTTGGAGGAAGGATTGGCACCGCGGGTACGATGGGGCCAGCAGGGCGAGCTTTGGGCTGGGTGGGCGTCTGTAGAGCCTTGGTAACTGATGTAGCTACGGCTGATGAAGGAGTGGTTGGCTGTGTTGAGGCTGGCTCTGAAGGAGCATCCGAGGCCAAAGGTGTAGACAATTGAGTGGCCGTGTGGTCTACCGATGCCTGAACTGGGTTGCCGTCGACTGAGAGCTCCACATGTTGAGCTGGTGGCTCCACAGCAACTTCGCGCTCATGGTCGATTTCTGGGAGGGGATAGATGACAGGCTCGGTAGCGAGTAATGAGCGAGGGATTCGTCGCTTTTGACGAGTCGCACGAGGAGGGAATGCCTCATCGTGAACCGAAAGCCATGGGACCTGGACTATGGTTAGCATCAGGCAAAAGGAGACGTTGTTAAAGCCAACTTACTGGTGGTTGAAAAGGTTCCCGTGGTTCCTCTATTTTCGGAGCCTGGGCCTGAACTTGCACTTGACCCTGAACCTGAGTGGGTGCTTGAGTCGGGCCGGGAGAGACCGAGGTTGTTGGAGAAGCAGAGTCTTTCCTCGTGTGGGCAGTGCTTGTTGTACTCAAAGGTGGCGAAGGTGGAGTTTGTACCAGGGTAGTAGAGGTTGTGGAGGCAGAGGGCAGCGGCTGATGGTGTGGAAGTGGCCTATGAACATGAGTAGCAGCGATATGAGGTGATACTTGAGGATAGAGTTGCTGTGGCGGGATTTGTGGTTGAGAAGAGACGATCAAAGGCGGTTGATGCGGAGGATACTGCTGGGGCGGTGGCATCTGATGTGGATGATAATGGGGGCCTCTCGCATTGTGCATGTGAGGGAGGGGATGTTGAGGATAAGGGTACCAGTTTGGCTGGGCATACTGGGGTTGATATTGCGGCATCATAGGAGGCATGGCCTGTGGGTAGTAAGGCTGGTAGGCGGGGTGAGGGCGCATGTTCTGGGGGATGGAATTATATGAGCCATCATGCCGCCGGGAGGGAGGCTGCATGGACATCTGGTGTTGTCTATATGGAAGGTGATGATTTTGCTGCATATTGAGATCGCGTTACGGCGTGGGAGGTGATCGCATGGCGACCGGGTGCGCGCGTCGAGCAGGAAGGGATTTGTTGTGGTGCTCTTGTCTATGAGCGTCTGACTACCTAGAAGGAGGTAGAGAGATGGCCCATACTCGAAAGGGCGGCTGCGAGAAGAAGTGATGGGGGTTCGAGTATGGGAGATGTGGTGGGCCGACGAGGATGAGAATTAGATTCGGGATCCTCACTAGGGGAGAGAGAGCAGAACCGATGATGGAATCTTCTGGTCGGCTACACGGAACTGTACTTCTCTCACTGAAGAATAGAAAAGGGAGAGAAGAGAACTGGAAGACGGTGAAGGGGGAGAGAGCTGGCGCAGCAAAGTGAAGGAGCGACTGATACTCAGTGACACTGTTCACGTTGGTTCGGAGGGAAGTTGCGAAAAAGCAGAAAGAGTCAGTCCGCAGAAGTCAAGCAGTCAACAGCAACAAGCAAGAGCGACCCATCTGAATCCCAGGTGGAAAGGGCCAGCTAGCACTATAGTGATGATCTAGTCTATATTTAGTTAGTGCCTGTGCGAGATGGGACGGGATGCTCGGCTAACATGCCACTTCAGGGAGGATGCTTGAGCTAGTGATGTTAAGATGGACGGGCGAGAGGATTAGTCGAGAAGGGAGTCCCCCAGCCACCAATCCATTCACGAGATGACTCTGAGGGAAGGTGGGGTTTAATTGCAGCGACTGATCATGACTGCACCTGCCTGCACCTGCACCGGCATCACGTCTGCATCTGCGCCATCCGCCAGCCAGCAACTCAAACCTCACTTACACCCTCTTCCCTATACCCGTTCGCCCTGGCGATCGTGGTGATGCCAACGCACTCCCACTCACATCACTTTCTTCTCTCCCCTTCCTCGGGGCCCTTTCCCCCGCCCTCCGACCTTACGAGGTGTCGAGGTGTCGAGGACGCTGGCCTGCATCAGTAACCCTCAGGAGCGATGTCATCCAGCGCCACCTCCACGCCGGCAGTATCCAAACAGTATCCCTCACCCGCACAAACAAACTACTTCCAGTCTCCTGCCATAAACACCCCCGACTCCTCAAGACGCAGTAACACTTCCGGTGGCGGCACCTCTGTTTCTGCTACGCGTCCCATTCCCCAACCGCGTGGGAATCAGTCACTGAAGAAGAACCACAAACAAAAGACCAAACCGCATCTGGTGGACGACGACGCCATGGCTGAAGTTACCGCAATGAGGTCAATTAATAGTCGGAAGGGCCAGACTTCCATCACCCATCTGATGAACTTTGCTTTGCCGCCCCGCCCCCAGCATCATTACCAACATCACTTCAACAACCGCCACCAACCAAGACGGAATCCCACCTGGGGCCTCGGCTCGGGTTATCACGCCGTTGACAAAGCTCGTTACGTTCATGCAAACTACCGCTTTATCGTTCGACCTGACCGGGAATACCATCCTCAGACCACCGATGCCGATGTCTATGTCAGCTGGGATGCCGTCCTACAGGTTCTGGCCTCTGCCGATACCCAGTCTGCAAGTTGTCCCATCTGCCTATCGACACCTGTTGCTCCACGAATGGCAAGGTGTGGCCACATCTTCTGTTTCCCTTGCCTCATCCGTTATATGCATTCGACTGACGACTCTAATCCTGTTCCCGAGAAGCGAGCGAGATGGAAGAAGTGTCCGATTTGCGAAGACAGCATATACATTTCAGAGGTTAGACCCGTGAGATGGTTCAGTGGCCATGACGCCAGTATGCTCCGCGAAGGGGGTGATGTCCTGCTTAAGCTTCTCAAGCGTGAACCAGGCACCACTTTAGCCCTCCCTCGTGATGCTGCTGACAGCTATGGTTGCCACGATGACATCCCTTGGTTCCATGTTGCCGAGATCATGGAATATGCTCGTTTCATGAAGGGAGGAGAAGCATACATGTCGGCCCAATACGATCAGGAAGTTGTCGATTTAGAAACCCAAGAGAATGAAGACGAATTGATGTTCGGTGACGAAAACACTTGGACTCGCAAAGCTGTCGCTTCCATCGTTGATGCCAAAGAAAAACTTTCCGGATCCGGTAACCCTCCGACACCTACCGCTCCAGCCACCGTGACTTCCGGTAATGAGATTCCGGACTCATGGGAGGACGAGGGTCGAAATGGGCAGTCGACCTTGACTTCTGTCATAAAGGAGCTAGCTATCGAGCAAAGCATGCCTCCGACCACGCCGGTACATCCCACGAGACCTCAACCTGTGTCGGGCCGTCCATCAGGTTCTCCTTTCTATTTCTACCACGCCTTGCCAAACTTCTTCCTCTCGCCTCTGGATATTCGTATACTCAAGACCGCATATGGAGACTTTTCGGCTTTCCCTTCGACCATTTTGCCCCGCGTTGAACATATTTCCACCGGCCACATAGTAGACGATGATTTGAGAAAGAGGGCTAAATACATGGCGCATCTACCATCAGGGTGTGAGGTAACTTTTCTCGAATGTGACTGGACTGATATTATCAGCCCAGTCATACTGGCCCAATTTCAAGACGATATTGCTAGGAGGAGAAAGCGTAATTTGGAAAAAGAGACTCGAGAGGAGAGGGATAGACTTAGAGCAGAAAAGGAGGAGGAAGATAAGCGATGGGCGTCAGCCAGACGGAGGAGACCCAGTTCAGTTCCCAAGAGCTTCAGTGAAGCTGATTTCCGACCTTTAGTGGACACCAACACACATCCAAGCTCATCCCCGGGTGAGTCCGCACTTGCAGCCACCCCTCCATGGGGCAATACGAGGGCTCACTCGTCCTTTGCAATGTTGGCAACACCTGGTACCAGTCCCGACGCCCCAAGGACCGTGTGGGGCACCGCGGCTGTCGCAGCGAGTTCTCCCACCCTTGTGGCGGCCCCTGAGCCTATTGCGCACGACGATGGGTGGCTGCAAGACTGGGAGAAGGACCTGCTGGATCATGATGACGCAATAGCCATGGTCGAAGCCAGTTTGAAAGGGGAAAGCAACAACCCAACTCGTATAAACCCAGGATCGACAAAGAAGGGCAAGAAGAAGAAGATTACTCTGATGTCGACGAACAATCGACGGGGAGCATAATGGTGATGACGATGTATATGTTGCTTTACGATTTGAATGAAGATTGTGTACATAGCATCGCAGAAATGCCCAATTTGGTCCCAGCGGACTCAACCATATTCCTGCCCCATACTGATCCAATGCTTCCATGCTGTCTTGCCACACTCAAGACTCTGTGTCAGCAGCATACTTCATACGGTAAAGGCCAAATGAGGGCACTCAACCCTGAAAGGCCGAAGGAACCTGCACCCTCAACAACTTGACTGTTAGAACTGCAGGGCAAGCAATGTCGCTGAGTGTTGACTTACGCTGATTAGAGGTTGAATAGAATCAAGAGCTCCGTCACCTACCAACGGGAGAACGGTTCGCCTGAACTACTATACGATCGTGGTCTAGCTGAATGCGTGCGTAAGATTTTTTCATTGAGCGCAGATTGAATAATGTACCCTTTCGACAGAAAACCTTAGAAAAAGCCTCAATTTCGTCCAACACTCCTAGGGGTATACGTTGTACAGCTACCTATATCATGCTAGTGACGCGGGGGCCTCCTCTCCTCGATGCTTGTATAGCCAATGAGGTGCAGTCGATCCGCGGCAGCCTTGCGCCCTCGGCTCAGAAGGACGCCGGAGCCGTGTCGATCCGCCAAGACACATACGCCTCCCATCTGCAGGAGTAGTCGTCAACCCTCCTCCCTACAGGCGATATCGCTGAGAAAAGGTGCCAAAGAAGCTTTCACAGATGTCCTGGCTTTCAGCCGAGCTGGGAAGAATCTAGCCGAAAACATGTATGGGTACCGCTCTTGTCCCCAAACCCTCTCCCGGCCCAAGGATTATGGAGTCCTTCAACCAGATGCAATCATTGACCGTGGACCATCTAGTTAGTCCGTGTTGTCCCTTTCAGACACTATGCGCCCATGGCTGGGCGTGAACTATACAAGCGACATGTAAATGCTGAGGCGTTCCTCTTGGCTAACGGAAAAGGGGAAGGTCTGTCCTCTATACACCTCTCTTAAGCTCTGACGGCAAATGGCTATGTGGTTCCTGAGTCGGGTGACTTGCTAGTGGACGACAGTTTGTAGGAGTGAAGTCTAGCCATAGCCCCATTGGCCGTTTGAGTGACCTAGTTGTTGCCAACTGGAGCCTTTTCACCAAACTAGGGTGATGGCTGTGAGGATGTGGTATTGGTGGCGCGGTGCTTGATAAAGTGATTGAATTCATGGTAGATACGCGTTGAGCCAAACGGGTTCTGGCATACCTGGAATCTGACCACTTATGTCACTATCCATATCTACAGTCTCTTTTATCCTTGCAGTTACTAGCACGTCGCTGTCAGCAATCACAGATCTAAGGAACTACTCGTACGGATAGAGTAGTAAATGGTACGACCCCTCATCGCTAAGGCGCTAGTAAGCTAAGGCTGAGGACATCCTGAGAATAATCGCGTCCGCTCGCCCAACGGTCACTGCTTTCCGTCTTCGTGCTTGACGGACCCAAGGCTCCCGTAAACCCTTCGCTGTCCAACTACAGGCCTTGCATTACTCGTAAAGGCGAGTGCAACGCTCTTCTGGCCGACTGCTACTCTTCATGGCGGACCCATTGAGCCTGACGGCCGGTATTATTGCCGTTCTCGGCGTGGGCAACCATGTCGTTAATGGCCTCAAAGATTTTGTCCAGGGGTTCGAGTCTGCCGACCAGGAAATAATTTCCTTCTCCGACGAGATCGAAGCCCTAATAAATCTTTTACGAAGGGTGAAGACGGTCATCGAGCGTGTCAGCGGCAGCAACGGCAACGGCAACGGCAACAATACAACCTACCAGGTACCGAATGGAGACCTGGTCCACGACATCCTCGACATCTGTGGGCGCGTGCTGCCACCCCTCAGTGCTCTACAATCGCGACTGAACCGGTATCGTGCCAGGATGCCACGAAGCTCCGGTCGATTGAAACACTTTCGGCTTGTTGTTCGATGGATGTTTCGAACCAAGCAGAAGTTGCTCTTTTTCCGCGACGCAATCCAGTCCCAGGCCCAGCTGCTCAATATTGTTATCCCACTGCTCATCCTCCAGTCGCTAACCCAGAATTCGTTGCCAGCCGAGGATAGGGGCCAAACACCACACTACCCGACACCGACACTTGCTAACACCGTCGCTACTATCTCCACGTCACGCGAAGAAGAGCTGACGAAGGCCGTCAGGTCGTTGACACAAGCACTTCAAGATCGCAATCGCACTCCTTCCAGAATCTCACATCAAGGCATGCAAACGGGCTCGGGTGTGGAGGAACTGGCAAATCCTCCTGAGGACTGCTTTATGGACCCTGTCCAGAGCGCATTCCAACAGGCAGTAGCGCCGCTGTCGACAAGCCTAGTCCGCAGTGGGGGAGACAGACCCGCTGACGCATACGTAGGGCCAGTCATAGGGGTTCCACGCCCGAAGCTGACATTGCCGGCCGAAGGTCTAAGTGAAGACGAGCTTAACGCTCTAGAAAAAGGTGTCGATCGGGATCTTGGACCAGAGCCGGAGGAGGATCTTGATGCCATGGAAATTTTCGAGGATCTCGGCGCGGTGGTTCGTAAAGTTATCCATATAGCGGAATTTGTCCTGTGGCGAGCCACAACATCTCCGGCCTCTAGTTTCGACCACCATGGGCGAGAAAACCCTGAGTCGCATCCATCCCGAGTTGACACACCCCGTCCTAACCCTGCTCCGGTTCCATCCCATGTGAACACACCCCATCCCAACCCTAGTCCGGCTCGATCCCAAGGACCTTCCACCAGGGAACGACAAATTTCCATGTCCACCCAGACCGAGCAGATTGTGGGTGACTTGATACTCATGACATCAGATGGAGTTGAGTTTCTTATCCCAAAGGACATGGTTGAGCACTGGGATGTAGGTCATTAACTACTCCTTCTCTCCTATTTGCCATGAATGGTACGCCAGGCCAACTAACGGGCACCATCAGGATGTCGGGCTTTTTGTCTCTGCTAGCTACCCCTTGCGATCTACAGATGCGGTAGCTGGACTGTATCATCTGCTTTCCGAAGGCGGCGCTGTAGTCGCTCCAGCAGCCTGGAGTCGGTTTGTTGCGAGAGACAGCTTTACGAAAGCGTACATGATATTCAACGGTAATCATACTTCAAAGGTCATGAACGAAATCGACCTCGTTCAAAAGTACCACTATCTCACGGACGCTCAATCCAGACGCGATATAGAAACACGGTTGAGGCTTCGACAGCAAGAGGAACAAGTGCTCCTCTGTTCTCAACAAGGGAAGATCGAGGCAGAAAAAGCGAGGGCCATAGCAGAAGAGAATGCTCGGCTGTGGAATATCAAACAGGGGGAGGAAAGGGCAAAACAACAACGAATAAAAGATGAGTGGCCTAAATTCATCCATGCAATTCATCAAACCGAATACAGTCTTTCAATGGCCGAGGATGCCCTTTCCGATTTGGAATCAAGGAAAAGCAGTGCCGGAGTCAGCACTAGCATATGGCACGTTGATAGAGATTCTATTTATTATGAGGCGTACACTGAAGGACCGAAATTGGAGGAGGAGATACGCATACTCCGGGACCGCCTAGGACGCTTGCGTGAACTTCAGAAGAGCGGTGGGCTCTGTCCATATGACTTTGAGGAATATTGATACGATCAATCATGATACACAGGGGAGGGCGCTTGTGTTGGTAGACACGGACCACGAGCGACCGGAGCAGCGACCATTGGAAAGTAGGACTCGATCCGGTTTGCGACACCAGCAAGGCCAAGTCCCTAATGGCCTAGTTGCTATGTTTCATTCGTAGACTAACTTATCTTTGGAGTTTCCCACTCGTAGGATTGAATCATTGCAGCGCACTGTTTCTGACATTGTTTTTTGGGGTCAAAATCTTGGTCATATCAAATCCTGAAGGAAACCGATACCTCACCCCGGGGCGAGATGAAGTACAGTAGGGTGAGCAGGTACCGGCGTCGTGTGTACCGTCTACGCCAAGATAGTAGAGATTTTAGCCTCCACGATAGGTGAGCCGGGGGTTGAGTATAGGGTGGTATTACCCTGATGCCTAAAGCGGGTGAGTCGTCTGCGGATTTCCTTGACATTGGCAGATAAAGCCTGTTCCACAAAGGCGCCGCTCTCAACTCTCAGACTGGTAGGGCGTTGTCGGGGACGGCTTTGCGAGTGCGTTGCCATTCGTCATCCTCGTTCGCCCCGTTCTTGTTGAGCCCTAATAAATGAGTGGCCTGAACGGACGAGCAAGTTAGGCCGTGCTTGACATCCCTACATGGGCCTGCCTCCCGGTTCGTTTGAGGACTAGTACCGGTGGAAGGCTCGAGGCCATGACGAAGACATCGGTATCGAGTATTCTGGGAAACATGCTGAGTTGCAACCCAAATGCAGTTGGGACGCGATGGGCTCTGCGCAATCTCAAAATGATTGCGCGGCCTCCGATCGTGATGTTCTACAAGAACAAGTATATTTACCTCCGTGGCTCTCGCACTTTCGATGGAAGGCAGAAGGAGCTCCAACTCACCCAGTCGCCAAAGACGAGGCAAATCAGTTCTACAATTGATATTCTACGAAACTCGCCACTGAATCAGCAAGATGGTTCTATTCAAGCTCATTCTTTCTCTTGGCCTCATTCTCGCAATGACCGTCGATGCCATTCCCACCCCAGGCAACAATCCCCACTCGAACGAACTGCCTGGCTGTGGAGAGGTGAATGTTATCTTGACGTATGGCATATCTCTGTTCTTCGCGATTTACCATTTGTATCGAAGACATCGAAGGCTGACTCGTGACTGCCAGTGGTCTTCCTCCGTACCATCCACTTGTCATAGCACAGGGCCATGATCCGAATGGGACAGATGCTTCGCTTCGTGAGAGTGCCGCGATGGCCATTGAGGCTGGGTATAACGTCCGATGTGAGTCTCACGCCGCCTTTAACTTTGAAGCGATCTTCGGCAACACTGAAGCTGACCAAGAAACTCATGGTAGTCTCGTTTATGGGCCCGGAGAAGCCATTGAGTCTCCTCGAAGACCGCATGGAAGGGATTGACTGGGCTGGAACCGGAGTGGGCATGGGAATTCGAGGCTCTGGGATCCCCGAGCTCGTCGTTCGCCTAGAAGGTGGGCAATTCTGTGACTCTTTACTTTACCGCTTGACCAGCAACTAATCACGATTGGCCATACCTAGACATCATCCAAACCTACCGAGATGTGACACCAGATGCATTCATCTACTTCAACTACATGCCAAACACGACTCTTTGGGCCATTCAACGCCGCTTCCCCCTTTCCAGCAACTGCACAGATTCTCCTGGAAAGGACTTGGTAGGACTTGACCCAGATTTTCTTGTCATGACCTCGTAAACTGATCGTTCTTTTTACCAGGGGTACGAGGTTTTCTGCGATATCTGCTGAACACTTTTACCGCATCTGGAGGGATGGCAAGGCAATGTATTACTAAGAGTATCAAATTGTTGCTGTTGCGTAGTTATTCCAGCGTTTCAAATGTGGGAACCGCTAAATGCTGGGAATGGAAACTTGCTATCTTTCTTCCTCCTCGCACCCGAGCGTTGTTTAGGTCGTGGAGATCGTCTCACTTTTACTAAGGTACCGTTTGAGTAATCATAGGGCAGACAGCTTTCCCGTTACCAAATACCCACGCGTTGGCAAACAGTCTATTCATTGTTATTTGTATACCTAGGTTACAGGTACCTGACTGTCCCACCATGCCGAGGACCACGATTTTCTCAATCTTAGTACTGTTAAGTATTGATTGGGATCCAAGCTAATTTAACGCATCCCTGACCACCCACCAGCATACAGTGTGGCTCGAGAGATTGAATCACCTTTATCTCACTTTGGCAGTAACCATCAGCGGCGCCTCTAAATCGCTCACACCTACGCTGATAAGAGCCGGCAGCCGGTCTTTAAAGCCGCCCTGTTGAGCACGCAAGGCTTCCGCCTTGTCAGCGAGCTGGAAATCGAATTCGCGGAGCAAGGTGCTCATAGCCTTGTAGATATTGGTCGTGGCCATGGTTTTCCCGATGCACTGGCGTCCACCGAGGCCAAAGTGCATCAGTTGCCTTGATCTTTCTGCAGTCTCTGGCCGCTCCCATCGTGTTGGGTCAAAGGTGTTGTGGTCTGGGCCCCATACAGCTGGGTTGTGGTGGAATGCGTGGTTGCAAACGGCTATCGATGTCTGGTCTGGGGTGTTAGCTAGTTGTCTTCCAGCCAATGATATCGCACCTTGTGAGGCTTGAGGCTTGACTAAGTGTAGAGATTTATTTCTTTTCTCGTGGAAATTGCACTTACACCCTTTCCGAAATGATTGCCTTCAATTATCAGCCCTTCCGGGGCCGTTACTCGACGAGCAAGTGGCATGGTGAAGACGGGGGTGAGGCGGAAGTTCTCCTTGATACAATTTCGTAGGTACGGCAATGCTGATTCAACATCTGTGATAGGATATGCTGCCTGGTCGGGATCCAAAGCGGGGAGATTTGCGTCCACCTCTGATATGCACTGCTCCATACATTCTGGGTTGTGAAGTAGGTTGTAAAACAGTAGTGTTGTCGATGCACTTGTCGTGTGTGTGCCAGCGATGCTAAACCAGCGCGAGCCTGTCAGCATGCATCGATTCCATCGTATCGATGAAGTTATACACTTACATGAATCCAAAAGCCTCTGTTTCTAGATCTGTCTGTGTAAGGTGTTCGCCGGTGTCAGGGTGCTTTGCAAGTATTAGGCTGGTAAGGAGGTCTTTCCGTTCAGGTATGCAGATGTTCTTCTCATGATGGCGCCCTTTCACCTCTTCCAGTCTGCGTTGGACACTCTTTGACGCAAGTTCGGCACATGCTCTACGTCCACTCAACAGGTTTTGTACTGCCGCAACTGGAAGATAAGGAAGGGCCCACTTCAGCCAATGCAGCATTGCTGGCCACGCTCCCGTAGCTGCTGCGAGCAGGCTGTGTTCTTTGACCGGTGGTACGCGAGACTCATCTTCCGTGACTTGAAGATCAAATGATTTACTAAAGGCCAAGTCTCCAAGCACATCGACGACATAGTAGTGAAGAAACTTTTTCAAATCAAATGCTCGTTCAGCGACGGCCTCGTTGTATATCTTCCCTTTCAGGATAGACAAATTGGCATCAATGTATTGTTCCATACTCTTGATATTTGTCATTGAAAAGGCGTGCGACATATGTCGTCGTCGAACCGAGTGGTGCTTCGAGGCCTATCAGACACATTCGTACAAAAGGGTTTGAGAAGAGGGGCTTACGGCTTCATCTCTTGTTCCGAAAACATTAGGATGCGCTCCGCCAAAAGCATCATAGTACTCAGTCTTTGGCAATGCTCTCGATGATTTCTGATAGATGACTTGTACGGAACTTTCGTGTGTGATGCTGATCTTGTCGGGTCCATAACGCACCACTGGGCCATATTTCTCGTGAAGCTCCGTAAGGCGATATGGCTGCTTCAGCGACAAGAATTCAAGCACTTGCCAAATGTCCGTGAGAGAAGCCCAGAATGGTCCTGGATATCGAGCCAGAGGGTGTATAAACCGTTGGTAGACGACATATGCGACGACAGATAGAACGAGAATGGCAGAAACTGTATACCCGAGGTGCTGCGGTTGTGCTATAGATTTGAGATACATGGTTGACAGGTCTTGATGGCAGAATCAGTATGATACGTTCATATGTGTTTGGGCTTGTCGAAGTAAAATATGATCAACCCATTCAGCCAAAAGAGTGTCACCTCGTCCGGAGATCTCTTGCCCCGTGCTGAAGGGGATGTTTGATATACCTCTCAGCCAATCGGGAGTGACCTTCCCGGACAAGCTACCAAAGAGTTGTCAACCCCGCAAATCTGTGCAGAAAATCCGCATCTGATCTCTTCATTCAAATTTGACCAGATGCAATTCCAGGAATGTCGATCAACCGAGAAGATAATGGGCTATAGGCGGATGTGGGGTGATTCACATCCGGATGCAAGAAGCAACCCGTGATGCGACGTTTCCGGCACTCATTCGAACTTGGCTCTCAGATTAAAGCAAGCGGTACCTAAAGGCGGCCCCCCTTTTACGAACCGCAGTTATGACATCGCGTCACAAGCCACTGATCAAGCGTCGACGTATTGAGCTGGCATGTACAAACTGCAGGCAGAAGAAGTCGCGAGTAAGCCTGCTGAAAACCGTTTCATTGCTCAAAAGTCAATCCCAATGACCATTATCCTTAGTGTGACGGAGAACAGCCCTCTTGTTCCGGTTGCTCCCAGGCTCAAGTTGCTTGCGAATATCGGTGCATTCCCGAGCAGGAGAGAACACGAAGCCAAATTCGAGGTCGATCCTTTGCAAGGTACCGATTGCATTGGCACCATCATTCTTGCCTGAGCTCACGATCAGCAGCACGAAGAGCTCCGTGACGGAGAGACTTGATCAGCCTGGGAAGGAGGTCCCACCACTCTCCCGCGTAGGGACAGAAAGCGTGTTGCAGGTGCAAGACACGGTTTCGGTACCTCAGCCTCGGACTTCTGGCGAAGCCGCTGGTGTTTTGGGGCGCACACCAGGAACAAAGCCTCTCTCACTGAGCGATGAACCAAATCTAGAGTTATCAGACGAGGAGGCTAGAGTTGACACACTTGCAACCGGCACGTTCAGTGATGAAATTGAGACAGATATTGGGCATTTTGGTATAGTTTGAACGGAGATCTAAACTGACACCATTTTGCTAATTCACAATAAGGACCAAGTTCCAACCATGAGTACTTTCGCACTTTGTCGGGAATCTTTGCACATTTAGCCCGTGATGGACTCTCAACACAGCCTAACACCCTCAATACTTGGTCAGTTCCTCGAAACCTAACAGCAAGCGTTGCGGATCGGCGCTTCCACTGCTCGGGTGCCCTAGACTATATGGCGCTTCCGGACGACCATACAGCCATGGCGCTTTTTAACCAATTCTTCACAACAATAGCATTGACAATGCCATATTTCAGTAAACCCACACTCATACACGAGTACACAAGGTTGAAAGGAGGGCGATGTCAAGACTTCGACAGGGTCCATAGAGCCTTGTTCAACATGATCTGGGCTCATGGTTCAAGCTCAGTCGACTCGGATGATTCTGAAGTATACTACCGCAGGGCAATTGGGCTTCTGGACAGTCTTACGATCCGCAGGACCAGTCAAGAGATGGGTGGGTTCGAGTGCAGAATGCATAATCTTTTTTGTCTCTGACCTTCTGACAACATCTTAGTACAAGTCTGTCTACTTGTAACCGCATTCCAGCAAAATAATCGGCGTTCCGTTACGAGTTGGACCTTCCATGCTCTGAGCGTGAAGGCAGCGTTTCAGCTTGGTCTTCAATCTCAAAGCTCATACCAAAGTTTGAACTCTGAGAGTCAACAATTGAGAAAAAGACTCTGGTTTGGTGTCCTGAATCAGGACAGGTAAGCTTTATTCAAATCTTTTTGAAATTATAATTTGTAACACTTGAAAAGACTTCTCTCGGCTGCATTGGGGCGGCCCTGTCTCATACCCAAACAGCATGCAAGAATCGAGCCAGACGACCCGAAACCGACCACAATCTACCTAGATGCTGTGAGTCCTGATCGTATCGAGTCTTGGACTTACTTTCGGCAGGTCATGTAAATGCCTTTATCTCCGAACTGTGTTGAAGTGGACTAACTCGCATGACAGATCAATTTCTTCCATCATTTCTGATGTAATAGAGGTGTTGTATGATCACAATATTGAGGCAACTTATTCAAACATAGACAACATAGTTATTCGAAGGCTGGAACTGCATCTGGATCTCGAAAGATGGCGTATGTCCTGCGCAAGGACCTGGAGAATAATGACCGGGCCAGAGCTTCGCGGAAAGCCCAAAAATTCATTCGAAGCGTTGCGATTTGAGATACTACTCTCCATTCATTACTATCGAACGCTAATGCTAATTAATCGTCCATTGATTACATCAATCCTTCAGTGTTGGATTACTGACTCTGAGCCTCTCTCGGACACCATGATAGGAGTCGTCCTCCCAGTCCTCCAGAATGACTTTACGGCAGCGAAAGAACTCGCCAGTATTGTTCAGGCTGTTCAGACCTTCGGGGGAAGCTTTTTACCTCGTTACGGAGCTTGGTTTCTTGCAAACTACTCAGGTGCGAAACAAAGATATCGCAGTCTTGATAGAAACTGTACGGCAGTACTAATGCCTGGATTTAGTTTTTACTGCAAGCATACACCTCTTCGGTGTCCTTCTGGCCTGTGCAAGACGCCCAGATTTACTATCAACTTCCAATATCAGCCTTGCTGATGTAAGGGGTTTTCTCAATGATGCTCTTGGCACATTGCAGATCGTGGGGCAGGATAGCCTCATGAGCCAAAGAGGCAGCAGTTGCTTCTTCAAGTTTCTTGAGCTATTCGACTCCTTACGTATGTTTCTAAGTATCCACCCTCTGTACCAAGTAGTACTAACACTGACAAGTGTCTTCAGTTAGGCCTGAGGCTGTCTGTGAAGAGCAGAGCATTTCGTTGTGTAATCCCGGCCTTCTCAATCCCCAACCGCCTCCAGAATTTACCTCGGGCTCCATGTCAAGTTATATTGTTCAGGCCGCGGATGAGTTTCTCTTCCAGCACAGTGAAAGCGACTATTTATGGAACAACTATGGCTTCCCGTCACAATAACGGGAAAGTATCGGCGAGATGGCTTTGCGGATGCGAAAGGGAACATACCATTCTAGTGGCACCATTTCTAAACTCCTTAGAGAGATCAGATTGATCCACTCAGGTTCTTCGTCAGCCATCCTGCCAAACAGTCCATTCCCTTCTGCGATATATAAAACAACCAATCGGGACTGGCCTTGCCTGGGTGATATTGCTACCAATCGGCAAGAGGCTTCCCGGCTGAACCGCCACACTTATTACTTACCGAATTCTGGCACCACCGCCAAGAATCGCGGCTCACCAACAGTATTGATCGACGCCATTGATCTCTCATTGTCCAGACTACTCGTCTCGAGTGCTTACACCTCAGCGGCTTCTTCATAATGTCCTATTCTGTCAAGAGTTGAATGATAACTATAACTCACGAGGAAGCAAAAGCCCCGCACCGCCATGGCCGGCGAAAACATCTGCCTGGCCATTACCCTCGTCAGAGAGCATGAATCCCGACGGCTGAACCCGCTTTGGGATGCCCTTATTCTGAGGCAGCCTCAATAATTCTTGGATACCTGGCCGGATATGCTAGGTATAGCGTGTTACAGCCTTGGCTGCTCCACGGGGCCCCACGTTGGCGCTGACATTCTCCAAAGCATCCTGTTTGTCAACCGGATAGTTGAAATTTGGCAATCCCTCTATGTCCTATAAAATGGATGCGATTCCCTCATGCCTTCTGGAGCCAGTCACACTGCCAGTGCCTCTAGTACTAGTACATCTTTTTCAGACTTGACCCGCAGACTCACCACCATTCACGTCTTTTACAATTTGCCTCGCACAGTGGCTTTGTTCATTCGGGAATTATGGATACTAAGTCTGAGAAATACTCAGATATCGAGATTGAAGATGTTCAACAAATCACTTGGACAGAAAAGGAAGAGGCAACAGTCCGCTGGCTGCTCGATTTTCGTGTCGTGCCAATCATGTTTATCCTTTATCTCCTGTGCTTTCTCGACAGGTATGTCCTTGCAAGCACAGTTCTATGATTCTTCCATGAGTGAACATAACTAAGGGCATTTTATCAGAGCAAATATTGGGTAATGAGAAGCCATTTCCAAAAGCAGAAGAGAATACAAGCATTGCTAATTGGAAGGAAGTAATGCCCGCATTCAAGGGCTACAGGTCGACCTCAATCTTAATGGATACCGATTCAACTGGGCTCTTGTAAGTCTTAAACCATCTAACGAGAGAGAAATTACTAATCGTAAATCTTGAGACAATTTTTTATGTCGGATACTTTCTCGTCGAGATTCCATCCAATGTGCTTCTCAAGATCATCGGGGCCAAGTACTATCTCCCGTCATTGGTAATCGCGTTTGGCCTGGTCTCAATGTGTACAGCTTGTGAGTTCCCCCTTCGAGCTAGATTTGTTTGGAATTTAGGAATCTGGGAAAAGCCACCATCAAAACGAAGTTGTTCGTTGACGATTTCACAGTTGTCCACGACTATCCAGGATTGCTGGCATGTAGATTCTTCCTCGGTTTCGCGGAGGGCGGACTTATGCCCGGCATCTCATATTATCTCACCTGTTTCTATAGACGGTCCGAGCTTCTCCTTCGAATAGGCTGGTTTGTTAATGGGGCATGTCTAGCCGGCGCCTTCGGCGGTCTTTTTGCAGCAGGCCTCAGCCAAATTCCACGCTGGGGCGTTGAGAGTGTCCAAATCCATACATGGAGGAATATCTTCCTCTTCGAAGGTATTCTAACAGTCTTCATCGGGCTTGCTGTCATGTACTTTCTGCCCTCAAGCCCAATGGACTGCACATTTCTATCCGACCGTCACCGGTTCATCGCAGCCGAGCGCATCAACAGCGAATACAACGATGCACGAACAAAGACGCACCGAATCACGAAGAAAGATGTGTCTCGTGGCATCTTCAACATCAACAACGCAATTTGTGGATTTTCATTCATGTTTGCCAATGTTGCAGTGCAATCGCTCGCGCTTTTCATGCCAACAATCCTCGCAGCAATCGGGTATAAGTCCATCAAAGCACAATTATATACTGTACCAGTCTACACAGTTGCTACGGTGGTTTCACTATTTATGTCCTGGTTGAGTGATCGCCTGCAGAAGCGCGGAGTGTTTATCTCTGCCGGCGCACTTTTGGCAATGACTGGATATGCAATCCTCAGCTCCGCAAACGACCCGAATGTCAAATATGGCGCGGTGTTTATTGCGGCTATCGGAATCTTCTTCATCGGAACCACCGTGTTGGCCTGGTCCCTCAATAATGCAGCGGGGAGCTCTATTCGAGCGGTGTCCTCTGCCTTTGTGGTCGCCATGGGGAATTTTGGTTCGGTGATCGCCACTTGGTCGTACCTTCCCTCAGATGCTCCAAGATATAGGAAGGGCCATTTCATCAACATGGGTGCCGAAATCGTCGTGTGTCTCCTTGGAATTGCAGGTATCGTGTATGTAAGGTGGGAAAACAAACAAAGAGACCTGGGCAAGCGCGACCATCGGCTGCAGGGCTTAACGACTGACGAGGAGATTGAGGAGCTAGGGTATAGACATCCGAGCTTCAGGTATATGGAATGATTGGGCTATGGGGAAAGTAAAATCAGCGATACTGGTGGTCTCGAAGAACGAGTAGGGCGTGTCATGGACTCATGGAGTAACATATAAAAAGATATGGAAATCATCCTGCAGCACATATGATAGCTAGTGTGCATGGTCTGAAGCTCCGGCAGCATGGCAAATTCAAGGGACGATGAACTGCTGAACCGCTGAGCCGCTGAACCGCGTGTGCCATTCAAGCATAACCTGCATATTCTCGACCGTCATCGGAAACGTCTGGTCTGGTCATGTGGCACCTGTGGCGGAAGAGCTCGCGCAGGCCTCTGGGAGAGTGGTTGGAAGCGAGTAGGAACGCTCTTTCAGAGTTGCTCCAGCAGGGACTGTAGAAAATCTTGCTTTATCACACCACCGAAACTGGACACGGACTCTCATCAGCAAGACTTCTTTGGGCATTGATCATCATGCCCCGAACAAAAGGAAAGAAGACTGCATGGCATGCAGAAACCGTCGAGACAATACGTACCCATAGCACTTGATGTGTTCCAGCAACATGTCAGAGAGGGTTTCTAGCTCGGCAACATTAATCCGGCCAAAGTCGGGGTGTTGTTCAATTTGGTGCCAGGCCTGGATGGGCGTCACCTCGGTGCTCTCCTTTGGCAGCTCCAAGGACCTCTGAAGGAGGCTGGTAAGAATAGATCGTGGGGCGTGGAAGCACTGCAGCGCTGCTGGCGAATCAGGCTCGACGGTTGAGCCTTGTGGCGAAGGTAGTGCGGTGAGGCTTTTGTTGGACGTAGGTCTAGGGCTGTTGGCGATGCAAGAGAGGAGTGTTGCGGACACGGTGTGCACGTGGCCTTGGGGTGTGGTGTCATCGCTGCCATCTGCTGCTGGATCATGGATGTGCGGTAGGCATGGTGACTCGAGTCTGGTGGTGCAATGAGGACATGGTTCAAGCGCGTGGACGCCGAGAGCGGTAGACTTACTTAAGCACGAACTCCATGGCGACGACAACAGTGTCGAGATGTGCAATGAACTGTGCCTTGTAGAGGTACCGTGATGGGGACTGGCTGGGGGAAGGCTCCCCCTGCTGCCTCTGCTTGGTTGTGCCACGCCGCTGTAGGTTGGGAGTGCTGAAGTTTGTAAAGGTGTCTTGCGGACTACCCAATGACGAGGGCGTCATGATGAGCTGATGAGGCTTGCCGTGCTGATAGTCCAGCCGGACGGTGGTGACTGTCTGATTCTTGTCGGCAACCAATGGTCCGGTCTGCGATAGGAACGCCCCAGTGCCAGTGCCTCCATTAGGGTCACCATCTTGCCAGTCGGACTCGGGCGTCATCAGTTGGAACGAGCGAAGAGTCTCTTCACAGATGTCCAACCTGCGCTGCAATGCGGATGCTTCGGACCGCAGCTGCTCGGCCTCGGATATCAGCAACGCATTCTCAGCCTGGGATTTGCTGAGCTGGCGTTCCAGTATTTTGAGATACTGATCGCGCCGCTCGCGAAATGTTCTGGAAGGATTCGCTCGTCAGCGCCGGAACCCTCATCCATAGCACCCATGTGCCATAACGTCATCATTGCAACTACTAACTTCTGTGCTCGGCGAACCTGTTCGCGTCGCTTTTCTGTCCGTTCTGAGCACGGGAGTCAGCTGTTTGCTCGTTGCGACCGGCGACAGTCGCTGGCGTGATCGGCTCTACACACCTTCTTTCGACCGGAAAAACGGCCGAAACTCGAAATTGACCATCTTTGTTACTTGTGCGCGATGTAGAGAGGAGAGGCAACTTCGATATCTGAACGTGGTTTGAGGTAGTAGACATCAGGTACTTTGTGCCCTTGCGTCTGTGACTTAGCCAACTCAGCAGAAGAATACCGATGATCTCCGAAACTAAGTTGAGTTTGACACGGTACGAGGTTCGGCGTCGCCCCGTTCGGATACAGACCCATTGGGTGCCATGCGACCAGGGGTTGGTTTGAGCTCCATTCTGATGCAACCCCTGCCTCGGGCCTCACTAATTCCTGCAAGGTTGCGACTCCATCAACAGTCTGACGCAAGCCAGGCAGCCAGGGCACGCCCTCAACTGATCCATAACCCAATATTTCCCTTTCCAGCTAGATCGGAGAATCGGATAATCGAACAGATTAGACCGAGGGTCTTCGGCAAAACGGCCTTTCCTGAAAGGGCATATATTGATATATAATATCTCAACGAAGCCTCATGATAATTCATGGTTTGCGGGCAGAGGTCAAGTATATGGGCCGCAATCATGGCACGTCCTTTTGTTTGCAGCATCACAACCATTCAATCGGTTTGGACCCCATCAGAACCCCGTCGTCACTCGTTGTCTCAGAATGTTTCTCGCTCCCTTCCAAATTTTGCTGTTGGCAGCATATCTAATGCCTGGCGCCTCGTCTCATCCTTACGGACCAGAGACCAATAACGCTATCTTCTTTTTGACGAATGATCAGACCAATGCGGTGGTTGCGATTCCCATAGGTGCGGATGGAAAGCTGTCAGGCGGTACCGTGACTGGTACTGGCGGCGCAGGGTCAAACAGCATCAATGGCAATACCAATGAACCTGCCAGTCCAGATCCTCTGATCGGACAATCGGCCATTGTTGTTGCTGGACAGGTGACTCTCACTCCTCTTGCTGACACCAGGTGTACCTTGCTTACAATATCGTAGAACGTCTTTGCAGTAAATGCTGGCAGTAATACCTTGTCGATGCTATCAATTGACATGCAGGACCCTACCAAGTTGACGATGGTGGGCCAGCCAATGCCAGTCCAAGGAGAATTCCCAAACACCGTTGCGGTGTCGATGAAGAACCGACTCGTCTGTGTTGGCACCACTGGCGCCAAAAATGGCGTGTCTTGCGCCACGTTCTCGAAACAAGGCTTGGACCCGTTCGACGACCTCAGGTCTTTCGGCCTGGTGCAGTCAACACCACCGGTCGGCCCAACGAACTCTGTGTCGCAACTGTTCTTCTCAGAAGACCAGACGATGCTCTTTGCCACTGTCAAGGGAGATCCAGCTGTCAATGCAACTGGCTTCTTCTCGGCTTTTCCGGTCCAAAATGCGGCAGGATGGCCGGGAAAAGGAGGTGCTTCTCTTGCTACTATGGACACAAGAAGCTCTCCAGCTGGGACAGCCGTCCTATTTGGCTCAGCCAATATCCCAGGCACCTCGTCCGTGTTCGTCACCGATGCCTCCTTTGGCGGTGCTATCCTGTCGGTGAACCCAGCCAACGGCCAGGCGACTCTTGTCGCCAAGCAAACCATCGACGGTCAAGCCGCCACATGCTGGGTTACCATATCGCGCATGACCGGCAGCGCATTCGTAACCGACGTGTTGAGAAGTCGCATTGTGGAGATGGACGTCACGAATGCAAGTATACTGAGCATCACCGATTTGTCTGCCACCGGTTCCCCGGGCTTCCTCGACCTCATATCCGCCGGGTTTGCCATATATGTCCTCGCCCCTGGCAATGCGACAACACCGTCTGCTGTAACCGTACTGGATGTGTCAGGCGGCCAAGGGAATGCCAAACTCCTACAACAGTTTGATGTCTCGAGCCTCGGGGTCGGATCCAATGCGCAAGGCATGGCTATGCTGCGAAAGTAGAGGGGCAATGAGATGGTCCGCACCGCACAAACCTGGTGGAGTTTCAAAAATACAACCAAATTGGCCTCCCCCGTCATTCATTTAGGATATTCCAGAGCTAATCCGTAGTTTCTAAATCTATTTGCTCCTTCATATCGTCCATGCTATAATTCTCTAGTCTAAAGCGTGAATTGCGAAGCAACTCGGGATGTGAAGGGCAGCAACTCCAAATAAATGGCCACGCAGTCCTGAACATGCACCTCTCAATTCCTTCCTCGGCCTCGGTAGTTTGGCAAGGGGGTCCCACCGAGGTCTGCCTTGATCTGTGAAGCAACATGTCTCGAGGAATAGCGACAATAACCAATTGTGCCCCTATGTACTACGCCCCGGAATTTGTTACACTGAGATGTCAGTCTGGTAGTCTTGAGTTCACATGAGCAACTAGAACGTTTCGCCGAGTCTTCCTACGAGTTTGCTTTTTGAGAATGGCTTACAGCCCGCAGGTTTGAATGTGCCTTCAAGGTCTCCTTCCGCGACAAGGGTACAGAAATCATCGACTTGGGCAGCGATCTTGCTTCCCAAGAGTTCTTCCACATTCAACCTCATGTTGCCGCGGAAGCCAGTGAAGATTTTGGAACTGTCATTGAATGCTAAACCGTTCAGCGTGGAATAAGTTGCCAGTGCGTCAGAATCAACTCGAATCTAGGACGAATGATGAGAGTCGGCGGGTACCTAGAATCAGCCAATCGACTGGGCGAGGTCATCTTACCTCTCCCTGTGCAATGTTAGCGAAACAGCCGACATCGATATGATGTCCTTGCCGCTCCTCATTAATTCCGTGAATATGTCCGACTAAGTCAGTATGGTTTCTACAGCGGCCAGGTGGATAGGCGGTACAATCTCTTGCCACAGGGTAGACTGCTAATGTCACCATGCCGTTCAACCTTGAACACAACCTTTTAGAGCACGTCGAACCTTTCGGGCTATTTTCTGGAGTAAAGCAGTCGGGTCGGACATTCCCTACGTCTGTGTCAACTCGATTTGATTAATGGCAAGGTTGACACGGCCATGTGGTCATGATGGATTTGCAAGGGGATGGGTCTTCCACGGGCAATTGATCCCGCAGGATCATTCCCTCAGCCTTACCAATGAACAAGGCTGTCTCTCACCAGATCTGTCCCTTCTCGGACAAGCGATTGCCAAGACGCTATGTCTTGGCGGATATGGTACGGGGGATCATTAGCTAGCGAAGCGTACGGATAAAGTTTCGAATGGGGCAAGGTGTTTGGGTTCTGGGGAGGGAGCCAATCCCAGGGCAGGCCAGTCAACCGGCCCAAATTGCAGAAAGAAGAGTTCCGCATCGTGCCACTGCGGCCAACTCACCGTGTCACCGCGTCACCAGTCACCAGGGCACCACCTCTTCGTCGCCTCCCACTCAACCTTCCCACGGTCTCTACCACCTCCTCAGTCGCTCTTTAGATTTCCTTATCGTGGTGATGCCAACGCTCCTTTGAAAATGACTGTGACCCGCACGCAAGCAGGCAAAACCCCCAAGTGCGCCTCCCTTTTGAATTTGCAACTCTCCTTCACACGTTTCAGCTAATGTGGTGGATAGGAAGACCTCTCGGCCTGGTTATGTCGAAACACCTGGCACGTTTGGCAAGTCGCGGACGCGCAAGTCTGTAATTCCTGTCTACGACGACTCTTCAGACGCATCCCCGAGTCAAGACGAAGAGACAAGCACTCGCGCAGAATCTCACAAATTAAGCACCAACGGCAGTGCCAACGGCCACCTCGTGGAGAAGGCTACTAGCTTCTTGAATAGCCATACCAAGAGAGAAGCCAATGGTTCCATTAATGGCTCTGCCAAGAAAGAGGTCAACGGGTACCTGACAAATGGGATTAATGGACATGTCAATGTGCGCAGCAAGCTCATCGACGGGTGGGAGCCGGGCACTGATCCGAGAATCGATACATCCGGCCATTTTGAATTTGGAGGAACGCCTGGTGTCGCGGCCATCATGACTGTATTTCCATTGCTTATGTACTATATGTGGATTGGTGCAACATATTACGATGGGAAATTACCTCTACCCAAAGAAGGCGAGGCCTTCTCGGATTTCCTCCGCAGTCTACTGCAAATGGCATACATCGGGGCATGGCCATCAGCAAAGGCATGGGCGATGTATTGGGCATTCTTCGTCTTCGAAGGCGCCCTCTACTGTCTGATGCCGGGGATCTGGACCAAAGGAAAACCACTTGCTCATGCAAATGGGTTGAGGCTGGATTACTATTGCTCTGGGATGTGGTCCTGGTGGACGACAATTGTTCTTGCTCTCGGCCTTCATTTCACCGGAATCTTCAAACTGTACGAAATCATCGACGAATTTGGACCGCTTATGTCAGTCGCCATTATTTCCGGCTTTGGCGTTTCCATAGTGGCATACATATCAGCCATTTATCGTGGAAAACAACACCGAATGACTGGCTCTACCTTATATGACTTCTTCATGGGTGCCGAACTCAACCCCCGCATGTTTGGTATTCTGGATTTCAAGATGTTTTTCGAAGTTCGCCTACCTTGGTATATTCTTTTCCTGATCACAACTGGAACTGCCGCGCGTCAATATGAGAGATATGGATATGTGTCGGGAGAAATAGGGCTTCTTCTGCTAGCACATTTTCTCTATGCCAATGCCTGCAGTAAGGGTGAGGAGTGCATTGTCACCACCTGGGACATGTACTACGAGAAATGGGGATTCATGCTGATTTTTTGGAATCTGGCCGGTGTACCACTGACTTACATTCACTGCACACTTTATCTCGCCAATCACCATCCAAGCACCTATTCATGGAACAAGTATGCTCTGGCAGCTCTCTATGTCGCCTACCTGTTCGTTTATTGGGTTTGGGATACCACCAACAGCCAGAAGAATCGCTTCCGAGCAAAGGATTCAGGGGGTGCCATTACTCGCAAAGCCTTTCCTCAGCTGCCCTGGCAGACTGTGGACAATCCTAAAATTATTACAAGTGAGAATGGGGATACCATTCTGGCAGATGGTTGGTGTAAGTGCTCAATTGATGTAACTTTGAGAGCTGTCTGCTGACTAAATATAGATGGGTATGCAAGGAAGATTCACTACACTTGCGATCTTTTCTTTGCTTTGTCATGGGGGGCCGTGACAGGCTTCAATTCGCCATTCCCCTGGTTTTATCCAGCATTTTTCACTTGCATGATAATTCACCGTGCCATTCGAGACATTCAACGCTGCCGAAAGAAGTACGGCAAGGCATGGGAGGAGTATGAGAGACAAGTTCCTTATCTTTTTATCCCTGTAAGTTTGCTTGTGCCGCCTCTGCACGAGATATTACTAACCAGTTCTTAGTATGTATTTTAATAAGTCACGGAGAGCTTACGCTCTCTATAAGTGACTATCTGAAACAAGGCCTGAAGCTAGTGAAAGTGTAGACTAACAGCAAATGCCAGTGATTTCCAGAGAATAGCCTTCAGATCCGTCATCAGCAGCTCTAAGATCTCAATGAATAGGGAGGCTCACTGACTCCTCTGAGCCTAGCATTTATCTAATCACTGCAATTATGTTCTCACTCGCCGTTCAATTCACATATATGTGTCTTCTTATACATAAGTTGATACCCCGCGTCATATCCATGTTCTCAACATTCGCTCGGTATCTCACCTCGTCAATTTCCAATGCCACCCGCTCTTGACATCCTCTCTGGGTCCTCTGTCACAATCCATCAATCGCCACCCAAGGATGTTTGTGAGATCATAAAGATCTACTGCTATTGTGGCTCGTTGTGGAGCCCAGTTCATTACTTGATTTACTTGATTTTTTTGACACTAGGTATGTCTTGTCTTGAAAATTGCAGCTTTTGTTCAATTTCGAATTCTAAGCTTTTGTGATCTGGTGTTCGCGACATTGCGCTTGTCTCACTGAACTCATTCCAGCTATCATGGCTCTGTCCTGTTTTTTCCGTAATCGCGCAGTGCTGATCCTTGTTCTCAGTGCGGCAGTAGGACTTTCACTTTCGTCTCCCTGGGAGTTGCCAAGAGCCTCTCACCAAAATCCCTCTCGGCATATCAATCCATTCTACACCATTCACGGCGATAACCCCATCGAAAGGGACTTCTCTTGTCCAATCAACCCTTCCTCGTTAGCAGGCCCTCCAATCAGGCATTGTGGCTCCGACTCAACCTCCAGCACTGCTCTTACCAGCCTAAATACCATGGTCGGAGGAGTACAAGCGATCACTAACAGTCCACCTACGAGAACGATCCAGCCTTTCACAGTGTCTCAAGTCTCTGGTCTTCTGTCTTCTTTAGAAGAAGCAACAGCAAAACCTAATTCCAGGTCTATGCTCACCAGCTCACCAGCATCGGAATCTGACACCACCTCAGTGGTCCATCTGATAGAAAGTTCATCAATTGCGCCGGCTTCCCTGCCGATGACAACGACAACGCACAATTTCCTGCCTCCACTTCAAGTTAGTGAGACTCCTCTCACAAGCGCTCTCGATTCATCCAGAATTTACACTTCGTCTGTAACAGCCACTACTATTGCAGAAACAACAAGTCTAATTTCAATCACTATTCCCTCAGCAACCCAAACTTCAACTGCAATTTTGACCACTGACTACAGCGATACAACAATGGCACCAAGCGATTCTTTGTTTTCGTTTATATCGCCTGACCTTGAGTCCACTTCTTCGGATGGAACTCTCTTCATCGTTACGGGTCCCGCTCAGGTGTCACCCATTCCCACCAGCATCAATTCCGCCACAATTAACAATTCTGGACCGAGTTCAGCCGAACCTGAGCCTACCACTTTCAAAACTGAACTCAGCTCAGGGATTACTACATCAGTGTCAGCTGCTTCGATCGAGGCCGCTTCGGCGAGACCGTCAGATGTATGTTTGCACGAACCGATCTATAAGTTAGCTTTACTGACATATCTTAGTCCTCCACCAGCGAAGCAACAGGTCTCTCAAGCCAAGCAAGCCCGCACGGGCTACATGGATCGAAGGCAGTTGCCGCAATCGTCGCGCCGATCATTTTTGTTGTCGCCCTCATCCTGTTGGCAGGCGTCGTTTGGTGGTTGCTGACACGCCGCAAAGAGAAGAAACGCGCAGATCGGTTGGCCGAAAAGGCAGTTTGGATGGATCAAAGTTACATCAACTCGATTCGCGAGAAAATGATGGGTATCGACGAGGAGAAGGTCAGCAACCTCATTGCCAACAAGTCCCCCATAAACAAGGTCCCAGGTATTGCACGATCCAACAGTTTACTCGGAAGCAAGAGGCTATCAGTAATCAGTGCCTCGATCCCACCTCTCCGACGATCCAGCAAGCGAATCGATAGAGCAGAGTACTTGGATATGGCACGTTCAAGCAATGAAGATAGGGCTTCGAATGTCGAGAATCTACCAGACACACCAGTTGACCTCGCCACCAGTGAGCAGACCAATGGCCTCATGGCGATCAAGAATGGTCTTCCAGCTTCAGCAGCGGATCACGACCATGGAATCGCTGGGCCGAAAGTTATTCCACCAGGTCCAACCAAATCAGGCTCGACTGATTCACCTGTCGACGCTTCGACTGATTCTGGTATGGGTGCAATTACGACGACCGAGGAAGGGAAATTCGAAGATAGTGCTACGCATCGACGCAGTGACTGTGTTATCAGCAGATTGAGCCACGGACTAGAGCGAGCGGTTCGCCGTCGCAGTGGCATGGAAGGACTACGTTAATGCGCAAGACGAAGGATCAATCATGGATGACCGCCAACAACGAGATGTATAAGATTGCAAATTCGAACTGAACACGACACATGTCACAAGATTGCGAGTTGGAGTCGTCCAACCACGGGAGGTCCCGCGATATCAAACCACAAGTGCGAAGTGATGAAGAACGTTTCGACAGTCGTTATATTCGAAGAATGCAAGGCGAGAGTGTGATGCGGCACCATGCAGGGCCTATGCATCCGATGAATCAATGACAGGAAGACACGACTGACCACAGCACGAATGGCACAGGACCATACATAGGATGCCGTTATCAGACTCAGAGGGGCTGGTGGGTTTTGAAATTTCTGGATCAAACGTAGCACTCGCCTTTTTGAGTACGATACGAAACAGCATGATGACGGAGCTTATTTGCATCATCGGAGATTTGGTAACTTGCTTGAAGTTTGCAAAGATCCGGGTCCCAGCTGGTAGTACTTGAATACTTTCTTTTTTTTTGAAAAGTTCAAGGAAGAGCAACGGCCATTCATACATTATTGAAAGGCCTGATGCATCTCCGTTCATTTAGCTAGTTAATAGTTTTCTCTGTGGATGAACACTCACCAGAGGAAAAGCAGTCAGTCATACATGGGATTTCGTTCCGTAAGTTTCAACATTCGAACTGAGTAGCTTACTCATGCTCAGTCAAAGGTAGTACCTTGGTATCTTTGATTCGTTGGATGGCTTCAATCATCATAGCGCCTTGCTAGGAGGGTTGATGCCGGCGCATATTATATGGACGCCCGTAGACAGTAGCAGGAGGCCCAGTCACTTAATATAAAGTGACAAAAATGTTCGGTGTAGGTTTTTAATCGTGGAAATTCTGCTGACTTCAACGTACCCGGTGAGGTTGTTCACTTAGGCTAGAGTGTATACCTTTAATTATAGACCAACCACTTGCGTGTCACATAGAGGATCGATTATATCTTCCTCGTGCCACGAGTGATATTAATACAGGGATTCGGCACTCTCCCTTGTTTGGCTAAGTGGTCCCTTGGAATTGGCCATCTGGTAATTCGGCTTCGATCCTGAGTTGTGGGAGGTGGATACAGAAAAATCCTTTTTGGCCCTTTTCTAAGAAGCTACTTTCAGAGGGCATGCAGTTAGGGTCTTAGTAAGGCGGTGGATGGGGGCCCGGGGGATCATAGATAATTCCTTTTGATCCAACCTGCCACCCTCTCCATATCGAATCCTTTTGTCCTACTCCAGGTGCCCTCAAGCGGCCAACTGAGTCCTGTCCCCTCCGAAAAGACGACCCGATACTTTCTCAACTTGTCCTCCGGAGCTTTCCGGCTTTCTTCCCTCAAATAATCCAGCGGCCACACATTCTTGATGACTTCCTTTCCCGTCACTTTCTGGATGGTGTCCGCAAGCTCACCATACGTCAACGTGTCACCTGCGATATAGACCGGCTGATTCCTAGGTGCTTCGGGATCCAAAATCAGCTCAGCTGCACATCGGCCGATATCTTCAGCTGTCGTGGTAGTGATAACGTCATCCCAGGAATTCAGCGCCGTGACCTTGATCCTTTCGCGATCATCGTCACCGACTTCCTTCCCAACCACCCCCCAGAACTCCTCGAACAAGAAACTCATGAAGATGCCACAACTGAGTATCACCCAATCCGTTGCGTTCTGGCCTCTCAAGATATCCCGCACATCAACTTGCTCACTGAACAGACCCTCGCCACCTTCTCGTCCGATCGCGTCGTAATTCACTCCATGCTGCCACGGCATATAAAGTTTCACACCAGCACCGAGCACTGCACATGTTATTTTGGTAATCGTTCCTGCTGGACTATTCATCCCACCGGCATGAATGACAGTGGTGTGTGGCCTGAACAGCTCCGTCAATGTAAGTTGGTCTTGATTGTCAATGTCGCCAGGAACGAGTCGGACTCCTTGTGAACGATATACATTTTGTTGTTTGACCTTTGAGCTACTGGGATTCGAGAGACTTGTTGGCCTGACTAGTAGGCTTATGGTTGCTGGAGATGAAGGTGTGTTGAAGAGACGGTTGTTGACTAGAGACGTTAGAATTTCGTGGCCCAGCTCACCGGCTCCAAGAACTAAGATTGAATTGGTCGATGATGTCGCCATCTTGGATAAGTGTGCTGTGCCGGTTTGCGCTTGCTATTGAAAAGCTTGGTAGGAAAGGGATGGCTCAAGTACCTAAGCAACGTAGAGCGACCCGACTTGAAGATCACTGAGTATGCTTGAAAGAAAGATTCGTATCTTACAAAGCAGGCTGGGGTATTGCGCATTATTAGTCGGAAGGGCGCAGAGCCTTGCATGTTCGGCTGCTATCATTGTCCTATCGCCGCCACAAGGTTCTTGGCAAATCCTCGGCATTCGGACTTAACAAGCGGCTTGTCAGCCTATTACTAACCTACCTGATGGGGTTCAGGAATTGCAACTAGGTAGTGAACAGTGTATGCTATCGGCTGAGTCGCGGTGACTGAAATTAGGATAATTTGCTGTTTTCAATACCGTTAATCAGCAGGCGGTACCTGGTGAGAGAGAACTGGCTTCTCAGGTCAGGCAGCCTTGCCTCAACTGCAACCGATTCCGTTCCTGGATGGCTGTCTAAACGCCTAAGGGCTAGTCTTGGTGGCGGTTCATCATGTGCAGACATGCCTGGAAGTCTGAACTGACAGGTTTTGATCCAGCCCGGCTCACAGAAACTCTGAATCTGAAAATGGTACGTTGGTCCTTATCGCGCGCCTCCTCCTCGGTATCTATTTACATCATCTTTGCAACTCGAGAGCTATCCTGGCGCTCGTCGCAGCTTGAGACAGTTCGGAAGGGCCGACGGGTCGATATGAAGTGAAACCAGCGGCGCAGTCATGCAGACAAATGCAAATCCAACACATCATCTTGCGACTCTGCTCAATCTATGCACATCGTGCGCAAATCCACTGCAAGGCATCCGATATTGCCAGCGACTAACCTGCTCGTGTGCTCAAAGTTGGGGCACCTATCTCAATCGCAGTCTTCAATCGCGGCGCTGCTTTGAATAGGGCACTCGATGCCACCCACTCGTTAGATTGCCGCGAAAGTTATAGTGAGGTTCGTATGACTCCGGCTGAACATTATATCCTTCATCAACAGCCTTGACCACGAATTGTCTCCCCGCGAGACGCCTTGGTACTAGCCACCTCCAACGAGTCCATGCCCAAGACTTGTTGCCATGCGTCTCTTCAGGGATCAGTTCGGCCTGGTACCATGACCGACCGTCATCTGGGCTGATGTCCACTCTGATGATCCTTCGACCGCCACCAGCAAAGGCGTAACCCTCAACCTCAACGGCATCTTCCTCCATGCCATAAACACGAAGAAGCTTTTGGTCATCTGCCGACCGAGGAGAGGCGTTTCGAAGAGAGGTGATTACGCTTTGCACTGGCATCTCCTGAATGGCAGGAGCCTTTGACCAGTCGACATTTTGACCGCCTTGATTGGGTCCAAAGCACTTGTAGTCGCGCTGTTGCCATTGAGATTGAGACTCCTCATCTGAGAGAACTATTCGTTTGAGCCACTTCACACTCCGTGCCGCGACATTTCCGGGCACTAATACGCGCAGTGGATAGCCGTGATCGGCGGGCAATGGTTCGCCATTCATCTCATAGACAAGCAAGACATCCTCTCGTCTTCCGACGGCTTTTTCAATGGGTATCGAAGCACCATAGGCCTCTGCACCTTGAAATTGAGCATGCCTGACGCCGCTGTCATCATACTCATTGACATCAAAGCCGGCATCAGCAAGTACGTCTCGGAGTCGGACACCGGTCCATACGGCGTTCGAGATTGCTCCAACGTCCCACGGCAACCCGTTCGTAGCTCGCGCTTCCTCGTTCATATGTTGGCGGCGATTGCCAGAGCATTGCAATGTACATGTGACTGTCACTGGCTTGAACTGCAGGACCAATGCATTCGTTAGCCAAGCTCAGAGACTCGTGACCTTACGGTTGTTCCGTGACCCACCTTGGTTTTCAAATCCTCCATAGAATACTCGAGTTCTTCTCCATCAGGTAACTCTATCTGCAGCTTGTGGGATTTTGGATCTATCTGGGGTACCCACAAATGGTGTCGGACGTAGAAAGTGTTGTTCGGGGTGATAAAGGTTGCGAGATCGGTGGGGGCGGTTTCAGCGTTGAAAGGACGACTGCTATGGACGACTAAACGCGAATCCCGCTGGGGATCGGTCTGAAATGGATCCTCGATATCGTTTGAAGGTACCTTGCCGTCAATGAGATCACGAGGGTCTAGGTCACCGACGTAGTACTGCTCCAAAATATCATAGACATCCTTTTTCTTATGAATTGTGAAAATCTCCCAATATGGGTCGATGACCCCCCCTACAGCGCGAAGGATGACCTCTCCTCCCGGGTGATTGGGAATCCAGTCTGTGATGTCATACACTTTGCTGCCTTTCACCACCCAGCGGCGTTCCGCTTTAGCGCCATGTTTTCTGACTTCACTCAAGCGGATAGTCCTGCCAGCCGGAGGCGCCTCAGCATGAGCGACGGGCGCCGAGTAGAAGAAATAAGAACCCAGTAAACCGGTCGCACCGGCTGCAAAGACCAAATGAGTGAAGGCTGAGACACGTTCAGACCGACGTGCTTGGAGACTGGACGAGTACGCTTTTCTGGCATTGGCCGCAGAGCTGGTTCTCTGATTTGACAGCGCCTTGACCGTCCGCAGAGCTAGTCTTCGCTCAAAGATTGAGAAAGACATCCTGTGCGGATTTGCTGAAGCCAATGACTCCGGACCCAAAGCGACCGGTTATGTAGGCTTGCAACGCTTATTTTAGTTGCAAGAAACAAAGGAGAGAGAAAGGAACGGGGCAATCATAGGGGCTTTCGTGAAGTTGCATACAAAGGTGAAGGGAACGTCGAGAGCTTGGGTCCATGTCGGCTTTGTTTACAGGCAAAGTAAGTGACAGGTCGTGAAATGAGATGAGGGGGATGGGGACGGGGCAGGGGAAGCCGCGCCGCTGCCGCTGCCGCTGCCGCTGCAACTGCAACTGTCATTGCAACCGCAACCGCAACCGCCTCCACCGGCGAGGCTCCGCAAAGCTTAATCGTTTATCAGGTCGCCGATTACGAGGCTGAGGTCGCCGATGCTACAAAACTCCACCCTGTGCGGAGAGTGATGTTCACATGACAATCAAGCGTCTTGTGGTTGGAGGGGTAAATCCATTGAGCACCTTGAACAAGGAGGAATATTCCAGGCAACAAAAACTCTGGAACTTGGCCATCAACTCCTTCGGCAATCCTGCCGACAATATTGCGATGCCCAGCACGAGACCGCTGCTTAGAATACCCTGATCCTTTTTTGTGGAAAGACACCCTCCAGGGAGTCTGCGAGTAATTCCAGCAGATCACCTATTTCCCCTGAACTCCTCGCCACACCTCTCAGTCCGGCCATGAGGAATGTCACATATTTCGTGAATTCCTGCCTGATTTTAATTATCTCTTCCGTGACAGATGTATCCTCGTCTAGGATGAACGTGGAATACCCCTCTCCCATGCCATCCTCGTCCTCCTCGTCCTCGCTGCTGCTGCTTTCATCTTGTTCTACTTTCCTTCTCCTTCGCCGGTGACTTCGAGCCGATATGAAGGAGCTTGCCTCGAAATCTCTGGAAGACTGCTTAGCCGCGGTCAAAGGCGACGAGACGATGTCCGTAAAGCGTAGGCAAAGATCCAGTATGCTTAGCAAACTGTCTTGGAGCGGTTTCATGCGTTTGCCGCTCAGGCAGGCAAGCTCGAGCAGGCGAACGTATTCGTTATGGATTGAGATCATCTCGTCAACACTACCTTCCAATCTGCTTCGCATCGTCTTGGTCATCGGTGCAATCGTGCAACTTGTGAAATGGTCGTAAACACTGTTAACAAAGACAGCCAGTGTGAAGCACAGGTCTCGAGCCATATTTTGAACGGCTGGCTCTCCAGGTAACGGGACGCTTTGCACGCAGAAATATGCACGTCTTTCAAGGACAAACTTGGCCCGGCGGATCTGGCCGAGGGTGAGTGCAATCCGTTGGTAGCACGTAACTGCTTCAGGAAGAATAATGTTTGCTATCGGCCAAGAGATATCGTACGATACAGTCAGAGCACTCAATATTCTGACTGAGCGCCTTCGACTTTCCATGCTTCGTGAAGAAGTGTATGTAGATTGCACATTGAGACGTTCCGAATCAATACACTTCACCTCTGCGAACGTTTCAGCTAGGCCATCTGCCACAAGAAAACGGTCATTCCAAATTTCAACACATCGGTCAATTTGATCAAACAATTTGCCTTCAAAGTTGTCTAGCACCGCGCCATCTTTACTCAAATAGAGATATTGGAATGCATCGAGGAGGCAAGAAAGTCCGAAGTGCTCTTCCAATAACCCCTTCAGGGCACCTGTAGAGGTCGATAGGACTGAGGACAGCTGTCTATCGATGAGCATCTCAAAGGTAGCAGAAAACGGAACTGGTAAGGTCGTTGCAATTTCGGATGCTTCCTCCGCGGCTCTTGCCAGGCCAAGCTCAATGAGGGGTGTTTTATTCTCAGGAGGGTTCAGATACTGCAGTAAGGCGGCGGTCTTCCCAGCAGCGAATATTCTCTGCGCGTAATTTTCGAGAAAAGAAGGTATAGTTCTATTCTCGTCTAAAATGAGGGAGAACCAATCGTGCCAAAGGGTGGCCGGACTTCTTGACGCAACGGATTTAGAGATGAAAAACGAGCAGGAACTCCCCTCAACCACGCCCATCTGAACCCATGCGTCAATAGGGACTGCATACTTCTCAAAGGCTGATGCAAAAACTGGCAGAATCGTGTCCAATGTGGGTTGGTCGAAGCACAAGTATGCCAGATTGACATGTTTGTACATGGCGTTCAAAGCAGCGACCGGCTCGTTGTTGGGCATATGTAGTAAGAGGCCAGCGACTGACTTTAATGGCACACTTGCTCCACTAGTCTGATGGAGCAACTCCAGCAAGGTGATGACACCAGTGGAATAATTTCCATTCGCTACGTCCATTTGGAGTTGGGTGATGAATCGATGGAATTCCAATAATATGTCACGAATCCGATGTTCAATCAGTTGCATGACGGCATCATTGTGCGAGTCCTCTAACCATCCCATGACAGAACGCATTGTTGAGCCAAGGTTGGCGGCTTGGGTCAGGAGTCGAGAAGATGTCTCAACTTCAAGGTTGACAAGACGGTAGCGGGGATCTGGCTTCAGCTCGTTGCCATACAAATTGAACATTGATGTGGGAAATCCGTTCAGCATCATCAATACTTCTCTAACTGCTTGCTGCTCTGACGTCTCGATAGATAGCCCTGCCTTGTTCCAGAATTGGCAAGAAGCAAGGTCGGATGATGAAGATGCCTCCTGAGCTAGCCCTACTTTCTCGAACGTCCGTGAAACTGCTTTCCCAATCGACCCTCGTTGCTTTATGCTGACAGGCGATGTGGTTGTGGTGGAGACGGCAACTTCGTCTTCATCCGAGCTGAGATCACTATACTCCGGGATGTCCCAGATGTTGTCGTCACGACCAATTGGATCCGTCGCCTCAATATCTTTCCATGTCAGGGGCGGAGGCGTCTGAGGCTTCGCTTGGATCCTTTCAAGGTTGCGGACGCGGCTATTGTTAACGGGGTCCATGGAAAGATGAAGAAGGAGGTCTAGCACATCAGGCAACCAGCGGTCTTCAGTGATGTTTAGCTTCGTACGGCGAGAATATAGCTCTTCGGCGACATCATCGAGATTGAGCACTTGAAGTTTCTCTTCCAGGCCTGTGAGTCTCTCGATAACCTCAAATTGATTGGTTGGCCCATAGCCGTGATTCTTCACCTGGCGTATGAAGTCTTCTTTATATTTGCGGATGTCTGATTGGGGAATTGATGTGGGCAGAAGGGACTGCACGAGTTCCTCCAACCACGCGGTTATGGTGGTCGAAGAAGCCATATCAACTTCTCCACTCGCCCAGCGCCCTCGTACATAATACACTTGGATGCTGTGGGATGTGATCTTTTCCCGCCTCGATTCTCCCTTCCCAGGTACGAGGAAACAGGTGGTGTGGTTGGTAGACAAATTGGGCGGTGGGCGGTACGCGTCGCGTCAGAGCGTGGACTGCGCTTCCCGACACAAATAGTTCGCCGTAGGATTTGCCACTGCCCCAAGAATCGTCATTGTCGAAAAGCATTCGAACTTCCCTGCTACCCGTTTGCTCAAGTTGCATGCGTTCTCCAGCTTCACAGCACACCCGAACGAGGATGAAAAGAGCTTCTGGAGCTCGAACGCGAGCCGAGTTAGCCAGCTTTCTCGACAATCTTTTCTTCTGTCCATCATGCACGACATGGCGGAAGTCGAGATCTCTATCAGGTTCCTTTCAGGGAGCTCAACGTGCTGCTAACGCTGCCAACACACGCCGATGCGCCTCGACCTTGAGTTCGACCACCGCTGTCAATGCCACGAAGAATGTGCCTTCAAGATATAAGGGGCTGTACCAAGCACTTAAAGATGTGCGCACGAAGGCACCGGGACAGGTCAATCTGAGCCGCCTGCAACTCGCCCTGCAGGGTCTGGAGTCGGAGACACCCACTACAAGAGTAGCAGTTCTAGGGCTAAATGTCCAGAATACAGCGCGAAGATTAGTGCGGCTTCTCTTAGCCGATCCATTGAGGGATGAAGAACGATGGGAGAAGGACTTCTTAAAGAGCACAGACGATGCGAGTCAAGGGCTTTTGATTCGCTTTGGTCACCCCTCGAATCCCAACCTGCCACGGGCGAGAACGACGATACCTGTCCTCCGTGTCCCCTCGAACGTGCTTGAAAGAAACAATATTGAGATCATGGTGGCATCCATACCTTCCCTGAGGAATGGAGATTTGCAAGGAATGGCCACCATTACCTCAGATGCATTCCTCTCACCGTCCATCGGAACCCCCACTGCCGCAAATGGCCGGCAAACCATGATCAGCCAGCCTGTTCACAGTAGTCTACTCGTGACGCAAGGTCTGGACGAAATGGTCCTCGCCGCAGAGCTACTCGCATCGACCAATTTCGTGACGAAGGAGGATCGGGATCTCGTACGCCTCATAGTCAACCTGGAAAATATCAAGCAGCAAGCACCAGGCACTGTATTGATAGTCGACGCCACGCAGGCTGAGGAAGGTCTCGCGGCCATCCGGCGGTCAGTCGCCGAGGCCAGATCGTACGAGCATAAATGGGTTGGATCAGGCCTGCCAGAGCTATCGAACTGGCTAACTCTGTCATCAGCCAGCCAATCAAACGAATCGATACCACGACCACTGAGAAATCTAATATCGTCCATTATCTCCCACGCGACACGTAACTTGAGCTCGGAGGCAATGCTAGAAGCGCGATCCAGCCAAGCAAGAAGCTTGAGCCCTGCCACCCAAGCCCAGCTTGAGACATCGATTGAGGAGTTCTCGCGAAATGCACACCAAGAGCTGCAATCCGGACTGGCTTCGGCGTGGAGCTCACGAAACTGGAGGAAACTGGCGTGGTACAAGCTGTTCTGGAGAGTGGATGATGTGGGATTAATCATCACAGATTTGGTCACCAATGCATGGTTGCCACGTACAGAGCGAGCCGTCTATGAATTGTCTGGTCGCCTCTCACAAGCAGGCGTATCACCTATAGACATCTCAGCAGCTCCACCAAGCCAAGGCAGAATTGCAACATCTACGGAGCCGACATCTGTTCTGCAGGCTCAATCGAGCCTAGCCACGGACCCTGCCGTTGAGCCCGTCATTGTCAATACTACCGGGACGGCTGAGCTCAGACTTTCTCCCACCCCACAACCCAGCCCCTTGTCATCGTCTATCTCCCATACTCGGGCCCAACAAATCGAACGAGCAATACTAGGTCTCACCAGTACTGCTCAGCAGATCGTTCTAAAAACCCTGTCTCTGTCAGGGATATCTGCCGGTCTATCCGCACTCACCTATCTGTCGCTCACATCTGGCAGCATGTACGAGGCTGGCACTGTCGTGGCACTGGGAACTGCGTATGCTCTGTGGCGCATGCAAGGTGATTGGCACACGGCGACCAAGGCACTAGAAGAGGATCTTCTTGATGAAGGCAGGACGGTGATCCAGAGAATCGTCGGAGGAATGCATCGGTTGGTGGAGAACGGGAGTCGTGTTGGGGAAGACTCTGTCGAGGTCCAGACTCGACTTGAGGCTGAGCAAGCCGTGGCGAAGGCAAGGGATGAACTGAGTAAGCTTGGGAAAGAGAGCTAAAGCCTCAGCTGCCTGAATACAAAATTTAACGGCATTCGTACATTTCCCTGCGTAGTGCCCATGGTGTCCTGTCCGCCTTCAATCGTAGCATCAACCAGGAAGCTCAACGGCATCGTCTGGTACACCACGGCGACTTCTCAGCCTCCGGGCCCAAAATTGCATCATGGGCAGGACCTCATCACGGTTCTTGGGCACTGAGTCCTCGGCTTTCTTCCAGCGGTGATACTCGACGAACTCGTAGGCATCGTTGACGCGCTTGAGCGGGCTGGATCCCACCGCCGCCAGCGCCGACTTGGACCCTGAAAGAAGAAGCAGAGGCGTTCTGGCTCTCCCTCTCCCCGCAGTGGCGAGAGACAGAGGTAATCCACAACCAATGGAAATGACACCGCCTAGTGACGAAGCGACGGCCGCCAGCGAGGGATGCAGAGGCACCGCGACAGCGACGCTGCCGCCCTGGCCGAAGCCAAAGAGGTGGATCTGGTCAGGGCGATACTTGAACTTGTCGACCAAGGTCTTCGCGATGACGTCGTCGGCGACCAAGTTGACGGCGATGGTCAGCGGGCTGGCATCCAGGTCAAGGTCTCCGGTGCTGGCGTCGACATGCAGATCTTCTGACCACTGCGCTCCTGGAAGGCCCAGTGGCATTGGGAGAGGGAACGGCGGATTCAGTGTGATGGTCAATGCATCCGGTAAATTCAAGGCCTGGGCAAATGATGAGAAGTTCTTTGCATTGTCTCCCAGGCCTGGGAGGAAGATGATGGCATTGGTGGGCTGTGCTTTTTGTGGGAGGTGAATGATGGGTGATAGACTGGTAGGGAAGTCGGCTGGCGTTGGTAGCGGCGGCGACATAGTAACAAGGGCAGTGTAACCGATGGTCCGTTCGATCGTGCTGTGGTGCGAGGTACCGATACCCTTGGTATTAATTATGAAGTTTTCATGTTATACTTAGATTGTACGCTTCAATAACTTTCAATAGCTGAATCCTCTTCTTGGCGGCCACGAGAGCTTGGTATTACATGTGATTGATTATTCCACCGATTTCGAGCTCTACCGTACGCACCAACATATCGTTGATATGCTTTATACGCCTACGCGTTCATCTCACCTTCTTCAGCCAATCGATGTTTGAGGTTTTGGTTCATCGACGAAGGGGTACGGTCAAAAAATTGAGAACATCATACGTATTGATGATACTCAACTACCAAAGGTCCAGTTCCCATCCGCGTTCGGCTGATACATAGTATCGCCTGCAGTGCTGGTCACGTTTACGTCTTGAAATGCTTCTTGTGTTACTGACACTCGTCAAAATAAGCATCTCAGCTATTGACTTGTTTAGACGGTGAAGTCAAAGGCATATGCAGCGCCTGTTTCTCTTCTCGTGGGCGCGCTTGTTCGTCACTGGTTCTGTTCTCCACGTCCGCCTGTAATTTTACCAACTTTGCCTCGACCGGTGCATCGATGTGGGCATTGAAGGCCTCTGTGGGGTTGCGTAAAAAGCATGCAACTATCAAATATCAGTTTCCAGTGTCCGAAAAGTCGCGATGGCTGCATATCTACTTACTGATGACGCCGGGAACAGTAAAACATGCAGCCGCAACCCAAACATTGCGGAAGGCAATAGAATACGCTTGTCGTAGTGCTTGTGTAGCAGCACCGATCATCTCAGGGGTTACACCAGGAATTGCGGCGATGGCTTCCGGATTTGCGGTTCCCAGAGCGAGAATGAAATTTCCCAGTTGTGCTGGATCCAAGCCGAGTGGTGATACGGCTGCCGCAACTCCGGTGGGAACGTGTCTCTGAACAGCGCTGTTAAAAATGGCATTGTTGACCACCAACCCAACCAGGCCGCCCAGTGCCCTCGCTGCGGCTACCAGACCTGTGCCGATGGCGATCAACTCTCCCGTGATACTGAGTTGAGCAGCTACAAAAATTGCAGTCGTGATGCATCCCAGACCAAGGCCACCTAGCAGAGGGTAGCCCCAGAGGACGCTCTCCGAGGTGGTAGGCTTCACGGTCGCCATAAGAACAAACATGAGCAGAAGAGCCAACTGCGATAAGACGAGCGGTCCTTTGAGCGCCTTGAAGCGCGTAATGTACCATGCCGACACAAAACTCAGCACAATTGCGTAGACGTAGACCATTGCGTAACGTGAAGAGGCTTGGAAGAAGCCGAGCCCAAAAAGCACTATGCCCTCCCTTGCAAGATAAGAATTAAATGTGAAGACTGCAATGCCTTCCTGAAAGGCACTCGTGAGTGCGACAATATAATTCTTGTCCCTAAACAGACCATGATGAGCAATTCCGTCTTTCTTGAACCTCCATTCGTACAGGCTGAATAGCATGAGCAAGACCAGGCCGACGATAAAGGTACTGAGAATGTGAGCGTCTTTCCATGAGTATGGGTTGTCTGACCACGCCAGGCCTACGCTGAAGAGAACGGCACCGGTGGTGAAGGTCAGGATGCCGATCCAGTCGAGGCTCTGTAGCTTCTCCAAGTGGGTCAAAGACGTCTGGAGTTCACGAAGAGGAGGGTTGTAGAGGATTGCGATCGCAGCAGTCGCCAGGGCGAAGAGCCCCGAAACGACATAGAAGTAGATTCTGTAATCTTCTGCTCCTCCATTTTGGACGAGAGCACCGCAGAACAGCACACCAGAGATGCCAGCAACGGACTGTGACACGGTGAGGGACGCTTGTCCCAAAGCCCTGTACTTCCGTGGGAGGATCTCTCCAACGACAGCGAAACTGGCTGCCTGACCACCGAACATAAAGGCGATCAAGCAGAACCCGGCGAGAACAGTAGCAATGTTCTGAGCCCGACTTACTATGACCGCACCGACCAGACCGGAGGCAGTTGTAGCGATAAGAATCCATCTGCGGCCCCAGTAGTCGACCGCTTGACTGAGCGTAGGGTTCAAGGCGGCAGCTCCAATGTTAAGTGATGTAGGAAGCCAGACCGCCTTAGAAGGACTACGCATGAGCTCGACTATCGGCTGTGCGAGGAGGCCAGATCCGAGAATCGAGAACAACTGCGCCACCACCAAGAAATTCATGGCCTTATGTTAAGAGGTTAGGAACAGTCCCATGCACTCGTGAGGCTAACTTACGGCAAGGACGATAATCGTTCTGGCATGTATATGCAGTTCGGCTGCCCCAACCACACGTGTAGGGATATCTTCAAAATGTGTGGTTGCCATTTTCCGTGGAGCACAAGTTGTCACCTGCAAACACTGATCGATTAAGGTGACAAATGCTTTTCTGCAAATAACAAGTGCAGGGAATTGTCCGCTGAATATATATGATAGATCAGCAGGACAAGGCTCGCCAGCTGAGCTTGTACATTTGGAGTTCGCTCGGTTGCATTCACCACTATGTTCCAGGCCCCCGGAGTCTGGAGATCCTCAAGAAGAGAATAGTACGGCTTCGGGAATCTGGCGAGCCTGGGGAAATTGGGAGCATGGAGATGTATCCACCTCGGCATGTCAGGAGACTCGAGAGTTTCCATCGTTATTTCCCCATGGAGGCACCAATTGAGGAAGGGAGTGGACGGCCTCTGTAGGTAGTGCAAACCAGCTGAACCTGGCTCCTAGCCCACTCACATCAATATCGTGCACGCGCCTTTGGGGAATTACGCGAAAACATACCTACTACTGGAAATTCCTCCATGGTGCTTGTAGAGAGCAGCGCTATGTTTGAACAAAAGACGAGTTTGAGAAGCAAAGAATCCGTGAGGAGATAAGGTAGAACAGCGATGTACATGACGACGTTGGATAGGGTTGGCCCTTGGGGTACCTCTAAGTAAAAAGCGGGTGTTATCATAGATATCTTGTACTACATAAGTGGTCTATCTTTTCGAAGAGGACTCCTCAGATCTGTACTCATGAAGCTTATATTGATTAAACAAACTTAAGTATCAGGAAAATGGAAAAGAGTGCATTCCTCACTATCTCCCCTTACGATCTTCGCCACTATCCACGCTTCTCGCCTTGGAATGAAACGAATAAAACTGCGGATTGTGCAGGAAATGATTAGTGCCATCCTGATAGGTAGACAACAGGGGAGCGCGCGAAGAGTTGGATACTACATGCTGCTTATAGTGGCGCGTAACACATAATCTTTGATTTTTAGGGTGCTACATATTTACTCGATCGATCGCATGCTTCTTCTTTTCAATTCACCTTGTGAATCGTTGGCCGATTTCGATTCTTTTCTTGATAGAGGCGTGATCCTCGCCTGCTTGAAGCCTTTTGACCAGTTCCTCAGCATCGAATTCTGTGCCAATAGGATTCTGTGCAAATTCTTTGGACACCAGCCACTGTGCAATTTCTTCATTCGTACTGAAGTTGTCAATCTGCGTTTCCAGCTGGTTGCCGTCCGGGTCTTGGTAGTAGATGGACGTGGTGGCGCCGTGATTGATACACCAGATTGGCAGGATGCCGTTAGCTTTACGCTGTCGGTAGGATAAAGCTAAGTCTTCGAGTTTGTTGTAGGTGAAAGCAATATGTTCAAGCCCGCAAGTCTGTTGTTGTTTCGGACCTGTTCCGGGAGCCTGAAGGATGGCGATACGGTGATGCTCCTCATCGTAAGTGAGGAAAGAAATGAAGTCGTTCTCGAACGATGCATGTGCCCCCAGAAATGTCTTGTAGAAGTCAACCATGGGCTTGAGGTTATTCGTGCGTAGAACAACGTGAGCTAGGTAAGAAGGCCGAATGACCCGCGTGCCTGCATTTTCATAATCAACAACCATATTGTAAAGAGTAAAAATCTGGGGAGTCTGTGACTGGTACTGAGTGATGGTGCAAGGCTGTCGTGCAACGTAATATAGAACGACGATAGAACGATAGATGTGCCTTTATGGTATCTCAGGTCGAGGGCTGGGCATCATTTGTGAGGTGGTCGCGGGACCCATGACTAAACTTCCAGAGGTCCGAGTCCCTACTCGACGCCTGCGACTGACATGTCCGAGGAGGTTTCAGTGAGGCAAGGCTCTGGCATGTTCCAGCCTAACGAATCAGCAACTGCGAGAACGGCAAAAAGCGTTGCACCAAGACCGAGGCACGGAGGATACACACTTGTCGTTTTGGGAGTGCAACTATTTGTCACTTTATATTCGGTGAGTGTGATCATGGCCTACGGCGCAATCTATTCAGGACTTTATCTCCGGAGACTTGAATAACGCCTTCGATGAGCCATGAATACTCATATGAAGCCCTGCAAGAATCTATCCGAAAACGATGATCCTCACGTATATGTGCTCGGGTATGGACACTACTTAGCGGTGGGAACGACGTCTCCTCGTGATATTGGCAGTTTCCCGACAGATCCGGTCAATAGGGGGCTGTGCAACCGGATGCCATTTGAAAATAAAGGAACTCGATTCCAGTAGTCTCATTAATGCTAGACACGCCCAGTCTATTTGCTAGGAAAGGGCTCGGCCCAATTCCCCAGATGAATTACTGCCAAGGCGGCTTCGGTGTGCAACAGGCGTTCCGGGGAAGCATGCCCAATAAAGTGGATCATATATATAGTAGTGATACACTGGCCGAAGTCTCCGGGGAAGGCTAAATCGGCAGCCTCGGTTGATGATATGGAGTTTACTTGGCCTCAACTCTCCACGTAGCTTTCCAGCACGCACCAGATCGAGTATCAAACAAAGCCACTTTCTTGACGATTCCAAATGAGAGCTCCCGATCGCCCTGTCTAAGGCGATATTGTTGGAGTTGATTGGTGGTGGATATCAGGCGCTCAGCTGACTCCTGTTCTAGATATTCGAAGCGCTCGCTGGCAGGTTCTAAATGTCATCAGAACGCAATCGCACAAGTTAATTCGTAGATCGATAGATGTACATTCGACTCTAATGCGATGAGCTTGCTGGTCATTAGAACTACTGTTTAAGGTCTTGCGAACCCTAGATTAGTGTTAAGGGATTGGGATGTAAGGATTTGTCCTGACTAAGCCGCCCTATTGTTAATCTCAAGATTAAATCGCAGTACCTCTGGGTGCGATGTTACAGTGGAAGGCCCAAGTGCACTCTTTTATTCGACAGCCCATAGGCGTGAAGCCGCTCCCAGAACTTCGGTGGTGCTCAAAGAGCAATTCAACAGGCGTGGGGCAGATCGTGAGACTCTGGGAGAGCTAGAAAGGCATGGAAGGCGATGAAATTTTGTGTCGGAGGGGTTGCTGCTGCTCAATTCTATGAAATACGAAGATACACGCCCGCTTACTTTGCGTCCTGCAAGCTTCACATAATTCATACACTCTCAAACACTTGGTATGATTTCTACGGCCCTAGTCAGGGACATAAAACGGAATCACATCCAAGGGGCCCTCTGCTGATATGATGTAGCCTGGCTGACACTCGTCGAAGGTAACCTTGACTTGTTTGCCATAGAAGCTATCCAGCCTAGTGTGCAGAGCCTCAGCAAGATTGTTTACTTTCCCACCGGGATGAAGAGTCAACCATGGCTGGGTGCATTGCTTGCCCTTGCAAGACTTCATCACCATCAATAGCGCGTCCAATCGCTCAACGACCTTAGGGATTGACTGTCCATTGATCTTGACGGAGGTCCCGTACAGATTTTTTGTTTGGTAGGGGTCGGTCTAGATTTATTCCCGCGATTATTAATAAAAGCGACTTGACTTCGAAAATTCAAGAAATAACATGTATCTTACCTTCATGTCATACAATTCGTGTTCATGGCTGCACCATACTGTGTACAAAAGATCGTATTGCGGACTGACGATGCGCATGCCCTTGTACGTGTTATTTCCATGAGATGCTGAAATCTGTGTCAGTATCAGAAACCGTGGCGAGTCGCGGCGTGACTCACTAAAGCTGCCATTCACGCCACCCCTGTATAAAGCTCCTTCTTCACCTCCAATACCCCAATACTCGATCGAGACATGGTCGTGCATGGTTGACTTGGCAGCCTTCTTCATTGCAGGTAATGTCAATGGCATCGGTGTGCCATCAAAATCCTCACGTAGGGGAATTTGTGCGAGATCTAGGATGGTCGCAGAAAACTGCAGTGCTCGGAGTGGTCAGTGACTCTGCATCACGGCCGCGAACATAAGGAACGAGTCAAGAAATGAAGATGGGAAATGAGTAGGTTGGACGCTGTTAGAGCTTTAAGGAAACTTACGTCGGTATGAGAAGTAGTGAAATCGACGGTGTGGTTCTTCGGTACACCTGGCCCTGAAACAAGGAAGGGAACGTTGACGTCTTCCTCAAACGCGCATTGTTTGCCTGGCTTCAAGCGGTGCTGGCCCATATGAAAACCGTTATCGCTCGTGTATATAACGTACGTGTTCTTATCCATGCCGAGGATCTTTAGCTTGTCGAATAGAGCGCCCACAAGCTCATCAACCGCTTGCAGGGTCTGTAAACGTTTCACATAGAAGGCGTCGTTGTAATCCAACACGGTCTGATTCGCACGAGGTAATGCCTTCACCCAACTGACACCATGAGGCTAGAACAACTGTAAGTAACTTTCGCCCTCCTAGAGAAGAACAAGCTAAAACTACCTCTTCAGGATTGAAGCTGGGTCCCCGAGGGATCTTGGCATCTAGAAAGAGGTTTTCGTGTCGCTTTGCGGGCTTTGGAACATCAAACCAAAGTGAATTGGGGCCAATCACTGCTTCCGTATGTGGCGCGTTTGGCGCAATGCCCATGAAAAAAGGCCGATTGCTCTTCGAAGCCATGTCAAGCCACGAAAGCGAAAGGTCAGAGATAATGTCTGTTGAGTATTCTCCAGGGCGGTAGACCGGGGGACGATCATTGAACTGGAAGCAGGCATTATAGTATGTATACGCGCCTGGATCAACGAGGACTAGAGCATTTCGTCAGCGGCAATATCAAGTGACATGAATCTTCAATCTCGTTACATCCAGTCTGATTCCAACCTGCTGGAATAGGTTTATTCCAGTTTTGTATGTTGTGGGCATTGAACAGTTTGCCCGTGTAGTAGGTGTCATATCCTGCGTTTTGCAGCCAAACAGGAAGATATTTGTCATTGAAACCCTGCTCGATAAATTTTGGGTAGCCACCTACAAGTGTTGACGTTAGCTAGGACAAGGAGCTGGATAAGATACTGCCGTAGTATACCGTATGGAGGAGAGACATCTGTGACGTTCGTGTTGTGCGCCATTTTCCCTGTCAATAAACTGACGCGCGCTGGGCAGCACACTGCGGTTGTGCAGTAGTGTTTTTTGAATTGAGTACCTCCATCTCGTAGGTTCTTCAACACTCGTGGTTGATAATCAAGAGAGTTGAGATGGAGGTCCTGATCGTCGGTTAAGACGAATATGATGTTCGGCCGCGCTGGACCAACAGAAGCTTGCGAAACTGACAGAATCAGCAAGCTCACATATGCCCAGACAAGAAAAGGAGTCATCTTGATTGAAGAATCTTTTCGGGAAGGCTTAAGGCCAACAAACCGGCTAAGCAGTCCAAGAATGAAGGCCAGCCTTTATATCTGCCCTATCGGTAAAGACGTGGATCTGTTCGCTCTCCCGTCGCCCTTAGCCCACAAGTTCGACCAAAGGCCATGCCGAGGAAGTCCATAATCCGGGGCCCCATATCCCCACCCCGAGTTCAACCCCCGGACACGGCACAGATCCAAATTAGATCCCCATAATCAGGTCCGTTGACTTGGCAGCCCGAAACAGGTACTGGGGGCAAGATTGTGAAAGTGGAAAGTAGGGATGAATCAGTCACCGAACGGTCATGAAGTAAATGCGTTGCGCAACTCAGAAACATGTTGGTGTGGTAGTGCAAGTGGTTTGTGGAGAGCTTACCTTGGCCAAGTGCACATGGCTATATACCGCGGGGTCTGTGCGGTGGTTCCTCGAGGAGTAAGTGAGAGCCTCAGGAATATGAGAAGGAAAGGGTTCAAATGCCTTTCAGGACGCTGGTGTGCGAGATGGATCTTCTGGCGGGTCCACTAGACCTGTGTAGTAGCATGGTGAAAATGCACCTCGTTCCTTCCGAAGTCTGTGATCGCGTTCGGGTCGAGCGCATCAATCTATAGGCAACTATATTTTGGGATAAGCCACTTGATTTTCACTTATTAAATGGCTTGGTTTTTGGCTATCTTGGTGCACATGCCGACCTAGGTATGTGGTGTTCAGCCCACAAGAGCGGTAAGGTGGATAAGCAGCCGGTAAAGGTCTCCATCGGATTCCACAATGATCGCGGCTATTCGAATCGGAATTTGAATTGAGAGCGACGCCTTTGCGTTGCCACTATGCGCGCGTCCGTGGAGGTTGGTTAGGATGGTCATTCAGTACGCTTGGCAATTGGACCACCACCGCACGAGCCACTCTCACTCCACTGAAGCCCTGATTCCATGGAGCTGGATCGAAGGAAGGTTTAATTCATCTGCAAGCCGGAGAATTGGCTGTCGAAGGCCATTCTGCAGTCATATCTCAGGCACTGCCTCGGTCTTCACACTTGCAGGGACCGCGCCCATGGTTTCAGGAGGGCAAGGCCGCGAATAAGCGCTTGACTTATCCTTTCGAGATATCCGTGCTATTCGGCGAATTCAAGTTGTAGTACGTATGAGGAACTAAACCACACCCTCGGAACTTTGTTCCATGTTGAAGGCGTCTGAACCCCTACGGTGGAAACCAATACAGGAAGGGGAATCTCCATCTGATCGCTCATGAAGAATATAGCGACCATTCAATCCGCATACCGTAAATTGTCTGCAAGGGTGCGCAAGAAATTTGCAGTTGTTTAGCCACCTTGATCGATCACAGACGTACCAGCTCCTGCTGCAAGGGTATAGAGAGACGTCTTCATTCATGCGCTGGACGAGCTTGACGGGGCGTACAGCTACGAAATTTGCAACTAAAGCTTAAGCGACAAGGTTGGGCATCTGGAGGTCGAGAGTGCTCGAGCTTTCAATGAGCCATGTTACCAGAAGGGCAAAGCGATGGCTGAGTCTGAACGTAGGTGCCTCGCAGATGAAGGGGTGAACTGGCTTTATGAGAGCAATCAGCAACTCCAAGATCGAACTAAAGAATATTGCCCCTCCCGATTGAACAGATCGAACACATTAGAGGAAGGGGCCGGATTGGGACGACCCAGGAGCTTGAACCGATCCCATCGTCTAAAAATGACGCATGGTTGGTGTTAGGAACGAGAAGAGAAGAGGGATGACCGAAAAGATTTCAAAAGGGCAGCCCAGGATGTGGCAGGTGAGCCGAAGGTGAGTAAAGCTGCCAACGACTGTGGGTGAATGATCACGAAAAGAAATGCGTGCGGATCACGTGGATGTGGATGTGGATGTGGATGATCAGGGTTGTTCGTGTTACTCGTACTCCGTCATCAGTCAGGGTCCTTAGGGAAGGTAGAAGGGAGGGGGAGAAGCGAAGGTGGGGGCCCTCGGCTCCTCGAGCACCTGCCCAGCTGAACAGCAGCAGAAACAAGCTTCGCCTGGGGACTTGGCTTCGGAAACAAGCACTTGGCCCTGGTTCGCAGGGCAGGTGCGCCCCCCCGTGGACCAGGGACCCTTGCTCTATGAATGACCTCCCTGTGCCCCCCGTTTCCTGGCAATAACACACTGCGGTAGACCGTCTCCTGGCACCTTGAAGACTAGACATGCGAGCTGAGACCCTGAAAGCCACGTTTGGGAACTCCCCACCTCAATACACTTTCCCTGGCTCTGGGAATTCGAGAGGCAACGGTCAGCAATTTCAAACTCTCTTCAATTTTCGCCCCGGAAGCAGCCCTCCATGTGCGAGGAAGGCAATGAACAGAGAAGCCCCGCCACCACACCTGGCGCTTGTACTCGTAGCTGCTTCGCCAGCAGGCATGTCTGAAACCACATGCGAGTACATCCGATGGCTGTGCCTGACAAGGAGGACCAATAGTCGTGCCATCAGCGTCGACATGTCAAGCTGAATGGTTGCATGATGAGTAAGTAGTCTGGATGTGGAGTCAGCGGACGCGTCACAAAAGCAAAGGTTGAGATCTGATTGCAAGCTGTGAGGCGTGCGGTGCGAGCTCCGAAACGAGGATGAGATCAATCACCTTGATCAGGTAAAATGCAAAAGGTTATAATGCAGCAGGCGAGGCTCACCCACCTTGCATCTCCTGCTACTGTCGCTCTTACTCGTACCATTGGCTCCCAGGTGCAGGATCCCTTCCGAAGCCTATATATTCTCCCGCCGGTCTCTGGTCTCACTTTTGAGCCCTTTTCCATCCTCACAAAAGCTACCGGACTCCTCATATCACCCACCAAAACTCCTTCTTTACTATCAATAAAAGTCCTTCAAAATGGGTTGGTTCGGTAAGTGATGTGCAAACCCAGATCCGCAATGTCATTTGCTAACCAAATACCCCTGTACCAGACGATAATCGTGATGCTCACCAGCAAGTCTACGGTGATGAGAGACACGAAGGAAAGTTCTCCCACGAACTCATTGGCGGCGCTGCTGCCTTCGAAGGAATGAAGCTCTTCGAGGATCGGCAACGTAGGGAAGGTACACATCCCCCCGTTCTAACTCATGTCCACTACTGACTCTTCCGTCGTAGGCAAGGTTGTTTCCCACTCCTTCGCCAAAGAGCTCCTTGCTGGATTCGCCGGAGCTGAAGTTGACAAACTTGTGGAAACCAAGGGCATGGACGAATATGATGCCGTGAGAGCCAAGAGACATGCGAGGGATGCTGCTGAGAACATGTACGATCAACATTATGGACAGGATGACCAGTACAATCCCGACCAGCGTGACCAGCCCAACTTCAATTACTAGAGATAGAAGCAGTCGAACGCGGTGGCGGGAAGTGCGATTGCAGGCTTTGCTACGGGCTGCCTTTCAAGGCCCCACCACTTCACGACTTACTGTCTGATGGCGATAGTTAGTCAGTCAGACATGCAGGAGCGTCGCCGGCAATACGAGGCAACTTACAAAACATTTCATTTTTGGTTGCATGCTTTTCGCGAACTCTGTTGTTCCCGTGGATTCCTCGTTCGTAACGCCGTCATTCATCAGAGTTCGGCGCTCAGATATGAAGAATTCGAAGGCCCACTAATCGAGAGAGCAAAAAGACCGGGTTGAGGGCTCCAGATCAAGAGGTTCTCCTCCATTTGGACTCATCGCTATCTTCCCCAGTCTCAGCATCATCTCTAGGTCGTACATTTCCAGCACCAGCACCTAGTGGCTCGTTCTCCTCAGCACTCTCCTCACCTTCACCCTCGTCCTCAATCCAATTCCCGGTTTCATCCACAAACTCGTGCATATTCTCGGCTGTGATCCATCCGCCGCTCCCGGGCATGGCGGGTGGAAGACCCCCGTCGGTTGCGCCTGGGAAGGCGAGGCCGGCTTGGAATAGGCGACTTCCATCTTCTTCTTCGTCACCTGGATCAACAGGATCAGGATGCAGATTGGAACAGTTCGACAAGGCATGGAACATGGCCTGGACGGGTGTTTGCTCTGGCTTGTCTTCCGCAGGGTCCAGTTCTGAAGCCACGGCGGGGGCGGCCGAAGCAGTTGGGACAATGGTGACAGAGAGAGATTCAGGCTCAATATCTTGACCCGTGGACTCTTCGGTCGAAGTCATCAATTGCATGTAGACTCCTTGTTGCTCAATTGCTGCGGGGGTGGGCAGCATCTGAATGGCGTGCAATGAGATGGACGGGTACGGGATGGAGACGCCTGCGCACGCCGCATTTGAGTAGACAAACAATTTGCTGTTGAGAGTCAGCCACAGCCAAGAGACGTTGAGGCTATAAACTCACTCCGATGTGACCCAGACATCGACCTCCTCAACCACCTTTTGCTTGCCTGGGTCAGGCTGCTCTCCATTTGTCTGTGTTCCATTTTCTTGCTGGTGGGTAGAGGCTGCGGCAAGGATGGGGGCAAATGCTGGGGCAGAATCGATTTCGTGCTCCAAGATGATCAGTTTGCTCCGGTCACTATAGTAATGCAGGACCGGGGGGCCAGAGTAGAAGGATGCAGGCGTGGTGGACTGGTGTTCTATGAGAGGGACAAACGACGAAGGCTTGGGCGCTTCTCGGAGGACTTCCATGGTGAGAGGGGATTGTCTAGCAACGGTTCTGTTGACGCAGGTCCTTATTTCATGCAGGTTTACGGGTGGAAGGTGAGGGCCGTCTTTCGTAGCGGGCTCTTCATGGTTCATCACAATCTTCCACCTCGAAGCGAATAATCAAGTCTCAGTCTTGGCGCGAGGCTGCAGCGCAAATGGGGGCTCAGATCTCTGCTGCTTTAAGCGCTACCCTGCTGTTGGATCTATACTTGGCAACTTACTCGTAGGCAAATCAATGAGAACGAGGATGTATATCTCTGTCTCTTGCCGCTCTATAGTCGGCCCAAGTTTATATACAAATTAAATAGGCAACTGATCGTTAGGGGCCCTTTTTCCACGATTTTGAAGCATTGCACATGCTGAACCAGTGGCGCGACTCATCGGTCGATAAAGGAGGCATTCTGGTCAGCGCGACAGAGTGTAGTATTTTAGTATCCGAGGTTTTTGTCATGTCACGTGCCTGCAGAGTTAGCATGCGCTAGTAACGCCAAGCCTTGGCGCCAAAGGTCGCGTCGTCACTAGCATCTCTCCCGAGTCCTCACCCTAACCTCTTATTCCCTGTTATACTCCTTTCTGTGCACTTCAATCTCTCAAATGTGCATTAAGCATATGTGGAATGGTTCATCATGCATGATCGAAATTCACACTCACAAACCCTACAGGGCCTGTTGCGCTGAGGGCCGATACATCTTTTCCAAAAGAAATATTAACCGCTTCATGTTGAATGTAGAGCCGTGCATTTCCTGTAGCCAAGGCAATAGGGTACTTTATGCCTTCTTGCAAGGCTTCCGAACGGCCTAGGAGTGGTTGAGCACCCCGCTTTCGATCCACAGTCGTTCGACAATACCATCTCATGGACAATTTATCGGTCAAGGATAACTATACCAGCATCCCGCATTCGTTCCCCTTTCATCCTCGCCGGCAGCTCAAGGTCATTTGTCACGCTCAACAGCTCGGCTTGTGCATGCTGCTCGGTCCGCATCCCCCTCTCTGGCAATATCATAGGCTTCATGCGATAAGATTTTAAGAGAGTCGCAACCATGGCAACGATCTCAACTTGACTGAATTTTTTCCCAGGGCAAACTCTTGGGCCCCCAGACCAAGCGTTAAAGGCCATCTCGGCTGCTTCTGATGGCGCTTCGAGAACTTCGTGGCCAATTTCTTGGTCTACTTTAATCCATCGCTGAGGGCGCCACTCCATCGAATCTGCTCCCCACCAACGTGAATCGGTCTGGGATCCTGCAAAGTCCCAGTTCACGTATACTTTCGGGGGAATGACCAATTCATGCTTTCCAACGCGAAGGATCTCCGGCTCGGCTACGGAAATCCTGGTGGTATCACCAAGCGGTCCCCAGAATCGAAGTGTTTCATACTAAGAAAGGCAATTAGTGGAAGTCTGCACGTGGCTGTAGACGGAAAGAGCGTACCAACACCGCTTGACATCTTACTAGCCTGGGAAAGACCTCTTCATATTCTAGATCATCCGAATTTCCGAGCACAGCGTCCACTTCTTCGCCAGCCCAGTCTTGGACTTCTCTGTAGGATGCAAGGAAAGGAAGGACATGCATTGCAGCGTTAGCCGGAGGCTCAAACCCCACGAGGTTCAGAATAAACATGTTTCCATATAACTCATTATCGTTCAGGTAGGAGCGCTTGCCAGCAGGGGTAAGTATGCTTTTCTCTTCGTTTTTCATCACTTCATTAGCACTGATCAAAGCACTGACAATGTCAGCACCTGAGCCCACAGGCGCAGGCCCGGCCAGTCGTTGTTTCTCAATAGCCTCTTCCATATATTGCCTAAACTCGTTCAGATGCTTGTGTATATCAACAAGCCAGCCAGGTGTCAGCCATGATGGAAGTGAGAGGTTGCGGAACATTACGATCCGCAAGAATTTGGTGAATATGAACCACATTGTAGAGGAAAAACTAACAGCGTGGCCAGCTGGAACTTTTCGAAGTCCACCATCAAAATCATATACATGCCCAAACCCTACTGCTGAGAGAACATGCATAGCGAAGATTATGGAATCGTTTTTAATGTCCTCCATATAATTGTGTCCCTGTGATCGATTCCGGGCTATTTGGAACATTTGTTTGGCTTGCTTTAAGGACTCGTTCCAGACTAATCTATAGTTCACCTCCCGGAAAGCAGGACTCGTAATCTTTCTGTGTCTTTGCCATTCATCACCGTTGACGGTTAGGAGGTTTTTTCCAAACAGGTCAAAGATGTGGTAATGGTGCTGAGGTTTGTACCAAGTCTTGTACTTGGACTCCAGCTCCAATCCCGCCACAGGGTCGGTCGTGACGATTTCATTTTGGTTGGGCGTAACTAGAACAAAAACATCCCCGAGGTCCTCGTGTTTCCTAAATCGGATGGCCACATTCCATCCATGGAATGAATAGTCGATCCAAGAGCCTAGGTCGAATGGCAGGGCCTTGAAGAATGGGTAGAAGTGCCTCCAAACGAAGAGCCAGATATCATCTTGGCGGTTGAACAGTAAAATCTTGATAGGAATGCCGAATTTTCGGGCTTCCAGGTAGTTAATCCACAGACCACATGTTCGTTGAATAGAAATCCAAAAGATAGGGAGGCTGCAAAGCAAGAGCAGAATCCCCAAGACAGCCATGTTAGACTAGGTTGTTAGGGATAGAGCCTACTTCTACTTAGAAGTTACTTACAACTACGGATAATGATGTATCTATCAATGTCCCCAAAGTTGCCACAAAGGCTGCTTTTGCTTGGCCCCTTCACCAGAGGCATGATGGGACGCCCTCGTACAGAACCCAAGCGTGTGGGTTGGAAGTGGACCATACTAACGGCGCACTGCCACTGTAGTTGCACAGAATTTCCACCTTCAACTACATATCCCAACTCCGAATCTCATCAGCCAACATGCTGAATCCCGGTCCATATTCTCAAATTCTTCCATGCTGTGTTTAGCCTAGACCCTCCAAACATTGGGGATCTTATACTGTAGCAGACGTTGAGGTTCTCGCCGAAGGACCTAACTGACGTGAAACATTGGCTCAGCCGAATATGAGCCTGTCAATAGATCAATTCCCAAATAGAGTATTGATCATGATGCCGATCCACTACACCAACAATTAGGAGGACCTGTACGCATTCTCCTGTTGCGCTGCCTGCTGTTGCCGATACACACGCTACATAACTTTTTCGCAACTTGGACAACAAAATCTCCGTTCTGCATAGGGTATGGCGCCCGACCCGGGAAAGCCCCTCTTCCACATTGAGGCTAATTACAATGGATACGTTATGAGCCGGGGTATAGCACATCATGAAAGAAAGGCAGAACATCGGACCACGCTTATCAGTCCATTAGGGGCCTGATGCTAGGAGCCTTAAAGTGATTCGCACTAGTCATTAAGTCCGTCATGGGGGCGGAACTGAGAAAGCGATGAGACTGCTCGGTAGAGGAGGGAGCTTGTTAGCCAAGCGCCATTTGACCTCCTCGGTACTGTAATGATCATTTGACCCACTTGTACTCCCACGCCATACCATACGGTAATGACAATACATACGCCGTACGGTCATGAAATCAAGGTACTGTTCAAAGTGGGTACGTCCCTCCATGTACACAATCATCCATGTATATGCAAGGACATCAAGTAGTCTTGTGGCATGTGGAAGGCAACTACCTACGCAGCAGAGCAGACAATTCCATTCTCAGACTGTCGACGCTTAACAGACTGACGTTAGGGAGCTTCCTGCAACTGTCGTCCAGTACAACACTGACTTGGCAATTCTCAATGGGATTGTTTTTTCTAGGGCCAGAGATAATAACTTTATCCAGAGTATAGGTTCAATTAATCCGACGATGTCGCTATTAGAAGCGGCCTGACCTGGTGGAAGTACTTTAAGTGTTTTTGTTGAAGTCTGTGTCTAGATACCTGATCAATCGAGCTACAACGTGTCTGAGAGTACTTAGGTAGCTGTAAGACAAACTGTGTAATTTCTTGAAGGGAGCCGATATAAATTTAATAAAGGAGATCTATTCAGTGTAAAAATCCTATCTTTACCCACCTCACCCTCGAGTCGGAGAATAGAACGAGCGTCATCAAGCTTCCAATCTCACGCCTTAGCTTTCTCAGCATATCTCCCCTTCATTCTCTCCAAAACTAGTTCGCCTAGGTTCTCGATCGTTCCTCCGTTTAGCATTTCCAAAGTGCTGACCTCGACGTCCAGTTTCCGCCTGATCCAGCTGCGCACCTCGATTGTCACCAGGCTGTCCACACCCAATGACATCAGGCTGCGGCCGAATTCCATTTCCTCCTCGTCAACTGATTGTAGCATGGACTCGTAGATGAATGCACCGATCTCCCGCCTCAGTAGCTTTAAAGTCTCTGGACGGATAAGGACAGATTCTGCGTCTGCGGCATCACGTAGCGAAGCCATAAGGCTTGCAACCTCGTCTCCACTGCCAGCTCGAGTAGCACCCGCCATCGAGCTGTTCATCCTTGCAGCTTGGATGTTACGATAGATATCCGCTTTCCGATCTCGCTTGAACAGCACCCTGTTTGTCGCATCTGTCATTGGCTTGGTTGCTCTAACGCCCAAGGTGAGTTGGCTCCGAGAAGTGAATCCTGGATTGATGGCTGAGGCAGCTGCTGTCTGCTTGTCCTCTCCAAGAGGATACTGCTGCAAAATTGACAGGTGGAGAGTTTCAAAGACCTGCCCCTCGGTCAGGATAGGAAACCCTGCCGTGCGGAAATAGTCAAGTATGTCTTTGTTCTCGCTCACATAGCCAACCTCCGATACAACACCAATGTCGAGGACAGAAGCTGGAAGACCAAGCGAGTGGCGGTACTGAACGAATGCATCTTGGAAGCTGTTTCCTGCTGCGTAATTACCTTGGCCAGGAATACCGAAGGCGCCAGAGCTTGAACCAAACATGACGAAGAAGTCTAGGTCTATTTTGGCATCGCGAAGAGCGGAATGTAGATTCCAGGTGCCGTCCACTTTGGGCTTAATGGCTGTTACCCAATCATCATGGCTCATAGAGAGGAAAGGTCGATCCTGTATAACCATAGCCATCTGTAGTACCCCGGCGATGGGTAGTGTGGCCTGCTGAAGAGCTTTACCCACTGATTCGTAGGAGGTGATGTCGCAAGAGATAGCCTGGAAGCTGCAGCCCTGAGCTTCAAGCTCTCGGAAAAAAGATTGGTGCAGCGAGCTACTTTCAGCCGAGCGAGAAAGATAAATGAAGTGTCGGGCGCCATGTTCAGCCATGCAGTTTGACGTGGCTCGGCCGAGGCCACCAAGACCTCCAGCAATAAGGTAGGCAGCGTCTCCACGGAATTTGAGAGTCGGTGGGGCTGGCTGGATGGGAAGAGAGGTTCTCTCTTTTGGTAGCCGTAGTATCAGCTTCCCAATCGAATCCTGCTTGTTGGACGAGCGAAGCGCTGCATCCAGTTCCTCTAATTCAATGGCGCGAATTGGTCGGATTGGTACAATTTGTTTCTGCTGGACCATCGATATGATCTCTTGAAGGAGTCTGGATTAGGTTAGTGATACCTGAGGCAACGCTGAGTCAAGGGCTAGGTGTGTCTTACCGAGGGTACGCATCGTCCATTTCGCCCATGTTAACGTTATAAAGGGTCTTGTTGTTCGCGAAGGCCTTCATGTCCAGGCTTTCAGCAGTGGGACAACCAAGGTTGATGAGCTAGCGACTCGTTAGCACTGCTTTTGACAACCAGTAACACTCCTTACCTTTCCCCGGGGCGCGACGCATTTGCATAATTGTCCGAGGTTTTCGGACAGCACGTTTAGTATCACATCGAACCCTGTCTTGTTATTCTCGAATGCAAGTTCAATCAGAGCCGACCAGTTGTGAGTTGCCATAACCGTTACTTTACGTACGCCAAACTCGTTGAGGAAGTCTGCCTGTTCATAGCCATGGACAGAGCAATAGAGCTAGGGGTGTTAGCTTTGAGTCAAGACAACAGTCCTGCAGGCAACTCACATCGGCTCCGATCATTTGGCAGATGCGAATAGCTGCAAGGCCCACAGCTGAATCTGCATCTGTGATCAGGACTGTCTGGTTCTTCTTCAACCCAGCTAAGTCTCGTAGGCAGTGGAAAGCAGTGGCATAGGCCAACGGCATCGATGCGGCGTCTTCAATCTCTAAATCGTCCGGAACCTTGGTAACACTTGTTGCAAGAGTCTTAAAGCTTGTTTGGACTCCACAGCAGCCCAAACCAATTATGCGGTCACCAATGTTGAGTCCACTTGCATCACTGCCAACCTCGACCACCTCACCACAATAATCGCGAATCGTGTTTTCATCCAGAGTTACGAAATCCTGTGGGACTTTGTTAGCTGAGAAACGGACAACAGTGCAACACAAGATTACCTTGGGACCAATTCCAACATACATCGGGTGAACAACGATCTCATCAGGTTGAAGTGTGATCAATGGCTGTGGAGTCCACTTCACAAGTTTTGATGCACGGGAACCCTCAAATCCTAGCTTGAGAGGAAGGTTATCTAAGTCCTGAGATGCCTCAAGCTCCTTTGACACGGTTGTCCAGTGGTATCGACCAACTTTCACCACATTGTCATCAATAACATACTCGTAATCTGCATTCCCTATTGCAGGAGTTGTGTCCAAAAACTTCTCGAATACGGTCAAGATCGTGTTACTTGTGCCAGTGTCAAACTGGTCGATCTCTAGAGTACCAAGTGGGATAGACATTTCTGCTCGGATACAACGGATTATGCCGAGTGCAATACCAAAGAGAGAGTTACTGGGCTTAATCTGAGCGGATCCCATAACCCAGAGCATTCGAGCAGAAGTCAGCTCAGTCACGATTTTTTGGAATGCTGCCAGATTCTCAGCTGTAAGTTGGTCGAAGAAAGGCTTGTCAGTGTCAACAAGTGAGATGATGTCTTGAGACGGAGGGATCGAGTTCCCTAGATGACAAATATCCACATAGTACTCGTTTTTCTCGAAGACGTGTTGCACCAGTTTCAAGATATCGGTGTCGACCTGGTCCGGTCTGATCAAAATAGTGACCGATTTATACTCCTGTGCATTGACTGCAGGTTTTGCGATCATGTTCGCTCCGAAAGCTGAATCATTCTTGGGGTCATCAAGAACTGCACATTCAATACCGGAGAACCCAGCTTCGGAAAGCTCCTTGGACCATCTCTCTACAGTGATGATTGGCTCATTCAGTCGTCCATCAGCTTCTCCTAACCACCATCCAGGCATGGGACCCATAATGAGATTTTTCATTTTCACAGAACTTGGTATAACTTCTTGAAGGAAGAACCGGCCGCGAGGGTTCAAAAGCTTATGGACATTTTTGAGCGTGGCGCCGATGTACTCAGTGGCGTGGATAACATTTGAGGCGATAACCAGATCATATGTCCCCAACTCGAAGCCTTGGTCGGCCGGATCTCTACCTATATCCAGGATTTTGAATTCTAGCCCCGGGAACTCACGGAATCGCTCCTTTGCAGCTGCAAAGAAGCCAGAAGATATATCAGTGAATGTGTAGCTTGAGTACATCGGCTCCTTATTGATCGACGTAAGCGCGGTCAGAGAGATCAACGTCGTCCCGCCCGTACCCGCACCAATTTCTAGCACCCTGAGGGTCGGGTTGCTATGACCGGCGGTGACGAAAAACTCGGACGAATCAATCCGGGCTCCAGTAAGAGCATAGAGCTTGGTGAGGGTATCGTCTCTACGATAAACTTCGAGTACCTCAGTCGTGCCGTCAAATATCCCAACACAGTTGTCAAGAAGGCGAGTAGTAAGTTCAGCAACATGAATGAACGGTGACGTCCTCAGCTTCTCCTCCAGGTCATGAATCAGCTCCATGCGTTCCTGTCGGTCCAGTTCCAGTAATTCCTTGCTATTGGAAACAATCTTGTTTTCGCCCAAGCGTCCTCCTGTGACAACATCGCTCATCCATTTTCGAAATTTCGTGAAATGCCAATTAGAGTCTCTGGTGGTTTCGATTCTCTCTAGTATTTCTGCGGAACAAAGAAGGCCGTATTCTTCGATGATTTTAACCTCATTTACATCCTTTTCTTCTGATATCATCAGTGTTTCCAAGGGAACAAAGTCAATGTGTGGTCTCCAGCTGGCACGGGCCGCTGCGACTGGATCATCCAAAACAGCCTCTTCTTCTTCCGCAAAAGCAGAAAGATGGCAGCCTTCCACCACTAGGACGGCGGTTGGTCCTTGCATGGCTAGCATCTTACCCTGAATGTCCCCCTGGTCGCTGATATGGGTTGCGACTGCTTTTGCTCGCAGAACCTCCCGCGACTTGCAAGGCTGGATAGAAATCCTTTGCACGAATGTTGGCAGGGGAATCCGCTGTAGGTGTCTTGACAGACCTTCACTAGACGCCATGCCCAACAATTGAAGACATTGATCCATTGTTGCAGGATGGAGTGAATAAGGTGAATCCGTGGTAGCAGGCGTCTTTAGAGAACCTATTGCCGTTTTCTCGCCCGGCATTGCTGACACATCCACTAGTCCTCGGAATGAACCATCATAATGCAAACCTACTGAATGGAAAAGGTCATATGGCGATGGGACCTTTCTGGGAAGTGGTGCGGTCAGTATTTCCTGTGCATACACTGACGACTCAAAATCTCCAGCTCTGATTTCTCCGTCACAATGCTCCGCCCACATGCTTCCATTATGTGAGACGATCGTGAATTCATACCAGCCTTTTTCGGATTCAAGAGAGTGCTTTGCCCGTCTCAGGGATGTCATGATCTCGACAGAACCTTCTTGAACGACCATGGCAGTTTTGACACTGAGGTTGCGGATTGTGAAGGCATCAATCTCTGTGAGCTGTCGAACTGCTTCTCCAACCATTGCAATGTAGCCGGCGAATGGAAAGACAACATCGCCGTAGACTTTATGGCCTCCAAGCCAGAGAGTGTCTTTGAGGCGGAGCAAGTTTCGCCATACTGGTTCGACGTCATTACCCTCGAGAATTCGCGAACCCAGCAGCTCATGTCGCGGAAACTTTCGCAGCCTCCAATCTTTTACAGCTCTGTTCTCGCTCCAATAGGAGGTGTCATGATTCCATGGATAAATTGGAAGGTCAGTTAGTAGACTGGATCCAGTCGTGAGAGCCTGGAATGTTAACGGTAATCCTTGAAGGAACAATTGACCACACAGGTCGAGGACGCACTGTCTGCCATTCTTCCCCCTGACTAATGACGCAGTATAGATCAAGCGGGCCTTCGATGTGGATGCTTTAAAAATTTGCCTTAGCGGTCCGGCAAGTGCTGAGTGGGGTCCGATTTCTAAAAAGAGTTGATCGGACGTCCCATTTGCCAACATCGATCTGACTGCAGGATAGAACTGGACAGGGGACTCAAGATTTTGTCTCCAGTATTGTGGACCAAGTATGGAGCTTCCCGTCAGCTTTCCAGTAACCGTAGAGAAGAATCCTGAGGCGGGAGCTCTGCCTTTGACAATAGGTCTCAAACATTCCTCATAGATAGGTCCAATATCAGCCATATGATGCGAGTGATATGCCATTCCATCAGTTTTGAGACGCCGTGTGAAGACCTCTGGATCATCAAGATTGATGTGCTCAATTATCCGATCCAGTGCATCTTCGTCGCCAGACATTGTGACGCCTTGAGGGCTATTATCGCAAGCTATGACAACACCATTTTCAAGATAAAGCCTTGCTTCTGGTTGGTTGAGCCCAATCGCAGCCATTGCCCCTTTGCGAGTGGATTGCGTGGTTATCAGACCTCTATAATATGCAACTGCTATTGCTTCTTCAGGGGATAATGCGCCAGCTGCATATGCGGCCCCGATCTCACCGCTAGAGTGGCCCACAACCCCAGAAGGGACTATGCCAAGCAGCCTCAGAAGATTCACAAGGGCAACCTGTATGGCTGTGCAAAGAGGTTGAGAAAACTCTGCTTTATTGACCCGGCTCTTGCTCTCATCTCGTATTAGCTCCTCTAACAAGTTCCAAGAGGGTGGATCGCGCAATGTTTTCAGTACATTGCCAAGTTGGATGATGTCTTCACGAAACGTTGGGAAACTCTCAATGAGTTCTTTGCCCATAGCTGGCCACTGAGCTCCCTGACCAGTGAAAACAAAGTTCAACTTCGGAACTTGTCTTGACCGATCAGCAGTGATAAACTCAGCTGAATCGGGACTCGTGCGAATAGAATACGCTCTATGTGACAAGTGGTCTCGACGGCTGGCAAGTGTATATGCCAGGTCGGATAAAAGCCGAGGGTGTTCGTTGGCATAATCTTGAATTTGACCACATCGCTCCTTCAACGACTGGGTATTAGTTGCTGATACGAGGAGAAGCTCAGAATCACTACCCTCGTCGTTTCCGTTGCTTCCCGTGACTCCAGTCGCACCCTCATAGGACGCAGCAGATTCTATCACAGCATGGGCGTTGGCGCCAGTGATTCCAAAAGAATTTACGCTGATTCTCTCCGGGCGGCCTTCTGGCCATGGAGTTGGCTCCAGAGGAACCACTAATCGTGCTTCCTTGAATGGTATTTTGGGATTTGGTGTTGAAAAGTTTGCTTGCGGGGGAATGATGCGATTTTCAAGTGATAACACAGCCTTGATGATACTAGTAACCCCTGAAGCACTCTCACTGTGGCCGACGTTGGCTTTGACTCCGCCGATATATGTATCATTCGTGCTGCCGAAGACTTCTGAAATAGCCTCAAGCTCAAGAGGATCACCAGTTTTCGTGCCAGTCCCATGTACTTCCACATAAGGTGTCTCTGAGGGGTCGCTTAGTCGCCCAGATTGATATGCTCCTTTTATTAAACGGATGTGGGCCTTCGGGCTAGGGGTGGTAAGACCTGCACTTCTTCCGTCGCTGTTCACCGCTGTTGAGCGTATAACAGCTCTGATAACATCATTGTCTTCCCTCGCCTTGCTGAGCCTCTTGATCAGAAGAGCATTAATCGCCTCGCCTCGCGCATAACCATTAGCCGCCGCATCGAAAGTCCGGCATTCGCCCGTAGGTGATAGAACACCGGACTCAGTTTGTTCCATCGTTGTTGTTGGTGTGAGAATCAGGTTGGTCCCTGCAACAATTGCTGCATCACACTCCGCATTTCGGAGTGATTGAACAGCCTGATGTAAACATATTAAAGAGGACGAGCAAGCAGTTTTGATGGTCATGCTCGGCCCTTGTAGGTCATACTCATAAGAAACTCGGTTGGCGATAGTGTAGTCATGCGAGCCGAGAGTATTGAGCATACCCCCAACTTGTTGTGGATCTTTCGCAAGGAAGTCAATCCAGTCATAGCCCCAAGCACCAACAAAGACTCCTGTGTTACTCCCTCTCCAGTTGCTTTGGCCTGCATTTTCCACACATTCCCATACAACCTCTAGCAGCATACGTTGCTGTGGATCCAGTTTCTCAACCTCGGCTTTGCTGACGTTGAAAAATGACGTGTCTAGTACATCAATGGCATCGCTGTCATCGAGAAAGTGGCCGTAACGAACACATGTGCTTCCAGGTTTGCCGCTGTCAGTGTAGAATCCCTCGTAGTTGTACCTTGAGTGTGGGATGGGTCCTCTGGTAGTCCTTTTGTTGATAAGCAGATCCCAAAAAGCATCCTCAGTGCAAATTCCTCCAGGGAGTCTCATTGACATGCCCACAATTGCGATGGGCTCAGGGATAGGGCCATCGGCGTCTGGGATCGGAACTCCATTGCTGGATGCATGACAATTGATACGGTTGCCACTGCCATGATTGGCATGGCCGTTAACGTGGCCTTCTCCAATACTACTGTCGCCATTGACATGACCGTTGGAGTGACCATTTCTGATGTCACCCATTATGGCTTTCTGTTGTCTCAAAATCAGTTAGTCAGAAAACCCCGTGACGCCGTCTGTATTACACGGCGTGCGCTATTCGAGATCAGTTGATGCCCCTATCTCCTGGTAAAAGGGGTAGCCTACGCTTTTTATCATTATCGGACCATTCATTTCTGGAGCTGATCGCTTTAGGCACGGTCAGAGATTAGATGTCAAAACAGACTAGACCTGAATAGAAGAATTTGCGGTATGGTATCAATACTAGCGTCGTCACAAGGTGAATTAAAAGACGACTGTCCCCATGTTGTAATGTCAATTCATGTGGAGTGCCAGTCACTATACCGAGCTGGGAAGAGCGGCTCCAGTTGAAGCGCTAATCCTAGCTCGATGTGCGACATAGGCTAAATACGAGACTCCAAATGTGTATTTGAGATGGGCATATCTGGCACTGAGAATGGTGGACAGGACAGGCCCTCGGGTGCTCCAGTGAATCAACCGAGCTTGAACGGTAAACCGAATTAGGAAGCCATTCTAGATCAACGTACTAAGTTCTCAAAGAGATCGAAATAGATGTATCACCATTTTACATACGGATAATTCTTTCCCAGATGGACTAGTCGACAAGGAGCTGGAAATTTTAGGCTCTTGTCTGGAAATATACTCAATTGTGTCACGTAGTTTGTCCTTCATCTACTCGGTAACGAGAGCTTCACTTTAGGCTGTGCTGAATAAGTCGTGCAATCGTATGAATTATTCTTGGTCGGCAAGCAGTCTTCGTCAATATATCAAAATCGGAACAGTCTCCTGAGCGCTTCCTACGTCGTGGACTCGTTAATCTGCAAGACTGCACCAATCCACAATGAAGCCAAGGCACTCGAGAATCACCGCAGTAAGGACAGACGTAGAATACTCATTGTTGCAACGAGTATCACTTGAATTCCATACCTCCTGGGACTTAGAGCCTATACACGTGATATGAATACAATCAATGGTTTATTGTCTAAGTTCATTTCTGAACCCCTCATACGGTACTTCCATGTCTAGATACCATACTAAATATTCTGCTCAAGCGGCGACTTCGCTAGACCCATTCACAGCAACAATATTTGCGTTTTCGATCGGCGTCTTCCCAGTAGCGCCTTTAAAGCGTCCTCTTGCTACCTGCCAGATAAATTCGGTCTGCCATTTCACCAAAATTGGCATATCGGGTCCATTGAGCACGTAGAGGTGCTCCCTTCCAGGAGCGATCATCTGTCTCTTGGGCCCTTGTAAGGATTCGAATACTGCTGTCTGGTGGGCTGGGTCTGAAATTTGGTCCAACTCTGGAGTTATAATCATCAATGGAGTAGGACTGACGTGTTTGACCATTGCTAGAGGAATGGGCTCCCACAGAAACATGCGGTGATACGATTGTATCGTGGTACCGTATGCATTATGAGTCAATGCAGGATCGAATACAGCATCTTCACCTGCTTCCTCTCTCCACTGATCCTTCAAGTGATTGTGGTAGTCTATTTCCTCTTGTTTTCGTTCTTCATCTGTTGTGCTAATGTGGGAGTTAAAAGGAAGAAATGCCACAGACTCCAAAATGGGGAGGATGTAAGGCGGAGTTCCATCATTGACTTGCGATTCTCGATCCTTCATCAACTTGAACTTTAGCTTCGCCGCATCTGAAGGTTTGATTGGGCTGTATTCGAAAACAGGTGCGACTGCTATAACTGCAGCGATTCTCCGGTCGATGGCTGCATTCGACAATGCGATACCAGCTGACAGAGAAAGGCCCCAGAATACGATAGCTTCAGGATTCACTATTGGCTGTTTGGCCAGGAAAGTGAAAGCATCTGAGTAGTCCTCTGCTTGTTTGAAAGGATCGATATCGTTGCGCGGGAACCCACCGCTTTTCCCTGTGTTTCGCGGATCATAGACAAGTGCAGTGATGCCTGCCTTTTGGAATTCTTCTGGTACACCAGGGGCGAAGTTGACCACTACCCCATTGTACTATCATAGTCAGTTGAATGGCTACTTAGGTAGCTTCCAATGCAGGAAGGTTAACCTACCCCAGGCGTAAGGATCACTGCAGGCCCTCTTTGTGCTGCTGGGTAGAGCCTACCCCTAATGAAGCCCCCATCAATGGTTTTAAACGTTACAATTTCGTAAATTTTGCTCATGTTGAAAATACTAAGCGACTTTAAGCTTTGTAGTATCATTACTTACATTCCTGCAATATAAGCGTTTGACCTTTGTCTGTGATTAATATACTTACTCATACTATGTGGAGCCATAAAACCAGCGTCGCCGAACATGTTCCGGGTGAACAGAGTCGGAAACCCCCATGCTATGGAACTTCGGCTAGATCATTTCAAGTGGACATTAGCTATCGATTCCAGAAACTAAGAAGATAGTGTGGGCCGCAAACACTCGTCTGGCCCACACCTGGTGTTGTGGCATGTCTTACACATACGAGATCGGGGAAAACTCAAATGAACTTCAGATGGTCCAGTTCAAGGGAGTCTGCGTTCACAGTTGTCCCCATGATAGGTGTCAATTGCCATTCGCGACTCGCAGCATTTCAGGCTATATTGTCGGAACGGGTTGTTCAGTAACTAAAATCGACTGGGAATTCAAATTTGGTATAGTTCCCCAGTTAGTTGCATCAATGGGTGGCCCAAAAGAAATCTGCGTACTTAAACACCTGGTGGTTTGCGATGAGGCTCAAGGGGCCCGAATAAGTGCGGAGGCCGAAATTTTGTGGGGTTACTTGCGGAGCAAGTGGGAAAACTTCGGATCGGATAAGGAAGTCCAGCGTGGGGCAAAGCCAGAGACTCGAGTGCTTCTTGATGCCTCATACCTGGTGGTTGGTACAAGGTAGTACAAGTGCACAGGGCCGTGAGAGTGATCAGGGTCCCTGGATAGTAATGACTTTAACTCGATACCGAGGATGTCGTATTAGGTTGGTATGGTATTATGTAAATATAGCGAGGGGCCTCGGATGATAATTGTCCTACTATGAATAGCGGTGTTAGGGCCAAGCTCTGGTCATACCGCCTTTGGGCGCACAGTAGACCACCGCTCCCAATCCTCAGCACCCTTTGCTAAGGTATACGTAGCGCTCGCTAAAGCCGCATCCTGTTTCCAGGCAGAATTTCGTGTCTGACCAGAACTAACTTACAGGACTGTGGAGGGTCTACTATGTATTATAGAGAAGGTCACCCTCGTTGGACTTCTTTCAGAACCTTCTATTCAAGGGTCATCCCTGTATGTGGAATCCTCTGAATCGGTCAGATACCTTCCACAAACAGATTGGAAGGAAGTTTGCTGTATGAAATAGAGAAGTCCCTATCATCGTCGAACCCACTTGTAACCTATACAGACCCACTCGGACTCATTATTTCTTTTTGTACCCTCGGCCTGATGTACTATCATGCTATCGGCCACTCTGATATCGTCGGCTGTATCATTACCGGACCTCAAGCTAAGCTTGACATGATATTAGAGCCTGTTAACCCGGCAAGGATCTGAGAACCGTGGGGCAGTGTGTTCGGATATCCGCATTCGAGGCGGCAGCAGGGTCTGTGAACCGCCCCGGGGCTGTCAGTGGACAGCCCTTGTATTACCCGATTGGAATCAGGACTTTTACAGCAGACTGAAGTATTCATCCGGGCTACAGAACAGCCTTACCAAAAGTGCTTTCAGCTTGGAGAAGGACGTAGATGATGCCATAAACATTGCAATCTCGATCCTGTCGGCGCTTTGCAACACGGGTCTAATGTTTTGAATCCACACAGAAGGAAGAGCACCTGTGGCCAACCTCTACGTATGTACAGCGACTGCTCAAAGTGATTGATCAGCAAGTCCATTCCGAGCAGGCTATATATCACCAGGCAACCAGGGAAGAGCTCACATTACCAGAAGGGTTTACAGGAAGTCATTCAGAAGTCATGGTAGAACCTATTGCTGTTGTTGGCTTCAGTTTCCGCCTTCCAGGTGATGCGAACACCCCCGACAGATTATGGGAACTTCTCGCAAATGGTGAACAAGCATGGACGGACGTGCCAGAAAGTCGGTATCGTTGGCAGGCGTTTCACAGCGCTGACCAAGATGGAAGAGGGACTCACAATGCTCGGGGGGGATTTTTCCTAAAGCAAGATATTGCAGAGTTCGACGCCAAGTTTTTTGGAATACCTGACACCGAGGCTGCCGCTATAGACCCTCAACAGCGACTGCTCCTTGAGGTTTCCTACGAGGCATTGGAGAATGCAGGAATGCCCATTGAGACTCTCCGAGGTTCTCAAACTGGCGTTTATATCGCTCTTGTCAGCCGCGATTACGACCGCCAAATATACAAAGATCCAAGCCAAATTCCAAAGCATCACTTGACTGGTTGTGGGGATGCAGTGGCTTGTGGAAGGATATCTTATACTTTTGATTTCAAGGGGCCTTGTATGGCCATTGATACCGGTTGCTCAGGTGGCATGGTAGGAGTACACCTTGCCTGTCAAGCTCTTCGTCTTGGAGAGTCGGACATGGCACTCGTGGGAGGTTCAAACCTGCTCTTGGGACCAGATATGACAATTGCCATGAGTAATCTTCATATGTTGAATGAGAATGGCCGTTGCTACCCATTCGACAGTCGTGGTGCTGGTTACGGACGTGCAGAGGGAGTGGCTGTCCTAGTTCTGAAAAGACTTAGTGATGCAGAAAGAGATGACGATGCTATCAGAGCAGTCATATTGAGCTCTGGAGTCGGACAAGATGGCAAGACTAACGGTATCTTGCTTCCAAATTCCAATGCCCAGCAGCAATTGGCAGCTAATCTCTATAAACGAGGCGGATATGATCCACAACGAGTTGCATATGTGGAGATGCACGGAACTGGTACAGCTGCGGGTGACTCAGCGGAGATTAGATCTATCAGGCAAGTATTTGTTGGTGATGGGTCAAGAAGACAACATCCCTTGAATGTTGGGTCAATAAAATCCAATCTTGGTCATTCGGAGAGTACAAGCGGCCTCTCTGGGATTATAAGTGCTATATTGTCAATGGAGAGGTCTCTTATTCCACCTGTCGCTGCACTAAAGGTCCTAAAGCCAGATGTTTCACTCATGATCGATGATGGTAAAATTCAGGTTGGTTCATTGGCCGATATATTTCCAACCACCTGCTAATCTTGTCTTTAGATCCCTCAAAGGGTTCAAGACTGGCCAGCTGGCAGCCCACGGCTAGCAAGCGTGAACAGCTTTGGATTCGGTGGCACAAACGCGCATGTCATATTAGAGGGCTATTCGAAAGGTCCAAACGCGGCGACCCACTACCTCAGGCCTGCTTCTGCCGGTGTCAATGGATGTCTGACCGGAAACGGACCCAGTGGCAATGAGGCAAGCTCCAGCTACCAAGACGAAACATTGGAGCAGACACACCTGGTCAATGGGTCCTATGCCGATACTGAAACCCCTTTTCTCCTTGTCATCACAGCAAAGTCAAAGGAATCTCTAAAGGCTATGGTAGAAGGCATTCGCTCTTGGGTCAAAATACATGGCTCCGAGCCGTCTGCATTATTCAACTTGTCGAAAACCCTTGCTATTCGACGCTCTGCGTTCAATTGGCGCGCTAGCGTTGTCGGGAGAAGGCAATCAGAGATCATTGCTGGCCTGGGCACTGTCCGACCGAATAAGGCTTTCGCGAGTCCCAAGCCCGTCTTTCTCTTCACAGGTCAAGGGGCACAGTACGCCACGATGGGACGGGATTTACTGCACCTAAAATCGGCATTTTTGTATTCCTTGCAAAAATCTCAGGCGATCTTACACGGTCTGGGGGCTTCATGGGATCTGATAGACGAGCTTCGTAAGCCCGAGCCAAAATCCAGAATCAACTCAAGCCAGGTCTCTCAACCCGCGACTACTGCTATTCAGATTGCACTTATACATCTTCTTGCCCAATTAGGAGTCCGTCCCGCGGCTGTCCTTGGGCATTCCAGCGGAGAAGTTGCTGCAGCCTATGCTGCAGGTATGCTAAGTCATGAGGCCGCTCTGCAAATAGCATATCACAAAGGTTTTGTCGCAGATTGGTGCCGCGCGTCCATCAATGGCAAAGGAGCCATGCTTGCTGTTGGTTTGGGAGAGACAGACGCTACCAGATACCTAGATAGCATCTTCTCAGGGCGAGCATCGGTCGCTTGTGTCAATAGTCCTTCCAGTGTGACCATATCAGGTGACGAAGCTGCAGTAATAGAGTTGAAGACGGCCTTGGATAAGGATTCCATCTTCAACAGGCGCCTCAAGGTGGACATTGCCTACCATTCTCACCATATGCTCGCGGTAGCTACAGAATTCGAGAAGTCCATCATGGGGCTGACAGCGTCGGCTCCTAGTGCGCAGACAAAATTCTTCTCTTCGGTGAAAGGCCAACAGAATGGAGAAGCAACCGGTGCGCTGTATTGGGTCGATAATCTGATCTCTAAGGTCCGTTTTTCAGAGGGACTTGAGCAACTTGCCAGCTTATGCGGCAAAGACAATCAGCCTCTCACCTTCATTGAGGTTGGACCACACAGTGCTCTAGAAGGCCCTGTGCGTCAGACAATGGCAGCTTGTCGAGAAACGTACAATTGGTCTTACTCACCAACCCTGGTGCGCAATCGGGATGCTTGTCAGGCAGTCGTTGAGATGAGCGGTCGAATTTGGGAACAGGGTGTAGCAGTTAATCTCTCTGAGTCAACTGTTGTCCAGAATCAGACTCACCACTACTTCAGGATCATCACAAACCTACCTGCATACCCATGGGACCACTCGAAGAGATATTGGCATGAATCCAGACTGAGCAAAGATTACAGATTTCGTCAGCATCCACCTCATGATCTTCTTGGATTACAGTTAGTTGGTACTACAGCCATAGAGCCTGTATTCCGCCTTATACTCAGTGTCGACGATCTTCCTTGGTTGCAAGAACACATGATTGACGGGTTTGCCTTGTATCCTGGATCTGCCTTCTTAGTGCATGCTATTGAGGGAATCAAGCAGTTACTTGAGGGTGGCGGAGAAAGGAAAACAATTAAGCGCTACCACCTCAAAAACGTCAAATTTACAAAGTCTATCGTGGTTCCAGATTCACCAGGTACTGTTGAGCTTCTACTCAGTCTGGGAGCAGTCAGAGAGACCGGCGAGAGGCTAGGTATATCGTGGTATAATTTTCGAATTACCTCTCTGGCCGCCGAAGGCGCCTGGAACGATAACTGTCACGGATTGATTGGCTGCGAGTTTGCACCGGAGGTCAGAGTGGACGAAAAAAAATCCAGATCTACGTCGACCGAGTCGCGAGTCGATGAACTTGCAGATGATTGTTTTGAGCAAATAAAAACATCCGATCTTTACGCTGGTCTGCGTCAGAATGGCATTGATTATGGTGAAAACTTCTCCATTATCAGAACTTTGAAAATGGGTAGTCACCTCGCCATCGGCACCATTCAAATTCCAAATATCGCAAGGTGCATGCCTTCAGGGCAGATGAAACCACACGTGATTCATCCCACCACCTTCGACGCCTTTATGCATATCGCTCTTCCACTGTATCATCGATTTTGCAGCGAGGGTCCAGTGATGCTCACTTCCATTGGAGAGGCGTCGATCGCAGCCAGCATATCGAACAAGCCAGGAGACCGCCTGACTATACTCTGTGATCTTAGACAGGTTCATCCCAAGTTCGGAGCAGTCAATGTATCAATTCTGCAAGAAGATAGCCGTGGGGAGATGATCGAGGTTGGCTCCCTGACTAACGAAGAGTTCCGAGGAATTGGTGATGGTTCGTCAAAGATCAAGAGCACAACTGCAGAGGCCAACGGCAGTTATATCGCGAATTGGGTCCCTGCTCAGAGGACCGCAGGCGCTTCGAAGGACTTGTTACATTCTACTCTGCAGTTATGTTCTTTCAACCCTATCGACGCAGGTTCTGGATTAGTTGAAGAGCTTGTTGGTAACCTTACCGAACGGTTCGGCGATGCCATCATCCCTTGGAGCCGCGATCTTGCAGCTCCAAGCGCGATTCAGGTTGTCTTTGAAGACAGTTCCACACCCAAGCCATCAATTGCAGATATGAAGATGCTCTTCTCTCAAACGAAATCTGTACTTTGGCTTACCATCTATCGCAATGATGACCGCGATTTCTCAGTTAGGTCCTTGGCACAAGACTTAGCAATAGATCATGGAGTGCACTTGGTCTCCCTAGAGTATCATGATGGTAGTAGAGACGCTGACCTCCTAGGGGATCTCATAGTTGAAGTCATAACTACTTCGTTCATCAAAGAAGACAACGCAAAGATCCGGGAACTTAAGTTTAAATTTGAACGAGGGGCATTGTTCGTTCCGAGGCTGCAACGACATGAAGCATCTGATCGCTGGTTGAAACCAACCTCTGAAGCTGAGTTTGAGGAAGTCTTGAGCAATTTCCATTGCGAAAATCCTCTTAAACTGCACTTCAAGACGACTGGATTACTGGGTAGTGCGCGATTCGTGCCCAATGTTGACGCTGAGAGTCCGACAGAACCTGAAGAAATCAAGGTCAAAGTATACGCCCATGGGGTCAATCGCAGCGATGTTGCAGTTGCATCTGCAAGAGGAAGTCCTACAGATTCAATGGTCGGCGAGTTTGCTGGAGTAGTAGTTGAGGTTGGCAGTGCCGCTCGGTCAAGATATAGCCCTGGTGATCGCGTTTGCGGGTGGGGAGCAACGCCCTACGCAAGCATCGTTCGGGTGCGCCATGGTCTTGTGCAACACATTGACGATTCGATCTCCTTTGAGCAAGGAGCTGCCATACCTCTTGCATTCCAAACCGCATTCCATGCTCTAGTTGATATTGCAAACCTCAAAACATCACAGAGAATACTAATACACGGAGCTGCAGGAGCGGTGGGGCAAGCTGCGATATCAATCGCTCAGCAACTTGGGGCGTACATCTACGCCACGGTAGGAAGTGAAGATAAGGCAATATTTTTAACCGAGAAAGCCGCGTTGAGTCGTCACTGCATTTTCTCAAATCGAGATACCAAGTTTCAAAAGCAGATCAACCAGCTTACAGGAGGCCAAGGTGTTGATGTGGTTTTAAACTGTTCATCAGGAGATCTGCTTGAACCAAGTGTTGCCTGTACTGCAGAACTCGGTGTCATAATCAGTGTCGTGAAGTCTAATGTCACTTCTCAAATGCCGAGCCGCGACCAGAATATTTCATACGCCAATGTCAACATGAATGCACTAAAAACAAAGTTTCCAGAACTCTTATCCGATATATTTGGAAAGGCGATTGCTATGTACAAGGCTGGACCTCAAAAATGCCCCTCCATCAATGTTATGCCAATCAGCGACCTCGAGAAGGCCTTCAGATTGGTGAAAACCGAAAAATATGTAGGGAAAGTCGTCTTGGTCTCTGACGATGACGCATATGTGCAGCAAGAAATACCTCTTATCAGGCCCATGAAGCTCGACAAAACCGCAACATACGGAGTTCTTGGAGCGTCCCCCAGTATTGAGCAGAGCCTGCGCGAATTCCTTGTGGATCGGGGAGCAGGAAATACAGTGAGTCTCGCTTTCACGGATTTGGATACCTTAAGCGTTCAGCCGCCGATCAAAGGGATTATATACATCGAGCCAACAGTTGGGGCAAGCTGCATTGATATTGCACATCGATCTAAGCTTTGGGGCGAATTGTTCCGACAGCACAAGCCTGACTTCGTTCTCACACTCTCACAAGATATACAGAGGACCAAACAAGCAATCACATGGACTATGCAGACTAATGTAAAATCTAGCCGGGAGGAGGGGAACATTGTTCATCATGAACCGCGTGACTTCATTCTACGAACCGCGAATATCGACCAACTAGAATGCAATGACCAGGTCTCTATCAACCAAAACCCATCCCGGCGACAGACGGATCTTTATAAAATGATTGACTTCCTCTTGAACACTGGGAAGGAAACACGCAGTCCCACGGAACTCTTCATGGTTCCAAGAGAAATGGGAAATCTGGGCCTAAGAAATGCGCTTTTCACTGACATTGTCAAAGCTGAGCAGGACTCAACGGCGGACGAAAATAGGTCAGAATCCACGACATTAGAAAATAAACTCAGACAAGCAAGTGACCTTGAAACTGCTAGGTGCCTGCTTGCGTCAGTTGTCTGTGACCAGCTTGCCACCTTCTGCGCTGTTGATCGCGACGATATACGATTGGATACAGCAATTGTTGATGTAGGACTCGACTCCCTGTTGGCAATAGAGTTCAAGAACTGGATCATGCGTACACTACAAGCTCCAATGCAAACTACAGAGATTTTGGATGCCTCGAGTCTAAAAGATTTGGTACTGTTGATATCTCAGAGGTCTGAGCTTGTCAGAAGTGGCTCTGAAGATACAAACGGCCTCCATGTCAATGGGAACAGCGAAAGGCCGACTATGAGAACCCCAACAGAGGGCAAACACCCTGATCACTCCGCAGGGGTCTTGCCACCACCTTTGCCATTGCCGAAATTGGAAGACCTCATCGAGAGGCATCTATCTTCCATTCGGCCTTTTGCATCTGATGAGGAGTTCAGCAACTCGCTACGCTTGGCTGCTGAATTTCGCGCCGAGGGAGGACCAGGTGCCCGCCTCTACGAACGAATGCAAGCTCTGAAAGCAGGCGATCCGGAAAATTGGTACCATGACTTGTTCCTTAACAATCAGTATCTCTGTCGCCCAGGTCCACTAGCCCCATATACGCTATTCTTCTTCACCCATCCCATAAGCGAAATAACACACTCGCAATCAGAAAGGTCGGCTCTTATCGCATCGACTCTGATCCGATACAAGAAGAATCTCGAGAAAGGGACAATCAAGCCGCGGTACATGAATGAGCAGCCACTATGCATGGACCTGTATAAGAATCTATTCAGCGCTTGCCGCGAGCCCAAAGCTGATCTTGACGTGTTTGAAGCTCACCCAGGCAACGACTTCTTCGTGGTTCTCCGGCGAGGGCACGCATATAAAATTGATGTTGCCTCAGTGGATGATCGGGATATGTTCAGTCAACTGGAAGCTACCTTCACGAGCATTCTAAACATTGATCTGAAGGATGTAGACTGGTTAGGAATCTTGTCTGGAGAGCATCGAAACAACTGGGCTCAGAACTATCGAGATTTTCTTTACCACAGCACCCAAAATCTTGAGTATATCCAGACTATTCAGCGGTCAGCGTTCATTATTTGTTTGGATGAAAGGTCTCCCGAGAACGCGGAACAACGGGCGCGCCAGGTCCACTTCGGTGATGGTTCGAATAGGTGGTTCGACAAGAGCATTCAATATATCGTGTGTTCTAATGGCATATCTGGCATCCTGGCCGATCATACTGGGCTAGATGCACCAACAGTAGCAGACATCAACCTGAGCATTGCGAGAGCAATACGTGGTTATAGTCGAAGCTCGGCAAACAATATGAAGCATGCTCTACCGTTCAAGAAAGTTGTGCACACGAGCTTCGTTGGGTACGAATCAAATGTTCAGCGGGTTCGAGTAAAATATCTGCAAACCATTGCGAAGCGGCAGCACTTCTTTACATCACTAAACTGTGGGTCCTCTTTCATGAGAAAATACAAGGTCCCCCCAAACAGTGTCTTCCAACTCGTTGTCCAACTAGCTGCTCGACACTTCTTCGGCTATGTACCAGCATGTTGGGAGACAGTCTTGCAAACGATTTTTCACAAGGGTCGAGTGGAGATCAACCAAGTGGTCTCCGTTGAGGTTGCTGAATTTGTGAATGCTGCAGCCGATGAGACTACTCCATTGTCACTGTGCAGGCAAAAGTTGATAGAGGCGGCGCGCCGGCACTCTGGGAATATACTCGCAGCAACAAGATCTGGTGGCTTCGACCGTTTTCTTTCACTGCTCAGAGAAATCGGCAAGGACGGTGAAAAGGACCTTGAACTATACAAGGACCCTCCTTACACGCGCTCACGCCCAAGGAAGATTATGAGCAGCTGCTTTAAGACTCATATGGCCGAGAACGGCTGCGTTCAACGCGACGACGATTCAATCTGGCTACATTTCGAAGTTGAGTCAGACAGGTATGGTGCTCCTCCTCGTAAATTAATTCATCCGAACTAATGTTCCCCCAGTGTAAAATTCTCTGGGCTTGGAGAAGCCGGCCAGACTGACAGATTTGTCGAAGATTTACAACGGGCAGCAAAGAGAGTGCGGGAGATTTTGTTGTACGACGGCATGGCAAACTAGTTAAAAAGGTTTCTTTGTTTTTGGAAGTCTTCAGTGAGTTCATTAGATGCCAACCCTGGGAGCTATTCAACCCATCCGAGCTTCATTTTCCCATCCTACGCTGTTTTAGATAGAGTGACAATGAATTCCGTTGGGCGTGGAAAACAGAGCTCATTTTTCCAAAAAGTGATTGAAAATGGAGAGGCTGTGAGCCTGTTGTTGATTTTGCATCACGGTAATTGCCTCGCTAGCTCTCTCTGTTGAGAACATCCTTTCCCGGGGTCTTGAAGCATGGAGCTTCTGCTAAAGCCAGCAGTGCGAGAAAGGCTCCTCCGGCAAGGCGATAAATTCTAGCAATACACGCCATACAGGCCAAATCTGAGAAGTCTCCTTCTCGATGAGGCGATCCTGGTGTTTCCGCTATTACCTCCTTTCTCACCGTCTAGAATTCTGCCGAGCATAGTACTAGGGATGTTCCGGACCGCCCAAATACATTACTGTTTCTAAAGTTCATCGCCAGAGCATTGGCATGTGTCTGTCGAGCCACTGCATTGATCAGGTTCTATGAAGAGCTTTCACATCGGTTCAGGCTCTTCGCTACCCTCTCATCCCACCATCTCTACTTCCCGCGATGTCCACGAGTACTATGTTCAATGGAAGCTGCTTAGCACCTCGATCGATATACTAATAGCCTATCATAAATTTACCCGGCTCGTCACTTATTGCACGAGATGCTGCAGAGCCGGGGGCCTGATATCAGAATCCATAGCAAACGGGTATCAGCCTTCCCGAATGACACAACAGCGGAGCGCATCTATGGTGTATGGAGGAACACCCCCTGGTCATATCCGCTCGTGAAGCTAATGGGCGTGACAATACCCCTAGCATATGTATTTCCGTCAGACAAAATACCGGTGAAAGGGCTAAGAAGGGGAGCCTTCTGCCCAGTGCCGTCCCCACCGACTCCACTTTGAAATGATACACCCCAACTTAATTGAACCCCAAGCATTACAAGTAGCTATGCGTCCGCTCCAGCATCGCTTATCTATGCACATGCATAGCAACGTGGATCGTGCGATGACAAGCTTTCTGTTTCCATGAGGCGCCCAGGGACTCCAGAATTATGTAACTTTAGGCTCTTATACCCCGGCCTAGAGCTATACTACACTATAGATATCACACGTGAGGATCACCGTATATTTAGGCTAATGACATTATGCGAATGCGGCCCTATGGTGGAGCTGTGCGACGAGGTCAATGCCAGAGACATGTATGAGGGAAAATAGCCGGACAATTATCGCATTGCAAGCACTCCATGGCCCGTTCATGTACGCTATGACAAGTGATGATAATTTACGAGGCCAGCCCTGTCATCCAAGAATGCCGAGATGGGGCGATGCATATCTTGAGCAGGATACTGCCAAGCGGGTAAAATTCGGTACCGCTCGGGCTCTGATGTACTTTGTGCGGCTTTCTGCTGGGTGGTCAGGCCATAGCTCCATCGTGTTTCTGTTAGAGGGAAGTGTCCTAAGGACCAATGAACTCCCAAAAGGAAAAAAATAGCGTTCTACCAATCTCAGTATCGGCAATTCGTCTAACAACACAATCTTCTCCCAAATATTATGCCTAATTGTCAGAGGCATGCCTGGATTTGCATACGCAAAAGACCCGAATTTCCACTTACTGGTCTACATTCTTCTCTTACGTCCGATCCGGCACTTGCCACAATCTGTACCGCCGGAAAACCTACTGGCCCTCTAATGGATATTGTTTTCAGGGGTCGGCCTCCATGGTCCAATGCGGCCCCGAGGCAAGTCAGTACAACGTGTCAAAATATCCAACGAACTGCTATCTGTGCTATCTTGTCTCTTGAAAAAAGATGCAATAACTCAAATGGATAGCCTGGGTGCGATAAGCTGTTTTCAATCTCATATAGGCCAGCAAGGTCAATATGACTTGATAGACTGTTCTTGCAAAAATTATCGTACTAGCGGTGCGACTTAAGTCTCTGTACTCTAGCTATAATTGCAAACGTCTATTTAAGGACAGCCGGGAAATTGTCTGTCACGTGGTAGGATTTCCGGGAGAAACAAGTAGTTATCTAGGAAGCTATAAACGGGTCACAGAGCTATCCCTCTAAAAATTAACAAAAATTCGAGAGTTTGGTGCTCAGATGGATAGTAGGCCGAAAGAAGTTTCGATAGTGACAGGCCTCAGAGAGATCTCACAGCATAATTTCGAACTCGGTACCGATTCTACCGCGATTAGACTGGTGGCTCGTTTCTGATACTAGACAATTCGATACTTTGAGTGAGGTATAGATCATCCAGCCTAATTAAGGGGGTGGGTCTAAAGGGCCTCAGGAAGAAAAATAACGGTGTCTGAAAGGAGAATGGACTCGCAATCAGGCTCTATGTCACTTGGACCCTAGCAAATCTGGCTTCAGCCAACATATCGTGCGTGTATGTCCGGCTGATCTGGCTGTCCAACCGAAATTCACCCCATCAGCACACTTGGTGGTTTGTGACTTTTCAGCTTGTCAAATTCTATCTCAGGTTACACAGTGGTGCTAAGGTGAAAGCAGGATTTTATTCACTCCAAGGATCTGTCCTCGAAATCTCCTGGCCAAAACAGAAATCCGATAACGAACATGACAAGTCCGAAGCTCAAGGTCGCAATTGCTGGCCTGGGCCGCATGGGTGCTCGACATGCAGCTCATTTTTACGGATTGACTCCGAGAGCGGAGCTAATCGCAGCTTCGACTCCAGATCACAGGGAAATCGCGTGGGCAAGGGCAACTCTTCCAGGAGTTCGAACATACTCTAACTATGACGAAATGCTGTACCAGGAGACTCAAAACGGCCTCCAAGCTGTCATTGTGGCCTCCGTAACTGCTGTTCATGCGGAGCAGGCAATTAAAGCAATTGAGCTAGGCCTTCACGTTCTCTGCGAAAAGCCTTTGAGTACAAGCATAGTGGTCTCAGAATCAGTTGTGGCTGCATACAGGAAATCCCTCGAGACGCATCCAGCACAAAAGGTCATGTGTGGCTTCTCGAGACGCTTCGATGCCTCATACCGCGACGCTTTCGACAAGATTCAATCCGGGCTCATCGGAAAGCCAACAGTTTTCAGTTCGCAGACTTGTGACAAGATGGATGCGACGGGCTCCTTTGTAGAATATGCCAAGTTCTCAGGAGGAATTTTTGTCGACTGCTCGATTCATGATATTGATCTTGCGCTCTGGTTCTTTGGTGAGGAGAGTAGAGTTAAAAGCGTTGTGGCGGTTGGTATCACAGCGCTATGGCCAGAGTTGAGGAAATACAACGACAGGGACAACGCTTTTGGCATTATCGAGTTTTATGGCGGGAAGATCGCTCAACTATTCTGCAGCCGCATGATGGCCACTGGCCAGGAAGACTGCACTGAAATCACTGGTACAGATGGTAAGATTTCCGTCAACACCCAGCTTATTTCGAACTTCGTCAACATTCATGAAGCGACTGGTATTCGTAGAGAACTGGTATCTGACTACTACGGTCGCTTCCGCGAAGCCTTCATTGCGGAGGCCAACGAATTCACGGCAAGTTGTCTGGACAACAATGCGACGCCATTGAAGCTGGAGGGCGCAGTTCATGCCGTCAGAATAGCACTCGCACTTCAGGATAGTTTGATTAGCGGGCGAAAGATCGAATTTGATGAATCTGGTCATCGAATAACTGGCGGAACTTGATATTTTACGGCTCACCACGAGAGACTATACATTTTCAGAGAATAGTCCCAATGACTTCTTTTCTCGAAACCGTTTAGCCGTCAAACCTGGTCTTCGAGAAGCTTTCGCTGCTCTCCACTCCCACGTTCTACGGAAAACAATTACTCTATTTGAGATAACAGTCCGATTGTCATTGCGACTGTCGCCTCTAGGAAACTCATGTCGTGGAGAAGTCTCCTGCTGCGGTTTGCAACCCTTCAATTTGCGAGTGTACAGTATTCATAAACATGTAGTACTTGTACTTTCCCTGTTACTTTCCACTCATGAGACTCTCTTCACCCTAGACGACATACCCGGGCTCCGGAGTCTCAGAGTGCACGACACCTGTTTCTAAAACCAAGTTAGGATCTCAGCACGTGCCCTGAACGAGTCCAACCCGAGATAGATCTCTTCGTATTCGGATTCCATTAGTTCTCTAGAAAATATTGTAGGCACAAATAGCAGTAGTCAAATTCTGCCTGTCGCATCTGCACTTAACACCTATTTGGCCTTTATCATGAATGCCCCACAGTTGATGCCGAACTAGAGCAGTCCAGTTTCAATCTGATGCGGTTCGGGGGTTGTATGATCATCAGAATGCGCATGGCATATATTAGTGCTGATTCTAAAAGCGGTAATTGATATGGTTCCTCTCAGCTCCGGAGCATGCGGAAAAATCCCATCAACTTTAGGGTCAGCCTTGTGACACTTGGTAGGGGATTCGCAAGCAGCTGCCATAGCACAAAAAGGGGATGGTTCGAAAGCTACCATATTCAACGTTATTCGCACCCAATTATGCTCAAGGCACCTTATCTCTTGTCCAAGAGAGAACTATGGTCCTTGGGTTTACCCGGAACATCCCGCAACGCAATGCGATGTTACATGCACTGCCCCTTTCATCTCGGTGTGGCTTGCCTGCGGCAATCGGTATTTTCTTGGTATTTTCTGCTCCTCCTTTGGGACCGGACAACTCAGCACTCTAGTCCTTTTCACCCCTCGTCTGTCGAAGCCCGAAATGAATCCTTTGATGAATTATGCAGTAGGCTATTCCACATCATCCCTGATGTGGGAGGGGCTTAGTATTTGATGGAATGATAGGTACGGTGGGCGAAGCAACCGGAAGGGTAAAAGGGACCATGCATGATAGTGCCATGATCGTACCAAGTCTCGTTAGGGCCAGTGACATTGATGATTTAATTGCCAAGGCTTCCTAGATCTGAGCTTTTTAGCCACCCTTGCGGATCAAAGTTGATGTGATACATAAAACGGGTTTGACCGAACATTGTCCGGGACATACGAGGAGTATTGAACGCGGCGGCCCAAACCAATTTCCAGGAAGACTTCGTGTTGATGAGATTTTCACAGCTTAGACTGCTCTAGCCTGCATCAGAATCGTGTATTCTCAGTCGCAATCCAATGGGGATAGAAAATTACCACAGGTAGCTGTGTTGATACTCAGAGAATGTTGCAACTACCACTTGGCAGGTCCTTCGAGGTGCACCGCCTTGACAAATCCCATTTCTCTTCGTGCAGGTAACGTCTGACCAACGGTCCGGTCAAGCATGCGCTACGGTTCTTTGGGGATTAATTCTGGGCGAGAAATGTTACTTTTCTTTGGGCTGAAAATCGGATTTCCGCACTGGCCAACAACTAGTTTCGTTGTTATGGCCTATATCACGACCTTTTCCTTCTGATCGATCTGTCCAGTCACTCTCGCTCATGAATGTTTTCTCCAAACTAGATTGTTTGACATCTTACCTCTGGCCATGGACCCGGCGGTGTTCCCGCCTCCTTTTCGCCCGCTTCATCCTCCAGGTCGAGCCTTGTTCTCGTCGAACGCGATAGGGATCGCCACCTTATTGCTTCCTCAAGGGCGTTTCCGCAATATTATCGCTTTTCCAGCTTTATTATGGATTGCGTACGATGTCCGACAGCACAGTGCGGGCTTCGCTCAGAGTGACTACCAGGATGCCATAGATCTATCTATGGCATTCATCAGGCTAGTCGACTGGTCTGTTTTGCGAGTGCCTGAGCTATCAGCTCGTCGTGTTCGCCTAGATGGGAGCTTCGAGACTACCGAAGATGTCCTAAACATGACGCTTCATCAAAAGTTCCACTGGAGCCTGGATCTCTTTCTCACCCTTAGGGGGATTAACTGGAACTGGCGAGTGAGAAACGTTGACCAAGTTCCCCGCGAGACATTACGAAGGTGAGAATCTAAGCCGTTAGCATTAACCTTATATGCTCACTATAGCTGGAGATGGTTTTTAGTAGAACAGATTACAAAGTGTTTTGTTGCTTTTATCGTTATTGATGTATATGAATACTGGATACAGAAGACTCCGTTTGGCGATGGGAGCCCAATCCCTACCGTATATTCCCTTCCCTGGTACCAACAAGTATTCTACGCCTGGTTTTACGCCTGTACCCTTCGACACGCGATGGCTTTTAGCTATTACTTATCTGCAGCCGTTGCTGTAGCAGCTGGTATTTCTAGTCCGGAGTCGTGGCCGCCATTCTTCGGGTCCTTCATCAGCAAGGGTTATACCTTGCGGAATATCTGGGGCCGGTGTTGGTAAGTACAATTATTGTCCGTGGTACTACGATTTAAGAAGGTCGTTACAGGCATCAATTTATGCGCCGCACCTTTGAGTCATTAAATACGGAACTTGTAACAGTTCTACGAATTAAAAGGGGCACTCTACTCTCTCGGTATTTCCAGCTCTACAACGCCTTCTTGGTGTCCGCTTTAATTCACCATGTTGGAGCTTTGAATCTTCCTTACACGGAGGCAGTCAAGGATCAATTCCTTTTTTTCATGATGCAGCCGATTGCTATTACGATTGAAGATGTAGTCATCCATTTCGGAAAGAAGGCCGGTATTGAGAAATCTTGTAGGTGTAACTCATGGTAACCCCGATTGGTCGTGCTGATATGACTCAGGGAAGACAAGGGCTCTGGGGTATGCTTGGGTAGCGGTAGTAACGAGTTTCACTCTGCGGTATGGGGTTAATTACATGATGAGTGTCGGGATGGCACGCACTAGGCACCCGTTGGTTGCACAATTCGGGGTCATGAAATGGGTGTTTGGGTAGAGGAAGAATAGTTGCCGGCATCAGCAAAATATGCATAGCCGCTAGTAAGGACATTCACGTCAAGCTAATAAGAATTCGTTACGGTGCCTTCTTCCTTTTCCAGCACAGCCTCGCCTCTCTTTGCTTCAGCCTCAGCTTGGATCTGATTTGTACTTCTGAATCAGTAAAGTTTCGCGGGGGCTCAACGTAGTTGAACTAGTAATAACGACTTTGTTAGTCTCCATTGGGATGTGCGTATCTCACAAATGCGCTTAGCAAGTAGTCACTTTGAGATATGGAATAGTAGTCGAGAACTACCTAGCTAGGTATGCTAAGCCAGACTGACTGCAAAGCATTTCAGGGCATGAACCGCATTATAGCTTGTTTCCCATGGTACCTACGAGAAAAGGGTACCTTGACCGAAGAAATCGTTCCGATACGAATCACTATCAAGGCTTAGCTCGATTGCATTAAAATTCAGGCCAAACCCATCTGCTAGCCAACCGTCGAAAGAGAGACCATCTAAATCAGTCTGGAAATTGCACTGATCATAAGCATTCTGGCCAATAATTGTGCCCAGTCCAAGCTCTGTCTGTGAATGGAGGCTGTGTGCAGTTGTTGGCGCTGCCACAGTCACAGTTGTTGTGTCGTCATGATCGACTTCCTGGTCCTTTTCCTGAGCACGGTCAGGAACATATGCGGTTCGTATGAGCGAATTGAATGGACGGTTCCGAGGGTTTGCTGCCCCTGATTGTGTGCTTTCCAGGTTCGGGGAGTCTGGCTGAGAAATTTCGACATTGCTGCCCAATGCATGATATGTTGTGATTGCATTGTCGAGCTTATCGGCCTATTGATCGTGTCAGCAGAAGCGGCTGCCGTTTATGTACAAACGGCGTGGGGAGGAACAGCATACCAATCTCGCCACAGACCACCAGTGCACCTTTAATATCCGCAGCAGTCGACGGATTGCTATCATTTCATCTGAATCTACCCCAGGGACCATCTTGGTGTCTTCGGAAATCTGCATGTGTGACCTCACCCTGCCATAGAGCACAAGAACGGATCCGGTAACGAAAGCGACATACGCGGCTAGCGGACTAATAGTCCTCAACCCATCGTTCTCCTGTACACGTAGCTTGAATATAGTTGCCAGGGTGGTGGTACTCTGAAGCACTAGCCCTGCGCTAGCCTTCACCCTGGATGGAGACATCTTGGATAAGGTCGGTTGTGGGGAGAATAGAGGCACCACTGATGAGTGCAGCATGATTTGACAAAGGTGGTACAGACATTGCCTCAGCAGGTTAAGATCTTTGACCTCGCGTGAAGCTCTCTGGTCTATTGTTCCTCTTGGTGAGTACAACATGGTCGCCCGGGACGATAAAGAGGAGAGATCTGCATGCTTTCTATCCAAACTATAATGCTGATGCTCATCCAGGTAGCGTTGAACTTTCGCCCTTGGAATTTCATTAGTTTTTATCGTTCAGACAAGGTTCCTGAGACCCACCAGACTCCTAGAAGCTTGTAGACTTCGTTCAGAGCATTAAAGTTGTCTGCCGATGCTTCATATCCTTCAATGGGTGTAACATTCCAGAGCTCGTCCAATTTCTGGCTTAGTATCACTTCAAAGCCATGGCTATTTCGGATGAGGGTTGCCGGCAAAGGCACACCAGCGGCCTGTCGCCACACATATTCTCCATCGGATTGAGGGTCCGAAAAGACACATATTGCACCCCAACAAGCCCAGAAGCACCGACGATTCAGCTCCGAGGCCAGACGTTCACTCTCATTCGACACAACCGGAGTTGGTTTGTTGTAGCCCAGAATGATGCATAGGCGGTACGAGAGTGCTGTCCTCAGGACTTATTAGCAGATTAGATGGATAAAGGTGCGATGACTTACTATGATGAACCGCTGCACGACCGAGATCTCCTACGGAGAACCAATACAACTGCAGACATTGTAATGCCTGGATAACTTCTAACGTTGGCTGATCCGCTAAACTTAATGCTTCTCGTGCTGCAGATTGTGCCCATGGTAAACCTTGACCAACAAAAACCGACAACAAGTGGATGTGGGATGAGGAATCCGGGAACTGTGGTGCTTCTACAGAATCCCGTAGAAATCTGCGTCAAATTAGTCTCTTAATGGGATCATTCAGAGAGACAGAGTGTACCCACATAGTTGAAAGCGCAAACACGGCTCGCAGAAGATAAGTTGGAACTTTCCCTTCAATGTAATTTTGCAAAAAGGTCGATTTCATCAGCAACACGGAGGAATTGTACACATGCGAAAAATAAACCTCCAATAGCGACAACCCGAACATAACAGGGGGCAGAGCAGCATTGTCAACTCCGACCGGCTGGACAGCGTGACTTTCTTTGCCACTGGCCAATGCAGGTTCGCAAATAGGCCCCTCCTAGATTACACATACTTCATCAGGCATGGCCATTATCACAGAGTCATGGGAGTCAATTCCCAGGGCAAACTTACAGCTGCTGGCCTTGACGACGGAAACACACGTCTTCCTAGGTCAGACTGGTGATCAGACCTCGCCTCGGTTCGAGGAGCCTGCTCGGCAGTTGGAGTCAAAGAGCCTCCATGAAGGACCTCTCGATTTCGACCGCTGCATTGTCGCGAGTCGACTGCTCTTCGCCGCTTGATAGTTGGGTAGTGGCACCGTGCGCCCACTCTGCGACACCTTGCACACGATGGTAGGTCACGGGGGCATTTGAGCTACAAAGCAGTATTAACATCAGATGTTTCGACCCATTCCATGGCCATACCTTCTGAAGCCTGCACCTTTGGCAGTTGATTTTCGACGACTCTCCGGTGCGCGGGTCGTCGTTCGGTCTTTGGGCTCTTTTTGGGGTAGACCCTCCACTGACGGAAGATTGGCCAACGGTCCCAGATTGGGCAGACATTTCTAGATCTCACGGAAGCCCACTAATGACAACTTCCGTGCAAGGGCACTCGTTGATGGTGACGACAATGAAGTTGAGGTAAGGAGAGGTACAAGTCCGAACCCCAGCTGGTGATCGGCCTAAGCATCGGCCTAAGCGCCTTTCGGAGGCCGACTCGTGCACGACCGGCTTCGGACTTCGGGGTTTAATTGGACTAGGCGGCCTCGCATTGCGATCGCTCATCAGGTGCTCGTCGGGCTGGACAACTGGGTGCATGTCGGGTGTGACATCCGTGTTTGTCACCAGCCCTGTTGACTGACGAGTGATGAGGCTTCGAGCCCTGATGCTAGCAACCCTTTCAATGGAAGTCCGGAAGTAGCATTCCAAGTTTATTTGAATAATAAGATCGATGTTAATGAAACTAACAATCAACGATGACCTAATTTTGAAGACTTTACTAGCGCGAATAGAAAGCTCTGAGGACTTCCATCTATGTTTGAGAACGAACCTACGTCTATTCGTGTTACCAAGCCTAGGAGATGCCGCTAGTCGCAACTGTCTGTCCTCAGAGATTGGCGACCGTTAGCCTTTTGATCAGATGGTGAGCTTGACCGACCATCGTCGGATTCTTTCACCATATATATACATCGGAATCGTCGTCGCAAAGATGACACCTTCGATAAGCGTCTTCCAGCCACCAACCTGGTCATGAGGTGTCAATTGAAATCATTCCGGGAATATGGAAAGCGGCTGGTGGAGATCACTCACCTTTGCATACCCATCCTTTTCAATCCAGGGAGTCACCGCGAAACTGAGCGCAAAAGCAAAAGTATTTTTAAATGCAGTAAGCACGGTCATGGTTTCGCCCGAGACAGGTCTGTGGCTATCAACCACATAAGTCATTCCAATCGCTGGGACCGCGCAAAGCACGCCATACGAAATTCCGGATCCAACAAGGGCAACCATGGGGTTCAGGCGACGGCCTAGTCCGAAACCCCACATCAAGAGTCCTACGGGCCCCAAGACATACGCCGGAATCAGTGCCCAGAGTCGGAATTCGGGCTTGAAGTATCCCTTGCGGCGCTTCGCTACGAGGGCTACCACATAGTCGCTGATGGGCCCTCCTGCAATGCAACCTAGCGTAGCACCAATGACGTACTATATCGTCAGCAGAGTAACCACATAGGATAGAAGAACCCACAGTCCAGTACGAATTTCCGATGTTGACCGCATTGTATCCATACAAGACGGGTAACGCAGAAGCATTGGCGGTCTGCTGCAATACGATCCAACCAAGTGTTACCCCATATGTGAGAGAACCCCAAATGACTGATGGGTATTGAAGCGTCAAGAACGGCCGCCACCAAAGCCACCAAATGGACACAGTCCTGAGTCCATCAGCAAATAGTACTGAGCGAGAGATACTTGTCAATAACGTACTTGTCATACCAGCCGGTCACGGCGAGGGATTTGAGCCAGCTACTCCTAGAATTGGCGCGTATTGCTTGGATCTCTGAGGCTTCGACTCCTTGCCCGGTCTCATATTCTTGTGGCCTTGTGAAATTTGTCTCCGCTTGGAACAAGGCGGTAAAAAGGAAGACTGCTCCCACCAAGATAGTGTCCATATGGAACACCCAACGCCAGTCCGAGTTAGCATTGGCGACATAGCCTCCGAAGACGCCCCCAAGCGCACTTCCCACGGCGATCATGAAGGTGTAAAACCCTACCATCGCCCCTCTCTCATGCAGAAAATACAGATCGGCTACGATCGCCGGTCCAAGTGCTTCAGAAGAGCTTGCACCAAAGCCTTGCACGACACGTGCACCAAGCAAGGAAGCATAGTCTTTAGCTTCAGCGGCCCAGATACTGGAGGCCAGAAAGATCGCGGTGCTCCAGAGCAAAACCGGGCGTTTCCCGATCTTCAAGGAGAGCGGGACCCAGAACAAATTTCCAACCCCAAGCGACAAGATGTTCAGAGTGATGAGGTAGCCAGCCTGACTTAAATTAATGTTCAGGTCAGTCATGACAGCTAGCAAGATGGGTGAAATTGAGGCTGTGGTATAGTTGGACATGAATACAAAGAAGCATATCGTCAAGAAGGCGAGATGCTTTCTCCACACCCCCCAGGTCTGTTTTTATCATTCAGTTCAATCCGACCCTCGATCGCAGAACGCGATGACATACCAAAGGATCCCTAGGGTCTTCAGTGGGCCGTGGAAGTAAGAGCTTGCTGGACAAGTGTCCGGTACCGTCGTCTGGTGGATAGTTAGCAGTGGTGACGTTCGTTGCATAGGAGTTACCTCCCTTGAAACAGTGCTGCAGCCTCCACAATACCGTGCGCCGCTGTCATGTGATGATGATTGTGCACTCCATCACTCACATTTAGCTTTTCTCTTTCGTGGTGTAGAGCTATAGCATCAGGTTTGGATTTGGCCTCCATTTTGTTTTAGGTCGATGAGCCGGATTGATAGTCCTTTGGAAGATCAGGGCTGTGGCAGGACAAGCAGTGTCAGCAAAGGCTCTCCACGGAAGGCTGTCATATATATAACTTGCACGTTGCTCCACAGAGCGACTTGTGGATACTATTCCGACCCCCAGGATCCCCAGACACTCGGCAAATGTCTTCATATGAATGCACTACAGCGCACTAGAACCAGAAGCACATGGAGGCGTTTGCCACCTGGCAATAGTCCATGACCCATATCGCTGGTCAGAAAGATACACGAGCATATGGGAGTCGTCACCGAGCTATTGGCAAAGGCCGAGTGCGCGCCCGAAGCGAAGCGTTCGGGGCCGACTTGTGACATGGTTTGATTGGTTCCATGCTAAGAACCGGCACGTACTTGTCCGTACTGTTGTCCGTGTTGTTTTCCGGACCTTGATATTTCAGGAATTCTCGACTGGTCGAAAGCACGAGATACTCCTTCTTGAATTGCCTGTTCCTTCTGCAAGACATGTTTTGAGACCCTCGAAGTTCTCAACTGCAGCAGATCACTTCGACAAGAATGGCTACCGCAAGCATCCTAAAATCAGGACTTCCTGATCCAACAGTCCATATTACGACGCATAACTCGGATGGCAAAGCCACATTGTACTCAGCATCACCAAGCCAGTGGTCATGGGTTGATGAGTTCGGCGTTGGGCTCAATGCAGTTTACACCACCTCGACATTCCCAGTCTCGATGAACAATAACGCCGACATTGAGTCGCATGAAGCAACGATTGCCTCAGCCAAACTTGGCCTGGTGCAGAAGAATGGAACGGTGTGCCGCATTGTCGACTATGCACCGGAGAGCCCGCCGCACATGCACCGCACTCAGAGCCTAGACTATGGGGTTGTTCTCTCTGGTGAAATGGTGATGGAGCTTGAGGATGGTAGCGAGACCAAGCTGAAGCCAGGAGATGTCGTCGTGCAAAGGGGCACAAATCACTCTTGGCACAATCCAAGTAAAACAATGTGGTCAAGAATGCTCTTTGTCTTGCAGCATAGCGAGCCAGTGATTGTGGATGGAAAAAGGCTGCGGGAAGAGATTGGCTCGGCGGACAAACACATCCCTAGGAGCGGAAACGATGAGTAAATACTGTAGCTACAGCATCTGCCGCATCTTCCAGCAAAGCCCCGCCTGTTGTTGATAGAAGAATAAATTTCTATAACCTGGGTTTTGACAGCCCTTCGGTTCTCGAGCTGGACTGCAGATTAGTTTCGGTTCCGAGCCTTTCGTCACCTGATAATCCGGGCCTTGGCAGTCTTCGTAAGCCAATGACAGCATGTAACTTGTAATTGGACGGGGATTGGACCTTCGGACTCGGGATACGAAATCGCGATGTATTTGGGTCGGACATGACCTTTTGCCAAACGGTCGCCCCAGGGTCTAGGTAAATCAGGCGCACCACAGCAAAGGCGGGGTTTCGATTGACCAGGAAGAGGCGGGTTTGAAGCTGTGGGCCATATATCAAGAAAGATGACAGAAGGTCGGAGGGCCATCGTCTCACCCGATTTCTAACCACTTTCTCTCTCGCAGAAACCACCGGCAACCACGATGGCTCCTGGAAAATACCACATCAAGAATGGGACCGTCGTGTCCGTCGACAAGTCCATTGGCGTCGTCCCCAACTGTGATGTGCTTATCGAAGATGGGATTATCATGGCAGTGGCACCCAACTTGACCTCCTCGACAGACCATATTGCCATCGACGCCACGGACGCCATCATCTCTCCAGGTTTCGTCGACACCCATCGTCATACGTGGCAGACACAGTTACGCACGGTCTGCGCCGATCATGTGCTCAGTGATTATTTTATGCATATTCGATGTGTATATGGATCCTGTTACGAAGCTAAGGATGCATATCTGGGGAATTACTGTGGGGCATTGGAGAGCATTGACAATGGCATTACTTTCCTCATCGACCACTCGCACATAATGAATTCTCCCGCTCACGCTGATGCCGCCGTTCAGGGATTGAGGGACGCAAAAATCCGAGCTACCTTCTGCTATGGCCTGTACAAGAATCCTGCATGGCCGGAGTCAGCGATGGATGCGGAGCGGGAGGAAAAAACACCGGATTGGCGATTTGAAGATGCAAAGAGGGTCCGAGAGACACATTTCAAGTCTAACGAAAAGACCGACGTTCTCCGCTTTGGCTTCGCACCGGCTGAGGTCGAGAGCTGCACGACTGACGAAGCGCTCAAGGAGATCGCACATGGTCGGACGCTTGGTGCTGCAGTCGTGACAGCCCACGTCGCTCTAGGTCGCTGGGATAGGGGGCTACGGTTTGTCCGGCAGCTCAATGAGCGGAATGTGCTGGGCCCCGATTTGCTGTTTAGCCACGGCAGTACATTCCAGGACGACGAATTGGAAGCAATTGCCAAACACGGGGTGGGCGTTTCAAGCACACCTGACTCAGAGCTGCAGATGGCTATGGGGCACCCGGTCGCATTCAAAGCTCATAGCGTGGGCTGCCATGCTAGTCTTGGTGTCGATGTGGTCTCAAGTGCACCTGCGGATATGTTCCAGCAAATGAGGTTGATGCTCCAGTCTGAGCGGCACATGAAGCATCACGCTCAGAAGGGCGCTCCCTTTGTCATATCGCACCGGTGCGAGGAGGTCCTGGAGCTCGCGACCATGGGTGGTGCTAAAGCCGTTGGTTTGGCAGATGTAATCGGCAGTGTCAGTCCGGGCAAACGGGCGGACCTGCTCATTACGAAGTGCAACTCGACCCGCTTGTCCCCACTTGGAGACGCCGTCATGGCGCTGGTGTTATACGCAAATGGATCCGACATCGACACCGTGTTCGTTGATGGAGAGATCGTCAAGCAAAATGGTAAGCTGGCGGGGGTAGATTGGCCCAGGGTACGTGGCGAGTTGCTAGAGTCGACGAGGAGAATCTTCGAGAGATCTAAGAAGGCACCGTTCGAGGCGATCAAGGCACAGGCAACGCCATTGCTGAAAATGTATGCTGGAGAAACTGTGTAGAATACGCTTGAGTCCAGGAGAGAAATTTCAGTGAGAAGGTTTTTGAGAACTTCTACGCAGATATTCGCCCTCGTTATAGCCGCGGGTCCGCAGACATAAAATGCAGATTGTTAAACTCGAAGATGGCCTGGTATGTTGTGAATGGTCGTTGGATCAAGACCTGGAAGGAAGTGTAACTGATGCAGAGAGTGTGGCGCACCATCACGTGACATTATTGGCTTAGGCGGCTTAGTCATGCTTCCTGGCTGCTCAAAGTCAAGAACTCAACAAGCCGCGCATCGTAATTTCATACGACCCAAAATCCCAATGAGAGAGTACCATCCAAGTCCCACCAAGACCACCTTGTCAAACCGGCGTTGCTCTTGAGCCCTCGAATATCTTATCGAGCAATGCTATTTATCTACTCGGCTCATGGATGAGACTTTCGACTCGAAATGGCTGTTGCACGACCGGTGAGATTTCTCGGAGTAGGATGCGTGGTCCTCGCCTTCTTCCTCATTTTCCAGTACTTGCGACCAACATCCACCATATTGCCGCCCCATGTCGTTGTTGGCAATGGAGAAAAGATTGATTCCATGGAGCGAGACCCGCTCTTAGATCGTACGTTGGATCTCGGACTGTTCGAATGGTGCGGCTGCTAACCCAGTCTCCGATACTACAGCTATCGGCGAACCTGAAGGTCTGCTATGGCGACACACAGACCACGACTATAAACCCGACACCGTTAATTCCGCCCGTATCAATGCCACCCTCCTCTCCCTCGTCCGTAACGAAGAACTTGACGACCTCCTCCCCACCATGAAGCAACTAGAAGCTACGTGGAACCACAAATTTAACTACCCGTGGACATTTTTTAACGATGTGCCTTTTACCGATGCTTTTAAGAAGGCAACACAAGAAGTCACCAAAGCAAAATGTGAATACCATCTCATCCCCTCAGAGCACTGGGACATGCCGTCGTGGGTTAGTCAGGAACTATATGATGAATCCGCCAGGATCCTGAAAGAAAACAATGTTCAATACGCAGGCAAGGTTAGCTATCACAAGATGTGCCGATGGAATAGTGGCATGTTCTACCGCCATCCGGCTCTCCAGCATATGAAATACTACTGGCGGGTGGAACCAAAAGTCAAGTTCTTCTGTGACGTGGACTACGACGTTTTCCGGTACATGCAGGACCAGAACAAAACCTACGGGTTTAACATCAATTTATTCGATTCACCTGAATCGATCCCTTCCCTATGGCCAGAGACGATTAAATTCTTGGCCGCTCACCCAGAATACCTCCACAAGAATAATGCCATGGCCTGGTTGGTGGATAACCAGCGACGACCAGATAACAATATCAAGGCGCATGGTTATAGTACGTGCCATTTCTGGTCAAACTTCGAGATAGCCGACCTGTCCTTCTGGCGTGGTCAAGCATACGAGGACTATTTCACGCATCTTGATCGAACGGGTGGATTCTTCTATGAACGCTGGGGTGATGCTCCTGTTCACAGCATTGCTCTGGGTCTATTTGAAGATGCGAGCAAGATCCACTGGTAAGATTCGTCCCAGCGGCTTACGCGGTGTGTGGTATTGACCAACAATAGGTTTAAAGACATCGGATACAACCATATTCCGTTCTATAACTGCCCGAATTCCCCAAAGTGCAAAGGGTGTGATCCCGGGCAATTTTATGGCGGAGAGCCGTGGCTGCAACGAGAAGACTGTCGGCCTCTTTGGTTCAAGTACGTGGGAACTGGTTGAGGAAAGTCAAGTTCTTGAACAATTTGACTGCCTCAAACATGGTGACAGGTCATTGATGAGATCAAGTTACCCATGCAGGCACCTTCGGGAGGGTCTTGTACATCTATGTGAGCGTAGAGATGTGCATCTTGCACAAAGAGCTGGATGGCCAAAGTGATTTCCTAGATTCTCCTTGGGAAACTCCGCACCTGTACGCGCATATGGCTATTATCTACCGAGATCGGACACCCTGAACACACTCGGGGGATGGAAATTGGAGAAACTGGAAGGCGTTCGGGATTTTCTGCGTCTTTCTCCGTCTATCCAAATTCTTGTGACTCCTCAACCTTCATACACCTCGTGGTAGAAGCGAAGGTCAAGCTCCAAGTCACCCCTCGTAGGCCGATGCCTCATCGCCACGAGTCACGAATCCTAGGATTCGAGTTTGTCAGCCACTTTAGTAAACGACCGTCAATAGTAGTGAATGGCTGACAAAGGACAGTTAACGGACGTGATGACACTAGTCGCCTATGGAGGCTTGGCGCAGCGCTAAGCTATCTTAGAGTAAAGTTTACTGGTAGATTACTTTGATATACAGCAGCTATCTTCAAAAGTCACATGACTAAATTTGAGTCGATCCTAAACCTTTAGCTTCTAGCCATAAATGAGCAGTCACTGTCATTTTAGCATATATACGAGTAACTGTCTCCTTGGCGCCTGAATAAATGACAGACATGTCACGTTCTGGCTGTTGCACAAATCCTGGTCACGACTCACCACTTCTCGCAGTCGTCCAGCTACGAGTCCGAGTAAGGTGCCAATTTCAAGGCCAAGTCCTTATAAGCACCGTGGCGTATAAGCTTGGGGGCAGCCACCATGCAAGCCTTTGGCCCCCGACCTCCCCCCCCCCCAACAAAGAGCCCATCCCTTCGTGGGGACGATCCACTTCTCCAATGATTTTCATCCTAGACCCATGTTTGAAATCCATCCAGAGCGTTGTTCCCACCAATCTCGAGGCAACGCGGATTCTCAAAGACCAAGTATCGACATCATAGCCTTTACATCGGTCTACTGACTGAATCATTCACACCTTCCCCTGGCTTTTCTGGCCTCAGCTTCTCCAACCATTTGCGGTTTTTGACGTCGCTTAACCACGATCACCGCTCAATTGCCGGTCCGACCTTCGTCTTCGAGAACAAACACTATGAACTACGGCGAAGGGGATTACCGTATTCCTACACTATCTCGTGGGGTTGAGGACTTCCAGGGTCCCCTTATCCATCCAACTGTTCTCATGACCTGCGGGGAAGCTCTTGGAAGGGCTGATGCGCTGATGGAATCCATGGGTTACAGTGGGTGTGAAGTACTCGACTAACGCAAATCTCGGTCTAATGTCCCACGAGGCGGTCGCGCGGTCCCATGGATGAAGTACTCTCGCATAAAGCGGTCACTCCCCCCTCCCTTCGACCCTCCCTCACGTTCGTGCCGTGTCAGTTGTATCCAGGTTCAAGCTGTGAGATTCTCTTCCAGTCCTGGCTGCATTTCAACACTATGGAGTCGAAATCCAATCCTGAGAAGCCCATAGAGGGCTCGTCTCCTGATGCTATTGATTCTTCTTCCAGCTCTCGAAATGGTGCCTCTACCGATGATAAACCCACCGTGCTGACCACAGAGAACGTCGAAAAGTCCCACAATGATCTCAATCATGGCTACGATCCCAGACTTGCCCCAACATATACCGAGGCTGAAGAGGATGCTGTCATTCGCAAACTTGACTGGCATCTCTTGCCCCTCATCTTTGTCCTCTACAGCCTTTCGGTGCTGGATAGATCCAATCTGGGAAATGCCAGAATTTCAGGCATGGAGAACGATATTGATCTTTCTGGAACCCGCTACGATTGGCTGGGCACCACTTTTTACATTGCCTGTATGTATTCCAGACACTGTATGGGCGGAGTTGATAACCCTTGTACCCGCAGACATTCTATCCCAATGGACCCAGATTGGTTGGAAAGCTTTCAAGCCCCATCGGTGGGTAGCCGTCGTTGTTTTCCTCTGGGGATTCGCCTCGAGCATTCAAGCGGCCTGCCACAGTTGGGCCGGCATCATGGTGTGTCGAGTCTTTCTCGCCATTTTCGAAGCTGCTTATGGACCTGGCGTACCTCTGTACTTATCCTTCTTCTACCCTCGAGAAAAGCTCGGCTTGCGAACAGGCATATTCTTGTCTGGCTCGGCCGCAGCGAATGCTTATGGCGGTGCCCTAGCATATGGTATCTCTCAAGCTCGAGGAAGTATCGGTCCATGGAAGATACTGTTCATCGTGGAGGGAATCCCCACATGTATCCTTGCCATGGTGGCATGGTTCTTTCTTCCAGACGATCCACAGAGTGCCCGTTTTTTGAGCGAGCGAGAACGTGAGATCGCAGTCGATTTGTCTCTGCGCCAACCTGGTGACAGGACAGGGAACAAAGGGATCCAATGGAAGCAAGTCATTGGCGGGCTCAAAGACTACCGATGTGAGTATTTGAACCAGCATTGCCAGTTGTCGGCTTTACTGATCCCCCTCTCCAGCATATTTGCCGCCTATCATGTACTTTGGCTGCAATGTTTGTTTCGCATCACTCCCATTGTTCGTACCGACCATCATATCTGAGATGGGTGCCTTCACCACGATTCAATCCAACGGGCTCTCAGCCCCGCCATACGTCCTTTGCTTCATTGCGATCGTTACTGTTGCGTTTCTGTCTGACCGCTTCAGAATGCGCGGCCCGTTCTTAGCCGGAGCCGCTTTGATAGCCGCTGTGGGCTACATCATCCTGGCTACCACCTCAGGTGTTGCACCGAGGTATTTTGGTCTTTTCCTCGCGTCGCTGATCTTCGTTTCTGTGTCTCAATGCCTTACATGGGTCGGCAATACGCATGCCACAGACAGCAAGCGCGCGGCAGGTCTAGCATTACTCGCCACCGGTGGACAATGCGGACCGATCCTGGGCACCAGAATCTTCCCCAAGTCCGACAAGCCATATTACCGCAAGGGAATGTGGATCTCGTGCGGCGCTTGTCTGCTCGTCGTGGCTGCAGCGTGCATCCAGATGGTGATTTTGCATCGCGACAATATCAAGAGAGATAAGAAGTACGGAAGCAATAGAGAGACTGTTCACCTCGAGAAGCCAACTGAGTGGGGCGATGATAAGCAGTTCCGATATGTAATTTGAGTGGAATGCCTGGAAGGAGCGCGGAGAAATGAGATACATCTGCCGATGTCGCAGGAATGTCTGCTTTCCTTGACTGTGAGGTGTTGAGCCGTCGATGGGGAAAGGAGGCAGTGAAATTATCTTGAGATGTAGAATGAGAGCCATCTAGAAGGACGAAATCTGTTATGCTAGTGAGAATCAAACATTGTACCAGCACTTATCAAGGTATACAGTGTCTAAAAATGGTGACTCCGGAACATTTATCAAAGATTAACTTATCTAGGTCATGATGGCGGTAGAATATGGGATGTGGTCTCTATGCCTAGACTTAAAGTCGCATGTGATTCCATTCAAATACGTAGGACATACTCAATGAAAAATGAACCCGGAACTCGATCTCAATTTTAGCTGAAAACCAGGATCTCACGAGACATTTAAGGGCAGTCAGACTAAGTGTTCGCAGATTTGAGCAAGGGCCTTCCATTCGGCCGGAGTGGTGGGCAAATGAAAAGGCAATCAAGTGTCGAATGGAAGTGAGTTTTGACTGATCCATGGTCTGGACTTTGGAGATGAGTTACTGGCCATCGGTTGTCATGACGGAACAAGATACGAATTGAGCCCGCTTGGAGTCTGTTTATTTGATTGTATTTGGCTTGTACCTAATCGTTGCTATCATAACTCATCATCTTCACTGGCAGTCTCCTCGTCATCCGGAAGTGTGGCATGTTCAGCGGACTTGGAGACACGTTCCTTCTCTGCTGCCGCTCTGTCGACTGGAGGATTCTTCTTCTGGAAGGGTAGTTCTCGAGGAGGTGGTAATGGACTGGACGCGTCTTTCTTGCCGTCCTTATCCATGGAACGCGTCTTTGAAGGATCTGGTGAAGGAGGGACATCAAGGTTACCCTCTTCCTCCGTACCAATATCCGTAGATGAGGTTTCTGATCCGCGAGAGACCGGTGAATCAGGGGGACCGTCTTTCCGAGAGGCATTGTCGACATCCATGGTTTCGAAGTCATCGCTTTCACTATCTTCTTGTTCAGGGACATTTTCAGCTCGACGCTTGGCACTACGGCGTGTGCGAGGTTTGTCATCTGTCTCAATCACAGACTCGAGCTCCTTCAGTTTCTTCTGGTCAACTTGGGCAGTTTGTAGGACTCTCTGCATGTTCCGTATTTTCAGCTTCTTCTCATTGAGCAGGGTGCTGAACTTAGAGAGTAGCTTTTGTTCATGTTCAACCTTGGCTTCGACTAGTTCAGACAACTGTTTTTGTAGACGTGCTTCTGTTTCTTGTTCGGCTTTAACCTTCTCCTTCTGGGATGCAACTTCTTCCTCCAGCTGGTCCCGCCGCTCGATGGCTTGCAGTGTCCACCCAAAGAGGTCTACATCATCAGTGTCTTGAGTCTCAGGTAGGTCAATAACTCCAAGCCGCTGGATGATTCCCTCAATATTGTTACGGAATGCAATCGATAGTGTGTGGTTGTTCTTCTTGCCAGCAATGGAGCAGGCTACATCAAGGTTCTTCTTCTGTGTAGCACCAATGGAGGATTGTCTGGAGATCAGAGTATGTGAAAGGATGACGCTCCACTCATCATCGGAACCTTCATAATTCTTTGCCTGCAACTTCTTGAGGCTCCGTTGCCGCACTGCAGTTAAATAAGCGATTGAGCATAGGCCGCCTCGGCCTCGTAACCCTCACCTTTACCAATGAATGCGGCATCGCCATCTGTGGCAAGCAGGTCAAGATCAAGATCATGCCCGTTTTCCTTTCGTGAGACTTTCACCAGGATTGGCGTCTTGTCCGAGTCGTCTTTGGACAGACGGATCACCCAACTGGTAGCCATGAGAGACTTAGCCGCGATTGTGACATTGCCTTGCGCGTCAAATCTAGCATCAACGGCAACCACCAACGCGAGGCTGAAAAAGCACGCATGCAGGTTGACTAGTGGGTGTCATATTCGTAGTAGTAAATAGTACTAAGTGGAAAAGCCGCTGTCCGGGTTCTTGTAGTACCAAGTGATGGCCCAAGCACCTGTACAGCCCGCACCCGGCGTTGGCCAGCAAAGCTGGGAAGGCACCAGCGCTTGCAGCGCCAAGGAAATCCTTCGGCACGCGTCGCGGCGAGCCAATCACACCCCGTAGCCTCGTTTTGGCGTGATTTTATGCCAGTGGCTGGCAAGTGCGTAAGCTTCTCTTCTCACCCAAACTCCGTCGCACCTGCCATCCTGCTGTATCCGCACCAAACTTGAACTCCACTCCAGAAGGTACTCTGACCTCCGACCACCAACCTCCTACGAGACCGCCAGTCCGACCTGCGAAACGACGAAAATTTACAGTTGATTCTCTCCATCGTCCTATCCTACTCTCCCTCATCCCACCGTTCGATATCGATCGAATACCTCCGAACGGTGGTACTTCCCCAAGAGGGGACGGGACCGCCAAAACACAACAACCAAGATCAGCCACCTTGCAGACGACATTTTCACGACCTTACGCCATTTTACGATTTCAACCGACTCGTCTCCTAATGCCTTACACTTATCAATGCTGACTCGTTAATCTGTGCAACATTCAAAGTACCATACTCCTTCATTAATCACTCTCCCACCCTTTTTCAGGAACCATGGAGCCTCTTACGCTCAAAGCCCGAACGCCCATTGGGAGCCCGGAAGTCGAGAATTGGGACGATGATGATTTTGAAAACTTCGATGATGTTCATTTCCGCACTGCTTCAACCGCTACTTCAATCATTTCACACCCCCAAACCAACCACAGAGATTCCGCTTCTTCGCGCATGTCCGTGCGATCTGAGTCTAATAATGGAGATGAGAACTGGGACGTGCTAGTCGATGAACAAGCTTCAATAAAGGATACGATAGCACTGGCAAAGAGCAAGGGCATACCTTTACCCAGCAACGTGCCTCGATCTGCCCTAGAAGGTGGCACGATTCGACGGCTGAAGGGCAAAGAGATCAAGAAGGCGATTGCTGATGATTGGTCCGAAGACTTGGACCTTCCTGGCAGCGATGTTCCTCTGAAACTCGCAAAGCACGATGATCGCGATCTTTCGGAGAATCTGCGTCAAATCAGTGCAGCTTTCCGTACATCTCCCAAAACTCCTGAAACGAGCAAAGATTTTTTTGACAAGACTATCCGATCACCGAAGTCAAGGATAGCCCCCACGCCAATTACACTCGATGCCTTTCGCGACACCGAAGAGGACGCCGATTTTGCTGACGTTCCAACGATAAGGGTGGCTAAACACCGATCACCACAAAAACCATTACTATTTGAGCAGCCTCCCACACCCCTGAAGCCGCAGATGGAAAGCATTGAAGAAGACCTAGAAATCCCATCTGATGGCCACTTGAGATTATCGACCAGGAAGCCTCAACCACAAACCCCGCAGCAAGGTGAAGATTACGACATCGAGTGGGCGGAAGGCAGCTTGGGCACAAGAAATGGTGGCAGAAGAGGTGGCCGATCAGCTCGTAGCTCATCCGCTTCCGCTCTGAGCCCTAGCGTCTCAAGTGCCTTTACTGCCGAGAGTGAAGATGAGGGCTTAGATGGCCTTGTCCTTCCAGACGGCCCCATTAGCTTTGAAGCCAAACTTAAACAACGCCAGCTAGAACAGACAACAGATAACAACAACGTACCTGAGGGAAAAGCCGGCCTCAAAAGGACGTCTGGAAAGGACGACTTCTTTTCTGGTCTAGAAATTGGTGATGGGGAGGTCTTTGACTCAGCCAAATTAACCTTAAATCGCAACGTGAAGCACAAAAGCACGCGGACTGCAAGTCCATCCAGGAGAACCGCCACAACACTCAACTTTACCAGTACAAAGACAGGAGGCACTATATCCCGATTGCCTCGATTCCAACCAACACACGACCGACTTGAGCGCCCTCGCTCCCATCTCGAACCTGTCTCGGAAACAGGCGCCGCAATTTCCACCTATCAACGACCAAGCTCGCGAATTGCAAGTCACTCAGGACAAGTCGGTGCTACAGCCAAAGTCACTGCTACAGCTACATCTATCCCTGCGCCAGCAACACCCTCTACACCCTCGACACCCTCTACACCAAGCAGCCGGCTTCTCCGAGGTGCTGAATCTCGCCCCGATCTTCGGTATGAGCAGCCAACTACTACAAATGCACAGCTGCTACGTGCAAAGCGATCAATGCCTGCGATGCGCGGCGTCAACTCACCTACCAAAGCCTCTCCATATGTGAGACCCCCCTCAAGACAGGACCTTGGGAGTCGCCTCAACCTTTCATCGCGGCCTAAGACACCCACTGACCGTCTTGATACTCGCTCTGGAGATCCCAAAAAGGCGAGCGTTCCATTCATACCGGCCGGAGCATCAGTTGCCCAGTCTCACAACATCAATCTCAGGAACACAACTTCACGCCACCATCGCGGTCAAGGATCTGATGGATCAGGGGATAGCATGTCTGCTGCACAGCGATCTTTGTCTCGTCTTGCGGGACTTGGCAGACCAGAAACTCCCCGTGGTCGCAGTAACCTCACCCCTATTGAATTAGCTGCTCAAGCAAAGAAAACCATCACGAAGCCCACAAAGCGGCGCAACTATGGTGACGGATCCGAACTCGAGATCTTCGATGATCTCCCAACATCTGCCAGTATCGAGTCTAAATTCACCAAACAACCAGTAGGCCGCGGCGCGCCTCGTAGCTTGAGGAGTAAGCTCGGACTATCTCACCTAAATCCTTCTACATCATCTCTAGCCAGCACCCGTCGTGGTAGCGACACTCCCGTTCCTGGGACCCCTTTGACTCCCCATCGAAACGACTTCCCTACAACAGCACTCAACACAACCAACGTTCCCCGATTTGCGCGCGACACTGCTGCATCTCGGAACGCTCGAGAACAGCGTCAGATTTCAACGAGCTTCCAGAACATTCGGGGTGAACCACTGCAGCCAATTTCTACGAATTGGAAACCTTTTGCTGCTACACGACTTAATCAGCAAGGCAGCTTGCGAAAGAAGAAGAGCGACAAATCTCAGCAGAAACCTCAACTCATCAAAGGCATGGGTAGTGACCTAAACAGCGCAAAGACTGTAAATGGAATGCAGTATAACCCATTGCTATTTCGGTGGGAGGGAAATGAAAACGCTCTAGCTCCTTTCGACGTGCCAGACTTTCATCCAAGAGGTGGTAGTCCTTCCGGTCAAGGTCAGGGAAGTCCTGGAACTAAAGCTAACATGGCTTTGATATCGAATGTTGGCTCTATCACCGGAGTTCAAGTTGTTGGTGGTATGGTCTTCGATCCCTCACAGATGCGCTGGTTGAAGATCGCAGAGGATGGAACGGGAAGCACTACAGGTATTCGAGGCGAGAATGTTCAAGTGGAAGATGAAGAAGACGTCTTTGCAGGTCTTGAGGACTTGAGGGAGGAGGACGAGACACGAAGCCGAAGCGGCACGCTACAAAACCTCGTGAGTGCCAGTCAGTCTCGTGAATCACTCGGAGACGCAGATGGTGGACACAGTAGTGGAGAGGATTGGGGAGTGGCCGAAGAGTTTGACGTAGGACCGGAGTTTGTTCGAAGACAGCGGAGTGAGGAAGAGAGGTGGCGTCGAAAAGTTGAGAAATGGCTCAGAACAGGCACCGATGCCGAGGATGACGAGAATGCCGACGGTACACAAGGCTGGAGATGGGCAATTCGAGACCTTGTGATGGCTGGACTTTAGGCTGAACAACAGTCTCGCTTGAATTTCGTATATCCAAAGGCGACAGATCCACACTTGACACGACACGACATGAAAGGTTGGATCGGAAAGAAAGCAACGGTAGCACAGGACTTTCCTCATGATTCGGCTTTTACTCGCGAGCGATTGTCAAAAATCATGAAGATGATATGAGACCTGGGAGCCCGCAACTACTCATGTCACGAAGCTTACGACTGCAATCATGAAAAGGTTGGCACCGGCGTACGGGCATCATAACTTCAACTTCTTGACTTCTCTGATGTACGCTTTCGTCCTACCATGAACTTGGCTTGGGCATAGGACTGGAAGTCATTACTCTTCTTTGAACAAGATCGTTCAGCCCTTACAATCAAATACGTAAAAGCAGTGGGCCAGACGTGTATGAGCGTGAAGACTGGGTCTTTTAGTGGTTGTAGTATTGTGAACCAGCACCAGTATACAAGTGCACGGCTGACTGGGAGCGTCAGTACCTTGACGTGCGTGGAAGTGAGGACCTCTTTGTATCATCCCGGGGGGGCATAGTGCTGCGATATTCGATCAGAGAAAGGTAGATTGATTTCCTAGGTAAGGTGATATTCGAGGTACCAGCTCTTGAAGGTGGCGTAGGTGTGCAGCGAAGTTGCGACGCTAGAGTTAAAGCCTCGTTCTGTCCTCCGTATTTGTGCTCATACAGAGTTGCGGAGCACAGTACGGAGTACAAGCGAGTATAACGAGGGTGCGAGGATTGCCCGGTCGTGGTGTTTGATATTCACAGTTAGGGAAGTCGAATCACACAACACGAGGCGATCCGGCAGCTACCATAGTTTGTGGTGCTTGGCGCTGCTCCGATTGTAAGCACGGCGATCACGTAAGGATTTACAATGTCAATGCCAGGCCGGCGTCTCAAGAATGTAGGTGGCGAGACAGGATACCTTGGCAGTCAACAGTCAACAGTGACGCTGATGGACATTGGGCACCGCACGCCAGCAAGATCATCTAGCAAGTAGGAATGGTGAACAAAGGACTGTGTTTTCTGTTTCCTTGGACTTGGCTGTGCTGAAACGGAATCTAAACCTAAGCATCCCGGGGGCTCAATGGCTTCAGCTTCAGCCTCAGCCTGATCCAGTAACTAAGTCAGTGCTAAGGGTGATGTGGTGCTGATTGAACATTGCTTCATGCGAGCCTGCTTTTGACAAGTTCACCCTTTCCCATTTGGTTGCTGCGTGAAGTTTTCTGGCAAGACTGAATGCTTCCCGAGAAAGGGCCGCGTCAAGATATCGAGATCTAAACAGGCCAGTTTGGTGGTCATGAGTACACCATGCAGGAAAGCTCCAGACAATCCGCAGACACTGAAAACTGGAAGCTTCATCGCGAGCTATGAACGATTTGAAACTGTACATTTTTTTTCTGACTACGGCGTAGGTAGTTCGTTGTCGTATGCATGCAATGGCGTCCCCTACGTTACATGGTGAGGTGGCAATTCATCGCCCCCTTAGCATCTTTTTTAAGGCTCTTTGACTTAGGTGTGCGCAAGTATGCGATACAGGTTCTGCTCCCTCATTCCCACAACGCATCCCGATAATGCCATCCCTTGATTCGATTAACAGATTGAAAATTGTTGGGCGTTTATGGGCTGTGATATGGGCTGTCACTGTTTTCGGGGTAGAGGTCCTCCTTCAAATTGACGCCCAGCTCCTCTCGCAGCGGTTTCAGCTCCTCCAGGTATTCCTCGTACTGTTGGATGTTTTCAACTTTAGCCTTGATGCCTAAATTCATACGTCAGATGACTGGATATGATGATCAATTGTATTGCCTGGTCACACCTTCAAATATTCTGACGGCGGTGGGGTAGTCGTTGACACGTCTTGCAGCTTTCAGTGCGGCTGTCACAACACCGGGCGAAGGCACGAGATCATAGGCGAAAGCGTTGTTCAGATTTCGCTGATGGTGTTGTTAGAAGGTCTGATGTGCAGAGTGAAGATCACATTGTACCTGGAGCTCAAACACATCCTGAACGGCATCGAATTCCTTTTCATATCTGATTTATTCCCATGTCAGAGGAGCTCTAGTTTGTGGGACAGTTTGAAATCAAGATGTGGCAGGAGTTTGTATATCTCTAGCTCAGCCAAGACCATACCTAGCAGAAAATTCCTCGAATGTCTCTTCCTCGTGTCCGCTTTTCCGAGCGGCTGTAGAGCTGAAGGGGGATCTGATATTGGCAGATTGAGCTAGAGAAGGAGCTCTCCTGACAGAACGAGCGCAGGGTCTAAAGATGGAAGAGGTGGCAGGGCGGGCAGCAAGACGGAGGGCCGAGAGGGAAGCCATTTCAAAGGCTTCAAGGTACGGGCGTGGGAAGTGGAGAGGAGAGAGATAGAGGTGTGAACGTGGTGATTTTGCAGTCGAGGAGCAGATCGAAGGTAGTTCACGGTTGCAGTTGAAGTCACCTGAGAATTTGGAGAGCTAACAGCCTAAGCAAATCTGGAGGCTTGTGAGTGGCTGATGTGTCCTACGGGAGAGCTAGAGCTTGTTCGGGGAACAGACTTGGTATTGGCGCTGTATTATTTGGCAGATTGGGCGCATTTATTTAGTCTGACAGGAGGCGGAATCTCACAGACAGTGAACAAAGCTCTGTCAGAAATGAAAAACATCCATCTTGTAATGCGTGCAGTGACAGAAATACACCAGCGTCATTCTCTGTTCCTGAACGCCGAGTCCCATGTTGGCTATGTCATAACTACATACGCGCATGGGTGACCGATCTTGGTGCTTGGTACTGTAGGCACTGAATAGTTGCGAGTATCTCATCAATCATAACAATATTTTCACTCCAATAGGTTGCGCGCTCGAATATTTCCCAATTGGAGGGCTTCCACCCCAACAGTTCTTCGGTAAGCGCACACTTCGGCGCGCTTGTCGTGTCTATACGCAACACGTGCGGCTCTCGCAAGGTAAGAGCAACGCGGAAATTGAGAAAGGCGCCTGTGGCCAATGGGAAGAAACGGCAATCACGATGCTTGGCGTCCAACGCGTAGCGCGCCCCCCTCGTCCAGCCAAACATTCCCATCCATTTTCATTTTTCCCAATTCTCCCCTGACGTCCGTCCGCCTCTACCCAGGGACCCTGCCCTTGCCTTTGCCTGTGCCTTCGGTTGCATTGGGCCTTACGGAGTACAACAGAAATACAAGAAGATAATCTTCTCTTCCTCTGCCCTCGACCCTCGACCCTCCACCACCGGCCTCGGTTCTTCCTCGAACGCCTTTTTTTTTCCCTGCTCTTTCTCTTCTTCCTCGCCTTATTCGGTTCTCTTGTACTATACGAGTTGCTTAATTCTCTTTTGTTAGTCTTTCCTGTCTCAGTCCCTATCGTTCTCCGGCAGACCTCCCCCTCCACCCTTCACCATGGCCGACTTGCTGAAGTCAATTCCTCTGCCTACAATCGACCGTCCCTTCGGCATTGAACTATGGCCAATCTTCAACAAGGCCTTTGATGCCGCTGCGGGCTATCCTGCGGACGACTTCAAGTTCGTGTCTGGCTTCACTCCCATGTCTACACTTCAAGAGACCGCTATTGCTTTGGTCTCATACTATGTTATAATATTTGGTGGCAGGGAGTTGATGAAGCATCGTCAGGCTTTTGTTCTGAATGGTCCCTTCATGGTTCACAACTTCTACTTGACTGTCATCAGCGGTGTCTTGTTGGCTCTGTTCATTGAACAACTCCTCCCAACTCTGGTCAGACACGGTGTCTTCAATGCAGTTTGCGCTCACAGCGGTGGCTGGACTAGACAGCTGGTCGTTCTCTACTACGTACGTTGAACCCCCGAGACCGTTATCCTTCACGGCTAACATGCTATTCACAGCTCAACTATCTGACCAAGTACCTCGAGTTGATTGATACACTGTTCCTTGTTCTCAAGAAGAAGCCTCTTACCTTTCTTCACACTTACCATCATGGCGCTACTGCCCTCCTGTGCTACACCCAGCTCATTGGAAACACAGCTGTGTCCTGGGTCCCAATCACTTTGAATTTGACCGTCCATGTGGTCATGTACTGGTATGGAGTGTATCTCCCAATTCTCGTTCTGGCTAACACCTCCAGGTACTACTTCCAATCCGCTCGTGGCATTCGCATCTGGTGGAAGAAGTATATCACCATGCTCCAGATCATCCAATTCGTCATTGACCTCGGCTTTGTCTACTTTGCTTCCTACACCTATTTCGCAAGCACTTATTTCCCAAATATGCCATCTGCTGGTTCATGCGCTGGTGAAGAATTTGCTGCGTTCGCCGGCATGGGCATCTTGAGTTCTTACCTGTTGCTCTTTATTTCATTCTACTTCGCCACATACAGAAAACAAACTATCTCTGGACGTCCTAGGAGGAATACCGGGAAAGAAGCCTTGATCGCCATGAAGGACCTACCCCTTCCAGACCCACACAAACTCCCTCCTACCTTCGACGACTCAAAGAGCAACGGTGCCGTTTCCACTGCGCGATCAGAAGGCCGCACTACAAGGTCGAGAAAGGCTTAGGGCGCCGATGTCGACCAGCGATTGGAGATCAAGTCCTTAAACGGTGATGACATCATTCCAGACGTCACACCTCAGCCTACAGAGCAGCGACGCCGTCATTACGAATCTGACTACTATCTTTGGCAAGCTACTCAGGGCACTTTCGCATCAGGTCATAAATGTTAGAAAGGCCGTGGCCGGGGATTTAGAGACGCACAGGCCTGGCATTACAGATGGCAGCACCAAAAGGAATGAAGTATCCGCTGATTGGTGATTCAGCATGTGTATCAACTATTATGGAATTTGCTGGGGATAATATCGGGCCAGGCGCATCATAGACTTCGGGGGTTAAGTCTATTGAAAAGTCGGTGGTGCTGAAGAGTTCCTACTCTGTTCGCTTGTCTTGTTTTTACTAGATGCATATTGCTATTAATGCACGATCCTAATGTGGAGAGGAGGGAATCAATGAAAGCAGCGGGACGCGGAGTGAGAGCAGGAGTGGAGCACAACAATAGATAGCACAACAATAAAAATCCCAAAAAGACTGCCAATCTTCCATTGGAGTGAGCTTGAGTGTTCGTACCATGCAGGCATGTAGAGTGATTCCGAGACTAAATAAATACATCCAATATCCAATGGCAATGAATGACCACGGATTTGCCCATTTAAAATCGCTTCTTTCGGGTGGTTTCTTCCAGCCCCTTTTCAGAACGTCTAATAACATGCTTGTAATAACCTTGGAATACTGTGCTTACGGCCTCGAACGAGCGCGGCCAGAAATACTCAGACCCCAAGTAAACATTCTTGTGTGAAAGCACATCCATCTACTTCATTCCCCCGGGTAAACCTCTTCTCTCTCCTGTTGCCCCTGGTAGCTGTTCGCTACAAGCCTGGTAGGGTCCCGTCATCCGTCATCATCGCCTTGGTTTAACCGACCCATCTCCTTGCGCTCTGGAAAAGCCTGGCCCATGGGCCATACTCGCCCCATTCTTCAGCCTTGCCGGCGGGAAGATAGCTGCCAACACCACTTAGTACGGTGCGTTCCGGATGCGGCATGAGCGCCAGCACACGGCCATCGACGCTGCGCACGCCCGCGATGCCCTCGGGGCTGCCATTCGGGTTCCCTGGGTATGACGTGGTGGGAGAAAGTGTCTTGTTGTCGACGTACTGGATTGGTGCAAGATGCGAGGCAGCGAACTTGTGTGCGAGCGATGCGTCGTGCGCTTTCCGCGTGCCTACGTAGGAGTTGATATCGCCGGAGATGAAGCTGGCACGTCCTTCGCCGTGTGCAACTGCGATCGGGAGAGCGGTACCGCTCATGCCCTGGAAGAAGACCGAGGGAGGCAAACCCGATGAAGCTGGCGGGTCGGAAATACTCACCATGGACACTCGTCCTTCGTAGCGTTCGCTCTCGTTTCCTTCGAAAGAAGGCCACTTCTCCGCACCAGGGATCAGCTCTTTCAGTTTGCTCAGGACCTGGCAGCCGTTACACACTCCCAGTGTGAAAGTGTCGTTGCGTTTGAAGAAGTCCTGGAACTTGCGGCGTGTGACCGGGTGGAAAAGAATCGATTTCGCCCAGCCCTGGCCTGCACCGAGACAGTCACCGAAGCTAAAGCCGCCAGCGAGCGCCAGGCCTGTGAAGGATGAAAGGTCGTGATCAAGCCCGAGGTGAGTCTGATGCGGCTTAGGATCTAGGATGTCGGACATGTGCACGTCGACGGTGGTGAAGCCGGCGCATTCGAAGGCGAATGCCATCTCGGCGTGGCCGTTGGTCCCTTGATCTCTCAGAATGGCGACTCGTGGTCGTGCTGTGGGCCGAACGTAGTTGAGAACAGATGTTTTGTATGTGTTGATGTTTTCCTTGGGGTTATAGGTGAGATGGTAGGAGAGACCTGGGTTACCATCTTCGAGAATTGATGAGTACTCCTCGTCAGCACAGTCCGGGTTGTCACGGGCTCGTTGCATCCAATACGATGTGTTGGCCCATTTTTGTTGCAGTTGGCCTCGCGTTGCACGATGGACGAGTTTGCCACCATGATAAATTGCCATGTTCTGTTGCGAGGTTTTGGTCGAGACTCTACCGATCTTGTATATCAGACCTGGTGGTGGCCCGCAAGTGGCGAAGCAGGCTTTGAAACGATTTTCATCTGATTTACGGACCTGGAAGACGGCGCCAAGTTCTTCGTTGAAGAGGCAGGAAATGACATCAGGCAGCTTCGGCGTGGGACAGATTTCATTGATCATGATCTCGATTCCACAGCGCCCGGCAAATGCCATCTCAGCGAGAGTCGTGAAGAGGCCACCATCGCTGCGATCGTGATATGCTAGCACAAGATCCTGTTCATGCAGCTGTTGTGTGGCGTCGAAGAAGTCCTTGAACAGACCCACCGAACGAATATCCGGCGATTCATCACCAATTTGTTTGAATGCTTGGGCAAGGATGGAACCTCCCATGGCGCGATGAGCGAGTCCAAGGTCGACGAAGAACAATGTTGATTCGCCTACCTCACTGTAGCGTCGTAATTGTGGAGTCCATGTCTTTTTAATATCTAGGACTGGGGCAAATGCAGTGACGACCAAAGACAACGGGGCCGTGACTTCCTTTGCTTCTTTGGTTTCTGGGTCTTGCCATTTCATTTTCATTGACATGGAGTCCTTACCAACAGGAATTGAAATCCCTAATTTTGGACACAGATCCATACCAAGGGTTTCAACTGCTTCATAGATTGCCGCGCCTTCACCTGGATGGTTTGTTGCAGACATCCAGTTTGCAGACAACTTCACTTGGGACAAACGGTCCGGAAGATCCGCCGAGGTGAGATTCATGAGTGATTCTGCAACTGCCATCCGGGCCGATGACGCGGGGGATATGAGGGCGAGAGTGGGCTTCTCTCCCATTGCCTTTGCTGTGCCAGTCTTGATCCCTGTGGTGAGTGATGTCGCTGTGACACCTACATCTGCAACGGGGACTTGCCAGGGACCGACCATCTGGTCTCGAGCCACCATACCGCCAACAGTTCGATCGCCAATTGTAATCAAGAATGACTTTGAGCCAACTGCAGGCATCTGTAGGACTCGGGTGATCGCTTCTTCAAGCAAACCATCCGTTGATGCCTGTGGAACATACAAGCTCAAACTTGTATCAAAGCCAGGCAGGTTGACTTTACGTGTGGTCACGTCTCTGGTCATCTTGGGTGGTTTGCCAAAGAGCACTTCCATCGGAAGGTCGATGGGATCTTGTCGACCTTCTGTTGCAGGGTTATTGCGGTCTGTCAGTTTGATGGTCTGTTTATTGATGGCTCGGCCCACCACAGATATCTCGCATCGTTCTCGCTTGGCGATAGCTTGGAATCTATTCATTCCCTCCTGGCCAACTGCTAGAACGTATCTTTCTTGAGCTTCGCAGCACCATATTTGTAAAGGGCTCATGCTCTTATCTGCGCACTGGACCTCACGAAGCTCAAATTCAGCACCAACACTAGAGTCCTTGGCTAGTTCTGGCAGTGCATTAGAAAGCCCACCAGCCCCAACATCATGGATGAAGAGGATTGGGTTTTGGGGGCCGAGGGCCGCACAGGCATCGATGACTTCCTGCGCCCTGCGTTGCATTTCTGGATTGCCTCGTTGCACACTGGCGAAATCGAGATCAGCCGAACCTTCTCCTGAGGTGATACTGGAAGCAGCACCACCACCTAGCCCGATCAACATGGCTGGGCCACCCATGACGATAAGAAAGGCACCCTCCTTGACAAGATCTGGGTCTTTGAGTGCATGCTGTGGTCGAACAACGCCAATACCACCAGCAATCATAATGGGTTTGTGGTAGCCTCTAAATTCGCTTGAATCTTTCCCTGTCTGCATTTCCGTGAGTAGGGTTCTGAAATAGCCAACCAGGCAAGGACGGCCGAATTCGTTATTAAAAGCAGCACTGCCTAGAGGAGCTTCAAGCATAATGTCATAGCTGCTGGCAATGTGATTGGGTTTGCCATAATCAATCTCCCACGCTTGAAGATGGTTAGGAATGAGCAAGTCAGATACGCAGAAGCCCGCTAGTCCTGCTTGAGGCTTTGATCCTCGACCTGTTGCACCTTCATCTCTTATTTCACCCCCTGACCCTGTGGCAGCCCCTGGAAAGGGGGAAACGGCTGTAGGGTGGTTATGTGTCTCGACCTTGGCAAGAAAATGAACTTTCTCTTTAGTGGCTTTCCACTGGCCGGAATATAGGTCGGGCGCCCAGTGTGTGCCTTCACTTCCACTCAGAACCGCTGCATTATCACTGTACGCACTGATGGTTCCTTCTGGTGTCTGTTTGTGCGTGTTTCGGATCATTCCAAATAAAGAATTCGTCTTGGATTGCCCATCAATTGTCCAGGACGCGTTGAATATCTTATGTCGGCAATGCTCTGAGTTGACTTGGGCAAACATGAATAGCTCAACATCTGTCGGGTTTCTCGGGACTGGACCATCACGAGAATATGCTTCGGCCAAGTATTGTATCTCGGAAGCGTCCAAAGCAAGTCCAAGCTGGGTATTGAGGCCTTGGATGATTTCGGTAGGCGACTTACCCTCGCTATACAGGTCGTAAGTGCCCAAAGTACCGGCGTCATGATGGAGAAATAATTGGTCCAGTTGGGGTTCACTGTCCGAAATAGTTTCTGTCATTCGATCGTGCAGGAAGTCAAGTGCAGAGGGACTGAGTGAAGATCCCTCCTCGAGCTGGACGGTGATCTTGATTCCTCTTTCAATCCTCCCAACCACCTTTCGCAATCCACAAACATGAGCGATGCTGGTTGCCTTGGTACTCCAGGGCGAGATAGTACCAGGTCTGGGTAAGATATGGAAGACATTGTGAAGCCTGGGCTCCTTTTCCTCGTGGTCAAATGCTTGACCATAGGTTAGAAGCTTTTCAATCAAGGAACTGTTTTCCGGGTCGAGAGGGCCGGTGAGCTCAATATAATGGACATATTGGCCTTGAACGTCTTGTGCCCCAACCTGTGAGGCCAGGGCCTGGCGACGGAACTCGGAGAAGGCTGAAGATCCTGGAACCACCCTGACCTGAGAGGCGGGATTAGCCATGGCTAATGACTTTGGTGGAGTTAGATACGGCGTATGGTCTGAGTCGTAGTGGCGGTAGAGAAGAGCATGTCCACTGGCATTTGGAACAGGCTTGTGTGTTTCGAAGAAATATGACTAAGATATTCAAGTTAGAAGGCCAGTAAAGATCAGATCACACGAAATATCATGGAGGTTCCCTTTGTGTGAGTTGAGGTGGTTCAGAACAGTTTTCATGGGTCATCTGGTCGTCTCATTATTTGGCCTACCAGAACTCGGCGGTAGTGGTTCTGTGAAAATATTCACTCGCAGTCGTGAAAGAAAAGCCTGAGGAGTGGAGATGAAGAGACCAACGAGAAAACACATCAAATGACGGGGAGTCTCTGTGGGTGTGTTGTGGGATGGAGAGCATTCAGGGTGGAATCCAATGTAATTGATTCGTCAGACCAAGTGGAGCCCACATCGGCAGAAAGCGGAGACCCTGGACACTCCATCCAATAGGCCTCTGGCCCTCCAAAAGGAATTGCCTGGGTAGTTGGAGAGCATAATTAGGCATGGTTTTGCCCCTAAATTGGGCCTTGGGACTTGGGAACGGGGGGGGAAGCCCTGGAACATTAGGGGAGGTTGCCCCTAAGACTCACCTCTCGGCCTAGGGCTATTGCCTATGATCTGTTATTCTATCTGGACGACTGTTCTTACTCCTCATTACAGTGCCTGAGCGGCCATGAGTCAGTCACCGACCCTTCTTACCTGGTGGGTGCCTGGGTAGGTACCCGCAGGTATCGTTGTCCTTACCTTCACCCGAGACTGTCCTATTTATGATGATGATTGCTTTCCCCCTCAGTCGAATTAATTGATCCGGAAAGCGGCAAGACACATGTATTAAGATACTTGTTTTCTTGATCCTGGAATCCTCCTGATTATCCCTGGGCACCTACAATAATACAAATTCCCTGACACCCTCTCCCATCTTCTCCAACTTCTGCTCTCCATCCCATCTCAGCTCGCATAAACTAGACACTTTGATCTATTTCTCAACACTCCTTACTGTTGGCTGATGGGCACTCTGATCGCTATCTGCCCATCTGCCCATGCTCCGCTTTTCTCGTGACTGGTTGCTGATACGTATCCGAGCAATACCTACCAGAGTCCAGGACCTACCAGCACCTTGGTGCCAACAACCCAACCCTGCCTACTCTCCTACCGAGTACTCCGTACAGGTCTCCTCGATGTCATAGTTTACAAGTAGCACATCAACCGGCCGACCCATCCACTCCGCTCTCCTTCTAATCGTTAAGGTCCGACTCATCCACCCCAATCCACGCGCCTACCTTTTGCCTGCGCAGCCGACCCACTCACTTTCTCTGCCCACACTTCAATCGATGCTCACACCTGGGCACGAGATCTGAGCAGGTCATCCTCTCCCCCATTTTCCACTACATTGAGGTAGGGTCAGTCGACCGACTGCCCCTTCAGCGCCGCCAACATTCCTCCACCTCGCCAGTATCCTCAATCTCTCCTCCACCACCGATCGCACTCTTCTCGATCTCGCTCTGATTTTACAGGCGAACTGTCCACCGTGCATCCTCCAGTCGAAACCGAAAAGGGCGAAAGCCACAGGCGCCAGTCTCGCTCCTCAAGTGCCGAGTCTGACGATTTCTCGCTCTGGAGTGACACCGGAGATCTTGCTGAACAGTTTGCCAACGACGAAGACCCCCTTCGGATTGAGCTTGACCCCTTGACACGAGAAGGGCAGAGCCTGAAAGGCCACCGCCACGGTCACGGTGGAGGACGGAGGAAGAAGGTCGATTTCCATCCTGACCACGTCGAAAAGGACCATATCGCCGGGGGAATCGAGAAAGAGACCATCTACATACCCGACCCTCCACCGAGGCGTATAACCACATCGGAGAGATTACTTGCTCTAATCATGGCTCCCAATGACCCTCAGACTGCCCGGGCCAAGGGCCTTGTGGGCAAGCCATTGCTGTAAGAGAGGAGCCAACCATCGCATGTTGATTCTTCATCGGCTCACATCTCCTCAGGTATTTTACAAGCGTCTTTGTATCGTTAGGGGTCTTTCTCTTTGGTTATGATCAAGGCGTAATGTCGGGCATTATTACGTATGTTTTCCCTCGCCAGATGACCAATTCCGCTGACATCGTGCAGTGGGCCATTTTTCAGAGACTACTTCAATCAGCCTGGACCAGCCGAAGTTGGTACTATGGTCGCTATCCTCGAGATTGGTGCCCTGATTTCCTCAATCTCTGTTGGCCGTATTGGAGACATCATCGGTAGGCGGAGAACAATCCTCTACGGCTCCATGATTTTTTTTGTCGGGGGCATGTGCCAAAGCTTCGCGAATGGTATGCCCATGATGATGATTGGGAGACTAATTGCCGGATTCGGGGTTGGTGCCCTCTCCACCATTGTTCCTGTCTATCAATCTGAGATCAGTCCTCCCCATAATCGAGGAAAACTCGCCTGTATCGAGTTCACCGGCAATATTACTGGATATGCAGCCAGTGTGTGGGTGGATTACTTCTGCAGCTATATTCAGAGCGATTATTCGTGGCGACTCCCACTTCTCATGCAATGTTTCATGGGCGCCCTACTTGGATTTGGAAGCTTGATCATTTGTGAATCCCCTCGGTATGCACTTCTCGGCGAATCAGATTTGGAATTTGGCTTACGTTTGTTTGTAGATGGCTTCTTGACAATGACCATGACGAAGAGGGAATCATCGTTATCGCGAATCTGTATGGAAAGGGCGACATTCACAACCCCAAGGCCCGCCAGGAATATCGCGAAATCAAAATGAACGTTCTTATTCAGCGCCAGGAGGGCGAGCGCTCCTACGTCGATATGTTCAAGCGATACTCTCGGAGAGTTTTCATTGCCATGTCAGCCCAAGCCTTTGCCCAACTGAATGGAATCAACGTCATCTCATACTACGCACCTCTTGTTTTCGAGTCAGCTGGGTGGGCCGGTCGTGACGCGATCTTGATGACTGGTATCAACGCAATCACATATCTAGGATCAACTATTCCGCCATGGTATGTGGTGGATCGATGGGGCAGACGGCCGATTCTGCTCTCTGGTGCGGTGGCGATGATCATCTCACTTTCACTCATCTCGTACTTTATCTTTATCGACGTCAAGTCAACGCCTACGATGGTGGTTGTCTTTGTGATGATTTACAACGCAGCCTTTGGGGCAAGCTGGGGGCCGATCCCCTGGCTTTATCCGCCGGAGATTTTGCCGCTCAGTATTCGAGCTAAAGGGGCCAGCTTGAGTACTGCAAGCAACTGGGCATTCAACTTCCTGGTCGGAGAACTTACGCCAGTTCTTCAGGGGGCGATTAAATGGAGGTTATATCTTGTACATGCCTTCTTCTGTGCTGTGAGCTTCGTGCTTGGTAAGTCTTGTGGAAGGAGAGCTTCTGTTTGCGGTCTAACAGGTTTTAGTGTATTTCGTCTACCCAGAGACGGCCAATGTGCGGCTTGAAGACATGAACGCACTGTTTGGCGACGCCACCACAGCCATGCCTACTCCAGCAACGCAGGCAGAGCGAGGATCATTGATGGGTGTTGGATCTCCCTCATCCATCGACATCCGAGGGGGATCACCTCGGCCGGGGATGTTCTCAGCGGACTCTGCGATCCCGGGGCTTGATATCGACCCACCCGACATTCAATTGGATTCAGACGGCAGACCTCGAGGTCGAGATCCCAACAATGAAGGAATTGGCGGGTGGATTGGTCGAATGGTGTCCAGAACAAGACAAGATAGTCGAGGACAAGGACGAGGCCAATATGGCAAGGTCGGGCAGGATGAAGACTAGTAATGTGCAGAGGGACTTCCTTGTCTACCAAGCATTTATGACGATGTATAGACTAGAGGCACTGAGCCTGCATCAGGTGGATATGAACCGGACCGAAGAGTCCTGCACAAAAGGGACACGACCGCGCGGGATCGTGAACAATTATCCTGGGGTGTTCGAAGGTGTATAGCGGACATATATCAATCTGGACAGGAGGGATTTCCGAGAGCACCAAGCTGATGTAATGATCTCCCCCAGAGACATAATTCCAGAAGGACAAGATTTGAGAATGGTCAATAAAGGAATAAGCATTAAATTTGGATTTCTACATGTATTCTTTGCTATAAAGATAACCCCAAAATGACTGACGGGCGGTAGAGTGGTGGGGAATAGACTGTTGTATGGAATACAAAAGGTCAATCGATGGGCGTGGGGGAGGGGGAACCCTGCCATGATTGAGCAATGGCGGTCTGACATAGACTGGTTACCAATCAGATGCTTGCTCTCATCTGTCTTCTGCAGTCATTACATACGAGTACATTCACATTTTACACAACTAGGTGGCTGTCTGGGAGGCAAAGGCCTAAGACTTCGACGGATACGGGTATGTACGGATACCGAGCCTGCTGCAGATACTGGAGACCCAAGAGTACCCTTAGCCCACCTTGGATTAAGTAGCGTTGGCTTCTAGGAATTAATTAAGTAATGTTTGGTCACCTGTGCCGCTCCTGGGTGGCACCCAGATGGATGCTCCAGTTGACGCTTTGGTCTTTGGTTAGCTAGCACTTCGGCCTGTCCGCAGCCGTGCCAATACTACTGTAATGCTTTGGGAGTACTACGACCACAACTACGAGTTATTAGTTACTAACTGTGTACTCCGTACTACTTGTGACTTCCACTTACCACCACCACCCGCCTCGTTTTGCCCTACATCCGTACACTCCAAGACTCTCTCTCTGCTCGGCGTTGTTCTGCACCACCAGCTTAAGACAAAGATCCTGACATTGGGATGATGCAGGCCTGGCTGGCTCCCATCTCTTTCTCTCTTCTTTGTTGAATCCTCACCGGCCTTACGAGTACGCAGTGCAATTTTGTCAACTGCACGCGCCTGTCACGCCTGTCACTCGCTATCTGCCATTCCCGCTCGCACTCTCACTCCCATCCGCAACCACAACCCCATCCCCTCCGGCCTCGCTTCGCTCCTTCCGACCTGACCTGACCTGCGCTCGCTGGCGCACCTGCCAATTACCCGTGTGCCGTGTAACGAAGTCGCTTCCACCTCAGCCTTCTCTCCCTTTATCATCCGGCACCTGACTGCGAAGCTTCAACCTACTGTCGCCAAGTGACCCGTCGCTGTGCACACCTGCATACAACACCCCGTCGCACTACTACTATCTCTAGATCCATTTGCCCCGGACGCAACCGGCCTACTCCCATCTGTCTCCTCTCAAGACGGTCCTGTCATCTCACAGTATTTCCGACACCGCCTGCACTTTGCGCCTACAGGCATGTGATGGCTCATACCCCGAAAGACGAATTCCCGCAATTCGTTTCGAGGGTTTCGTCACACACGTCGGTGATGGAAATATAGGTTTGCCTTTGCGACAAAATGTCCCAAGGTATGAACAAGAACTCCTCAGATAAACACTATTTGTCCAAGGATACACGTCGTACCTCTGAAATCATATCTCAACTGGATGATCGCCTGGATCGATTACGCCAATCCATCTTACCCAAACAACCCTACCTAGTCTCTGTCCCCTCGGATGTCCCCTACCGACACAGCTCTCGGTTTGTCAATACCTGGTATGAAGGAACTCCGTTTGATCGCGACGAAGAGCAGTTACAATACATCAGTTTCCTGTCACGCCAGCGTGAAGAAGAGTCGCTGTTGAAAGTCGAGGGAAGCTGGGCGGACGACCAGGGTAGTCGCATTGACGAAGACACACTCTCCCCCAAGACCATACCAATCACCGGACAGCATACTCCTGCCGATCGAGGACATAGGAAGAAGATTAGTCTGAAAGACTACAAGACAAATCGCAGAGCTTCTCCGGAGTCTGCTTCGCAACCACCTGACACCACTTCACCAAAGAAGCCTATTCCAGAACCCGCCGAGCAGAGACCTGCCGCCGCAATAGTCCCAGAGAGCGCCGCGGAAAACGGTGCGCCACACCCTGTACAACATCATAAGGAGCCCAGATCACAAGAGTCCGGCCGTGGAGCGGTGTTTACTGACGGACACCACTCCTCTCCCCCACGGACACAGACCCACAAACCAACTTCCTCACCTACCCCAGCAAAGCGGCGGAAGCTCTCTGGGACCCCCGAGGAGCGCGAGGCTGCAACCATGTCTACCAAAGTGGAGGCTCAGTCCACGGTAATGAAAATGCCTAGATTACTTTCCCCAACCCTCCCGTCTCCACAAAAACAGATAGGATTACCTGAACTGCTATCTCCCCTGCTACCCCCTTCCCTAGCCAAGGCGATCTCTACCCCGTCTGACACCATCTCGATTGGAAGTCCCGCCGCAGGATCTCATTCTCGCACAGATTCTGTCCGTGCAATACTAGCTAGTGCCGACTTGGACGATTCACCGACAAGCAAAGGTGGCATTGTTGCTGGAGACCGAGCCCGATCCGACAGTCAGCATTCTGCCAGAGATTCTTTCCCTGGTACCCCTAACACAACGAAACCTGTTCTTGGTGTAAAGCCTCTGTCGAAGATCGGCACCAAGCTTGGAACACCACTACAGCAGGGAGCCCGGGCTAGCCCTGGGCCACGACAGCGGCATACCATCATTCTCAAATACGGGAAGAAGAACCGCAAGAGAGTTGAGGCACTTCTAAAACTAGGGCCACGGGCTAAGAAGACCATCGTCAAGAACGAAGATTCTGCGATAAGAATAATCCCGGATGTGAAGCCGAAGAAAGAATTAGCCAGGCACGAGACCAACGAAGCCGTCCACGCAGCAGATTCAAAGCCAAAGAACGATACCATGCCAGATGAGTCCCGGGAAGGACGTCGCGAAAAGGATGCTCAGTCAAAATCCGCCGCGCCCGACAACTCAAAGCCGGAGAAGAAGCGCAAGTTGGAGATTAGCACTCCCCTTGGGAGGAAGAGATTAAAGCCTTCCGCTGAGTCCGATAAACGGCCATCTACTCCCGTTCAGCTTGCAGGAAAGGCGCCTACGGCTTCACAATCTAAGTCCACCTTTTCCACACCTAAAAAAGAACTCAAATCCACCGCCATGAGAAGAGTCGAGTCCTCTGATTACCAGGATGTCCCGACTCCTACGGGCGGAAGAGGGAGAGTGTCCACGCCTGTAGCTGTTCCAAAACCTTCGCCTCAACCTCCTACGGCAACGAGCAGCAGGGAAGAGGAGCGACATCTTTGGACGAACATGAACACCAAATTCTTTGCACTCGGTCGTTCACTGAAGCATGAGGGGACCAAAATTGGACCATCGGCCAATGGAGAAGTCAAGGGTTACTCTGGAAAATCCGTGGCATTGCTTACTGAAGCATTAATTTGTTTCATGATCAATATCTCGGCCCAGGCTCATGCACGACCCGGGGTTGACCCGGGTTGGACAAGCATTATTCCGTATCACATCTTCCTCTGGCGAGCATCAAGGAAACATGTCCACTTGCATGGCCTAGTCGTCCAGCTAGGTGCTGTTTGTCGGCAACTCATTCACAAATGTGACATGGATCGGCTCGCCCGAGACCCTTTGCCTGACGATTACTGCAACTCTGCCCCAACTCCTGGCAGCGACGGAAATACCAAGACTAATGAGGATGCGGAGAAATACAAGAAGTCGTACATTGAGTTCAAAGACAATCTCATTCAAAACGCACGAGAGCTCCAGACTGCCTGGTTGGAAGGCTCCCGTCAGCTGTCTCCTGATATTCTTAAGCGCGACTATCCCAACACCTTTTCGAAACGAGCGAAGGATTCATCGGTTCGAATGCAGGAAAAGCCGACACCGTCAAAGGTTCCGAAAGAATTCTATCTTCCATTGGACGCGAACACCACAGCCTTTGAGGCAGCTAGATTTGGCCTCGCTTTCCTTCAGGAATGGGCCGAGAAAGAGAATGTTGAATGGAAGACAAGCGTTGAGCTTTGATGTTTTCAAATGTACTTTAGGACAGACCAACAGGAAATTGTTTTGTGCCTCCACGAAACAAGGGGGCTCGGGGAGTCAGCAATATGTGTGAGAAAACGCTCAAGGTTACGGTCATGATCAATTGAGCTGAATTAGACAGATGGCGAGTCATAGATACCCCATAGTGCGCCCGTTGATTCAACGCGGTACGATACGATAATGAATACAGATGTTTTTTCTCAAGCAGAGATTTTCATAGGTATCGCTATTGCTTCGGGTTAAGTTGACAGTGACAGTGTACGCAGTACTATACCTCGTACGTTTAGGTAACTACGCACTCGTAGTATTTAAGGTATCCAAGCTGCCGGGGGGCTTGGATGGGGAGATCCAATAATGATCGGTCCAGCTCGCAGCCTTCCGGGCCTTGCGTCAGGGAGAATTATGCTTCCACGTACAAGGCCTGTCCCAGCTTCATTCAAGGACGATGCCGCAGACGAACTGCACTACCGTCACAGATATTCTCGACAAACAGGCTATGATGGATGTGGTAGGGATACCATGTCCATTGAAGATGATCCTACCGACTTTGACGGTTCTCTAGGGATTTTGCCCGTAGTGCCTCCCGGCTCCTCATCACCCCTCTACAAGGATCCACGAAGCAATGCAGCCACTGGCGCTTCTGCAGCAGGCGTTCGTGCCTTCACTGCGCAGGCGGTAGCATTCTACTTTCGGGCTCCCGTGAAAGCCTTTTTCCGAACTCGTGTCGATTATCTGGTAGGTCGGACTGGGTCGACCAAAAGCTGGCCAGAGAAGTAACATGCTTTGCAGGCGTACGCCAAATCCATCGCCAGCCAGGATCTCCAGAAAGGCGGCTTCACCTGGCGCACAACTAAAGCAGGCTTGCTCGCCAATGCGGTTGGAAGCTATGGATGGCGTTTCATTCCTGAACAACTCCTGCCACCGCTAGCAGCAAACATTGTTGTCGGGGCGGCTCTGTACACTTCGTATCTTCAGATCCTAGCTCGTCTCCATGAGCCATCTGCACACGCCACGAAGGCCGCCTACCCTCCTCCTCCACCGAAGCATACATTCGTCGCGGGCTTTGCCGCTGGGACCACCCAGAGCATTGTCGCTGCACCCCTTGATGCGCTCCAGATTCGATTTGAACGCCGAGGACACGAATACGAAAATAAAACAATGTGGCAGTATGGAAGAGGCAAGCTACATGAGATTGGCATCCGCGGAATATTCGCTGGGTGGGGACTGTCGTTTCTGAAAGATAGCTTTGGATCAGGCGTCTTCTTCTGCACCTTCGAATACCTCAAGGCCCAAGCATATTACGGGTACGTCCGATGGCACTATGGGAGCCTGGAAGAGCCTGCTGTGGACAGGCTGGCGAAGAAAGCTGGGATGGCCGCCACTGAAGCGCAGCCTACAGCGACCATCCGTCCACACTATGCCTTGGAGCCTGGTTTCCTTATGTTGGCAGGGATTGCAGCCTCGTTCACCCAGCAAATGGTGCTCTACCCACTGACAACCATTCAAACATTACATTTTGAGCGACTGGAGGAGCTAGACAAGAAGGCCATCAAGCTATCGCGGTCTCAGTCACCCAGCCGAGGACGTATGTTGAGGGCTTACTATCACGCCTATCAGGACACCTGGACGCAATCGAAAACCCAGGCGACAAGGGTAGGAGGATTACAGCGTTGGCTTTTCAGAGGGTTCTGGTGGTTCACCATTCGTCAGGTCCCGAGCACGAGCGCTGGATTGATTATATTTGAGTTGGTCAGGAGGAAATACGGCATTGCCGGGGATGAAGTGAAGATCACAGAGGATGGATATGATATCCTTCTCACATAGATAGTCTGGGAGAAGTACCCTGTTCTGCTCTCTCTTGAGCAACTCGTTACTCACTCATACCGAGGCCTGAGGGGCATTGGATCTGCACCGCGTACATTAGTATTACTATACTAAGATCATTCATGAGATTCGCAACTGCTCTGCCTCGGTGCCTGCCTTGACGGGGAATGTGAATTAATCAAATGGAGTTCACGTTGATGCCGCTTTAGTCGTAGATGACCCTTTAATTACTTGTCGTGGGCGACAAGCGCGTTCGCGGCGCGCCAAGACATGGCGCGTTTTCGCTGAAGTTGCCTAACGAGTAAAGCATCCTGGACTTGTAGGCCTTGGACGAACTTATTGTCGACAAATCGTCACTCCAAGAACCTCAGACCTTGCGGCAACGGGACTCTTCCTCGACGACTTGAAGTTGCAACAGCCTCGAACGAGGATTGTTCTCCATTCCGCCTCATTCCTTACTTCTACCTCATCTTTTCATCTCTGAGATCTACCATCTCGCATCCATCACTCCTCAATCGCAATACCTGCGCCATCAAATTCAAATTCCCCACCTTCAGAGAGACCTCTCTTCCACGCATCTGCCTCCTTTTGAGGCAGGCAGCAAGATGAGTGACATCTTCATCAATGCGACCATCTTCCACGAGCGCCTTGCCACCCTCTACAATACCTGGAAGAATGACAAGAGGACCGCCGATGGCTTGTTCGGTGGCGCTGATTCTCTTGTTATCGTGACTGGAAAAGCTGATCAAGACACCATATACCATAAGAACAATGCAGTCCATGTGAGTCCTTTGGCATCCACCCTCATGCAGGGTTCTACCAGAATGATGAAGTTCGTACTGACTGCTCGTAGTTCTGGCTTCTTGGCTACGAATTCCCTGCCACTTTGATGGTCTTTACCGCTGCCGTCCTGTACGTTGTTACTACTGAGAAGAAGGGTGAGCATGACTCGACGTGGTTGAAAACTTGGATGATTCTAACAATGAATAGCTAAGCACCTAGACAAACTCAAGAACGGCAAAATCCCCATCGAGGTCATTCCCATTACGAAACAACCAGAAACCCGAACCCAGGCATTTGACAAAGCTGTGGACATTATCAGAGGCGCAGGCAAGAAGGTGGGCTTTGTCCCCAAAAATGATGCTCTTCACGGTCCATTCCCAGAGGAATGGTACAGGGTCCTTGGTGATCTGTCTAAAGAGGTTGAGCAAGTGGATATATCCAACGCGCTAGCCATGGTTTTTGCCATCAAAGACGAGACAGAACTGCGCAACATGCGAACCGCGTCCCGCGCTGCAAGTGGTCTTATTTCCAATTATTGGGTCGATCAGATGTCAGAAGTTTTGGATCAAGAGAAACGCATCAGCCATCGCGCTCTCGCGGACCGGATGGCGAAGAAAATCGACGACACCAAATTCTTCAAAGGCCTCTCCAAGATTCCCAGCGACTTTGAGAATCAGCAGTTGGACTGGGCTTATGGACCAATCGTCGAGAGCGGCGGCCAGTATGATCTGAAATATTCGGCTCAACCTAATGAGGAAAACCTCCATTCTGGATGCATCATCGCTGGTGTTGGTTTCAGATATAAGACCTACTGCTCAGTTGTCGCGCGGACTTATTTGATTGATCCGAGCAAATCTCAAACCGCCAACTATAAAATGCTCCTTGCAGCACATGATGCGGCACTGAAAGAGACCAAGGATGGTGCGGCTGCAAAGGACGTTTACAATAAAGCCCTTGGTGTCATCAAATCAAGGAAGCCCGAACTGGAGAAACACTTCGGTAAAGACGTCGGAGCTGCCATCGGCATCGAAATCAAAGACAGCAAGATAGTTTTGAACGGCAAGAACCCGAAAACTTTGAAAGATGGGATGACCGTCAGCATTACCACCAGTCTTTCAGATCTTACCAACGACAAGCCCCAGGACAAGAAGGGAACAAATTATGCCCTTGTCATCACGGATACCGTCAGGGTCACTCGAGGAGAGCCGGTCATTTTCACCAAGGAAGCCTCTACGGATCTTGATTCAATCGAATTCTACTTTAAGGACGATGAAGAAGAGACCAAGCCTAAGCAAGAAAAGACCAAGAAACCTGGAGCTAGCGCAATCGTCACTTCGAACATCAAGTCGTCTCGCCTCAGAGCTGCTAATCGCACAGATAATTCTAAGGAGGAGGAAGAAGCTCGTCGACGTGAACATCAAAAGGAGTTGGCCATGAAAAAGCAGCGAGAGGGTCTTGAAAAGTATGCCGAAGCTACCGGAGACATGAATGGTGATTCGGAGAAGAAATTCAAGAAATTCGAGTCCTACAAGCCTCATGCCCAACTGCCAGCCCGCGTCAAGGATATGATTGTTTGGATTGATCTCAAAGCCATGACTGTTATCCTTCCGATCATGGGTCGACCTGTCCCATTCCACATCAACACCATCAAGAATGTCAGCAAATCTGATGAAGGGGAGTACACTCACCTGAGATTCAATTTCTTGTCTCCCGGTCAAGGTGTGGGAAGAAAGGATGACCAGCCATTTGAAGATCCTCAAGCACATTTTGTCAGATCTCTGACTATTCGATCCAAGGACCAAGATCGTCTGTCCGAAGTCTCGGCACAAATCACCGAACTTCGCAAGTCAGCAGTACGACGTGAACAAGAAAAGAAAGAGTTGGAAGATGTAGTCGAACAGGACAAACTCGTTGAGATTCGTCAGCGTCGACCCATCAAGCTCCCGGATGTATACTTGAGACCAGCACAGGACGGCAAACGTGTGCCTGGTGAAGTTGAGATCCATCAGAATGGTTTGAGGTACCTATCGCCACTGCGTAACGATCATGTTGATGTGGTTTTCTCAAACGTCAAGCATCTTTTCTTTCAGCCGTGTGTCGGCGAGCTGATTGTCATCATTCACGTTCATCTCAAGAACCCTATCATCATTGGAAAGCGTAAGACCAAGGATGTTCAATTCTATCGAGAAGCTACGGATATGGCCTTTGATGAGACGGGAAATCGTAAACGCAAGCATCGATATGGCGACGAAGAGGAATTTGAGCAAGAACAAGAAGAACGACGACGACGAGCCGAGCTTGATCGTCTCTTCAAAGGCTTTGCTGAGAAGATCTCTGATGCTGCCAGGGAATACAACATTGCGGTTGATATTCCCTTCCGTGAACTCAGCTTCAATGGTGTCCCTAACCGAAGCAATGTTCTGATGGCTCCTACTACAGACGCTTTAGTGCAGCTGACGGAGCCTCCGTTTACTGTTATCACTCTCGACGAAATAGAGGTAGCACATCTCGAGAGAATTCAGGCAAGTCTATATCTTCCCCCATATTGGATTGAATGCTAACATTGTACAGTTTGGACTCAAGAACTTCGATCTCGTCTTTGTCTACAAAGACTTCCATCGACCACCGACTCATGTCAATACGATTCCAGTAGAATCTCTTGATCGGGTGAAGGAATGGCTTGACAGTGTTGACATTGCGTACTCTGAAGGCCCACTCAACCTGAACTGGGGCACCATCATGAAGACCGTGACGACCGATCCGCATCAATTTTTCAAGGACGGAGGTTGGAACTTCCTTGGCACCGACTCGGATTCCGAAGGAGAAGCTGAATCCGAAGAGGAGTCGGCCTTCGAGATGAGTGATTCTGACCTAGCAGCCAGTGAATCCGAGAGCGAAGATGAGAGCGAGTTCGATGACGACGCCAGCGCGAGTGACGACGAAGGCGATGCGGAAAGCGGTCTAAGTGATGAGGGTGAGGACTGGGATGAAATGGAGCAGAAAGCCAAGAAGGAAGATAGAAGAGGTGGCGAGGCCGAAGATGAGGACCGAGGCAACAGAAAGCGCAAGCGATAGGCTTCTGGAGCTCTAGCTTTGATATTCCACGGATGCAGAGTTCAGCTTGATCACGAAGACTCACTGATGTGCACTGTTGAGTCAGGCAAATCGAAGGGCTCGACGCGAACTTTTGGGGGAGGCAAGCAAAGGTCCTTGTATTTGCTAGCAGGCCTCGAAGAAAAGCGCCGGCGAGTTCCGCAGAGGCCTCAATTGGACGACTGGAGATAGTTACTCCTCACTAACATGTATTGATAATTTCAGTTTCTCTTTTGACGAATGAAAAGTACAAGGGCAGCCAATTTCTTTGGCAGGATTTCCACCGTCTAAGTTGGCCACAGTGAATAAGATAATTATGTCGTATACTTAAAGTATGTATCATTACTCGTATGGGGTGTCTGTTGAGCCTCGCTGCATCCCCAACTAGCTAAGTCCTCCCCCCGATCCCCTTAATCAACCCCAAATCGTGGGGTATCTTCATGGACGGTTCTCGGTACCCACGCTGCAGCTTAGCGGTTAGACACTATATCTGGCACGCATTTGGGAATCATTGTGGAGGCATGTTGCACATGTGGTGTGGTGCTGTCTAGTAGTGTTCGATTGGCATTACATACACGACAATAAGACCCGAGCAGCCAGGGGACTCACAGGCTTGTCTGTATTTATTGTTTTATCCATTATTATCATCACCCTACAGCTCAGCGACGGCGGTCCAGCGGGTGCAAGGCTCTCATTTCAAGGGGCAACCGACCAGCTGGGGACAAGGAGCCTCCTCCAATATGTAACCAGCTGGTGATGGTGCCCAGTCCCTAATAGTTACTGGGCAGTCTAGTCTGAGCATTCAATTTCATGATTTCCATAGAGATCGATTCTAGTATCGAAAAGCAGTTCCTGTTCGAAAGGGTCTTACTTAGATTTTTGGATCAGTTTTGTTGATTTTGTGGCTCGGTCGCTCACCCACAATTCCCAAACAATAAATGTACTCAGTGCCGTTCTCCAACAATGGACCCCCAACCCCAAAGAACGGTGCAACAACCGGAGTTTGTTATATTTGGGCGAGTTCCCCATCGTCCTTGTACCGTCGTTTCTAGTATGGATCTTACAGAGTACATTATCCCCCTGGCGAGTAGACATTCCCACTCTTAAAGAAGAAGAAAAAATGGGTGCCCCGAACGGGAACCCCGAGGCAACAACACCTACTCCGGCTTCTCTCCTCCATCTCGCGGCCAATCGGCTTGAAATCATTCGTAGCGAGAAACTGTCCCAGGATGTCTATAGGAAAGCAGTGCTTTGCCTGCTCGATTATCTTGGGGCGCTTGTTTCTGGGCTCTCGGCTCCGTGGGCCTCTTCGCTTTTGCGATGTACGCAGAGCTCCGGCGGTGCTGGTGGCGCGGGAGCATGGGCAATTGGGATCGATACGCCAGTCTCCGTGGAAAGTGCAGCGTTCCATAATGCTGCTGTTGGTCATAGGTATGTTTATATTATGCAATGCTAGATGTTGTGCTGCCGATTCGATTGCCCCGATTGGGCTTTAAGATCGTATGGTGACGATGCACCACATCAGGGCCCAGGAGCTGTTACTGACTGGCCTACTTCTTGTCTCAAGCATGATCCGAGACGACATGCACGTCACGGCAAACTCCCACATCGGCGTCATGGTCATACCTGCTGCCTTGGCTCTCGCTCAACGTGAGGCATGGACGGGGGATCAATTACTAAGAAGCATCGTAGCGGGCTACGACATGGCAGCCGCGCTGGGCACGGCAGTCCGTCACGGCGGGCTTCACAATGCGCATTTCCGCCCGTCTGGAATCATCGGCGCTTTTGGGAGCGCCGCTGCTGGAATTGTTGGCGGTGGCGGTGGCGGTGGCAGCGAGATCAATCACGCCACGGCAGTGAGTGCTCTGAGTTTTGGTGTGAACATGGCTGCGGGGTTGAATGAGTGGGCGTGGGCTGGGGGAACAGAGATATATACGCACATGGGCAGTGCCAGTCGAAACGGGATTATTAGCTTGGGATTGGCTAGAGCGGGGATGCAGAGTAGTGACACAGTACTTGAGGGGAGGGATGGTGCGTTCGAGGCGTATAGAAAGGGAGAGGCGGGCGCATCAGATAAATTCGCTGAGTGGGTAGCAGAGAAGAGTATTGGGGGGGGGATTTTGGATGCAAGATTCAAACCGGTCGCCGGGTGCAACTTTATACAGACGCCTTTGTCAATCGCATTGAAATTGAGCAAGGAGATAACCGGCTCGATTGGGCAGATTGAGCGGATTTGCGTCAATACGACATCTGCTGCTAAGGCTTACCCCGGCTGTGACAGCTTCGGGCCGTTTGACAAGGTCGGGCAGGCAAAGATGAGCATCCAGTATGGTGTCGCTGCTGGATTGCTGTTTGGTCGCATTGACGACTCCACGTATCAGCAGTACGACAATTTGGAGCTGCAAGCGCTCATCCAGAAATGCACGGTCGTGGTGGAGAGCTCGTTCGATCAGGAATTTTCCCAGGGAAGGCAGCCAAGCAGGGTCGAGATCACGATGAGAGATGGAGAAACAATCCAGAGTGCGCTTGATGACGTTCCTTGGCTTGACGGTGAGGCTGTACAGCTGCGCTTTCGGCAAGAAGCTGCGGTGATATACCCGGCAGAAGTGGTTGGCCAAATTGTTAAGGGTTGCTGGGGATTGCAAGATGCGAAGAATTGTTCGACGCTGTTTGACTTGCTCTCGTCTGGGGTTTACCCTGATTTGTCAACAGGTTAAGTGAAAGAGGAGCAAAGTTCTAAAGGCGCACTATAGGACTTCTATTGAATATTGCATTCGGCCATAGATACCAACAAATCCATGGGTCGCCTCGGCTGATATTTTTGCAAGCCTGCAGAGCGTGAAAGAGGTGAAGATATCGCTTGCTCGTTCAGGCACTTAGCTAGCGTCCTCAGCCATGGATACATTGGGCCTGAGATGGTATATATATCTCGGTGTCATCGAAAGGATACCCACTTGTTCCTGTGGTGGACATGAGATATTCTTGTGCATCGTGGGTGCGGACCTAGATAGTGTGCTCTTTATGAATGGCCTTGGCGTATCCTCTTGCCTCACCTGATTATCTTCCTCCGCTGACTCAGTGGCGCTTGAGTTCTCTTCAGAGGCAGCTTTTTCAATTGCAGTGGCAGATTCGAGTCCCTTCCTTGATGATGGCAATTGATTCCACATGAAATGCACTAGAATTTGCAATGGGTTCGACCCTCGAGCTTTGCTGCACGCTAGACACGCGCCACATATGTTGGCCTTGTGTCAGACTGAGTAGTTTGAATGGTGACAAACTATCTCGGATTTCCTCGGAAGTCGATCCAGAACAGGGAGATTGGCTGCTCTAGTTGGTTCAGGAAGACGACGTTGGTGTGGGTGGTGGGAGCCTGGGAGAGTTTCTCCTGTTTCAAAGGATGAAGAGTTTCCTCTGTAATGTCGCCATCATCTTCAGCCATTGTGGTGCTGTTCAGGAACTGACATTTCCTCTCTCCAGCCCGGAACCTGACAGCCTTGCCTTCTATGGTTTGGTTGATACGAGAGAATGGGAGATCAGTGGCCTTTGATTCAATGTCGAGGGAAGTGAGTGCTCCTGCAAGCTCGACATGGCGGAAGGCCGGTTCACGAAGACCACGGTTGGGATCCACATATGTGAATTTGGACTCCCTGGGGCTGGTGCAGAAACGATACCCAAAAGCCATCACTGTTTTGCCTCCATTTTGGAGTGATTTTAGAGTTGATGTAGATGTTGTTGAGCTTCTCTGCGAATTTTCCTGACAGGCCGAGGCCTGATGAGGTATGACGTGAGGCTTACAAGGTTGAGTCGTGGAAGGGCGCTGGAGGACGGAAAGATAGGCTAGGCTGTACGTCTGTATTCCCAGGCATGGCATTTACGATTGTCGCCTTGCCACTTACAACAAGAGAGAACCACCCGTAGGGCTGAATGACTTTACGGGTGTTGGACGCCGTGCCATTGAGGCTTACCAGAAGTCCAGGCACCACTAAGGAAGGAAAGATCGATTGGCGACTGATATGCAAGGTCAGCTAATCAACGAAGGTACGGCGCACGGCGCACGGAGCACCGTCGGAACAATCGCCGCGGAAGACCGGATAAACTATTTGCCGGGTACAGAATTGAGGAGGAGGAAGGAGCCAGCCAAGGGACCCACGACTCAAGAAATGAAGGTGCACTGGGGAGTACCCGTACGAGTAGGCCATGAGTAACTAGTTATCAATGCGAAAATTCACCGCCCACGATGCCACCGCCGTCACAGTTCGGTTGCAGGCCAGCAAAGGATTTCTAGGGATCCAAAGGGCACATGTTCCTGGCAATAGTGCATCTTTCTCGTTATGTAATCAGGCGAAGACAAAATGTGGAAAAGAGCATATGCTCGGATAAGGCGTCCATATGTAGGTAGGGAGCTTCGGTGCGTTACCCGGCTGGATACGAATGCTCTCTGAAAAGCCTTCCGAAGTTATGCACGGAAACAAACCGCTGGTACCAGGGACGGGTGGTCGGAACCCAAAAGAGGGGGCGGTGGCTCCAGCTTGTGGGATAATTGGAGAAGATACTCAGTCGTAGGCATTTGAGAGAGGATATTTGGAGGGCCCCAGGGAAGCCCAGGAGGCCAAAGGCCACTTGGGGGCATGCCTACATACTGTACGAGTAAGATATTCTTGTCAGTGTCAATGGAGGCGCCTCGGGTCCTGCGTAGCCTATGCGTAGGTGGGCTTCAGGCACAAGCCTTCCAGCGAATCAGGGAAGTTGCAACACTGGGGGCAAGCGCTCGGCTGGACTGGAGCTGGCACTGGAAAATCAAAGAAAAGCATGTGATCGTCTTTTGGGGTGCATGCCACTAGTTGGTACATAGTTAGTACGAGTAGTGAATTACTGTAAGTACAGATACTCCGTAGTCAGTACCTCGTACGGTAAGTACTTACTACTGGAGTCGTCTCGCTCTGATCTGGGAGACTGGGACATCCTTTCCGTCCCCAGAACTCAACTGCGCAGCCCAACCGCTCGCACACCACTTACTCTTAGTACTCACATACTCTCCATACTCATACTCTTACCACTTACCCTCCTTCTCTTCGTCCATCTCGATAGACCACTCTCACAGCCTCCATACGACATGTAGCGCCCTCTGTCGCTCTCTCGTCCCTCCCCTACCTCGGCCTGATTGAAAGCGGCAGTTCTACACCCAATCTTCTCTCTGCCTCCCACACCGACTCGATCCACGTCAGTTACATCTTCGTCGGCGCACACTATCTCTCTCTACACCACAACCACCATTGACTCCTTTCCTTCATTCTCCCAAATGGCCACTCGGTCACCAAACCCTCCCTACGCCATCCCTCCTCCTTTTTCTCCTCCGCTCTCTGCAAATCGTACCTCGTTAGACATGGCAAAGCCCGCTTCCATCGACATCGACATGATGAGATCAGAACGTGATCGTTCCACAAGAGCGGCTAGTGTTCTCTCAGGCATGTCGGCCGAAGATATGGAGGCTGCCGAGACCTTGAACAGTTTACAACAGAGTAATCCTGCCCACCATCCTGCTTCCTCGGATGTTTCACACTGACATGTGACTTTGACAGAATATCACTCTCCCCGGCAAAACCCTCCCACTTTGGTCCAGACTCAGACCACTTTCGATGTCGATCAGCCTGAACCTCTTCTCCGCTTATTCACGAGCCAGTACCCTCTCGCTGGCAGCCTCATCAATGGCTCTTTGTCCGCTTACAAAACCACCCAGTCATATATCCCGGGTGCAGAATGGACCGAGAGAAATGTGGGTTTACCCATCGCTGGTACCGTTGCCAGAATATCTGGTGTTGAAGGCGGTTTGAGGTGGGCTCTGAAGCCAAAGCGCGACGGACGACCTTCCAGTACTGCCCGCACTCCGGACGTCGAAAAGGGCTACTCAGATATTGCCCCCCATGGCACAAGTCGGCCCCGTCCATCAGCAGAGATGACCTACACCGACACTTTACCAGCCTATAATCCTGGTGATCGCTCTCCACCCTACACCGAACAGCAGGCTCTTGCCAAGTCGCGCGACCGACAACCGCCTCCTGGGTGGCGACAACAACTGGTCATCTCGACGAGTGGGCTCGGTGTAGCGATGAGTGATGAATCTATCAGAAGTCTCCGATACTGCCTGAGCTGGCTACGCTGGGCTAATGGTCATTTGGGCGAAGCAATTCAGAATCTCAAAAATCTATTAGAACGATGGGATGAGGGCATCACCCCTGGCGACGGCGACCATCCTGCGCCGATGTCAGTCGCCAGCATGACCCAAACTCAAGAAGAGCGTCGCCAAGCCGCATTGTCTGCACGCATCGCCGCCCTGAAAGCCGATGTGCTCAAAACACTCAAAGATGTCATTGCCATCGTATCAAACTACGCCGGCGGTGCTTTGCCTACTAATGCACGCGACCTCGTTCACCGGCATCTCACCAGCCTGCCTCAACGCTTCAGCGTCGCCAATATGGCCGGGACCAGCCTGACCGACGGAGCCGACGAGAACCTCGACGATTCCGAGGCTGCCCAATCCGGACGGAGAGTAATGGTACTCGCTCAGGAGGGTCTCGATATGATGACTCAAGTTTCGAGGGTTGTTAACGATACTCTGGTTAGCGCCGAAGGGTGGTGTGAGAAGTTGGGCCGACGGCCGAATTCGCAATCTCAGCAACGAATGTTCATCGATGAGAAGTCGGATGATGCATCAATGCGAAGTGAGAACGTTGCACCGAGTGAGAGGACAATCGGCTCGCAGCAACAACAGCAACAACAGCAACAACAAATGGGCGAAGATGTGCATATGGACATGTAATAACAGTGTTTGTTGATTTGTGGATAATGAACCGTGTGGGGGATTCCGAGGAGAACAGAAGCCTAGAGGCTTGTTGGCTAGATAGCTGACGTACTCCGTACTCCGGACCGGCATATCAACTGGGTACTTTAACGGCCTACCAAGTATGTTACCATTCACGAATGAGAATTACCTGTAAAAAGCAAGATTAGTATTTTCGGGATTTAACTTCTCTGAGCACCCCATAAAAGCTGGGAATACTCTGTACTCAGTATCGATTTGTACAATCACGGAACGGATTAACCCGTATTGCCGCAATCTCAAAATGCGGAGGGCCCTGAGTCCCTGACACATGCGGACACACAGACACCTACCTAGAGAGAATGACACGCCTAAATCCACCACGCGCAACATGGTCTTGAAATGAACAGACAATATCAATCGACGAATCTGCACCCAGCGGCGCCCCTCAATAACAAAAAATTCACTGCGACTTTCAGGCCCGAAGTAATCCAAACTGTTAAAGACACTGATCTCTCTCACAATGAAGAGCAGTGGCTAACTCAGCATGGACTACCAACAACCCTCGACCCTGAACCAATCCACCGATCAGCCTGGCCGCACCATATTTCCCCGGGGGCCAGCCTTTAACCTTGACGACTTCTCCGATCGCGATTTCATAGCCAAAGATTTCATAGAGTCTTTGACCGACAGCGCCCAATCCTCCAATCGCCGCTCCAACGGCGCCGCTGCTCCTTTCGATCCTAAGCCCTTGATTCGCACTTTTGAACAGGCTGCTCGTCGACTCGATGATCTATCCGGTGAGCTGGAACAGCGAGAGAACGAACTGTCAGCCGCTGTGAGAAGAGCAGAGGCTCAGCACTCAAGCAATACCGAATCTCTTGGCAGGAAACTCAATCAGACAATTGAAAGCTTCCAGAAATTAGACACCTCCCTGAAGTCTGACCGTGGTGAGAGATGGGGAGGAAATGTCGCCGTCGAGACTGGTCGTCGCTTAGAAGAACTTGATCGCCAAAGGAGAAGAGCTCTAGACGCTCATTTTCTGATCGAGTGCTGGGATGAAGTGAGTAACCGGGGAGAGGTCACGCTACTCGAGAACCTTCGACGATCAGGCACAGGTGAAGGCAAAATTCGATCTGCCAATATCGCCCGTCAGCTCCTGAGAATAAGTCAACGTCTTGATCCTAAAAGTCACGGCCAGGTCAATGGCACCAAAACAGTCGGGATCACAAACGGCGTGGCAGGGACCAAGAATTTCAACACAAGAGAGGTCATTGAGAAATTCATTGAAACCCTGGAAAATGATATGCTCAAGCTATTCGACGACTTTTACAGGCGCCAGAATTTCGAGGAAATGAAAAATTGTGCCATTGTATTACAAGACTTCAACGGCGGTGCCTCGGTTCAAGCATCCTTTGTCAATCAGCACCAGTTCTTTATCGACCGGAGCAACCTGGTGACAGATGAGGTCGGCGGTGATCAAGATACCTGGATCAGGCTATCAGATCCAGACGCTGACCTGCCAGGTGTTGAACCAGGTCTGCAATCACTCATCGACGAAGTGAAGGTGGTAGTTCAAGAGGAATCATCCATCATCAAAAGGGCCTTCCCTTACCCGGAGCAGGTTCTCGGTAAATTCGTACAAAGAGTGTTCCAGCAATCGATACAGCAAAGGTTGGAACTCGTCCTGGAAAAGGCAGAATCAGAATCCACCTTAGCATACCTGAGATCGTTACAAGCTGCTAGAAGCTACATCAGTATTCTCGTGGAGGACCTCAAGGCTCATGGGTTGACGGAGCATCCGGAGTCGGTCACGTCGCAGACGAGTCAGTTGTTAGACCAACAGCTTGATGAGCTCTTCACACCCTATTTCGGTGGCTCAGCCTATATTGACAAGGAAAAGCACAACCTTCAAGAATTGTACAAGTCGTTATTGTTCAAGTTCGAGCTGTTTCATTCAAGAAGGCAAAAGGAACCAAAGACATATCTGGCTTCCTTACGAAATCGTGGACAGGAGCTTCTGGCATCCGCCAGAGAAGCCACGGACGCTTACGTCAAGAGCCTGGACCTGGAAAAAATGTCATCCACCCAGAAGAGAATCCTGCTGTCCGTTGCCGGTCTTAAGAATACCGACAAAGCCTCACCTGAGATTGAACTATCTGAGGAAGACGGCAGACTACATGTTGCCTTTGCTAAGAGAATGCTAAAGTGGCTCGCGGAAGGCGTTCGCCGTGGTCTCGAGCTTGGAGGTGGCTCGGAGACGCCCAAGGACGTTGCAGCTCTATTGAACCTGATCGTGAAGAACCTCTTGACGAACTATGTCGAAGTGTCTCTCGAAGCAGCAGCAGAATCAGCCTCGTCTGCCGAGAACGCCAAGCGAGAACCAGATATGTCCTATCTAGCCAACCTGCGGATGGCAGTCCACATCACACATCTTGTCCAGAGTTGTGTCAATACACTCCTGATACCCCTTGCTGCATCCAGTTTAACGACCAGGAGAGACATGGAAAAGAATACTCGGACCGCGATCGTGCGCGTCGAAGATCAGATCAACACCATTGAACAACAGACCGTTGATGCCATACTGAACTGGACGTCCCGCCTTCTCACGAACCAAGCACGAACCGACTTCCGTCCTCGAGACGACACCGAAGCCATTTCTCTTGAGCAAGCGCAGACACCAACATGCGACAGCGTAGATAAATTCCTGAATTTGTTCTACGAGACCTCGTCACAATCAATCGACGGCGCGAACCTGATTGCGCTCCTAACCGAAGTAGCCGTAGGCTTCCGGACGCAGCTGCTCGAGCACTTCAAGAAATATCAAGTTAATAGGATCGGCGGCGTAATGCTGGCGCGTGACATGAGTCGTTACGTCCAGCTGCTCCGCTCGTGGAATCTAGATGACGGGTTCAAGGCGAGTCTCGAGGTGCTAACCGAGTTGGCCAGCGTATTTGTCTTGCATCCTGATGCGCTCAAGGAGAGGCTGAGAGGTCAGGTTCTAGGCAATATTGGGAAGGAAAATCTAAGACCGTATCTGCTTAAAAGGGACGATTACACTAGTGTCGGCATGCAGACTCTACTCTCTTCACTTTGAGCAGGTGGATGCTCCGTATGTAGTGAGAAGCGAGGGCAATTGCTGGGCCTTGGATGGATAGATCAGGCGTTTTGCTGTACACCTCTGTTGGTATGCTAATGAGTCAAACGTTATAGTGGTGCTATCTATCTAACTGGGAGTGGTGATTCAAATGACTATACCCTTGATGTTGATGGTCATTCCCAGGCCATTTCTATACTTTCATAGTAGTTTTGGTACACATGCATTGATCATACACATTGGACTTCCATCCACCTCGAGTCCTTCGTCTTCGAACTATGTACAGCCTCCATAAAGCAATGAGTATTGTGCGCGACAGGGAAATGCATGCTTACACAGCGCCGTGCTATACCATCTCCTGCATACGAAGGGCGGCTCAGCCCCGAGCGCTAGGTATTCGCCGCATCGTGCAGGCAGACTCTAGGAGTTTCTCTCTGTTCACAATCTCTGCGTTTCCCCAATAAACTCTTTCCGAAGCGCTCATCGCGCGGGCCGGAGAGGGGGGGGGGGGGAGTTCATTATATCTTAAATCCATAGGTGGCCATGCAGTCCTTGTACTTGGAGACCAGACTCTTGCAATCTTCCTGGGGATCGTCGGCGCGCGAGAACAACATGCATTCGTCGCGCACGGATTTCTCATCTTTGCATACGCAGCATGGCTGGACAAAGACATTTAGTGCCCGTGGTAGGAATTGTGAAAGAACGAGGGGAGTGAGGGCGTGAATTGCGAGCGTGGAGCGTGGGAATGGTACTACGAACCTTGACTTTCTCGGTGCTCGTCGCTGGCTTCAGCTCGCAGGCGAGGTTGTCTGGCGTCGAGGGCTGTTGTGCGACTGTTTGCATTGCACGAGGCTGTTTAGTTTCTGGCTTATGTATGGGGGATTGTATTACAAATCGGGGTTCGCTGGAGGTGGCGCGATGGAATGGCACCACTTCAGGGTCAGGAGATAGACGTACCTGCGGCAGGCTGCGCCAGTGTCGGCGATGGTGAGGAGCTGAACCAACCCATGGAGACTGTGTAGGTGGTGAGTAGGTACGGAGACTATGTAGCTTTCACCTTGGGAGGAAGAACAGGGGCCTGAGGGATTGGAAAGAAAGTAATAATTAATTATTGGAGAGGCGAGCAAAGGATCAGTTGGCGCATGGGATTCGGGAAGACGTCATTAGCCATGTGGGCCTTGTGGGGCCAGCCTCATCACGTGAGCGACAAGGCTGGAGCATATCTCGACAACATCCCAATTTTCAGCTTCCATCCCTGACTTAGACTAATGTAATCAAAATGCTGTCGTTCCCAACACACGATTTCTGTGGGATGTCCAGTGTCCACTCTTGAGAGACAATAGAAGTTAGTTACATGATTGCTCCGTGAGCACCACAGGTATTGCTTCCCAGTTCGCGCCGACGAATCCACCCACCCCGGCTCCCCAGTCCACGCTACCTCTATCTCCAGTTTCCGCACGCTCGCTCGCTCGCTCCCAGGGTTCGAGGACCGGCGGCAGTCTCCTGTGCAACAGCCTCCGCCGCGAGAATGCACCAGATGTACTCCTGCTCACAACCAGACGGGATCCAAGTGTCGGTCTGGCTCTTGTACTCCTTGAAGGGACACCGGTCCGCGCTGTGCTTTTGGGAGCCGCAGTTCCCGCAACACTTCTTGTGGGGGCATGCAGCCGTGGCGTGGCGGCCGCCTCCGCAGTTCTCGCAGATTCTCTTGGGGATCATCGGCATCATCTCTGGGTGGATGCTTGAGAAGATGTTAGCGGGCCTGTCGTAAGCCTTGCCGGGGCATTCGTCCGTGTTGTGGGTGCTGGCTTGGCATTTTGAACAGTACTTCGGATTGCTCCCCATCTCCGTTTCGATCTTGGACGAATGCGAGATACTTGGTATCAAGGGGATTGTTCAGTGAGTTTAGTTCTTTGGTTTTTTGTAAAGTGTGTGCGTGCTCTAGGTCAGTTAAGTTTGAAGACGAAGACGAATATTGGAAGACCTCATTTGATGATCCAATTTTTATACCCCTATGTTGCGTCCCACGGTCCTGGCGTTTGTTCTTGAAAAGGTCACGGATCGTGACAGCGATAACGATCAAGCTACTGACATGATATTGGCACTCAGCATCGTTTGTGAGACTGACACCTTAAGGCAAACTGTCATGTCGACTGCGTGCTATTAGAATTGGTCTGCTGCAAGGATTACCGTCAACGTCACAAAGATAGGTGAGCTCATCGCTACAAACAGGTCGGGACCGTCAGCATTTTATTCGACTGTGAGCTGTTCTACGACGATAGTACATGAAAACATTTGCCGCGTCCAGCTAAAGCTTGGGGTCAAGAACCCAATTGATCAGCCTTTGGCCTACGCAGCTCTCCCTGGGGAAAGCCTAGATGAATTAACGACTCCTAAAGCCAAACATCGACGAATCAATGGCCATTCAAGATGGCTCAGGCTTCATACACAATAAATTTCTATCAGCCAACCTCCCATATCAGATTTACTCCCTAGCACCTTAATCGAGCCGTCAATGTTAGCCTTTCGTGTACTGCATCATATTGACATCACCGCAGACTTGTATCTGCACTTCGCAACCTTTGAGTTCCCAAGACACGCAGACCCCCGGGGAAAATCCCTCGAGCCCTGGGCCCTAGTTGTCAAAAGTCAGCTGATCAAACGAGACACCCATTTAGTGGCCTTTTCCTGTTTCCTCGGTACATCGGGTTTGGCGTGGAAATTTTTGGATACGTCTGCAGGATTCTTATGATCACCACGCGCGATCATAATGTCACGCCCATCCCGTATGAAGTAAAGTTCTCCTTTCTCTTTAGATGATTGCGCCGAAAAAGGTTGGGATGATGGCTCCGAAGAAGGTTTGGATGATTGCTCTGCTAAAGACATCCTTGAAATCTTCGATTTTTGTTCTTTGTTTCAGAATTTTCGTTATTCGTTCTGGTAATGAGTGACTATTCAACAGATCTGTGGAATCTGAATACGAAAGAAAGAAGGCAACAATTTGTCTACGATGTTCTGGTTTTTATTATAATCAGGAGAGCAGTCACGCGCTTGTTTGTTTGTTGGTGAGTTGATGGGTTCAGACTAATAGTTATCAAGACTCACGCAAGCCCTTCAGACCCTTCGTCGAGCCTAGGGCCTGACTGTCAGATTTTAGGTGACAAAATAGGACAAGAATCTAATGAGCCTAGCATGTCTCTTCGGTTCTGCGTCTTGATTGACGTGGTATTTCGCAGATACGTCTGCAGGATCCTTATGGTCGCCGCGCACGATGATCTTGCTATGCCCATCCCGGATGAAGTAAAGCTCTCCTTTATCTTTTGACCTCCCTGTGGAAGACATCCTGGAGAAGTTAGGATTTAGTTATTCGTTCTCAGATCTTATTAGTTGCTTTGGGTTCAGTTATTCGTTCTGGTTGTGTGAGTGAGTAATGAGAATCCGCTCGGTTTTGTGGATGCGAAATCAAGGAATCAACAATCATGTCTAGGATTTTCTGGCTTTTTTATATCCAAAGAGAAGATATACACTTGTTTGCTCGGTTGAAATCAAGCTTGGTATCAGTGCGTGTGTTGCTCGACCGAGTCTCACCAGAAGTAAGGCTTGACAATCGTTTTCTTTTTTGAGTGATGCATGCGCCCACCGACTTTTGATAATGAATGTCGGGCTTTCAAGTTCGAGACTGCCATCTAGTTCTGGTCATTCACTTTGTCAGTATACGCAGGAAAACTACGATAAGTCCAATCTCCAATTCCAAGAGAACAGTCCTCACTCTCAAAGGTCACTCATGAAAGTTGGCCCTGGATTTGTCAAATAGGAAGTATTGTAGATATCTCTATGAGGCTACTAACTCAGTGATATGGTACGGCCTGAGTATCCCATAGCCCTCTTGGTCATCAATTGACGAGAAATGTCGTTGTGAATTTTCGAGCGCGCGGCAAATGACGAATACTATTCAGGACCATCAAACCGCATCCCTCAGATATCTCACAAAACTATAGAAGCACCACTATGTTTGAAAGGCACGGACACCGATAACCCCCCACACACTCTCTCCCCATCATGCAGTGAGACCAGCATATGTGCTGAGCCGACATGAAATCGAAAGCGTAATCTGTCTCAACCTATCTATCGAGACGAACCAGCTGTGGAGGGCCGTGGCGGTGGCGGGCCTGGAAGTCTGTCCCCCAAAGGAGTCGATGTACCACTGTCACTAGGATTAGCGGCTCGAGGAGGGTCGCCAGGTTTTAGCTCGTGAGAGGGTCCGGCTCCATCGGGCCAAAACTTTAGGTATCGGCCTGTTGGTACCTTCGGCCATACCGATTGATATCTGTGCCTGAAGTTAGGGAATCTTTGCTTGATATTGGAAAGCTGGTTTGAGTGGCAGGTTTTGTATGGGCAAGGGAGTGACTAGCTCTGTCGATTTGTTTTTTGGTAGGAAATTTGCGGTACAAGTATAAAGCAAAGAAATTCGGGACATCGTCGTATTGCTGAAGACTGCGGTTCCATTCGTTTGTAATCCTGGGTGGGTGAGTTGTTCCGCAAGAACAGTATGGCAGAATCGAGAACAGTCATAAGACTTCGTGACTTGCTGGCAACTGATTGCAGATCGTCCATTGCTGCCATGAACGAAAACCATTGTGCTTTCATGAATTAAATCTTGAAAGAATTGGGAATGATGCGAATTTCCTAAATGTAGAGATACCGATTCTGGACTTAGTGCTAGTAGACTGTATAGGTGGGTCATGACTCACGGGATTTGGTGGAGGCGAGGCTGAACGATAAAGGGGCTACATACAGCAACTGACTGAGTGGCCGATCAACGCCTAGGACTCGATATATTTCCAATTTGCCCAAAGGACCGATCAATATCGAGTTCTGAAATCAATTGAAACGCACAATCACATGATGCGTTCGTGCATTGTAGGTTCCTGTCTGCACGACTCTGTTGTTGTCGGGAAGGAACAGACAGTCTCTTCAATGCGCCTGCTTGGGGTTCTCGACTCCCGATTCCGACTCATTAGTACCTCAAATAGTCCCCATCATTCGGCAAAGCCCTCATCGCACTCTACTCGGAGGGAAAATACCCAACCACAGTCACTTTTTTCACTCTCGCAGGTCATTTCTTGGGATGCCTGAGCCACTCCTTTGGTGATAGATACTCTGACATTGCTATTTTCTCCCCTTGTCTTGCTCCACGGAGTACCCAACCTTGCGTCTGATTCTCTAACTAGGATGGAACCACAGCCAAATCCAAGAGGGGACTTGTCACTTGCCACAATCCAACCCATCTCCTACTACTCCAAATCTGATCCGAGTCTGGCAGGCTTCAAGCACCATCGCATCACCTCATACGCCGTTCCGTTCAAGAAATCAAAGAAGCTCCAATGCCATGACTGGATCTTTTCAACGGCCTCAAATACCCATGTCGCGATAGACCGGGCCTCTTTCAAGACTTATGTGTCCTTTACATCATACGTGCTCACTGTATCTGATCAGCGTCAAGTCGCAGTCCGGGGCATTGGATCAGTCGAAATCAAGATACGTCGAGCGGCTGGCAGCAAAGAAATCCACACGATCCATCTGGACAATGTTCTTCATGTTCCGGATTGGATGTGCAACATCTTCTCCGACATTTTCTTTACGCCGGATAAAGACTATGAGCATACCTGGACTCGATTCGGTGTCAACTTTTCAAAGAAAGAGAAAGCCTACTCCAGACCATGGGGATATACCGAAAACTTTTGCGGCCTTGATCGTCTGGTTCTTTCCAAGCTTCCACATGGTCGAAGCCCAATGTTGGAGGATCCTGATCGCGAAATTTTCTCCATCAGCCTTAACTTTCCACAAAGCCAAAACGACAAATGGAACAACGCACTTGCTGCTGAAGTGAAGAAAGAAGCAACCAGATATGAAAAATCCCTATCGAAGAAGCAGAATTCCCCGATCAAAGAGTCGGAGAAAGACAACACACCGTCAGAAGACGAGACGATCAAGAAGATTTCGCTGGAAGGAAAGTTGAAGAGGGTAAGGAGCAGCACTCTAACCGACGGAGTGAAGTGGAGATTGATGCCAGACATTTCCATTCTCTCGGCACATATGAGAAATCAATCGGCGAACAGCTTGAATGAACTGGAGGGAGACTTTGACTTCCTGAAACGAGTATCCAGCGTGAACTTTCGACCACAAAGCGTCCGATAAATCGTTGATGGCTGAGGGCCGCTACCGAAGATCAAAAGAGCGAACTCACGTTGAACACAAGCCAGTGGACAGTCTGAATATGGATTCTTCTTGACAAGGTATTCGCACTGTTGCAAATGTTATGTTGAAGGCTTTGATATACATAGGATTGTCCAATGATGGGAGACGATGATAACAAATGCAGCTGTTGGCAGAGAGAGTGTCCTCGTCAGACACATCACGAGGACGCTCCGCATAGCTGCTGAACTCTACTTCATCCAGTTTAATATGGATAATAGTCATACAGTACCTCTCACACTACGATCAAATATCGATCCGAGGGGTGCCTTATGCATCTGACGATTCTGTGGTCAAGCGGCAGGCTGGTGATAACTGGTTCATCTTACGTGAGACGGACAATTCATTGGCGTATCCAAACCACCATGCGCGCCAAACTTGGCCGTGGATGGTTGTGCCCAACATCGAAACGCAGGATGAGTAGATGATAATGGACGAGTGCGTGATTCCAATTTCTCCTCTTAAACCATGACGTTCGTTGTGTCGGTCAGTGTATCAGTCTGACCTCCTTTCCGGGCTCCCAGTCGTCGAGCCCTTGCTGCAAAGTGCGCCAATAATTCAACCTCACGCACTCGGTCTTCGCGGCGTTGACGTTCTCCGCCTCAAAGGCGCGAGCCAGTTTCTGCTCCGCCTCCTGTATTCTCTTGCGGTTTTCGATCTTCAGCGCATCGATCTGTTCCTGATCATGGGCCGCCTCAATCGCCTCCTGCGCCTCCATGACCTCCATCAGCGTAGCTTGATCGGTCACGCCCCGGTGCGTCGAGTTGTCTTCGCTGGTGATGTCGATGTTGTAAGTATGTTCCAGGAGGTAGCGAGCGCGCAGGAGAGGGTCGGATAGCGTTTTATATGCGTTGTTGAGGAGCGATGATAAAGCCAGGGATTTCGAGTGCTGAGTTGGTGATGTGCTGTACTTGTCTGGGTGGTGCTGCGATTGGAGTTGGAGGAATTCGCGCTTCAGGGTGCCCAGTGGGATAGCGAAGGACCCTGACGGTGGTGGGCCCGAGGGGAGGGTTGAAGGGAACAGTGTGTAGAAGTTTGTGATGTCTGGGATTGTAGGGGACGATGGCTCTGCGACCCTGCTAGTTGAAGTTGATGATTGCTGTTCTTGCAATATTGTGTGGGCCGTGCTAAGTGCTCTGCGTTGATGCAGTTGATGCCTGGGAGGGGGAATATGCGCTCGTGTGATTGTAGGTCCAGGGCTCGCGCGTATTGACTTCATTGTCGGTGTGCGAAGATGAGGCGTGGTGACGGGTTCGGCGGCATCGCACAAACGGCGCAAATATCGAAGTGTCTGACTTGTGACCACGGTTCTGGGCATGGCGACGTGATCGAAGACTGTATGGGACAAGTTCAAGGATTTTCTGGCCAGGGCTATAGTAGAGAGAGGTCGACCAATCGATATATGGGCTATCGCGACATATGGTTCAGGTGGCTGCGAGGAAATTAATCAACGTCATGCGTTTATAACCGCCGCAATCGGAGTGAGACTCGGCCGACGGCTCGGACTTTCCAGGGGCAGTTGGGGGAGAGATCTGCGGGGCCCTCGAGGAGTCGCCGGTTATAACGCACGTGTATGTACTGATACACGGAGATCTAATTATTAAGCGACACAACAGGGCTAAGTCTGGGCGCCACGTAATGAAGCACCCTAGAATGAAACACGCGGTTTTACGCGTTCCAAAGAGTACTCTTCCTCTTCTACACCTATCTACTCTACCAATCTATCTATTTATACGATAAAATGGCCTCAAATCGAGAGACTAGAATGCTCCACTTATATCCGACTACAAAAATCGCCGATATACTAGTATTCGCGCTGCCGCGGCAGCAAATGATGTCAACCATGTCAGTCTCGGCCGTCGACTACGAGATGGTATTTCACGAGTAATTGCTCGTGAGCCACAGCAACTACTATCAAATGAACATGAGCAAATACTCGTACGATGGATACTCGACCTTGAGGCGCAAGGACACCCTCCTAGCTTTACTCAAGTACGAGAACTCGCCGTAATTGTCTAAGACAATTCTACGGGGCCCTTAAGTATCGGCCAAAAATGGATATTACGATTTATTCATCGTTATCCTGAGATCCGCTCTAAAGTAGATAAAAAGATCTACGGATTACGACTTTATTGGTTTAAGCATTTTAATGCTGTACGAGAGCAATATTAAATTTCATGCCTAAATATCTACAATATGGACGAGACAGGCATCGCATTAGGTGTTTATAGTAACTAACAAATAGTTAGTAAAGCAACTACTACTTCATTATATAAAGCAACACCAGAAAACCGAGAATGGGTATCGATTATCGAGACAATATCAGTAAATGGCCGTCGACTTCAATGCCTCGTTATATTTAAAAGAAATATGCTTCAATCGACCTGGTTTACCGATCCTGACACTCCTAGCTATTTATATACGGTATCGCCAAATGGATGGACCTCAAATGACATTGGATTAGCCTGGCTACGTCAAATATTCATTCCACAATCAGCAACGGATGATTATCGACTACTTCTTCTTGACGGACATAAAAGTCACGCTATATACGAGTTTATATGGGAATGCCATATATATCGAAGTGTCCTGGTTTATTTAATCCCTCATTCAAGTCATATTCTACAGCCACTTAATCTTACTTACTTTTCAGTCCTAAAACGTCGCTATCAGAGTGAATTCGAATCTGATTGCGCACAGTTACGAGACATCAGAAAGGGCTTAAAGGACCAAGAAGAAGTCAAGTGAAGTATCGAAAAGAAGAAGGAACTAAAGAAGGAGGCGTGATGCCTCAGAAGACTGGTAGTCAAGAGGGGGTCAAGCCCCGGGATTACCAGCAGACCAAGCGCAACAGAACAGTTGCGAACATCACCGAAGAGCTTAAAATGCTTACGAGCTCTGCGGAGATCATCGAGAAGAATGGAGAGGAGGCCCTAGTGCCGAGGAAGAGTGGCCTGGAAAAGCTTATAAGGTGATCGAGGCGGAACTACTCGTAACGAAGAGTACTCGCCTGGTATAAAGGGAAAGGAGGAGGTAGTGTCTGTAGATAGTAGGGTTTTCTACCCCAAAGGGGTTTCCTACTATAGAATTAGATAGTTTTCCCGAAATAAGCCTACTAAGAGGCTTCTAGGTGTAAGAATAAATCAATTAATCAATCAAATATCGCTACAGGGATGAAATTGCTAACTTAGCCAGGTTCGACGACGCCTCGGCCATAAAGAAGAGCAAATTTCTTAAAACCTATGAAAAAGCAAGCAATGAGGGTCTATCATCATTCCGTATCCGTACGGGATGGAATGCGGCTGGTATCTATCCCTGGGACCCTCGTAAAGTCATTCAATCTCACTAAGTCCTACAAGATAGCCAAAACAGCCAAATACTACCGACGACACCGCCATCACGCAGGCTAAATCGTATGAACTAAGCACTATTCATACACCTCAAAATCACCGTGAAATACGACAGGAAACGGAGTCAATTTCAATGCGTGAAACGCTTTCTCGATCAGTCCGTTTACTACTCAATAAACCGGCAAAGTTCTCGATCGATTACATTGGGATATCACGCTTAAATCACAGCAACTGGCTATTCAGCGTACACAGCTAGATGAGCTAGTCGCTAGGAAACAACCGCGAGTCAGAATCGACTGTAATGAGGTTTTTGCGAGTATCGAGACGATTAGACAGGCCAGGCAAGGTATAGAGGCCTTGGAGGCGACAGCGAGGTCTACCACGCATACCAATACTAGAAATCGTACGCGGAATAGACAGTTGGATGACACCCTAGCACCGATCATATATCAATTCAGTGCCAATGAGTCTGTAGAACAGCCAAATCATGATTATATCGCTGCGGTGGCAAAAACTACCACTGTTTCATTACTAGGGTGTGGTGTTTCATTACGTGGCGCCCAGGCTTACTGTACTCCGTACTGAAGATGCTGGATTGAGATAATTATGGAGACAATATTGTTGTTAGGAATGGCCCCATGTCACTTATCATTAACTTTTCTTTGCGATTCCGTTTATCCTTCTCCCATCATTCATAAGTTTATAACATGCTTTTCATAAGCGGTGGCATCAGATTGCCCTCAGCTTACCTCAGCAAAGATTGTTCTTCTCGCTGGGAGTGTCCAGACTTCATGAAGACTCCTCCCTTCGTCATGATCCGAACATTCTACTCGCGTCGAGAGTCGAACTGAGCATTGCTCCCGCTTCAGCCCTCATCTGCATTGCGATAATTGGAGCACCGGGTTGTCCACCAGGCCCTGTTCCGTACACCTGCTCTCCAAACAACCTCATCTGCATTGGCATGTTTGTATCACCGTAATGCCCGATGATCTGCGCTTTATCCGCCTTTTGTGACAATGAGCTCCATTCAATGACGTTTCTAACCTCCTCACATTGACTAGCTTTCTCACTGGATCACTATGGTGGTAGCAAGCCGTCTCTGCTCTCTGCGAGCCGGAGGAACTGGCGGAAGGCTTCAATACCGTTCGATGCATTCGCGTACAAGCTGCCCGCATTTCGTTTGCCCTCAAACTTGAAGTCATCATCCATTCGGAGTCTGTAGGTATCGATGAGGAGCTTGTATGTGTCTTCTTCTGGACGGTCATGGACCCATGCTCGGTCGTTAAGACGATGGAACGGTTTCTCAATGGCGACTGTAAGACCACGTGCACTGCCAGTGGCCGAGGCTGAAGACGGCCCTGTCGTGGATGCAGAGGCAGAGGCAGAGGCCGCTGCTTGCTTTGCACATACTTTTTTGTGTTCTTTCTAGTGTGCTTTTTGACAGTCACGAGAGTAGTATTGAGTTGTTTGACACTTGGCACAGCGTTTGAGGGTGGCACCTGTGTCAGCCTTGCTACAGGAAGCACATTGATCGGGACTAGCAGCAGACGCTGAGCTTGTGTCGGCCATAGTTTGTCCTTGAAATGTTATTCTTGCTTGTGAAGGAAAGAAGCTGGGCTGTTGGGAGGAGAGTCTGCCACACTACAGTGCACACAATATACAGACGTTTGCAGGCATTCACTGTACGGCACACTTCTGCGGTGTAGAGGCCCGGCTGGAATTGTGATATTTCTATAGAGTTAGATCGCCAAGCCTGCCGACAACCAGCTTGCATGATGTCATCAGACCATCTGTTGACGCGGCCCGTACTGCTCCCCTGCCACTTGAGGAAACCCACTACGAAGTACCTGCCGATCAAGCTCAAGCTCAGGTCAAAGAAAAGAGGCCTTAAAGAGTTGCCTCTATCTAGCATCATAACTTCTACTAGAACAAGATATTAGCTTGGTATTATATCTGATCACCTCGGAAATTCCTCTGACCTCTAGAGATCTCCCAGGAAGAACCAACTCTCTCGCAGAAACATGTCATACGACGACGATCGCCGTGGAAACTCTGGGCGGCCCGATCCTCGCGAATACGGGGGAGGCGGTCGAGGGGCTGACAACTACTATGATGAGACCAAAAATTTCGATGACAATGAGCAAAGCGTTGGCTACAGCAGACAAGGCGGGGGTCGTGATGGAAACGAATATGGAAGTCAAGGACAAGAAAACCGCGAGGGTCGTGGAGACGAATATTACCGTCGCCAAGAAAATCAAGAACAATACAGTGGGGACCAAGGGGGAGGGTATGACAACGAGCCTCCTCGTCGTCACGAACGAAGAAATGATGATCAGTATGGGGGCTCCTCTGGTGGTTACAGCGAAGGTCGTCGTCATGAGGGCCGCCAGGAGCAGGTCTCAGGAGGCTATGGCGAGGAACGTCCATATGAAAGGCGCCAAAACCAAAGCTATGTAACGAGTGGCCATGGTAGTGGTGGTGGAGGGCACCCTGGTGGTTATGGAGGATCGTCTGCCGACTTGGACCAAGAAGAAATCTTGCGCCAGAGCCAACATGGGAGCTCGGGAAATTCAGACCTCTTTTCCTCAGCTCTTAGTTTTCTGGGAAACAACAAGCAGAGTGCTCAGGCGGAAGAGATCGATGAAGGACGCTTACACCAAAGCCACCAGCAGCTGTATCAGCAAGATGGGGGCAATCAACAGCATGACGCGTCAAGCCTGGGTGCAGGGGCAGCAATGCAAGCCTTGAAGATGTTTTCGGGTGGCTCTGGGGGGTCCTCTGGTGGCTCCGGGTCACAGTCACAGTCCCAGATGATTTCAATGGCCATGCAGGAAGCATCTAAGCTATTTGACAAGCAGAATGGTCAAGGCAATGTGCAAAGCGGCACTGACAAGCAGTCTGTGATCAATCAAGCAGCCAAATATGCACTCCAAATGTACTTGAAAGGTGGAGGAGGTGGTGGTTCTGGAGGACTCATGAGTTTGGCCAGCAAGTTCTTGACGTGACGAGGATTATATATGGTCCGAATCAGGCACTCGTATTAGCTAGGTAGGATTCAGTAGTTGCAGTGCTTTATCTCCAGCGCGATAGAGTTAACAAGATTACCTAGACCTGTCATTGCCTCGTACTCCCATTGACGGGAGCCAAAAGTCCCTCTCAGAGGCCGGCGGCCGACAAAAGTCAACCTGGCTATGTAGAAGCTCAAGGTCTCGTTCGTTATCGCAATCAAGCAGACAAATCACTGCACCAACTAAGAACGGCCATGCACCACCACCCATATCATCAAGAAAGAGCTATCAATCTGTCAATCCTAAGCATTTCTGGACCTGGTGAGTTTCCCCGTGTTGAGTCAAACTAAGCCGCAGGCTCCCATTTTAAGGACCTACTATAATGTAGATTGTACCACCGAGTTTCCCCGGGGAGTAGATTATATCTTAAGCAACTCACATTACCTGTAGGGATGTTGTGATCCATGCCCATCCCCGTTTAGTCGTTGAACCTTCACCCTATCCACAACTCGGATTCGGGTGCTTGGCTGCGAATTGCCCTACATACAGATCGTTGTTACTATACCGCTGGCCGTTCCCCGCGCCCCTGGAGTCTTTCGACCCCTATGTTAGTAGAAATGTGCTTCAGGGATTTCCCGAACAATTTGAGGATGTTGCCACGACGTAGAGAGGGGCCCAGAACGGATCTCCCTAGGGACTCGCATTAACGACACACTACCGGACCTTGATCAGGCGACGGGCGCAGAGTTGACTACAGCTTGTAGGAAACAAGAGTTTAAGCCTGGTGGTGCCCTTCCGTCAATTTTCTTCAAGTTTCAGCCTTGCGACATGCTCTTTGGATTCCCTAACTTTTGCTCACTGATCAATGAAAACATAGGTAATCCGCAATGAGCCCATGCAACTCACCTCTCACAGCTAAGCACTGAAGCCCCTGACTATTCCTATTACTCACTATCGTTGGCCCTAAAACACAACAAATTAGAACAGATGTGGTATTCCATTCTGTAATCTGGTATCCGAGGTATGTTTGTACTCTGTATTGGGAGGTCCTCGTCGGCAAATGGAGAAACTGATTCTCCGGCACCAAACAAAGAAGGTCAAGCGAAGGCCTTAGTGGCAGAAAGCGATGTCATTGCCCCAGGGGACCAATAAGGGTCCGGCAAGCTTTGGGTTTGGCTTTGGAGAAGTTGAGAACCTGAAGGACAGGCGTTGCTCCTTCCTGTCTCCTGGATGTGGATTTTTGTGTTATTCTCCATCACTCCCACAACCTGGTCTCTGACATCTTCCACTTCCTTCAAAAGTCCCATCTGTCAGGGTTTGCCGTTGTCGATATCCTGTTTGTTCGCCTGTTCTGCTCCCGGCACTGTTTCACCTGCTTCGTTCATTCAGCGTCTCTTTGTCGCACACGTGTCTGGCGCAGATGCTGAGAGTACACACGTGAGGGGAAGTCCAGGAGCCAACAACCTCAGCCTTTTCTTCTGTCGACACCCATCGCACCATGAATCGAAACCCTTCTGATCACTGGCGTGGTCCGCCCGGTCCTCCTCAGGGCGAAGCTTTTGCTGATTTTCGAACCTTTGGGTATGTGAAGTAGCCACCTCCCTCCCCCATTCTCGTCTTGATCCCTTCCAAATCCCCACGCCGCACTCTCCTGCGCCAAATCACTCCATGATGGCATGATCCTGCCCTTCATCTCCTTGCATCTACTGACCTTGACTGTGATCGCATAGTCCCAACCCCCCCTCGCAGCCGCCGCACGTGCTACCTCCGCCGCCCTCATCGTATCATCAGCATCATTCCCAGCCTTCCGCCAGTCACAGCTTGTCCATCGCAGATCTGACACAAGGTCCTCCCAGTCATCAGCCGCAGCATCAATACAACACCCAGCCGCCCCCGCAATCGCAATCTCACCCCACAGGCCCCTCAGGACATCCACTCCCGCAGCACTCGCCTCAGTATCTCAATCGTGAAAGAGAACTGAGGGACCTCCGTGAGCGGGAGTTGCGTGAACATGAATTGAGGGAAAGAGAGATTCGCGAACGTAACAACCTGGAGCTTCATAGACAACAGGAAGAACTGATGATGAGAGAGCGCGAGGCACGCGAAAGAGAGCAGATGGAACGCATGCATCGAGAACAGCAACAGCAACAGCAGCGTCCTTTACAAAGTCATGCAGCTATCCCACTGCATCAACCAGTAGCTTCCAAAGTTCCAAATTCCATCCACGGCCCAAATGGTCTCCTAGCAAATGGTGGCGCGGGCGCTGTACAGTACAGTGGGCCTGCCTCATCTACGGGCAATTCCCTGTCTGGAGGACCCCCTCAACTCGAGCCTCAACGACAATCTCAATTCCTGCACCAACCACTTCCGGCACCTCCACATCAGAGTGCGCAGCTCATGCCTGGTCCCTCTCCATCGCAGACGTCTGCTCAGCTGGCCCACCAGGGCCAGCAACCAATTCTGAACGATGCGTTGAGCTACCTCGACCAGGTCAAGATGCGCTTTAGCGAACATCCTGACGTATACAATAGATTTTTGGACATCATGAAGGATTTTAAGAGCCAGGCAATTGACACACCTGGGGTGATTGAGAGAGTCTCCAATTTGTTCAATGGCCATCCGGCATTAATCCAAGGCTTCAACACATTCCTCCCACCGGGATATAGAATCGAATGCGGAACTGACGATAATCCAGACGCTATTAGAGTAACAACTCCGAGTGGTACCATGACTCAATCCCTGCAAGGTAGAGGCCGCGCGCTTTTTGAGCCAGCAGGAATTGCTTCATCAGCTCAACCACCAGCTAACCGACAGGATCCCTTCGAGAGCCGACATGGTTGGGGTCAAGCACTAGGGACTTCCCCAAGTGCAAGATCTGCCGAGTTACCTGGTTACAAACCACCACTTTCCGACCGACCGATAGATGAGGTAGCAAGCGCGATCAGTCAACAGGAGCAGCGTGGTGTCTCACAGCTGCAAAATGCAGTTACTGCAGTTACCAATGGCGCCACAAGACCTGCACTCGCCGGCTCTCCAGGTCCAGGTCAACAAGCTAACTTCACTGCTCAAGGTGCTTTATTCGGCGGTAATTCAGCTGGCTTGAATGAATTGAAACGCGGGGGGCCGGTTGAATTCAATCATGCTATCAGTTATGTGAATAAAATTAAGGTTGGTTTCCTATTGTTCCTTGGTACATTCTAGCAGACATTCACTGACCTGTGACAGAACCGTTTTGCACAACAGCCAGAAATTTACAAACAGTTTTTGGAGATCCTTCAGACTTATCAACGTGAGTCAAAGCCAATTGGGGACGTCTACTCTCAAGTCACTCAATTGTTCCATTCTGCACCCGATCTACTGGAGGATTTCAAGCAATTTTTACCTGAATCAGCTGCCCACGGCAAGGCACAAGCTGCACGCGCAATGGCGCAAGAAGAGCAAACAAGTAATGTTCGAGGAGAGTCAAGTTATGCTGCAGCCGTGGTTCCTCAGGCTCAGACTCCACGCCCCGCCTCCAAAATGCCACCTATGGGACAATTCGATCCTCCGAGTACCAGCAAAGACAACAAGAAGCGCCGGGTTGCGCCCGGAACAGCTATCACATCTCAAAGCGCAGCTCAACCCGCTGGTGAGGCTTCATTGACACAATCATCGAGGGCTGCTCCAATTCAAGTTGGTAACGCAAGCAAGGTAAGTCCATCCCCAGAGTTCGAAGGCCTCACAAGGAGCCCATCTATCTGCAATCATGATGTACTCTGCTAACTTTGTTCAAAGCGGGCGAAACTCACCAACCAACGTCAACCTCAAACTGATGTCATTGTCACGTCTCCAACGCTTGTTCCACACGCCCCAGAGCCTCTCCCTCCTTTCCCAAGCATGCCTACGACTCAGGAGGAGCTTGGGTTCTTTGACCGAGCGAAGAAACACATCAATAATCGCGCGAGCTATACCGAATTCCTGAAGCTTCTGAACCTCTATTCTCAGGATTTGATTGATAAGTACACCCTGACAGATAGAGTCATGTCCTTCATCGGAGGCAATCAGGATCTTATGTCTTTCTTCAGGAGTTTCCTTAATATCGAAGAGCAGGAGGAAGTGGTAGAGGCTCGTGCTCGACCTGATCCTGGTCGAGTTAATCTTGCCCACTGCCGTGCTCTTGGACCAAGTTATCGTCATCTTCCAAAGCGCGATCAAAACAAGACCTGCAAAGGCCGAGATGGGATGTGCTACGAAGTTCTCAATGACGTTTGGGCCTCCCACCCAACCTGGGCGTCGGAAGACTCAGGCTTTGTTGCACATCGGAAGAATCAGCACGAAGAAGCCCTGCATAGAATTGAGGAAGAACGTCATGATTACGACTTCCACATTGAATCATGCCAACGCACCATTCAGTTGATGGAGCCCATTGTGCAACAGATTGGCGTGATGAGCGATGCTGACAGAGCCCAATTTGTTCTCTCACCCTGTCTTGGTGGCGCCAGCGAAGCTATCCCAAAGCGGATCATTATGAAAGTTTATGGTCGTGATGTTGGTGCTAAAGTCCTCCAAGAACTCTTCTCACGACCCACAGCAGTTCTTCCAATAGTCTTGGCTCGACTGAAACAGAAATTGGAAGAATGGAAACAAGTCCAGCGTGAATGGGAGAAGGTCTGGCGAGATCAGATTCACAAGCAATTCTGGAAGAGCCTTGATCATCAGGGCATCAATGCTAGGAACATGGACAAAAAGAACTTCCAGCAGAAGACGCTCACCAGTGAGATTCAGGCCAAGTACGAGGAAAGCAAGAAAAATCGGGAGAACGGCGTCATCACCGACAAATTTCAACTCGAGTATCACTTTCAAGACCTTGATGTGATTGCTGACGCAACCCGTTTGGTACTTGTATCCTTGGAATCAGAGCGCACCCAATTCAATGCTGGTGAACAGGAGAGAATACGAGCCTGGTTCACAGACTTTGTGCCACGCTTCTTTGGCCTTGATACTGAGAAATTCCTTGAACAAATGGACACCGAGGTCGCCAGAAACAGAGAGCATGATGATGGTCCAGATGGTCATGAAAGTGACGCTCCAGCCCCTACCAAGGGCAAATCAGGCCGAAAGTCCGACTGGCTTCGACGACAGGCACTAGAACGGCGTCATGGCAAAGAAGATAGCGTGGCCTCGGCAAGCAAAGAGTCCACGCCAATGCCAGGAGCTACCAGTGAGGTTGAAATGGAAGACGACACAACGAGTTCGGACGTGGCGGATGGCCCTCAACATCCCTGGATTAATATTGCAAACAACGACCATTCCGCACGACATTTGGCGATGGACGAAGCATACGAGCATACCACATTCAACCTGTATGCCAACGCCAACATCTACTGCTTTTTCCGCCTATTCGAATCAATGTACAGTCGACTCCTTGCGATTAAACAAAACGAAGCAAACGTTCAAGAAGCAGTTTCACGATATCGTGGAACAAGTGGCCGGGTCAAGCCAGCTATTGAACTGCGCATGATTGACAAAGGTCCTGAGTATTTCTTCTACAGCGTCGATGGCAAGCAGAGATTCTACGGTCAAATCTTGCAGATGTGCGAAGAGGTCCTGACCGGCCAAGGCGAGTTAACACACCTTGAGGAGACATTGAGAAGATATTACAACAAAACCGGATGGCAACTATACACTGTTGACAAGCTAGTGGGTGCCATCTTACGATTCATCATGAACATTCTCGGTGGAGATGCGAAGGACAAGAGCGTCGACATCACCAACCTCTTCTTGAAAGACAGAGAACGTCCCGATACCACACGAAAGCAAGAAATCCAGTACAGAAAACAAGTTGAAAGATTATCCAAGGATGGTGAAGTCTACCGTATCAGCTACGTAAGTGTTCTGTCCACACTTCCATCCCATGCGACTGACTAACACCCTGCAGATACCAAAAGATCAAGTGTGCACAATTCGCTTATTCCCCTCTGAGGATGCGACCTTCGACAGTGATTCCATGACCGCTGAATCCCGCTGGCAATACTATGTCGCATCTTACACCATGACCGATGCAACAGAGGGTGTAGATCAAGGACGCGTGCGACCATCGTATCTACGACGTACCCTCGCTCCTCAAAATGCCAACATCGAGGCAGCATACAATGAGGTATATGGCAATCTCGCACACTTTGACGAACAAACAGCTTTCATCAGTCCAGAGACATACAAGTTGCTTCTACACCACGACTTTGGCTTTATACGACATCACACCAACGGGGGCCCGGTGGTCAAACAGTATGAGATTGGCAAGGTTGAAGAGAATGAGAGATTCCGAGAAAAGTTTGTGCGCAACACAACGTGGATGAAGGACCAGAGAGCTGAAGATGTCGAACGTCGGAAAGCGACCTGGGAAAGGGGGCTCAAGGATGGGCATTACGACTTTGACGACCAGGCTTGAGGATTGGGCGAAGAGTTATAGAATTGACGGCACTCGATAGCTCATCGACCAATCATGTACTCAGTATTTGGGCCGGTGGCTGGAACTACGAAGCTCATTCGGGCGTGAGAAGATGATTGCGGCGTCTGAGGAGAACACTACGAGGTAATGACCGTGACCTAGCAAAAGATTTTGCTTGATCATTTTCAAGGGATATGGGAATGATGTCTGTATATCGAAGTGAATCGGAACATCTCATCTGAGGTACTCAATGCTAACCGTCATGGGCAGATGTCCTCACTCCTGAGGAGTATATGTATGCAGATGCTCCATGCAATATACTCATTAATAAACGCGGTATTATGATGTAGGAGTAGCGGTGCCGTGTGTTCCACGGGCTATTTCACTAAGACGCCGATGACTGACATCTAGCCATTTAGAAATCGGTCTAATACGAAACTCAACCGCAGGGAAAAGGAAACAGGCATTCTGGAAACCTGTCAGAACGTAATAAGACAGGTCGTGTGCACTTCCCAGTTCCCACGCGAGTCTCGAGATGGCCTGTGAAATATGTAAAAGCCTAATGGAAGCTGAGGCCTCGGAGTCCACCTGAAGTTAATCTGTGTCGAGGCGTTGCGTTGCTTCTCTAGAAGTACTTTGTACATGAAGTCTCTTTCCTGGTTTTGAGAGCTGGTGAAATGTCCACCAAACTTGAGGTAATTGTTGACATACAGAGGCTTTACCCGTTCCGTTGATGATGGCGACAACGGTCAAAGGGTGGCACAATCTTACAAGCAAGAAATAATGGAGCATGATGATGTCGATCATTCACGAAAGTATGCTTGGAAGGCCTGGGCACCTTGGTCAAGTAATACTATTTCACGATTTGCATGACGGACAGTGGCCCACGGAGATTGCGAATATGACAGCAGTCAACCGCAGGGATCACTCGTGGAGGACAAGGGGTGGGCCATGGGACAAAGAGGAAGGTCAATCTCGGTGGTCTGGGAAACTAGGGCATACACAGTCATGTTTGCCCACAGCGGCCGCGTTCTTGTGGCCGGGGTTGAAGCGGCCAGGACTCCAGGAGAGACAATGGCTCTCACCAAGACATGGGTTTGGAACAAGAAAATGGAGAAGAGATGAAGATGTGGTCGCAGTGCAATCTTAATGGCGTCAAACCAAGCTTTTGCCCAGGCCCAGTGTGGAATGGTACGACGGAACAAAAAATCTCCGGGATGCCCCTTTGGCCCCCTTTTTCTCGCAGTCTTCAACATTAACCGTGACCTGCACACATCCATTCGCTATCTTGATCGCTCTCCACCTGCCGAATCCCTGCGCTGTGCTCTAACTTCGCTTCGATCTGAGCCTCCCCTCCACGCTTCCTCCAATGGTCAGAGTGCTGTAGCACCTCATCTTGCATGCATCCCAGCGCCTCCCTCCAATGAATCAATTGGCAGACGCGGATACGTCTGGTACCCTCTCTATGTGGCTGTTTCAGGATGGCCAACCTCCCGCCTCCCGTCACCTTCCAGAGGGCCAGTTGGATCCCAAAAAGGGCCCTTCCTTGTACGAAAGCCCCGGTCTTTGAGCATGGACAACGTGTTCGTCACAACCTGTCAGAGCCGATAAGTCGGTGTGCGAGCGCCCTCTGGCGTGCTAACGGCCTGGGGAGGTACCGTTCAATCTGTTGACTTTCCAAGAGACCGGACCCCGTATGCGGTGCTCGCAGAGCTGTTGGTTCAATGGTCCCATACCAACTAGTTAGTACGCTTCGCTTGCGTGGCTTGTCTTTTCCCTCAATCAAGCTTGCGCTGTTGGTCCGGCCAATGATCCTGCTGCGTGGCAATGGGCAAACGAACCAGCCTTGTCTGATTCCAGGCCCACTTGGAAATTTAACTCCAATCCTAACCATGCTAGGGCCTGCATGTACACATTCCAGTAAGTTGGCTTTTTTGGTGCGATTGCTAGCATCCCATTTCCTTTAGCGCCCTCCTGTGAACAATTGTTGCGGGCCTCTCAAAAGGTAAACCCCATGTCGAATGTGGATCCCTCGTGCTCGTCTGCTCGCTGCTCACCGTCCTCACTGCCTATATGCAGCTGGTTGTGCCTCTCTCACACACCTTCTTTTCCTCCTTCGCAAGGCTCTACGCACGGTCAATTGAGTTCTTCGAGAGCAGTCGCCGTCCGACGTTTTCGCTTCCCATCTCCCACTACCGCGCCACTCCTTTCGCGGGCATTCGTTTAACCAAGCACCAAAAGAATCAAACCGGTCTAGAATCCCCTCCGGATTTAGAAAACAACACAACAATTACTAGTAATATAGGAGAAACATTGGAACCAACATCAACATGAGAGCTGTTACAATTGCCGCTGCTGGTGCAGCCGTTATCGGATCGGTTTCTGCCTCAAGTCATGTCGAGGACAGGCACGCTCAACTACACAACAAGGTCGCTCGGGATACCTGGCTCGACTGGAACTCGACCAGCGTCGACCCCGTTGACGGCGGTAGCACCACCACTGGATGGGGTTCCAAGCCTGTTGACCTTGCCACCACTTCCACTACCAAGAAAGTGGCGGCCAGTTCAACCACTACCACTGCTGCTGCTTCTGTGACCTCTACCAGTGAAGACCACACCTGGGAGGACTGGAGCTCCTCGACCACCACCACCACCCCCAAGAAGCCTGTGGACCCTGCCACTACTTCTAGCTCTGAGGACCATACCTGGGTTGATTGGGAGTCCAGCAGCACCTCCAGCAAGCCTGTAGACCCCGCCAAAACCACCAGCACTGAAGAGCACACCTGGGATGACTGGGAAGAATCCACCACATCCAGCAAGCCCGTGGACCCTGTCACCACTGGAGACTACACCTGGGATGACTGGACCAGCAGCAAGGTCGTTGATCCTGCGACTTCATCATCTGTTGATCCAGACCACACCTGGGTTGACTGGGTTGAGCCAACCACCACCATCACCTTGAAGTCGACTGTGACGACTACCAAGTATGTCGAGCCAGTCACAACCTCCAGTGTGGCTGCTGAATCCACCTGGGCCGATTGGGAGTCGAGCGCTGCTGTGCTTTCCAGCAAGCCTGTAGCCCCAGTGACAAGCCTTGTGACCTCAACCATTGTTCCTGGCTGGTCTTCCGCAGGATGGTTCGGCCCATCATGGGCCCCTGTTGCCCCGGGCTCGTGCGCTGTATCCGTTATCACCTCCTATGGTCTTCCAACCTGTAAGTATCTTGGTTCCTGCATTGGGATTTCGACGCTAACGTAATCCCAGGGCGCCCGGTCGCTGATCCCGTCACGTCAACCACCGAAACCTGGAGCGACTGGACTTCATCAAGCGCAGCCGCCGCCTCGACTACAAGCACCAGTAGTGAGACCTGGGCTGACTGGACTAGCTCATCTGTCGATCCCGTGGCCTCGACCAGTACCAGCACCAGCACCAGCACCTGGGACGACTGGGTTTCGACTTCATCTGCAGCTGTATCTTCCGCTACTGGAGGCGGTTGGGGAGTTCCCAGCTCGTCTGCGGCTGTATCTACCACTTCTGCTGGTACATGGCCCAAGCCAAGCGGCGGAAATGGTGGTGGCTATCCTGGCATCACCCCCAACGGTGACTCTTGGGGCTTGACCTATTCTCCATATACCGCTCAAGAGGGTTGCAAGGACGCGGGTGTCATTGCCAAAGACCTTGCCATTATCGCGGCAAAGGGCTTCTCCACTGTCCGCGTGTACAGCACTGACTGCAACACCCTGGAGAACATCGGCAAATCTGCTCGTGACAACGGATTGAAGCTCATCCTTGGTGTGTGGGTCTCCTCGACTGGTATTGGTGCTGCCAAGGGTCAAGTTGACGACATTGTGCAATGGGGACAATGGGATCTTGTCGAGCTGATTGTTGTGGGTAACGAGGTCCTCTTCAACAACATTGCCTCTGCCGGTGATCTTGCCGGATTCATCTCCAGCAGCGCATGGGCATTCAAGGCCGCAGGCTACACCGGACCTGTCACCACAACTGAGCCTCTTTCCGTTTGGGAGGACAGCAAGAACGCAGCTGCCCTGGGTAGCGTCATCGATGTTGTCGGTGCCAACTTGTATGCTTTTTTCAACGCGCAGATCTCTGCCGACAAGGCCGGCAAATTCATCCAAGATCAGATCAACATTCTGAACGGACTATTCCCCAGTAAATCCATCTATGTTTTGGAGTCCGGATGGCCACACGGCGGTAACGCCAACGGTGCTGCCGTACCCAGTCCTGAGAACCAGGCCATCGCCCTCAAGGGAATCCAGAGCGCCGTGGGTGCTCAAGTCGTGTTCTTGAGCTACGAAGATGAGCCATGGAAGGAGCCTGGTCAATTCGGTGTCGAACAATTCTGGGGCTGTGCTGGTGTTTTCTAGATGCATTGCATTCCCCATTGCCTTGTAGACAATGACAGGTAAATCTGGTGGATCACTTGCAGGTTGAACGAACCAAGGTCGAAAATCAAGGGGGGTCGAGCAAGAACGGAGTACACAGATTCATGGTTGTGGCCGTGTCGAAGCAAGAGCATTTATGATGGTTTTTTTGTTGATAGTTCTTCCCAATTTTCGTGTACAATGTTTAAACATACCTACCTGCCTTGCTAGTATTGTTATTGTTATTGCTTTGGCCTTTGCTGAGATGTCTTTGTCGATCAAACTCGTCGAGGTGTACGGAGTAGTCCTGTGTCTGACTGTTGGAGGTGGGAGTGTTCTTTGTCGCGTTCGTTGTCGAAGTGACGGCACGCGACGTATGTTCAACCAGGCGCTGCGTACGGGAGTCCGGAGTCCGGAGTACTTCCCTGCCCTCAGCGGCCATGGTGAACATCACGTGGGTAGCACGTGTCGGAAACGAACCAGCAGTTGCACTACGAGTAAATGGCAGAGGCACAAATGCCATCCCATGTACCGGCCTTGGATCTATTCAACACCTTCGGCTTCACAAGCCTTCATCGTCATTGGGAATGCTTCGAGCAGATCGGATGGTGAGAGCCCTTTCTCTTCTTGTGGTCGTGATTACCCGTCATTGTATTTCTCTCCAGATCAACCCGTCTTCGTCGCCAGATCATGCCACGTCAGGCTGAGCAGTCAGTATCCGGTCGCCGGATACCAATTCTTGACCCAAATCAACGGACGGCAGCTGTCAACCTCACTGGCTCCGATTGGCCACTCTTCGCGTCTTCTGACGGGATATATCTCATCTCTGCGGTATCATGCCCAACCTGGACAGCCAACCCTAATTCGGTGCTTGAGCCCTTGATTCATGGTTCAGGTCTTGGTGAACCCCCTAGAATCTTACCTACCTTGCGGCCGCTCAACCCTGCTCGTTTCCGCTGAGTCGATCGACTCCTTCCCCAGATTTCATCGTACCCCGGCCACGTACAGCTCCACCACTCATAGCGCTGAACGTTGTTGCAGAGACCATCAGTTACCTGTCTAGCCCAAAGCTAGTCCCTTGCATCAAGCACACATGTCAACTAATGCTTGTTGGGTGTTAATGAAAAGGCAACCTTGCAGACAAGAAAAGGCATCCACTAATGCATGGTGTTTCACGCTTGACAGGTCAGTCGAATAAAGTGCTGTTCTTTGCATCGCCGCAGAAGCGGGCTCCTTGCTGATACATATAAACTGCTCGTTCTCATCAGCAAAACTCCAGTTGCAAGCTGCTGACTTTATTCGACTTTGCAATGTCAAGAGACAACGCGGCACAACCCGCTGCAACCCCCTGTCAACACCCTTTTCAACGGACACATGACTCGTTGGCTTAGGTTGGTCTGTTGGTCTGCCACGTTTTTCTGACTCGGAGACTTGGGCAAGAAAACCCCCGACTCATGATTGCGATTGATAATAATTAAACGCAATCGACCGACCGCACCTTTTGTCCGGTGGCCAACCCCCCACCTTATACCTCCAAAGCTGCCGACAATTGCCGCAGAGCCTCATCCTCGGGAAAATTCGAAGTCTGGATCAGCGATTGTTAGTCCTTGCCTATCAAGATCTAGTCCAAAAACTTTCCCGTGTTTTTGACGGGATGTGGCTCATGCCATCTCGGATTTGGGAAGGCTGTTTCTCTCAATGCGTCGCTACCATGGCAGTCAGCCTGGATAAGTCGGACCGTTTACTTGTCCATCATCGGCCCATGGAGCACTACAGGGTAGGTGTCTCGCCCGTCGCATGGTATGACATCCCTTGTGTCAACTCGCAACCTCAGCTAGCGAGAGCCACAGGCCGACAAGTGACGTCTACGTTGAGACTGAAATAAGTCTACCGCCTATGATATGGAAAGAGCGCACAAGCTCTTGTTCAGATTGGTCCGAAGATACTGATTGATGGATACTTATTGAAGCCCAAAGGTGGCACAAACCTCGAGTCCTCTAGTATGGAAACCTGTTCCGACCTGCGTTTAGGCGCTAGAGTTGAGTTTCATGTCCCCAATTTGCTGTGTCTCCGGCGGCAGGACGCACATCAAGGTGTGCATGCATGCGCCAAGTACGAATTCAATTTGACGCGAGGTGCCGGCGCAAGGTTTCCCTGTTCGAACTGTAGTTCTTCGGCTTTTCCCTGATCGACCGGGTGCAACCTTTTATTATCTCCATGGTCCGCGTGGTGTAAGACTGGCTTCATTTTCTAATAGTTACTCCATCAAGGCGACGGAGGATTGACTACAGTACTTGTTTCAGTCGCAGCTCGCCCTCAACATGGCCATACGTGGCTGGCCCTTTTCCCTACAAGTTTCGCATATTAAGTACGAGGACGACCCAACGGACGCCTCAGATATGCCTGGAGGGAACTGGCGTCCACCATTGCGCAGCACCTGCTTCAAGGTCCAGTCCACGACCGGCAAGTATATCTGGGACCCCGGCCGAAATTCTGATGCCCCGCGCATGTATCGCTTACGTCGACCGAGCGCAGCTGAGGAATCACGACTCCAGGTATATAGCACTGGAACAATGTTCTGGGACCCCTACACCCACAATTACCTACACATTCCTCTGGACTGCACGAAGAAAAACGTCACAGATTCAGGACACTCCTGGACATACCCTGGCTTTGGAATCTGTCAGTCGGCTGGGCAAAATGATATTGCAATAATCAGACATGTCGGAGAGCACAAGCAGCTCCCTTTGCCAGGTCCCAATTCGTGGTTTAAAAATGAAAGGTTGCTCCCAATCACTTTCCAGCCACCACCAGCGCAGGGTCTCTGCAGACTTGCAGGAGAGCTTGACATCTTGATTGCCTTGATCGCGTTCTCCACAACGCCGCAGTGCACTCTACAAGCAATCGATCGGTTATTTAGGCCGGATCCGAGGACGACGGGATTCAACCCAAATTGGGATCTCCCTCTTGACGACAGTAAGTCATTGTAGTAGTTTAGATATGTGTGATCATACTGATGGTGTTTGTAGGACGTCAGCGCAAAGGCCTCCTTGTCGAGATAGGATACGACCCCACAACGACCAAACGATCGACTCTAGCTGCATGGGAACGTGGTCAACATGGTGAGATTTTTAGCTGAGAAGCAAATACGTTATCACATAGAGAAAGTCAGCTCCATACGTGAGGAAACGAAGCATGGAAGTGTAGTAAAGGATGGGCGGACGGTAATCGAACACCCTTCTCGAATGCAGTGGAGTGCCGTTGGGCAACTCAGATGCTGCGATCTCTGGATGCCACGTGGAGCCGGGGGAGGCTATTTTCTTGCGCTTTCTTTTTGTTGTTCATGTCTCCTCGGATTGCTGATACCAGGTCAAGGATGATTTGGCTTGACTCAGCCCAAGCAAGGACATTCACTTTGTTGAGTGCGAGGTACTGCTTGAGTCGTACTTTGCACAACCTGTCATTATGGAAGCCGGTATAGTCCAAGCATGCCACCGGTGCACGGAGACGAAATCTACGGATGCTTGCAGAATATACACAGTAGGCTGTTGGATACGGTCGTTTGTGAAGGACCCCTTGGCTACCGAGCGCACCGTGGTGGGACTTGGTCCTTGGCTCGTTTCTGTTTGGTATCCGGAGCGATATAATTAACACTTTGATAGTAACCAAAGTACTCCGTAGTAGTGAGCATGAGTTAGAGTGCCGCGGAGGTGTTTGTGAGCCATGACCACAATTCACGTCAGAACCGATACAGATCTGGGTTCAGGTGTGCTATCTCTGTAGGCGAAGGAGATCGTACAAAACGCCCCATACTCCTTCCTTTTGGTACCCAAACTTCAATTAGAGACGGCATGGTCCTAACTACATACCTCGGACCTCGTAGAAGGGAGAGGTGTAGCCTCGGGATACCGAGTAGGATGCGTACGAAACCCACTTGGTGGAGGAGCAACAGATAGACGGTGGGCGCTTCGGCCCTGGTGCAGACGGGCCTCACCCTCAAGCCGCATCCACAACTTCAACAGGAGTACTCCGTAGTAAGTACTCGTAGATGGTAAAATAATCACCCCGAACTCCCCACCACGACAATGACCATGGACTCGTACGCTCGCCACCCACCAATCCCCCACCGCGACCTTCCAACGAACCCAACAGGAGAATACTTACTCCGTCCACGAGCCACCAAGCTCATCGAAGCCCCAAACTCACCCCGTCAAATGCCCAAGCAATGGGTGGCCGCGGATCCCGAGGGCACTGCCGAGCGAGGGGGCTCGAGGCTTGGGCTGCTCCAGCGGTTAGAGAATTTGTTGATAGGCGGCCCCTCGGCCCCCTCGGCCCTTCTTGGCACTGCCTCACCAATAATTTATAGGGCCTACCCGCCTGGGAGCCACCTACTACTTCGAGTCCGAGTACTGTCTAGTCACCAGTCAGTCTAACTAACTTAACCGCCAAAGATGCCTACTGTAAGGTACTGTACATATTCCGTATAGGCTGTAGTTTAGTGACCAATGACCCCCGATGGGAGCCTACGTACCTCATAATCAGTCCTTCGTATTAGCGCCTTAGGATGACCTACCTAGGGTGCCTAGTACCAGACACTATCACCTATTTATCAAGTGAGAAAATATCCATCCTCTCTCTTCACCAGGTCCAAATCCATTGCATTATCTATCCATCACCTACTCTTGAATCCCAATTCCCTGTCTTCCACCAACGTTTCTCTGATCAGATCTAGATTCGCTTAATCCAGTATCCGAACCTGGACCTCCTGATTCTGATCTCCGGCTAATGGTGTTGTATCCAAGTGTCTCAAGTGCCGTCACAGACCAGAGCCCCAAACCGGAGCCAGGATGTTTCATGACACTGTGAAATCTACAGTCTCTCTCCCACTCTCAATACGGAGTGACCAACATGTTGCTTTTGCAAGGGGTCGGTTACTGTCAAACATCAACATCGCCCATCACACCCGGCTTCCCTGCAATGCCACCATCTCTTGACAGTGGATTTGGCTCAGGGGACCAAATGCGCACAGTGATAAGTATTTCCACTCCGTTGCAAATCTGTGTTGATGTCTCCTTCTTCATCAGACCACTCTAACCCGTCTTCTGTGACTTTGTCTCATACCACTTTGGTTGCCTTTGTGCCTAGGCCTTCACCACAGCCTTCACCACAGCCTTCACCACGGCCTTTACAATACTAATCCACCTGTACATTTTCCACTATTGCCCTCGCCTTCAGCCTCGCCCCTTCTTTTTGTCTCAAGTCAAGAAATGTGGACACCCGGCAGCATCTCACGCTCACAAACCGCACATAGCATGTCAGGCTCCGTCTCATCCTTCCGAAGTCGAGGTTCCAGCTATGCCGAAAGCACGCCTGGGACCAGTCCTGATCACGACGTCATCCATGGAACAGACACGTGGGCTCCGAGAAAACCACAGGTACATCGCATCGATCTAGATCGCCGAGACTCCATGTCTACCGACAATGGCTCGCATTCTGGCTCGACGCTGCCGCCAGGCGAGGAGGCTGAGGAGGAGATGGAACTGAAGACGCCTCGGCCAGTCAGAGAGAAGTTGGCGTTTGTCGGTGCCAGAGAACAGACCCTAAGCCCGATGGCGTACGAGCAAGCCCCTCCCTCGTCCACTTTCTCACCCTCACCAAATGGAGCGGTGTTCAATCAGCGGTCAGACTTAGCAGTTGCAGGCTCCATGACGGACCTATTGCAAACACTCCTTTCCAAAGTCTCCACCCTTGAACGCCGCCAGCCGACCGTCATGGCAGAAGAACACTCTTCCATGCAGACACGCTTCCGAGAACTAGAGAAGGAACACAAATCCCGCACAACAAAGTATCTCGATCTACTCACGCTCCGCAACGGAGACCTCGAGAACCTGATCAAAGTCCGGGACCTCCTGGCCAAGGAACGCCGCGCGCACGACGAATTGAAACTGCTGCGCGATGAGGATCTGAGAAACGTCATCGATCTCCGCGAGAAGCTTGCCAGCACGACTTGGGCCGTCAGTCGTCCAGGCATGGGCATGCCCGACACGTCGAGCCCGGGCGGATTTGGACACACACACTCGTCTTCCGGGACCAAGCTGAGCATGAAGCAGAGCGACTACCTATGGCAGGTGGCGCGGACAGCCGCCATGGAACAACGTGTTCTAGAGCTCGAGAGCGCGAACAAAGATCTGCGAACGCAGCTACAGTCTGGCCTGGCCATGCCCTCGTCGTCGTCGTCACAGATGGCAATGGGCGCAACCAGTCTCGCCATGATGCCTTCTGCGGCTGCCGGTGCCATGCACGCTGGTGCCGGCATAGACGCCCACTTCATCTCGCGGATCGAGACCATGTTCGAGGACAGCCTTCGACAGCGCGAGAAGGCAGCCACTAAGATGCAGGCTCTAAGAAGCGAGAAAGACAACCTGCTCAAGGATGTCGCTTCGTTGGAGGATCGCAATGCCGAGCTCGAGTCTCTTGTTGAAAGGCTGCAACGCAATCTGAGGGTATGAGGTGGCAGCCTCAGAGCATCGTTCTGAGCGGATTGTGTCTGGATTGCTTTCTTGATCTAGTTGGTCGGCAATTGCTGTTTGAATGCAATGGGGTCTAGCGCTCGGAGAGCAGCATATGACGGCGTTACGAATATTACATATACACTGAGTATAGGTCGCGTTGATCAACGCCTCACTGGGGGAGCCCGGCGTAGGTGGGGCAGGGCAAAGAAAGAGCGCGCAGATACACTTGGCTGGAATTAGAGATATAGACATTCGGCGCGGCGCGTTTCTGTATCTTTACCGAGTCCCCATACCTTGAGTGGAGAAATCAACTCGCAGATGCATCATGAACAGAGTTAGAGAAAAACAATGAATTAGAAGAAGAAACAACAGTGGTCGATTGATTATCTGAATTAAGAAGTCGATATAGAATCCCGGTGTTGTACATCCATCCATCCATCCATGTAGCCCGGCATAGGTATCCAAAGATGAATAACTGACTACGTCATGGCGTCATTTAGCCCCCTAAATGTCAAGTTGGTGGATGAAACCTTTGTTTCCCAAATGCTATAAAGCCTCTCCCAAAGGATGTGTCATATGGATGGATATCCGCCTTCCCAAAGCCGTACGACGTACCGAACATCGTGATTGGGGCCCCTATAAAAAGGCAACCCCGCGCCATGCAGAGAACGATAAATTTGTAACGTAATGAAGCAGAAAATGCGGCGGAAAAGTGCAGAGATAGCCTCCTGTTGGCGTATTAGAGAAGCAAGTGGTGGCATGACATCGCCCATTCATGTGCTTTCCGTAACACTGCGCCATCATCAACTCCCACCGCTATGAGTCGGAGGAAAGACTTTCCTTAATAACGACTCCTTCTTGTTGCCCTTCCCTTTCCCATCACCATTGTGTCCCTTTCCCGGTGGCGGTGCGAACTCCGTCCGTATTGGAGGAAGGTTTGATCGTACTGAAGGTTCTGCGCCTCTAAAATTGTGTGCAGGCTGGGAAGCTGAAGGGAAACCATGGCTTTGCTGACCACCATACAGCGTAGAGCCCACCAAAGGCTGTGCTGTCATGGGCGTGGCTGGGCTTCCGTCATGGGCATACTCATCGTCGTGGTCGTGGATGCTCGCATGGTACGCCCGTGCTGTATGTGTGTTCTGCTGTACCTGGACGACAGAAGGTGTCATCTCCCTGGCTACCATGGCATAGCCAGAGGACATGACACTACTGGGAGAGTTGGCCGAGTTGGGATCGGCTTCTTGCATGTAGCCTCGGGGTAGGCCATCATTGAAGGCGAATGCAAAATCAGCCATTTCAGCGCTGTCGGAGCGGTGACGTTCGTCGATGTTTGGATCACTCTCGTTCTTGATCCTATCATATTCATCGGTCGAGCCGAATGAAGAGGGACTGCCCTTTGACTTGGAGAATATCCTGCCCGCGCCGGCGATCGATACGTTACCTCCCTCGACGAATTTGCCCTTGGTAGCCAGACGTTGTTGATTCCGTCTCATTCTCATTTGTGCGTACTTGCGGATTATCCACCACACGAGGAAAGTCAAACCAATTCCGCCGACTACTCCTCCAACGATGGCGCCAGCCATTCCAGAGGCTTGGAAACTAGAGATATTTGTGGCCGGTGCAGGCGTTGGTTGTGTTTCTTCACATAGCGTGCGAGTCATGACGTAGGGCCCGTGCGGGAGGGCAGATGCAAGATAGAAGATCGGTTCGGGTTTTGCATCGTAGTTTACCATCATGTAGATGTGAGTGAAGAAAGCGGAGCCGAGAAGTGCCGGGCCACTGGTAGAGGAATTACCGTTTTCCGCGTCAGATGCAGTTGTGGAGAAGGGTGAGTTGTTGGAGACATTCTTCAACCATTCCGGCTCGAAAGTGAGAGTTAGGCCTGAAGAAAGTGTCATCGTTAAACTCGAGTTGAACCCAGCAGGGAGCTGGTATCTCCCGTCCGCAGCTGTGGCACCGGTCTTGTCGGCAAATGTGTCGAGAACTACTCTTGGAAGGTTGATCTCGTACTGGTGGGTGGTGAGGTACGCTTCGAAATCCTCGGTCAGAAGGCCTGTCTCATCGCCGTTGTTGTCAGTGAGGGTCATTTGAGATATCGTCACGGAGAAGGGTGAGTGATGTGCCTCTGCATTAGGTATGCCAATCGAATAGTTGTGAACCTCGCCCTCAAATCTGCCAGAGTCATAACCTCCCAGGGTCAGCGAGCCGTTGATCAATCCATTGCCTTCCTTATAGTAAGTGCCCATGTATAGCCCATACGAGCGGGTGGTGATTAGTCCTAATCCAAGACTGCGACTGAGGATAGTGGACGATGGTCCTAGACCCAATAGGCCAGCAGGTCCAAACCACGGTGTCGTGGCTGATGAATAATTGGAAAGGACTGTAACTGCAAAGTCGGGTACAGGGGTGTGAATGGCCGGTGAAGGATCAAAGTAGTGGACGAAGAAGTTGAAGGTGTCGATGGCATATTCGGCAAGGGTGGCAGGGATGGTGCCGAGATTGGCGTCGAGACTTTGATAAGATGAGGTAGACTGATAGTCCTCGGATAGAGCTGGATCGTAGAATCCGTGAGAAAGTTCGAGGCAGTCTTCAAATGGACTGCCTGTACAATAGTCTAAGCTGGCAACATATGTGTCGTTGTTTGACAATGACGGCCATTGCGAGAGATTTTGGGAGGGGGTTCCAATTCCTGTGAAAAGGCCATACTGAATGCTGATGCCACCATCTACTCGGCGATCGTGGAAGTCGAGGTATATCGGTGTCTGCGAGCAGCCATCCTGTGCGAGCACGGCGGAGAAAAGTAACAAGACGGCCCCAAGAATGCTAGCCATGGTCTCAGAGCGGCAATGGATGGACAAGTCAATATAAAATCCGTGGTTCAAATGGCAGGCCCTAATATCGCAGGAATTGAAGATAGCCACAAGACACAAAAGAGAAGCGACCAAAGGGAATATCAAACCAGGACCTAGAAGCCAACGGGTAGGAAAGAAAAATATGAAAGACCATGCGATAGAGAGACGCAGGATGTTAGGGCCATCCAAGCGTCGTCGTCTTCATTCAACCTTCGACGGTGGTCAGCCTGGCCGGCGAAGCGCATTGCCTCAGACTTGCTGAGACGGAACGAGAAGCTGCACGATGAGAGGCGGCTTTCGAGTATTACGAGGGGGCGCCAGGATCCAGGACGGGCCTGCAGCGTTATGGAGATGGGCTGCGATTAGCAACCAAGGCCATTGCGTACGGAGTACTGCGTAGGGGTACATTGAGAGACCGATCAGGCCTGCCGAATGAGCATTGATGGTTTGCTGGTTTGATACTAAGATGGTCAGTCGACCAACCGGTCGGGCCTGAACGAAGATCTTTTCTTGTCAGTTTGGATGTATGTAAATATAGCCTGTAACCAGCTTGGCGCCTGAAGCGGCCCAATAGCCGAGCACTCTGACGGCGGACGATCCCACGCCGGCGGCGATTACGTCGGATCACCGGTATGGGGATTCGTTAATGTGCGAGTAGCTCAGAATACGTGGTTGGTGTTCGTATACATAGCCACACAACGGGGCTTGGTATGCCTGTTCGCCGCGCCGCCGCTTCCTGTACAAGCACATCATTGTCCACGCCACGATTTTCTAATCATCCCATCCCCGAAAATTGTATTACATTTGTCCAAGCAGCGCCAAATTGCTCAAGTGAGTCAGGAAAAGTGACTGCCTTTTTGGCTGAGTCCCGCTAGTCCAAGACGCACGGAGTGTGCAGTTCAGCTTTTGACTTTCTTCCGCACCAATGAAGTCGCGAGGTTGTTGATAGGAGCCAGCAAAGGAGCTTGCTCGTCCGCTGGAGCGCCTCCTTTGGTACCTAATTGGTCGGCTTTCCTCTTCTTGCGAATGTTTGTGAGCACATTGATTGGTTGTGATGCTGGGTTTTCGGGCCCTGTTTGGGAGGTTGGACCCAAGATGAGTTCGCCATGTATAGAGTACCCAAATGCGGATGCCTTAGATACCTCTAAGGCTTTACTGATCCAACCACGGCTATGTTCGGCTGCTAATCTCTCCCCGGCAAAGTCAGTCTGTAATAGGAAGTCCATAAGAATATTGTACTGCTCAGCATCGACCACGATTTCTCCGCGTGTGGTCTCAGCAACATCACTCTCGGTGATTGGCAGTTCCCCAATTGCCGAGTTGAGAGGCTGTGGCCCGATGGCCCCATTTTCCTGCGCTTTCTCCGAATGATGCCGGGGAATTGCATTTGGCGTGGAAGGTGCAGGTGAATTTGGCACTGCAATTAAGCCCACGCGTTCATCCCGGGGAGCTTGCGCCTGTGTAACACCACTGTCCTGCCGCCGAAAGGAGCTATCTGGTGTAATCAGTTGTGGGTTCGCCGAAACCGCTGTCTGACACCCTTCCTCAAGAGCGCCAAGGGACAGGTGCTCCGCTTGATTCCGTGAGAAGGCCATCCAGATAAACCCGACCAATCTCCCCGCAGAACATTCCTGTCTGTAGGACATCATTTCCCAAAAGTCGCGGAGGGATCTGACACTCCGCCATTGGCCGTGGTGATCGGTGAAATCCTTATCTAGATCATCGAGAAATCGAGATTTGGGATCGTCAGGCAAACGAGGGATGAGATATCGGGGGGGTTTGGCTGTATCGGCAACAAGCAGATCCACAGGGTATGAGTTGAACCACTTTGGATCTGCGGGAGGATCCGACCGGCTGGAAGGAGGAAAGAAGGCTTTGGTTTCTGCTTGATCGCATCCAGGCACGACGACGTGTGCGGTGATTTTCAGGTCAGGCCCCAAGTTGCGGTCGTATTGCCGTAGAGTCCTATCGAAAATGCGATTCCACCATCTGATCAACTGTCGATCATCTAAGACGTGCTTGGTTGGGTTCTCGATGCTGCCAGGAAATAAATACTGATTCTGAGCTCGAGCAAACAGTGAAAGAACCACTCTAGACCTAGATAGTCGAGGTTGTAGCAGGAAATCAATGAAAGTAGAGGTGACAGTAGAGATGAGAGAAGGAGCATTCTTGGGGGAATGCAAGGAAGAAGAAAAGCCTGAGGAATCGGCCTTTGAAACAAAGATGAAGGTAAGAGAGGATGTGGTGAAGATAAGAATCTCCAGGGCAAAAATCAGGAGTGGCTTCTTGCCAGCATCTTGATCTTCCGGGGAAGAAATGGCGAGGAAGTGAGACTCGCATGTTGTGGGCTCGTCTGGCTGGCTGGGCAAGGGAGATAACAAGGCTGAGGAGGGGCCGGGCTTGGTCGAGATGTGGAAGCAGCTGAAGCTGACACCACGAGGCACGGCAGCAGCCAGCCTTTTGGGTAGTGGTGACCGGTCACTCATGTCCGTCGTGGTCATTGTCGCATTCGCATTCGTAGTTGGAGTCGTACTCGTCCCTTCGCGGTGGCAAAGCTGAGCCAATAACCGCCACCTCTGGTACGAGATCCGAGAACCGAGTAGGGCGCAGCGCAAGGGCAAAAACGGTGAGGTGATGTGGTGATGTGGTGATGTGGTGATGTGGTGACTTGAGAGGTTGTGAGGTTGGGGAGAGCCGGGTCGAGGGAGATCAGTGACCACCGCTGTAAAATGTAGCCGGTGAAGGATTGCATTCGGCTCGAGATGGGATGCTGGGGAGCAATGGGAGCGGTGGCGCGTGGGAAGCACTGAAGCCAGTGAGGCACCCGAAGCAGATCAGACAGGGGCTGCCTTTAGTGGAACCAAACGGGTTAGCGCGACGTCTTTCCTTTGTCGACACCGGGTGTTCAAATAGGCCTAGCGCCGTACACGCTGCTCATATCAGCCTCTCACGACGCGCCCCTGGCGATCTGCGCTAAGCCTAAAGAAAAGTGCCCGAGTCAGGTCACAGACTACAGGCTACAGGCTACAGATGCGCACCACCGGTCCACTGCCGCAGCATCTCAGCATCTCAGCGCTGAACAGTCGTACTAGTAACTGGGCACCGGCTGCCCCTCGTTGCCAGTTGGATGCCATGCATGGCGATCTTTGTCCTCCAGTCCCAATTTCCAGCCTGACGCCCCGGGCTACAGCCTGTCCCTATATATGTGGGAAGCCCTCGCTCGATTCTTTCTTGTTCCTCGTTTCTGTTCCTGCAGGGGGACGAGCATCCACCACGGACCAGCCGCCGTCTATCACTTTGGTTCGACATGGAGGGCTACTCATCTGGGCACATCCGCAATGATTACAATATCAATGCACAGTCAAAGATAGACATCAACTTATGCTTTCGAGGTCCCCGCCCGGGAGACGGCAACTGCAATTCTCTAGACGACGGAAACCGTTCAGAGGTCCAACCTATCGGTGCACCACTGTGGCTGCAGCCAGGGCCGTGGCTGGACCAATGCTCTTCTCTCACTCCAGTGTCGCTCCTTGAAGACGAAGATATGCCGGCAGTTGTTCAAAGACTGCTCCGGCAACATGAACAGAATGTGCTGTATGGAGACATGGAATCCGAACTACCAATGCAGGATATGTTGCACTTGGATCGCCAACCGACCTTCTCTTTTGAACCACCGGAGACAACTCCAGCCAACCAGCCAAGGCGAAATGATTCGATGGCTTCAGTGGAGATCAAGGCTGAGCCCGGCTCGGAGCAATTGATGCCTTCACAGCCATTCCGCGGGACCCGCGCGCGAAGAGGCCCAAAGACCGAGTATACCGATGCGACAATGAAAGACTTTCAACAACATCTGGGGGTGATTGATCTTCGGAACCAACTCGAGAACTGGCCCTACCAGACAAGCAACATGGCTGTATATCGAGCCAACGTTACGGATGTTGCATACAGACGGCAATTGATGCTGCTGGAACAGCAGAATGTAGCCCGCTTGGAGGGAGCAAAGAAAGGTCAATAACATTCGTTTGGGATAGGAAAGCGTGGAGGCACCTGGAAGCCACAGGATATAATAGCTGGACTCTGGAGCTGGTCCTGCAAGGGGAGACCAATTGGGCATATGTAGCCGATGCTCCCACTCGCAGTTTAATGACAAGATATACACACGTGTCGCAAAGAGTATTCCAGTGCGAAGATGGACACCAGAAGACCCAAGCTCTAGATAATTGACAAAGCTGGTCGAACAGATTCCAGATGTTCAGTTTCTGCCGGGAATCCGTCGGCGCTGTGCCGTTTAGGCGGTCCAGCCGCTTCGGGTATGGTTGCAAGCTGAGCGCGCCGCCGCTTTTGACGGCCATAAGAAACCCCGTCTCCGTCTCCCATTCCAAACCATCTCTCTCTCTCTCTCTGAGCCTTTGCCCCTCTATCCCTCAGCTCTGTTCGCCCTAACATACTCTATTGTACTCCGTAATCGACTTTGATACCATCTGAATGGTCTCTCCTGCCTCATTGTGCTCCCCGTGTTCATTCTCTTTCCTTAGATAATACCAGGCTGAGGCAGCCTGCAACAGAAATGTGGCTTCACATCATCTTGGTTGTCTCTTCCTCTGCCACCACAGAGCGTGAGCAGAGAACAGAGGAACAGAGGACGCGATCTATATATGCAGGGTTATTCATAGGTTGACTCCTTAGTCAACTTCGCTCTGATTGCCAGGGATACATTCTTAGTGATAGCTTCGCGCGAAGAATTCTCTCTTCCACACTTGTGATCCTCGTCCCATGGTCAGGAACCTACCTTGCGTTGCGTACTCGTAACAACCTCGTTGGAGTGATCCGTAACACGTGGCCGCGGAAAGAAGATGCTCTACGAGGCGCATTGCATTGCAGGCTTTGGTCGGACGTTCCGAACGGGAGATGCTCATGTCGAAGTACCATTGCGCGTAACAGGGAAACCCCATTCACACAACTCCCGGCTTCCGGCAACGCGGTGCGTCGGTCATGGCGATAACGATATATGTGGATCGCTATGTCCCGGGGATGGATGCTCGTCGGAAATGACCCAGGCACGTCGCAGACGTATCTTCGCTGCGAGTATGGTTGTGGTGACAGGCACACGTCCCACAACGAGGGATTATTTCCGCGGTGGCGGCGCCATCTAGATCATCCTCCCGTCCTCGGAATTCTAGATACACTCCACTCTGGGTGCCTCTGCGCTGGTATGGCATGCTTGGCTATTGCTACATACATACCCCAGACTTCTTTTCCCCAGCTTCCCCGCCATAACGAATATCTGTCTCCTGCATGTTCTGGGCCTATGACCTGTTTTATGCCTTTTCACCGTCATTTCAACCACCGTGGGCAGGGTGGACGATATGTCGCAGCAGGGACCCTCCAGTGCTAAGCGCCGGAGGCGTGACCACTACACCTTGATGGCATGGTGAGCTCTTGATCGGCGGTGTGCTTCCCGTCAGGCTAATGGAAAACCAGCTATCCGTGCAAGGCTCGGAAAGTGAAATGCGACGGAAGTTCACCGTGCGAAGGCTGCCAAAGGCGCCAGATCCTATGTTCGTATCCCGTCCGTCCGGGCGGTGGTCGACAACTGACCGAGTCGTTATCCGATTATGCGTAAGCGATTCACGGATCTTATAGCGAAGTTTGGCCCCCTAACCTGGCGCAGCAGGGATAACTGTCCATTGAGCCCGGCCGCTGATTGTTCCATGTTTTCCAACGACAACCAGCCTGCCTTAGCTCCGCCTCTACTACCATCGGTCGTGGGAACAGCATCATTTCACAGTGGACATTTGAAAGACGGCCCAGCAAGGAGCCATGGTGCCAGCATCCCGCTTGCCCAAGGTGCCCCAGGCAAAGACGCCCATTTCAGCCCACACAAGGGCCATTTTGCCTATGCTTTCGCTTTGGCTAAGTCTTCTCTTCTGGCCAATGGGATTCTTAGTCCAAGCGACGCGCCGCCGGGAGAAGTCCCTCCCGTCACGAGACAAGCAAGGAGAGCTCCGGCACCCCTCGACATGGAAGCGTCTATTGAACCTGTTGCCGAACTGGGAATCGATAAAGCAAGACTCGTCCTAGCAGAATTCACCGACACTATCCTTCCCATCTGGCCTTGCGTGGACCTATCCGTCCTGCAGCAAACTCTAGACGAGGTCTTCCGAGACTGCACCAGAGAGCCTCAAGATCACATCATCAATTTAGAGCCTATTGCTATGTCTGCTACAGCTATTGACACCCTGAAGGCCGCCCTGGGTATTTCAATGTTGGTCAATGGCGAGGAGACAGCCCCTCTGGCACGACACCTGCCACGCTACCTGGACTGGTCCATCGAATCCATTGTAATGGGCAGCGAAGCAGATATTCCAAACCTTGTACTAGCAGTCCTACTGGTAACGTGTCACTTGGCGGCATTGAAAAACACCGGTCTAATTGGTTACCACAGAGCTTATACCACTTATATCGAGGATCTCTCCTCAAAGCCTGGCGCACGATAGGAGCGGCCTCCAAGGCGTGTTTTGAACTGGGGATGCACCAGACGCCGGCTGTCGATTCTCAGCTAGACTCCTCGAATTCACCCCTTGTACATCACCAGACTCTCTTCTGCTGTATCTTCGTCATTGATCGTCGATGTTCTTTTGGCCTGGGCCTTCCGTACGCCATACATCTTGAGGACATAGATGAGAAGCGCCTGCAAATAGTTGAGCATCCATTCCGGCTCCGGCTCATCAAACTGCCTGAGGCTGACAAATCCACAGGGGCCTTCCAATCCCTACCTCGCGGTCATGGCCGAGTATGACTGTATCACTTCGGAAATCTTGCCCTTGGTCAGCTCCCAGGAGCGGCTTGAGAAGAAAGTCCAACAGCATGCTTACTTTTTGGAGTTTCAGCTTCACGGCCTACGGGATAAGTTCGAATCATTTTTGACTGACATCGAAGCTTCACACTCCAAGAGCATCAAGTTTGGCCCTCGCCTTCTCCAAAACATGCGAATATCTTTGACTGCACGCGTCAACCATGCACGATCACAGCTGCGATTGAGCCAGATCCAGGCTTCAGGCGGTGTTAAAGACGATCCAGTCTCGGCCCGAATCGTTACGGACGCAGCTTGCGAAACCATTTCTGTGTGCGCCTCTCTGATCAGGGATGCAGATGTTTTGGGATCTTTGCGAATCAACTTCGACTTCTTCATCTGCGCGGCCCTGGCAACATTGCTCACCGTGGTGAGCCAACAACCCGAACTGTATGGGGACAAATGCCGGGATCCGTTCCACGAAGCACTGGACTCTCTGGCAACCTCAAAACATCGACTTTTTAATCCTAGGAAGAACACCTTCACGTTTGACCAGCTCAGAGAGATCGCAGGATGCATCAACATGTCCAAGCGTTCGAGTGGCTTGCTTGGGGCTCTTGAAGGGGATGGCACACTTCCGACGTCGCTGGATCTCTCCCATCCATTTTCGGCCGGTGAGTGCTTTGCTTCATTTCCGTGCTGAAGATGTTCAAGAGCCTGACAAGACACAAGTAGAGGATCAGTCACCGGACTATAGCATGTTCGCTTTCTTCGAACCCATCGAGTGTTTTGGTGCGGTTTGATATGGGATTTAGCATGCCGGTTTCATCCCCAAGTCGGTCACGGATGATGTGACATAAGATACAGACACCTTTTCTCGTAGCGCGAGATACGTGATTGAATGCGCAAACTGAACAATCTTGGAGCGGGGGTATGCAGGTGGCAAGACTAGATTGGGTGCTCAATTACCACTTTCTGAAAGCTGATTCTTCCCTCAAATGTGTCTTTGATCGCATCTACCCCTGCCTGAGCACCCGTGACAATGTTGACCTTGGGTATCCGAAACCCATTCCCATAGTTCTCCATGGCCCATCTCACAGTCTGTTCCAGCCGTGCGTCGCACTCAGGGGCAGCTTCAGCAATGGGCAGGGGAGGTGGGAACCGGAACTCGCGCGATCTGGAAGCTAGAACCATCCTCCATTTCGGGTGTTGTGGCTGTGGTCTCGTACATGCGAATCTGATAGCCTCTGACGTCGACAGGGCTTCACACAGCGACCTTGTTCCGGGATTGCCAGGCTGACAGATAGTATCGAAAACGAACCTCAGCGGTGCACCGCTTTCTTTCAGAGCTTCGACGATCGCCTCAACGACATTTGCGTTGTGGTAATCAAAGCATAGTGTAGCACCAAGACGCTTGAGCGCTTCATGGTTGGATGCCGACGCCGTGACGAAGATTGGTCTGACGTGCATGGCTTTGGCAAGCTGGATCGCTGCGCTGCCGACTGTACTCGCCCCACCCCAGATTACCAACGCACCCGACTTGGTGCTTGGATTGAATCCAATTGCTGGAAACGGGAGCTCGAACCGGTTGAGCAAGGCATCTGCAGCTGTGCGGACCATGATGGACAACGCTGCGGCATCTGAATGGGGAACACCTTTGGACAACCGCATTGACATGGAGTCTGACTCGGCAATGACCAAGTTCTGATGAGCACCATGGTATTGAGGTCGCCCTCTGCCAGGCTCATTGGAGCCAAAGACAACATCGCCGATATTGTAGCGGGATTCTGGCCCGACAGCAACGACGGTACCGCAAAACTCATAGCCACAGACATTGTCGCCAAACCCCAAGAGCCGGGCATGTGCTATGTCCGCGGGATTGATGCCAGAGTATTCAACTTTGACGAGTGCCTGCCCTCCGAGTGGTTGGTGCTGTGCAATATTGTCTCTGACAGAGAGTTCGCCCTTTGCGTCGACGAAGATGCATTTGTTCATTCTGGACAGGATATTTAGCGAAATCTGGGCGCAGGGCGGGCGGAACCTTTGCAAGTTTTGCAGTCCAGGAGCACTGGGCCGGTCAATGGATATTGTAGGTTACATATACACGGTCAAGGCCGCAACATTGATTCCGCGACTCTGTTCGGAACAATCGCGGCCCCCTGAGCCAGCAGCACCGAGCCCCGCTTCCGTCCTTAGGTACGTACATCTGGTCCGTGCTCTATCCTTGCTTGGTGCAACAGCTGGCCATGTAAATAGATACTCGACGGCGAAGGGAAAGCTCGGCCTCCTAGGCGCATTACTGAAGGAAGCGTTCCCATCGGTGACGCACATCTTCCCAAGCGCCGGAAAGTTGTAGTGACAGTGGTGTACTCTGCTGGGTTCCGAACCGTGAAACAGCTTCACCTGGACGTGCACCCAATCGGCGGGCCGACGGAAGCTCCGATCTGGCAACGTCCGAAGTCTGAGAGAAGCATCTGTGATGCTGATGCCTCCCCAAATTCCAGGCGTGGCGGTAGTGGTTCAATCTTAATATCCAGTCCTACAGGTGGTATATAGGAGACCATCTAACCCACCGATCTGGAACTCGGCGGTTTGCAGCCCGGGAGCCTCCATTTGCACCATCGGCACCATTTACAGACGGCGATGAAGGTATCGTCAGCAAGTATACGTCCAACCACTCCAATGACAGGAGGAACAGATGCCTCGGTGGAGGCCAAACCACATCTGAGGTCGTACCTGGTCGTTCTCGTGAGTCCTTCCTGGCTCCACAGCACACAGTTGCTGACAAGCTGACCAGGCTGTTTGTATCATATACATGGCCCAGCTAATGGCCATTGTCGGCTCAGGGTTTCTTGCTCAATCCATCGCCAGCCTCTTCAATGGTTCTTCACAGGTTGTGTGGCTTGGCTCGATCGTCAACATCATATGCACCGCGCTTGCTCTTCCGTTCTCCCAAGCTGCCGATCTTCTGGGCCGCAGGTGGTTCATAGCCATTCCAACAGCATTCGGCTGTGCAGGAGGCATCATTGTCTCACGAGCCGAAAGTATGGCAACCATCATCGGCGGCTTTTGCGTGCTCGGTGTCAGCTATGGAGCCCAGCCACTCCTTCTAGCAGTGGCATCTGAAGTTCTCCCGCGGAGACACCGACCCATAGTGCAAGCGACGGCAAACGTTTGTGCGGGCGTCGGGGCTATCATAGGCCTATGCATGGGTGGTGCGCTGATAAAAGATGGAAATCTCGAGAACTTCCGCATCTACTTCTACGTCAACGCCGGGGCCTTTGCTCTGGCCAGTGCCATCTGCCTGGCCTTATACAATCCCCCACCAAGAGAAAATGGCCTCGGCTTGACTGTACAAGAAAAGGCCCGCCGTCTGGACTGGGTCGGCTACGTCGCCATGCCCATCGGGCTGGTGCTCTTCAGCATTGGCCTCTACTGGGCAGAAAACCCCCATCCATGGGGTAGCGCACAGGTGCTGGCCCCCTTGGTTGTCGGTGCCGTAATCTTGGCTTGCTGGGGGGTGTACGAGACCAGATGGCAGAAAGAAGGAATGCTACATCGGGTTCTGTTCCAACGGCGCAACTTTGGACTTGCACTGGCAGCGATCGGTGCCGAGGGATTTGTTTTCTTCATCTGCAATAATTATCTCCCTTACGAAGTGAGCGTCTTCAAACCAGGGGACATACTGGTCGTCGGCTCGCATTTCACCCTGGTGTTCGCCGTTTCTATTCCAGCAGCTCTCGTCATCTCGGCTTTGGCGTCATGGAAAAAGATCGTGCGACTGCCAATGGTTCTAGGTTTCTTCCTGTTCATGCTTTTTTGCATCTTGATGGCGACCTCCAGTCGATATACGTCCGCGAGTGCATTCTGGGGGTTCCCCGTCATCTTGGGCATGGGGTTCGGAGCATGCTTGCCTTCTCTTTTCAGCGCTGCACAGCTCGGCACGCCTCCGGAACTCATAGGTCTGGCGACCGGCCTGATGGTGGCAAGCCGCGGCGTCGGAGGCGTGCTGGCACTGGCAATCAACAACGCGATTTTCAATGCGAGATTGTCAACTCTCGGGTCGAAAATTGCGGACGCTACCCTTCCTCTGGGCTTGCCACCCGCATCCCTACCAAGTCTAATCACTGCATTGATGACGCACGATGATGCATTGCTTGAGAATGTCGAGGGGGTCACTCAACAAATCATTGTAGCCGGCGGCTCAGCAGTTCTGGGCGTGTATGAGAGGGGATTCCGAGATGTGTGGATCTGTGCAAGTTGCGTCGCTTTTGCGGCTTTGGCTGGTAAGTCAACTCTCGAGCAACCTCAAACAAAAACTCATGCTAAGTGCTTGCCAGCCGTGTCGTTCACCAATGATCCCTCGGGAGAGTTCACGAGGCACATTGATGCTACTGTTGAGATTCTTCCCGCAGAGCACATATCCGGCAAGGAGCAAAGTGTGGACACTGAGGTTTCTAACTTGGACAAGGGTCTCGAGCGTGCCCAACACCGTGATCACGTTGAGTGACGCGAATTATCTAGTCAACTACATATATCAAGTTGGATCATTGTGGTTTGGAATTCCAAGACGTGTATCTCAGTCAAATGCGTCAACCACATCCGATTTGAATAGGTGTCGTATAAAGCTTGACCGCAATTTCTACACCTTTGTCTCGTCCAACTACACACCCCTCCTAAGGAGGTCCGTACCTGGTAATATTTCAGGTGATTTACCAGTTATGTACCTTTTGCTTGAGGTCAATGGAAGCTGCAGAATGCACCCTCTCTTTGATTTCAAGTGCCTGTGACTGGCTCCCAATGTGTTGCTGGGTCAAGCTCTCCCGGCCAAATGCAAACTTCATGCGTTGGTTGGGGGCTTTCCAAGTACCCTACAAGCCTCCTCCATCAAGTCTCTAGCTTTCTTCCATGCCGGCCGCTCAGTGACCTTGTTCCACCAAAACTGAATGTTCGAGTGGGGACCAAGCGTTTCTGCCCGTCCTTTGACGCGAAGTAGCTGTGCAAACCACGGCATCGTCCATATGTCCACCAACGAGAAGGATTCTCCCGCTAGATAGGGTTGATGAGCCAATCTGTCATTCAATATATGTAGCGACTCCTCGACTGAGAGCCAGCTAGCGTCAACCACGAGAGGGTCCGGGGGGCCGAACCCAAGAAGCCTGTCACCTCATCTCAGCAAGGATTGTTACTGGTGGTATGGAGTCACTCACGGCTTCATGCAGATTTCACCGGTCACTTTCCACACGGGCGGGGTGAAATAGCATGACTCGAATGCAGCCGCTTCTTCGAATCGAGCGAACCCAGTCACGTTCCCGCAATCTGGTAGGAGCTTGCTGCCGCTCTGTTGGTGCAACAGTGCGAGATACCGACAGATGGCTCGGCTCTCTGTAGAGAATGGTGAGCAAGTCGTCCATAGCCCCACTGGTCGAATCATACCACAGATGCGGAACTCTGAACCGTCTTGCTCGATGACATCGAGGACTGGAATTTTGCCCCAGGGGTGTTTGAGCTTGTGCTCTGGCGTCTGAAACCATGGCAAGCAATCCGTTAGCGATACACTCCCATATCCCGTTTAGCGGGTCGAAGATCCCATTCACTGACCCGAGTCTTCAAATCCAGTAGCTTCACTTCTTCGTAAACCCAGCATAATTGTTTCTCGAGCAAAGTAAACGCAACCGTAATACAATAGGGTGACAAATAGTCCGCGTGCAGGACGTATCGAGTCATTATGTCGTGTCGCTGACGATAATCGGGATTGTCGATGGTGAAGCGGATCAATTAGGCTAGGTCCTCGTTGGAACTCTACTCGGCAATGCCTCATGAAGAAATATTGGAGTACTACAGTAGGGGTTTCAGGACGATATAGTCCTGTCGCTCTGCTTCGGGCTACGCGTCGAATTCCGCGCGGACGTGGCGAGCAACCTGCTATCAGAGCAGCAACCGGAAGTTCCGAAAACCACGTATTGAGGGTTTGCGCCTGAAATCAAAGTCTTCATTTGCCGCCCCGGGTGGTCAATTACACAGCAGCATATGGGGTCAACCGCCGTCGACGTGCTCTAGAACCAACGGTGTCTAAGTATAAGCCTTCCTCGTTGTCCAAGACGATGACCTTCACTGACTCGAATGCCAAGTTTCCTGAAGCTGCTCAGTAGGTTTACAGAGCGTCACCACCTGCGCAAAGCATTCTAATGCACACTGTTGGCTTGCTCCTCGGAAAATGGACGCATTCCCGGGACCCAAGTCATTCCTGTCGCCTTCGCCCATCTTGGGTCAATCTCCGACAGGGAGAAGTGAGGAGTATCGTCCAGACGCGAGTCAATAACCTCTTGAACCATTCCGTGCCCGAGATATTGGAATCGATTCGCATGAGACGGTGAGGACAGCTTCCGGTCAATCCTGTAATCTTCCCACCTTGGGGTCTTCAAGGCCTTGACCATGTGTAGCGTGATACCCGGCCACAAGGCGTTCGTCCTCCCAGCATACGGTCCCTTGTAGATTTTGTACCACGACTTGCAATCTCCTGACCAGACCATGCCCTTGACCCAGGCCTGGGCATGCTCGACCCAGTCTGCCAGAGCTTCGTCCGTGGGATCTATACCCACAATATTGTGCTCCATCTGGAGCTTCTTCGCGACTTGCACTATATACCTGGAAGATGTGTTCATTGGGTCCTCCAAAGACCCATTGGCTGTTGTCCAGTATGGCCCGCTGCCGCAGAACATGTTAGGGAAGCCAGGCACAGCAATTCCCATGTAGTTGTCTTGTTTTTCAGCAAAAATGTCCGCCAAACTCACACGGTCCCTTCCGTACACCTCGAACGGAGGTATAAAGTCAACGTTGAAGCCTTGAGTTATGGTCAGCCCAGCGGTCATGATCATTGATTTCGGAAGAAGAAAGGTGTCGAAGAGCGTACCCGTGGCGCAAACAATAATATCAGCATTTCGCTCCGCCCCATCCTCGTCGAGGATGCCGTTCTGAGTTAGACTATTGACTGACTTGAAGATGACTTTGGCATTGGGTTGCTGAACAGCATGGATAAAATAATCGGCAGGAGTGATTCGTCGACATCCTGGAGCGAAGTCCGGGGTGAATCCTATCGATCTGCAGTTAGAACATGCAAGTACAGATCGCTGAGTGTGAAGCCGGATACTACCTTTTAGAAGCTCGGGATCGTGGATCTTTTTTTTCATTTGGTCATGGAAAAATGCGATAGCCTTCTTCTGAGCATCACTCCCATGGAAAAGGGCAGGAAAGAGGCTGTTGAGCTTTCGTTCGATTTCTTTGGCGTGATTGACGAGCTTCGCCGGGTCTCTCTTGAACTGGTCGCGTTGTTCTGGGGAATCTACAGCGTGAACGATAGGTCAGGGGTACCCACTTTGCAGGGATTGGTCAGCTTACATTCTGGACTAAACCCGTCGCCTGCCAATCCGGGAGCAAACCAAATAGGTGTCCGAGAGAAGACCAAGATTTCTTCCGCATGAGACTGTAAGACCTGTTCATAAATATTCTCCAGCAGAATCCCAAAGACTAACCTGCAACTGTGGAACAACTTGCACTGCCGATGCGCCACTGCCGATGACCGCCACGGTCTTGCCCTTGCAAGCTGCTGGTACTACGGCGGAATCCCACATTGCCGTATGCAGGAGCTAGCGGGAAGTCAGAATCTATAAACCCAAAATCAGTCGGGAATTGACGGTTACCTTTCCTGAAAAGCGTTCTAATCCCTCCACATTGGGCCACTGATACTTGTGTTGAGTACCAGAATTGTTAACCAAAATCTCGGCTTCTTGGGTGAACTCGATACAATTCCCGTCCCTCTGACGCTCGTGCATGGTGACGCGCCAGAAGCCGTCTGGGATCCACTCAGCCTTGATGACTTCTGTGTTGAATCGCATGTATTTCTTCAAGTCAAATGTGTCACATACTTTCTCGAGGTATGCTCGAATATGTTCGCCCCTAATTTCAGTTGTTAGTAAGTCGGCCAAACCAAAGATCCACCTCGCGTGGCTCACGAGCTTAAAAATCTGGGCCATTCTGGATTTGGTGCCCAGCTGTACTGGTAGACATGTGAGGGGATATCGCAAGCAATGCCAGGGTATTGGTTGTGATTCCAAACACCCCCCAATCTAGAACTCTTTTCAACCAGCGTAAGATCAAAGTTTTCACAAAGGGTGGAGAAATAGTATGCCAAATTGATGCTAAATAGCCCTGCCCCGACGTTTAGGATTCGGATTTTCCGGTTCGCTGTTACTGTTAGCAAGGCGAGAAATGGTTAAAGCTCTGGGGGAGCTACATGGATCAGCCAACAACGAAGTTGAAATTTTGTAGTCAGACTTGTAATTCTTATAATACTGGCTTTCTTGAACGGATTCTGAGATACGTTTGGCAATTAGCTCCGAGTCAGTCGGCCGTGACAGTAACACTCCTGCCGAGTTCGGGTTGACAATGTCCCCATCGGACTTCTTGGAAGAGTGCAGCTCATTCGAGACGGCTGGGGAGGAAGAGGCAGAAGCATCGTGTAACATAGTCATATTGCCAGCGAACGCGGCTACTTGCTCTTTAGGCTAATGGGTACGCGAGTCCCAAACACTTCCAAGTTGTCTGAAGCCAGCCTCTGGAGGATTTTTGTATTCGCGGGAGACCTCTCTTTAGTGGGGGTGTCGATCCTCAGTTTAGTCGGCTATTGTCATAAATGGCCGATTGCAGTGGTTCCGGACATATCTTTCCGCAAATTGAGTAGGAGATGACACTGTACGTATCCCCGTGGCGATCTACAATGAAACATGCCGCTGCAATCGAGATTCCGGAACTCACGAGAACAGCGGTGGGCAGACCTCGGAGGTTCCGAGCCTCTGGGCGGCATTTGTCCGCTGCCGGCCGGTACGCCACTGTCCCGCAACAGCTTTTCGACAAACCTCAAGGCCTATAGTAGTGTATGTGTAATTTTGTAGAAGTAGAGACTGGGTAACACTTGAGATCCGGTTTTGCTACTCACAGACAGCTGGCCGACAATGGCGCCCTATATTTCGCCCGAATGGCTCACACTTGAAAAGGAGATGGGGGAACGGCCACTATTGTCTGGTAGCTTCGAGACATACCAGAGAAACGCAAAGTTGATTGAGGAATATATTGCTGCTCATTTGCCAGCTAGAAACGACGATCGTTTGATAGTTGGTGAGCTCACCTCTCCTCTAAGTCGGTGTATTGTCTCACTGTGGCCTTCAAGAAGATAGGAAGACCAACACCGATATAACAGTCCGCGTCTATACTCCTATAAACGTCAATGAACAGCTGCCGATCGGCATCTATTGTCATGAAGGTGGGTTTTGTGAAGGAACCCTTGAGACAGGGGATCCATTGTGTAGGAGCGTTGCAGAGGACCTCCCATGTATCATCATTTCTTTGGATTACCGGAAGGCCCCCAAGGTTCCAATCCAGACTGTCTTTCAAGATGCATTGGACGGGTTTATTTGGGTATTACCGCCCACGGACCAATTACCACTTTTCGCTGACATACTGCTCTGAGACGTACGAACATGCAGCAAGCTTGGGTGGAGATCAAAACAAGATCTTCATGTTCGGTTGCTCTGCTGGTGGCTCGTTATCACTAGGTACAGCTCACAAGCTCATCGAGCTTGGTCGGAAAGGGCAGCTGAAAGCCGTCCTAAACCTGGCTGGCGGAACCGTCCATCCGGACAATGTGCCGGAGAAGCTTCGATCACTGTACCGTGCCATGGACGAAAATGCTGAGGGGGTACCAATAATCGATAGAGATGCGGCACAAATTATCAATAGTGAGTCCATTCGCGGGTTCAAAAACGACATCTGACGTGATAGTAGATGTTGCCGGCCTCAACGCGGCTGCAAACGACCCGTGGATATTTCCCGTGCTTTCCAGGCACTTAGCAGACTTCCCCTCTACGTATCTCGCATCTTGCGGCGCCGATCCTTTAAGAGATGACAACGTGGTATTGGAGTCGCTGTTGAAGAAGGAAGGGGTTACCGTATCTTCGGACATGTACCCAGGGATGCCTCATCTTTTTTGGAATTTTCCTACTCTGGAAAGCTCCAAGTTGTTTGTCCAAAATCTTGTGGGTCAAATAAGGTCGCTGCTCGACTGACATGAAATGGCTGTCTGTCCAGCTGTGAATGATCAAACGAATGAAACCAAGGCTATGTGAGAAACTAAGTGAGGAAGAGGAATGCCACCTCAGTGGGATTCGTTTTCTCTACTTTGGGATGGCCTTTAGTTTCTAGCATGAACAAGATAAGGGAACTACGTATGTATGTAGGAACGCGGCCGCCCCTTGCCTGCCTATCAAACCAGGAATTATCGGAAAACCTTCCATTTTGAGCCGGTCTTGGCATAGACGTCCGTCCCCCTTGCGTTTCTCGTTTCTCGTTTCTCGATCGTCTGTCCAGTGTTGGGCGTTCTTCCTCATACGCGCACCTTACAGGTAAAGGCCACTTGTTTGTCTTTGGAGCAGACCATTGCCGTTCCTCCTATATGTGACAACCTGTGGCTCAAGAGCAAACGGCATATGTTCGCAGCCTGCTCTCCGACTACTTGCACGACACCCTACTATCTTTGATATATGAGTAGACCTCTGCTGTCTCAATTACCTACATCATGCTGTAGCTGACCACCAGGCCATTGTTGTTTTCCTACTGTCTTTGCTAATCCGTCATGTCTGCGTGCAGTGTCGAGGAGAAGTCTCCGTCGTTTTCCACATTAGACAAAAATGATCCCGTTGTCAACAGTGACGACAGTGACACCAAAACCCCAGGCCGGTCCGGGGCTCAGACCCAAGATGAAGAGGACGGAGAAATCAGCGACCATGATCCACCCCGCTCAAGGTCCCGTAGCCACCCTGTGCAAGACCAAAAACATCAGACAGATCGCCCACCACTACCGAAAGAGGCACCGCCGGGACAAGCGCAACCTGGGGACGATGGCTGGGATGCGCTGTGGGATGATCAAGCGCAGGCCTTCTATTTCTTCAATCGATTCACCAACATTTCTCAATGGGAGAATCCTCGGATACCAACAGCAGCGCAGTCTGCCCCAGCCTGGGTAAAGCGGCCAGGCAACCCAGATTCTGGCCCCACAAAGCGAGCAGGCGGCTATGACCCTTCAATCCATGGCGACTATGATCCCAATGCCGACTATGCCAAAGTCTACGAGACAGAGAGCTCCGACGGCACAGTAGCAGGTATAGCTGCGGCCACAAATTCAGTTGGGTCAGAAGCATATGCGGCAACCGCAAGCTTCAACCGCTTCACGGGCAAATGGCAACGAGGTGATGTCAATCCCGAAAATTTCAGCGACGAGCAGAAAAGCCGGCGGCAGATGAACGCCTTTTTCGATGTGGATGCCGCTGCCAATAGCCATGATGGGCGAAGTCTTCGGGCAGAACGCGCGAACAAGAAACTGAGCAAGGCGGAGTTGAAGGCTTTCAAGGACAAGCGGAGGGAGAAGAAGGAGGAGAAACGGAGGGCGTGGCTGAGGGACTGACATTGATACACCCAAAAACGACGATGCATGATGGCTCTATGATGATGTTGTATAACTTAGACGGATGGTAAACCGAGCATCCTTGTTAGTTGTAGTACTCCCATACACGCAGGATACTTGGTACTTTGGATGGTGGGCGAGCACACAACCGAGGGCGAAAGGTGAAGGCGAATGACATGGAAATTGACACTTTGGCAAAAATCATCCGTTCCCACTCCCATTCAAGCTCCCATTTCCACTCCGACTCCTTCTCGCTGTCCCTTTTGCCCTCCAACGTATTCCAACTTCGCCATGATACACTCATGTTCACCGAAGTCTTCGCGGTGGGCTGCATCGCGTGGTTCGTCTTCATAGCCTGCGTTTGTGCAATTGGAGACCTCTTTCTGTAGGTTTCCCCTCCATCAAAACCCACCACCTCCCGAAAGGCTACAACAGCTCCTGACCTGATTTCCAGCTTTCGTTACTACCGGCAGAACCCTCCACGTGCCGCCATTCTCTCCAAACCCAAGGCAGCAATTCCTCATGTCACGGTGATACGTCCTTGCAAGGGTCGAGAACCCTATCTCTACGAATGTCTCGCTTCCACCTTCTACCAAGACTACCCTAGAGACAAGATCACTGTTCATTTTTGTATATCTTCTCGCTCTGATGCGGCATATCCTGTCTTACAGAAGATTGCTCGAGACTACGGCGATCATCATGACTGCCAGGTTTTCATTGAAGAGGACGATGACCTGGAACCAGCGCAGAGCGATTCACGGGCGCAATTGGGGCCCAATCCTAAGATCAGGAATATGAGTAGAGCCTATCGCGAGGCAAAAGGCGATCTGATCTGGATCATCGATTGTAATATCTGGGTGGGAGAAGGCGTGGGTGGACGGATGGTTGACAAACTCTGTGGAATTTCTTCCCAAGGACGCACCGCCACGCCTTACAAGCTCGTCCACAACCTCCCCATTTCCGTTGACGTCGACGCATATTCGAGTGTCGAACCAACAGCTTCAACTACGGCCTCCTACGATGACACTTCCACCACTCCGCTTCTCAAGCCGAGGCCCTCCAGTCGACTCAGCAACATCACCCAATACGGAGGCCGATTGGAAGAACTGTTTCTTTCGTCCTCACACGCCAAGATGTACGTCGCTATCAACACAGTAGCTGTGGCCCCGTGCATTGTAGGGAAGTGCAACATGTTCCGAAAGTCCCATCTGGATTACCTTACATCACGATTGGCGGCCGCCGAAGCCAGAGCCCAGGACCTTGCAAGCAACCTAGATTCTACGAATGTTCAGGCGAGAACTGGGATTGACTACTTCTCCCAGAATATCTGCGAAGATCACCTCATCGGCGACTTGTTGTGGAAGTCACCGCTTCCACCGATATTCTCCTCGAAAATGCGCAACCATGGCCTCGTATATGGCGACCTTGCTATTCAGCCTGTGGCTGGCATGACGGTGGATAGCTACATCGCGCGGCGAGTGCGATGGCTCCGCGTGCGCAAGTTCACTGTACCTGTTGCGACACTTGTGGAACCAGGCACCGAGAGTTTTCTCTGCAGCCTCTTCGGTGCATGGGGTGCTACGACCAGCAATTACACGCGCGATACGTTTGGAAACAGCTGGGGCTGGTTGGCCTTTTGGTGGGTCGTGGCCGTTACCGTCTGGGCAAGCGTTGACTGGACTGTGTATTTACTGCTTCATTCCGGCAAGACGGTGGAAGTGGGTTCTTCCGATAACCGTAACAACGGCGTAAACATCAGAGTTCCTGAATTCGCGAAACCTCTCGATCCCAACAGGTTCTCCCGCCGGCCATTCACAACGTGGTTGGTGTCCTGGCTGGGTCGCGAAGCACTGGCCTTTCCCGTATGGACGTGGGCCATCTGGGGCGGCGTGACAGTCACGTGGCGCGACAGGCGCTTTTGGGTTGGTATGGACATGAAAGTGCACGAGATACGCGACACGGAAGGAACGACGCCACAACAGATGAACGGCCACGTCCCACCACGTCGCGACACAGGAAGGGAAAGTGATGTATTCACGACATCAGGAGACTCGACGGCAAATGGGGCCGCCACCATGAACGGCCAGAAAAAGAAAAGAAGGACACATTAGCTGAGCACCAGGACTGTTGTGTCGTTGACCCCGCGAAGCCATGACCCTTCCTTGGTCGAAAGACACCTTCTGGGCGTAGAAATGTTCTTCGAGAACCACAACCACAACGACGAATTCATTCTACCAAGAACAAAAGCCATCGACTCTCAAGTTCCAAGCAAAACCCGGCTTGTACTATGCATAGGCGAAGCAGCAGCCGAAGTGACTCGTGTTAACAATCACTCTGCTCGTTACCTCGTAGACATGTAGACAGATCAAGACCACCTGCACCAACTTGAATAAATGATGACTGCATTCCTCGACTTTATCGCAACACAACAGCGCCGTAAGGCTGGGCTCCGGATGGGAGATCCCGGCACACAACGTCGGCGCTGGGTATTCTAACTAGTTAACTTGTAGTGTCGATGAGGCACTCCGTTTTCGGGTACGAAATGGGAACGATCTCTCTGCTTCTTTTAGGTAAAGTCAATACTGATCCAATTGACTTCTGGTATCCTACCAAGACATGGGCAATCCGAGTACGAAGGGATATCTTGGCAGGAAAATGCGGCCAAGCACACCAGAGTACGGAAACGTGCGCAGCCTAGCAGGCCTCACGGGCCATGGTGGGAGGCATGTGGATGGGATTGGGACTGGGCATACTACTCGTATGTATCCGTAGTTGTACATACACTGCCTCCGGTTAGGCACATTGTTAGGTATGCATCTACATACCTCGTACGACTAACTAACTCCATAGTAAGGCATCAAGTTCCTTCCCACGTGAACGCGCCAAGACACGCGCGCACACACGAACACGCACATGACCGTTGCCCATTGTATGTGCTTGTGCTCGAAGAACGCCTTGCCACCAGTGCTTTGCTGGCTCAGTGTTCTCGTGTTTCCTGCGGCGCCAACCAACGTCCAGGAATGCCGGGACAGCCCAGTCGCGCGCACAAAGGAGAACGTCAACGAATCTCTCTGTTTCCCAAGATCTAGGCAGACAGGCTTGGAATCTAGACTGGTTGGTAAACAGGGTGTGCGAAGAACACTTACATCCGCCCCTGCGTCTGAGATGGATTGAAATTGGCCTTCCAAGCGCGATGGCACTGGGGGTCGCCGTCTTCCTTCTCTCCTCGGTTGATATCCCAATTTACACTATTATTCCCCGGGATTGATTTCTCTGATATACATTTTCGTAGGTCTGCATTGTATTTGCAGTTGACACAAGCCCTTAGACGACGCTCTAGCCGTGCTGAAGCCTCCCAAGCAGATCCTTCTCAATCTAGCACTGTGCTAGCTATGTCTGGTTTTGGTGATTGCACTGCAATGATTTCCTCGCCACAGGAAGGTACCGTTGCATTCCAGAACAACTATTCTCACGATATCTCGTCCCAGCAGCAGCACACAACACCTGCGCTCGATCCAAATGCAGTAAGTGGGCCAGCGTCGTCTGAAGATGAGTCCGAAAATCATTATCCAGTCAAGACATTTGTCTTCCGACGCAAGGCTCTCAGAAGTAATATGCAAATCTTCGACGTCGGAAGTCAGGTCGAAACGCCATCGTATTTCGCAGCCGTCAGGGAATGGAAACTTAACACTCCTGATGTGACGCTGCACGCTGGAACAGATGCCACCGCTGACATTCTAGGCGTGGCTCATTTCCGCTTTTCACGACACATCATGCTCGGCCTAGGGAATCCCTCAAGAGATGCTTCTAGTGTGGTGTGGGAGAAGATGCAGAGGCAGACCTTCTTCAAGAACAAGTGGACCTTTGAATTCACCGATCCTAATGCCTGCGATATGCCAATACCGTCAATCAACGCCCCCGCTAGAAGACACTTCATATGGCAACGAACCAATAACAGTACCCTAGGTGTGAAAGGAGTGGGTAAGTTGTCGATAAGGAATGTCCGATTGGTCGACCAGGACAGTGGAGACGTCGTCGCTGTGTTTCTGGCTGACAATCTCACGAGCCTCAAGAGGAAAGGCGAGCTGAGAATATTTCAGAAGCTCAGCACTGAGCTGGAGAGGATCATCATCTTGGGCTGTGCCAGTATTGCCGAGAAGATGCACAGAGACTAAGGACCGAGTGCTTGAGACCTAGGCTCTCACGTACACTCCCATCTCTTCATCTCGAATTATGCTCATAGCATTGATCGTTGACTACGGACTTTGACCAGTCTCGCTAGCTGGAGGAAGGATCGTTTGGATGTGAATAACCACCGAGCGTCACCAGCGGCCTTCAGGTACTATGGGAGGAGCAATTTATTCTGCGCGGCTTCACCAATCCCTGGAAGCCGTGAAGCTGTATAATACGTAGAAGAGGCTATTTATTGGGTTAGCTATCGTGAATGGTCCCCTGGTTTCCAACTCACCCATCTCATATCAGCTTCAGTGTGGCAGCAGTCGTCAGTGATTGATACAGAGCCCATGTAATCTGGTGTGCCTCTTGCAGGAACTATGTGGTACTCCATAATAGTTATCCGTCCTCTTTTCGTTGACACCCTCAACCTTGCACCAATGGTGATGGACTTGTTTCTGCAAATGACTCTTCACTTTCCATGACGGTTTTGACGATAGTATAAGCAATGCAGCTATTCCAATGACTCATGAAGAAGAGTGGTGCATTATACCCCTTGTCTTTGGAGAAACGCTCTACTTTGATCTGACTGTTCATTACAAGGCTGTTGCTTCCGAGAAAACTCCGGAGCTGTGCGAATATAATATGAAAGTCTGATGCCGCCCGCCCATAAGTCTTATCGTTGTCTGGTAGTAAGCATCGAAGAAGGAAAACTGTCATGCGATAGTGAGACAGTAGTATTCAGTGCTAGTCTTTCAGCCTAGAGTCATCGTTCGACAGCCATGCTTTCCAACGCTTAACTGGCGTTGCCCAGTCGTTGACGTACTTTTGAATAACAAATGCCTTTTGCAACAGACAGTGTTGCTGCCCAAATCGAGAAGAAGGACCCAGTACAGACCCTGTTCTCTGGCTTGTGTGAGATCTTGGAAAGTGTGGATCATCTCAGGGGAAACGTGTGTGGTCTCTTCTGTGCTATTCTTTTCTGCGTCCACCTCCTCTTCCAGGCTATAGTAGTCTGCTTTCGCGATGAGACCTTGCATGATCGGTTCAATTTGATCGGACACTTCGACAGAAAGCGCAAGGTTCATTTTCCTGTGTTCGATGATGATTCTCTGGTCAGGTTTGAGATGTAGGAGCCCAACCGCAGACGTATCCATCAAGAACTCACAACGGGCGAAGAGAATGCACACGATGAGGATGATTTCGACAGGGAGATGGACCTGGTCACCTGGCTTGAATTGATCTCGGAGATCTCTTTGGTATAGTTGGAGGTGCTACCAGTGCTTGCCATGGTGTAGGTCTACTAAGCTCGTTTCATATATGCAGACTGCCCAGGAGCGGCGAGGCTGGTCTGTAGAATATTTGACCATGGCCTTGTCAGCTAGGAAGGAATCCATGAACTCACCAAAGTAGTTTGTAATGCGAGGGCCAGTATATTCGATGAAGAATTGAACGGGTCTGGTAACGTCGGCATCGTCCTGGAACAAGTGGGTGGGATAGGCGTAGAAGATAGCGCAAGCAAATGACATATCCTGGTGTGAGTTGCCAGCAGTCGGATCAAAAATCCAGGTTCTAGATTGCGTATAGCCTTCGCAGATCCTGCCAGCTTTGGCACATCGTATGCATCTTGGATGCGTCTCGTCACCTGTGGAGAAGGACCAGACTGAAGTTAGTCAAACATGAACGAGACCGGGGAGTAATGGAAATGAAGGTGCCACGGCAACGCACACTGCCCACCGAGATGTCAATGGGCCGTCTTAGTCGCTCGTATTCAATAAACAAGCCAAAGTTAACGAGAAAAGTAATGGTGGAAGAGACATAAATTTGACCCTTCGTTGTCTGCAACAGGAGCAGATGATCAGCAAATGTATTGGAAGATTTCCTCAAGCATAAGTGATAGGAGAAGGACGTGCGCCCGTCTCCGATATCTCCTGGTGCGCAGTCGCACTTACCTACGCGTAATACAGCCAGTCCTTACTTTGTTGTGAATCCTTTTCAATCGGATAGTCAATAGTTCTCTATTCTAGCCACGAGCGACGACCTTCAAACGTTCATCGGGTTCTCGACTTTCTCTACTGTCGTCTGAATTGACCGACTGCGAACCCGAGACACTTGACCGTTCGGCTTTCAGCGATGACAACAGCTCGAGCAACTGGGACCATCTCGCAGATGGAAACTGACTCGCTTATCAGAACTCCTTATCCTTATGTCGAGACAGATTGCAGAGTAAGGGCGACGATCAAGTCAAGACGCAGGAGGTCGTGCGTCCCTTTAAGACTGAGAATTGAGCACCTGGGGCAATTAATGAATCGGTCAATGGTAATCTGGCCCAGTCCCAAGAGGTTGAGTGAAATGCGTCCGAACCTGGGAAGGCTTCATTAATGGTCAAATACTCGATCCTACGATCTATTAGGCCCGCTTCGAAATATTCAGACTCAATTAGAGCCACAGAGTCTGGAAGTGCCAAAGACCCGTGTATAACCGGAGACATGTTGTTCAATCTGCAACAGAGGATCACAAGCTCGATGCCACGAACAAGCGAGTAGATCCATAGACCGCCTGGGACAGATGAAGTCATGTTAGTTGCAATGGTGAGTTGACCGGCCATACGATGGCAAGACATCTCGCGGCCCAGGACTCGCGGCTCAGGAGCCAGAGTCAATGATCAGTGTCGAGGTCATTCAGTCGAACCTGCAGACGGCTGGAAGCCAAGGATAGCAGGCTTCAAAGAAAGTAAGTCGAGCCTCCCTGCGGCGGTGGGCTTCAAATCAGCTCCGGGAGTGGGTGGGTGGTAACTTGCTTCTTGCAGTGACCTGTTCAATTGGTAGTTCGGGTTGGAGTTGGTAAGAGTTAGTAGCATCACCTCGCGCGTGCGGTACGCGTCAATCTTCGTTGATAGGGAAGGCGCAATGACCAGTTCACTATAGACTATGTAGAGGCAACATGGCGCTCGCAACAACACCATCATCACCACCCTCCAGATTATGCTTGGGATCCAATTGACATAATGGTAAATGAGTCTGCTAAGCGTCCCGACTAAGATCTCTCGCAACCCTTTGCCAGGGTATGCAGCCTCAGGGCTGAATGCAGCGACCTGTTGGAACTTGGGTGCCTGCTAGTAACTAGTCCCATTCAAAAGGACCGACCCTGAGGTTGTGTAAGTTATTACATAGTGACCGCTTTCCATTCTACCTCTCGTCCGTCCCTGAGGTCACATTCCATCGACGCGACATTGATCTTCTCTCGACTATCTTCCCTACGGGCCATTTCTGAAAAAACTGTGTAGACCTTATAACATCCCTGTTGTCGGGCTCAGATCTAGCTGTCTGATTTCGAGGGCAACACGAGACCTGGCACTCGATGAGAGAAAAGATCTGGTATAGGTAAGGGAGTTTCAGTACAGCAGCGCAAAACTCAATAACCGCCTGCCTACATAAGGCCGTTGGCAGGTATGCAAGCACAATGCCACTGAATGCTCTCTCACTCCTGCAGCTCGGCTTGTCTTAGTACTGAGGACCGAGTACAGACTCTCAGTCTACACAGACCACCACAGCCACACCAGTCCTTTCAGGTATTCCACAATCTCTTCACCCCCCAGCTTGCTCTCACCATACAATCGATCGACAAAGGTGATGGGAACTTCTTCTACCTTCATCCCCATGGCCTTGGCCCGCACCATCATTTCCATCTGGAAGGTGTACCCCTTAGACTGCGTCTTCTCGATCACTTTCACCAGGGCCTCCTTTTTGTACAGCCGGAACGAGCCCGTCAGGTCGCTGACGCCAGGATTCAGCAGGAAATCCGCCAAGATGTTTGCACCACAGCTCGTGAGTTTCCGTTTGGCATCCCAGCCATACACCCCTCCAATTAAGCCTGGCCGACTCCTGTATCTTGTGCCCGTGACAATATCAGAGTTGCTCTGCTTCTGGACCCTGATGAACTCCGGGATGAACTTGGGATGGTGTGAAAAGTCCGCGTCCATGATGATCACGTAGTTTCCTGTCACGAACTGCAGCCCATGAACGTAGGCAGTTCCCAGGCCGAGTTTGCCTGCACGGGGCTTGAGAACGATGTGATCGGCGCCGAAGGATTTCTGCAGCTCTTTCGCTCGTTCGAGGGTGCCGTCTGGGGACGCATCGTCCACGACGATGACTTCCCAATCGATCTTTCTGGATTGGCGGGACGCCAGAGTTAGAAGAGGGTTTTTGGCTATGCATTGAGGGAATCAGAGAAGCTCACTCCCTTGTGAAGACATCAGACAGCATCTGCACCAGGACTGGTAGATTTTGCCGCTCGTTATAGGTGGGCAGGATCACTGAGTATTTATCGCCTTTAGGGGCCATGTTGGCGACTTGCGGTCGCGATTGCGGTTGCGGTTGCGGTCGTAGTCGTGGGTATGGGTGTGGATGTGGATAGGTGCAGGTATGAGTGCAGGACTGGAAGTGGCCGATGTTTGGTGCTTGTGGTGGCTGTTGAGCGTCGCACTCACAAAGTCGTCAATCTGGCCATTTTGCAATGTTGCGACACAATGGCTGCGCGGTGAATTACTCGTAATTAATTTGAATGCATCCCCGTATTGGGGCCGAGTGGTCCTGCTCCAGCTTTTTAACTTAGGGGGCTCTGGGCCAAAGCACAGTTATGATTTATCTGCGACCTTATCCTTAGTTAAGGCCGGGCTTTGAACCAAGCAGCCCTAGTGGGTGCCTAGAAGCGGTTAACAAGGTAATTAGCAGGTGCTTTGCACTCCATACTCGGTTCTAGCATCCACTAGGAGACCAGTAGCTTACCGCCATGTACGAACGATAGGGCCGCTTCTTATTAAACTATTCTACTAACTATCGTATTAACAGCAGGTGAAAGTCCCCATTGCCGTAACAAGCGGTATGTTCATCCTCACAAATCACGGAATCGACATCAAAATGCCACTCTAAATTGATGTCAGTAATTGCTGTTCTACCCTTCAACCCCCTGAGATTTGGTTAGAAGCAGGCGTTTTCCCCCGCCTTAAGATAGCGTTCCCACAATGGCTACCCAAGGTCACTCTCGAAAACCCTCCAGCCGGGCAGCTCTTCCACGCCGAACCACCAGAGGCCCATTAGACGCAATTGAGGATCCATTGTCCATTTCAGGTTCACCGTCTTTGACTCCTTCGGCCTCTATACAGGCAACATTGCCAAAAAGGTCCCAAGATGAAGCCAGTCAGCATCTTAGCAACGCGTCACCAACTGGGCCGCTGCACACTTTGCCTAATCAATCGGCACCTTCGTCCAAACCACAGCAGGAAATAGTGGAAGAGCCAGTGACCGAGGAGAGGGATCTGTCTTTTTTGCTGGATGCATCTATTTACCACCCCCTCTCCCAGCTTGAAGTCCCAGGCCCATTCCGGAAGCCTTTTCTACCTCCGCCAACCAGCGAGACCCCAATTGCACGCTCACTCGACCAGCTTGACAATCTCCTGTCACAATGTGAATTCCTGCGAGCCGCCCACTTTGCAGGTATGATCTTGACATCAGGTACGGTCAGGCCTACAGATACAAGGACTGTATTCAGGCTACTGGCGATACGCTACTCCTGTCTTGAGCTAACAGGCAATCTATTGTTTGCTGCACAAGAGGCTAAAGCCTTGGAAGATTTGAGCTCTGCTTTCTACTATGATGATCTCAATCCGCAAGGGGGAGCCGATAATGATAACGATCCAATTCGCAAAGTCCCAAGGCACATTATGCCTTTCTCCTTGCGATTGCAAAGCTTACGATTGCAGAGCATAGGCTTTTCAGATTCTCGACGAGGTGTTTCAACCCTCTATGATACAGCTTCAGAATGTAGGGAGAATATTACCTCTCCAGCTACAACTCTGGAGCAGCGGAAATTATGGGCAGCCCGTCTGCAAGAGGTAGCAATTCGCGTGGTCAATGCACTGGTGGAAATCGGCGACCTGGACTGTGCCATCCGAACTCTCAAGACAATGAAGCCCACTAAACCCGAGGATGCACCAACTTGGGAGGCTCGGATGATTTTGCTCCTTGTCAAAATGGGGGATGTCGCAAAAGCGGGTCAAATTATAAAGGCCTCCAACTTGCAACATACCGATCGAGTTGCTCTCGAGGCCTTGCTTGCCATAGCACAGGGACAATACCAAGATGCTGAGGCACTGCTCAAGCCGGGACCAAACATTGAAACTTCATTGCAAGCTCTGGTCAAACAAAACCTCGCTGTGGCTTATCTTTACAATGGAGAAGTCCAGAAAGCAAAGGAAATACTAGAGGATTTGGTGCAAGATGGCCACTCTTTCCAGACTCTTACGATCAACCTTGCAACAATATATGATCTCAGCTCAGACAGATCCCGCGAATTGAAGGCGTCCCTGGTTTCCCGAATTGCGTCGGATGGCAACTCCAATAAAGCACGAGCCTTTACTAATGCTGATTTCAAACTCTAAGCAAGACACTGTCCATCAGATGCAAACCGCTCCCAGGGTACCATGGCGGTAATCAAATGCATTTAATAATCCTTTGAGGTGCGAAATTGCGGCCAGCACGATGAGGATGTGGAATATCTGGTGTGAGCTTCCAACAGTATCGAATCTCCCAGGATACAAGGCTTCTGGCACCCGTGCCTAATGCACTCAGTTATCTGACTACGTGATTAAATAAGAGAACACTCACCGCATATAGCATGGCACCCATGATGTATAAGAAGCCCTGCAGAACTAACCAAGACAGGCCAATCTGTTTCTGCAGCTGAGAAAGCCCAAATATTCGTAGGCCATCGAGCACCGGAATAACCGCAGACACCCCCATGCCGATGAACATGAATGCCCGAAATGGCCTCCATGCAGGAGTTCTAAACCGAGACAAAACCGAGGTCGCAGTGCAGGCGATTCCAAGTGCACAAATCTGGCAGGGAGGGTTACTCAGGATGACTCAAAAACTCTCAAGGGCTGCTTATGGTATTACCATGGACCAATACGTCCACTGTCGTTCACTATGACACCAAAATCCATAATACACGCTGGGAATGAAGGACCCAGCGATGAGGATTGAAATACCGGCATAGTCTAGTTGGTTCCAAAATTTCGCAACTCGGGGAGAATGGTTCGAGACCGTATGATAGGAGGCACTTAGCCCTAAGCAGCAGGCAACACCAAGGAAGAAACAGCCCATGGCTATCAAATCGGGCAGTGATGCCTGTTCGTAGCGAGGCCGCAAGACGTTGAACAGGACGGCTGCGATAGGTAGACTGAAGATCGCCGGGACCAGATGGGACCAGATGTTGATACTTTCATTATGCCAATGCATAATGCTCTGCACGGACCTGCTGTAGCTGTACGAGGCCTGCCTATACTGTCCGTGTATATGCTGGTTGTCTTGCATCCAATGCGGCAGGTCATTCCAGTGGACGAGCGAGTGCCATAGATCAGGGAGGTCATTCTCTGCTGTAGCGGCCTTTGGCGAGTTGACCACATGGTCTAGAGTTTCGTCTTTGGACATTTTGGTATATTGTATAGAACCACAAGCCGTCTCGGATCTCTGGTATCTGGGCAGTAGAGGTATATAGCGAAGTATCTGCTATAGTGGAAGATTTAAAATCTCAAGGCAATATCAGAATGTTGGGCATGATTCCCCACATAGCCACGGCCAGGGGGTATGAGGTAATTAGACCACTATGTAGTAGCGCTCACGGCACGGGCCGCCCCTTGCCAAGTTGCAAGAACTCATCGATTGCACCTGCCACAAGATGAGTGCCACATCGCTCTTTCCATCATCACGTATCACATCTTGCCTCGGTACTCCGTACTCACATCATCTTGTGTCCCGACACACCTTTTCCGACAAACCACTTTGCTCTAGTCATGGCCATAAGTCAGAAAATAAGTGCTGTATTGACGGCTTTGCGCTAAAGAAACAGTTGCGGTTCGAGCATCATTGCAATCATGGCAAGCGGCCCTCTTGGTAGGGGCTCACTCAGCCGAAAGTCTTCAGCCCCGTGGGATAGACTAAGGCCAGTCAAACAAGATCCCTTGGAAAGCATGGGGTTTGTATCTAAGGGTGACCATAGGTATTCACCGTGCGAGTAATTGAGCGACCCCTCTAACTCTCACCGTGACAGACTGCTTGACCTTAAAACCCAAGAGAGCTTCTACAATAAGATTGTCGCTCGGTATATGCAATTTTGCACGAATTATTCCAAGGATCTCGACGCCGCCTTCGCATCGCTTTCTTTGGAGGGGGGTCTTTCAACATTGTTGCATTCAGCCGCAAACCCTCTAGTTCGATCTTGTCCGAAACCATCACTGACCACGACACTTGACCCACAACCTGCGATGGCGGGCCAACAATCCGGTTCTTTGGCACCACCGCCATCTTCGGAACTATCTATCATTTTAGTGGCGCTCCGAAAGCTAAGGGAGGGGCTCTTAGCAAGCTCTTCGACCGCACCGTCGCCGGTTTTTTCCCAAAGAGTCCATGTCTTCAATATTCGAGTAGCAGTCCTGGCCCGCCATCCACCATCATATCATCCTTCGCTTTTGCATCTCCTTTTTGTGCTCCACACCCCAAGCAATCCTCTTCCTCGGTCTGAGCTAGTCGAGATGACAACCTACCTCATCCTTGATATGGCTACTCGGCAGAGTGACTTGTGCAATGCGTACGCTTTGCGATATAACAGCCGCATCAAATTTGGCTACGAAAACTTAAACACGGACAAGTTGCTAAGATCCATTGTCACGGGCGATTGGATCTCCTTCTGGAGAGTCAGGCGGAAGGTTGATGGGTATATCCGCAGCATTTTGTTTTGGCACCTGGAACCTCAGCGTAGGTTGTCGTTGAAAGCAATTGGACGCTCGTATCTCACGAGTGATATCAAGTGGATCCTCGAGAGTGCGACAGGAGGCGAGATGGGCTGGGAGGAGCTGGTCAGGTCAGAAGATGTTGGGTGGCTTCGAGAAGGAGAAAAGGCAGTGATCCGAAAACCGAAAGCTCGCTAACAGAATTGCGCAAGGGTGGACGGAGATAAGCGATCTCGCCTGGTGGTTTCTGTAATTCTTTGACACTTTGAACCCTGTTTCAGCAGACATGACATGCAGACAATGGTTGCCAGGGAGGATTGCTGCTGAGGGTAAAGGGGAGATTGACCCAGCCTCGCCAGCCACTTATGTGGCGCTTCCAGCCACACAATTTCAGCCAATCAAAAATTGCGTCGCTTGTTGAGGCGAAGGCTTGGCGTCTCGCGGGGATTCCGACTGCATCTCGACTCTTCAAGCTGCTCCCTGCAAATCACCAACCTCCATCATTCCAGCCAATTCTTCGAAGTCTATTAAGATCTAGTCGACGCGCACATGCCTTTTCATTCTTGTTTCAGCACGCATATTCATTATAGACACATCCAGCCCCCTCTGACATGGATAGGTAAATGCTGGACGCCTTTCCTCGCCTTGATCTTGTTTTCCTGGTCTTCTTGTGCATTATTTTCTCTCGTGAACCAGATCCAACCCTCTGCGTCTGATTGTTAACCAATATCACAGCCCAAGATGCAACCACATCCGTTGTACACATATCTCTCACTGTCCTCGGCAATATTCCTGGCAAATGCGTGGCCACTGCTACCACTGCTACCTGGCCAACATGAACGAAGAGCACCTGCGTCTTACTCGGTAGTTGCTGTTGATGGAGGAAACGTAGGAGGAGATGGAACCGCCACGATAGTCACCAACTCCATCGTGCATACAGAAACAGTCATGAAGACTCAACTCTCGACAGTTGTCATCACCGAGTCCGACACCCCGTCCACAATCATCATCACCATCACATCTGCATCTCCAACCACAGTCACGGAGCACACGCAAACGGTCACCTCTCCAGCTCAAACGTCCGCAGAGCCGACGCAGTCGTACGAGTCCAGTACTCCCGCTCCCGCTACGGCGACTGTGACTGTAACCCAACCCCCTCCGCCAACAAAACCCTACGATGACGGAATGTGGCATACTAATTACTACTACACTGTGAGCGAAGAAACTCCTGCCCCAAGCTCCTCGTCGGAAGCAGCGGAGGCTGTACCCTCCACAACAACAGGACTGAATCATTGGGAAGGATTTGGTTCAGAGTTCGTATCGACTTCGCTTGTGTCTACTACCACTGTGGACTGGGCAACTTTCTGGATGGCGCCAGATGCTGAGAGCTCGAGTGTGACCACTTCGAGCTCCAGCCTGGTTGCCCCCACTGCCAACGTGCCGTTTTGGGGTGTCCACCCCAACTCTGCTCCGACTACAACTTCTTGAAGTTGTGGTTTGGCTGTATCACCACCATTTGAAGATGTAGGATTGGGCCATATTGCTTGGGTTTTATAGCGAAGGTGTTGGTGGCATTTACTTTTCGGTATGGATAGATGGAAAGAAGGTTACCAGGCCAGGCCTACAAGATTGACGGATCGGCTGATCTGAGAGGCAGTATTGCCATTTGAGATCAACACAGAGATAATATATGTGTTCACAATGTGAGCCCGAAGTTGATGAATGTGCGTGCAAAGAGTAGAGTACCGTCACAAAGCTCATGGCCCGGCCCACCTGAACACCTGATATACAATTTAGATCAAATTGTGCTGTAGGATTAGGCGGTATCATGCTATCCACGACTCTCGTACTAAGAATTCTGCCCGCATTTCCCAATTTGGTGATGGCGGCCGCCTCCAACTTGACGTCGATTTCTCCATGTTGCAGCAGCAGCCTGAGGACCTCCGGACCAACGACCAGACGAGCCACTGCAACTCTGTCCCTCCATTCCACATAATCAATGCAAACAACTTGCTTTGGTAGCCAACGATAGCAGTGCTTTATTTTGCGACTGCCGCGCCTGGACCTGTCTTCGTTCGATACCTCTTCCCATTGAACCCACGCTTACCCACTGGTCCTAGACCAGACCATTCGTCGCAATGGCGACAAGCCCGCCCACTCAGGAAGACCAGGGCCGCTTACTCGAGGAGGCTCTAGGAGTCGTGCGGCAGCAGGCGGTCCAGATGCGCAAATGTCTCGAGACTCCTGGCAAACTGATGGACGCTCTCAAATGCGGGTTAGTTTCTTCACACTATCACCCTATTGTGCTGCCTGCAATGCTGACGACAGATAACGCCACAGCTCTACCTTGGTCTCGGAGCTCAGAACACCTACGCTGGGTCCCAAGCAATACTATGAACTCTACATGGCTGTCTTTGACGCCCTGCGACACCTCTCTGAGTACCTGCGAGAATCCCATCCTGTCAATCACCTAGCCGACCTCTATGAGCTCGTGCAGTATGCTGGAAACATAATACCCCGTCTCTATCTCATGATCACCGTGGGTACAGTCTACATGGCTGTTGAGGATGCTCCGGTCAAGGAGATCATGAAGGACATGATGGAAATGAGTCGTGGTGTGCAGCATCCCATTCGTGGACTGTTCCTGCGGTATTATCTCAGTGGCCAAGCTCGGGATTACCTCCCTACGGGCACTCAGGATGGTCCGCAGGGAAACATCCAGGACTCGATCAATTTCATCTTGACCAATTTCGTCGAAATGAACAAACTCTGGGTCCGCTGGCAGCACCAAGGCCATTCAAGAGAGCGCGAGCAAAGAACGCAAGAACGGAGAGAGCTGGAACTGCTGGTCGGAAGCAACTTGGTCAGGCTCAGCCAACTGGTAGATCTGGAAACTTATAAATCCGTCATTATTGACCCGCTGCTGGAACAAGTCGTCCAGTGTCGCGATGTACTTGCCCAGGAGTATCTCCTTGAAGGTAGGACAAACCCAGCTTCACCCCACCGTTTGCATGCTCACACAATTTCAGTCATAACCAAGGTCTTTCCCGATGAGTATCATTTGCACACCTTGGGCCAGATGCTCTCGGCCATCTCCAGGTTAAATCCCCATGTTGATATGAAGAAAATCGTCATTGGCTTGATGGACCGTTTGTCAACCTATGCCCAAAGAGAATCCGAAGTGGCATCCTCGGAAGATAAGCAAGCCGCAGAGGAAGAAGCTGTGACTAAGCTGCTGGAAAAGGTAGACTTGAACAAAGAGACCAAAGTTGAACTCACAACGGAGCCTGAAGCCCCGAGCACAAATGGGGATGCTAAATCCCCAACGGAACCTCAGCCTACAGAAGAACCTGCCACTCCGGCAGCACCGAGCACTCCTGCTGCCAATGGAGAGAAATCGACGACTAATATCGACGACGTGAAGCTGTTTGAGATCTTCTACGAGCAGGTCGTGAACCTGGTCAAGACCCGTGGGCTGCCCATTCAAGATACCATGGCCCTCCTGACTTCTTTGGCTAACTTGGCACTGTGAGTCTACCTGATATGCCTCGCTATGCATTAACTTATTGTCTTAGGAATATCTACCCAGAACGCCTGGAATATGTCGACCAAATCCTCTCGTACGCTAGAGAGAAGGGTGCCGAATATATGGATTCGGCCGACCTTCACTCCGCCGGAACACAATCAAACATACTCAATCTCCTTCTGTCTCCCATAAGAACATATTTCTCTCTTTTCACTGCCCTCGCACTACCAAACTACCTGCCTCTATTCCAGTCGCAAACGTATGCTACTAGAAGAGCTGTTGCTGGAGAGGTGGCCAAGAACATCCTCCGAAACCGTGTTAAGATCAGGACTTCACAGCATCTCGAAGGTGTCCTATCACTGCTTAAAGTCATTATCAAAGAAGGCATTCAGCAACCTGGAGGCTACCCAGGTTTGAACCGTCAAAGAGGCGGGGAGTCAGACGAGACGGTTGAAGAGCAGGGATGGCTCGCACGAATTGTCCATTTGGTTGCAGGGCCCGACAACGACACACAGTTGAAACTTCTCCAACAGACGCGCAAAGCTTTCGAGGCTGGAAATGAGCGTATTAAATACACCACTCCTGCTCTAATCACTGCTTGTTTAAAGCTGGCTCGCAAATTCAAGTCCCGCGAACATTTTGACGATAACTGGCAGACTCAATCATCCGCCCTGTACCGATTCATTCACCAGACCTTGTCGCAACTTTATACCCGCGTCAACCCCGGAGCGGCAGAGTTAACACTTCGATTCTTCGTTTCCAGCGGTCAGATTGCTGACCAGAACGGGTTCGAGGAGTTTGCGTACGAATTCTTTGCGCAGGCCTTTACAATTTATGAAGACAGCATCAGTGATTCTCGAGCACAGTTCCAGGCCGTCTGCATCATAGCCGGAGCATTGCAATCGACGCGAGGTTTCGGGAAAGAAAACTATGATACACTTATCACCAAGGCGGCTCTACACGGCAGCAAGCTATTGAAGAAGCCGGATCAATGCCGTGCTGTGTATCTGGCCAGTCATCTGTGGTGGACTGTGGAGATTCCAGGAAAGGAGGAAGACCCCAAAAACGTGAGTTTCTGAGTGTGCTTCTGTGTTCGCATTGTCGGCAAAGGCTAACCCCATGTATTAGCTCTACCGTGATGGCAAACGCGTCCTAGAGTGCCTGCAAAGAGCACTGCGCGTGGCCGACGCCTGCATGGACACAGCTGTGTCCGTGGAACTCTTTGTCGAGATCCTGAACCGATACGTCTACTACTTCGACCAGCAGAACGAAACGGTAAGCATGCATGGGATTCCCAGAAAGCGCTCCAAACTCATCACGATGCGTCTTGCCCTACGCATTTTTGCTTTTCTTTCGGGCCCCTCAAATAACTGAACCTTCCTAATGCGTGAAACAGGTTACAACCAAATACCTCAACGGGCTGATCGAACTCATCCATTCGAACCTGTCGAGCACGAACGCAGAGGGCAATGCCCAGAGCATGGAGAATCCCAAGCGCCATTTCTTCCGCACCATCGAGTACATCAAATCCCGCGAGTACGAAGGCGTCGTCACGGAAGCGAGGCAATAGTTTGTTTTGGTTTGTTTGCACATGCGTGCGAGGGGAGAGGATGGGACGGGCGAATGAGTGGAAGGAAGGGCGTTCTTTTCATACATGTGTGTTTGTGTGAGTGAGTCAGACACGGACAAGCGCAGAGCGTAGTATCTCCTTCGCGGCGATTCTAATGATGTCGTGGGTGGCAACCCTAAGTTGTGCTCCGTTGGGGAGGGGTGGTGGGCACAATCACCTTGACTGTTGAGTCCAGTTGGCACGGCCAGAGTCGGTTGGTCTCTGTCCGAGCCGGAATCGTGTAAAGAAGAGATGTATGTCCAGTCACTGGCAGTGAGCCTCCATGATACTTTGTGCATGTGTGCAGGGTTCCATTAGGATATTGTCAGAAGGAACACAGACCAAGAACTTGCCTCCCTACACACATCGTGTTTTTGTCGAGGATTGCTGCTCTTCTTCTCACAGTCATCACAAAAGCACCCCATGGGTCTAAGAGAAATGCAATAGTGGCAGGTGCAGTTGCGCTGGTCGGATACTCCGGATGGGGCGAATCGACATGAGGTAGCATTGGAGGGAACATATACTGTTTATTCATGAACGGCTTTCGTCGGGACTGACTGCCGATAGTCCACAACATTCATCACTCTCGTCACGGTAAACCCAGACGATCAAGAGGATGCGCTGACTCATAAAGCACCGCACCATACACTTCAAATGGCAAACCGTACGGTGCTCACGCCTGGCCTTCCTGCTCTTTGACCGAGCGTTTGCAATACTATATCCGTGGCGTACTCCTCAGCTCCACCAGCACCAGAGTTTATACCTCTCTCTTTGCCACTCTGACGAAGATATTCGTCTGCTTGACGAACCAAACGTTGTGTGTCTGCAGCTCTTCCGCAGGATTGGCTAGCTCGAAGTCGAATCGTCGGACCAACTCTGGTACTAGCTTGGAGATCTCCAGCAGGCTGATGTTCTTGCCGATGCAGGTTCGTGACCCGATTCCGAACTGTGTGTTATTTTCTCCATTAGCCTGATGAATTTCCTTCCATGTCTTATCCCTTTCGGTTGGGATATCATGGCCCCATGAAGGGGAGCGGGAGGTAGTAGATCGAGCAGCACCATAGATTCTTGCAACTTACCGCCATAAAGTACCTCTCCATCGCCGATGCTTTCTCCGGACTCTCAAGCCAACGTTCTGGCCTGAACACGTCGACGTCTTGGCCGAAGACACTCTTGTTTCGGTGTGCGACCCAGGTGTTCACACCTACCACCGTCTGTAGAAAATCAGGCTAAGCAGAGCGTCCTGTTCAGGGCCCTGAGCAGTCATGCCGACTTACATCTTCAGGGAAATACCTTCCACAAATGGTCGATCCTCCTTTTGGTACGACACGAGCCAATGGCAGGCCCGTGGCGGGATGCATCCGAAGGCCTTCCTTGATACAAGCTTGCAGGTAAGGCATGGACTGGGCTTCAGCGAACGTGATGACATCGTCTGGGGATGGCCTCTCAGAGACTTTTGCATCGATTTCGGCGCGTAACTAGTGAGACGAATTGAGTCAGGTTGGGCATCCCGAGCCGCACGCATCTGGTCGTCAACCTTACCTTCTTATACAGGCTCTTGTTTTTAATCAAATAAAACATGATTGCTGCAAGTGAGACCGCCGTTGTGTCGCTGCCCGCGCCGATGTTGGTCAGAAGCGCGAGGAAAATGTCGGCCATGGAGATCTTTGAGGGATCTTCCACGTGCATCTTCAAAAGCTTGGTTAGGAAATCGTTCCCGGTTTTGGATGGTTCGCTATCACCCTTAGTTGCATTCAGCCGCTCGGTAATCTGGGCCTGGGTGAACTGCGTCAAGAATGACATGCCTGGACCAGGCAGGAATTGTTCCAACTTGGTGATTATTGGATGCCATTCCGAGTAAATGCCGACATTTGCACAGTGGAGCAGGTAAACATGCAATGCCGCAAATACGCCACCTTTGTCTTCACCTTTGTCGAGAAATCCGAATCTTTTGGCTAGCTACATCCACGCGAGTCAGTCGAAGCTGTTAGGGAGCATTATGAAGGTAGACCGTTACCGTGATGAGGCCAATGACATCAAAAGCCCAGCACTGGGCGAAATGCTGGAAATTTACTGTGACGCGATTCTGCGCAAACTCCTCAAACTTAGCCACCATATGAGCGGTACCGTCCGTCACAAAAGGCTCCAGTTGTAGCAATGTGGTCATGGAATACAGATTGGCGACTTTCCTCCGAATCTCCGAATGTATTTTGGGATTGCGCTCAGTGAATAAATTGTGGATGTTCGGATCAGGGCTACCGCTGGCGTAGTACCATGGGGCCTTGACCAATTATCAGCTTCTGAAGCAAAGTCTTTCAGGACCTCGAGATCGTGCCTTTATAAAACCAGTACCGTGACCGTAAATGATTTTAATTGCTTCGGTATCATCAATGCTGTACTCATTGGGCGCGATGCGGACGATGGGTCCTGGCAGTGCGAATTAATTCTACCCTTGGAAGGAAAAAGGGCGATGGGTGGAGGAAGTGCCCTACCATATCGCTGATGAAGCCTGACGTTGACTTTCTCAAAGTCACCCCTCCAGACGTTCTTCAGATACCACAGTCGGGTGAACCTGGTAGCGAGTGGGCCAGGAACATCGCGAAGAGGGGTTGATAGTGCCTTCCAGATCCGCAGTGCCAGAGCAACTAAGGGAATAAGTATTGCGAGCGATGCAAGGGCAGGCAACGTGTTCGAGGCATCCAGTCGAGTTGTGTTCAGAACACCCATGGCTTTGAATTTGAAGCTGGTCAGCGAACAATCAAGAACTCAGAATCTCTGTCTAGAGAACAAAGGTCGAGTTTTGTGAAGCGGCAACATTGAGCCTTCATATTTCCACACCCAGGTCCGAGTCAGTAAACTACAACACAACACCCACAATTCAGGTGGGGTGTTTAACATCAAGTCCCGGTAGTAATTCGGGTACCCGTGTGTCGAACTCTCGAGTCTCCACACCCCACACAAGCCACCAACCCGTACGCCAACACGGGCCTGTCCAAGATTGATAGTAATGTGCGTAGATTGATGGCTCAGGTGAGGATATTGGAAACTGAAGTCTAATACAAGTCACATCGTGGCGTGTCTCATCCTCATGCTGGGGCAAAATCAGCCCAGATGTCATTGAAAGAAAGTCCTTCGTGGATAGCATTTGAAGATCCAAGACCGTAGGCTCAAGAGGAAGAACTCCTTCCCAGACTCAGAGGGGCACCCCACATTAACGACTTGGTAACTTTGCGCTCCCACTAGCTACTCGAAGCGTCCCAAGTGCCCAACATGGGATGGACTTCGAATTAGTCTTCGGTTATAGTGGTGCTTTTTCTGCTGGCTTGCTTGGCTTCAAAAGCGGCGATATCCCACCCAGTATGCCATTGACAAAGAATGTCTATCACCAAGACAAGCTGCCGTTGAACAGCGTTAGATTTCGATATTAGCACCTTGCAAATGAAGGCTACGCTCGCAGCATTCAAGCGTCCACCAAGCTTCTGGCATTGCGCGCCAAAGACCAGCATCCGAAGAGGAGCACATTCGGCAATCCCTCGTGTCCGTTCAGGTTTTAATATGTATAATCAGACGTATGAGGCCTTGCGTACATGAGTATAGCCCCTTCTCCCATGTACAGGTGCGGAAGAAATTGCGGCCATGCTATCAGCAGATGTCTAGAATCATGGTGGCTGTCAGAGTCTTGATACGGAAGGTTTCGATTCCACGACTCGCTGTTTTGTACAGGTCACGCTTGACTCAATCCAATCTTTGTGCTTGGTGAGAATGTTGCTGGACGATATCAGTCATGCCTATTGCTTCTTTCCACAACTTGCAGCTTGCATATGGTCGGGTATTGCTAGCCCCGGAAACCAGTACAATGTACTGTTTTGAAGGCTCTGTGCATATCGCATGGAGTTTGATCAGCCAAATAGGAAGCCATAGTCGGCAGAAGGTGGAAAGACTTCAGTCCATGAGACAGACGGTCGGCCAGTCATTAAAGCTTGTTCATTGGCTGCCCAAACAGATCCAAGAAACTCGCTGCCTGAGTTCCAAAGCCAGAATCCGGTCTTTCGTTTCCATCTCTCGCCATAATCAACAACAACTTGCCTCAATTCGCGTTCATCCGGTCTGATCTCGCAACCAGCTAACATGATTGGCATTAGACACTGCTTTTGCAGTGAACTGTGGGGTGGTAGAGATTGAACATGTTCAAGGATCCGGATTGCGAGCTCATGCGGATTAGCCCAGCTATTGGGATCCATGTCTATGCTCAACAGCGAGCTTGGATTGGAGATAGCTGGTTTAGCATTGCTAGAGACGCTTTGCGTTTCTGAAAATGGAAAGACCCTGGCGCAATAAAGAAGAAGGCCTAATTTCCAGGATTCAGACATAGCATAAAAGTATTCATTGCCGTGTGTCTCAATAAAAGTGGTAGCAATCTTGGTTTGAAAACTGGAGCGTTCGGACAACGTGACCGTTTCTGGGTGCGTTGCCGCCGCGGCCAAGTCATACATATCGCAGAACATATCGTCGGGGAGCCCGTTCAGGGCGAGCATGCTCCATTCGGCTTCAGACTGCCAGGACATTAATTGGTCGAGGTAGCTTCTTGGGAAGGCCGGTCCACAGCGAGATAGCAGTGCTGCTACGACATCATACCACAAGAGCTGGGCGATCTGACTTCGAAGGTTTGCGCGGTCCTTGGCCATTATGATACCACCATGTGACTCCAGAATTCGATAAGCACCTTGAAGATGGACAATCCAATTGGAATATCCGGATTCAATGTAGTCCAATGCAAGCAACAAGAGGGCAGTGCTTACAGCAGATTCAAGGGAGACATCGTTGAGGTGAGTCCCAAAAATGGACAACGCACGATCTTTCAATCTGAGCACGGAGAGGTTCTCGTGTTGACCACTCAAGTGAGCTTGCTGTCTTTGGGCAAGGGCGACAGCCGCATACTGGACGCAGGGGATATTGTCATTGATGTGGAGTATTGCAGACTGCCACGGGTTGATATGAACAGGAAAAGTCAGTGTCGTGTAGGAGAAACACTCATGATAGAAAGATAGGGAGTCCTCAAGATCCCCTGGAAGGCGGTAAACCTTTGGCGAAATGGAGAAATTTAATTGTAGCACGTCGTTGACCGAGACTGGTGACGCTGTTCTCGAAACAGGCCACGGGGAGGAGGAATCTTTTGAAGACAATTCGTATGTCGTCGATGACGAATCCCGAAGTACAGTGTCGATAACCTCGAATGCGAGAGGCGTTGTAGGTTTGCTGGGAGATGGTTGATCGAAAGACTTCTTTCTTGAGCGGTCAGATACTGTGCTCTGAGCGACGAAAGTAAATTCGGTCGGTCGAGGTAACTGAGCGATTGCTTCGACTGACTTGGAGAGGTCTAGCTTCTTGGTCCTTTCATTGCGTGCTGATTTGCCCTTGCGGGATTTGGATCCTTCCCAATTCAGCTGTTGGACATAACCTGCACATATGATGCCATCGGCCAGACAGGCGCTACATCTTGGCCTCTGACGGTTGCAATGGCGACTAAGTGATGAGCACCGATGGCAATCGCTTGTAGCCCAACCTAATGAATTCGTTCTCTTAGTCGTGGCAAACTTCTGGCCTCGCGAAGGAGAAACAGGGCCTGTGACCGACATGGTCGGCCTGCTCGATGCATTGAAGGGCTACGGTGGGCGTATCCAATCACTGGCAACATGCAACGATGGCGGAGCGAAGACCAGCGAGAACCAAGAGAGATGAGGATGGAAACTTTGTCCCACGGGCCCATCGGGTTATCGATATCAGGCTGGATTATTGATGTTCCTGTTCCAGATGCGAGCACGTGACCCGCCTCAGAGTCGGTCCTGGAGAGGAAGGAACAAAAAGCTACGAACATTGGCAGGAGGCACGATAGAGTCACGCAATGAACGAACTGAAAGAGATTTTGGATTCTCACGAGTTCGCCATAGTAGACACTTGCTTGTGATACGGTGTACTGAAGGAACAGCGACAATGGTTTTACTACTCGCATATCTCTAGATGTCTCCACGGCATTGCCAACCCTAATGCGAGAACTGTACGATCTCATTACACCCTTAATTTCCTGTAGTCAACCAAGGTGACTTGCATAATACAAACCTGAGTGGTCATACCATCCTTGTTCCGTAATCTTGACACTGACTGGCAACTCTTCTGCTTCGGCTTTGAACCACATTTATAGCCAATTCTGCCCTCTTGTTCTCCTGGCTTCCTTTTCACCTTTATACATTCCCTTCTTGCTAGTCGGAATACCCATTCCTACCAAACTTGACATCATGACCAAGCCAGCTTCGACGGGGTCAATAACGTTGATCGTCCGACGTCCATCTTCATCTCTCACTGCATCTTTGGCAGCACGTGTCATGTCCACCATCCCGGCACATCCTAGGATAATCGTGTCTGCCCCTTTGACGGCCAGGGCTCTTGCTGCATGCATGACGCGTTTGGCCACCTCTTCTTTCGGGCGTGAATCCAGCTCCAATACTCCCAGATGCGTGGCCTCACTGCCCACATAGTAATGTGAAAGACCATAGGTTGCGACTTGATCGTCTTGCAAGATCTTGGATCGGGCAGCTGTGGCGACGACTCCAAATCGCCCACCAAGCATACGGGCCACGTAGAGGCTTGCTTCCATTATTCCAATGATGGGCACATCGTATGATTCCCGCAAGGCGTCAATCAGAGGGTGCTTAGAGAAACAAGCTATGATCATCCCATCGAAGTTTTGGACGGTCTCGCCATTCGTCGCGGCATGCTTGGCGAGGTCACGTAGAACGGCTTCCGTCGACATGATTGCATCGGTTGTGGATTCAATCGCAGTTGGTGCAGGGTATGGGGCTGTGTAGGCGGTGAGTTCGACTCCAGGTGGGATGATGGGTCGAAGAGCATTTGCCATAGTGTCCGTCATGCCACGGGATGAATTCGGGTTGATGAGTAGAATTTGGCTTGGGCGCTGGCGGGGCGGAGCTGTGATGGGGGTGGAAAATGGAGATTTAGACGATGTTGGTCGCGCATTGGGACCAAGGGGCCCCTGGGGTCCTCCACGAGAGACTGGGCGGGAGGCAGAAGAGGGCCCAACTTGTCCCGGTTGTTGGTAGCCACTATGTTGGGGCATCAAGGGTTGAGGTTGAGCCATCTGCTGTGGAGGAGAGAATGGCATTGGAGGTGGCCCTTGGCCGCCGGGACCGGGACCGGGGCCGGGACCTTGACCCTGACCCGGAGGACCAGCACCGACAGGAATGGGATAGCTTTGTCCAAAAGTGCTACTTCGTGAGCGCGAGTGGGCATGTCCAGGACCATCTGCGAAAGCGTTGCCAGCATCGTTGGTTGGTGACTGGGGGGGGCCATATTGGGCGCTTGGAAAGCGGCCACTATACTGATTATTCAGGGCCATGGATGGCAGGGGTGGAGATTGAGATGGTAAAGGGCCCGAGTGACCACTGGGACCCGACCCTGACGGATGTCGCATTTGATTGGTGTAGGAAGGCATGTCGGGGTCGTAGTTGAGAAGATCAAGCTGTTGCTGAAGATTGGGTTGAGGAGAGCCAGAGGGTGAAGGGCCACCAGGACGAAGAGCAGGAGGATGGAATTGGGAATATGATTGATCGGCCATATCAAGGAAAGGGAGAGGGCGAGGGCGAGGGCGAGCGAGAGAAAGGATGGGATGGTGTGGTTCCAAGTTGGGCTGAGACAAAAACAGACACGCGCAGCACACAATGCGACCAGGTTGGAGGTTGGAGGTTGGAGGTTGGAACCCAGGGACCAGAGCCTGAGGTTCGTGGAGCCGTGGAGCTTTGAGTCTGGACGGTCACGACTCACGGAGGACGAGACCCTCGACTCGACTTTCGAACTTCAACTGGCCTGGAGTCCTAGACTGGGAGCGCTTAACCGAGTTTTTCCTGCTGGCCTGGAGCCTGTTTTATTCTCCGACACGGGCGATGAGAGGGGCGGCGTATCAGAATTCAGGACGGAGTACGGAGTACGGCGTGCGAGGTCCAGAGTACGAAGTATTGACCAGTGCTCGGCACAAGACGGAGGGCGGAGCAGCCTGAAACCACGCGACTTCAATGACGTGGTGATGGAAGTGAATGGGTGGCAGCAGTTGGTACAGGATTCTTTGGAACGGCGGAAGGCTGTTGACAAAGATAGATTTGATCTAATCAAATATTCATGGATAGGATGGACAGATGTCCAAGTTAGCTTTCGTGGCGAATTAAATGCACCGAGGGAGCAGGAAGCATGTAAGCGTAGGAGCAAGAGCAAGAGTAAGAAAGAGTAAGAGCTAGGCCAGCTACCACTCGTCCTCGTAGCTGAGTTGATCTGATGAGACCAGCATCAGGCATGGGCCTGCGACACAGTCACAACCACAACTGGCGGCCAACCTGTGGCGGGAGGCTGCTGTCGTCGACTCGTCGGGTGTTCGGGGACTGTTGGGGGCGACGCTCGGGCTCCTTGGGGCGGTTCTAAATATAACCCGCGCCTAAGGGCCTTCGCGCCGACGCCTATTTACGCTAGTCGGCCCCCAAACGGAATAGTTACTCAGCAGCACACAGACCTAAAGATACACATACGATACACAACACACACCCCTACACAACACCTACACAACACCTACACAACTGGCCAGGTCCCAACCACCTTGATTGCAATCTTGAGTATCTCTATCCCTTCCAAGCAAACTCCAAACTCCCATCTTCACAACAACTCGGGCTCCTTGACCCCCGTCTGTTCCACAATGATGCCATAATGCTCGACTCTACGATGCTTGTCAAATGCAAACACCTTCTCCTTGCCACGTCGACATCTCCCGAGATCAATTTCCGCCACGATCAATTCATCGTCTTCTGTCTGCGCCTCGACCACCACCTCGCCATCACAGTCGACTATACAGCTGCCCCCAATCAACGGGTACTTCTCATCTTCGACGCCGCACTTGGCCACATTGATGCTGAAACATGCGTTGGCATAACTGTTGTAGGTGATGCTCAACTTGTTGTGGAACAATGCCTCTGCCTTCGCCTTTTCAGGAGTTGACGTCTTCTCATTCGTCCCAATGAGCTCCGGTGCCCATGCCGTGGTATTATATCCACACAGGAGAAGCTCCATCCCTTGGAGCCCATATGCTCTCCATGCTTCAGGCCACCGACGATCATTGCAGACCAGCATCCCAACGATCGGGTCGCCTTTGCCCAGCGTATCCGGCTTGTTGGCCGCAAGTCCAGATTCCTTCTCGAGAGCACCCTGGACCAACCCTGGTGCTCGGAAAGCCTTGAACCCAAGGTCTCCAGGTTTGAAATATCTTTTTTCCAGTTGGTTCGTTGCTCCTTCACGTTCGTACGGTTCAAATGTCCCCGGTAAGTGAACCTTCCGATACTTGGATATCACTTGTCCCCTGTACCCTGAGAAATATACCGAAGTATTATAGTGGATATGATCGGATCCCGTGCACTCGGCGTAGCCCAGATACATGTCCATCTTATACTCGCTCGCCTTGTCAAACAAGGCCTTGAGGTTCGTCAATTGTGTTGGTTCACCATTGCCCTCCTGCTCAAAATACTTCTCAAGTTCTTCCTCATCAAGGATGTGCCTAGGGAAAAAGGTGACCGGTGCGATCTCCGGGAAGACGATCAGCTTAACATGCTGGCCATGTGCTTTTTCCATCAGCTTTAGCATTCTTTCCACACCTTCCGATCGTGGTGTATCGACATGAATTGCACCTAGTTGAGCGCCAGCCACAATTATCTTACGGCTAGACTCATTGGTATGAGCTGCATTACTGCCACGCTTGGTAGAAGTCATTTGGGGGTTGAGAGGAACCTTCTCAATTCAGCAGAAACAACGTGGGAGCCACTGTAATGTAACTTGTAATATTGCCGGCGCGACAAGACGGACCACAAGCACTTTCTACGCTATTACACAATCCTATCTATTCCATTCCAGACGCTACATATCTTGTCTAGATAGTTATGCCAACCAACCTTTTCGTATGCCGTCATTGGGTGGTAGGCTGGTAGGCTGGCAGGCTGGTAGCGCTCTTATCCGAACCCCTAGTGGGCCAAAAGGACATCAACGACGGCACGAATCACCAAGCAAAAGTACTCGATCCCATTAGAAGACTTCCCATGGAGTAATCTTAATCTTCAGGTTCACAGACGTTGATAAGAGCATCTATGATATGAGTCACCTGTAAGTACTGCATACAAAAGTCTCAGCACCGCCTGTTGATCGCTTCACTATTGGCAACAGTGCTTCTCGACTCTCCCGCCATGGCCCTGCATGCGGCCATCCTCGCACCTTTCACCCAACACCCATACGCGACCCTCTTCCTGTTTCCTGTCATCTTCATCATAGTCCGTGTCTTCTACCGGATTTCCCCATTGCATCCTCTCAACCACGTGCCCGCTCCTCCTCTTGCCTGTTGCTCCTCCCTGTGGTTGACCTACCATGCCTGGATTGGTGACGAGGCTTCAACCGTAAACACGCTTCACAAGCGGTACGGTCCCGTCGTTCGAACTGGTCCAAACAGCGTGGATATCTCAGATGGAGCTGCATTAGCCACAATATACACGGAAAAGGGAGGCTTTGCGAAAGCACCCTTCTACGCGAATTTCGATATCGATGGTCATAAATCCATCTTCTCTGCGACGGATCCTCTGCAACGTGCCCCGCGAGCCAAAGCTGTTGCTGCTCTTTTCTCTACCTCCAATCTACGTCAAGGACAAGCCATCATATACAAGTGTGTCGATCGATTCGTCGAACGACTCGCTGAGGCTGCTACTCAGGAGAAAAGGGGCAAGCCATGGAACATCCTAAACCTGACCAGAGGTCTGGCACTCGATGCAGTGTCCTCGTACCTCCTGGGCGGTAATTATGGTGCTCTCGACGAGCCGTTGGTCAAAGAGGAGGAGCACAAGGCCGACACGGGTGGAGAAATGAGCGCCAGTGGAATGGTCAACTGCTTTGTTGCGGTTGGGCGATTTTGGTACCTGCCAATTCCTGTGTTTAAGAAGCTGGAATCATTCAATGCCTGGTGGAACGCCGAGAATGAAGTGTCCACGAGCCTAGCCATGGTAGACGAATTCGTCGCCAGCGTCGTCACTCAGGCCGCAAACGCCCTCCGAGCGTCAACGGACAATGAAAAGACCCCAGGTACCAGCAACACAACTCATCCATCAGCATCCTATCCAGCCCGTATGCTTCAGGCGGGTTTCTCTGTCTCAGAAGTGCGTGCGCAATGTAAAGATCTGATTTTCGCGGGGACCGATAGCACAGGCATGAACCTCGCAGCCATCCTGTTTCACCTCGCCCGCAGCCCCCAATGCTACTCGGCCTTGCGCCAGGAAATCCTGACCGCAAATCCATCCTTCGACAACCTGCAGTCCCTCCCCTATCTGCGTGGGGTGGTGAAAGAAGGCCTTCGGTTGTCCATGGCGAACCCTTCTCGCTTACCGCGGGTGGTGCCGCAGCAGGGCTGGGCCTTCAAGGAGATCTATTTCCCGCCGGGCACCGTCATCAGTTGTACGCCCTACTCCCTTCATCTCAATCCTACCGTCTTCCCCGATCCGTTCGCCTTCAAACCCGAACGCTGGCTGGAGCCCACCGACGAAATGGTACGTGATGCAATACCCTTCGGACTGGGCACGAGGCAATGTATTGCCCGCAATCTGGCTTCGGTGGAAGTGTTCTGTGCCGTCGAGAAGGTGGTCCGCGCCGATGTCTTGAGGGGAGCAAAGACGTCGACGGACAAAATCGAGATCCTGGAGTGGTTCAATTCAAAGGTAGTCGGCGAGAGGATCGACCTGGTTTGGTGACCTTGTTTCCAGCTTAGAGCAGAGCACATGTAGAGTTCCAAGGTAAGTGTAGGGTCAGACCAGACCACGACTACGCAATGATAGAGTGTGCGACTATATCTCGTGTTGCTCACAGGCATATCCTCAAGGTTCGACAATATTAGAGTTCCCTTTGAAACTTGAGTTGATACATCTGTTGACTAATCTGGTTTTTCAAAGTGGTTGGTGTGGTCATCCTTTCTTTATACAGATCTGGGATGCCTTCTCCTCTCCATATCTATGATTCGCCACAGCCCAGGAGAACACTATCTATTCTAATTTACTTGGGACTGAGGCGGGCCCAGCTGCAACGCCATGGTCAACAAATTTGAATTCTGAATCTCTTCTGCCCTGCTCTTGAGTTCATCCACGTCCCAGTTCGACCAGACAAATTTGTTCTTGAGGAATCGTGCTTCAGGAGAGGCGAGCCAGACACAGAATCCTCCGGGAAGTTCAGCTGTGAAATGACTGTTAGCCACCTTTTGCCGCTTGTTTCATACTCTGGGGTAATACTTACGTCGATCTCGATCCACGTCAGGCATCCCCTGGTTGATTTCCGTGGCGACCACGCCGGGTTGAATCTGCACGATGTGTAGCTCCGGGTTTTCGGCCGCAAGATACTCAAATGTCTTGTAGACGGCCATCTTGCTGGCGGTGTACGCGACAGCCATGGGTATGGGTGCAATGTGAATTGCAGCTGTTGATGTGCTTATAATCACAGGGTCATTGCCAGCGAGGGGGACGAATGCCTGGACTGCGTTGAATGCACTCCGCACATTGAGATTGTACGCTTTCATGACGTTTTCAACGTTGACCGAGGTGACATGTCCGATCTCTCCGAGGACGCCTGCGTTGGACACAAGTATATCTAACTTGCCCACTTCAGCAGCGATAGACTTGAACGACGCTTGCGTGCTCGAGCTGTCTACCAAGTCGGTGACACGATACAGCACACGCGTGTTTCCCGTGACAGCGCCGGTGATCTCTTTGGAGGTTGAGATCAAACGATCCTCTCGACGCCCAAAAATCGACACCGAAGCCGCTCCAGATTGAGCAAAAGCCATAGCTATAGCCTTTCCAATCCCCGTCCCGCCCCCAGTTACGATCACATTTTTGCCCTTGGAAGAGAGTTCAGGTCGAAGTGGCGAGATTGTGTCGTATGGCTTGTTATGACTGATCTTGGTGAAGGAACCGTGAGATCCCATATCGACCTTGAACTCTTCAGGGGCCATTTTTGAGTGGCCTCAGATTGAATTTGTATTCAGCGGTGCTGCTGCTGTTGTTTGAGTCTTGTCGGAGAGGAAGAATTGCTGGTTGGTTCCAGGAATACTCGTTGGAAAGCCGTCTCTTATATGCCCTAGAGTTCTGGCCTGGCTCGGGATTCCAATTCTTTTTCTCCGTCTCATTTACTCCCACATGCCTTGCGGAAGCGGAGGGGAGAGCATTTGCCTTTGACAAAAGGCGTATGCCCCGGACCTGTGGGACTTGCATGATGCGAACGTTATCATTTCAACTTGTGGGGCCTATGATCTTGAAGCTTTCGTTCTGTTCGAAGTGATCCTGAGAAGCTTTGAAGCATAATTTGGATTTGAGAAACAGAGACTAACTGATGTTCGTATTGATGTCTATCTAGCTACGTGGCCAGGAACCCATCAAATTAGTCAGACGGCAGGATATCTCCCGAGGCTGGACAAGGATCTAAGGCATTCTTAGACCTGATGGATGCAGGCGAACCAGTATTCGTATTGAGGGCATGTAGGGCATGTAGCTGGTCCGTTGGTCCGTTGGTCCGCCGTATCATCAAAGTGGGTCACAGCAGAACGTTCCAAGGCTGAATGAGGCTCTGCTCTGTCGTTGGGGGCGACTGGCCGGAAGCGGAGGCGGAGGCGGAGAACTATGCTAAACGCCGCAAACTGCGCGTTGATTGACCGCTGATTAATCGGGTCCTTTCTCGAGGGAACACGCTTTACAAACTGGGCTCATTTCGAGCTGGTTTTCGAGCAATGCAATATGATCGCAATGACGCGGTCTGGTAAGAGCAACCCTGTGATTTCCGTGTGATTTCTAGTTTTTGGTATCGGATCGAGAGTGCATGCCCCATTGTCCGGCCCGATCCCCAATTGCGAGTCTGCGAGTTGGTATACGGGGTATGTACTCAGGTAGCTCGCGAGACCTCGCCGATGATTGGCGATTGCAAAACGGCCCTGTCAATGGAGCACGACGTCACCGCAGCAATCTCGAAGAATATTGCTCGTCAAACCTGCCAGTACATGATCGTCACATCTTGAGTTTATCGCGGCGCGGCACATAGCCATTAGGGCATCGTCAGCTAGTACACCGCTGCCACCCAAGTTACCTGTTATATCTGCGTGGATTGCTCTACTCTCTTCTCGATGACGGGAGGAGAACCTGAAGAGGGACAGCGACTTGTGGAGGCTGGCAGAGTATGATATCCTATAGCATCTCCCGATTGCCTTTCAGAATCAACTAACCTAGGAAAGAATGCGTGTGATCGGTGTCGCGCCAGGAAGAGAAAATGCGACTATTCGCTAGAGGCCAAGTGTTGTTCCGAATGTGTGAAGGCCGGTGTCACTTGCGCCCACACTCATGTCATCAAATACAGACCGAGAAAGAAGAGGACGAGGTAAGCTTGGGTCAAGGATCTGTTGCATTCCCAAAGATCATGTACTAATGTGTGAGCTTCCCCTTTTTCATCAGCCGACGTATAGAAAACGTCGAGGATCGAATCCAACAGCTAGAAGCAATGATAAGATCACAGGCCACTGAACCAGCACAAAATGCCTCTGATAAGAAAACTCCGGTCAACACCGAGTCTTCACTCGCAGCCCCCGAAGAGACCTTTGACCTGCCCGACGGTTGGCACGATGACCCTGGGAGCCTCGCTTGGGTTCCCATCGGCGTTGACACGCCTATTAACTCAAATGCATATCAGCTAGATAGCTCATACGTGCCCATATCTTCCTTGGACGGAATCTTCTCACTGCCTCGGGTTGATGGAGGGTCGTCTGTCCTTTCTGCGATAAATGTCATAAATCACCAGACTGCACGGTCGAGCCAGACGCATGTCGAGCACCCATCCGAGGAACTGGCTCGACTCTGTCATCGTGACTTGCCTTCAGCGCATGAGGCATCCTTGATGCTTCAAGAATATTTGATGGATTTCAACTCTGTCATCCCACTATTTGATAGACGAGCGATTGCGTTGCATTTTCAAGACTGCTACTCGGGCAGCCCTGATATTAAAGGCGTCTCGTGGGGTACTCTTTACGTGGTCCTTGGGATAGCTCATCAGCTTCGCGCAATGAGCCCACTTGCCACGGAGGATGATAATATTACTGCCATCAGATACCTTGACAGATGCATGAAAAGGCTCCCCGAACTTCTCATGGACACCCCATCGCTTGCGCTCATTCAGTGTTTACTAGGAGTGGCCATCATTATCAAAGGGACTCCACGGTCACGATCAGCCGCGCTGTTCGTCTCCATCGCGATGCGGTTGGCCCAGGACCTGGGATATAACGAGAAACGGCCGCAAAACGGCGGTGGCGTCTTTGAGGCCGAGCAGGAAAATTTGGTCTTCTGGATTGCGTTTCTTCTTGATTCAGACCACTCTTTGCGCTCCAATCGTCTTCCCACACAGAGCTACGAGCATATTGATGCAGATCTACCAGACCAAGATCCGACCAGTGGTGCTGGTATTGTGCGTGCTGATGTTGGAAATTTGAAGGCCAACATTCTTCGCCTCCGAGTGGAGATGAGTCTTGTGCAAGCGGAAATAATGGAAGAATTGTTCAGTGTGAAGGCAAGGCGAAAGCTCGTGTCGGAACTCACGAGAGTTGCAGATATGATCACCTTGCGACTTCACCAATGGAGAGACAATTGGATCTTCCAGGTCCACCCCTATGATCTTAGGCGCATGTTGCAAAGGTCGGAAATGGTGCATGTCTTGGTCTTGGAAGCGGCGTACTTCACCACGAACTGGGCATTACAAGCAGAAATCATACAGACAGGACACAGAACTGATTGTAGCATCTTGATTTCCAACACCTTGACACAAAAGGCGGCCACAAAAGAGCCACCATGCTATCCACATGCGAGAAGACTTCTCGAGCTTGTGGTCGTTGCTCCCTCAGGAGACATTGCATGTACCTGGTACGCGAACCAGGCGGAATCACCTGAAGCAAAGAAGATCTACTGACTGAGTGCCTTAGGATGATATTCGATGCCATTGTGATTGCATCGTGCGTTCTTTTGAAACGTGCTTCGACACATCCAAATGATAATTTGTCTGTCGATGATGTGCGGCTGACGGAGCCAACAGTGAAGCTCCTGACCGTGCTTGCGGCAAAAACTGGCAATGAAGATCTCATGAAAATCCAATTGAATTGCGAGGTGCTACTCGAAAGAGCCAATAAAGCTCTGCGAAAGAGTTAGTGCGGCAACCTTCAGGCCTATGCATGAATTCAACCAGGGAGAGTGGTAAAGAGAGGTGGAATGGCGTAGTGATCTCATCCAATATCCGACGTTTAGCCTTCGAATTTTAATGCGAGGCTTGACTCGGATTCACTCTCACCAGAGAGGGTCGAGAGAAACGCCACACAAATGTGACCCGTTCAAATTCTCCAAGAAAGTTTCCATGCCAAACATCTCTCCTCGAACCCCTTGGATGACCTAAAGCTGGGATGTTCTAATCAAGTCTCCAACATTCAGGCACGACCTATCCAAGTCCATACCATCGGCTTCCGGAGTCATAACCCGGCGAATAATCTCATATCTATGGGCTGGTGACGATGGAAAAGTGGTCCGCCCATGTCACCTCCATGTTACCCATCCCTGGGGTGATGTCATGATGAAAGCATTGTCCATCGCTTCACCCTCGGCAGATGCTGAACACAGAGAAAACACTGTACACGATAAGCGTGGGAGAAGGTAATTAGATCTAGTTTTGCGTCGACGCTGTGTTACTCCCTCCCTGGAGCCAAGGTTTGACCTCTTACTGGCGAGTGAGTTGCCATTAATTCCCACATCCAGAGCGACAACTCAAGCATATTTACACGCGACCCCCAACAAATTCGGCCATCCATTCTCACACAGGCCACAATGGCGCTTTCACAAGCAGCGGCGAGCCTCGAGAAACTTGTCGGTCACACTGGTGATGCTACTACCGAGCAGAACCTGACCAATCCTTCCCAAGATGTCAAGAGATATGCCGACCCATCAGGCGAGAAGATGAAGGCACTGGTCTGGAATGGAAAGAATTCGGTCAAGGTGGTTGAGACGTTTAAGCCCGCGAGAATCGAAGACACAGACGTCATTGTAAAGGTGACCGGCTCGACTATTTGTGGCTCAGACCTGCATTTGTACCATGGGGCCGTTATCGAATTGCAGAAAGGTGATATTCTAGGCCATGAATTTTGTGGTGTGGTTGACAGCGTGGGTCCAAGCATTTCCAAGGTGAAGCCTGGGGATCGCGTGGTTTGCAGTTTCCAGATTGCCTGCGGAAGTTGTATGTACTGCCAGAAGAAACTGAGCAGCCAATGTGAGAAAACGAACGACAATACCATCGAAAACATCATGTACGGCGGTCGTACGGCCGGCATGCTGGGATACTCACACTTCACCGGCGGCTATGCAGGCGGTCAGGCCGAGTACGTCCGTGTGGCATACGGGGACGTAAATCTGCTCAAGCTACCAGACTCTGTGCCTGACGAGAAAGGACTTTATCTCAGCGATGTGCTCAGCACCTCCTGGAATGCGGTAGTGGACACGGGTGTCAAGGAAGGTGACGTTGTCGCTATCTGGGGCGCTGGCCCCATCGGCCAAACGTGTGCAGATATGAGTTTCATAAATGGCGCGCGCCGAGTCATCCTCATCGACGGTGGTCCTGCAGCATGGCGGTTGGACTATGTCAAGAGTAAGCTGCCCAAAATCGAGACCATCAATTTCAGTGACCTCCCCAAGGGTGAGAGCATTACCTCTGTACTCAAAAAGATGGAGCACGGAGGGCCGGATGTTGCCCTGGAGTGCGCTGCCGGCGAATACGCCAAGGGTTGGGCGCATTACTTCGAGATTCTTCTCGGTGCGGAAACAGACACATCGGAGATCCTCAACGAGTGCATCACCAGCGTCAAGAACTTCGGCCGCGTGGGCGTCACCGGCGTCTACGTAGGCTTCACCAACCACTTCAACATCGGCAGCCTGATGGAGCGTGGCATCCGGCTCATCGGAAATGGCCAGGCACCCGTGCACTTGTACTGGGAAGACCTTCTGAAGAAACTCGAGGACGGCTCTCTGGACCCATACCATATGCTGTCGCATCGCGTGCGCCTCGAGGAAATGGAAGAGCTGTATCGCAGATTCGACGCCAGGGAGAAAGGCTTGCAGAAAGTCTTTGTTGAGACCAAGTTTAGCAGCCCGCCTGCTCAGGGGGCACCGCAATTGACCAAGTGGGGTACTGCAACTTGGTGATATGACTATTAACTATAGTAGCGAAAAACGCCATGAGGTACTCTACAAAGGCGCTCGCGGTATTGATCACTTAGCCGATGTTTCATTAGGTATCTTGTTGAGTACGATAGCACATAATGCGTATATATGACTTGGCAGAGACAGTCCCGATGAGATGCCCTGCAAGTTGTGTGCTCCCTTCAATAGTTGTCCCTAGGGTTGCATCGTTGAAGCAGTCGAAGGATTGCTTCGAGGTCATAGCCCTGCATGTCTAAGCCATTACGGGCATTAATCTGCTACTAGCAGAGTCTGTTGAGCAGGAATGACAATTCACGTTGAGACAGATGCCCGAATAAGATCATCCCCCCCACCCAAGTGCTTTGTCAATGAGCGCGCTTCCGGTCACTGTGATGACTGCTTCCGCCAAAGCCACTAGGAGACCGATTTCGTTTTGGGCGTCTCGAGTATCTACTCTCTGAGGGTTCGAGGCCCGGTGGGAAACGTGGAACGTTGTCGCGGTTCCTGCGTTCCAGTTCAGCCTCGAAACACTCATTGCCATATTCTTGCCGAGGACTGCGCCTATTCTCCCGTTCCCTCTCGCGACGATTACGAAGCTTTTGAAAATCCCCAGTTCCATAGCCAGTACCTTCGGAACCACCCAATTCTGCGTTCTGGTCCTGGTAGGAATGCTTGGTATACCTGCGGTCTTGTCTGCTTCGTTGATCTGCATCTCTCCCCTGTCGTAGGTGTGTGTCCCGTTGGACTGGTGTTAGCCCGCCTAGTCGATGGAGTTCCTAACAGCCGCCGGCAACGGGGGTTTCCAAAAGGTTCCGTGCAAGTTTTGTTTCTCTCATATAGTTTCCATCCGAAGAGTACGCGTCCCGGTCTGTAGAGTTCATGCTCGTCTTGAATTCGAGGGGCGTCAACGGTACCTCCGACCTGAACTTTTTGTCTTCGTTGTCTTCGCGATCCCGATCGGTATTGATAGGCCTATTTGCCCTGAAAGAGCCCCTGTGAGGAGTGCTTGAAATATGAACATCAGACTCCATACCAGATGACTGATCGGCGTCATAGTAGTGATCGCTTCCAGAGTTGAAACTAAACATTTTGGTCTGTCTTGTAGATGCTTCGACTGAAAATACTCTCACTCTTTTAGACATTACGAAGGAAGCTGGCCCTTTTATACTGTCAAGGAACCAATACAACGCGATCGTCATGGCACAAAATGACTCTTGTCTTGTAATTGGCGGAGTAACAGTTAACATCTGGAAGATAGTTGAAACGACAGAGATGGTCTGGCATGATTCATGAATGTACAAGGCCACCGTCGAGATGCACCGGCCCAATCTTACTTCAGACATAGCCACATGGCACTGGAAAGGCACCTATAGATTCTGAGAGTCGTCACGTATGCCACATGCAACATACGTGTAAGGGATGTGACCAGGCGATCCAACTTGTCGAGACCGCTGTGCAACATTGCCAGTTGATCAACCACTTCACAAAATACAGAACTCATCCTTTTTTGACTATTGTAAACTCGGAATGTCGAGTGGCACGTTTGACAGAGAACTATCAAGTATTCCGACCGGAGATTGCCTCATCTCGTTAGGAAAGTGCACTGCATTGTCAACTATGCCTGTTTTCGCAAAGCAATCGAGCATTCCAGTCATCTTTCAACTTTAAAATAACAATCGCAAATGATCGCCGAGTCACAGTGGTGCCAACAAAAGGCATTGCGCGTGCCTTCTAGCTTGTGCATTCACTCGAACACCGTCTTAGCGTGGCCTCTCGGTTCTTCCGATAATGCAACTTCAAGGTGAGCTAGGGTGAGAATCTGTAGAATAGTGAATTGTGAGGTTTACGATCGTAGAGATAATGCGCGTACCAACAAGTGCTCGTCCTCCATAGCAAATTGGCAACACGGAGGCTCTTTTATGTCAAAGAACTGGCAATTTTGCTTCTTGCTCTAATCCTTGGACCGTAGAAAGCAAGCGCCCACGGGACAAGTGTCAAAATGGCACCGATGGCACCAAGTAAACTCGATGCTCCTTGAAAGCCCATATTGCGGAACATCTCTGCTGTAACAAGCGTGAAAGAGCCGCCCAGGATGTTCCGAATAAGACCAGTACCTGCAAGGGCAGAACTGGCATAGATGTGGTAGACATCGGCTGTGTAGTTGAAAGAAGCCAGGTAGATACTGAAGATACCCATTGTGGCTATCCCAACACCTATTGCTGGAACTATCCAATGAATAGAAGAATAACAAGTCCAGCCGAAGACAAAAATGCCAATGGGCATAAGAGCAGATTCGACACAAGTGAAGAGGAGCCGGCCCTCTGGACTTCCGTTGATTTTGATGGGATGGTGTTTCACAGCCCATTTCTCTTGATAGATACTCAAAAATGTGGAGAGTATGGCTGAGATACACATTGACGCAAAAACGAAGCCAGTCTGCTCCAAAGTAAAGCCATGGTTGACCTGAAAGACGAGAGGCACAGATCCGAACTGTAGATAGAGGACACCCCAGGCGAAACCCACCCACAGCGAGAACCAAAAAACGACAGCCTCGGTGAAAAGCATATGGATGGGGCGATAGAGGGAGACTGCTATCATCTTTGCGAGTGACGCCCTTTCCTCGTCTGCCTTGACCTTCCAACGTATGCGGCGCCAAGTTTGGCCTTTTCCTCCAGCTTCGATGTGGTGTTCAACCCCGAGGGCTCCAGCAGTCTCCAGTTTCTCGTACCACTTATTCAGTAGTTTTGCTTTTCTGCTGAGAATTATGCTGCCGCGCGTCTCCTTGAAGAATATCGTTACGAGAGACACCAGGACGCCACTAGTGATAACTTGAATGTAGAATACCCACCTCCAAGATAAACGTTGAGCGACCACACCTGAAACGAGAGGCCCAAGTCCTGTGCCAAACAGTGTAGCGCCGGTAAAAAGGACCATAGGAGTATTTCTATCAGCTGTCTCCCAAACATCAGCCAAGATCCCCCCTACCATAGTCGAGAAGGTTGAGCCACCAACACCAAGGAACAGCCTGGCGGCCAGCATACCACCATAAGATTCTGTGAGCGCACAGCCAAGTTGGCAAATCACAAACAGAATGCCTGTTGCTATGAACACTGGCCGCCTTCCATTGATCTCTGAAAAGGGCGCGAGGACCATGGGGGCGACTCCAAACCCGAGTGTGAAGACAGTGATGCCGACGTTGTAGGCAACATTCGACACCCCCCACTTCTCGGTAAGCTCCAAGGCTGGAGAAGCATAGCTGCCGGCTGAATAGGCTGCCGTGATGTTTACGCTGCAGGACAGGTATGTCATCAATTTCTTTCGGGTGAGAGACCATGCGAATGGATTATCGTAGTCCTTCAAATTCGGACATGGAGGTATCTGAATCGACAAATCCGGTGGGAAAATAGGATTGAGTGGTAGAGCGGAATCGAAAGTCAGATAACGGTATTCGATGTTTCCTGAGTTCTGTGAACCTGGAAAAGCTGCATATCCAGAGGGCTTGCAAATGCCGACCTCTTGACTTTCGAGGTCTGTAGCCTCTATGTGTACAGGAGCAACCATGGTGAATTCGTGGGACCGATCATGTTCATGAGTGTCCGTATCGCTTTGCATGACCATGCAACGGTGTATGGTCCAGCTACCATGTATCATATGCTCCGGGACTAGATATCACAACCCTGAGGAGCAGCGTGGGCAAAATTCTTGGAGAAATCTTTCGGGGATCGGCACCACCGTAGAGGAGGAGATGGCATTCTCGCAACGAGTGAATTGGATGGCTTCGCTTGGAGGAAAGCACATCTCACCGGGGTTTGGCTTCCGCTAAGCCGGGTACATTGCCGACGACCAATTGGGGGAAATGAAATACAGGGTCCCATATTCTAGAATTACCCTTGCAATACTCCGTAAAATGTGTCTGAGATATGATGGCGCCTCGAAAAGAGCCCGGGAGCTTGGCAGCGGGCTTTGCTCTCCCTCTAGGAAAGCAACGTGAGGTCGAGAATTGGTGGTAATATCGACTAAACTTTCATCCGTCGGGTTTGAGGTGAGGCCTTTGAGACACTTTCTCTGGACAAGCGTTTGTCGATTCACGTACGACAACCATACTTATGCTGGGGTGAAGTGAATCCAACAGATCCCTGTGGGACGATGGATTTCGTTCGCGATTAACTGATGAATCATGACTGCTGACTTGAGACTTGGGTATGACGTGAAATCCAAAAGAACGCAGAGGCTTGACTGCCAGCCAACTGTAAATGGGGCGGAACAACAGATCTGCCGGGATCTTATCTTATCTCGTACACATGCACAATACTGAGTACTGTATAATATACATACTGGGACAGCATTGGTGGACAAATTGAACTACTTTGAGCTAACTTCACTCCTCATAATCGAGAGATTCTAGTGTTATGGGTACTCAACAATATCGATGCGGGAAAAAGAATATGCAGTTGCTGTACTGTCAAGCGGATGCTCAACCTAGCCCCTTCGCTCGAAAATGAAGTTCGGTGCATGTAGTGGCAGAGAGGCAATGATGTCAGAGGTCTGAAACGTCATGATGCATGCCTCTCGGTGAAACTTACATTATGTATGGGGAAAGTCCTTGGATGCATATTCTATGCCTTCCAACTGAAAAGTCCCTACATTGAAAGTCCGCGCATCAGCAGTATAGCAGGTCTCGTCCTCGTCAGCATCAAGGAGGCGTTGTTCGGAGCGAGAGGAAAGGCAGGGAACATGGGGTCACCTGAGCAAATTTCGAGCAAGGAGATGATGAAGAACAAGAACGGTAAGGATAAGTTTCGCCCCTAGTATGCACAAAACAAGTCTGACCTGAGCGATCAGTGGCGGGTGGGCAGCTAGCACAACTCTCTAAAGAACCCTCGACTGGTTTCTACCGTGATGGATACTGCAGAACCGGACCTGAAGACAAAGGGAATCATTCGGTCGGCGCCACAGTCAACAAAGACTTCCTTGACTTCACCAATTCGAGAGGAAACAATTTGAGAGAGGCGGGAGTCAAGGACGGAATGAAGTGGTGTCTTTGCGCGTCGAGGTGGAAGGAAGCCTTCGATGCGGCCCAGCGAGGTGATTTCGCGCCTTCGGCGGTGCCGAAAGTGCATCTCCATGCATCTCACGAGGGCGCCTTAAGAGACATTAAATACAGTGACTTGAAGCAGTACGCAGCTCAAACAGAAGCAACCAACGAACTGGCGAATCGAAAACAGGGCTATGAAAGCCCAGAGAAACCCGGAGGCATGGCTAAGGAGAGCCAGGAGATCAGTGGGAACTCGGAGACGACAGGCGGAGTAGGAGTGAGGTTGCCCAAAGGGAAATAGTAGATAGTGTCATGAGAATGGGATATATTTGCCAGGGAGCAAGATACCACACCTGCAATACATGCATCGTGCTATACGGAGGAACGCAAGACACGATATGCAACATGACTACTTCTTCTAATGAAGATGACCGTGGCTCGACTAATCAACTAATCAATGATCTTCCAAGTAAATCGGTTGAACCATTGCAGTTGTCGAGCAGCTAATCACGACATCCACAGAGTTGGAACAGGAGTTACGCGTTACTCTCGCCGTAAATGACTTTGTTAGACTCTGCTCGAGTTACAATGTCGTTGTGAATGGATCTATACCAAGACTGAGCATGCATTTGATGACTTGCGTTTCATTACAACAAGCTAAGCTAGGATTCATTCTGATATGTTACTTTGTATTTTCTGTTTTGTATTTCACTCTAGGCTCAAAATGCACAGACGTCTCTAATATCGCCCGTAGTCGTAATCCACCAGAATGCCAAGGGCCGAGGTGATGGGCAGACCGTGGAAAAGGTGATCCTCGACGTGGTTGAATCAGATGGAGAGACTGTGATGAGACAGAAGCCGACATCCACCACCACTTACACACACCCTCTCTCCACCAACGCTAGCACTGCATCTACCATTCTTTCAGGATCCTTGGAACTGCGCCAGACATGCTATCCATCCAGCACAGCTTCTCCCTTATCTGACTGCCACCTACAACATGACTTCTTGTCCATTGACAGCCTTCTCCATATGACAACCTCGGTCACGAACCCGCTCGGGACATCCTCACTTTTACACCTCGGGGCCCGGCGAGGAGAGATTCCATCGAGGCTTTTCGCAAACTCGTTGTTCGTTTGAGCCTGGCGCGCCATGTCTGACTCTGTTGGTCAGTTATGCTCTTTTTCCTGCAGTGCCCCCCTCATGTGCTTTCTGACTCTCACAAGACCGCGTCTTCAACCATGCTCTCGCCACAGTTCGCCGGCTACCACGCACCGGTTCGTCCAGACCTCCCCCGTCAGCACGCCTTCGCCTATATGGCCTATACAAACAATCCATGGAGGGTGATGTTGAGTCGATATTGCCACGCCCCACGCTCCCTTCCGTGTCACCCGACCCGAATCATTCAAAATCCAACAATGTCCATCGTTATGCCTCACGCGACTTACGAATGCGGGAAGCCGAAGCCGAGATTGAAAAGTGGGACTCATGGCATAGCTGCGCCGGAATGTCAAAGACAGATGCAAAGAGAAGATATATTGGCACCCTAATTGAAACCATGAAGGAGTATGCAAGCGGCACCCAGGAGGCCCGCGAACTGGTTGCCGAACTGGAGTTTGTCTGGAATCAAATCCGTAGTCAGAGTGGAAGCTCCGAAGACGAGGATGCAGACGCAGACCCAGATTCGCCCACCAGGAGACTGGAACGAGCAGGTCTCAAGCAAACGCTCGGTTTTGGGAGTAATTCACCCAGCCAGATTGCCCAAGTCGGACGTGCAGGTGGTGCTAGCGGTCGAGCAAATTCAGAGCCAAATCGATTAAGGGTTCTCTCACCGGTGTCGGCACGCGACAGTAACGATGTAGTGGAGGCGGAAGAGGTCGATCCTGATACAGAAGCGGTCATTGGTCCCTTGACGACCTCATCACAGCTCATTTCTGAGTCGGAATGGAGAGCAAGAATAGAAGCTCATCTACGACAGCTGGCAACAGAGGTCGCTGCTTTGCGGGAAGAAATGTCCGCAAACCATCTTCTCTCCTCCTCATCGCTATCGCCTTCGCTTACCTCCCGGCGAAGGCGGCTGTTATTTCGAATGACTTCCTGGGCGCGATGGTTGGCGTGGACATTCATGCGCCAGGCCTTCGTTGCGGCCGCCTTTGTCCTCCTTGTCATCCTTTGGGCTAGATGGAAAGGGTTTAAAGATCGACGGGTAGAACATTGGGCTAGGAGGCGTTGGAACGATGCCCAAGTACTTTATGGAAGCATAAACTTGTGGCTCAAGGGACTCACGGTAACATATGGATTGCGTCCACGATCCAATGCCTCCTGATGAACCATTCAAGGTCTTGCAGGCATCCGTAATAAAAGTGCTCCCTTCGCTCGAGTGGTCTAATATCAGTTTTCACAAACGTCTGTTGGGCTCGTTCCTGTTGGAACGGCAAATATTACCCAGCCATAACATCTATCGCCGGAATGATCATGCACGACAGAGCCATGCGAAGCACCGGCTACCCCGATCGACAACCCAGAGACAGCATCAATGGGCCTAGAAGACTAATTGGAGAAGTTGCAGGACGAGTAAAGCGTCCCCACGCAATGATCTGTACGATGAATGATGAGGGACATGGCTTAACTCAGGCCAGATACCTGAAGCATAATACTGTATTGCTTATAACCCAAATGTGAAGAGAAAGATATCAGATGGACTATCTCGGGTTTATCCTCAAAAGAATTACTACCTGCTACGACGCTCCCGGACAAATATAAATTTCCCATCTTCACCCAGCGTGGACACCACAATATGACCCAGCTCTCCATAAGACTTTCCTGTTGGCTATGGGCACCGGAAGCGAAGCAGAGATCTTCTCGGTAATTACAGCCTAGATCGATCAGCCATCACTCTCGAAACGGCTCCGCAAACAAGACATTCAGAGGCAATGATAAGCATATGTAAACATGGTCTAGTTGAGGTTCATAGTATATGCCCTGGGAATTCAAAATCATCATTTGCAATAGGCATCGAAGCAACACTGCTCTGCATCGCCCTGGCTACTTCGCTCTGTCTCCTCGCGCCTTCAGCTGCTCTTCTCATCCTCAGATTCCCTCGAAAGCTGTTCATATCATTCATTGATCTCTTGGTGATGAAAGCAGCAGGCTGCCCGAAATCAGGCGCGCCACCCAATGCCGCAAGGATACCACCGACATAATCTGGCGCCGGGATACCTCTCTCGAATATGGAGCTCCAACGGCCGAGAATCCTGGTTACCACCTTGAACACCTGCGAGGTATATGTTCTTGATCGCAGGCGGGGAGCATTCCCTGGTTGGCGTAAAATAGATTCTCGATCTCGGAAATGCCGGGTGGTGGACGATCAATACCACTGGCTGTGCGCATGACGATGACACGAGAGAAGTCAGGAAGGTTGAACTGAGCTGTTCGAAGCATCGCTTCTAGCGTCGCGTTGTCTTCCTGTTCCATTGTGCACTACACACCTGACCCGTTCGTTCAGGGTGAGCGTGGTTTTTCGAAAGCTTCCGATACCCTTTTGCAAGAATAGTATACATCAGATGTTGCCACATCACAGCCAAGCACGCTCGGGGGCTCAAAGCCTGCTTTTTAAATCGGAGTTTCATCATAGAGCGCCCGACAGGACCGGGAAGCCGCCTTGTCATTAAGGGGATGCGGCCGATGCGAACGATATGGCGATGTCACGAAGAGCTTCGTTCACCTCGGACCCTTCTGTTCCATAAAGCCTACCAAGCAAGTCAGCCGCGTCTGCAAGTTTCCCTTTCAACCTTTCCCCTAGGCACTACCATCGAGGTCCTAAAGCGTTGCTTGTTGTCTCTCTCATGAAAGCTAAGGCTATCACGGACCCCTTAGCAGCGTGCCGCGCGTTGTAGCTATAGCCACTTAAGGAACCAAGTAGCGAGCGACTCAAGGCTAGCCTTACCCTCGCTGACCGAGCCAGCTACGATAGAGTCCTCCTAAACCATGTTGGAAGAGCATCATTAGGGCTCGACGGGGTCTTTTTTCACGACTTCCCATTCCTTCTACTGCCCAGATCCTAGATCTCCATAAAACTTTGGAAAATCGTCGCTGCTGACCATAGCAGACCTTCCTTGTGTATAAACATAGCACCTTGTCCAGGTCTGGCATGTTTCGGCTGATGCCCGAATTTGTGCAAGGACCCCACGGTCAGGCTCCTGGTTCCGGATCTTCAAGCTTCTTATTAGCACCTCCCGTATCCAACGCGGTATTGGCGGTCAGTATATACTATAAGCGCTCTATTTAAGCTTGCCTAGGCTCTAGAAGATTAGTTCGACTGAGTCTCATTCTATCATGATTCATGAGGTGTGGAAAAAAGCGCTGAACGGCTGGGGACGCTTTCGCCCGCAGCCGCGCCAGTGATCCAATTGGGAGTTTACGATAAGACTGGTGTTGAACTAAGATAGCTTATCGATAAGAGCATCTCCCGGGCTTACGTAAGCGGTGTCGAAACAAAGTCGAGGCAGGAGCGTTGCGATTGTGAGCCAAATTGCCAGGGCGAGGGTGAGGGTCTCCTGTAAAGCTGCGAAAGAATAGGAGCGAGATTGATACTATCAAGCTGCTAGGTCTTGTGCACGTATCTATCTGATTGCGTAGTGCGCTAGATAAAGCAATCAAGCAAGAGACAGGACGAATAAAAATCAGGCCCGAGATCCTGTCAACTCGTCTACCTGAAGCCAGGAAAACTCATGCCCACCAGAACAGCCCTCGCATCAGTGCTTCCATGAGCATAACTAAGCCCACAAACACCTCCGGGCTCTAGCATCAGCTCCAATTTCGATTCCAGACTCAGTCCTAACCATCTCTTGACAAAAGCTCGCAGGATGTGCCCGTGTGCAACTACCACTATGTCCATCCGATGCTGCTTTGCCAGCTCTTCTCCCTGAAGCCTGGCGATTTTCGAGATCATCCGGTCAAGCCGCTCTGCCACCTGTTGAGGCGACTCACATCCCTCACCCTCAGTCCCGTCTCTCCAGATATCCCACGGCTGATCTTGATCCAACCCTCGCGTTTTCCTAAGCTCGCGGATTTCTTGTGTGTAGAGTCCTTCGTAATCGCCGTAGCCCCATTCTGCCAGGTCGTCTGTCACCGTCCTCTCGCGCTCTAACTTCGTCCGAACCTCAGGGTCTCCCACTTGCTCTAGCAATATCTCCAGTGTTCGCCGTGCTCGGAGTCGAGGGCTGCAGAATATTTGACCTATCTTGCTAGTGTCGATCAGTCTTCCGGGGCCAAACACGACTGACGCCGTCTTTTGTATTTTGGCCTCGCCTTCGGGCAGCAGTGGGATATCTGTGACTCCAGTGTATCGACCGTTTCGCGACCACTCCGTTTCGCCTGTAAGTCATGATGGTCAATATTTTGAGAAGCCTGCACCTGAAACGTTCGAATCGGGAAAGTAATCGGCCAAGAGACGACGACGTTCTGTCATTGTTAGAATGATTTGCTTACCATGACGAATCAAAAACACTCGAGGAGTGGCCGCATCTTTGTCTGACATATTGACTTGGATAGTCAAGATCGCAAGTGAGTTGGAGAAGTAGGAGAAGGAGAAGGAAAAGACCACGAGCATGGGTCACGACGGGCTCCGCCTCGTACGCAGTCAAAGTAATTCCTTGACTCTGGAGGATGAGTAAAGTAAAATGGAGACCCTGGCTTCGAACTCGGTGGTGGGAATTATATAGACTCTGGGAAGTCCATGCGGAGGAAAGTATCAATTGAAGGCGACTGCTATGTATGTAGGTACATTAGTAGTACCCAACAAAAAACAAGCCGAATGGGCCACGCCCTCGGGATCACCATCCCTGGCAATCCGACGAGTTTGGCACCGTCGCCACAATCCGAGTAGGAGGGGAGTGTGCATTTTAAGACATTAAAATCGCTTTTGGATCAATGCTATCTGGAAGATATCAGAATGACAGAATGTGTGAGTCAGTGTGGAATCACCGCGGATCCTTGCAGTTTCTTATGCACCTCGCCTTGACGAACCTTCTGGGACATGCAGTGTGAGCCGGGTATTGATTTCAGAGTTGACTTTCTCGGGCGTCTCCAAGCTTGCAAGACCCCTGGAAAAGCCACTCCCGTTCTCCGAGGACCACGCTGATCAATTCGTAGATCACATTTGCATAAAAGTATAGGATCGGCACTGGCCGCATACTTCCACCCACTGGACTTTGCATCTAGTAGTGCTCATAGATTCACGCGGGTACAGTGTAGTCAACAGGAGAGCCATTGACTGTGATCCAACTTCCTTGCAGCCGACTATGATATGAGCGTCCAGGAAAGCCCGAGGCAGAACCTCAGGTGATAATATGAGCATCCCAATGGCGGTTTTCCAAACCATGCTGCGTTCCAGAAAATATGATTCCCTGCAAAATCCCATCACGCGTCCTGCTATGCTATGCTTTCACAACCAAATGAAGATGACGGAAGAAATGTTCGTCATGGTCATAACATCGTCCACAACCCAAGACTCCCGCTGTCATGTGCTTACAACTTTGTCAATCATCCATGTCTTGCCGTTTGCTTCCTCTTCCACAGGAAAGACCTAAGTATAGAATGTCAGCTCCCACTCGCGATAGCATATGTTGAATTCAGGACACCACTCACCTCGCGAAAGTATTCCTCCAAGCCCCGATAGCCCTCCCACAGTCCACGAGCTTCATCTGTTAATTTCCCGGGCTTGCCCTTGGCTGACCGGGGATCATGATTTTTGCTTATTGAAGCATGGTTGTTTCTGGGACCAATCGTATCGTTGCTCCCCTTTCGTTTAGACATGTAGGCAAAGTCCGGTCCTGGAAAATATGGGGCGTTGTACTTGCCAAACAGTATCTCTATTCCGGCGAGCTGCTGTCGGTAACCGTTTGGTACAGGTACATTCACCTCTATCTTGGGATCATAGACATAGTGGCATGGCCGTTCGAGCGCGCGTTGTGCCGCTTGACAAACCTGGACGGGCGTGAGGTTTTCGAAAGCCAATGCTATTCTAAAGTCGGAGCGACACGTCAGCCTAATATACATGTCGAATGAGTTTAAGACGAGTCACGAGCGCCGCATGAGGCATCGCCGGTTGTAGTATCGGCACCACCTTTGGCAAGGCTTCGGCGAGAATCGAAGTGTAGGTCACATTCACGAGTCTCTTATCCAGCAATAGAACGACATGAATTCGAGTAGCGGATCTTCTCAGGAGGAGCTTACCTGTGTCCATTCCACTTGCTTGGTCCGTCCTTGATGATTTGCAGCACCGCAGGTCCAAAATCATGCTCGGCGTCTAACCATGGCAATTTAGTGTCGGGATGGAAAGGTGCTCGCCATTCGAGATCCCCGTCCTCCTTGAATTTGAGACAGAATAAGGGGTATGGTAGACTGGTGAAGTTGTTGTTATAGATACCAGCATAAACAAAGGTTGCAGGGAGACCAAGTTGGCGGATATAGTTTTCGACCGTGAACTTGCAGCTCCACATCTGTAACGCTGGCCAGTTCGGATCGTGGATAGAGTGATCAGGCATGCTGCTGTAAATGAAATGTTGTATATTGCGTTTCTTGGCCGCGTTGGCGAGTGCCTTGCCAATCTTGACCTCGTCTCCAGCCAACGGGTTGGTATTGATGAAGGCAAGATGCGCGCCATCGAAAATTGTATCGATTAACACTTGGTTGTTGAGCAAGTGTCCCTCGAATAAGGTCACGTTTGGTAAGGCAGCCAGCTCCTCTGCTACCAACCCTTCCGATGAGTAGACCTGCGCGCGCACCGCATATCCAACTGCACTGACAGTGCGAATCAACGAGGCAGCCTGGCGACCAGTACCATTGACGATGGCTATAGTTTTTCTCGTATTTGGCATGTGGTAGATTGGTGCCTTATGAATTGGACTATCAAGGCTGAAGGGGCACTCGGGAACGACAGACCTTGGTAAGTATCGTGAGTTGGGGGGGGGGGGGGGGGGAGGGGGGAAACAGATATGAAAGGGATCTTGGGTTTTCGATAGACGTTTTCTCAGGTTTGAAGAAAATGACAATGACAGGAATGACGACAGAAACGTCAAGACCAGGAAATATCACACCATGAGGTCGGGTAGTCCCCAGCTGTTGGGACAACACCCAATTGATAGTATTAGATGACAAGTGGAAAGGCATCAATCCACAAAGGGCAATAAAACGAATGGATTCTCTTCCGTAATTCGGGCCCATTTGAGGACCCTTGGCTGCGCAAATTCTGCAAAGGTACTCAAAAGGTCTGCTACCGCCAAACCAGATGCAGCTTATTCTTTACGTAACCAGAGTTCGGCGTAGTGGCGGGGTGCTGGGACCACGTCGAGCACGACACTGGCACTTGGAACGTGCCGAAGAAACGTGGTCTGGGACCTGGATGAGGGGAATTCAGCAAGGCCTCCGTTATCAAAGGGCTAAAATCCCCAAACGGCGTTAGTGATGGACATTGCACAAACATTAGGAATGGGAGAGGATGATGCACTTTTGGGCCTCTCACGGTGTGCGCCGGAATTCCAGGGACATTCAAACCCTTAGCGGAAACGCGATGGAATTGCGGGGGATTGTCAGTTAAAGCGCGGGGAGGCTGCTTGTTTAGGTCTCACAAGGAGGAAGACGGGAGGATGGAGGAGGAGTATGAGACAGAGAGACGGCCTGTTTGTCAGGGTCATCCAGGCACCAATAGGGTACCGAGTACGGGGTACTAGGTAGCTAACCCCGTCCACGAAGTGTTTCCTCGTTGCGAGATTACCCTCATCTTTGGACTGACACACCCCTTATGATCGCAAGTGATGTAATTAGACTAAAAAGTGTGCATTTGCTGGTGGTGGTTTTGGTCCACGAGTGGTCGGGCTCCACCACAGCCTGAAGAAGGTGGTGCGCCCATTGGAGACAGATCTTCCGAGTAATCAAGCACAAGCTGGGCGGCGCAAATCCCGACGAGGCACATCTCCGCGGCCTGTCTGGCCCTCGATTTAACCATCCCGATCAGACTGTCAGATTGTGCGGTGAAATTCTCAACGAGAAGCTTAGCCCTCTCTTGACCAGGGGCCGCCAGATACTGGGATCAACAACCACGATACCCGTGCGTGGCCGAAGTGCTCGGCACTCCAATAGCCGGTGCAGCTACCGGTGCCACGACCCACGAGGCTTCGGAACCACGGCAATTGTCCATTCACTTGCCTGTGATTCTTTTCACCCCTAAGTTAGGCCCTAAAGTCCACTCAAAGTAAGCGGGTCAGTGGCCCAGGGGACCCTCAGAACCTTTGGCAAGAGCCATGTGTTGGATTGCTTGCCGTGGGTGGTGGTGGCGCAAATAACCGATGCAACTTTGCTGCCCCATAAGGCCTGCCCGTGCCTCTATGTGCCTTCTAGTCCTGTCGCCAACCAGATTTCTGGTCTCTGACCTGCGTGCAACCTCGCAGTTTCTAACTCTTCTGCATGAAGATGTGCTCCGGCCTGACGGAGCAGCATTACATGTGGGAGCAAGCCTGCATTTGCAGCTAGAAATAGCGGTGTCCGTCCTGATCCAGTGTGGTTTCGAAGGTGAACGGATGCGCCAAGTGACAGAAGGTATCTGAGAACCGCAAGGCTCGGACCTGTCGCTGCGAGATGGACTGGCGTGTTCCCGGAATAGTCTGCACGATTTATGAGTTGACTGTCATCATGTAAAAGGTCTTTGACCTTTTCAATATCGCCACTAGCAATCGCATATGCGATCGCAGTCAGCTGGGTGATGGGCGATGAGAGCTCGCCAGTTGGATGGCTAAAGATTGTCCCGGCATTCTCAGTCAATTCGCCCCGAATCGACTTCGCCATGTCTCTGGCAACTGACTCCGGCGACGCTCCTGGAAGAGCTAGAAGGTAGGACAGTTTGGTCAAAGCCGCTTCGGTCGTCATATCACCACCAGCAACAACGCCTGCCCGGCCAAGAACCATACCAGGCGCGTAGAGTGGATTGACACTTCCTGTTAGGCACTGGGTAATGTTAACAATCACTATTCCGCGTTGTACCGCCTCAGCTATGACCTGTGTCAACTTGTTGTCATGCCCACTGGGAGCATTTCCAGCACCAAATGTCTCCAATACCAGACCGCGTAGGTCCTCTGTGCGCAGGACAGCCTCTACCATCTTGGGTTTGATACCTGGAAAGATGCGTAGGCAAGCTACGTAATGGATATGAAGGTCTTTTTGAATGCTGAATGGCTGCAATATGGTGGATCTCGTCACCAAGTTCCACGCAACATGAGTATCCATTGCAGTGATTCTGGCAAGAGGAGGGAGGTTGGGTGATGCAAACGCATCAAACGCGCTTGCAGAGATCTTTGTCGTTCTGTTCCCTCGAAAGAGAGTCGAGTTGAAGCAAAGGCAAACCTCTGGGACCATAAAGTGACCTGCTATGTCCATTGAATCCAGTAAGTTCTCAAGAGCATCATTTTTTCTCTCCGAGAAAGGAACCTGTGAGCCTTCACAAACCAGTCAGCCGGGTGCGTTGCATGTCTGATGTATTGCCCTCCAGCATGCCGCTATCTACCAGGCCAATACCATCCAACAACGGTGCGCAACGCTTCAACTCGAGCGTAGGGGCATTTGCGATGGCTATGACAAAATATGGATGCTGCCCCTGGACCAATAGAGTCCACTGGCGACACAATGGAAAACATACCGGTGACTATTACTGGCTTGCCCAGGTTCTGCAGCATGAAGCTAAGGGCAGAACATGTGTAAGCCAGGCTGTCCGTGCCATGGAGGACAACAAAGCCGTCAAACAACTTGTAGTTGCGAAAAATGGTCTGCGCAATTTCTGCCCAACCTTTACTGTCAATCGACGACGAGTCTAGTAGTGTTTCAAATTCAAGAACAGCATATCTAGCTAGTCTCAGCGATATTCATTGTCAGTATTGGGAGCTCCAGCCAGGTCGAGCCCTCGTACCATGGCTTGACTGCTGGCATGAAGTGAGCGAACAGTTCCAACTGACCTTATGCGTTTTCCATATACACTGGTTGGAGTCCGTAAACTGTGAAGCTCGCCCATTCCGTCGGGACCGTCGTGGAACCTCACCTCTATGGGCTCATGCGTCTCGCCATCGTTGAATTCTGGTCTTGGAGCCATGCAACGTTCCAGGAAGTTCCTTGCGGGGATAAGTCCATTTGGCGATTTTTGCATGCATATGGTTCCTCCGGTCATCACAATCAGTACGCGCGCCTCTGGAGTATGCCCCGAAGACATAGTGCTGATCACTGGAAACAATTTAGAGGCAAGTCTTGCACGACCGAATGGCAACACGCACTTCTTGTCAGTAGGCTCATGGGCTCGCCGTTTGGATCTAAACTGGTGAGGACCAATGCTGACACTCGAAAATAGGTGCACTTACCAGCCATTTTACGAAAAGTTGAACAATTTTGGTTCTGTGTGGAAGTTTGATACCAATTTGACTGCTCTAATTAGTCAATCACCAGCACTCTTCTAGAATCCACGTCCGGTTGGGAGGAAAATTTGGGTTTGTTGTATGCGCTGATATGCGCGTTACTCCGATCGGCATACTCCCTACAAAGTCCATAGGCATTTTAGGCATCTCCGCACACCAATCGCAACCCGACTGGTGCCCAGAGCGCTCGACAAGGCCATTTCCAGCTGGGTGTGCATTTCTCTGGAGTGCCATCTTGCAATTTTTACGCCACTTTTGGTAGCCTCGTCTGCTGCAACTGGCGCAGAGGCAGAGTGATTTCAAGCTAAAGCTGTAGGTGAGGTGCATGCGTGATGCAGATTGGAATCGTCTAAGTAAGTCTTCAACCACCTGCTAATATAAGTGGTTAGCTGCAGGTGGCCCGATAGAGGATGGGGAGTGCGAGTCTTAGTTAAAATTGTCAGGAATGCTCCCCGTTTTTACCAGTTTGAATTAGCGTCTGGAGGACATGTACCCCTCATGATTCATGACCCCTCGGCCTCCGCCTTGCCTCCTACTTTTTGCCTTGTTGCTGAATGGCGATAGATGATAGACGATAGACGCAACGGGGCTGCAAGGCAGCCCTTTTGCCAACATGACGGATAGGCTGTCTTTCAGACAAAATTTGCTATGCTTCCTCACTCCATTTGTTCCACGCGCTGTACGTCATGCAAAAGACCTTTCCTCCTTTCTGTGCGGAGCTTAACGCGCATCGCTATTTGGGCGGTGGAAAATTGCGTTCAGTCAAATGATTTGAGCAACCTTCTAAGATGATACTGCACAATATCTGAGATTGGCTCGCGGAAACTCGCAGGCGCATGACAAAGAATGGCGATCCCACACGTGCGACACTGATGGAAGGGAGAGCAGCAGAGGGAGGATGTGAATAGGCAGCCAGCAGGGATTTTGATCTCATCTGGGTGTGCAATCTGGCTGCACCGGCGGCCACAGGTAGGGAGCCTGACCAGCCAGACTCACATCCTAACCCGTGATGCAAACAACGAAAGATTGCTTGTAAGGTGAATGGATGAAGTTGAGGGGTCGCGTGGGTTCAGCGTCCTCATGAAAAGGAGATTGGTGCCATCGGCTCGGTGGGCATAAAATGGAAGAGAGTCGATGAAAAGGGATGGTGCGATCCCCGGGCTTTGCTTCCACTCGTTCCATCTCTCAGCTCCAAATGGCATCCTAGCATGATCAACACACCAGTAACGCCTTCGGCAAGCCAGCTAGAATGATATCCTAGTATCTTTTGCGCAAGCATGCACCTTTTGCTGGATTGAGTGAAGCATTGAGTGAAGCATTGAGTGTCAAGGCCAAACAACTACTGGATAAGGAAATTTATATCCATCACTGGAGGATCCGTGACGGCGTTGGTTGTGTTGGTTGAGCAGTGGCTTAGGCTGCGACAGCGCTCTGGCCATCTTGTGCGGGACATCGACAAAAGGGCAACGGGGACAGAGGAGCTCTTGCGTTTGTGCCAGACCGCCAACTGCCGTCGAGGAGCATCGGGGTTGCTTCATTCAAAGAAGCCACTGACAAGCAGCATTGACGAATCCTGGGAGATTGACGATTGGAAAGCAGGATGAGACACAAGTGAATTGAGAAAGAAAGTTGATACATTCTCGATTTTGAGATTGAGAAGGAGAAGCGTCTTCCGCAGCGCCAGCCCGACGTTGAGAGGTTCTGGTTGTTCAGGTCTATGACGGCACCGGCGACTGCCACTGCCACTGGCACTCCCACGAACGCGATCGCGAGAATTGCCAGACGCGTGTCTCTTGCCGCGACAAACAGGAACAGGAACAGGAACAGGAACAGGAGCGATCAAGGCACGTGAGCTCGTATGACTCGCTCCTTCCTATCACTACTGGTATCAACGGTTCTTCTTTCATTCGCCTCTCGCCTCGCGCGCCTCGCTCTCTTCGTCGACTTGATATTCTTCCGCAGGCTTGACCCTGACCATTATTCATTTCCATCGCACTCATTATTCAGTTCAACTCCTCCAAAAAAATCTCCCACACACTCCTTTGGCTTCTCGATCCCTGACTCTTTCCGACTGTGTCGTCCATTCAGTCCATCCACCTTTCAACTTAGCTGTCCAGTCGATCTGAACAGCAGACTCACAACTAACAACATCTTAACGCCACCTCAAACCTATCCATCTAGGACACGAACTTTCCCAAGCCAGGCCATTTCTTGTTCTCCTTGACCACATAATCACCTCTCACCTTTCCGCCAACCTTGCTACCGCTCCTTGCTACCTCCTCTTCGACAGACCGACACTGCTGTCTTCCTACAATGCCAACTGCTCGGGTCAAGTTGAAAATCAATCCCATCAATTCGATTATGTTGGTCTATGCCGCGTTCATGATTGCCCCTGTTCAGGCCTTTTGGCGGCACTTGTGCTTTGGAGAGCTGGGAACCGGACGAGTCGATCCGATAATGGCCCCTGGTGTACCCTCCATCCACGCTCACGTTCTCTTCGGCGCCTCAAGTTAGTGTCGGCCATTTTGTTTGGTTACGCTATTTCCACTGACATGATACAGACTTGGGGCTCGACCCCACCATTGACGACCTGTTGGACTCAAACTGCACGAGCTGTTCCATTCTTCAAGACAAGTCTGTATACTGGACTCCTCGCATGTACTTCCAGCACCAGAATGGCTCCTTCGAGTCTGTTGCTACCGTTGGCGGGATGACTGTGTAAGTCACCTCCACCAGCATCCTCCTTTGTCCACAATCTGATCTCTTTGGATTCTAGCTATTATTTCACTGAAGGTTCAGGTGATGGCAACCCTACTGTTGCCTTCCCACAGAACTTTCGCATGATCGCAGGAGATGCCTTGAAGCGCTCTTTTTATGGTCCCAACCCTGATCCACCCATGTCCGAATGGAAAGCCAGCGACAAGACCCAACAGGCTCTGACGGAGAAAGCCATTGGCTTCAACTGCCTCCATTACAGCGCTGGAACGAATGAGGGTTCGATAGAACATCACGGCCTGCGAAACAAGACTTTCATCGACTCTACCTGCACCGATGGAATCCGCGCTGAGCTGATGTTCCCATCTTGTTGGAACGGCCAAGATCTCGACAGCAATAACCACACTACCCATGTCGCCTACCCTGATCAGATCAAGTATGGCAATTGCCCTGAAGGATACCCTGTCAGACTACCCACACTTTTCTATGAGACCATCTACAACACACCTGCCTTCGAGGACCTCGATGGCCAGTTTGTTTTTGCGAACGGTGATCCCACCGGTTACGGCTATCATGGTGATTTTATTTGCGGCTGGGAAGATGGTGTGTTACAGAGTGCCATTGACAACCCATATTGTACCGGAACCCCAAGTGAACCAGGATCTGGTCTCCAAGAAAGCTGTCCTATCTTTGAGCTTCAGAGCAGCTACCTCGCCACACAGTGCAAGATGGAAATCCCAGAAGTTCTGCAAAACGATTCCGTCAAGTTTGCCCCAATCCTACCCGGCCATGTAAAAATTCAGGCTGGTCCTGAGCGCGCAGTAATTGCTGGTCATGCTGCTGCTTCATCAAGCCAGAGCCTACAACCAACCCCTGCTCCTGGGTCTTCGTCGCTGGCGTGTCACACATCAGCTCTAACAGCCCCTATGACATCAACTTCTTCTGGACAAGGACACGTGCAAGTTACAGACACGCCGATCTCGCCCAATTCCAATCAAGTCATCAGTACTACCACCATCTACATGAGTGATGGTGTCGAGGTAGACATGGTGCTGGTCGAGGAAATTGTCACGGTCACGGCCGTGGAGAGTGTGCCGGCTGATGAAGCCCGCAAGCGACATTTACATCGCCATCGGTCCAACGGCTGAAGTAACTGGATCTAGCGTGGCTATCCGGCTATAGGCTGCCTATGCGGCGGCATGTTGGGTATCCAGGCGACCCCAGATATGTCTTGGAAATGATGATCACCTGATGACATGGATTTTCACATGAGAGAAAGCCGGGTGCTTTAACGATGTTCATGAATTGCGCTTGATTTTGCTTTGATATGACCCGGAGAATGAATCAGTCTGCGAAGGAAATGATACCAGGGTCTCATCAGAGCCATTTCTGTGAGCTGATAGTTGATCACACATGATCACAATGGAATAAGTCCTGACTGCTATGTGCCACTGACTTGTCGAAGTCATTCAATGGGAAAGATAATGACACTAGTCTCGTGTGCTCTAATTAATCGTAGCCACTACTGACGGGACGTTAGATGTACCTACCTGGTACCCAGGTACATACCGTAAAAGTCAAGTCACGGGATCTCGCGAAAATAGCGCAAATTAAAGGCTCCACAGTTGAATTGATTGGGGCCGCGCGTGCCGGGGACTGTGTTTGTCCTTTCGCACTTCATACGTTGAGATGGGCTGATCGAGAACTGCAACTTCATGGACTAATCGTTACTTCTAAAACATCTACGCCGCGATAAGTTGGCACTAGAACCTGCAAATCAAGTACATCTACGTGGTGCCTCCTTATTTAGGAGCCCATCGAAGATCATCGACCCGGACATGTCCAACACCAAGAGGGACGCCGCGGCGATCATCGCCAGCGCCTCACGGCACAAAACGCCGCCAGCGACCAGCGACTACAAGAACCACCCAGCCAAACAAATCTGGTGCGACACGCAGTGGTCGAATCTGAGCATGCAGGCGAAGAAGCTCGAGCTGCCGGAACTGCCGTACTTCGACCCGGAGACCATGCTGCTGAGCAAGGAGGTCAACATCAAACTATGGGAGCAGCTTGTAAGTTTGTAATTTGTCCACGCCATTCTCCAGCTCCTCCCTTTCTTGTTGCACTTTCTCTATCCTTGACGGAGCTGGTATCTATGACGTGACGCGGATTGCCAAAGCCCGAAACCCACGGAAATGGGATGATAGGGCGGTGCGAGCTAACCAGGCTGTACTTTAGAAACGCCTGTTCGACCATCTCGGCCCGGACAAGGCGCCGTTCGCCACGCCCGTCATGAAAAAGGGCGGGGTCGTCAAGTGGCACAGTTTCCTCAACGACGACCGGGGTGACGAGGCCGAGGTCTACGACTCCGTCGTCGACGCGTTCATGAGCAATGCCAAGAACCGTGGTGAATATTTGAAGGACATTTGAGGCTCGCCCCTTGCTTAAATTTCACTGCGAACGTCGAACGGTGATGCAGTTTGACGCCTGAAATTTCATTCCTCAACGGAAGGGCGGGGATAGCCCCTTTGGGATTGTCGACGACGTGATGAAAGGAATTGGGGGTGCACGGGGCGATTGGAAATCTTCGAAGCGTTCAAAAGTGATCTGAAAATGAAGGGCATGAGTACAATGCTACGATTATGGACAGGATGGTCACTCATGCATGTGGGAGATCGATATGTGTTGCCGCTTTGAGATGGTTTGTCTTGTACCATGGGACCTTACAATGCCTTGAGCCTTGGGCCATGAATATAGGAGAAACAAACGATTGTGCAATGTCATTTAAACGGGTACATATGATTGCCCCGTAGTCACGGTTTGCAATGGTTCGAATCTCCAGGGCGGGTATCAGCATTCCGTTTCCGAATTCTCCTGTGAACTTGTGGCTGGCAGCGTTGGAGCACTGAACTTGCTAACATCAGTCTGCCGATATTCCGAGTTTTCCTCATTCGGCTTCTTATTTGCAGTGTGTCACAAAGTGTAGCTCGACCAACCACCAATTGTGCAACCTCTGGTGGTGATCCATTCACATGACTGCCACAGTCCTCGCGTTCAAACTCAGTGTGAGAGTCCTAGGTACTCTCATTGTCGATTAAGTTGCCTCACCTTCATTCGAACAGGCCTAGGTAGCATAAATCCAAGTCCAATCGTACGTAAGGGCATTTAGCGGACTTTAAGGCTTTCTATCATGGCAGAATGAAAGTCAACCTCTGATGCCAGTCTTTCAATTGGACATCTGAGTTTAGCCATATTCAGTTCTGTCGTCGACCTGTGGTGGGACTTCTGGAAAGCCTGTGTCCATTCCCGGTGCCCACCCGTCCAGGAAGTTCAAGCTCATTGGACTTGTGTCGAGATGGGAGAAGTTTATCAACTCTCCGTCGGGTAGAATAAACATCTCTGGGTCCAGAAATGGATGAAAGAGATCTTGGATGTGCTCAGAGTAAATATCAGTGCCCGTCGATGGGTTGAACGACATGTACGAGAGTTCTGGATCTGGGTGACTTTGCGCGAGCTCAGCAGTTATTGAGATTGGATCGTCGTCTTCATCGACTGAAGCAGGCTTTGATTTTGACAAAACTCCTGCCCAGACAAGTCAGCACACGTTTGAGGAAGTGGTTTAACGACCCTACCTGTTTGGCCAGCTGAGCTCTGAAGACTATCTCCTTCGGCACCCAGGCTGGGTACCTCGCCTTTTTTCAAAAAGTCACCGTTTTCGCTCCAGAGTATGTGAGTGTGGCCAAGTATGGAGTCTCTGGCGCGAGTGCTATGCATGCGGATCCCTTTCAATTTACTTGCATCTAAATACTTTGGCTCATTCTCAAGGAAAGAAGGGGCTCTGGAATGAATCTTGTATATGTAACGGAGGTGAACTTCCTGACAACAGCGTCAGCTCAGACTTCTAGGGAAGCGGAGTGACTTCAAGCGCACCAGGATCGCGGCAAACTTCCAATGCTTTGCTAACACGCGAATCATGGCAGCGTTAGTTTTGACATTCGCATAGGCACTTTCTCTGACTGGTTGCTCGCAGCACCAAATAAAGGGCACCTGGATGGCACAGCCACAGTATGCGGCGTAGGCCACGAAACTTGGGATGGCACTAGGTTCGGGATAATGTTTGAGAACCGCCTCAAACAATGTGGAGGCCTCACGAGCATGGTCGAATGCGACGATGGCGGAGAGACGTCGAGCGGCCGGCCAAGCATCATCCTCTGTGCTCCATGAGAAGAGAGGAATTATAGAAGCATGGATGGCAGTCAAGCATTGACGGTAAACAGTTTGCATGAGAAGGATTTTCGGTAAGAGGCCTGTAGGTATGGTTGAAATATTCGAAGGAGTAACCTGGAATTGGTCCGGGAGCTTCGACCACCATTGTGATATTTTGGCATCTAGGGCGTAGATTGCGCACATCCTTGTGGAGACATTTGGTTGAGGTGTTCTGATCAGAACAGAAACCTCGTGCCTGGTAACCGATTAGCAAAGCGCTGCTTGAAGAACCGGTCAACATGCCACAAAGTAAGCGAGCGACTCAGTTCCGCGTAGAGACTTCCGTTACTAAAGCCACACTCTAGAAAGATCGGTGTAACGTCGGCGATACCTGCAACGAAGTCTTCCTCCGGCCACGGGAGAGGAAGCTTCAAGGTTCTCTCAGAAGGCCTGTCTGCTGTTGCAGATTCTGCGGAATGACAATTCATGAGATAATGGGCCCAAAAGCGGCGCCTTAGGATCTCAGAATCCAAGCCAGTTCCAGTTCGATACTTTTCACTACCCAGTCCTAGAAGACTCACTATTAGTGAAGCATTTCCTGCAAATGCTTTGGTCAACACGGTCTGGTCCGAGATCCTCAAGGGGCAACTTGGAACTACCTTTGAGAACGTAGCATCGGCGCCATTCGCCGCGACTGTACCAAAACAGAGCAAGGTTCAACAGCGTCACAACATTGTCTTCATGAGGGGTCTCGATCTCTTGAAGAACTAGTTTGCCTGCACGCTCCGCCCATTCTATGCAAAATCCATTGTCTAGAAGAGAAGTCTGACTATTTGCATCCCGGTAGAAGCTGGCCGTGAGAAGTCAGTAGAGAAAAGAAGATGGAAGTTCGAGAGCCCCACACTGCGGCGAAGGCACAGACACTTAGTACCAAATGAGGCCGAGCAGTACGCCTTGTCAGTGACTGCAAGAACAATTGTTTGTGGAGCAGTAGCGAGGCGTTGTAGACATGGGAATAAAAGACATCGATCAGGCTCGACAAGAGTGTTCTCGGAATCCCAAGATAATGGTCCTGGGCTGGCAGCGTGGGGATTGATTCCTCATACGGCATACGCAGAATCTGGGCACACGCCTCCTGACCCCGTCCTTGTGAAAACTGGCCTCCTTCGAACTCGCCTGAAGCATTCAACTCAGGTGTTGATGTCGATTTTGTCAGCTGCGAAGGTGCATGGCCCGAAACAATGACTGAAGCATATGTGCAGGTTCGTCTCAGGCGAGTGCATCTTTTGCAGCTCGGCCGCTCACCAGAGCAGCGCACCTATTGTTTGTTAGCTGTGCTCATCAATTTGAAAACGTCTCGAGCGAGGCGAAGCCACAGAGAAGCTTACTTTTTGGGTCTTGCACTGACCGCATGCCTTACGAGGGCGACCGGAACCCGCGAGCATGAGGAATCCCGATTAGCTGCTGGAGAACCGAAGAAGAATGGTGATGAAGATGTTGTAGTCAGGGACCATGCCATCAGCGACGGACAATAATATGGGGTTCGGAAAATGGAGAAGGAGATTCGGAAAATCAGCGCCACAGCCTTAAAGACGTGGCGTCAACAGCCACATATTTGCTGATCTGCACTGTCCTGTACCTTACGCGGTACTCTCACTTGCCCTGAGACCCTCGGTAGATACTGGGTAGGCGTACGTAGCTAGTAGGTCCTTGGCCTGGAGGATGCTACTCGTAAGTACATCTAATTCCAATGACTGCAGTTGAGGAGATTTCCGCGCACCTTGAGCTAGATTCACGTGCTCCTGATCCCGTGGTTTCCCGAGTATACTCGGAAAACCTCCGGCGAGGAAGTGCCGAGTACGACGTCCACATCATCAATTGCAATAATATATCCAGCAGAAGGCCTCAGGTCCAACTTCTAGAAAGTCCTGAAACCAATGCGCGAAAGAACAGTTCCATCATCAGTGCAAGTAGCTCGGTCCATCTGGTTGAAGGGCCTTCCGAGATGTCAAGCTCAACAGGTATAAAGAAGCACACCGATTCACTACCCTCCAATCTTGCCAATCCGACCATCCACATTACTTCTCACGACCCAGCCACAGCCAAAGCAGTGGTACACTCATCGAAAAAGAACCCATGGACTTACTTTCGAGACGATACAGTCGGGTTCAATGTGGTCTACACAACTGGCAAATTCCCCGTCTCGCTGAATGATGAGGTTGACATCAAAGCACATGAGCAGACGATTGAGTCCGGAACTCTAGGCCTTGTTAAACCCGGCGGTACAGTCTGCCGCATCGTCGACTTTGGACCGGGCAATGCTCCGCTCATGCACCGTACACAAAGCCTCGACTATGGCATCGTCCTAGAGGGTACGGTTGAGATGCGTCTAGACGATGAATCAGTCACAATCCTCAACAAAGGTGATATCGCAGTTCAGAGAGGAACGATGCACGAATGGAGCAATCATCACAAGAACGAATGGGCCAGAATGTTGTTTGTGCTGCAAGACAGTGAGCCCGTTATTGTTGCAGGTCAAAGATTGAAAGAGGATTTGGGTGGAAGCCATAGCGATGTGCCACCAAGTAGAAATGACCAATGATTGCTGCCTGGTGATAGCAGCGGCTTGTTGATCCAGCGATGGAGAGCGAGCTTCAGCAGTACTAAATTGACATCAAGCAATGGGACAGCCGATAAGTAAGTGTTCTTGGACCTCGAGTTCCCCGAGGAGACTCCCGAGGTGATCAGCTTAGGATGATTGCACTAGTTAGTCATGAGGCCGCAGCTGACCCTGGCGTCAAGATACTCGTAGAGCGGTGGGGTTCGTAACGATTTGTCCTTGTTTCAAGAATCACTTATGGCTGAATGCAAGCGCATGTTGTGCCTCATGGGGCCAGCCGAGTCGATTGGCCTTGGCGATCATTAATTAGGCTCTGCACGGGCAACAAGTCGGGGATTAGGGAACCCTCAAGCTGGCTTGTGATCAGTGGTGAATCGTGGTCGATAGATCATTCGTCGGCGCATTTGATGGCGATTGGGTCAACTGAGCATCGGGCAATCTCTGAAGTTGGGGTGCGTCTCGGATGCAGACGTTCGGGCCGACTTTCGAGACGCTGGGTAGAGTGCATAGAAGCTGAGAATCTAATGGTGCTTGGGCATGGCTGACTGACATAAGGTTTGATGGTTGAGAGCGATGAAAGCGGCAGATCCAGTTTTCTGAGATGGACGCGGGTCTTGCGGACGGTCCATTATTAGGGGTCGACGAGACTGCATTGGTGGTATTGTGCTTGAGAGTAAAAATCCCTGCTGACGGTGAGTAGAGTGGTGCGAGCCATGACGGAGGAGAAGGGGAGTGTGAGTGTTATATTATTAGTAATTTGAGGTACTCTGCACAGTCACCCAACAGTACATGCGAGAGACATGGCGAGGCCAGCAAAAATGAAGTAGTAGGAATCGAGAATAACGATGGTGAGCAAGGGTGACGCACAAAGCTGTTCAGGGTCTACCCAGAGTCAACACAAAACTTCGTCCCTGGAGCAACTCATGCACGCCTCAATCCGTAGACTTTGAGTTTTTGACCCGAAAACCCAGACCCGACCTTTTACGAGAAAAGTGGTCGATAGTTGCGCCATCAAATCTCAGGTCTCCGATTTGGCCAGACTACGAAGTCCTGAGTCCTGAGGCCTGGGTCCTTATGCGCAGTCCCCATGAGTACATACATCCGTTGGAGGTGCTCCATACTGGATATGTAGCCTGGACGTTGGGGTTTGACACCAGGGTGCCCTTGCCTAAGTGAGTATGAGGTCCGGGACGCTGTTGCAGTTGGGGGATGCCCTGTGCGTGGGCGTGGGTGGCGTGGGTGGCGTGGGTGGCATGGTGGGCATCATACGTAGGTGGCCATGGGCCTACATAGCACAGAGTTCGGAGTTTCAGAAGCGAGACTCGAGGGTACGAGGATCGAGGACTGCCTCAATGAGCTCTTCCTCCTCTCGATCATTCTTGATTGATCAATGACCGGGTGCAGGAACGGAATCTCACTTTCTTTTCTTCTGGCGTGAAGGCGAGCGAGCTCCGGAAATAGGGGAATTAACTGCAACTACCTCATGGAGGATGGACCTGTATTGCTGCAGGATGTTATCCGTGGGGAGGACGGAGTACAGTGACGGTAGCATTTGGGCGCCCTGGTGGTCGGTACTGATTTTTACCCAGGTATGGCACTTGGTAGAGCGTGGCCTTTTGGTTTCGGCTGCTTCTGTGATGAAACAACCTACAGGCTCAGGCTGTTGGTACTGGGTAGTAGTAGGTCCTGTGGCAGGAACTCGTCGTAGTCGTCCCGTTTATTATTAGTACGGAGCACTACTCGTAGGAGCCTTAGGTAAGGCACAAATACTCGTCCTGTCCGGAGGACGTGGATGAGAAACACCAATTCCCTGGACTCGATTTTAATGTTACCTTACTCGGCGTGCCTTTGCATGCATGAGCCTCCCAAGCGGCAACAGAGCGGCGGCTGGGCAAATAGTAACCCGTTTCGAGGTACTTTTGTGAAGGACGGCCTGAACCTGGCCTCCTTGGGGTGATCATCTTAGTCCTCGTCTCCACCAGGACCCTGGGATCAGATCAGGTCTGAGACGCAACGCACGGAAGGCCGCAATTGAAGAATTCCCTGTGGGCTCGGGTAAGCACAACAGTGAGCAGCAGTGAGCAGTCCATGCGCAGTACTCGTGCACCGGGGCGGCACCTGCACCTGCGCCTTCAACTGTACCTCACCTGCACCTGCACCTGCACCTGCACCTTCCCAAGCCAGCTGACATGGGGTCCCCTCTTCGCGAGTCGCGTCGCCAGTCGTCGTTGGGTCGGGCCTTTTGGTTCGGCCAAGGATTTGGGTTTGGGTTTGGGTTTGGGTTCGGGGTTTGGCCTGGGTGGCTCCAGCTCCAGCGCCAGGCTATGTTATTCATAGTCCCAGGTGCTCCTTCTACTGTACGGAGTACTCGTACGTGCCTAACCGCCATCCATGTCCACATCCACTCCCACCAACTGTACGAGGTACAATCGCAGATGATGCATAATCGCTTTGTCGGCAGCATCCCCCCCACATGCTCTGCACGGCCAACGACCATGGCCACGGTGACAATGACACCCGCGCTCTCATTGGTGTCCATCCGTGCACCCCTCGTCCAGAATCACCTGGTGAGTGGTCACTGGTCACTGGTCACCGGCACAGTGGCCCTACGATACCCTTGCACCTCTGGGGCTAGCAAGCTAGCACCTAATTAGCATCTAGTTGGCACCTAATTGGCACCCCCAGGAGGCTAAACGGGGTTCATAATTCCAGCCAGGCCCTCTTCTTCCTTCACACGCCAACTACTCGTAATTCCAGAACTTCCATTGACCCCGTTTCACTCCAGTGCTACCACCGCACTGGCATCCGTCAACCACAGGTTCCACAACCCCCGACAGCCTGAGCGAGTCTACGAGTCTAAGGTAAACCACCAGCCAAGCCCAGAGCCGCTGCCGCTTTCAGCTGCCCGCGACTTTCTTCCAACATACCTAACCTCAACGCTCGAGCAACAATCCTTTACCAAACGCTGCACAGCGAATAATAATAATACACTATCTCACCGTTCGATTTGGCGCCGCTGACCGCATGCTCATCTTCGTGCTTCCATGATTTCGACCACTGGGTTTTGTTTCGGATCGCAGCCAATCGCAGCTCCACCTGACTCTCAGTTGGCCCCATCCAAGTTACTCTTGAAGAGCCAGACTTTGCTTCTGCGGCACACCTGCTTGTAGAATGCCATCGCTTAGGATGCATTGATTGAGTCCGATTCGAGATCGGATTAAATATCAAGTCCATTATGGCTTCACCTGAAATCTCCCCAATTGATCGGAAGGGTAAGCCGTCCAAGCGTTCCTCCAATTCTTACACCAGTGAGGAATGGCGGAGGCATCGTCCGCTCATCACTCAGCTGTATTTCGAGGAGGGCCGCACCCTCAAAGAGGTTGCAGAGTATCTAAAGCGAGAGTTCAACTTTGCTCCAACGTATGCTGAGTCCCCTATCATCTTGTATTGACCCCGTAACTGATCACCGCCGACCTATCAGAGAACGCATGTACAAAAGCAGGCTTCATAGTTGGGGCCTCGATAAAAAGAAGAAAGAACATGAAATGCTTGATCTCGTTCGACAGGGACTCCAACAGAAAGGCGACGACAAAGACAAGGTCTTCTTGGTCAGAGGCAGGCAAGTCACTCTGGCCGATGCACTGCACTACTTCAATCGAAAGGGAATCAAAGATCCATCCAGTCTGTTAGAGGGTGCGGACCCGTCTGGCGAGTTGTCCTCGCCGGAGGATGCCGAGGCTACTACCCCCCTCTCCTCTCATGCCGATTTGGTGGACACTAATTATCCAGACGGCGTTGAATTCGACCTGACGCGGAGCCCCTTGGACCTTGAGGATCCCAACAAGTCGGCCATCCCGACGTCCTTGAACCCATCTGATATTGCTGAAAATTGTCTCGAAGCACTCCAGACCGCTCTAAATATACCCACTCTTCCACCAATGCCCCCTTTCCGAACATTGTCTGTTGAGGCATCTGTAGCTCCCTCAACTGCATCTGCCGCAGATCAGCGCTATCTTGATACCATTTTCCACAATCTAAAAAGCCATTACATCAGACTCTTCGAAGCCAGAAATCTCTCCGTCGGCAACACCACCGGCACGTGGACTGCCACGTCCGATGACGCAGTAGCCGACAGATTCTACTATTCCATGTATCACGGCTATTCGTTTTTATGGAATGGCCAAAGGGACAAGGCGTTTGACAACTTCTACAAAGCTTTTGCTCTTATCGAAGGCTTACTGAAAGATGACCACGTTGGCTTTATGATTTATATCTTTGACTTGATTATCCGGCATGATGGCACAGGCTACGAAGAACCACTCCTCATGCTCCTGCAGCACCTAGGAGATCTAGCCAAAGCTGTGTCCGAATCAGACCAGCATCCCATTTATCTCGTCGCGAACTACATGAGTCAAGCGACTATATCACGCGCGTGGCTCGCAGAGTCTACGTTGCGCCGGCTTCTGGACTTCTTCCAAGACTCCATAGGCTACTTCCACCCAGAAACCATCGCGTTACTTCAAACTTTTGCAACCGGTCTGATGAACCGAAAATGGTACGCCGAGGCAGCGATTAGATTTCAGCAACTGGTCGATGCATTTGAGACAACAATGAGCAAACAATGCTATGAGGTGTGCTATGCGTTGAGATCCACGTCGGAAGCCTATTTCCATATGGAACACTACCAAGAATCGCTGCAGGCCCTAAAGGCTGCTCTTGATCGCGCGGAATCGCTCCCGAGAATGGAAGAGAGGGAAATCTATGTCCGCTGCCTGCGTGGTATGGCAGAAATTTCGAACAATCTGGGTCGCAAACAAGAAGCTAATGAAACTATGCAACACGTTGTCGATATATGTCGAGACTCTTTTGGGCCTGAGCACCCATTCACCAGCCGGGCTCGGATGCACCTCAAATCCATCTTGAAGGGTGATGCCACTGGGGAATCTGCAATCCCCCCAATGGTGTATAGACTCGGCCGCGGCGGAAATGCAGCCAAATATATATGGGTCTCTCGATCTAGTCCTACTCGTCTACAAGCCTGAAGAGGCCACACACACGAGTGACGGAAACATTTTCAAAGCCTATTGGGGCTCAACGCTCATGGTGATCGTACCCCGGACGATTTCATACAAGCGAGAGCTGCTGGCCCCCTGGGTTGACCTTCCTGCCTAGATGGAGCTGAAATGAAGAGCCGCGAGTTTCAGAGTTCGGTATCTAATCAGTAATAAGTCGGGCCCATATGCATTCATATTGCTTCACGAAGCTGTGACTAATATGAAGCAGCTGTCTTGAAGGCCAGGCTTGAGACGCAGACACTCCCTACCACGACAAGCAACACCCTCGCATGGGATGTAGTCCCCTCAAATTCAACCAGGTGAAGGAGAATCCAGGAGGAAGAGTGGTGTTCAAGACCGAAACAGGTGGAATTGCTAGAGTAGCACCGCACGAAGAACTCGGTAGCAATTACGAGGTGCCTAGTAGAGAGTCCTCCTGTCGTCTCCCAGACTCAGGAAGAACTCTTGGGGAACGGCCTCAATTAGCGGGAGACGCCCAGAGATCTGGGGGCCGACGATCTTGGCTCTCGTACGAATTTGTAATTAGGGGCTATGCCTCGTCTTTCTCATTCGCGCCAACTACCTCAGGTATTGACGAACGGAGTCCGAGTACGAGGGGCAGAGATTACTGCGCGTTGGGAGGCTTTGGCACTTGAGTCAGTACCCAAGGTGGGCAGGTCCAGATGGATGGACCTGGGGTTCTCCATCTAGGCACCGTTAAGGGCCGTCAAGTTCAGGTACTAGGTGAGTGCCCTAGACATAGTAGTCACTCCTCGATAGTGGCACCTTAGACAGTATGGAGTAGAAGGGAGTACCTGAGACAGATGAGGCTGGGTGTCCGGAGCTTCGTGGTCACGTGTACCCGGCAGCACAAATGTCTGATCCCCTCTTCCCCAAATGCAACACGATTCAATTTCCACATCCAACGGGAACTCGTTTTAAGTCAGAGTCATGCGATTCATGGAGTACATGCTATCCCTCGTTCTACCCCGAATGCCGAGGATGGGGCAAATCGAACATTTCGAAGGCATAGGACAGGAGCCGAAAGTTGATCGGAAAGCGTCGCCGGACATCCTTGCAGACGGACGCTGATATCTGCCCCTCCATGTGCTGCGGGCCCTAACCCACAAATCTTACAGTACGAGTACAGTACGGAGAGCAACGAGGGGCCGAGCGGTATCTAGTAGTGTGAGACCCATCCATTGGACAATGACAGCCACTGAGACCGCCTCACCACCACACCGGGGTGAGTTGTGTACTCGTACTCCGTAGTGGGTGCCCCGTTAACTCACTAGCTGCGAACTGCGGAACACTTTTTCTCTCACACCGCGACTCCAGCGCCTACAAACCATCCTCTTGGAGCACTCGTCGTTACCACCGAACCACCGAATCTTGCAAGGTTCCGAGACCATCTCCTTCACGCCCACTGTCCTCAAGATGGCAAGCGAGAAATATTACATCAAGAATGCCATTACCAAACCTGCGATCCATCACCAGTCCTACCAGCAGTTATGGGAGACAAAATGGAAGAAGCCAGTATGTCCAATACCTCCTGGTCTCTGGTGCGCGACAACGAACTCACCATCTTCTAGTGCGAGATGGGTGTATATCCATTCATGTTCGGAAGCATCAAGGACTTTGAACCTGTAGCGCAAGATATCATCAAGGTCTAGAGCCTGCCTGAGCATCACGAGTCAACATTCAGCTGATGTTCTGAAAAGGCAGGATTGAAAGAACCGTACGATTGGGATGAATATGCACCCTACTACTTCCCCAAGGCTGAAGAGCTGAGCAAAATCGCGGAAGAAGCCGAAAAAGCTGGGGAGAAAGAGAAGGCCTCGGAATACTATCTGTATGTTGCGACGACTGGGTTGAAGCAGGGGGAGTCGCTAACAGTCGACATAGCCGAAGTGCTGCTGTCTATCGAATCTCTCGATTTCCCGCCCCACGGTCGGAAAAGCAAAAGTATGCCTGGAGAGTTGGGACGGAAACCTTCTACAAGGGCGCAGCGTAGGTCACCGAGACCTCCTCATTAGAATCCGCATTGACCTAGGAGGTGACAGGCTTATGGAGCACCCCATCAAAGAAGTGCGAATCCCTCATAAACATGCGATGGAAGGTGAGGGTGACGTCGTCCCGGTCAATTTCCTGCTTCCCCCAGGGGCCTCGCCGGAAAAGCCTGCCGCTGTTGTTCTGATCATCACCGGTCTCGACGGATATCGTACAGAGCTGGCCGTGTGGCAACAGGGGTTCCTGCAAAAGGGCGTTGCGACTGTCATTGCTGAGATCCCAGGGACAGGAGACTCACCAGCCGCCCGACAGGACCCTACCAGTCCAGACAGACAGTGGTCCAGTGTTCTGGACTGGATAGATACCCAAAAGGCCATTGACAACAAAAGAATCGTTGTGTGGGGCTTCTCAACAGGTGGGTACTACGCGCTCCGGGCGGCCCATACACACAAGGATAGGCTCCTGGCAAGTATCAGCTTGGGCGGAGGAGCGCATCACATGTTCGATCGGGAATGGCTCGAGAATGTGAATAAGCTGGAGTATCCGTTCGATCTGGGGAACACTCTGGCATACAAGTTCGGCTATCCAGACCTGGAGTCTTTCATCCAGGACGCCGGGAAATTCTCTTTGTTAAACGATGGAACACTGGACAAGCCATGTACCAAGGTACTCCTGGTCAACGGAAACGACGATGAGATCTTTCCCATCGATGATATGTTCGTTGCACTTGAGCACGGTCAGCCTAAATTGGCACGAATGGTCAAGGGAAAGAAGCACATGGGAGAGCCCGACAGCTTTTTCATCATTCTCAAATTCATCTATGGCCTTTTTGGGCTTGATGGCAACATTATGGACCAGATGAAAACACTTCCTAGCAGATCGAAATACTAAATCGAGCTTTGGCGACGAAGCCATTCACTGAGTTGAGGTGTTTTACATGTCTGGCATTTATATGGCATCTAGATTGTTGAATCATCTTGTGGAGTGCTCAGGCAGCGGGATATCTGTTCAAGAACCCTTGATAATACAAAGAATATCCTCGTGGAACGACTCATCGTTTGCTCTTCGATTTCTGTCTCGTACAAAGTGAAATCGGACTCGGAGACTATTCAGACCTCATCCAGCCAACAGTTCCACGCCAACCCATGTCACTTCTTCAGGCCCGCGCTTACCCGCCTCTGTAGCCGTAACATTTCCAACGCCTATCAGATCCGGCCTCAATGGCCTCAGTACAAGGACTCACGGCCAGAACCTTCCCTCCACTAACTTCTTTGGTGTTGGTTCATCATGAATACCGTGGCGTCACAGATTGGGAGTCGACCTGCATTGGCGATCGCTCTGCATATACCTTAGCCTACTCTATCGTGATTATTCCCTTCTTCTGCCTTTTTACGTGGTGACATTGTGCACGACATCTTCTGTCTCAGTCCATCATGATTGACCACGACTATTCCTCTCTGTATTAGTAGGAGAACCGATATTGATAGGCGCTCCGATCATTCTTTCCGAGGTTCAACAGTCCCGTACCTTCACCACCGCCGCCTGGAAATCCACCCTTCCACCCGCACCTTCCCGAGTTTGAGGGGCGTGTGCCTTCCGAGGTCGTCTTGCCAAAAACCAATCCAACCTTGCCACGTCCTGCCTCGACTCTTAACAACAGACGGTCGGCCGCTGACTTGCGGATGTCCTGACCTGAGCCATCTACAATGCCGATCAGTGTTCTGCGACGGCAGACCGTCGTCGATGGGACCGGTAGTTCCAGTGGAGAAAGCTCACGCCGCGCATCACTCGCCGACACTCCTCGAAAATCCAGCATTGTCGGCTTGACTCTACGGCTGACTCGATCCAAAAGGTCTAATTTGGCCAATGATCCAGCTTCAGCTTCAGCATCTGTAGCGTCAGTTTCCTTGTCAACCCGTTGCTCTGGAGAGCTCCATTGGCACAGACTAACCTTGCATATAGACAACGTTTAGGAGACGCTTTCCTTTCTCTTCCCGATGAGATTATTACCCAGATCATCTGCCACCTTTCCACAGAGGAATTTCTAGCACTTCGACTTACTTCCCGTACTATCCATGCCCTCTTGAGAGCCAATGCTGCTCCCATCACACGCTCGATACTTACTCACAGTGCTCCATCCGAAGGTGACTTCGAGTGCATCCAGCACCTGTATCCTCAGCCGAAACCATGCACCAATGAGCGATATCTGCTGCAAATGATTCGACGGCAATCACTGGTTGATCGGATGCTGTCAATCATCGCCTCTTTTGTTCAGATGAAGGTTTACATGATTCCGTCTTGTCCACGTTTCGCAGATTTCTCCCCCTACAAACGAAGGCTGGAGCGACGTTTTCATGCATCTGCCTGGATTATCTACCATTTCCTTGAGAGATTCAGGCATATCCTTGTCTTCCAGCATCCTTATCATGGGCAACGTCCACCAGACCGCTCTCATGACTGTCAAGACTGCACCAACTCCGTCAATGAGTTAATCCGATCATACCCTCCCTCCGAGATCATTCCGGCATATCACTTCTACGGGCTCCTTCTCCAGCATCTCCGCCAACTGAGTCGTGCGCCGAGCTATGTAGGCACCATCGAGCGCCGCTTAAGAGGTTGGTCCCGTCGTCCACCAGCTGATTCACAGTTGGCTCAAGTCGTAATTTTGGGAGGGATTCCATTGCTGTCCAGACTGTCCATCTTAAAAGGCACATATAACCAACGCGTCGAAGTCATTGGCTCATTCATCGATAAGATATCGACCTTGGCTGCTACGCAGATACGGCTCTTCGTTGCCCCAAAAAGCTCATCCTCGCCATCTGCGCAGCATCTTAGGATCATAGATCTGTCCGAGTTCGAATCCCTCAAGGCACCTCTCGACCCCCCTTTCTCAGATATCTCGGAAAAAACTATCGCGGCTCTTCCAAGCCTGGAGAGGTTTGTTTCGGATGACTGGGCAGTTAGAATGTATGAAACTATTGGGCCTACTGATGTGCCTGCGAGTGCTTTTGGTTTTGTGCAAAATGTTCTCGCGGGGAAAGACAATGGCCCCGATTATCTGGAACCCATTATCGGGTTTGCATGAACGTGTTCTTGATGGTATTGAGATGCGAAGTGGAATGTGATATTCTTATTCCTCAACTAACTTGTTGACCTGTTATTTCTAGCTTAAAGTTTGGCTTTGAGAACATATCTTCTTCGAGCTAGATCAACTGGGAATATGGCCAAAGTCCCTTGCTCGATTGATACCAAGGATACATCCACAGTCCGTCTGCCAAGACCAAAATGAGAACCTTGAAAGAAGCAATTACTAGCGGGTGATTATTGCGGGTAGCCCTGACCGAAGCGGTGGCCGATATACTCCATCATGTTTCGATGCTTCGATGCTCGATACTACTGGTGCCGATTTTGCTCCATTAATGCTGGCACCTGAGCTCTCATGCCAAGCTGATGGGCGACAGGCGCAGAATTTCAGCGGCCGCCGATTGACTACAAAACCTGATTACCACCCTAAATCTGTTTGAACGCTACGAGGCATCCTCTCCAAGTCTTGCAACAAGTCATTTTCTTTCAAAATGCTCACATCCCTCCTTGCTCTGATCTTATGTGCTACATCTTCCTTCGCGCATATCAACATCAACTATCCCTTAGTAAGCTTCACCTATGCTCATTGGGTCTCCACCATGCTGAGATGATCCAGGGACAATGGGATTTCGCTGAAAGCCAGCAAGAAAACGGCAGTTTCTGCGGGGGCGGTGTCTCGGGAAGTGCAAGTGCATGGCTTGCAGATGATCCTTTCATATCGCTGTCGGGTGACGCGGGCGAGTCTGTCACTGTTCGATTTGTCTATTCTAATACCAATGCGAACGGCTCAACCCAATTTGAGAGCTCAATCGGCAGCCTCGAAGATTTCAATGTGACATTGGTTGCAAATGCTACAATCCCGGACTCTGGAAACTTATGCGTTGATATTACCTTGCCACCACTTGTGGTTGGTGCCATTGGCATCATTTACGTAGCGGCGGTGAATCCAGACACTGGTGCTAATGTCTCCTCTTGCGCTACAATCGAATATATTCCCGAGTCGCTAGAGGGTCAGACTGTTCAGGGTACGAACACCACATATCGAAACTTCTATTGCTCCAACTCAACCGATCTGCCTGTCACCGAATCTGCCTGTGACTGCCATTGCCACGGTGCTGATGGTGAGTTAACCTTCCTCTAGACGATCGATGCAAATCACTCTTCCAAATCACTAACTTAACATTTACAGAACACTGTACTGGCGAATGTTCCGAGGACGAGATTGAAGCGGCCCGGGACCAGTGCACGTCCGAATACGAATCAAATAACCCGAGTGCTGAGTGCGATTGTCATTGCCATGGGGCTGAAGGTATGGTTTAGCCCGTCCGAATCCGCCGTGGGCATTATATGTTGAGCTAATCACCACCCAGAACACTGTTCAGGATCTTGCACCGAGCAACAGACCACTGATGCAAGAAATGAATGCGTAGCTGCCGCAGATGCAGCCAACGCGACGAGTACCACCATTTCCCCTTCGGCCTCGAGCACTGTCTCTGCTATAAACTCGGGGGCTGCAGCTTCAGAGACAGGAGCCGCATCAAAGACAGTCGATGTATCAGGACGGACTATCGGACTCGCACTCATAGTCTTCTCGTGCTTACTCTGGTAGGCACTAGTGAGCAAGCGTGGACCTGAATCAAGTTGGATCGATGGGTTGTACAAAAATCCCCTTGGGACAACCTAGAAGACTGTCCGGGGTGGGAAGCTTGGGGTGGCTTCCCTGGATCGTGCAGCGCGAGCGGCCATAGACTGTGGAAATTGCTGCCTTGCGATGACTGGGACATTAATGTATACTTGATAAAGACAGCATATTCCACCCAAACACCCAGGCCATTGGTTACTGGTTCGTGGTCACTAATTGATATGGTGGTATCTGACGTCGTGCCTGCCAAATGCCCGCGCCAATCAATTGACCACTGCCAAGCTAGCCAAGACTCCCGCCAAGCACATTCGCTCCTTCCATTTCCACCACCGTCAACCAATGCCATGGAATGCTCTCAAGGTCCTCACTTTTGCTCTTTTGCTTCGAGCATAATTGTCGGACTGAATTCCATCCATTTGAGCAGCATATGAAGCGTCGACAAGGGACCGCCAACATATATACACGTGCAAAAGTCCAATCATGCACTGATCTTGTCCGCAGCATGCTTCACCACACTACTCTTCGATGGTTCTTCCTTGGAATCTTGCTCAGTCTCTTCTCTTGTCGCTTCTATCTTAGTCTAAGTGTTCGGAGGCTAGATTCCGTATCATCAGAGGTCAATGAGCATGCCCCATCTATACCCGGAAGTCAGCCCAAGGCTTGTATGTCTTGCCATCCAGGGGTCTCCTTCTCCGAACAACCTCTGGGCCTGAAGAAGACCGACTATGCGCAGAAAATCCCTGGCACACCACCCGCCCATGTCACAATAAGTCAATACCCAAGTTCTTTCCGTCATGATAGACAGAAAGCGACTTTACTCGGGCAACTCAGGAGTAGCCGATCAGCAGTTTCCAGCCACAAGGGGCCAAGGTATCGCCTGTTGAAAGCACTCTACGGTTTTCAAAGGTATCAGGAAGTAAATGCCAAGGAAATTGAGCGCTTAGAAGTCCTATATGCCAATATCCCCAGCGCGCAGCGTAAGGTTAGTTGTACTCGCTGGAACGCACAGTATTTACGCCCAGCGTCGAGAGGAGAAAGAAGCCCCCACTGCTGACCGTTCTTGTAACCAAAAGTTCATACAATCAACACTAAACTACACTTACAACTTCTCCAAGGCGAGAGAGCTCTTCTCCTCAAACAGACATCTCGTCGATGATATAGTCCGGCTGGCTCTTGAGTATTATCGCATTGGAGAAGATGAGCTCACTTCCTTTGGCAGCATGGTCGAAAAGGACAAAGATCATCGCATGCAGCCTGATCGGACCTCTATCTCACAGGCTCTCAAGCATATCGTCAGAGACTGGTCAATCGATGGTCAACACGAACGACTTGCAACGTACCCTTGCATCCTTGAGACTCTGAAGGAAATCTTATCCGGGGTCATGGCTTTGGGAAGCGCCACTCCCGTGAAGGTGCTTCTTCCTGGTGCTGGCCTTAATAGGCTGGCCCACGAGATCTCTTTGTTCGGAAACCACCAAGTTGAAGTGACCACCAATGAATTTTCCCCTTACATGAATATTGTGTACCAATACCTTCTCAGTGTCCATACTCCATCCTCGCTTCACTTCTATCCGTACCCTGACAACTGGTCGCACCAAGTCACTCTCTCTGAGCTACATCGCGGCGTGTATGCCCCCGACATCCTTCCGTCGTCTTCAGACGTAGTCGTCATTGAAGGAGATTTTACCCATATTTTCAGACATCCCGAATGGCCAGGCAGTCAGGATGTTCTCATCACTCATTTCTTCATCGACACCGCTCGCAACTTTTTTCTGTATATCCAAACGATTCACAAACTTCTGAGACCTGGAGGGATTTGGATAAATCTGGGTCCGTTGTTGTGGAGTTACAACGCACAATTGCAACTCTCACTGGAAGAGGTGGTCAAACTGAGCAGAGCAGTGGGATTCGAGTTCCTGGAGACGGATGGGAGATGGGGCAACAAAACTGTGCAGGAGCTTACTGTGAGAAGTGTTCACGCACCGTACGGCTTCAATCATAGGACTTTGAGTCACAACGCATACAAGGCGCAATTCTGGGTGGCATCGAAAAAGCAGGAGTAGACCGTAGCCCGCGGGTGAGAGGCTAGCCTGCAATTCCCCGCCCGATGACGCGGATGGCTTTGGCGCCCTTTTCATATGTTGAGCCCGAGAGCTTCGGTGAGATGAACGTGATTTGAATGAAATACCTCTTTGGCACATCAAGCAGGAGCCGAAAGTTGCTGAGAACGTGTGATCCCACAAGTTCCACCACCTAGGCTCTTGCAATGGGAATCCTCAGTGTCGTGAATGTACTCTCCACAGCACCAGGTCATAAACTTGACCAAGGCTAGCAGCTCGAGGTGACGAGACTTGACATTTTTTGTGGATTCTGTACGGGATATATGGCATTGGGACCTGCTCTACTTGTTCTCCAGCATTGAACGCCACCAATCCTCAACAACATCATCGGTATATGTAACTTCAACTTAGCTTATTGCTACCAGATCTCAGACGACTATATTGGAGATATAACAGGTCCCCATGTTCAGAAAGTGGCTTTCATCCCACGTATATACAAAGCATAAACATTTCTGTTCAGATGGTGGCGAAAATCCAAGTTGGGCAACGGCACTCGCGCGAGGGGAATGGGTCTTTTTCATTCTTTTCCAATACTGATTCCGATGCGGCCCGGGGATTAGCTCAATCAAATATGCATACGAACGTTGTGATATCATGAGTCATCTTTCTCCCTGACCGGGTGTGTTCCTCAGGAGGCAGTGCAAAGTAAATCAATTCGGCGTTTGACATTGGGTCAGGATGAGAGTGCTGCCTCCTACCAGTTCTCACAAAGCACAAATCATCATTGACAGACGTGACGTCCGCAATGTCCAGAGTCCCAACTGTGACCAAGAATCAGCGGCTCGACGGCGGGCAGGGGCCACGGACTGCAGTCATGGTTTCCTCCAAGCTTGTTCCAATTATGGCTGGAGATCAGGTTGAGGAGATAGAGATGAAGCTTCGCCGTCAAGATGCTAAGAAAAATAGTCATCATCGTAGGAGGAAAGCAAGTGCTATCTATCCCACATACATGAGGAAACCGTAGTCTCAATAGCAGGATGGCCGTGCTTTGCTCATCTGTTGTCACTATTAGACTTTGTCTAGCTGATTGGGCACTGGGATTCCATAGTTCTTTCTCTCAGGCACAGATCAGATGTTGATATCTAGCTGCGACGAGCCGGTGAAGAAAGCCGTATCAGTGAAATCAGCGAAAATCTCTGGGAACAGTTCCTCAATGGATGACTGCCCATGTGGTGTCAAGAAGGCGTCATCAGATACTTGATCGCCCATCATGTTGTCATCTAGGTAGTCGTGGGCATCCATCTGTTCGTTTCGCAGAGCAGCAGGTGGAATATTTGGTGTTCTCAAGAGAGGCGTTTGTGGCAGAGAATCTTCGATCCGTTTGAGGACCGTCTCGCTCTGTGAGATGGCAGTCTCCGCCAAATCCCAATTGTCTTCCTCATGGAACCTTCGGAGCGCGTCAACAAGTGTCCGGGCACTGGCCATGCATTGTGCTCTAACACTCGAGTAGCTGGTCTGGAGTGCGCACCGAAGAAGCAACGTAACAGCAGAAGTAAAATGGTGTGCATTGTAAGGCAACCAAAAGCCCAAGAGGTCCTGTTTGTGCAGCGAGCTGACGAATCTAACAATGTCCTCTGCTGCAGCCTGGCAGCCTAATAGCCAGGATGAAGCTGGATCACTCTCTCGTTGGCTGATTTCATGCCACGCTATTCGCCGAAGCAGCATTCGCACAGACAGATAGGAGAGCTGCAGGTTGACCAACCCAGGGACTGGCGGTCTGTTGTGGAAGTCATTCAGATTTAGCCAGCTCGGACGACTCTCCACCCAGCGGTTAAGTTCAATCTCCGACCTTGATGTTTGTTCGGCGGCAATGCTGTCGTTGCCAGAGCGAATGTGATAGATCAATGGCAGTACGTCGCCAACGATCTCAGTCAGGCGACACAACCGAATGTACACCTCTGCGGCGCGGATGTGTTTCATCGAACCCGTTCTCCCATGTGTGAGTAGATCGACTGATGGAATCGGAACATCATAGTGGCCTTTTGAAATATACGGAGGAGTGCCTTGGGCGAAATTGAACCACCGATCCTGGATAACAACGCCCCACCAAGCTTTCCAGCGTACTCGCTTCTCCATGTCACGCAGCTTCCACTCACTGCAGTCGTGATTCAACCCAATGGCGTGAGACAGAGCAACAGCTCGAGCTACGTTCGCAACATTGTTGACCAAGCAACGGGAAGGTCTCCCGGCCAGATTTATGCAGATGGAGATTACGGTTGCTATATCGCTCTTCTGCATATCCGCAATGTTTGCAGCCACGCCCACCTGCCATGCGGCGTCCTGATCAGGTCTAGCGTGATTCGCTAGAGCTGGCGAAACGTTCCAGTAGAACAGTGCATGGCTGACGAGATTGACAAAAAAGGTCTGAGGAAGGGAGTTTTTCTCCTTGATGCGAGACATTACACAGTCTTCCTCGGTGACAGGATAACATGGATGAGCGTGGTCGTAATAGTTGGTCAGCAATTTCTCCAGGAAGGGCTCCACCTGGTCCAGGAGTTCACCTGGCAAGTTTCTCGAGCAATTGCACTCGGTGGGACTCGGTCTTCTTGGGGGAATCGGAACATGGTAGATGGGTTTATTCGACTCGCGGCGGCCCAGGTTTGGTTGGATCGGGACATGGTGGGACTGGCCGTTGACTTGAGGCAGATATTGGTCCAGGATTTGGGTGTCGCGCGCAATAACGGGGCCAACAATGTGCGAGTAACTCTCGATGGACTTCTCATCGGCGACAAGAGATCTGTGAACAAATCCGATCTTGGGAGTGACCCTGTCGTCCTTTTTCGCGGTTGCTGAAGAGCAGGGGACGCCATGCATCCGACACAGTAAGCACGCCTGGCCGGGAATCTCGATGGTGCATCTTGAACGCCGTTTGTGGCATCGAGCACAAGCTGGATATTTGTGCGATCGGTATGGGCGTGCCGTCTTCATGGTTTGCGAGTGTGGGCTCTCGTTGACGGCTGGAATGCCAGGATTCGATCCGACGTTGGTGGATGACATGGGACTCGTGGTGGACGAAGAAGCCGAAGTCGAATCGGTTGGCGTGGCTGGTGCGGCAGAGCACAGTGACCGAAGTGGTGCAAATGCTGGAGAGGCTTCCTGCCCCGCCGGACCGTGGTCATGTGACTCGGATTTCACAAAGGTTGGCGTCGCCGACATGACGGGCTCGCACTGACACTTGCAGCTTGTGGTTGCTCGTAGTCCTCTTCAATCCAATTATAACTTCGCCTTCCACAACTAGACTTGCAGTCAGGTATCAGGTGTTTGTGACAGTTTTGGACCCATACACCCGCTGATATACTTCTACATCGGCCGCATCTTCTCCAGCTGAAAAGCCGACCTTGCTCCAATATCCCAACGTACTGCAGGCGCCCATGAGTCTTTCGCTTGCTAATGCAGCTTCAATGTAGTTCAGGTAATCCTACCCTATCTCAACCTTCGTGATGCAGGTTAGCTCGTCCAGGAGATGGATGAACGAGTGGCCAAATCAAAGGTGGCTTTTCGCGGTAGACCCTTGTGAGTCTCCAATGAGCCGGCCATTTCCCCGCCTGGATCTACCCCTCGAGGTAAGGGATTACTTTGGAGTAGGCCATAGGAGGGCCACGTTTCCCGTCGGTGGGTCTCAAGCCTTTTTGTATATTTCCCCTTCCGTTAGTCCAGGTGTGAGCGTGACTGTGCCTGTGGGACTCTTAAAGTGCCAATAGTTGCTGCTGGACCACGGCTTGAATAGGTGAGGGCCCCAGGTCATATACAAGCAAAACCACCATGGCGCCCATGATTCAGGATGGCCCTGCGACCACCCAGTCTTCCGCCCTCAAATCCGCCAGCGCTGCACCAACCTTGTATGAGCATGTGGACGAAAGCAGCCTCCAGGCCAACGCAACGACATACTTGGTCAATTATGGTACCAAATTTGAGGAAGATATTGTCACTGGCAGCAAAGGATTATATGTCTACACGGCCAAAGGCCACAAAGTGCTTGACTGGACTTCGGGGCAGATGTCATGTTTGATCGGCCATGGACATCCAGAAATTGTGGCAACCATTCAAAATCACGCGGCCGAACTTGATCATTTGTTCTCTGGCATGCTTTCTCCACCAGTGATCAGCCTCGCGCAACGTCTGACTTCATCACTGCCTGATGGTCTCGACAAGGCATTTTTCCTATCGACTGGCGGCGAGTCCAACGAAGCGGCAATTAAAATGGCAAAGATATATACCGGCAAATTTGAGATTGTCGGGCTCGGCGCTTCCTGGCATGGCGTGACTGCACAAGCGTTAGGCACCCAGTATCACTTCGGTCGCAAGGGCCAAGGCCCACTAATGCCAGGGATGCACATGTTACCGCCACCAAACGGTTATCGCTCGATCTTCCGCAACCCTGACGGAAGCTACGACTGGGAAACTGAATTGAACTATGGCTGGGACCTGATAGATCGGGCATCATGTGGCTCTTTAGCGGCGTGCATCGTGGAATGTATCCAATCGTCAGCTGGCATGCATGTCCTTCCCCCAGGCTATCTTAAAGCTCTCAAAAAACACTGTGAAGAGCGAGGTATGCTTCTGATTGTTGACGAGGCACAGACGGGTGTCGGCCGATGTGGCGACCTCTTCGCAATCAACCATGAGGATGTCGTACCGGACCTTTTGACCCTGAGCAAGACTCTTGGCAATGGTATCCCGCTCAGTGCAGTCGTGACAAGTAATGAGATTGAGCGAGTGTGTACAGAGAGAGATTTTTGTTTCTATACAACCCATGTCAACGATCCGCTTCCGGCAGCAGTGGGAGACAAGGTCCTTGAGATAGTCTTGCGAGACGACCTCGTAGCACACTCTCGCTCCGTGGGCTCACACTTACACGCCGGTCTTCAAAAACTCCAATCTCGCTATGGGTGCATTGGGGATGTACGCGGCCGAGGGCTGATGTGCGGTGTGGAAATAGTTGGAGACAGGCAAAAGAAGACACCAGATCTTGAGCTTGCACGCAATCTCTCCAAGAGCATGTACGGCTTGGGCCTCTGGGCGAACCTGAGCAGCCACGCGAGCTTCGGTGGGGTGTTTAGAATCGCTCCGCCTATAGTTGTGACTCGGGCGCAGATTGATGAAGGATTGGAAATTATGGAGCGGGCTTTTGCGGAGACACGGGGAAGTCAGCCACTCTACTAGTTTAGGTTGACCTATGCTTTTGGGAGATGCCCAATTAGTATTGAAATGCGCATTGGACTTAGCCTGCGAGAAACCATGACGTTACCGTTGGTATACGCAACCTAGATTAGCTATAATCACAGTGCCAATAGTACCGCCTCAAGCAGCCGTATAGAGATGTCTACAAGTACTAGCTTCACCAGAGGACTGCCCCAGATCCAGAAATTTGACGAGCACGATGCTTGTGAGCTATGTCAGCTGGTTGCTAGCACGGATCTTTGGCAGGGGCAAGCGAATTGTCTTGTTCGTCTTCCACCTGCGGATGGAGACCTGGGCCGAGCCGGGATTGGATGGTGGCTCTCCGGGAAATATGCTATAGACTGCTATGAAACCGTTCGTCCTCTTAAAGACCCTGTGTAGGCAGAGTCCTCTATTCTTGTTGGCATTGCCGTTCATCTTCTATACGTGAACTCACGTAGGCTCGCCCGGCGCCGACGAGAAGTACTCTTTTACTCTCGCCGAGCTCCATCAAGTGCGTAGCTCCCATTTGTGATAGGAAGGGGACATGATCATTCATAAGACGGTCCGAGGGACTCGTCAGACTATATAGTATCCTTAAGTACGTACTAGACTAGCGCATGGGCGCTCTCGAGTCCGCTTCGGACAGCGTTAGAATAGCTCTCGGAGCTAGTTCGGATGCGTCGAAGCGATATAGTAGACCACGGTCTTTACCATCGCTTGGCATCGCTAATCACACATTGTTGGCGAATTTGACCACGCTGCTTTTAGCAAGTACTCGAGCATGTAATTATGAGATCTCTGTCTCTTTCAATCCTATGGACTCTGTTCTTGTTTATATACAAATTTATGAGGCATTTAATCTCCGTGGGCCCCTTTTCCATGATTTCAAATCACTGATTGATTTGCAAGCATTGCAAATGCTGATAAGATGGCAATTTTATGACAGGACTCACTGGAGTCCTCACAGAGTTTAGTATCCATATTTGTTAGCGCGTCACGTTTTACGTGAGTTAGTACGCGCTAGAATCATTAGCGCCAACATCCATCCTAAGATATCAAATTGAAAATGGGATTAATGCTATAATGCCATTCAAAGCTATTCTGACCAGCATAGTCCCGATTGCCTGAAAGGTAAATCTCCAACAGAAACCAGTAGCTCTGGCTATAATTTTCACCTAGACTTGGACTGCGATACGGTTGGTGCAGTACCTGCGGATCGACGGAATGAACAAGCTGAGAATGCATGCCAATGCGCCAAAGGTGATGCTAGTGTACCAGACGTAGCGCAATGACTCTGAATATGCCCAGCGAGACCCCAGCGTTGCTGCTTCGATAATCGTTGCATTGACGCCAGGAACTTTTGCTATCTCTGCCGGCGCAGTCAAGAATGTACCCACAAAGGCTTCCACTTCAGCCACGGGAAGGCCGGCCTCGATCGCATAATGCGCAATATTTGTAGGGAGCCTGGTCTTCAGTTTGTTGGCAAAGACGTTGTAATAGATACTGTACCCAATTGAGCCTCCAACAGTTCGCACGGACAAGGAAAGGGAGACTGCCGTGCCCAGGAGCGAGTCAGGCACAACAATCATGGCTACAGTTGCCGCTGGAACCAAGATACCTCCCACACCAAGCCCGGCGAGAGATCCGATGGCGACAGTGGTGGTGACATTGTAAGGGTTTGCAACGGCCAATGCTCCATCAAGCGCAGCTGTTGCGAATTCTCAGCCAGGGTCAACGCAGAATGAGAGGCAGACTTACTCATGATCACAGAGGCTGCGAAAAGTGTTTCTCGGGCGCGGCCTTTGGTCAACGAAAGCATCGAATTGAAGAAGACGGCACCTACAATGTTGCAGATTGCCACCCCCACCGCTCTGACGCCAACCTTGACGGGATCTGGGTCGTAGACTGTCGAATATGTCAATGGGTACATGTTGAGGAGCGAGTAGAAACTCATTCCACCAATGAACGCAACACCATAAGCCAGTGCCACAACTCGTTGTCCAGAAAATAATTCCTTTGGGACCATGGGGTACTTTGCGCCCTTCCACTCCCAGAAAAAGAAGGCGGCGACCAGAACCATGCCGATCAAGAGTGTGCTGAGGACGTAGGCACTTGCCCAGGGATGGGTATAACCGCCGGCTTGCAATGCTACAAGGCTGGAGAACTTTTAGCGCCCGGCTTACACCAACAAACCTTGGAGAATTAGACTTACAGAAGGGTTACCCCAGTAATAGAAAATATGCCTCCGACATAGTCAATTTCTTTGATGATCTGGCGCTTCGATTGTCCTTGGGTCCGTGGATGTGCTTTCGGGAAATAGGTGAAAATCAGTCCAATCGCAACTACGCCATTAACTATTCTTTCGAAGGATCAGCCGGGCTTGAGCTGGTCAGCAGATGAGCTCTTTTCACTTACAACGACATCCACGCTCCCCATCTCCAAGTGGCTCGAGAAGCCATCAGTTGAGCATACAGGACGCTTGGAGCAAAAGGCAGAATCAGGAACGTCACAGCCGCCGCTGCAAAACCGCGTTGCTTCACAGGAACCATATCAGACGTTCTTTTATGCACGAGTCAGCATTCTCAATAGCATTCAGCAATGGGGAGGCGTAGTTCACCCGGCGAGAGCAGTCAGTTCGCCGACAGCAGCACCAGCACCAGCAATTGCCAAGCCCACAACCGCCTGCGCAAAGCTATGAGCAGTACCAAAAATCACACAACCTATGCAAAGAGAGACAGCCCCACCGATAGCAATGGTTCTTCGACCCAAAAGATCCTCAAGGTATCCGGTGAAGGGTGCCACCGCAGCTACAGCAAGGATGTTGGAGACTGGTAACCAGCCTTCTACAGCTGTAGCATTGAGATCGACAGCGATATAAGACAGGCATCCACCGACATTGTAGAGGATCAGCTGAGAGCCTAACCGATGGAGTTAGAGCCCATCAAACTTTTATTTTTGGATTAAGAAATACCAGTGTTGAGGCCTGCCAGGGAGAGAAAGGCGAGAACAGTTCTCGTCGTCCATACGACCTTACCATCCGAGTCATCCCCTTTGTATGCTTTGGAGTTCGCCAGGTCGAGGTCATCTAAGGTAGCAGTCGCTCCAGTCTCCTTGGAAGGTAGGTCGGCGGCTTCTTCACGCTGATGAACACCAGGAGTGGCCAAGAATTTTTCCTCGTTTGATCCCATCTTCGAAAGAGGAACCATAACAAGGGAGAAATTGATTGCTTTGCAACTAAGAAGTAACAGTGAGGCAGAGTTGGCACGAACCGCTGTTGATGCTTTATACTAAGGAGGGAGATCGTAGGGACGTTCCCTCGGTTTTCATATGTAAGCACTGGCCTCTGCACCTCCGCATTCTCACATTCCGGGGTCATGACCCACGGTGAGCGAGTCATTAAACTGGTTTCCAGCACCTCCATCGACCTCTGACACTCACAGAACACTAAATCTGGATGGATCATTGTCAATCTGGCAGCTTCAGTGCTAGTCACCCATCTATCTAACGTGGAAAGTTGAATTGTGATACCACTGACACTTTGGTGGAGATGTAAGCAGTCACCAATCTTATATACTCTACGAGATACACAGTGTTCTACTTTTTCGTCCGTTGTTGAGAGTCTTCTTTACCTCAACATCGTGCAGCAATATAGGCTATAGCAAGCTTTTCGGTGGCGAATGGCTATTGTTAAACATTACATGGCAATACTCCCTGTATCCTTTGTGACCCTGTTCCAGAATCGCACGCCTGTCGCGCCAATGCTTCGTATGATGGTACGCTTCGTGCTCCTCTGTTGTGTTCCAGCCCACCCATGCAATGAAACACCTCTCGTGGCCGTCTATCGGCTCAACGATGTATCCTCCAGCGACACCCATGCAACCTTTGACACGGGGGACAATGGTTGCCCATAGTTGCCATGCATGGTCCCATGCACCGTCAGTGTCAACATATATTGCTGTCCCTGTGAAGGGGGCGCCTCTGCCGAGCGATTCACACTCGGGGGTGTACTCGACCAAGAAAGCGTGTCGAATGGTGGGCTCGCCTTCAGTTATAGAGCCAAACTTGGTCTTCAAGCCCACATAGCTAGATGAAGCCAAAAAATCATAATGTTGGTGTAATCTCTCCCTTACTAGATATATCACAGGTCAGTCTAATGATGTTGGGAAACGCGCTCCAGTCAGACATACCAACATGAAGATGTAGCATATTCGGTGTTTCCAGCCCAGTACCCCAGTACACCCGTCGAACATCTGGAGGTTTCTCGAGGTCCTCGATGACCTCTTTCAAAACGCTTGCTCCCTGAAAATCCTTCACTGAGATTCCTGGACGGAGTCGAAGCACTATCATTTGCGTGCAGGCCGAGGGAAATGCCACGGTCGGTGAGGCTATGTGCATATCCATCTTCTCTCAATTGCTGGCGCCTCAGTGTGTAGTGGAATGGTGGGATTCAGACGTGAGTGTTCCCTTCGAGCGCTGTAGCAGTATAGTATCTTTGACAGGCTAGCATGCTGGATTTCTGCATCTCGATCCCTGAGGATGTTTGTGCAGCAACAGCCGACTTGGGCGGGCGGGGGCAAGGCCGGGCGCCACAAATTCATATTGACCAATAAGAGGCCAGCGTGACTCAGAGCCTCCTGACATCGTTTGTGCTGTGGATCCTTCCTGACCAGCCTTCTCTGTGTCCCTGTGTCCCTCGGAAGAACGAAGGCTGACTCCGAGCATTCAAGGGTCTAGAGCCTGGCTTTTATGTAGAAGCTCCCTCACGTACTTACTTTGGCAAAGTGCTGTCTGAAGATCCAGACGCCTACCTCGAGAACCCTCGTCTCCGTTCGACCAATTTTTGTATTCCGTTTTGAAGTTCTCAGAATGCCTGTGACTGAGTTTATGGTGAAAGAGAGGTACAATTATCTTGAAGGATTGGGTAATCATCATCAGTGAGCATTTCTTTCCCCACCTTTCTTTCCCATCGATATGCTTTATTCTTGTGTGGGCTTTCGCTGAGATACATATAGATCTGAAGCGTTTATAGGCGCGAATCCAATCGCCTGCAACAACCCTCAGAAGCCACCGTTTGGACTCCTGACAGAACGGTTGTCGGGCTCCTCGTTCACCTCACCTCGAGATCATTGTCTGCAGACATGGTTGTACCGGGCAACATCTTCTCGAGAGCACAGTGGATTTAGGCCCTATGGCTCCGATTCGAGTACTACAAATAACGAGAAATATCACCTCATTCCGGAGTCATATAGATGGATGTCCTTTCCGGTCCAACAGGCTCAGGACTGGACCAACTGTCGACTCCTGGCACACTCCGGAGACCCATCTTTGAAGACCGGCCTTGGAATCTATATCTTTGCAATCACCAAGGACATGGCAGATGCGCAGGCCTTTTCGTCGCTTGACGGCGACATGCTGATTATTCCGCAACAAGGTGCTCTAGATATCCAAACAGAGTTAGGGAACCTTTTAGTCCGACAGAACGAAATTGCTGTCATCCCACGTGGAATCAGGCACCGTGTGAGGTTACCCACTGGTCAAGCCCGAGGCTACATCTGCGAGCTTTTCCAGGGTCATTTCCGACTACCAGAACTTGGTCCTATTGGATCATGCTCATTAGCCAACGTTCGCGACTTTCAAGTACCTGTAGCCGCTTTTGATGGGGTGCTTCGGGATGGTCGAGCCTGTGCGAACCATCGGAAGTGGCAAGTAGTATCAAGGTTGGGCGGATGCCTATTCAGCTGTACCCAGGACCATACCCCCTTTGATGTGGCGGCATGGAACGGCACGTATTATCCATACAAATACGACCTCTCCCGCTTTTGTGTTCTCGGTAGCGCTCTCTACGACCATCCTGATCCCAGCCTGTTCACTGTTTTGACCGCGCCATCTTATAGAGAACCGGGCACCGGCGTGGTGGACTTTGCGATCATTCCGCCGCGCTGGAATGTGATGGAGAATACGTACTGGCTCCCGTACTACCACCGAAACACTATGAGTGAATTCTCAGGCCCCATAATCTATAACCAAGTCGATAGCTGCAAGTGGAACCAGGGTCTAGAATTCCAGCCATATGCTGCGTCGCTGGCCTCGGCAATGGCCTGCCACGGTGCCCCTGAAGACGCACACAGGAAAGCCGAAGAACAAGCAACGGTTCCTCAAAAAGTGAGCACCGAAGGCTTTACCATATTCCTCATCGAGACAGAATGCCCTCTATGGGTAGCGGATTGGGCGACCAAGCCATTTGAGACAACCTGGCCAGCTAACAGCACCGTCCAGGGCATCAAATCAAACATCTAGTTGGAAACGAAGGTAGAGAGTCTAGAATCCTGAAGTGAAAGAAGAAGTCGGAGCTCCTGACGGTGCAGTGCCCCTTGGTCTACGTGGCAGCCCTGGTGATGTTGGAGGATCAGCGCTTGGACATCCATGTTACCAGTTAACATCTCATGTATATACGCTCAAACCCCGAATGCAATTTCTGTGGTAGGCGCCCAGACTATCTGGTTCGGTTTCCACCCATAGCCGTAAAGCGAACTGATTTTGACTCTTGCCACTGCTCATGCGTGTAAATATGCAGAACTTTGTGGAGCGTGTTTCAACGCTTATGTTACAACATGCTTGGAGAATCTACATCCTCTCCGACACTGTCACACCCGTTGGTTGTCCAACCCCGTACTATGTACTAGCGACACCTCCAGAGAGTTCGCAGGCTAAGGCCCTTATTCCGTAGAACTTAGCAGCGAGTCCCCGTGGGTGTCCGTTCGACAAACAGCCTCGGTTCCTTTACATAATACACACTCAGTATGGCCAACCCCGCCCTTCGTAACTGTTCGCAAGTCCATGCAGGGTTGCGCTTCACCACAACAACATCGAAGACTCACCCTCTGTCGGCGTACCCGCCATGTCGTCTCAGCCTCCCTCGGATGTATCGCACAATCCCAATCCTGTGCAATGCAAGCGGAACAGGAAGCGAGAAATGGACCGGATCTCGCAGCAAAGAAAGCGGAGAAGAGACCGGGAGAACTTGCAGAAGATGGAGGAACGTCTACGTCTTCTGCAAAAGGACAGCCAAAACCAACTGCTTATGCAGCTTATGAAGAGCGCAGACCAAAACGAAGAACGAAACATCAGGCACCGGAAACGGCTACTACAAATCAGAGGACTGATCCAAGCAGACCTGGCCGATCTAGGCCACTGCGACACCACGACACCCGTAGCAGACAAACCCGACGGCCTTCACCCGGACCATGGCGACGCGGATTCGTCATCTCACGGTGAACCGGAAGGTTTGGATCAAATGTTGGCAGAATACAACGACGAAGCGAACATTTTCGGCTGCAACAACGACCAAACCACCGATCAGGCATTCAATGCCAACGATTTCGGGACCCTTATTCCCGGAGCCGACACTCTGCCATGGGACCAAGAAGCTCACGGAATCGGGCCCGATCAAGTCAAAGACATCATGATCCCGGCTGAGCAGACCACTCATCAGAATGGACGGCCTAGGAAGCTATGGGACGAAGTCGAGCAGCTTCTTGCTCGAGCAAAGCTGCCTGCAAACTCGCCCAGCGTGCACAACGAGGAGGTCGACATGCACATTATCATCAACGCCGTCTCCCGAGGCTGGTCTCGATTCTCCCAAGTTGTCAGAGTTGATCCGAGGTGGAGCTGCCTTCGAGATCTGGACGAGAGGTATTTTTCCTCTGGCTATGCACCAGTCGAACGCCTGGCTGTGTTGACGATTGCGAGTCAGCTATTAGACGGAGATGTGAGACCCTTCTTAAATGCCCGGTCGAATTACTCATTTCAGGCTGACGGTGTTCCCCCTCCCCCAGAGAATGAGACCCTCTGTTGGGTCGAAGCTTCTTCCTCAATTTATGAAGCCTAGGTGTGATTTACAATATCTTGACTGCTACGACATGATTGCTAATGCAGTGTCGTAACAGGCCCTCGCAACAGGCCATTCCTCATTCAGCCATTGCTGATTTCTATGTTTGGTATACCGAAACATTTTCTCCATCGACATGACGCTGACTAACTCCTCACGAGGCCTGGTTTTCGCGAGCGCCTTACAGTGTGTCACCAATACTCTAGCGACAACTTCCTCCGCGCCATGCACATCATGTTCCAGTTCCTATGGCCATACGATCTGAGGGCCACATACGACATCAACCCGCAGACAGGACTCTCTCAATTCTCGCCACAATTCCTGGAACATTTAGGAGATTTACGGTGTTGGACTATGAATTCCGATTTCCTAGTTGAATTCCCCGATTTTCGAGGAGATGTCCCTACCTTCAATGGAGGCCCGCCTAGTCTCTTGAGCATCGGGGTTTCGTATCCTGAGTGGTACCGCTTCGACACCACGGAGGACGAGGAATCATCCAGGAACAGTCTTCAGCTAACCACCGTCCTGGGTTACTAAGAGCCAGGCCCGACGCGTCCCGTTCTTGAAACAAAAATACGCACTATTCCTCACTAGCCATGAAATTCCGGTGCTCGACCACTAAAATCTGCAGCGACGCATGCTACGGCAGCAAATCTGAGTTTCCAGCCGGGTGTTGTGTAAAGCTCCCACCAGTCATCAAACATGTGATTGTGATGAAAACTTCCTGAAAGTCTCCACATGAGCACTGTCAAAATACTCGTCCAGCCTTGTGATCTTAGCGTTCTCGACCCGACAGACCAAGGCACAGGGCAACCGGACCTTCTCGCCATCGTGAACCCGGTTGCCCTCCAAGACGTGCTGCTGCACAAACCCGCCGGGAAACACCGCCAAACGACGATTGGCATATTTGATGTTTTTGATTCGCTGCACCATGCCACTCAGGATTTGAGCTGTTTGGTCGCGACTGACGACCATCTCGTCGGTATTGTGCCAAATCTCGGCGTCGGGCGTAAATGAGCTTATCATGGTGTCGATGTCGCCGACCTCTATGGCATCAAAGAATCTGGTTGCCAACGCCCGAATGGTAGTTTCTTCATTTCCTAAAGCCATGGCGTTTCGCAGTAGCCCAAAACCTTGTTTGGCTCCTAGCTATCTAGGTCGCAGTCAATTGACAAGTAGTCAATACCAGTATGCCTTTGCGTTTCTTTTTGAGCCTACAACAGGCGTTTCTGGCGTCCTCTTCCCCAAGGCCTCGGCTTAGACCACAGAACAACGCCAAGAGTTTCGTTTGACAAAGGAGGCCCTGAGTCAGTCGGGACTTGTCGCGCTAACGAATGACGGCCCGTGTGGATCGTACCTTCGAGCATCAGATTCATCGAGGTAGAAAGTTTTTGGAGGAATGAGTAAAACGTCGGAGCCCAGACCCGTTCGAGAATCTTCAGCTCCTCTTCCACGTGTTGGTCTTTGCACGAATGCAGGTGGGATTGGCCGTAACTGCACAACTCAAGATCCTCTCAGAGATTGCTACCGACGCACCGTGCTAGTGTTTCTGACGCATGAAGTGTTGTTCTCACAAGCTCGCTTCGGTGTGACCTCACCACTTCACGGAGGGCATCTGCTTGTGACCTTGCTGCATCTAGGTATGTCTAGAAAATCGCACCGATGAGAGGAAGTTGTGTCGTCTGTGTAGAAGATGTCTTGGATGCTGGTCGAGGAAGAAACCGTTGGAATCCCTTGGTGGACTTTTTTTCACCAGCACACCAGGTTCCTCCAGCGCTCCGGAGGTCGCAGTTCTCGTTGTATCGTAATGTCTACCAGAGGCCACCACCTCCAGTTGTTTGCCCACGTTCAAACGATGCAGGTGGCATCATCTACTCCCAAATGCACCAAATGATATGTTGTGCTGGAGCAACACGGAGAACTCACTCATCCTGCAAGCTCCCCCTCGCAGACCATGTCAATGGTAGTTGGAACTATTTGCTCGTCGTGTTCATCTTCTCGTCGCCTCCGAATTTGTCAAAAGGTTGGAAAGACGAACATCTTTGTCTTCTGGACCAAGTGAGCAACATCAGCAGACTGAAGTCATGGATTGAGACAGTCCCCATCAGCTAGTTCAACAGATCGCGAATTTTCGAAAGGCATGCCAGGAAAGTTGAAATACCTGGACTGCTGATGACTGTGACATTCTCAGTTCTACTACCATCTCACCCCTGAGACAACTTGTTCCAGCTCATCTGTCATTGCCGACATTCGTGACCTAGATGATAGCTTCCAGCATACCACAACTAATAAAACTTCTAATATAGAGTATAAAGATTGCAATATATTAATATTTATATTTTTTTTTTTTATATTATATAATGATAATATTATTTTTATATAATTATAAAAATCTATTCAAGATAAATAAACTTGAATTCATAACTTTGTAACCTTTTTTATATGTTACTTTATTAATAACTAGCTTTTTTAATATTAATTATTTTTTACTGACTTCACCATATATCAATATCCCTTTATATACAAATAAGATATTTATTTAATGTACTTATCATATTATTAC